AACTTCAGGTTATCAGGAGCACAAACATGAGTTTAGACTGTAAATAGAGTTCAATCACATCTGAGCCAGCTGATAACATGCTAACATACTAACTGCTGCAGCCAACGTGTGCTTTTATCTAACCTCGTCTGCAAAGGCCAAACCTGCCTGATGGTTATTTACTGTAATTCTATCATTAGACACTAGGTGGAGCCACTGATACAGTGTCACAGAGACAGGCTCAGATGTGGAGCTCAGACCATGAAGTGAAACAGGAGCTGAGTTTGAAAACGGATCAACATCAAATAGATATTCTGGTGTAAAATTAATTTAGGGTCAAACACACTGTAAGACCAAGTTAGTCCATTACCGCAGCAGGGTGACACAGGAAGATCATTTCTTCATCATTTACTTGAAGTTATAATCACCTTAATGATTATTTTGCACTGCAGACACAGTAGTTATTCTGTCTTAGCGTCTCGGTCTGATTGCATTCCCATGAGGAAATGATCATAAATGTTCTTCCTTGAGCTGCGCCACCCCGCTGTAGTCCGTAGTGGATTGGCCTGAGGTCTCGCTACAAACAAGCGGCTGCTGGAACAAAGTGGGTGAGTTGTGTTTAGTCTCTTTGCTAAAGAAATTAGGGAAAGTTAAAAAGATTTTAGGGTGCTATTGCTTTGGCTAGGACCCTATATGTACTGTTGATGAAGTTAGGTGCTGTTCTGAGTATTATTTGTTTGAGGTTTGCTTATGGCTCCTCAGACTGCTGTGTATTGCTATAGTGCGGTCATTACTAAAGTTGGTATAACTAGAGAAGCAAGCGGTCGGCAACATTCATCTCTCAAGGGGGTGTCTAACTCGGTGTTACGGTGTGTTTGACCCTAAATTAATTTTACGCCTGAATATTTCTTTAAGTATGATCTCTTCAGACAGCTGATTGGCCAAAGTACATTTAGAGCATCCTGATTGGCTGACACAGATGATGTGTGCAGAGCGTAATGTATCTGTAATCAAAGAAAGGAGGTCATGGACTCAGGACTCTGTGAACTCCTTTAAATTAATTCCTGGTCTGAGTGGGACCAGCTCCAGTTTGAAGTGGTCTTCGAGTGTCTCTATTTAAAAACACTGATAGACAAATTTAACTCAATTACCAATGATAACCAAGTGTTTTATTATTTGATGTGATAATCTGCTTGATAAGGATGTAAACTCTGTTTCTACAGACATTCTCACGCACCCTAGACCATGTAACAAGCACACCCTGTGTGTGCAACAGGGCTCTCATTATCTGAAACAGACTTTTGAAAAGATCTAAGTTGCTATAATATTCACAAACAATGGCACACTAACAGCCTAAAGATGTAGACCACCAATTACCTTATTTCCAAAATGAGGGTATTAGCTCTAAAGTTGCCTCACGTGTTGTTGTAGTTCACCATCATCTTGACTTCTTGAACAGAAATGATGAGGAGCATCCCAGTACTTCAGCAGTTTGTGCAAATGTATGGCCTTGCTTCAGTATAAATTCAATGTCTTTTTTGTAACATCAAAGGCTGGTTGGCCTCTCCTCCCTACTGAAAGAAAAAGTCAACAAAGTTTAAGTATTAAAGCAGCATTGGACTGTATGTTGTGGAGGATATTGTCTACCAGCCAGAGAGGCAGATGGACACAAAAGTTCATTTTTACACAGTCCTGCTGTGTTGCGTGGCACTTTTATTTCAATTTCTTTTGTTTTTAAATGCTTTTATGGGCACACAAGTCTAATATAGGGCAGAGTTCCTCAAGAAGTTTGTCTGGTGAGTTTTGATGTATGTAGAATTCAAACAACCATCATTTATAAGCTCTAAACAGCCTTTCATACCTTTTGTGATGAGTAGCCTGTTACCCTTTTTTGACAATCTGTGTCCCCGATTTAGGTTTCTATAAACTGTTGGAAGTCTATGGAGATCAAATCTGATTATAGTTGAAAACAGATATGACTACCGACTCTATTTGTTATCACTCAATATTTTAAAGCCATATACTACCCCTCAATGTAGTATATCCTGTAGCACTCAGTCGAAATGAGGGTCACATTGTCAGCATGTATCATGCTCCCCTATAAGAAAAACATTTCTATGATTTGGGGTGTGAATCCTCTTCCAGAAGTGTAGATGTTACAAGCTGTTGATGAGACACAATGCAATCATCCACATCATAACAGAGGCTCACTCACAGCATCAACTTCCCTCTGTGTATTTGTTATAAATAAATATTCTTACCAGGAGGCGGTCACTCATGGTTCAAAACTAATGGTTTCTTTACAGGATGAATGTGAATGAGGCCTGTGATGTAAAGGAGTTTTGAGTGGTCAAAGACTAGAGACAGAGATTTAAACACAGTCTGTTCCATTTATTGGTCAGGATATAGCCTGTTTACAGATCTGCATGTTTACAGAGCCCTCAGATCATGAAAATAATAATAAAAAAAATATGCTCAGATTTCTGCACACTTGTAATCTGTACACAGATAATAATCCATACTCACAGTTTTTTAACATGTCCCCTTCTTTCTTTCTCTGCACTGTGCTGACCAGTCCACAGGGGACATACCCACATCTCCGTACAGTGGATATAAAAAGTCTACACACCCCTGTTCAACTGCCAGGTTTTTGTCATGTAAAAAATTAAATCAAAATAAATAATTTCACAACTTCTTCCACCTTTAATGTGACCTATAACCTGTACAACACAATTGAAAAACAAAGAAATCTTTCAGGGAGGTGAAGTAAAAATAAACAACTGAGATCATGTGGTTGCATAAGTGTGCACACCCTTTAATAACTGGGGATGTGGCTGTGTTCAGATTTAACCAATAACATTCAAACTCAGGTTAAATTGGAGTCAGCACACACCTGTCACCAATTAAAGTGCCTCTGATTAACCCCAAATTAAGTTCAGCTGTTCTAGTAGCTTTTCCTGACATTTTTGGAGCCACATCTTCCAGCACAAGTCATGGTCCACAGAGAGCTTCCAAAGCATCAGAGGGATCTCATTATTCAAAGATATCAGTCAGGTGAGGCTACAAAAGAATTTCCAGGGAATTAAATATACCATGGAACACAGTAAAGACCGTCATCATCAAGTGGAGAAAATATGGCACAACAGTGACATTACCAAGAACAGGACGTCTGTCCAAAATTGATGATAAGACAAGAAGAAAACTGGTCAGGGAGGCTACCAAGAGGCCGACAGCAACACTGAAGGAGCTGCAGGAATTTCTGGCAAGTACTGGCTGTGTAGAACATGTGACAACAATCTCCTGCTGTCTTCATATGTCTGGGCTATGGGGTAGGGTGGCAAGACGGAAGTCTTATCTTACAAAGAAAAACATCAAAGCCCGGCTTAATTTTGCAAAAAGACATCTGAAATCTCCCAAACGCATGTGGGAAAATGTGTTATGGTCTGATGAAACCAAAGTTGAACTTTTTGGGCAGCATTGCAAAAGGTATATTTGGTGCAAAATCAACACTGCTCATCACCAAAAGAACACCATACCTACAGTGAAGCATGGTGGTGGCAGCATCATGCTTTGGGGCTGTTTTTCTTCAGCTGGAACTGGTGCCTTAGTCAGGGTGGAGGGAATTATGAACAGTTCCAAATACCAGTCGTCAGTGTTGGCACAAAACCTTCAGCCTTCTGTTAGAAAGCTGAAAGTGAAGAGGAACTTCATCTTTCAGCACGACAATGACCCAAAGCACACATCTAAATCAACAAAAGAATGGCTCCACCGGAATAAGATTGAGACTTTGGAATGGCCCAGCCAGAGTCCAGACCTGAATCCCATTGAACATTTGTGGGGTGATCTGAAGAGGGCTGTGCATGGGAGATGCCCTCACAATCTGTCAGATTTGGAGCTGTTTGGCAAAGAAGAGTGGGCAAATATTTCCACATCAAGATGTGCCACACTGATAGACTCCTACCCAAAAAGACTGAGTGCTGTAATAAAAGCCAAAAGTGCTAACAACGTATTAGTTTAAGGGTGTGCATATTTATGCAACCAGGTTATTTTAACTTTTCTATTTTTCTTTTTCCCCCTTAAAGATTTCTGTTTGTTTTTCAATTGCATTGTACAGGTTATAGGTCACATTAAAGGTGGAAAAAGTTGTGAAAATATTTATCTTGCTGTCATTTTCTTACATCACGAAAACCTGGCAGTTGAACAGGGGTGTGTACACTTTTTATATCCACTGTACATGGCGCTCTTAGACTAGTCCGATTTCTATCACTTCAGGATTGACTGGCATTCATGAATTTAGGTGTGAATCCAAGTTTTTCCACTGTTCCTGAATTTGGTGAGAGTTTAAGTCCCTTCCTGGTACTTTCCTAAAAAGATTTTGATGTGCACATTACATAAAAATTGACCGATGTTTCATGAATGAAACCCAAAGATTGTATAATGTAGGCTTGATGAACCTTTTCGAGCAATTTGAGAGTCCATACGAATGACCTGCCTTTGGTTATTTCTTATTTAATCAGATGATCAGTTTTTACTGTGAGGACATTTGGGAGTCTGGACCATAAACTGTCTCTGTGGCTGTCTGAGAGCTTATAGTACAGTCTGAGTTTAAACATGGCCAAGAATAAAGAAGGTGAGTCACTGTCCGCTTTCATATAGAGTCAGGCAGGAGTTTCTCATCAGTATGAGCTATGCCATCTGATGTCCAGCAGGGGGGGCCAGAGGGCAGCAGCTGACATGTTACCCTGAGCATAAATGACAGTATTTACAAACCTGTTTGTTTTTTTTTTTTTGCTCTTAAAAACAGAGACACTTTCCTTTATGAAAGTAGGAACTGTTTTAGTTCAGCCTCTGTTTTCTTGAAGAGATGAACAATCCTTCACTGAAAGTCGTGTTGTGATCAGCTGATGGCGGCAACAAAGAGCTAGAAGAGGCTGAAGGCTTGGTGGAGCTGTAGATTAGGTGATACTTCTCTCTGATCTGATGGTTTCTCTGTTTTCAGGCGCTTCTAGACATTGGCTGCAGGAGTTAAAGAGTTTAGTTACAGAGACTGGACAGGTTTAGACATTTGTTCAGTGTCAGATTTCTCTTAAGAAGATCTGGAACATTAAAATGTGTGTTACACTCTATCACACGGACCTGAGCATGGTTTGTCAGCTGATAGTCACCAGGTTTGGCTGGCCTCACAACGGGCTGTTATGGGACCCTTCAGAAACCATTATTGAACTACAAAACCCAATTTCATTGAAGTTGGGAAATTGTGATAAACGTAAATAAAAACAGAATACAATGATTTGCAAATCCCTTTCAACCTATAAACAACCGTAATTGAATACACCACAAAGACAAGATATTTAATGCTCAAACTTGTAAACTTTATTTATTTTTTTGCAAATAATCATTAACTCAGAAGTTCATGGCAGCAACACTTGCCAAAGTATTTTGGACAGGGGCATGTTTACCACTGTGTTACATCACCTTTCCTTTTAACAACACTCAATAAACGTTTGTGAACTGAGGAGACTAATTGTTGAAGCTTTGAAGGTGGAATTCTTTCCCATTCTTGCTTGATGTACAGCTTCAGTTGTTCAACAGTCCGGGGTCTCCGTTGTCCTATTTAACACTTTATAATACGCCACACATTTTCAGTGGGAGACAGGTCTGGACTGCAGGCAGGCCAGTCGAGTACCCGCACTCTTTACTACGAAGCCAAGCTGTTGTAACACGTGCAGAATGTGGCTTGGCATTGTCTTGCTGAAATAAACAGGGGCGTCCATGAAAAAGACGTTGCTTGGATGACAGCATATGTTGTTCCAAAACCTGTATGTACCTTTCAGCATTAATGATGCCTTCACAGATGTGTAAGTTACCCATGCCTTGGGCACTAATGCACCCCCATACCATCGGATGCTGGCTTTTGAACTTTGCGTCGATAACAGTCCGGATGGTTCTTTTCCTCTTTGGCCCGGAGGACACGACGTCCACTATTTACAAAAACAATTTGAAATGTGGACTCGTCAGACCACAGAACACTTTTCCACTTTGCATCAGTCCATCTTAGATAAGCTCGGGCCTAGAGAAGCCGGCGGTGTTTCTGGATGTTGTTGATAAATGGCTTTTACTTTGCATAGTAGAGTTTTAACTTGCACTTACAGATGTAGCGATGAACTGTATTTACTGACAGTGGTTTTCTGAAGTGTTCCTGAGCCAATGTGGTGATATCCTTTACACATTGATGTCGGTTTTTAATACAGTGCCGCCTGAGGGATCGAAGGTTGCGGGCATTCAATGTTAATTCTCTGAACCTTTTGATGATATTATGGACCGTAGATGTTGAAATCCCTAAATTTCTTGCAATTGTACTTTGACAAACGTTGTTCTTAAACTGTTCAACTATTTGCTCACGCGGTCATTCACAAAGTGGTGAACCTCGCCCCATCCTTGCTTGTGACTGAGAATTTTTGGGGAAGTTGCTTTTATACCCAATCATGGCACCCACCTGTTCCCAATGAGCCTGCTCACCTGTGGGATGTTCCAAATAGGTGTTTGATGAGCATTCCTCAAATTTCTCAGTATTTTTTGCCACCTTTCCCAACTTCTTTGTCACACGTTGCAGCCATCAAATTTTAAAGTTAATGATTATTTGCAAAAAAAAATAAGTTTGAGTTTTGAACATTAAATATCTTGTCTTTGTAGTGTATTCAATTCAATATAGGTTGAAAAGGATTTGCAAGTCATTGCATTCTGTTTTTATGTACGTTTACAATTACAATTTACAGTTACAATTTCCCAACTTCAATGTGTCTAGTTAACCCTCAGGTGTGTGGTGTCGATAAGACTTTTCTACTGCTGCTGAATGAGTGTGAGCCTCCTGGATAATAATAAACCTGGATAATAAATAGCATTCATGCTTCAGATTTACAGGTTACAACGCCCCTCAGTGGTTACTACTGACCACAGCCATAGACAACCATGTTTGTCCTCCAAATTCACATTTGATCATGTGGGTTTCTGTGAGGTCTGGTGTGTGTGGAATAACCCACTGGGGTTACAATATATGTTAACATGTAAAAGACATCCAATATGTGACCAGCCTTAACTAATGGAGGCTGCTGGTTAAGGACTGGTTCACTGAAAAGTGCTGCTGCTGAAGGACCTGGTAACTGACACAATTTGAAGGTTAAGAACAGGTTACTTAACAGATGCTACTAGAGCTGTTGGTTAAGAATCTGTAAAACTGACATGTACTGCAGGTTAAGAACAGGTTAGCTTTCAAGTGCTGCTGGTTAGTGACTGGTTAACAGAAAGATGCTGCTAGTTAAAGACTATTTACCTCACTAGTGCTGCTGGTTAAACACAGGTAAACAGGCCAATATTGCTGGTTAAGGACTAGCTAACAGAATGATGCTGTAAGTAAAAGAGTTGCTAACAGGATGATACTGCTGGTTTGGGACAGGTTCGTGGATGGAAGCTGCTGGTTAAGAACAGGTTAGCTTTCAAGTGCTGCTGGTTAGTGACTGGTTAACGGAAAGATGCTGCTGATTAAAGACTATTTACCTTACTAGTGCTGCTGGTTGAAGACAGGTTAATAGGTTGATATTGCTGGTTAAGGACTAGCTAACAGGCTGATGCTGTAAGTAAAGGAGTTGCTAACAGGATGATACTGCTGGTTCCGGACAGGTTCATGGATGGAAGCTGCTGGTTAAGAACTGATTTATTGACGGATGCTTCAGGTAAGAGACTAGTAAAAGGCTGATGCTGCCGGTAAGGGTTAGTTCACTGATTGATAGTACTGCTGTTAAGGGACTAGTTGACTAGTAGTCAAGACAGCACCAACCAAGACCAAGACATTACCGAGACCAGAGAAGACCAAGACCGAGACAAGACCGAGTGAAAATGCCTTCGATTCCGAGACAACACCAAGACCCTCAAAAAATGGTCTTGAGACCAAGACCGATCTCTAGTACTACAACACTAGTCAACAGGTTTATCCTGCCGGTTAGCCACTAGTCAAAAAACTGATGCCGTTTTCGATGGACTAGATTACAGGCTGATGTTGATGGTCTAGGACCAGTTGATGTTCTGATCTGGCTGGTGGGTGACCAGTTAACAGCTGGTTTATTTAGCTGCTCACAGACTAGATGAACAAGTTAGTACTGCTGGTTGAAAGGAAGTAAACAGGCTGATGTGGCTTGTTAGGGAGTAGTTAAAAGGTTCCTCAGGCTGGTCAGAGACTAGTTTACAAATTGATCCAGCTGGTTGGTGAGTCAGATACTTAGGCGTGCAGGAGTTAGTCCTGTTAGTCCGGTTAGTCTGGTTAGCAGACAGTACAGCAGTGTCTGTGTTTTTTCTGGATTTTTCTGATACCTGGTTCCATTGGCTTCTGCATCGGTCCCATATTCCCATTGGTTGAACTTCCTGCATGATGACTAACGCTTCCTGAGTGTTTCTCCTTCCTGTTACGACAGTCCTCGCCACGGTCCTCGTCGCTGTCCTCGATGATCACTAGCTCCGCCTTCAGAGAGCCTTCAAACTCCTGGCCCGGCCCAATGTCATCCTGTGCTGTCTGGAAGCCCATGAAGATGGCTGTGATTGGCTCAGTGGTGTCGACAGTGTTGAGGATGGTGTAGGGAGCATTGTCTGCGTACAGGGGGGAGGGTACTCGATCAGAGAGGGCGGAGCCACGGTATAATGACGAGGGCTGGTCTCCTTTGTGATTGAAGGTTTGACTCATACAGTAAAGGTCATCTTCTTCCACATTGATGTAATCAGTGAGAGGGATATGATTGGCTGGTGTATAGCAGAGTTGAGGTTGGTATGCAGACACTACTTCCTGGTCATGTGATCTTGGAGGAGGGCAGCGATTGGCTCTATCTGCAGTGGCTCTGCTGTTTCTCCGGATGATGCCGTTGGTGTAGCAGCTTGGTGGTTGATTTTCATGGACACTATGACAGTGTCTTACCTCATACGAGCTGTAGTGGACATCTTTGTGGTTGCCATGGTGCTGCCCAAGAGACTTGTTGTTTCCATGGCAACAACCATCCCTCAGGTTGTTGTGGTTGTTCCTTTCTTCCTGTCCTCTGTAATGGTTTTCCTGCTGACTGTAGCGATGCTCAGCACTTTGTTTCCTCTGCCGGCTGAAGTCTTTCTCCATCCCGTTGTTTCCGAGGAGGTGGTCACCATGGTCACCTGCCAAGTTTAGGAGATCATATCCCTCCCTCACATCTTTGTTGTCATTGCAATTGTAAAAGCAGAGCTCCTCCCCCCTGCTGTGGTTTTGGCGGTTGTTTTGGCTTTTTGATTGGCGATGCACTGTGGCTCTTCTCAGCAGCTGCTCCACCTCATTGGCTGACAGCTCCGACACATGGCTTGGATCATGTGACCCCTGAAACAGCAAAACAGAGGAACAGCGGGGTCACACTCTGAAAAGCGGGGAGTGATGGAACAGTGGTAACAGCAGAGGAGATCTGAGAGAAGACCAGAGTTCAGACTGTTCACTGAAAGTTTTTCTTACAGTGTGACCAGACACTGACATCTTTAGATCACTCAGTCTGGACTGCCCTCATCCATCTCAATCCACCATGAGAAAAACACTTTCCAGCTTTAAGAGAGTTACAGTGCCCATTATTAGCCCATTATTGCTGTTCCTTCAATCTAACTCCACATTAAACCATTGTTATGGTGGAGATCATCAGGCTCTGTAAACCTGTACGACACTGTGCTGAGCTTCCTAACACATCAGATCATGCTGGACAGCTGCTAGCAAAGACCCTATAACCCCACAAGACCCCGAGGATAATATTCAGGACACTACATGAAAATGTAATCTATGAGACAATGTAAAGGATGATCTAAAGCAGTGGTTCTCAAGTCCAGTCCTCAAGGCCCACTGTTCTGCATGTTTTGGATGTTTCCCTGCTCCAACACACCTGATTCAAATGATCAGCTCGTTATTAAGCCATTGCAGAGCTTGATAACGAGCTGATCATTTGAATCAGGTGTGTTGGAGCAGAAACATCCAAAACATGAAGGACAGTGGGCCTTGGGGACTGGAATTGAGAACCACTGATCTAAAGCATAATATACAGGGTAATGGATAAGATAAGGTGAATGTGAGGATGACGCAAAAGATCATTTTCTTAGCCGGTGTTTGTGTGGGACAGAATCTCCTGAGGGTGGAAAGGACTCTCACTTTATAAGGACTCCATCCCAGACCCCCCCTTTACCCTAACCCCCCACAAACAGCTCTCCTAACCCCCAACCCTGACCATCCCGCACACAGTGGATGTGGTTCAAACTGAAGACAGTACCTGCTGTGGGCTGAGTGCGTACACACACTTCCTGCCATCGTCGAAGACCTTTAGCCCGTTGTGTTGGTGTAACTCCTCAGTAGGAACCGAAGCTGTAGAGACGACTGTACTCTCTCCAGTCAGCAGGTTTCTGGTGACATTGATCTCCATGGCGAACAGAGCTGAGACATGCAGACATGTTTGGGTCAGTATACTTTGACAGGGATCTTACACACTATCTTGGTTTGGGTGTTAAATTGAGTCTGCTGGATCATGTTCAGAGGTTGCAGCAGCTTCTGTCCTTTGACTGAGAAAATGAACACATCCCTCTAAGTCAACCGTTTCTGAGCTGCAGTTTCAGTGAATGGAAACACAAAGGAGGAGGCCAGGAAGATGACGGAGCTTCAGAGATTCAGGTGATATCAACATTTACTTTCTTTTTGAGATGATCAAGCAATAAAAAATCTATTTGAATTTATAAATAAAGGTTTTGTGTCATTATCTTATATTATCTTTCAAAGTTCATGTTAGGATTCATATTAAGGCTCATTCTTCAGTCTTTTTTACTTTTTATTTGAGCAGATATTTAATGTGAGGGTCTCTCTACAGACACTCTGCAGGACTGAAAGTGAGCCTGTAAAGGATTTATACTTCAAACAGAAATCACTGCAAACTGTAAAGCTTGATGTAAAAGTGATCTCACTCTTTCTCTGCGAGTTAGGTTCAGAGTGTTTGCTGGCTGCTGGAGTCGGGCATTCTGGGACCTCAGGGGGTGCTGTGGAGACCTGTACAGGCTCTGCAGGACAGAAAACACACCGCTTAACATCTTTCATCTTTCCTTTGGATCAAAAAATCAATAATTCATCCAAACTCACCCTGAACAAAGCTGTCCTGGGCCTCCTGAAAGAGAGACAGCAGTCAGTTACAGCAACACAACCAACTCAAACACAGTCCTGTGTGTGTGTGTGTGTTCGTGTGTGAGGGTGTTTGAGTGTGTGAACCTTGATAATGTCCTCAGCACTTTTCTCCACAGCCTTCAGTCTGCTGAGGATGAAGCGCTCGTTGGTGGAGACGATAGATTCTTCTCTTTCCAGAGACATAATGTCCATTTCTATCCTGGAGAGACGGAGACACAGACAGGCAGTGACCTGACAGCTACAACAAAGTGTGTGTCTGCAGTGTGTGTGTACAGGGGTTGGGCAATGAAACTGAAACGCCTGGTTCTAGATCACAATAATTCATTAGTATGGTGTAGGGCCTCCTTTTGGGAATGACCGATACAAGTCCTGCACAGTGGCCAGAGGGATTTTGAGCCATTCTTCTTGCAGAATAGTGGCCAGGTCACTACTTGATGTTGGTGGAGGAAAACGTTTCCTGACTCGCTCCTCCAAAACACCCCAAAGTGGCTCAATAATAATTAGATGTGGTGACTGTGCAGGCCATGGGAGATGTTCAACTTCACTTTCATGTTCATCAAACCACTCTGTCACCAGTCTTGCTGTGTGTATTGGTGCATTATTATCATGATACATGGAACTGCCTTCAGGATACAGTGTCTGAACCATTGGGTGCACATGATCCTCCAGAATGGTTGGGTAGATCCTTGGCAGTGACGCACTCATCTAGTACAAGTATTGGGCCTAGGGAATGCCATGATATTGCAGCCCAAACCATCACTGATCCACCCCATGCTTCACTCTGGGCATGCAACAGTCTGAGTGGTACGCTTCTTTAGGGCCTCTCCACACTGTAACTCTCCCGGATGTGAGAAAGACGGTAAAGGTGGACTCATCAGAGAACAATATATGTTTCACATTGTCCACATCCCAAGATTTTCACTGCTGGCACCATTGAAACCAACGTTTGGCAAAGGTACAAGTGACCAAAGGTTTGACTATAGCAGCCTGGCCGTGTATATTGACCCTGTGGAGCTCCCGACGGACAGTTTTAGTGGAAACAGGAGAGTTGAGGTGCACATTTAATTCTGCACTGAGTTTGGCAGCTGTGGTTTCATGTTTTCTGGATACAATACGGGTTAGCACCTGGACATCCCTTCAAACAGCTTCCTCTTGCATCCACATTTACTCCTGTTGGATGTGGTTTGTCCTTCTTGGTGGTATGCTGACATTACCCTGGATACCCTGTGTTTTGATCCATCACAAAGACTTACTGTCTTGGTCACAGATGCTAATTGAACCTTCACACTCTGGGCTGGTCAAATTTAGCCATGAAACCTCCAGCACTAAATTGGCAGGTGTTTCAGTTTCATTGTCCAACCCCTGTATGTAGTGTATGTACCTGTGGATCTTGAGCTGCAGAGCTCTTGTCTCTCGCTGCTCGCTCACAGAGCTCTGTTGTTGCTGTGGGGGGTCAGTTGCATTGTGGGAAGTTGCTCCCTGCAGCAGCCACTGCTCCCTTAAAGACTTTTTCTGAAGAGGTCAGGAACAGAGAACAAGCTTCAATCATGAAGAAGCAGATGAATGAAGGAATATTGATACCAATAATCAATGGTGACTAACCATCCACTTTCCTCTCAATGTGACTAAACATAACATCAACAGTGTGATCATTAAATGGTACAAAGACTGACAAACTTTAACTCTAAAAAGTGAGGAAATTTGTGATTGGCAGATTGTTTTTTTGTTGTTGTTGTTGTTGTTGTTGTCATGATGCTTCTTGGCAATAAATCTCATCCAGTTGAAAAGAATGGAACATGAAGAACATGCTCATGTGGGATGAACAGCTGGGCTGAGTATTTGGGTTGCACTCATGAAAAACTTACCAAATCTTCTTCGCCAAAATGACAACAAAGACATAATCTACCAAACACAGATTTACTTGAATGTTTTCTGAAGATGTAAAGGTGTGAATTTGATAATCCACCTTCAGGTGCTGCAGTTTAAGTTTCTCCTGGTCCAGTTCCACTTTCTTCTGTCGAATTTCTTCCTGGATACGATGTTTCTCCTGTTGCAGTAAAGGCAAGTACTTTAGTCTGTTTATCATTCAAAAGACTTTTGTAGATACAGTTCATGGCCTCATTTTCAAGTTTGCCTATCCTCATGTTTTCATGTCCTCATGTTTGTATGTTTTCATGTCCTTATGTTTGTATGTTTTCATGTCCTCATGTTATCATGGTCTTATGTTTGCATGTTCTTGTGTTTGCGTGTTCTTGTGTCCATAAGTTTTTGTGTTTGCATGTCCTCATGTATATGTCCTCATGTTTTCATGTTCTCATGGTCACGTTTTCATGTTTGCGTGTTGTTACGTTTGCATTTTCTGGGTCCTTATATTTGTGTGTCTGCATGTCCTCATGAATCAATTTCCTCATGTTTTCATGTTATCATGGTCTAATGTTTGGATGGTTTCGTGTCCTAAAGTTTGTGTGTTTTCATGTCCTCATGTTATCATAGTCTTATGTTTGCATGTTCTTGCGTCCTCATGTTTGTGTGTTTGCATGTCCTAATGTTTTCATGTCCTCATGTTTTCATGTCCTCATGTTTTCATGTCCTCATATTTGCATGTTCTTATGTTTGCGTGTTATTAGGTTTGCATGTCCTCATGCTTTCATGTTATCATGGTGTAATGTTTGGATGGTTTCGTGTCCTAAAGTTTGTGTGTTTGCATGTCCTCATGTTTTCATGTCCTCATATTTGCATGTTCTCATGTTTGCGTGTTCTTGGGTTTGCGTGTTCTTGTGTCCTTATGTTTGTGTGTTTGCATGTCCTCATGTTTTCATGTGTGTTACAGTGAATTACCGTGATGGCCTGCAGCCTCTCTTTCAGCAGGTCTGACTCCTCCATCCTGCAGCAGGAGATGGTGAAACGAGAGAGCAAGGAAACATTAAGAACAGGAATTGGACTGTCTGACACAGGTGTATTTCTAATAAAGTCAGAGTATTTGTTTTTGAAGGTAGACCATCACAGTTTGAACACCAGACAGCAGAACAAAAGTCGAGAAATCGTCAGACTCTCCATAAGGGTCCAGTCACTTTTTAAGATCTGCATGAAAAAGTGTCAGAATCATCTCAACTTTTAGAAACCTCACAGTCCTTGGATGTTTTTATGTTTGACACAAAACCATCCAACACCATATCAGAGTGCAGAACACAGTGTTGCTTTGCAGCTGCAATATACAGGCTGCAGAGCATAGCTGCCCTGTAGGTGAAGGAGGTCCCAGATTCAGCTCTGAGGGAGTTATTTTAGAAACTCTGGGGTCATTCAGGTGAATATTTCTGTCCTGAGTGTTTGTGGGTTTCTGCTCCAGCTGTCCACAGCATGTTATAACCTTGTAATGCTTTAACACGTTGCTGTCTAAGCAGTTTGTGCTTTAAATAACTCATCAGAGGGTAAACAGACCTGTGTGAAGCCTAGGATCTTTATGTTCCTGTTTCATTTGGTCCTAGAAGTCTCTTTATACGTTCAACCTTTCTTTAATTCAAAGAGGTGAACCCGTGTCAGAGATTTCAGGTAAAGCGCCATTAAATATGAAGAAGATTCTCTCCATCTGCTCATTAACCTCTTCATTATTCTCTTCACTGATTCAACTTATGATGAACATCTTTTGAGATGCGTGGATGAAAAGTTCCTCCAGCCGTTAAATAATTCTCAAAAGTGAAATATTTCATTTTGTCTTTTGATTTACAGACGTCTGAATTTATCAACAAAGCTACTGAAACAAAACTTTGGACTATTTGTGGTGATTGATTTCATTTAATCTCCAAACAAACTGAGTAAGTATACAAACATGTTTAAAATAATGAAAATAAAATATAAAATAAAAACTGACAAAATGCCACCAACACGTTTTAGAGTTCACTCAGCAAAATTAGGTCTTACATCCAGCCGCAGTAAGACAGCTGATTATGATAACAGGGTCACTCAGAGCTAAAACACAGCAGTGGTGTCTGCAACATGTGCGCAAAACCCCCCATGCAGACATCAACGGATGAAAAAACTGAAACAGTCAGGATATATAGACTGACATGAACATAGACTGACTCAAACATAGACTGCACTATGTTGGTCGTCTCCTCCTCTCATCAGAGACAAATCACCACATCACTCACACAGTGAAGTCACAGAGAGCAGAAACTTTTTTTACACACACTGACAGTTTCAGCAGATGACTGACTAACACCAGTCTGGTTCTGCTTGAGGTTTCTCCTTCTTAAAGGTAGTTTTTCTTCTCCACTGTCACTTGATAAATGCTGCAAAGTGCTACACTCATGAGGGATGAAGATCAATCAGAGTGGGTCTTATCTCACTGAATGGGACCCGGTCGTATCGTGATGCTGTCTGAACTAGTGGTTCCTAAAACGGGGGTAGGATACCCCCAAGGTGTCCCAGAATGCCAATGGGGGGCCATGAGATATGTTGAAAAAATAATGTTTCAAATCGTTTATAATATTTTATCCATTGCTGTCCAGATATCTAAAACTAGTTGCCAAATTTTGGGGGAAAACCCTAGAAGTAAAGCTGCGCTGTTTCCCTACCTCTTTTTGTTGAGGACAGAGTCAGTGTGTTTACGTGCACATCCAGGGAGGATGGTTTTCTGCAAAGCAGGGTTTAGAGAGTGTTTTAGCTTTAGGCTAGTTTAACACTCACAGGCATACTCAGACACTGGCCTTGACCCACTAAACAAACACTGCATCTTCACTCCCTACAGCCCCGGTCTGCTCTTACCTTTTGTAAATTTTTGTCGCACAGTATTGTGGCTGTTTGTTTCTTTTGTGATGTCAATGATGTGATAGCACTGTTTAATACCACAGAGGGTGAGGATCAGGATAAAGTGCATGAACAGGTGCTTAAGATATGCGGTCTATTAGCTCTGATACCTGTCTGCCTCCTGGATCCAAAATAACCCCCAAACATTTTTTATTCTTGAATCAGCACCGTTAACCTGAGGGGGGCTCTTAGTGTTGCTAAGCTTAGCATACAGTGAATATAAAAAGTCTACACACCCCTGTTCAACTGCCAGGTTTTAGTGATGTAAGAAACTGACAGCAAGATAAATATTTCTACAACTTTTTCCACCTTTAATGTGACCTATAACCTGAACAATGCAACTGAAAAACAAACTGAAACCTTTAAGGGGAAAAATAAAAAATAGAAAAGTAAAAATAACCTGGTTGCATAAAAATGCACACCCTTAAACTAATACTTTGTTGCAGCACCTTTGGCTTTTATTACAGCACTCAGTCTTTTTAGGTAGGAGTCTATCAGTGTGGCACATCTTGATGTGGAAATATTTGCCCACTCTTCTTTGCAAAACCGCTCCAAATCTGACAGATTGTGAGGGCATCTCCTGTGCACAGCCCTCTTCAGATCACTCCACAAATGTTTGATGGGATTCAGGTCTGGACTCTGGCTGGGTCATTCCAAAGTCTCAATCTTATTCCGGTGAAGCCATTCTTTTGTTGATTTAGATGTGTGCTTTGGGTCATTGTCGTGCTGAAAGATGAAGTTCCTCTTCATCTTCAGCTTTCTAACAGAAGGCTGAAGGTTTTGTGCCAACACTGACTGGTATTTGGAACTGTTCATAATTCCCTCCACCCTGACTAAGGCACCAGTTCCAGCTGAAGAAAAACAGCCCCAAAGCATGATGCTGCCACCACCATGCTTCACTGTAGGTATGGTGTTCTTTTGGTGATGAGCAGTGTTGATTTTGCGCCAAATATACCTTTTGCAATGATGCCCAAAAAGTTCAACTTTGGTTTCATCAGACCATAACACATTTTGCCACATGTGTTTGGGAGATTTCAGATGTCTTTTTGCAAAATTAAGCCGGGCTTTGATATTTTTCTTTTAAAGATAAGACTTCCGTCTTGCCACCCTACCCCATAGCCCAGACATATGAAGACAGTGGGAGATTGTTGTCTCATGTACTACACAGCTAGTACTTGCCAGAAATTCCTGCAGCTCCTTCAGTGTTGCTGTCGGCCTCTTGGTCGTCTCCCTGACCAGTTTTCTTCTTGTCTTATCATCAATTTTGGACGGACGTCCTGTTCTTGGTAATGTCACAGTTGTGCCATATTTTCTCCTCTTGATGATGACGGTCTTTACTGAGTTCCATGGTATATTTAATTCCTTGGAAATTCTTTTGTAGCCTCACCTGACTGATATCTCTGAATAATGAGATCCCGCTGATGCTTTGGAAGCTCTCTGTGGACCATGGCTTGTGCTGGAAGATGTGGCTACAAAAATGTCAGGAAAAGCTACTAGAACAGCTGAACTTAATTTTGGGTTGATCAGAGGCACTTTGATTGGTGACAGGTGTGTGCTGACTCCAGTTTAACCTGAGTTTGAATGTTACTGGTTAAATCTGAACACAGCCACATCCCCAGTTATTAAAGGGTGTGCACACTTATGCAACCACATGATCTCAGTTGTTTATTTTTACTTCACCTCCCTGAAAGATTTCTGTTTGTTTTTCAATTGTGTTGAACAGGTTATAGGTCACATTAAAGGTGGAAGAAGTTGTGAAATTATTTATCTTGATTGAATTTTTTTACATGACAAAAACCTGGCAGTTGAACAGGGGTGTGTAGACCTTTTATATCCACTGTATGTGAAGGTATGAACATCATATCCCAAATCATATAACGCACATCTGCTTGGGGAAAAAGCTGTTCATGTGAAATCTTTGTTCTTCTTCAACTTCTTACATTATTTTTGTGACGTCCGACCTAAATGATCTTGTATTCCTTTACACCCCCAGTCAGCTGTTAGTCTGTGTGTCTGTGTGTGTGGGCTAAGTGTGTTTTTAGCCGAGGGTCAGGAGGGTTTGCAGTCGGGGTTCAAACATTTACATTTAAAATGAGGTCATGGGGGAGGGGAGGGGGACGTCAGGGGTCTAATCTCATGCAAAAATATCTCCTAGTTCTATTTCCAATGTTAACTCTGAGTGAGACTCCAGCTGGACCCTCTGACTGTTTACCTCCACTCTTCTACAACCTTTAGATGAGCGGATACCCCCCCAGCCCCCCAACTAAACAAACAACATGCTAACATCATGTTAGTGACCTACAGCCTCAGGTCAGCAGCAAATAGGGGCCCCTTAGACTAACCAGTCGACCCACTCTGAGACTGAGAGAGCATTAATCTGGTCCAAGGACTTCATACAGGACACACAGCCTGTCAGCCAGAGGCCAGGACTTAAACTGACCTCCCTACACACACACACCAAAAACACCAAAACACACACACAATAACACACATACTACAGTATTACACACATATTGAAACAAACACTTTAACACCCCAAATAACACACACAGAGGGTCTGTCAGCTGTCACAGTACATCCATCAACCAGTCTGTCAATGACTGCACTCCTACAAAATAAAAGCTTCTTTTGAATGTTTTTTTTTTTTTTTTTTTTTGGGGGGGGGGCTGCTCCATTCATTCATACATACATATGAAAAATAAAATTTGATTGCAAAGAATCAAGAGAATAAAGACTGAGCAGAGTCAGCATCTGGAGTCACACCTGAACATAAGCAGTGGAGAATTTCACCCAGCTTTACTAAATTAAAATCAAATTATCAGGAAGAGAGGCATCGACAAAAGCCAGCAGGTCAGTCACACACAATCAGTCGGTCAATCAGTCAAGCAAAAATGTCCAGCTGCAGCCTGGAGACTCCTGTCCATAAACCTTGGGTGGGATGTCCTGTGGCCACAGTACAGGAGTAACAACAACAACAACGTACAGCAGGCAGGAAAGCAGTCTGAGGCTGATAGTCGATCAGTGTGTGTTTATATGTGTGTGTATACTGTAACATGTTCAGAATGAAACATAGTTTGTGTTGAGACTTAGGGCAATGTTTGGTCATGAGGTCTTAGTGACAAAAGTAAAAAAGATAAAAAGAGAGATATGAGTTCAAATAAAAGGAAACAAGAGGCTCCAAGCTTACTCCAGTCTTAGTCAGTCAGCTAGAAGGCTGTTGATAAATAGCCGGTCAGTAACAGTCAGTATAGGAGCAACCTGACTGAGCTAATCTGCTGTTAATGAAGCTGATAATCTGTAAACCATCTGGTGTCAGCTTCAACCTACGAGACTCTGTGTGTGTGTGATCATTGATTATCAAAGTGTGCTCAATACGCTGTCTATGATGACCATACACACCTGCGGGGGAACAGCGAGTCAGAAAAGTAGAAAAAGTGTGATTCAGTCGGAAAATTGGAAGTTGGAAAACTTGAAAAAAAAAAAAAAAGGAAGAAAACTTATCACATGAGAATAAGAATATTAAAAAGAATACAAAGTTTAAAATTAAGGGAAAAAACTTTGAAAATTAGAAAGAAAACTAGAAAAAGCAGAAAATCTAAAATTAGAAAATCTGAAAGCAGAAAATAATAAGCAGTTTTTTTAAAAAATAAACTAAACAGAAAACTAAAATTAGACATTTTTAATCCGAAAACTAAAAACAGAAAATCTAAAAACCAAAAATTACAATCAGAAAATACTTTTGGAAAATTAATATAAGACAATTAGAAAAAAAATAAAAAGCAGAAAATTAAAAACATAGATTTATAAAATATATATATATATATATATATATATATATATATATATATATATATTATTAGAAAATTCTATATTTAAAAAAATGTATAAATAAGATAATTAAAAATCTGATTATTTTAAATTAGATAATTAAAAAAACACCAGTTCAGGGAATAATAAGCAGTTGTTTATAATAAATAAATAAATAAATAAAATTAACAGAAAACTAAAATCAGTAAATTTTCATCAGAAAACTAAAAACAGAAAATCTAAAGACCAAAAATTACAATCAGAAAATACTATTAGAAAATTAAATATAAGACAATTAGAAAAATCAAAAAGCAGAAAATTAAAAAACACGATTAACAAACAAAAAACTTAAATCAAAAATAATATTATATAACTCAATATCAAAAAAATAGAAAGAAAGAAAATTTCAATCAGATAATAAAAAATCTGATTATTTTAAATAGGAAAATTAAAAAAAGACCAGTTCAGAAAGGAATAACAACTCAGGTAAGACCTCAGTGTGTGGCTTACTGACAGTGCATGACATTTTTCAGTAAGATAACAAACTAATGATCTTGCCTTGAACTGTACAAACTTTTTATTCATTCACATAATCACATGAACTCTGCCCAGACACCAGTATAGGATAGTTTAAGTCAGTGGTTCTCAAGTCCAGTCCTCGAGGCCCACTGTCCTGCATATTGTGGATGTTTCCCTGCTCCAACACACCTGATTCAAATGATCAGCTCGTTATCAAGCTCTGTAATGGCTGACTAGAGCTGATCATTTGAATCAGGTGTGTTGGAGCAGGGAAACATCCAAAACATGCAGGACAGTGGGCCTCGAGGACTAAGACCACTGACTTAAGATATTTATATTGTGAATATTTAACCCAGATTGAACCATCACGAAATGTTTATCAGACTGTCTGAGGAAAAAACAACTGACCAACTGACTGAATACTGACAGAGACTGAGACTGTCTGAGGAGCTCCTAAGCGCAGCATCAATTTTTTCTCACCTAAACCTGTCTAATGAACCTCTGAATTCATCTGGAAAGAGTCAACTTTTCATGGAAAACATGAACTTCAGTTTTGTCAAGTCTGTTTATGGTTGAACCTGTGAATGATTATTTGTATACACACTCTCTACAAAATAAAAGAAACTGTAAAGTTTTCTCAGTGCTTTCACATTAAATAGAGTGATCATCGGTGTGTTTATACTGTAATCTGAATTAGTTTCCTCAGTGCATTCACATTAGCTCAGAGTGATCAACAGTGACTGAGAGCAGCATGAGGAGAAACTGCAGCTTAAACAGTATTAAGGATTAACTTCACCTCTCCGTCTCTGACTCTGCCTTACATTCACACTGTTAACCTGAGACTTCTATTCTTCACATGGCTCGGTCAATGCTTTATACAGCTCTGTCTCAACCTCACAGTCTCTGCTCAACCCCGTGTAAATCTAGTTTTACCTGCTACAGCTCAGTTTCTGTAAACTTGTTCTATCTCTGCACACCTGTATAAACCCTGTCTTCTCTGCAGCTCTGGGTTGGTTTAAGTTGAGTTTCTAACAATAACCTGTAAACTGTGGCTGCAGGAGTTTGACCAGTGTGTGAGCAGCTGATCTAAACTGACAGGGAATCTTCCGAATCAAAAGCTTTCAGCCTTCCTACCTGTCCGGGTACCACTTCTCCTCCTCCTTCTCCACGTGTTGGCCGCTATGAGAAACTCTTCTACTGCATGAGCCTCAGGACCTCCCGGTTGCATGTGCAGTTGGGCGGGGCTTACTATGTGGTACCGCTGATCACAGTCCTGTTAGCCAATAGAAGAGGGGACAGTGTGTAAATCCTGTGCTGCATTTACTGACACACAAACAACATGAGCGCTTACAGCTAAATGACAGGCTAACTGTTTACTCAGGATTGACATGATTATAATGACCCGCTTTTCCCATTTGAGAGAGCTCAGTCAGCTTCAGTTCAGTCAGTGAGTAGCGGAGAGCAGCACCCTAGCAGATTAAACCAACAATATACAGCACTATACCCGCTGAGTTTTCCTGTGATTTAAGGTCATTATTATATTATTATAAAACGAATAATCGGGTTTAGTGAATTAAAAGCAGCAGCGCCCTCTGCTGTCCATAAAAGCACACGGCACCTAGTACTAGTAGACTGTCTGACGCACAGTGTTAAGCATACAAACTGTGGTCTGACAGTCAGACATGAACATCAGCCCCACTGACATTAATAACATAAAACTAGAGCTAACTACTATTAAGCCTGCTGACTGTAATCACATTAAATTAATTTAACATTGTCCATAATTACTCATATCTTAACCCTGTAAACTGAATTCATTTTGTTTCACCATTACATGATCTGTTGTTGTTGTTGCTGTTGTTTCTGCTGTCCCTGTCTCTCTCTCACCCTCATTCTCTACTCTCTCTCCCTCCCCCTCCCTCTCCTTACTCATTCTCTTTCGCCTTCCCCTTATCTTGTTCTCTTTCCCCCTCCCCTCTCTCTCCCTCTCTCCCTCTATCTCTCTGTTTTCCTCCCCAACCCAGCAGCGGCATGGTGGCTGTCTAGCATGAGTCTGGTGCTGCTCAAGGTTTCTGCCTGTTAAAAGGAAGTTTTTTTCTTGCCACTGTTGCTCATATTAGATGAGATGGGCCAAAACCCATCCTAGGTTGGTTCTTGATAATTCATCAAACAATGAGCGTGATCTAGACCTGCTCTTGTTCTTTAAAAAGCGTCTTGAGATGACGACTGTTGTGAATTTTGAATGAATAAAATTTGACTGATTGATTGATTGATTGATTGAGTCAGATAGTCAATGATCCAGGACACAAGAGGCCTCCACCTGCATCACTGTCAGCTTTTCTTCCAGTAAAGCCAGCCTGATGGTATCAAAAAACATATTGCCCATAGGTGTGAATGTGAGTGTGGATGGTTGTTCGTCTCTATATGTCAGCCCTGTAATGAACTGGCGACTTATCCAGGGTGTCCCCTGCCTTCGCCCGAAGATGCTGGGATAGGCTCCAGTGACCCCGCGACCCCAGGAATGGGAATAAGCGGTAGAAGATGAATGGATGGATGGATCACACACAATGTGGTCCACCACATTTGTATCTAAAAATGCACCCCCACTCAATACAACAACAGAATAATAGAAGAAAAAATAAAATCATAAAAAGCTTCAATATTTCTAGTTCACAGTTATTAGGCCACATATTTCTATGTAAGTTAATGAGTCTTTTTGTAAGGCTACTTTTTATTGTAAAGGCAGCAAAAACACAATAAAAGAGGGGAAACTGTTTGGAAGTCAAAAATAGTCTAAGATGAGCCAAGCTAGATAACTAAATCTTATATGGTTTTCATTTAATCCAGTTTTTAGATTAGACTAGATTAGATTGAACTTTATTGAGAGGGTTCCCTTAGGGAGAAAAATTTTTTTTAAGACATCTCTGAGACATCTCATAACCTATTTTTGTGTGGTAGCCTATATACCTTTTTTATTCGATGTAATTTATATAGCCTGGAATTACTTCACATTAGTTGGTAAAATGGTGTTATTTAAATATATTATTGTTCTCACGCCGGTCTTCACCATGGTGATGATGATGATGACGTCTGTTGTTTTAAGCAGATGTTTCCAAAATTCAAATTCAGTTCCAAACCAGAGCGCTCAAATCCGCACGTGAAAACTTTCATCTGTTGGACGAGATCAATTTATTGGAAACTATCAACTTTGAACGACGAGAAGAACTTCAAAAAACACCTAGAAGTGACTTTCAGACTGCAACATTAAAGGACAAGTTATGGCATTATCCGCATCTGGCAGAGAGAAGTTCTTTCTCTCCATCGGCATCTTCCGACTGCCGGCTGACTATGGTAAAACTTGACAAAACATTTTTCCTCTGTCTTTTATGACATTAAACTCTGTGGGAAGACTTGAATAATGTACATTTGGATATTTATCAGTTTAAAACATCGAATTTTCTCATAATTTTTGCAGAAAATATGTCGTCCTTGATCAAATGTTTAATGTAATAGGCCTATTATTTGACAGTAATGGATTCATGTTTGTTTTTCGCCTTATACGGTCTTTAAATATTGATAAATGTCATGTGCACCGACGGTAATAGGAGTAACATGAGTAAAAATATGAATATTAGTGTAGTGTTTGAGCAAAAATTGTATTTTACTTGGTTGACATTTTTTAACATTGAAAGTAATGGGCCAAGATGGCGCCGGTTCCATTATCGTTCCATCATTCAAAAAAAATGCTAAACGTTGTATATTTCTCACGCGCCATGGAAACGACGTCAAATATTACACCTATCGGAGATATACGTCTCACGTCAGAGCCCGGGCCGGCCGTGAGCGTGTGAATGACAGAGTTATCATGGCTTGTCATCTACATATGAACAATTCCTTCATTACAAATCATTAACCAGCAAATAATTCAACTCTGTAATGAGGGCAGTTACCTAATGAAAATTGAACTGCGCTAATGAACAAGAAATAGGACAACAGACTCATTGGTAGTATCTTGTGTGAACGAAAGAGAATTAAACCTGAGTGGAAATCTTTCTGAAATAGCGTTTTCATTCATGTTAATTGGGAACAAGCATGCCTTTTACCATAGAAATTTTGTATCACAAATAATATCAAGGAAATAGCATTATATTAAGGTTACAAAACACTTATCCAATAGATTTATAAATCTCCAAAATATAAGAAATTGATTACAAAGAAATGCACTTATCCAATAATGAAGAATCCGGTAACACTTTATAATAACTATACACTATTAAGCATTAGTTAAGCATTGGTTAAGGATAATTTAAGCATTAGTTAATCCTTAAGTTTTCATGAATTAACCATTAGTTCAGCATTAGTAATGCATTACAAAGCATTAGTAAAGACAGTTTTAAATGTTCAACTAAAACATTATTAAGCATTAGTTAAACATTAGTAAAGTGCTTAATTCATCGTTAACTCATCATTTGTAAATAATTAGGTATACATTACTAAGCATTAGCAAACACAGTTATAAACGTTTTAAACTCAAACCCATTTATAATTACTAAAGCAGCAGTTGAACATTAGTTAATGCTTAATTAATCATGAATTCATGATCTGTATAGCATTTTTTCCTTCCAATTTTCCTCCTTTTTCTTTACTCTTCTCCTCCTTTATTAGGCTGCTAAGAATAGTACTAAGAATGAATAATAAACATAAATATATTACAAAAAAACAACAACAACAAAAAATTAATTAATTAATTAAATAAAAAAGAACAAACATAACAAAAAAACACCAACATAACAAAAGGTAACAAAGTTTAGTTTAGCTGTGAGTTTTGTATGGTTTGTGTTGTAGGGTTTGTTTGATACTGTAATGCAATGTATTTATCGATGACCCTTGTTTTGTATAATTTATATATAATACATTCATAGAGTTTGCTGTTTTTAGTTCCTTATCCAGAGTGTTTCACAGACTTACCCCTTTGACTGAAGTGCATTTTCCTTTAGTATTAGTTCTTGCTTTTATTTGATTGAATATTGCAGTGCCCCTCAGATTATATCTGGTCTCTCTTTGCTTGAACAGATCCTGCATGCAGTTTGGGAGAATATTGTAGTATGCTTTATACATTATAAAGCAATTATAGTTAGTAATTTACTAATAGCTTGTTTATGATCTATTAACAATTTGTGAGGTATACTTATAAATCATTTACATACAGTTAACAAGTCATTTATAACTCATAAACTAACAGTTAATTAATGATATATTAACTACCTCTAAGGCATCATTATAAATCCTTAGCAAACTGTTAACAAACACTTAACAAGTCATTAATAACCTATTAATTAACAGTTTACAGATGATCTATTAACTATTTTTAACAGATAGTTATTATAAAGTGTTACCAATTAAATATAATATTGTTACAAGCTGTTAAAATGTTATTATGGTCACTCTGTAATGATTGTATATAACATGTTTATTGTGGGGGGCAACCGCCATTCCGACATCCCGCCATTCCGACATTGGTCTCTAAATGTTTTTCTCTTCTTCTCTTTCTGTCCAGCCTTTCTGCCTCTGCCAAGGCGAGACCTTCAACTGTATGTCACCAACCTGAGGAATCGTCCCTTGGAGAGCGTTAGAGTGGTGTCCTTGGGTCAAACAGTGATGAGCCTGTATCACAACCTCATCACAGGCTCCAGGGACTTCCCTGTGATACCCTACAGAGCACCCACTCGCGTCTGGCAGGTATCTGCACCGTTTGAGAGGGAGGAGGACAAGGAGAACTCCAGACACCCCTCACTGGCAGCTCCACCAGGAAGGATGGTGCCACTTGCAGGTTATACTCACCGCACCATCCTGATGAACCAACGCCTTCCTGAGAGGGTGGAGCTGAGGACTCTGGAAGACCCCTGGACCGGAGTTCATTCCCTGATGGTAGACGGGAGGATGACAAAAAGAGTGATCTCCACCGTCTTTGACTCTCATCAATCTGTCGTCACCAACCGCTGGAGGGTCACTGACTACTCAGAAAACGGACAGTGCCTCATGTCCGTGCTCTGTCGCTTCACAGCCAAGTCCACCCGCTGTGTTGAGAGGCCAAAGAAGAGGAAGAGGGGCCATGAAGAGGAGGGCCAGGACGGGGAGGGCAGCAGCCAGCCTCATCCAAAGAGACCAATCAGAGTGTGACTGTGTCTGTGTCACAGTCGGCCCTTGCGTCTGGCGGGGCCTCTGGAGCCCCTGGTAGCGTCTTGCGCCTGGGTTCCCTGTGGACTTGTAAATATTGAAGATACATAGTTAAGTCACCGTGGATTGTGCGTCTTGCACTTTTCTTTCTCTCTTGGCGCCTCCTGTGTGTGGGACACGGTGAACCTGCAGGAGCTCTTGGATTCACTCCTCAGAGACGAGCTCTCTGCAACAACATTTAATGACACAGAGACAGAAACACTCCAATGGCTGACCCCAAAGTGACAGGAAATCTCCCCCGACAAGGCACACTCTAAAAAAGACACACTCTCACACTGAAAAGCAACGGATACAGACAAACCCACAAAAAGGACAGAAACCAGCAGCATCTACGGCAAATTATTGAGGGCCATTCCCACAGAAACAAGGAAGGATTCCTTGATGACCACCCACAGCAAACCCATGCACATACAGGGAGAACATACAAACAGGGCACAGTAAAGTCCCTGTCTGGAGATAGAAGAAGGAGAAGACAGATTCTCACAGGCTGCATCAAAACTTGGTCTGGCTCCCTGTACAGCAAAGACACAGGTCATGAAGATAAACTCCAAATCCAGCAACCCATGAGGGACAAGTCCCCAGAGGAGGTGTAAAAGACCACATACAGTATTGTGGACACTGTGGCAGGGACAGAGGCTAAACAACGAGCTCCAGAAGATCACAACACCACGGGTCCTTGAAAAGTCTTTTTGAAAAATATGAGGAATGAATGGTTGGCAGAGGACAAAGAGGTGACTTGGCAGGTATGACATAAAGCTTTTAGATACAGGATATGTAGTGAAATATGCCACACTTGTGCAGTTTGCTCTGTTGTGTATGAGAAGAATTAAATTCTCTAGTTTTTAAACTTACATGTCCTAAATTTGATTTCAGAAAACACGCAGCAACCCTAGTTCAAAAGAGGATGAACTAGGAACATCTAAAGAAGAGGAGTCCTGGCAGAAATGTCCAGATGAGGACTGAAGTCAGGGGGTGAAGAAGGAGGGACAGCCAGTCACAGAGTAGAACCAAAAACAGACCTGTGAGTAGCAAAGGACCCAGAGCCAAGGATGCCAAGTCTTAGGAGGAACCAGACCACCCACAGCAAACCCATGCACGTACAGGGACAACATACAAACAGGGCACAGTAAAGTCCCTGTCCAGCCCAGGATTCAGACCAGGAACCTTCTTGCTGTGAGGCACCAGTGCTAACTTCTGCACCACCATGACACCAAGGTAAAACATACAACTTTTATTATTCTTATCATCAAAAGTCTGAAATGTTCGAATGATTCCCCTGGTTGTTGAAGGTCTTTACTGTTGTTTTAATTTTACCTTTAATTTGTTTTAATCAGGGAAGAGAGAAGGAGTCCAGATCAGAGATGGCCAGAGGAGACAGCGAGCACTTTGAACCATTCAAAAAAAGAGTAATTTACTTTTTTAATCTTTGGATTTACTGAGAAAACTGTTCTGCTCACTGCTGTGGTCAGTTTACTCATGTTGTATTTTATTTGTCATTTGATTTTAGAGAGGAGAAGAAACCAGACCAGATGATAGCAGACCAGACCAGAGAGGAGCTGAGGGGGCAGCCTGCATCGTAAACCATCTTCAAAAAAAAGGTAAATATATTTCATTCTAACTAGTCTTCAGTGGCCTGCCGAGCTCGAGGCATCACCTAAGTGTGCCCCCTTCTCAGGATTACCATCAAAAATAAGAAGGAGCTAACAACAATCCTCACCTTTTGACTCATTAAATTAACACAAAGACCTTTAAAAGTTTAACACGTGATTTATTGTGACAAAATAACAAAATTACGAACTAAACACAAAGCACCCACAACACAAATGAGAGGCAGCAGGGCAGCAGTTCCCCACCAAATGCCTCTCCAGACTGCAGGCAGCTCTGGGCTTTTAGACTCTCAGCACCAGGAGAGTCTGATTGTCACTCAGTGATTTCACCTGGGCAGCTATGGAGAGACAAAAGGGGAAAAATACACAGAAAACAAACACACAGCTGCAACAAAAATACGAGAAGTATATCCCAGGCCATGTTTTTTTTGTTTTGGTCAAAATTACTTCACTGTAAATATTATTATTTTACGTTTTCATTCATGTTAATTGGGAACAAGCATGCTTTTTACCATAGAAATTTTGTATCACAAATAATATCAAGGAAATAGCGTTATATTAAGGTTACAAAACACTTATCCAATAGATTTATAAATCTCCAAAATATAAGAAATTGATTACAAAGAAATGCACTTATCCAATAATGAAGAATCCGGTAACACTTAATAATAAAATTACACTATTAAGCACAATTTAAGCATTGGTTAAGCATAATTTAAGCATTAGTTAATCCTTAATTTTTCATGAATTAACCATTAATTCAGCATTAGTAATGCATTACAAAGCATTAGTAAAGACAGTTTTAAATGTTCAACTCAAACAATATTAAGCATTAGTTAAACATTAGTAAAGTGCTTAATTCAGCGTTAACTCATCATTTGCAAATAATTAGTTATACATTGCTAAGCCTTAGTAAACACAGTTATAAACGTTTTAAACTCAAACCCATTTATAATTACTTAAGCAGCAGTTGAACATTAGTTAATGCTTAATTAATCATGAATTCATGATCTGTATAGCATTTATTATGCATTACTAAGCACTTAATAAACTCGGTTATAAATGTTTTGTTGCTCATTGATAACCTGAGTTGTTGATACTTTATAAAGGCTTAGCAACTGTGTTAGTATACGTTTTACAAACACGTATTCATACTCAATGGATAACTAATTAATGCTTATTAATGCAGTTACTACTCATTAGTTACCTATTAGTTAAGTATATTCTGTGAGTCCATCTAAAGTGAGGACTATCTCTGCTTTATAAAGCATTTATAAATGACACAGAAGCAAAGATATACAAAGTCTCAGTTTTATTGGTCCCAAACATTACAAGCTCTTTTAAATACACACTTGTAAACAAATACAATCCATTATAAACATAAATAGATTACAAAAAATAAATAGATAAATAATAAAAAAATAATCAATCAATTAATTAATTAATTGATTAATAAAAATGAAAAATAAAAAAGAACAAACGAACAAAAAAAAACAACAACATAAGAGGTAACAAAGTTTAGTTTAGTTGTGAGTTTTGTATGGTTTGTGTTGTAGGGTTTGTTTGATACTGTAATGCAATGTATTTTTCGATGACCCTTGTTTTGTATAATTTATATATAATACATTCATAGAGTTTGCTGTTTTTAGTTCCTTATCCAGAGTGTTTCACAGACTTACCCCTTTGACTGAAGTGCATTTTCCTTTAGTATTAGTTCTTACTTTTATTTGATTGAATATTGTAGTGCCCCTCAGATTATATCTGGTCTCTCTTTGCTTGAACAGATCCTGCATGCAGTCTGTAAGAATATTGTAGTATGCTTTTTACATTATAAAGCAATTATAGTTAGTAATTTATTAATAGCTTGTTCATGATTTATTACCAAATTGTGAGGTATACTTATAAATCATTTACATACAGTTAACAAGTCATTTATAACTCATAAACTAACAGTTAATTAATGATATATTAACTACCTGTAAGGCATCATAATAAATCCTTAGCAAACTGTTAACAAACACTTAACAAGTCATTAATAACGTATTAATTAACAGTTTACAGATGCTATATTAACTAGTTTTAACAGATAGTTATTATAAAGTGTTACCAATTAAATATAATATTGTTACAAACTGTTAAAATGTTATTATGGTCACTCTGTAATGATTGTATATAACATGTTTATTGTGGGGGGCAACCGCCATTCCGACATCCCGCCATTCCGACATTGGTCTCTCAATGTTTTTCTCTTCTTCTCTTTCTGTCCAGCCTTTCTGCCTCTGCGAAGGCGAACCCTTCAACTGTATGTCACCAACCTGAGGAATCGTCCCTTGGAGAGCGTTAGAGTGGTGTCCTTGGGTCAAACAGTGATGAGCCTGTATCACAACCTCATCACAGGCTCCAGGGACTTCCCTGTGATACCCTACAGACCACCCACTCGTGTCTGGCAGGTATCTGCACCGTTTGAGAGGGAGGAGGACGAGGAGAACTCCAGACACCCCTCACTGGCAGCTCCACCAGGAAGGATGGTGCCGCTTGCAGGTTATACTAACCGCACCATCCTGATGAACCAACGCCTTCCTGAGAGGGTGGAGCTGAGGACTCTGGAAGACCCCTGGACCGGAGTTCATTCCCTGATGGTAGACGGGAGGATGACAAAAAGAGTGATCTCCACCGTCTTTGACTCTCATCAATCTGTCGTCACCAACCGCTGGAGGGTCACTGACTACTCAGAAAACGGACAGTGCCTCATGTCCGTGCTCTGTCGCTTCACAGCCATGTCCACCCGCTGTGTTGAGAGGCCAAAGAAGAGGAAGAGGGGCCATGAAGAGGAGGACCAGGACGGGGAGGGCAGCAGCCAGCCCAATCCAAAGAGACCAATCAGAGTGTGACTGTGTCTGTGTCACAGTCGGCCCTTGCGTCTGGCGGGGCCTCTGGAGCCCCTAGTAGCGTCTTGCGCCTGGGTTCCCTGTGGACTTGTAAATATTGAGGATACATAGTTAAGTCACCGTGGATTGTGCGTCTTGCACTTTTCTTTCTCTCTTGGAGCCGCCTGTGTGTGGGACACGGTGAACCTGCAGGAGCTCTTGGATTCACTCCTCAGAGACGAGCTCTCTGCAACAACATTAAATGACACAGAGACAGAAACACTCCAATGGCTGACCCCAAAGTGACAGGAAATCTCCCCCGACAAGGCACACTTTAAAAAAGACACACTCTCACACTGAAAAGCAACAGATACAGACAAACCCACAAAAAGGACAGAAACCAGCGACATCTACGCCAAATTACTGAGGGTCATTCCCACAGAAACAAGGAAGGATTCCTTGATGACCACCCACAGCAAACCCATGCACATACAGGGAGAACATACAAACAGGGCACAGTAAAGTCCCTGTCTGGAGATAGAAGAAGGAGAAGACAGATTCTCACAGGCTGCATCAAAACTTGGTCCGGCTCCCTGTACAGCAAAGACACAGGTCATGAAGATAAACTCCAAATCCAGCAACCCATGAGGGACAAGTCCCCAGAGGAGGTGTAAAAGACCACATACTTGGGCAGTATTGTGGACACTGCGGCAGGGACAGAGGCTAAACAACGAGCTCCAGAAGATCACAACACCACGGGTCCTTGAAAAGTCTTTCTAAAAAATACAGAAAAATATGAGGAATGAATGGTTGGCAGAGGACAAAGAGGTGACTTGGCAGGTATGACATAAAGCTTTTAGATACAGGATATGTAGTGAAATATGCCACACTTGTGCAGTTTGCTCTGTTGTGCATGAGAAGAATTAAATTCTCTAGTTTTTAAACTTACATGTCCTAAATTTGATTTCAGAAAACACGCAGCAACCCTAGTTCAAAAGCAGATGAACTAGGAACATCTAAAGAAGAGGAGTCCTGGCAGAAATGTCCAGATGAGGACTGAAGTCAGGGGGTGAAGAAGGAGGGACAGCCAGTCACAGAGTAGAACCAAAAACAGACCTGTGAGTAGCAAAGGACCCAGAGCCAAGGATGCCAAGTCTTAGGAGGAACCAGACCACCCACAGCAAACCCATGCACATACAGGGAGAACATACAAACAGGGCACAGTAAAGTCCCTGTCCAGCCCAGGATTCAGACCAGGAACCTTCTTGCTGTGAGGCACCAGTGCTTACTTCTGCACCACCATGACACCAAGGTAAAACATACAACTTTTATTATTCTTATCATCAAAAGTCTGAAATGTTCAAATGATTCCCCTGGTTGTTGAAGGTCTTTACTGTTGTCTTAATTTATCTTTAATTTGTTTTCATCAGGGAAGAGAGAAGGAGTCCAGATCAGAGATGGCCAGAGGAGACAGCGAGCACTTTAAACCATTCAAAAAAAAGAGTAATTTACTTTTTTAATCTTTGGATTTACTGAGAAAACTGTTCTGCTCACTGCTGTGGTCAATTTATTCATGTTGTATTTTATTTGTCATTTGATTTTAGAGAGGAGAGGAAACCAGACCAGATGATAGCAGACCAGACCAGAGAGGAGCTGAGGGGGCAGCCTGCATCGTTAACTTAGCCTGGCTGGGCCATCCTGTTGCGTCAGTCACTTGACGTTCCTTCCCACAACAGTCTGGACTTCGGCCCATTGGGAGCGTGTATTCCCGATCAGAAAATAACCGGGCCAATCAGAGACTGTGCTTTCACTGTTACCCGGACAACAGGGAAAGGCAGTCCCTGATTGGTCCATGTACTACTGTAACCAATCATCGTAACCAAGCATCTGTGACGATGTCAGATGATGGTTACGGTGATTGGTTACAGTAGTCTGTCTATCAAGGAAAGTACTCCCGCCCACTTTTAGGGATCCCAATGGGCCGAAGTCCAGACTGTTGTGGGAAGGAACGTCAAGTGACTGACGCAACAGGATGGCCCAGCCAGGCTATCGTAAACTACCTTCAAAAGAAAGAAAGAAAATTCTATCTTATTTACGTGTAACTGTTACATCATTCTACAAGTATCTGAAATTCTTTATTAACGTTTCTTTTTTTCTCCCAAGTTATTTGTCGATTATAGAAATGAAACAGGCCTAGATCAAACTGGAGGTGACCTGACCAGACCAGATGATAGCAGACCAGACCAGAGAGGAGCTGAGGGGGCAGCCTGCATCATAAACCATCTTCAAAAAAAAGGTAAATATATTTCATATATTCTTCACTTGTTAACTTCAATTGGTTACCAATTACAAAATATTCCTTAGTTTTCTTTTAAAATTTATTATAAAACTGTCCTAGTATTATTATTTTCTGTTCTGTTTAATATGACTTGTATTTTTTACTTTCTACTGAAAATAAACTACAGATCTATTTCACTCAACATCACAAGTAGAAAAAAAAGATTAGCTTGATGTAGTTTTCTTGTCTGTTCTTGCAGTCCTGTTTAATTTACATTCTGCCCTGTTGGTTAAGAGTTGCGATCATCTCCTTGTCTTCAGGTTTCCTATCATGTACCTCGCTGCCAGAGGTGGGGGGAACTCCCTATAATGCAAGTCCAAGTCGAGTCTCAAGTCTTTGCTGTCAAGTCCCAAGTCAAGTCCAAGTCAACACAGACAAGTCCCAAGTCAAGTCCAAGCCCTGAAGTTTTTGTTTCGATTCCCAACCAAGTCCTTGTCCAATATAAAGAAGCCTTAAGCAGAAATGCACCTCCACATAATCCTGCAATAAATAATTCTGTGTTCTTTTGCCAAGATCATATTTTTCTAGTAATCATTTTCTTGTGGGAATGATTTTCAGTCGATCTTAAGATTAAAACAACAAACAACAACATGACCTGCTGCCACCAGTCACAGTTACATGTTAAGCCCAGAGACTATTTACTAAAATGGACGCTATAAGTGTTTACAGACTGTGAAGTCTAAATATTCAGAGCTCCCCCTACTGGCTGTCTGCAGAATAGGTCATAAGGTCCGCCTCCTTAATGTTACCAGAGATGTTTGTTGTCATTATAGCTATGCAGATTTATGTCCAAGTGCTTACTTTTCTGAAGGTTGGTTTGAAGTTGTTATTTGATTGATTAATTGAGATCCAACCAAAAATGGCTATATAGCGCCCCCTACAAAATTTTAAAATGCAAGCCTTGCTCCTGTGTGTGACCCAAACCTATGGAATCAATGACGTTTATGTTGGACCGCAAAACAAACAAAAAAGGGTTCCAGTGTAAAAAAGGAGATCCAACTAATATTGGCTCCATGGCGCCCCTACAAAAATTCAAAATCTAAAGCATGCCCCTGTGTGACCCAAACCTATAGAATAATAACACTTATGTTGGACCCCAAGACGAACAAAAGGGGGAGGTGGTCCACAGAGGTGGTGGCGTGACACTGCTCGGGCCTGTTGGTGCCCTGTCAGGTGCTAGTTTCATTATTTATTCTGTAAATATACAGAGTTTATTTTATAATTTATTTTGTTTAATATACAGTTTACTTTATTATTTATTCTGTTAAATATACAAAGTTTATTTTTATTATTTACTTTATTAAATATACAGGGTTTATTTATTATCTATTGTATTAAATATACAGGGTTTATTTTATAATTTATTTTGTTTAATATACAGAGTTTATTTTATTATTTATTCTGTTAAATATACAAAGTTTATTTTTATTATTTACTTTATTAAATATACAGGGTTTATTCATTATTTATTGTATTTAATATACAGGTTTTATTTTATAATTTATTTTGTTTAATATACAGAGTTTATTTTATTTATTCTATTAAATATACAAAGTTTATTTTTATTATTTACTTTATTAAATATACAGGGTTTATTCATTATTTATTGTATTAAATATATAGGGTTCGCTTGCCGTAGTATAGGTCATAAACTCTGCCCCCTCAGTGGTGGGACAAAAATCAGACTTTAAAATCCAAACGCAAGTAAAGGTTCTGTAATGTCGATTCTGGCATCATGGTTTGTCCAGATTTAAGTCAGCATGGTAGGGAGTTTATTAAAATGTTTGGGTAAAACCTTTTGGTAGTGTTAATTTGTAGTCAATTTACAGGAAATTCAGCATAATTTACGGCAAATATGTGGTAGATTCACTGTGAATGTATTTATAATTTACAAAAGGCTCCTTGTAAATGGATGGTAGGTTAAGCCTAAATTTATGTCAGTTTGTTGTTTGTAGTAAATTTACAGTGTGGACATGGTAACTTTATTGTAATCAGTCTTGATATACAAAATCTTTATGGGTTAAACTCATGATAGGTTCACAGTAGATTTATGGCTGGTTCAGTTTAAAATTCAAGATAAGTTTTTGGTAAATTTACAGCTCATGGTATATCTATTTTTACAGTAATATTCTGCTTATTTTATACTGCATTATGGTACATTTTTGGTTTCGTAGGGTAGATTTATGGAAAACCTTGGTAAGGTTGTGTTAAGATTATGGTAAGCTTATGGTCAATTTTTGATGTGCTAACAATTTTTATTGTAGGGTATGTTTAAGGTTTATTACCTGTTATATGATTGTGAAAAAAAGTGTAGACTCTCTCACAACAACACAAATATACAATGGCACATAATTCACTGACATAACTGTGCAATAACACAAATCCATTCAAAAATCTGAAAATAATAGCACTGTTGTTGTTGTTTTAAATCTATAACAACAATTTTTTTATTGTAAAATGATGAAGATCGAACATGGGCTGAAAGTCAATAAAAGTTTGTTTTTATCTGTTCCATCATAGACACAGCTGAAGTTTACAGGATCATTTTTCTTTATCACAGCAAAAACACTTACAAACACAGTCACACCTGCAGGAAGGAGCTGGTACTGATGTTACCCGGCTGGTTTCTAAACACTTTACATCAACACAGGCTTACAGAGGTCATATCATTAATCAACACAAAACAAAATTCATCATAAACAACAAAAATATGGAGATAATCCCAAACACCCACCTACCTACAGCTAAAAGAAAAAAAAAATGTCCAGCTCACACACTTAAACGACTGTGGAGGAGCACTATGATTTTCAGTATTTACACAGTGAGAACAACAGAGCGGTCTACCATGGATTGAGTTTGACAGGCTAAGGCTGTCTTGAAACTGGATCAGACCCCAAAGCAGCAGTTAGAGATTGCCTGTGCTACACACAGGAATTGTGTTGGCTGCGGGACAGCCTCATCTTCTGTCTGTGTCTTGAAATGACAACTTTTGGATCCTAACTACTTTTTAAATCAAGGACAGTTTACTGTGATTTTCAACAGTACAGTCATCTGAACATACTAGACTGGAAAATAAGTTGTCATTAATCGTCACTGGTTTAATTTTTTCCCAAAACTGTCTGAGTCTGGTAAACCACTACGTTCTGCATTTTGAATTTTACAGCAGCCATTTAAGTTAGGGTTCAAGTGAGGGTCATGGTTAACTAATGAGATCTGCCCAGCTGACAACCCTCAGTGCTCACCAAATGTGTTGACCAGGGGCCTATTCTCACAGTCTCTGCTCAACCCCCTGTAAATCTAGTTTTACCTGCTACAGCTCAGTTTCTGTAAACTTGCTCTGTCTCTGCACACCTGTATAAACTCTGTCTTCTCTGCAGCTCTGGGTTGGTTTAAGTTGAGTTTCTCACAATAACCTGTAAACTGTGGCTGCAGGAGTTTGACCAGTGTGTGAGCAGCTGATCTAAACTGACCTGGAATCTTCCAAAACAAAAGCTTTCAGGCTTCCTACCTGTCCGGGTACCTCTTCTCCTCCTCCTTCTCCTCATGTTGGCCGCTATGAGACACTCTTCTACTGCATGAGCCTCAGGACCTCCCGGTTGCATGTGTAGTTGGGCGGGGCTTACTATGTGGTACAACTGATTACAGTCCTGTTAGCCAATAGAAGAGGGGAGAGTGTGTAAATCCTGTGCTGCATTTACTGACACACAAACAACATGAGCGCTTACAGCTAAATGACAGGCTAACTGTTTACTCAGGATTTACATGATTATAATGACCCGCTTTTCCCATTTGAGAGAGCTCAGTCAGCTGCAGTTCAGTCAGTGAGCAGCAGAGAGCAGCACCCTAGCAGATTAAACCAACAATATACAGCACTATACCCGCTGAGTTTTCCTGTGATTTAAGGTCATTCTTATATTATTATAAAACGAATAATCGGGTTTAGTGAATCAAAAGCAGCAGCGCCCTCTGCTGTCCATAAAAGCATACGGCACCTAGTACCAGTATTCTGTCTGACGCACAGCGTTAAGCATACAAACTGTGGTCTGACAGTCAGACATGAACATCAGCCTTACTGACATTAATAACATAAAACTAGAGTTAACTACTATTAGGCCTGCTGACTGTAATCACATTAAATTAATTTAACATTGTCCATAATTACTCATATCTTAACCCTGTAAACTGAATTCATTTTGTTTCACCATTACATGATCTGTTGTTGTTGTTGCTGTTGTTTCTGCTGTCCCTGTCTCTCTCTCACCCTCATTCTCTACTCTCCCTCCCTCCCACTCCCTCTCCCTTACTCATTCTCTCTCTCCTTACCCTTATCTTGTTCTCTCTCTCTCCCCCTGCCCTCTCCCCTCTTCTCTCTCTCCCTCCATCTCTCTACATTCCTCCCCAACCCAGCAGGTGCATGGTGGCTGTCTAACATAAGTCTGGTGCTGCTCAAGGTTTCTGCCTGTTAAAAGGAAGTTGTTTTCTTGCCACTGTTGCTCATGTTAGATGAGATGGGCCAAAACCCATCTTAGGTTGGTTCTTGATAATTCATCAAACAATGAGCGTGATCTAGACCTGCTCTTGTTCTTTGAAAAGCGTCTTGAGATGACGACTGTTGTGAATTGGCGCTGTATAAATAACATTTGATTGATTGATTGAGTCAGATAGTCAATGATCCAGGACACAAGAGGCCTCCACCTGCATCACTTTCAGCTTTTCTTCCAGTAAAGCCAGCCTGATGGTGTCAAAAAACATATTGCCCATAGGTGTGAATGTGAGTGTGGATGGTTGTTCGTCTCTATATGTCAGCCCTGTAATGAACTGGCGACTTGTCCAGGGTGTCCCCTGCCTTCACCCGAAGATGCTGGGATAGGCTCCAGGCGACCCTAGGAATGGGAATAAGTGGTAGAAAATGGATGGATGGATCACAAAGACCTATGAGTTTACATAAACATGAAACATGAAACTTTTTGCTGGCAATAAGTTTCATGCACTGCGCTTTACCCAAGGCACAAAACAGACAAAGGATTGATAACCTGAAGAAAAAGAAAATCAAGGGAAGCGGCAAAGAGTGAGCCCCATCTTAAAATAAATTGTAGATAGGAAATATCACTTATTTAATAAATATAGACGCACAAACAAATATTTTTTTCGCCTGGCTGTACATGCAGGATAGCCTACAAAGAATCAATACGGGCATTTGGTCCACCACATTTGTATCTGCAAATGCACCCCCACTCAATACAACAACAGAATAATAAAAGAAAAAATAAAATCATAAAAAGCTTCAATATTTCTAGTTCACAGTTATTAGGCCACATATTTCTATGTAAGTTAATGAGTCTTTTTGTAAGGCTACTATTTATTGTATAGGCAGCAAAAACACAATAAAAGAGGGAAAACAGTTTGGAAGTCAAAAATAGTCTAAGATGAGCCATGCTAGATAATTAAAGATTAAATGGTTTTCATTTAGTCCAGTTTTTAGATTAGATTAGATTAGATTGAACTTTATTAAGAAGGTTCCCTTAGGGGAAAAAACAATTTTAAGACGTCTCTGAGACATCTCATAACCTATTTTTGTGTGGTAGCCTATATACCTTTTTTATTTGATGTAATTTATATAGCCTGCTTTATATATCCAGACTTATGGGGACATTTGCCCACACACACACAGAGACACACACACACACACACACACACATTGATCCTTGCAGGAGTGAAAATGTCCCTCACAGTGCACAGCAGAAAGAGCTGTGTAAAACCTTAAGTGATGATGCTGTGTGATGGTTCAGCCACTAGAGGGCAGCAGTGTTAAGGGTTTAATCTCAGAGCAGAACAAAAAGAGAGAAGCTCGGTCATAAACAGAGTACGATTCCAGGATGGTAAGAGAACAACACGGTGAGAAATGACCTTTATTGAGCTTAATGTCCTGAGACTGTGCCGAGTATGAAGAAGTAAAAAAAGAGTGAATTCACTTTGTTAGTCTGGACATGTAGTCAGGCAGTGAGTCAAATTCAATCTAAATCAGTGCTGAAGAAAAGCAAACTCTGTTGACGCTTTAAAAACACACCATAATAACTATTTTATTATCTTGTTTTAACCAAATAAAATCTGTGTAAATATGTTTCTATTTTAATATTGTCTGATAAAAATTTATTGTTTGTTTTTATGCTGGCATGTGCACAACCTGTGTCTGTTTCTATGAAGCACCCGAGGGCGAATCTTTTTCTTTTATAATGCAACTTTAACTTGAACACAGATATATAAAAAATAAAAAGAGACATATTTATAATTAACCTCTTTAAACACTTAACAGATTACATAAATAATTTTGCTTTCTTAGTGATACACATTTCCCCATTTCTTAATCTCGTTTCTCTTTTTCTACCACCAACAATCTCTTTTCTGAATATGAATTAATTACAAACTATCAAATCTATCATTAGCATTGACATGTCTGAAGGTATCTCCTCCCTTAAAACCTCAAACTGAGCTGAAACCACACCACAACTCCACCCAGCTGTCAATCATTTCACTGCAGGGGCTGATGGGAGATCTGTCAGAGGACCTGTTAGAAAGCAGGTGTCCTCGTCTGATCTCAGAGCGTCACTTCTCCTCAGGATCACCAGAGGAAACACCGACACACAAAATGCTTCTCCTCCCAGCTGCTGCCCTGTACTGTCTGTGTTCAGGTGAGTGTTTCAATCAGCCAATCAGGAGCCAGCAAACTCAACCTTTACCAAACACCGTCTCACTCACCTGCTTCACCTGTGTGTGTGTGTGCAGCTCTGCTTTCAACAGCAGAAGTTCTGATCCAGGAGGATTTAACTCTGACCAGGAGAGAAGGAGAACAAGTCTCCTTCAGCTGTGATCAAACTGACCAATGTTCTGGTTACTATGTATACTGGTACCAGAAGAAAGACTCAGACACATTCAGAAGGATTCTTCGTAAAAGCAGGAGTAGGGGTGCACTAGATAAACGCTACAATCATCCTCAGGAAGATGATTTCTCAGCTGTGAAAATTCAGAACAGCTGGGGTTTGCAGATCCAGACAGTTAACGTCTCTCATTCAGCCACCTACTACTGCTCCTGTCAGAAATTTGATTCCCACAGTGAGAAATGAAGAGAGCAGGCTGAACAAAAACCAAGAAATGAAGAGAAAACCACAGACAGAGTCACAGACACACTGAACTGAGAGACTCCTGTATTCACTGCTGTCAGGGTGTTATTATAGATCTTTGAGTTCATTTAGTTATTATATATATATTTTTAATCAAAACTGTATTTGCAGGTTTATTGTTGTTCCTCAAAGTAAAGAACAAAGTGAAAGAAGCTGACAGTTACCTGTCTGAAAGAAAAGGAGATGAAGCCTTCAGTGAAACTGTCAGTACATTACATGACACTCGAGAAAACTGAATTATCGCCTTATTCCGATTAAGACCAGACAACTGAAGTGCATGTAAACACCTTAGTGCGACTATAATCAGAGTTTGAGAACTTCGATAATAGTCGGAGAACTCTGATTCAGACACTCAGATCACGTGATTGGAATTCGATTTTCTCTACCATGTAACCAGCGTAGTCAGAGTATGATCGGACAATGCATGTGAGGCTGGGCCACGCCTCCGAAACCACGAAATAAAAACACCAGAGAAGAAGCGGCGCTATCATTTAAAGAACTTTCAACTCAGAAGCAACGAAAGAATGTCCACTTTTGGAACGACGAGGAGAGCGCCGTTATGCTTTCCGTCCTGACAGAAATTGACATTTTAAAGTATATGGACGGTTGCAAAACGAGGAACAGAGACATCTTTAAAAAAGGTCCAGAAACAGCACAGCTGTCAAGACCGATATCGCCCCCTACCTTTTGGGGAGGAGGACACGTTCACATCAGTAATTCAGTTTATCAGCGGACAAGGAGAGAAGTCTGATTCACCAAAAATACAAATTGTGAGCTTAGTCCGAATAAACTGTGCATGTAAACGTACTGAGTGACTCAAATCAATCAATGACACAAATCAATCAATGACACAAATCGATCAGGACTGTGTGAATGTGCAGATCGCTGCAGTCCGTCCCACCACCATAGCTGTGTGGACCAATGACAGTAGAGAGGTGTCCTTTCTCTGATGTTCATAGAAAGTTCGTCCATGTTCCCTGTGGGAGCTCTGCCAGTGTTAGCTGCTGTTAGCCACCAGCGCTAGCTTTGTATACAGGAAGTAGTGTCCAAAAAAAGCAAAGATCCGTCTGCACTTCCAGTTTGAGTTTCAATGAAAGAGTTCTTCCTCAGACTCCAAGAAACTGGCAAACACAACAGCCAGGAGTCATGGTCCAGAAGAGTCCATTAGGTCTGACTGGGATTGTAGACTGTCCAGTACAGAGAGACCTTTATTGTAATGACGGTTCACATCCAACCATGACCACGAGGGGAGTCATGGTGACCTGTACAAACTGGAAATGAAGAATGAACAAGGACTAAGTGAGGCCTGTTGGTCCCTGTTTGGAGGACAATGGTCTGCCACCCCAGATTGAGAACCTCAGCCTGGTGAGCACATGTGGACTGGTGTTTTGGGGAAATGAAGGGGTAGCTACAGCTTGGTCTGCACGACCACAGCTGAGGACCTTTTTGGAAGCAGTATGGCAGGGGAGTGGGCAAGGCTGGACCTGACAAATCCAGAAGTCCCTGGTCCTCTTCTTTCCAGGCCTTCTGACTCCAGACCTTCTTTGGTTCTCTGGGATCATGTTCCTCCTGAACAGAAGGTCCCAGAGTGTGAACCAGAGATGCCTAACCTAAAAGACTCTCCTGAGTCTGCAGAAGTTTCTGGAGAATGAGCGGTCATGGTTGAGTCTCTAGGCTGAGTTAGTGCTAACCAAGGCTGACCCAGGACTGCTGCACCTATCAGGGGTAACCTGGTAGGTCTTCTGATGGGGCACCACCTACTTGATCATGTGGATGTTGATCTGGTTCTATCAGCAGAATGTATCTACCAGAGCTTTCTTCAGGGAGTGAGGCGGAGCCATCACCACACAACAGACACCGACCCTTATTACTGACCTTTGCCCTGCCAAGGTCTGCCTTCCTCTGCTGCCCCAAAGAAGAGGTGAGAATACTTTACACAGTCCAATGGAGATGAGGTCTCATCGGGATAACGAGGCTATGCAGGTCTTTGTGTCTGACAGGGTTCCTGTACTTTTGGACTCTGAGCAGGGAAGATCTCAGAGGGAACGGTTTAGGAAGTGTTCTTCTTTCAGGACCAGACTCAAAGTGAACACCATGTTTGTACATCTACAGCAAACGAGGCGAATAATGAGAAAGAAGAGCATTGAGTTCATTCAGAAGAATTAATGGAGAAGAAGAAGAAGAAGAAGAAGAAGAAGAAGAAGAAGAAGAACTTGATGTTCCATACATCCACAGATCTAAAGAGGCTCAAAGAAGAGACAGTCATGTTGATGTGGACTTTAGAGAAAGTGATCCTGGATCTGAAACATGATCCTGGTTCATCATCTGAATCACTCAGCTGCTCTCAGGTTTTTGTACCACTGTTTCTCACTGTGGGATTCTACATTGACGGCTACCTCATCTTCGGCTCTGGGACTAAACTGATTGTAACAGGTAAGAACAAAAACTTTATCTTTATTGTTTGAACTGATTTATAAAACCTCAAAATCTCTCCACAAATCTGAAGTTATTGATGAATTTCTGATAAATCTGAGTTTGATATGAAATGTTGAGACAGTGTCACCTCTATATTTGGTCCTCTCTGTGAGTCAGAACCATCATTTCTTTATTTATAATGTTAAGACGGTCAAATTAACCTCATGTCAATTATATCAATATGAGGCACCAAAAACCTTTGTGTGGGAATATTTGTACAAGTAGACAGATACTCAATATTATCAACTAATATTTACAATAAATGTGATTTAATCTGGATCTATGGATAAACTATAGAAGCGTTTATATTTAAATATGTAAGGAAATGTTATTATTTATTATTGTCTGTAAATGAAGCTAAAAAATGAGATTACAGTCAAACACATGGAGGATGGTACAGAGGTATGAAGAGTCTGAGTGTTTGTACAAATTATTATATTCAAACAGGATTAATGATCTTACCCTCATTATATTATATTATATTAAATGTAATGCAATTCCTTTTCATCAGTAATGTAGAATAATACATAAATTACTGATATAATGATTAATCACTTTCTAAAAAGAGCTGAATGCTCAGACCTACAACCTAAAAATGTAGAAGATCATGTAAGGACTAAAATCACCATTCAATTCTCTGAGAATAAAAATGTGTGTATATTATGGACAAAGTATTTTAAAGTTTATTGAAAACAGTAATAAAGTTGTGATTCAGCTTTGTTGTAATTAAATAGTATTTGTAGTTTTATAACTGTTTCAATGATTTTAATTTTTGTGAGTTATAGAAAGTCAGAAAATGTTGTTCAAGACTTTAGAGTGTGTGTGTGTGTGTGTGTGTGTGTGTGTGTGTGTGTGTGTGTGTGTGTGTGTGTGTGTGTGTGTGTGTGTGTGTGTGTGTGTGTATCAGAAAAGCCCGTGGTGAAGCCCGTGGTGAGTGTGTACCCGGCAGCATCCAGAGCCCAGCTGGAGGGGAAGAGCTCCCTGCTGTGTGTGGCCTCAGACATGTTTCCTCCTCTGGTCCAGATCTCCTGGAGAAGACGGGAGGAAGACGGTTCTCTGAAGGAGCTGTCCTCTGCTGGAGGAGAGCAGCTGGAGCTCAGAGAGTCTGGACGCACCGTCTCCATCCTGATGATCCCTCAGAGGGAGAACAGAACAGACAGATACCTCTGCACGGTGCAGCACGAGGGGGGCAGCGTGGACACTCACACTGAACAAGGTCCAGAAAGCTGGGTGTCTAATTCAGCTTCATTAGATTGGAGATGGTGGAGCAGAGGACTGACCTTTCTTTTACTCTTTGTCTCTAACAGAAGTTCCTGCAGCTCCTGAAACCTCCTGTCCTCTAGAGAGAGAGCCGACTGAGCCGTCAGCCCTGCAAGAGACCGACTGTAAGAATCAGGACAACTTTCTGAACCCTCAGAGGGAAGTTCAGGCACTGCTTTAAAACAGGAGAGAGAATAAGGGGAAAAACAGGGAATATAAACACACACAGGAAATATTTCAAATCAAATCAGTTCTACATGCAACGCAATTTCACAACACAAGATATATACAGAGAAAGGAAACAGGAGCAGACAGTTTGCACTCTTGATTTAACGCACAGTCAAAGACAGATGACAAATATTTACATCCAACAAGTTTCTACAAAACACAGTAACAAATAATCTGAAAATATGAAGTTAATGTTCATGATATTTCAATCCACAATATGACACTATCACTTTAAAGCTCCTGTGAGGGTTTTTTACTGGTTAGGAAACCGTTTGAAACTAATGCTGCTGCCTCTTTAGGACCTTATAACAGTGTGTGTGTGTGTGTGTGTGTGTGTGTGTGTGTGTGTGTGTGTGTGTGTGTGTGTGTGTGTGTCAGTGTCCTTTGAGTGCAGGGTGAAGCTGCTGTCAGTCCTGTACTCTCTGCTGATCCTGAAGAGTCTGGTGTACTGCTGTGGACTCTCTCTGCTGACCATCTTCACTAACAAGCCACCGTCCATCAGCTGATGTGCTGACTGACTGTTTCCTGCTCGCCGCTTCTCACCGCCAAACCTCAGCAGCTCGCCGCTTTCTTCAAGATTTGCTAACAAGCTACAAATCTAGAGCTTAGAACATGTTCATACAAGTTCCTGCAGTTTTAAAGACGTCAACGTAGAAAGAAAATAAAAGTAAAAATCATATGGCGTCAAATAGATTTAGTTTTATTTCTGCTTGATTAACTGTAATTTGATAGGACAGAAAAATGTAAGCTTTCTTAAAGTTATTTTTTCTTTTGTTTTCCAGTTTTTATTTTCCTTGAATTATTCAAAACGTGGTCAGATTTGTCCAACATTTTACTGTGTAAATTTTTCAAATAAACTCTCAAAATTCCAGAGTTTTATTTTGTTTTTGTGAATCTAGTTTTGGGTTTAAAGCAAATAATACAGAAACACATGATCGTTTCTATTGACTGTGTTTGTTTTCAGAAACAAGAGATAAAAATCTGACTGTCAACAATTTTATGACCAAGAACAAAAACTGAAAAAAAACAAAAAAACAAAAACTGAGTTTTCATTAAACCTGAAATATGAAGAAAAAAATCAGGCAGTACAAAAAAATTTAAATCATACTGTTTTCAAAATTAAATCAAAATATTAAAGAGAAAATGTTGATTTTCATTTTCAGTTTTTTATTTCATATTCTAAGAGCCGTGAAAATTTAATACCACACTAACACACTGACTGTCCTCTGTCCTTTATGGATCTTCTTGTATTTTAATTTATTTTATTTTTATCAAGATAGTTTGATGTTTTCAGTTTTTATTAAATAATACTTTTACAGGCTCTTTTGGTTCGACAAGTATACTACATTATACAACTGCTAAAACAGATAAAATCTAATAAAAAGTCCAAATACAATAAAAATATATGGATGCTGAATTTAAATCTTTAAGTCACATTACATTTAAAGTAGCTCCCAGTTTACTTCACTTATGTGTGATGAAAACCTTAAATTTACATGAATATAAATAAACATTTTCAAACCACGTCTGAGTCAGATAAAAAAGAGTAAACATCAACTTAAAGCTGAACTTAACATGCCCCCGTGTGTTTGTACCATCAGGTTTAATGCTGTCTGCTGTTTCTGATGGTCTGAGTGTAAAAGTAAAGCTCTACGCTGATGATACTGTTCCCTGTTTATATCATTAAAAAACAGGGCTGATGTTGAATTCTGTTTGATTACGCATTTATAGATTTCATCAGCATTTTAAAAGGTCACCCATGAAGCTAAATATCTTCAACTCATTGTTCCTCTTCTTCCTTATTACCATAAAACTAAAATATCTCAAATGAAGACTTTCAACTAAATCAAAACAAATAAATATGTTCTCTTAATTTAATGGTTTAATTTATCAACCTGCTTTATTTTAAGAAGCACAGCTAGTACAGAAAAGTGAGAGTCGTGTTGATGAAATGTACGGACACCCTCTTTACTGTAAGTTAATAGGTGTTGAAAATAAGAATTACATTTATTGTGGGGTATGTTTACATATACATTAAACCTTTTTCGGGTTACTAATGCATTTTTGTAAAACAGGGAGCTGTAGTATATATATGCCACTTTTTCTAATAGTGCAAGTGTGGAAGTAAAGCTCTACACTGATGATACTGATCTTTATCTACACGAACAGAAACATCAAACAATTATAAATAACCAGAGCTGATGCATGTTTTCTAACTTGGTTTGAGCTCCTCAGCTCTGAGTTCAAAGTTGGAAATGTTTCTCTCCTTGAATCACAAACAAAGGTCAAAGGTCAGACTGAATTCTGAGCACTGAAATCAAACTGAATATCCTGAATGAAGCTGTGAGCAGGGTGGGTGGTTGTAACTGTCATTGTGTTATTAAAGGGAAAAAGCTGAGCTAACGGTTAGAGCAGAAAGCCACACAGATCATCTCTCTCTGCTGCAGGAAGGAAGTGTTGATCTGCTAGAAACAGGTTTTTATCAGCCCTAATAACCACCTACAACAGACGCATATCTGCTGCTGCTGCTGCACACGCTGAGTGACTGACAGCTCCGACTTTAAACACCTCTTTGTCTTTTCTTACCTACACAACTCATCTCAAAGACCAGTAATCTAAAATAAGCAACACGATCCTAAAGATCAGAGCCAGGTTGACTGTAGGATGAGAATAATATGTACTGAAACTGACTTGGTGCAAAAATCATGAACACAGCAGTAAATTTTTAAAAAATAGAAAACTAAACAGTTGCACTCTGACTCTGGTCTTATTCTGAGGGACTCAATCAGAATAAAATAAAAACAAAGAAAAGTAACTGTTGGAGGGTAAATGCGATGGAAGAAAAACATCTGAATAAATGTGGGTGAGAATTTGTTTTTTATAATAGAATAAAACAAAAATTGGACTTTTTTCTGCTGACAATTCATCCTCATGATAAAATATTAAGACAGAAACACAGATTTTGTTTTTCTTCTTTTTTAATTTTTTCTTCTTCTCAACTTATTTATATATTACATTTTTACAAGCATTTTTGTTTAAATCGTAAATACAATAAAAGTAGATTTTGAGCATTAAATTAACTTCAGTTTTCAGAAAAAGAAATTTAAAAAGGAAATAAAGAAAAAATACAAAAACATTTAGAAACAGTTTATAGTGAAAAATCAGTTGAAGTAAAAAAAAGCAATATATAAAGAAATAAAAGATTAAAAATGTGTAAAAATAAGTCTGTTAATCCTAATAGAAACACAAGTTGTAAAAAAATAAAGAATCTATTCAGCAGATTTAGTCAAATTCAGACCGACTTATAAATCTGTACAGTTTAGATTAAATCAAACCCAATTTTTAATGTAAAAATAAACTGAAGCCAAAAGCATGGAGATAATCCAATCAAATATTCTGTTTTTATTATTTATAAAAAGTAATTTTATTGTTTTAGAAAAGACTGGAAGATTTTTCTTCTGTAACTCTCATGTGGAGATTTTAATAGTCACTCTTGGTTATGATCATATTTTTTTTTCATTTCATTTTATTTCACGGTGACCAGAATTTTATGGATGATACTGATGTAGTTTCATCTGAAGGCATATTTTACATCATTAACAAAATCACTGACAGCATCATCATTGTTTTTATAATTATCATTACTGTATCTGATTCATTATCTGTTAAGGTGATAATTTTATTATACTTTGGGAAAATTATATTTTAGATAGATAGATAGAGAACTTTATTAATCTTTTATTAAAACCTCTGTGTTATCTCGTTTTTTTAATCAGTTTTAGCTTAAAATCAACTCTCTCTGCTGTCTGTTCATGAGATAACGAACAGTGTCCTCAGCATAGAGCTTTACTTTCAAACTGACATGTTAGAAAAAGTAGGCTTTATAAAATTTAATCTCATATTTTAAACATGAACTAAAGTAATCCTGTTCACTGTTCAGAATTATATTATTCTAAGTATTTACCAAAATGTACCAATAACACTAACACGTTTCTTTCCTTTGTGTAAATTTAATCCACTAAGTAGGAAAAACAGCAGGTTGTTACAATAAAATCACAATAATTTTATTCAAAATAATCAATTAACTGAGTTTGAGCTGCTGCAGGTTTTCATTTTGAATTGTTGTTAATTTTACAAGAGGAAAAGGTCAATAGTGAGTTTGAGATATTAGTCTTTTTACATTTCAACATTTCAAAAACAAAACCTTTAAATGTTTGAACAAAGAAGTTTGGACATCAGCTCTGTCTGCTGTTTGTTCACGTAGATAAAGAACAGTATCATCAGCGTAAAGCTTTACTTTCACAATGACACCATTTGAAAAAGGAGACAGCATTAAACCTGGAGGTAAAAACACACTGAGATGTTTATTACAGCTTTGAGTTTATGTTTGCTTATTTTTGTTGTCAGTTTAAGTTGTTTGATCAAATTTAAAAAAGTAATTATTGTTATTTTCTGCTCAGTTAATATTGAGAGCTTCAAACCACCAAAATCAAATAACTTGTAGATTAAATTAAAAAATCTGATCCTGATTTTATTTGTTGTGAATAATTTAAAGCAACATAAATAACAATGGCAATACAACAAAAACTCTCAAAAGATTTTTAAGTTTATTGAAAAAGTTGCAAAACAGAAAAATTGAAAAAACAAACCAACAAAAACAGATAAATGTGGCGCTCTGCACATGTACTGAAATACATGTTTAACATTAAGTGAAGCATAATCATGTTATGGTAATTTTTTTACACACATGACATTGTATTTTAATGGGAACAAAGTGAATAACAGTAAAATATATACAGTATAATTTGGAATTTGAATATATCGTACCTGTTTGTATGTTCTTATTAAACTTAAATCAATATGTATGACAATAAAACCACAGCATGTTTGACTCTACATTTATACCTGCTGAATGAGTCTGAGACAGATGTGAGCTGCTGAGGTTTGGCGGTGAGAAGCGGCGAGCAGGGAACAGTCAGTCAGCACATCAACTGATGGACGGTGGCTTGTTAGTGAAGATGGTCAGCAGGGAGAGTCCACAGCAGTATACCAGACTCTTGAGGATCAGCAGAGAGTACAGGACTGACAGCAGCTTCACCCTGCACTCAAAGGACACTGACACACACACACACACACACACACACACACACACACACACACACACACACACACACACACACACACACACACCTCTGTTATTCACAACTCTTTGTCCTATTGGTACTTTATTCATACAGGAGTCATTTATCAGGTGTGTTCCTGCAGTTTTCTCTATTCAAAAATAAAAATTTTACATCAATTGAAAAACTTTCAAAAAGCCACTGATGGCCCAAACCATCCAGTTCTGCCTCTGTGTGTAAAAAAGAGGCTCTAGAACTGATCCTTGTGGTACACCTCAGATAGTATTAATAGTTGGAGAAGAGTGATAACATTTGGTGACTAAGAAGGTTTTTTTAAAAGTAAAAACATGTTAATCTTACCGCCATACTGCTGAGGAAGAGCTGGAAGGTCTGTGAGCTCTGTCTCTGGAGGACCAGAGGTCAAGGCAGCAGGAGCTTCTGTTGGAGACACAGCGTCTCCGGTACGTTGTACTGTTGAATCCACTCTTCCCCCCTCATGTTTCACTAAGCAGATGTATTTATCAAGGTTGTCCTCTCTTTTATGAATCTTTAAGATGGAAGCGGTGCAGTTAGACTCTCCGAGCTTAGATATCTCGCTGTCAGCAGAGGACAGCTCTTTCAGAGAACCGTCTTCCTCCCGTCTTCTCCAGGAGATCTGGACCAGAGGAGGAAACATGTCTGAGGCCACACACAGCAGGGAGCTCTTCCCCTCCAGCTGGGCTCTGGATGCTGCCAGGTACAAACTCACAAAAATTAAAATCATTGAAACAGTTATAAAACTACAAATACTATTTAATTACAACAAAGCTGAATCACAACTTTATTACTGTTTTCAATAAACTTTAAAATACTTTGTCCATAATATACACACATTTTTATTCTCATAGAGTTTAATGGTGATTTTAGTCCTTACATTATCTTCTACATTTTTAGGTTGTAGGTCTGAGCATTCAGCTCTTTTTAGAGAAGTGATTAATCATTATATCAGTAATTTATTTATTATTATACATTACTGATAAAAAGGAATTGTATTACATTTAATGTAATATAATATAATATAATATAATATAATATAATGAGGATAAGATCATCAATCCTGTTTCAATATAATAATTTGTACAATCACTCCGACTCTTCATACCTCTGTACCATCCTCCATGTGTTTGACTGTAATCTCATTTTTTAGCTTCATTTACAGACAATAATAAATAATAACATTTCCTTATATATTTAAATATAAACGCTTCTATAGTTTATCCATAGATCTAGATTAAATCACATTTATTGTAAATGTTAGTTGATAATATTGAGTATCTGTCTACTTGTACAAATATTCCCACACAAAGGTTTTTGGTGCCTCATATTGATATAATTGACATGAGGTTAATTTGACTGTCTGAACATTATAAATAAAGAAATGATGGTTCTGACTCACAGAGAGGACCAAATATAGAGGTGACACTGTCTCAACATTTCATATCAAACTCAGATTTATCAGAAATTCATCAATAACTTCAGATTTGTGGAGAGATTTTGAGTTTTTATAAATCAGTTCAAACAATAAAGATCAAGTTTTTGTTCTTACCTGTTACAATCAGTTTAGTCCCAGAGCCGAAGATGAAGTAGTCGTAGACTCCCACAGTGAGAAACAGTGGTACAAAAACCTGAGAGCAGCTGAATAAGTAAGATGATGAACCAGGATCATGTTTCAGATCCAGGATCACTTTCTCTAAAGTCCACATCAACATGACTGTCTCTTCTTTGAGCCTCTTTCTGGACTCCAGCAGATCTGTGGATCTATGGACCATCAAGTTCTTCTTCTTCTTCTTCTTCTTCTCCTTCTCCATTTATTCTTCTGAATGAACCCGATGCTCTTCTTTCTCATTATTCGCCTCGTTTGCTGTAGATGTACAAACATGGTGTTCACTTTGAGTCTGGTCCTGAAAGAAGAACACTTCCTAAACCGTTCCCTCTGAGATCTTCCCTGCTCAGAGTCCAAAAGTACAGGAACCCTGTCAGACACAAAGACCTGCATGGCCTCGTTATCCCGATGAGACCTCCTCTCCATTGGACTGTGTAAAGTATTCTCACCTCTTCTTTGGGGCAGCAGAGGAAGGCAGACCTTGGCAGGGCAAAGGTCAGTAATAAGGGTCGGTGTCTGTTGTGTGGTGATGGCTCTGCCTCACTCCCTGAAGAAAGCTCTGGTAGATCCATTCTGCTGATAGAACCAGATCAACATCCACATGATCAAGTAGGTGGTGCCCCATCAGAAGACCTACCAGGTTACCCCTGATAGGTGCAGCAGTCCTGGGTCAGCCTTGGTTAGCACTAACTTAACCTAGAGACTCAACCATGACCGCTCATTCTCCAGAAACTTCTGCAGACTCAGGAGAGTCTTTTAGGTTAGGCATCTCTGGTTCACACTCTGGGACCTTCTGTTCAGGAGGAACATGATCCCAGAGAACCAAAGAAGGTCTGGAGTCAGAAGGCCTGGAAAGAAGAGGACCAGTGTAGCGATTTGAAATGAGCCTCACACGGTCGCACCAAAATATTACTGTAGCGATTGGAATTTATAATAAATGTCTGAAGATTAATAATCTCAAATTATGACATTTATGCACTCGTTGAAAGGGGCACCACCCACCCTTAATGGTGGGAAAATAAAGAAAACAAAAGTTTAATTCAGAAATCAAACATCAAGTCAGTTTTAATTAATCAGTCTCATATCTTGAGCCGAAATTCTCATTTCAGGGACTCCACTTCTGGAAGAACACTAACAGACAAGAACTTAGAAAAATAATGATCTGTTTATTACAAGATAAATGATGGTACAACATACATGCAATAAATGATGATAAGATAATGAAGATAAATAATAATAGGTGAATAAATAAAAATTCTGAGTCAGGCTAGGAGCACTAAAGTTAATAATAGTGAGTGAATATGCGCTAACATATTAACCTACACCAACTTTGGTGTCGAGATAAACTCGGATGTGGATTTGGAGGAATCTAAGATTACCAGAATAAGTGGATATCTGAGTTATGAACGCATGAGACAGCACCAGCCCTCTTTAGAGCTCTGGAGGTTTGCATACTTAAGTGAGACTGGTCCTTGGAGAAGATGGAGCAGGTTCCGAAGGTCCGGGGCTACCGGTGGTTCGAGCGGTTCAGCTCAGAAGACGACTGAAGTCAGCCGAAAGATGGGCCAGGAGTTGTAGCACTCGGGCCTGAAGTAGAGCCGGCGCCTGTGGATCCTGTGGATGCTCGTTTGGACACTTCTTTGGTCTCACTCAAAACTCTGGCACAGAGGATGACCTGGGCCTGCTGGGTTGCGTTCAGAGGTGACTTTGAAATCACACAGATAACTCAGAAAAACGAGACTTGAGCAGAGAAAACTTTCAAAAATGGCTTCGCGAAATTAAAGAAAAATCAATCAAAGGCTTAATCTTGAATTGCTATGCGCACAAAAAGTTTAAGTTTCAAAACTTGAACTAAGACGATGTTAAAGAAAAATCAACGTGAATCAACACGTGGCGTAAAACTTAGTAGACTAAGAAAAAGTTCTAAGAGAAAACAAAGAAGCGCACCACAGAAGGGTGTGGACAGAAGAGAGGGTACAAGAGTAAGGGGCATAAGAGAGTGGACAAGAGCGTGAGCAATCCCACTTCACTGGTTTTATCTTCTCACACTGGGAGTGTCTCTGGCGTGTGTGTGAGGAGAAAGAGGAGGGTTCATGGGGTCTCTGATTATTTGATCTAACTTATTCTTTTGGCTGGTAAAAGAGTCAGATCTGATACTCACTCACTATGATTAATATCATTGAATGCTTGGTTTCATGATAAATAATTTGATACTAAACACATATGAATGAAGTGTAGGATCATATCAAACATTCTCATTATGTTTGAAGTATCACATTGAACATGCTAAATTACTCTGAAATGAAACAGATAGTAACACATGGAAGCTGTGAACAACAAAAGAGTAAACATACTCACATTCAGATTATTCAATGACATTATAACCACCTAATGGTTAAAAATACTAAATAAACAACTAAAATACAAACCAAACATTTCTGTTACTTAGAGTAAAGTTATGATTCATAAATTTAACTCTTAAAAGTTCATGAAACAGTCTGAAAAGCTGTTGGTCTAAAGAAAGTAAAGAATAAGGATTTATTCTGTCAGAGTGCTAACTCGGCTTCTGAAGCACATAGAAGAATGGGAAACGTCTCATTTTAAGACAAATTTCATGATTAGACAGATTGGTACATTGCTGAATGCATAAGATGTCATGATCAGTCATTTGTATTCTTTCACCAAAGGAATGTAGTCTTTATCAGTTTATGGTCGAGCAGGGTTTTACGACCGAGGTCTGGAGGTCAGTGTCCCCTCTTATCCTGGGGTCCGTATGTTCACACACTTTAAGAAGGTAAATCTCAAATAGGAGATCTGGGTTGAGGCGTTAATGTTTATTTAGATGGTCAGCAATGGAGTCAGTTTGAAAGGTAATAAAAACTCTGTCTCTGTTCTCCGAATCGACCAATCGTGAAGAGTCAGAGGTTTAGTCAACCTCCGGTCGGGTCATTTAGGTAACCTGAAAGTGCAAACAAGTCTGGAAAGATTTATATCCTGTGTCCTGGGATCAGATAAGGAAACTTTCCTGTGAGGAATGTGTGAGTTTCACACCCAGGGTTGTCTTGATTGCTACACCAGGGACTTCTGGATTTGTCAGGTCCAGCCTTGCCCACTCCCCTGCCATACTGCTTCCAAAGAGGTCCTCAGCTGTGGTCGTGCAGACCAAGCTGTAGCTACCCCTTCATTTTTACTGTCCCACAGTGATACAACAGATTGAGCCAGCACATCATTTTAACCCCTTCGGTGTTGCACACGCCAGTCTTCATTCATGGACTGAGTGTTTGAAGCGCTGATTCATCCACTAAACATCATCAGAATTGAACAAAACTTTACATGACACTAGATATAGCGCTGTTTCCAGACAGATGTCTCCGTTCCCTGTTTTGTCAAATCAAATCAAATCAAATTTTATTTATATAGCGCCAATTCACAACAGTCGTCATCTCAAGACGCTTTTCAAGGAACAAGAGCAGGTCTGGACCACGCTCATTGTTTGATGATCAAGAACCAACCTAAGATGGGTTTTGGCCCATCTCAACTAACATGAGTTACAGTGGCAAGGAAAAACTTCCTTTTAACAGGCAGAAACCTTGGGCAGGACCAGCCTCATGCTAGACAGCCACCATGCCGCTGCTGGGTTGGGGAGGAATGTAGAGAGAAGAGGGGAGAGGGGGAGAGGACAGGGGGAGGGAGAGAGACAACAAGATGGGGAAAAGGCGAGAGAGAATGAGTATGGAGAGGGAGGGGGAGGGAGAGAGAGTAGGGAACGAGGGTGAGAGAGAGACAGGAGGCAGCAGGAACAACAGCAACAACAACAACAGCTCATGTAATGGTGAAACAAAAAGAAGTTCAGTTTACAGGTTTAGGATATGAGTGATAATGGACAATGTTGAATTAATTGAGTGCGATTACAGTTAGCAGGCTTAATCGTAGTCAGTTCTATTTTGTATTATTAATGTCAATAATGACAGTGAGGCTGATGTCCATGTCTGCAGTAACAGTAACAGCAACAGTCCAGAGGAATCAGAGAGAAGAAGGAGCTCAGGGCCGGGGGGGGGGGGGGGTCTGCGGCAACGGTCCAGAGGAGCCAAAGAGCCAAAGAGTTGGAGGAGCTCAGGGCCCAGGGTGGATGCAGCTGGGGTCAGGCAGTTCCGCAGCAGACCTGTTTGCAGCATTAGTCCAGTGGCAGCTAAAAGACTCAGAGACACTCAGAGAGACAGAAAACTGGTCAGTGACTTATATGGGACATAAAGATCTAAAGAGGAGATAGAGACAGACTCTAGCTCAGTGTGCCAGATAGCCCCGGCAGTCTAGGCCTATAGCAGCATAACTAAGAGCTGGTTCAAATCAGCCCTGACTATAGGCTTTATCAAAGAGGAACGTTTTAAGTCTACTCTTGAAAGTTGAGAGTGTGTCTGCCCCCCGAACCTCGAGCGGTAAATGATTCCAGAGGAGACGTGCCTGGTAGCTGAAAGCTCTTCCTCCAATACTACTTTTAGAGACATTTGGTACAACGAGCAGACCTGCAGACTGTGAGCGTAACGGTCTAGATGGAAAGTACGGTATAACTAGCTCGTTGAGATATGATGGCGCCAGGCTATTAAGCGCTTTATATGTCACAAGGAGGATTTTAAACTCAATTCTATATTTAATAGGGAGCCAGTGAAGAGAGGCTAAAACAGGAGAGATGTGCTCCCTCCTTCTAGTTCTAGTCAATACCCGAGCTGCTGCATTTTGGACCAGCTGAAGAGTCCTTAATGACTTACTAGAGCAGCCTGATAGGAGAGAATTACAGTAATCCAGCCTAGAGGTAACAAAGGCATGGACTAGTTTTTCTGCATCGCTCTGAGACAATATACGTCTAATTTTTGAGATATTGCGCAGGTGGAAAAAGGCTGTCCTGGAAATTTGTTGAATGTGGGAGCTAAAAGATAAATCCTGATCAAATACAACTCCTAGATTTCGCACAGTGGGGCTGGATGCCAGGCTGATACCATCAAATGTAGCTAAATTACTAGAGAACGCCTCTCTAAGGTGTTTAGGACCGAGGACCAGAACTTCAGTTTTGTCTGAGTTGAGCATTAGAAAATTATTGGTCATCCAGGATTTTATATCTTTGAGGCAGGCTTCTAACCTAGCAACCTGGCCTGCTTCCTCTGGCTTTATGGATAGGTATATGTAGTGATTTGAAATGAGCCTCATACGGTCGCACCAAAATATATGTAGCGATTTGAAATGAGCCTCACAAGGCCGCACCAAAATAATACTTGGCGATTGGAATTTATAATAAATGTCTGAAGATTAATAATCTCAAATTATGACATTTATGCACTCGTTGAAAGGGGCACCACCCACCCTTAATGGTGGGAAAATAAAGAAAACAAAAGTTTAATTCAGAAATCAAACATCAAGTCAGTTTTAATTAATCAGTCTTAATTAATCAGTCTTAATTAATCAGTCTCATATCTTAAGTCGAAATTCTAATTTCAGGGACTCCACTTCTGGAAGAACACTAACAGACAGGAACTTAGAAAAATAATGATCTGTTTATTACAGGATAAATGATGGTACAACACACATGCAATAAATGATGATAAGATAATGAGGATAAAATAATAATAGGTGAATAAATAAAGATTCTGAGTCAGGCTAGGAGCACTAAAGTTAATGATAGTGAGTGAATATGCGCTAACATATTAACCTACACTAACTTTGGTGTCGAGATAAACTCGGATGTGGATTTGGAGGAATCTAAGATCACCAGAAATAGGTGGATATCTGAGTTATGAACGCGTGAGACAGCACCAGCCCTCTTTAGAGCTCTGGAGGTTTGCATACTTAAGTGAGACTGGTCCTTGGAGAAGATGGAGCAGGTTCCGAAGGTCCGGGGCTACTGGCGGTTCGAGCGGTTCAGCTCAGAAGACGACTGAAGTCAGCCGAAGGATGAGCCAGGAGTTGCAGCACTCGGGCCCGAAGCAAAGCCAGCGCCTGTGGATCCTGTGGATGCTCGTTTGGGTACTTCTTTGGTCTCACTTAAAAACTCTGGCACAGAGGATGACCTGGGCCTGCTGGGTTGCGTTCAGAGGTGACTTTGAATCACGCAGAAAACTCAGAAAAACTAGGCTCAAAGAGCAGAGAAAACTTTCAAAAATGGCTTCGCGAAATTAAAGGAAAATCAATCAAAGGCTTAATCTTGAATTGCTATGTGCACAAAAAGTTGAAGTTTCAAAATTTGAACTAAGACGATGTTAAAGAAAAATCAACGTGAATCAACACGTGGCGTAAAACTTAGTAGACCAAGAAAAAGTTCTAAGAGAAAACAAAGAAACGCACCACAGAAGGGTGTGGGCAGAAGAGAAGGGGCATAAGAGCCGGGGACAAGAGAGTCCGCAGAAGAGCAGAAGCATAAGAGAGATAAGAGGAGCATAAGAGAGTAAGAGACAAGAGAGTGAGCAACCCCACTCCACTGGTTTTATCTTCTCACACTGGGAGTGTCTGAGGAGAAAAAGGAGGGGTCATCGGGTCTCTGATTATTTGATCTAACTTATTCTTTTGGCTGGTAAAAGAGTCAGATCTGATACTCACTCACTATGATTAATATCATTGAATGCTTGGTTTCATGATAAATAATTTGATACTAAACACATATGAATGAAGTGTAGGATCACATCAAACATTCTCATTATGTTTTAAGTATCACATTGAACATGCTAAATTACTCTGAAATGAAACAGATAGTAACACATAGAAAATGTGAACAACAAAAGAGTAAACACATGTGAATGAACGTCATCATGATTAATAATGGATTCTAAATACTCACATTCAGATTATTCAGTGACATTATAACCACCTAATGGTTAAGATACTAAATAAATAACTAAAATATAAACCAAACATTTCTAAACTATTTCTGTTACTTAGAGTAAACTTAGGATTCATAGTCAATAAATTTAACTCTTAAAAGTTCATGAAACAGTCTGAAAAGCTGTTGGTCTAAAGAACTAAAGAATAAGGATTTATTCTGTCAGATAAGATAACTTGGCTTCTGAAGCACATAGAAAAACGGGAAACATCTCATTTTAACACAAATTTCATGATTAGACAGATTAGTACATTGCTGAATGCATAAGATGTCATGATCAGTCATTTGTATTCTTTCACCAAAGGAATGCAGTCTTTATCAGTGTATGGTCGAGCAGGGTTTTACGACCGAGGTCTGGAGGTCAGTGTCCCCCCTTATCCTGGGGTCCGTATGTTCACACACTTTAAGACGCTAAATCTCAAATGGGAGATCTGGGTTGAGACGTTAATGTTTATTTAGATGGTCAGTAATGGAGTCAGTTTGAAAGGTAATAAAAACTCTGTCTCTGTTCGCCGAACTGACCAATCCTGAAGAGTCAGAGGTTTAGTCAACCTATGGTTGGGTCACTTATTTAACCTGAAAGTGCAAACACGTCTGGAAAGATTTATATCCTGTTTCCTGGGACCAGATAAGGAAACTTTCCTGTAAGGAATGTGTGGGTTTCACATCCAGGGTTGTCTTGATTGCTACAGTCCCCCCTTCGTCACGGTGGTCCTGTCCATGGAGCATCGGGACGACGAGTAGACAACCATGAAGCAGCAGCAGGTGTATGCAAATAGGACTGATGCGTCTCGTCATCACTATGTGAATCACTAGTACTGCTTTGAGATAAAATTAAGCATGCATTAAGCTATCAAATAAAATCGTCTAGTTGTTAGACTTTTCTCAGTTAACTATTGGTAGACTAATGTGAAAGAAAATCTCCTAATTTTTATTATTAATGAGATTTAGAAAAGCACTCTTTAGTCTGAATGCTAACTGGATCTAAAGCTATAGCTGTTTTTCATGCTTGCTGGAGAAGTCTGAAAGTTCAATTTCAGTTTCAAAAATGGTTAAAACTTAGGTGGAAAAGAAATGTCTGCTATAGACATATTAACCATCTGTGTATGAGCATAGTCAACCTGAATCACAAACATCAAAAGTTTACTGCACAGAGTTTCTCTTAAACTTTGTCTGTTAAACTTGGGGATGATGCTCTTATCGGTTTGACTAATTATCTGCTGTTGAGTCTGAAATTTGTCAATCTGAGTCTTAATGACAGAAATTTCAGTTTTTAATCTGTTCATGGGATATTTGACAGCTGACAAGCTGACCATATTGACAGAGGAGAGACAAATGCTAACAAAGAAAGCAGCAACTGGGATTGCAGTCATCAATGTATCACCACAGCATTTGGATATCTTATTGGAGTCATTCAGCTTTGGCTGGGTGACTTCTGCTTTCGCAGGACTCACACCTTCATGACTCCGCAGTGTTAATCTCAGTGGTTAGCTGAGTTGTCATGTTTATTCACCTTCGAAGTGGATGAAACCGATTGAGGTGGATAATAAGATCGTCGTTTCTGAGAGTGTGATTTACTCTGATTCTGCCAGTCATTCACCCCCCTTTGGCGGTGTTGATGGTTTTGCCTTTGTCTGGGATAAAACCCACCATGACGGGAGTCTGAATAACAACAGTTGGTCTCAAAGTTTACCTGGCATTGGTCTGAGTCAGACCTGGGCCTTGGTGTGTAACTTTGACCTTTGTGAGTTTGTTGAGGTCGAAAAGGTTTTGGAGGCCTGGTTAACCACTCATTTGGAGGCTTATTGGAGCCTGAAAATACACAGTCTGAAGCTTCGTTCAGCTCCATGGGCAGTGATTTTGTCTCCCTAGCCAAGAGAGTAACGGGCTCTGCTTTCTTAGCCAAAGTTTGTCGTTGTTTGGCAAAACCTTTTACAGCAAGTTCACGAAGCTGTCGGCTAGTCGAAGTGTTTGAACAAACTAAGACGCCAAGGTGATGACTGGTGGTAGGGTGGAGGTTCTGGACAAACAGCGTTTTGAAGTTCAAGTCCTCCTCCATTTCTGGTTCATTTCGGAAACCAAAGTAAGCTTCGCATAAGCGGTTGTAATACTGTTGGGGAGATTCTGATCTCCCTTGTTTAATAGACAGAGCAGCAGAAAGGCCTGTCTGGGTCAAATGATCAGAAAACTCTTCGATTAATGCTTGGCAGAGCAAGTCATAATTATTTCTGACATGATAAGGCTGTCGTTCAAGGAAACTGCTAACCTCTCGACTTGACGTCGCCTTAATAAGGTAGATTTTGTCATCAACGGTTGCACCTGGAAATTTCCTCAGGTAAAAGTCAATGTCTTTCAGGTAGGTGCAGGTGTCAATAGCAGCTTGGTGCTCAGGTTCAAAGCGTGCTATGTTGCGAGCAATTTTGTCAAGATCCCTGTCTGAGGGAGATGGTAAGAAACCATCATGAGGAGGAGAGTAGGACTTTTGGCTTAAGGATGACCTCTCAGGGTCAAGCAGGGTCCTGTCATGATGCTGAGAGAGATACTTAAGAGTTGGTTTGGAAGGAAGTGATGGCGCTCTCTCAGGAGGCTGATCATCTATCATTTCTTCGAGAAAAGTTTGCTTCATGCGTTCTCTTTGGGCTCGACCTGACTGGAGGGAGCATCGTAACTCTCTTTGGGCATCTTCAAGTTCTTTGTCTGTCTTTTCTTGCCGTTCTTGACAAAGAATTAACTGTCTTTGAGCTATCTGGAGCTGGTGCTGTAAGGTAGAAGTTTGCTTCTCCTTAACTTCAAGAGCTTCAGCACGCACTTTGACCAGTGCTTTCAAAGCTTTTACATCTTCTGTTGCTTGCTCTAGCAGGGATTCTGACTGTATCAGATCCTCTGTGGTCTTAGCAAGCTGCTTATTCGTGTCATCAAGTTCTTTCTCCTTTTTGTAAAGGGTTTCATTAAGTCTTTCAATCTTGTCTTTGAGATCAAGATTTTCTTCATGACTTATCAGTGAGGGAAGCTTTGACGCTTCACATCTGGCACTGTGTTTTTCTAAAACACTTAGAGACTTCTTAGTCTCTTCTAGCGTCTTTTTCAGAGCGCTGTTTTCGTCTTTTTGCGCCTTTATCTTTGCTAAAGCGCATTCCAGCAAGTAGTCTTTATACTCAAACTGAGAAGACATCACGACAGACATGCATCTAATGAGCTCTTTGTCACGAAGTGTCGTGGTTAAAGCTGTTTCCAGTAAGTCAGCCATTGCATCCTCCGGATTGGAGGGTTTGGCCTTTTGAATCTTAGTCATATACTGAGGTATCAGCTGACTAGTCAAGTTTGCCAACACTGTGTGTATGTCCCTCAGGGGATCTCCCTGGCTGGACTCTTTTGTGTTAGGCATGTTTGGTTTTGGTAAAGAGGTGCAGGTGGTTGGTTGATGAGTTTGAGTTGACTTAAAATGAAAGGAAGAAGCAAAATATCAAATTAAGTGGGTTAATCGACTTAATTTATCAGTGCTTGATAAAGAGAAAGAGCCTATCTGAGTAGATCTCTAATGGAGAGAAAAATAACATAAAGTTAAATTCATTTCAATGAAAATTGAAAACAAAAGGTGAAATAATGTTAAATTAAATTTAACATCAGATACAGAACCATTGAATAAAGGGTTCAGTTTGTCTCTGTGTTGCAGAGATCAGCAAAGCTTAAATAAACTGCCTGGTGCAGTTGGATGAATTGGCAAAATCGATGAAATTGTCAATTTAAGGAATTAACTCTGAAGTTAATTCACAAATTGCAATAAATCCAAAGGTTCGAATACCAAATCTATCTGGAATGTTAAAAGAAATTTGAAATATTAATTAATTTGTTCGTTAATTAATTAATCTTATGAGTAGGGTTAATACATTCATGTATTATAGGGAACAGTAAAACTGCTCAATGATGTGATAAGTAACAACAAGATCAGGTGATTGATTCAAGGAGTTACTTTATCAATACATTATGGAGGCTCTTATAACAAAGATAAAAATCAAAAATCAATGATCAATGATTTAGAATAAGCACATCAAACTTCATCAACCAAGTCAATCACTTGAATTATGTCTGTAGAGTGTTACGCACTGACTACAGAGAGGCAGTACAGCTGGCTGATACTGCAGGCAGATAAGTGTTAGCTCAATACCAAAAGCAACCATGTGGGGCAGTATGGAGTTGGGAGAACTGCACAAGCTCAACACTAGTGGAGAAGAAGAAGAAAAGAGGAAACAGTCATCCAACTAGCCTCTTGTGGCTGTGAGGAGTTGGGAAGTCTGCAGGAAGGGGCCTTTAGGCTCTGCCTCCTTGAAGGGCCTTATCTGCTTAAGGCCACATGGTCAGTCTCTCCACTGACAACAAAGGGTTAACATTTCACAGCAGGCTGCGTCTGCACCCTCAAACATAGAACTTTACACCATCTGCTCAGGCAGATTGGTTCAATAAAATCATTTACAGAAACAAGAATCAAAGTGGCAAATCCTTAAACAGCAGATTCAACTGCAGACTTTAAAATCACAAATGCGGTGATTTGTGGACACAAATTTTGTCTGAATTCAATCAAACAACAACCTCCCACTGTTACAGTGGTTTCCTGTGACAGGTAGTTAATCTGTCAGGGGAAAGGAGGAAATCTGAATCCCATATAGTTACTAGAACTTCGTAGCAGACTATAGAGACAAGAATCAAAGTGACAAATCCCTCAACAGCAGATTCAACTGCAGACTTTAAAATCACAAATGCGGCGATTTGTGATCACAAATTTTGTCTGAATTCAATCAAACAACAACCTCCCACTGTTACAGTGGTTTCCTGTGACAGGTAGCTAATCTGTCAGGGGAAAGGAGGAAATCTGAATCCCATATAGTTACTAGAACCTCGTAGCAGACTACAGAGACTTCAGGGGCTTGAAACCACAGCTCGGAGCATCGCGAACACTGGGTTCAGCCAAAGGCCTTAAATACAAGCGTACGGCGACGCAACAATCGTGCACTTAAATATTGGACAGTCTAGACAGAGTAGAAGAGTCAGTCTCACTGCTACTCAGAACAACATTTCACGCTGTCCAGCTCAAACACAGACTACAGGCATGTAGTACAAAAGTGTGTGAAACACAGAGCATAAAGGTTTTATGCATAGATCAGGAAAACATCAGAACTTAGTCAAGCAACTTCAGCAAGCATAGCATTGATAGTGATTAAGTCTAAAACAGCCTGGGAATAAGTTTCTCTCATCAATTTGGAAGGCTAAGTTTTAGGTTGTCTGTTAGTATCCAGAAGTTTTGTTTGAAACGCCTCACGCAGGGGCTCCAAAATATATGTAGTGATTTGAAATGAGCCTCATACGGTCGCACCAAAATATATGTAGCGATTTGAAATGAGCCTCACAAGGCCGCACCAAAATAATACTTGGCGATTGGAATTTATAATAAATGTCTGAAGATTAATAATCTCAAATTATGACATTTATGCACTCGTTGAAAGGGGCACCACCCACCCTTAATGGTGGGAAAATAAAGAAAACAAAAGTTTAATTCAGAAATCAAACATCAAGTCAGTTTTAATTAATCAGTCTTAATTAATCAGTCTTAATTAATCAGTCTCATATCTTAAGTCGAAATTCTAATTTCAGGGACTCCACTTCTGGAAGAACACTAACAGACAGGAACTTAGAAAAATAATGATCTGTTTATTACAGGATAAATGATGGTACAACACACATGCAATAAATGATGATAAGATAATGAGGATAAAATAATAATAGGTGAATAAATAAAGATTCTGAGTCAGGCTAGGAGCACTAAAGTTAATGATAGTGAGTGAATATGCGCTAACATATTAACCTACACTAACTTTGGTGTCGAGATAAACTCGGATGTGGATTTGGAGGAATCTAAGATCACCAGAAATAGGTGGATATCTGAGTTATGAACGCGTGAGACAGCACCAGCCCTCTTTAGAGCTCTGGAGGTTTGCATACTTAAGTGAGACTGGTCCTTGGAGAAGATGGAGCAGGTTCCGAAGGTCCGGGGCTACTGGCGGTTCGAGCGGTTCAGCTCAGAAGACGACTGAAGTCAGCCGAAGGATGAGCCAGGAGTTGCAGCACTCGGGCCCGAAGCAAAGCCAGCGCCTGTGGATCCTGTGGATGCTCGTTTGGGTACTTCTTTGGTCTCACTTAAAAACTCTGGCACAGAGGATGACCTGGGCCTGCTGGGTTGCGTTCAGAGGTGACTTTGAATCACGCAGAAAACTCAGAAAAACTAGGCTCAAAGAGCAGAGAAAACTTTCAAAAATGGCTTCGCGAAATTAAAGGAAAATCAATCAAAGGCTTAATCTTGAATTGCTATGTGCACAAAAAGTTGAAGTTTCAAAATTTGAACTAAGACGATGTTAAAGAAAAATCAACGTGAATCAACACGTGGCGTAAAACTTAGTAGACCAAGAAAAAGTTCTAAGAGAAAACAAAGAAACGCACCACAGAAGGGTGTGGGCAGAAGAGAAGGGGCATAAGAGCCGGGGACAAGAGAGTCCGCAGAAGAGCAGAAGCATAAGAGAGATAAGAGGAGCATAAGAGAGTAAGAGACAAGAGAGTGAGCAACCCCACTCCACTGGTTTTATCTTCTCACACTGGGAGTGTCTGAGGAGAAAAAGGAGGGGTCATCGGGTCTCTGATTATTTGATCTAACTTATTCTTTTGGCTGGTAAAAGAGTCAGATCTGATACTCACTCACTATGATTAATATCATTGAATGCTTGGTTTCATGATAAATAATTTGATACTAAACACATATGAATGAAGTGTAGGATCACATCAAACATTCTCATTATGTTTTAAGTATCACATTGAACATGCTAAATTACTCTGAAATGAAACAGATAGTAACACATAGAAAATGTGAACAACAAAAGAGTAAACACATGTGAATGAACGTCATCATGATTAATAATGGATTCTAAATACTCACATTCAGATTATTCAGTGACATTATAACCACCTAATGGTTAAGATACTAAATAAATAACTAAAATATAAACCAAACATTTCTAAACTATTTCTGTTACTTAGAGTAAACTTAGGATTCATAGTCAATAAATTTAACTCTTAAAAGTTCATGAAACAGTCTGAAAAGCTGTTGGTCTAAAGAACTAAAGAATAAGGATTTATTCTGTCAGATAAGATAACTTGGCTTCTGAAGCACATAGAAAAACGGGAAACATCTCATTTTAACACAAATTTCATGATTAGACAGATTAGTACATTGCTGAATGCATAAGATGTCATGATCAGTCATTTGTATTCTTTCACCAAAGGAATGCAGTCTTTATCAGTGTATGGTCGAGCAGGGTTTTACGACCGAGGTCTGGAGGTCAGTGTCCCCCCTTATCCTGGGGTCCGTATGTTCACACACTTTAAGACGCTAAATCTCAAATGGGAGATCTGGGTTGAGACGTTAATGTTTATTTAGATGGTCAGTAATGGAGTCAGTTTGAAAGGTAATAAAAACTCTGTCTCTGTTCGCCGAACTGACCAATCCTGAAGAGTCAGAGGTTTAGTCAACCTATGGTTGGGTCACTTATTTAACCTGAAAGTGCAAACACGTCTGGAAAGATTTATATCCTGTTTCCTGGGACCAGATAAGGAAACTTTCCTGTAAGGAATGTGTGGGTTTCACATCCAGGGTTGTCTTGATTGCTACATATAGCTGGGTGTCATCTGCATAACAGTGGAAATTAATGAAGTACTTCCTCATAATTTTACCCAGCGGAATCATGTACAGGGTGAATAGGATTGGACCGAGCACTGACCCTTGCGGCACACCGTAGCAGACCTTGGTGTGTGCAGAGGATTCATTATTTACATTGACAAACTGGGATCGATCTGTTAGGTACGATTTAAACCAGGAGAGAGCTGATCCTGCTATGCCTATAGATTGTTCTAGTCTCTGAAGCAGGATGGAGTGGTCAATTGTGTCAAATGCTGCACTAAGATCTAACAGGACTAGAAAAGAGAGAAAACCATTGTCTGAGGCCATGAGTAGGTCATTTGACACCTTTAGCAGAGCAGTCTCTGTGCTGTGATGGGTTCTAAACCCAGACTGGAAATCCTCTAATAAACCGTTGTTATGGAGAAAATCACAGAGTTGATTCGCAACAACTTTCTCTAGGATTTTAGAAATAAAAGGAAGGTTGGATATTGGTCTATAGTTAGCTAGGGAGCTTGAGTCCAGAGTAGGTTTTTTAAGGAGAGGCTTAATCAATGCAGTCTTGAAAGACTGGGGAACATATCCTGTTAATAAAGACGTGTTAATCAATTTGAGCAGGGACGTACTAATCAAAGGAAGAGTTTCCTTCAGCAATTTTGATGGAATTGGGTCTAAGAGACACGTCGATGGTTTGGCTGCTAGCACCACTGACTTTAACTCAGGAAGGTCAATAGGTACAAAATTACTAAGGTGCACCAGAGGCCTTAGGGGCTCCTCAACATTTTTAGGGTTATCTGAGAGAGAGACACTTGATGGAGTCAATAGGTTACTAATTTTACCTCTTATTTTTAAGATTTTATCATTGAAGAAGCTCAGGAAGTCGTTTTGTGACCGTCCATATACTTTAAAATGTCCATTTCTGACAGGACGGGAAGAATAATGGCGCTCTTCTCGTCGTTCTGAAAGTGGACGTTCTTTCGTTGCTTCTGAGTTGAAAGTTATTAAAATGATAGCGCCACTTCTTCTTTGGTGTTTTTGTCACGGGGGCGTGGCGGATGCACACATGCATTGTCAGATCATACTCCGACTACCAGTAGCGGTTCTAGGCACGGGCGAACAGGGCAGCCGCCCGGGGCAGCATTTGTGTCATGACTCATGGGGGGCAGCACGAGCACTTCCCAAAAAATAAAATAAAAGATAATAAGAATAATTCTTAACCCCAAAGCGGTTTTGTATTAACTCTTGTTGTCAAAATGGCCCTCAGGATTGTGTTTTTTTCTATTGAAGGATTTCTGCAATTCTGCAATTGAGAAATATTTTATTTTTGTTGTTATAATCATAAAAATACTACATAATAATACAAAACTATCTGTTCAAGATTCTATCTCTTTTTGTGTTTTTGTGTGTGTGTGTGTGTGTGTGTGTGTGTGTGTGTGTGTGTGCGTGGTGGGGGGGGGGGGGGGGGCTACCATGTAACCGACTATGCTGGTTACATGGTAGAGAAAATCAAATTCCAATTGCATTATCTGGGTGTCTGAATTGGAGTTCTCAAACTCCGATTATAGTCGGACTAAGGTGTTTAAATGCACTTCAGTTGTCCGGTCTTAATCGGAATAAGCCGATGATTTGGTTTTCTCAAGTGTCATGGAAACGTACTGACAGTTTCACTGAAGGCTTCATCTCCTTTTCTTTCAGACGGGTAACTGTCAGCTTCTTTCACGTTGTTCTTTACTTTGTGGAACAACAATAAACCTGCAAATACAGTTTTGATTAAAAAAATATATATAATAACTAAATGAAATCAAAGATCTATAATAACACCCTGACAGCAGTGAATACAGGAGTCTCTCAGTTCAGTGTGTCTGTGACTCTGTCTGTGGTTTTCTCTTCATCTCTTGGTTTTTGTTCAGCCTGCTCTCCTCATTTCTCACTGTGGGTCTCCCTTTTCCCACAGGAGCAGTAGTAGGTGGCTGAATGAGAGACGTTAACTGTCTGGATCTGCAACTCACAGCTGTTCTGAATTTTTACAGCTGAGAAATCATCTTTCTGAGGATGATTGTAGCCTTTATTGATTTCACCCCTACTCCTGCTTATACGAAGAATCCTTCTGAATGTGTCTGAGTCTTTCTTCTGGTTCCAGTATACCCAGTCACTAGAACATCGGTCAGTTTGATCACAGCTGAAGGAGACTTGTTCTCCTTCTCTCCTGGTCAGAGTTAAATCCTCCTGGATCAGATCTTCTGCTGTTGAAAGCAGAGCTGCACACGCACGCACGCACGCACGCACGCACGCACGCACGCACACACACACACACACAGGTGAAGCAGGTGAGTGAGACGGTGTTTGGTAAAGGTCGAGTTTGCTGGCTCCTGATTGGCTGATTGAAACACTCACCTGAATACAGACAGTACAGGGCAGCAGCTGAGAGGAGAAGCATTTTGTGTGTCGGAGGAGAAGTGACGCTCTGAGATCAGACGAGGACACCTGCTTTCTAACAGGTCCTCCGACAGATCTCCCATCAGCCCTTGCAGTGAACTGATAAGACCGCAGCATGACAGGAAACCTCTGTAACAGCAGACGCTCTGACTGGTTGATGTGGGTAAAAACAGGAAGTGATAAAAACAATCGTGTACGGTTGAATTTTCATGAGAACTAAAGTCGTGATAAAACGAACATTGACTGAGCAGTCGTGAGAAAGTTTGTTATTCTGAAAAAAAGAGTAATAAGATTTGGATGAGGTTGGGCAACAGTCAGAAAATGAAAGAAAACTTTGATCAGGTCAAAAAAATGAATAACTCCAAACCCAGAAGAGTGTGACAGGGTGTGAAATAATTAAAGTGTGTATAGTTTGAAAACCATATTGAGGATAAATTTAATTCAAATAGTAAAAAGAGAACGTATCAGACCTGTGTGTAATGTTCAGTATTAATGGGAAGTTAGTGGTGTGTCATCATCATTAATAATAATAATAATAATAATAATAATAATAATGATAGTAATAATAATAATAATAACAATAATAATAATAATAATAATATAAAAATATGCATAATAACAGTAATTTTTTAAAAAGTAATAATAATAATGATAATAATCATATTAATAATAATAATGAGACTTATTAAAGTATGAACATCATTTGTCATACATATTCGTTAAACTAAATGTAATAACTATAAAACAATCTAAATAGCATGCTTAAAAATGACTGATTAGTTTCACATCACTCTCCCTGATGAAGTTTCAAGTCTGTACCTCTTTGTACAAGCAGCCATTATATCGACGATGCTGCCCCCTGTTGGCTGCAGTGTCTCACTGCTTCAATCTGCATCAAGTTATATCTGATCAACTTTGACTCATATTGGATCAAATTTTAAACCACACTTTGACTCAATTAACCAAGTTTCATCATCCATGGTGTGTCCAGTTCATGTTGAAGGTCCTTTCAGTGGGTCAGGTTCATGCCATGACCATAGACTGTATATACTTCGGACAACTTGGTCCTGTCTTATGCCAGTTGAAGCCGAAAAGCTCTCGGTAATTCTGTGTTTTTTCTCCACTTCTTGAAACCAACATTGCGCAGTAGCGTTGTACGCATTCAGCTGTAAGGTCGCTGTGATGACGCTCGGCTCAAACAGCGTATCCCCCAGGTGAGCTACACAATCTTTGTACGCCCATAGGCTGTATCAAGTGTCAATCATAGAAAACATGAACCCCCTAATAACTTTTAAAAATGGAGCTGCACAGAAAAAAGAGGACTTGAGCACAAACCAGTCTGACAGTAACTATATGTCAACATCACAACCAGGAAGGAGAAATATTCTTTGTCATAAATTTCTAAAGACAGGTTTCTTTGCAACGTCATCGCAGGTATGAGCGCGCAGCCAGAGGTAGAAAGCGGGACATTTCTTAGGCTACGTTCACACTGCAGGTTATGATGCACAATTCAGATTCTTTGTTAAATCGAATCTTTTTGTGCAGTCGTTCACATATCCGATTTATTTCCACGTACAAAAGAGGCCTGGGTCGGATAGAAAAAATCAGAATTGCACTGTTCACACTAACATGAAAAAATCAGATTTGTGTCAGATATGGTTAAAAAATTGGAATTGACCTGTAATGTGAACATAGCCTTATTTGTTTACTAGCCGAATCAACGGAGAAAGAAAACGACAAGGAGCTGTTGTGCTGTAAACTACACGAATCGGCAAAACAAACAATCGGCCAACATTACGACCCTGCTCCTCATAATAGAAACATCTAAAACAACGTCACAACCTGGTAAATTGAGTGAAACTCATGGACATTTCAGCAAGTGCTTTTCAAGACAAAGCTATTTTTCAATGAAATGACATTTTGTTGCAGTTGTGTCGGGGAGAACTTGCAAACAATTCGGCATCTTTATTGATATCAGTTCACTCCAAAGCAGTCTTTTGCCCCCTGGTTGTGTGCGCACCAAGTATTGTTTGTACACAGGAAATCCGTCTATAAGGATGGCTGGCAGAGGTGGGATTTATGACCTATACTACAGCCCGTCACCAGGGGGTGCTGTTCTCGGGGTGGCTTCACCCATTGAGGAGGCAGATGGCGTCCATTCTATATACGGCCTACAGTCATGGCCCTCAGGCTCAGTCCAGTCTTGTTGCACCTCGCTCAGGTCTAGTCCCTTAGGTGGTGCTTGTCTTTTAATTTGGTCCAGTCAGTTGTAACGCTTTAAGCTGGTCCAGTTACGTCTAAACTTCTCCAGGTGGGTCTGGTCTAGAGCAGAACAGACTTTTGAAGCAGATACTTTAGGTTTTGGTGTTCCGGCCATGCTCTGCTTCTCCTATCCTCTATTCACAAAACTTCTCAGGCAGGATTAGTTTGTGTTGTCCCCCTCTAATGCTGCTCTCTTTCTCTCTTTCTTGTTGAGAGATACTCTGCCTGTCCCCTTAAAGTGTTGGTTATCCAGACTTATGGGGACATTTGCCCCCATACCCACCAAATGGGGACCATGTCCTTTTACTGTCATGTTTCCAAGACCTTTGCCTACTTTCCCACGATACATTTTATTTACTTTCTGTTTGCTGTCTTATCTGATCCTTGTAGGAGTGAAAATGTCCCTCACAGTGCACAGCAGAAAGAGCTGTGTAAAACCTTAAGTGATGATGCTGTGTGATGGTTCAGCCACTAGAGGGCAGCAGTGTTAAGGGTTTAATCTCAGAGCAGAACAAAAAGAGAGAAGCTCGGTCATAAACAGAGTACGATTCCAGGATGGTAGAGAACAACACGATGAGAAATGACCTTTATCGAATTTAATGTCCTGAGACTGTGCCGAGTATGAAGAAGTAAAAAAAGAGTGAATTCACTTTGTTAGTCTGGACATGTAGTCAGGCAGTGAGTCAAATTCAATCTAAATCAGTGCTGAAGAAAAGCAAACTCTGTTAATGCTTTACAAACACACCATAATAACTATTTTATTCTCTTGTTTTAACCAAATAAAATCTGTGTAAATATGTTTCTATTTTAATATTGTCTGATAAAAATGTATTGTTTGTTTTTATGCTGGCATGTGCACAACCTGTGTCTGTTTCTATGAAGCACCCGAGGGCGAATCTTTTTCTTTTATAATGCAACTTTAACTTGAACACAGATTTATAAAAAATAAAAAGAGATATATTTATAAACATTCATAAATTAACTCCTTAAATTCCCCAAAAATAATTTTAGTGGTTTCAAAATTCCTTACAAAGACAAACAGAAAGGTATAGACTGTAAAAAACAACACTGATAATAACACGTCCTTTATACTGTGATATAGACTTCGACCTCTTTAAACACTTAACAGATTACATAAATAAATTTGGTTTCTTAGTAATACACATTTCCACATTTCTTAATCTTGTTTCTCTTTTTCTACCACCAACAATCTCTTTTCTGAATATGAATTAATTACAAACTATCAAATCTGTCATTAGCATTTACATGTCTGAAGGTATCTCCTCCCTTAAAACCTCAAACTGAGCTGAAACCACACCACAACTTCACCCAGCTGTCAATCATTTCACTGCAGGGGCTGATGGGAGATCTGTCGGAGGACCTGTTAGAAAGCAGGTGTCCTCGTCTGATCTCAGAGCGTCACTTCTCCTCAGGATCACCAGAGGAAACACCGACACACAAAATGCTTCTCCTCCCAGCTGCTGCCCTGTACTGTCTGTGTTCAGGTGAGTGTTTCAATCAGCCAATCAGGAGCCAGCAAACTCGACCTTTACCAAACACCGTCTCACTCACCTACTTCATCTGTGTGTGTGTGTGTGTGTGTGTGTGTGTGTCTGCAGCTTTGCTTTCAACAGCAGAAGATCTGATCCAGGAGGATTTAACTCTGACTAGGAGAGAAGGAGAACAAGTCTCCTTCAGCTGTGATCAAACTGACCGATGTGATGATAGCTTGGTATTCTGGTTCCAGAAGAAAGACTCAGACACATTCAGAGTGATTCTTGATATACACAGGAGTAGTGGTCTAATATATAAAGGCTATAATCATCCTCAGAAAGATGATTTCTCAGCTGTAAAAATTCAGAACAGCTGTGAGTTGCAGATCCAGACAGTTAACGTCTCTCATTCAGCCACCTACTACTGCTCCTGTTTGAAAGTTAAGACCCACTGTGAGAAATGAAGAGAGCAGGCTGAACAAAAACCAAGAGATGAAGAGAAAACCACAGACAGAGTCACAGACACACTGAACTGAGAGACTCCTGTATTCACTGCTGTCAGGGTGTTATTATAGATCTTTGATTTCATTTAGTTATTATATATTTTTTTTTAATCAAAACTGTATTTGCAGGTTTATTGTTGTTTCACAAAGTAAAGAACAAAGTGAAAGAAGCTGACAGTTACCTGTCTGAAAGAAAAGGAGATGAAGCCTTCAGTGAAACTGTCAGTACGTTTATATGACACTCGAGAAAACCGAATTATCGCCTTATTCCGATTAAGACCGGACAACTGAAGTGCAAGTAAACACCTTAGTCCGACTATAATCAGAGTTTGAGAACTACGATTATAATCGGAGAACTCCGATTAAGACACCCAGATAATGCGATTGGAATTTGATTTTCTCTACTATGTAACCAGCGTAGTCGGAGTATGATCGGACAATGCATGTGAGGCTGGGCCACACCTCCGTAACCACAGTGTAAAAACACCAGAGAAGAAGCAGCGCAATCATTTAAAGAACTTTCAACTCAGAAGGAACTGAAACATGGCTGAGACACGAAAGAATGTCCACTTTTGGAACGACGAGGAGAGCGCCATTATGCTTTCCGTCCTGACAGAAATGGACATTTTAAAGTATATGGACGGTCGCGAAACGAGGAACGGAGACATCTTTTAAAAATGTCTGAAAACCGTGCTGCTGAAAAGACCGACATCGCCCCCTAGTTTTGAGGAGGAGGACACGTTCACGTCAACAATTTGATTTTCTCAGCTGCATGTATACGGGGACAAGGAGAGAAGTCCGAGTCGGCAAACAAAACGAATAATGAGCTTAGTCCAAATAAACTGTGCATGTAAACGCACTGAGTGACTCAAATCAATCAATGACACAAATCGATCAGGACTGTGTGAATGTGCAGATCGCTGCAGTCCATCCCACCACCATAGCTGTGTGGACCAATGACAGTAGAGAGGCGTCCTTTCTCTGATGTTCATAGAAAGTTCGTCGATGTTCCCTGTGGGAGCTCTGCCAGTGTTAGCTGCTGTTAGCCACCAGCGCTAGCTTTGTATACAGGAAGTAGTGTCCAAAAAAGGCAAAGATCCGTCTGCACTTCCAGTTTGAGTTTCAGTGAAAGAGTTCTTCCTCAGACTCCAAGAAACTGGCAAACACAACAGCCAGGAGTCATGGTCCAGAAGAGTCCATTAGGTCTGACTGGGATTGTAGACTGTCCAGTACAGAGAGACCTTTATTGTAACGACGGTTCACATCCAACCATGACCACGAGGGGAGTCATGGTGACCTGTACAAACTGGAAATGAAGAATGAGCACGGACTAAGTGAGGCCTGTTGGTCCCTGTTTGGAGGACAATGGTCTGCCACCCCAGATTGAGAACCTCAGCCTGGTGAGCACATGTGGACTGGTGTTTTGGGGAAATGAAGGGTAGCTACAGCTGTGTCTGCACGACCACAGCTGAGGACCTCTTTGGAAGCAGTATGGCAGGGGAGTGGGCAAGGCTGGACCTGACAAATCCAGAAGTCCCTGGTCCTCTTCTTTCCAGGCCCTCTGACTCCAGACCTTCTTTGGTTCTCTGGGATCATGTTCCTCCTGAACAGAAGGTCCCAAAGTGTGAACCAGCAATGCCTAACCTAAAAGACTCTCCTGAGTCTGCAGAAGTTTCTGGAGAATGAGCGGTCATGGTTGAGTCTCTAGGCTGAGTTAGTGCTAACCAAGGCTGACCCAGGACTGCTGCACCTATCAGGGGTAACCTGGTAGGTCTTCTGATGGGGCACCACCTACTTGATCATGTGGATGTTGATCTGGTTCTATCAGCAGAATGGATCTACCAGAGCTTTCTTCAGGGAGTGAGGTGGAGCCATCACCACACAACAGACACCGACCCTTATTACTGACCTTTGCCCTGCTAAGGTCTGCCTTCCTCTGCTGCCCCAAAGAAGAGGTGAGAATACTTTACACAGTCCAATGGAGATGAGGTCTCATCGGGATGACGAGGCCATGCAGGTCTTTGTGTCTGACAGGGTTCCTGTACTTTTGGACTCTGAGCAGGGAAGATCTCAGAGGGAACGGTTTAGGAAGTGTTCTTCTATCAGGACCAGACTCAAAGTGAACACCATGTTTGTACATCTACAGCAAAGGGGGCGAATAATGAGAAAGAAGAGCATCGGGTTCATTCATTAGAATAAATGGAGAAGAAGAAGAAGAAGAATAACTTGATGGTCCATAGATCCACAGATCTGCTGGAGTCCAGAAAGTGGCTCAAAGAAGAGACAGTCATGTTGATGTGGACTTTAGAGAAAGTGATCCTGGATCTGAAACATGATCCTGGTTCATCATCTGACTCACTCAGCTGCTCTCAGGTTTTTGTACCACTGTTTCTCACTGTGGGAAGGAGGCTACTACTCCTTCGGCTCTGGGACTAAACTGTTTGTAACAGGTAAGAACAAAAACTTTATCTTTATTGTTTGAACTGATTTATAAAACCTCAAAATCTCTCCACAAATCTGAAGTTATTGATGAATTTCTGATAAATCTGAGTTTGATATGAAATGTTGAGACAGTGTCACCTCTATATTTGGTCCTCTCTGTGAGTCAGAACCATCATTTCTTTATTTATAATGTTAAGACAGTCAAATTAACCTCATGTCAATTATATCAATATGAGGCACCAAAAACCTTTGTGTGGGAATATTTGTACAAGTAGACAGATACTCAATATTATCAACTAATATTTACAATAAATGTGATTGAATCTAGATCTATGGATAAACTATAGAAGCGTTTATATTTAAATATATAAGGAAATGTTATTATTTATTATTGTCTGTAAATGAAGCTAAAAAATGAGATTACAGTCAAACTCATGGAGGATGGTACAGAGGTATGAAGAGTCTGAGTGTTTGTACAAATTATTATATTCAAACAGGATTGATGATCTTATCCTCAGTATATTATACTATATTATATAAAATTATACTGTATTTATATTATTGGCAGCCTTGATGGTTTTCTAATTTTGTATCAGTAATGTAGAATAATAAATAAATTACTGATATAATGATTAATCACTTCTCTAAAAAGAGCTGAATGCTCAGACCTACAACCTAAAAATGTAGAAGATAATGTAAGGACTAAAATCACCATTAAATTCTCTGAGAATAAAAAAGTGTGTGTATTATGGACAAAGTATTTTAAAGTTTACTGAAAACAGTAATAAAGTTGGGATTCAGCTTTGTTGTAATTAAATAGTATTTGTAGTTTTATAACTGTTTCAATGATTTTAATTTTTGTGAGTTATAGAAAGTCAGAAAATGTTGTTCAAGACTTTAGAGTGTGTGTGTGTGTGTGTGTGTGTGTGTGTGTGTGTGTGTGTGTGTGTGTGTGTGTGTGTCAGATAAGCCCGTGGTGAAGCCCGTGGTGAGTGTGTACCCGGCAGCATCCAGAGCCCAGCTGGAGGGGAAGAGCTCCCTGCTGTGTGTGGCCTCAGACATGTTTCCTCCTCTGGTCCAGATCTCCTGGAGAAGACGGGAGGAAGACGGTTCTCTGAAGGAGCTGTCCTCTGATGACGGAGAGCAGCTGGAGCTCAGAGAGTCTGAACGCACCGTCTCCATCCTGATGATCCCTCAGAGGGAGAACAGAACAGACAGATACCTCTGCACGGTGCTGCACCAGGGGGGCAGCGTGGACGCTCACACTGAACAAGGTCCAGAAAGCTGGGTGTCTAATTCAGCTTGATTAGATTGGAGATGGTGGAGCAGAGGACTGACCGTTCTTTTACTCTTTGTCTCTGACAGATGTTCCTGCAGCTCCTGAAACCTCCTGTCCTCTAGAGAGAGAGCCGACTGAGCCGTCAGCCCTGCAAGAGACCGACTGTAAGAATCAGGACAACTTTCTGAACCCTCAGAGGGAAGTTCAGGCACTGCTTTAAAACAGGAGAGAGAATAAGGGGAAAAACAGGGAATATAAACACACACAGGAAATATTTCAAATCAAATCAGTTCTACGTGCAAAGCAATTTCACAACACAAGATATATACAGAGAAAGGAAACAGGAGCAGACAGTTTGCACTCTTGATTTAACACACAGTCAAAGACAGATGACAAATATTTACATCCAACAAGTTTCTACAAAACAGAGTAACAAATAATCTGAAAATATGAAGTTAATGTTCATGATATTTCAATCCACAATATGACACGATCACTTTAAAGCTCCTGTGAGGGTTTTTTACTGGTTAGGAAACCGTTTGAAACTAATACTGCTGCCTCTTTAGGACCTTATAACAGTGTGTGTGTGTGTGTGTGTGTGTGTGTGTGTGTGTGTGTGTGTGTATCAGTGTCAGTGTCCTTTGAGTGCAGGGTGAAGCTGCTGTCAGTCCTGTACTCTCTGCTGATCCTGAAGAGTCTGGTGTACTGCTGTGGACTCTCTCTGCTGACCATCTTCACTAACAAGCCACCGTCCATCAGCTGATGTGCTGACTGATTGTTTCCTGCTCACCGCTTCTCACCGCCAAACCTCAGCAGCTCGCCGCTTTTTTCAAGATCTGCTAACAAGCTACAAATCTAGAGCTTAGGACATGTTCATACAAGTTCCTGCAGTTTTAAAGACGTCATCTTAGAAAGAGAATGAAAGTAAAAATCATATGGCGTCAAATAGATTTTGTTTTATTTCTACTTGATTAACTGTAATTTGATAGGACCGAAAAATGTAAGCTTTCTTCAAGTTTTTTTCATTTGTTTTCCATTTTTTTTATTTTCCTTGAATTATTCAAAACATGATCAGAATTGTCCAACATTGTTACTGTGTAAATTTTTCAAATAAACTCTCAAAATTCAAGAGTTTTATTTTGTTTTTGTGAATCTAGTTTTGGATTTAAAGCAAATAATACAGAAACACATGATCGTTTCAGAAATAAGTGATAAAACTCTGACTGTCAACAAGTTTATGACCGAGAACATAAACTGAAAAAAAATAAATAAATAAAAACTGAGTTTTCATTAAACCTGAAATATGAAGAAAAAAATACAAAAAAAATGAAATAGTACTGTGTTTTCAAAATTAAATCAAAATGTTAGAGAGAAAATGTTGATTTTCATTTTCAGTTTCTTTTTATTTCATATTCTAAGTGCTGTGAAAATTTAATACCACACTAACACACTGACTGTCCTCTGTCCTTTATGGCTCTTCATGTATTTTAATTTTTTTTTTTTTTTTAGGTAGTTTGATGTTTTCAGTTTTTATTAAATAATACTTTTACAGGATCTTTTGGTTCGACAAGTATACTACATTATAAAACTGCTAAAACAGATAAAATCTCATAAAAAGTCCAAATACAAAAAAAAACATATGAATGCTGAATTTAAATCTTTAGGTCACATTAGATTTAAAGTAGCTCCCTGTTTACTTCACCTATGTGTGATGAAAACTTTAGTTTACATGTATGAATATAAAGAAACATTTTCAAACCACGTCTGAGTCAGATAAAAAAGAGCAAACATCAACTTAAAGCTGAACTTAACATACCCCTGTGTGTTTGTACCATCAGGTTTAATGCTGTCTGCTGTTTCTAATGGTCTGAGTGTGAAAGTAAAGCTCTACGCTGATGATACTGTTCCCTATTTATATACTTAAAAAACAGGGCTGATGTTAAATTTTGTTTGATTGCACATTTATAGATTTCATCAGCATTTTAAAAGGTCACCCATGAAGCTAAATATCTTCAACTCATTGTTCCTCTTCTTCCTTATTACCATAAAACTAAGATATCTCAAATGAAGACTTTCAACTAAATCAAAACAAATAAACCTATTCTCTTAATTTAATGGTTTAATTTATCAACATGCTTTATTTTAAGAAGCACAGCTAGTACAGAAAAGTGAGAGTCGTGTTAATGAAATGTACGGACACTGTCTTTACTGCAAGTTCATAGGTGTTGAAAATAAGAATTACATTTATTGAAGGGTATGTTTACATATACATTAAACCTTTTCAGGGTTACTAATGCATTTTTGTGAAACAGGGAGCTGTAGTATATATATGTCACTTTTTCTAATAGTGCGAGTGTGAAAGTAAAGCTCTAAGCTGATGATACTGATCCTTATCTACACGAACAGAAACATCAAACAATTATAAATAACCAGAGCTGATGCATGTTTTCTCACTTGTTTTGAGCTCCTCAGCTCTGAGTTCAAAGTTGGAAATGTTTCTCTCCTTGAATCCCAAACAAAGGTCAAAGGTCAGACTGAATTCTGAGCATTGAGATCAAACTGAATATCCTGAATGAAGCTGTGAGCAGGGTGGATGGTTGTAACTGTCATTGTGTTATTAAAGGGAAAAAGCTGAGCTAACAGTTAGAGCAGAAAGCCACACAGATCATCGCTCTCTGCTGCAGGAAGGAAGTGTTGATCTGCTAGAAACAGGTTTTTATCAGCCCTAATAACCACCTACAACGGACGCATATCTGCTGCTGCCGCACACGCTGACTGACTGACAGCTCCGACTTTAAACACCTCTTTGTCTTTTCTTACCTACGCAACTCATCTCAAAGACCACTCGTCTAAAATAAGCAACGCAATCCTAAAGATCAGAGCCAGGTTGACTGTAGGATGAGAATTATATGTACTGAAACTGACTTTGAGCAAAAATCATGAACACAGCAGTAAATTTTTAAAAAGTATAAAATTAAACAGTTGCACTCTGACTCTGGTCTTATTCTGAGGGACTCAATCAGAATAAAATAAAAAAAAAAGAATAAAAACAAAGAAAAGTAACTGTTGGAAGGGTAAATCCAATGGAAAGAACAACATCTGAATAAATGTGGGTGAGAATTTGGATTTTATAATAGAATAAAACAAAAATTTGACTTTTTTTCTGCTTCATCCTCATGATAAAATATTAAGACAGAAACACATTATGTTTTTCTTTATTTTCTTTATTTAAATTGTTTTCTTCTTCTCAACTTATTTATATATTACATTTTTACAAGCATTTTTGTTTGAATCGTAAATACAATAAAAGTAGATTTTGAGCATTAAATTAACTTCAGTTTTCAGAAAAAGACATTTAAAAAGGAAATACAGAAAAAATACAAAAACATTTAGAAACAGTTTAGAATGAAAAATCAGTTAAAGTAAAAAAAAGCAATAAATAAAAAATAAAAGAAAAAAATGTGTAAAAATAAGTCTGTTAATCCTAATAGAAACACAAGTTGTAAAAAAATAAAGAATCTATTCAACAGATTTAGTCAAATTTAGACCGACTTATAAATCTGTACAGTTTAGATTAAATCAAACCCAATTTTTAATGTAAAAACAAACTGAAGCCAAAAGCATGAAGATAATCCAATCAAATATTCTGTTTTTATTATTTATAAAAACTAATTTTATTGTTTTAGAAAAGACTGGAAGATTTTTCTTCTGTAACTCTCATGTGGAGATTTTAATAGTCACTCTTGTTCATGATCATAATTTTTTTCATTTCATTTTATTTGATGGTGACCAGAATTTTATGGATGATACTGATGTAGTTTCATCTGAAGGCATATTTTACATCATTAACAAAATCACTGACAGCCTCATCATTGTTATTATAATTATCATTATTATATCTGTTTCATTATCTGTTAGGGTTATAATTTTATTATACTTTGGGAAAATTATATTTTATACACTTTAACATCCAAAGGTTCATATTTAATCACTTCAGATGTCAGTCTGTGTAAAGTTTCAGAAAAATCTTTAAACCTGAGTTAGACTGAAATAAAACCTCTGTGTTATCTTGATTTTTAATCAGTTTTAGCTTAAAATCAGCTCTCTCTGCTGTCTGTTCATGAGATAACGAACAGTGTCATCAACGTAGCGCTTTACTTTCAAACTGACATGTTAGAAAAAGTAGGCTTTATAAAATGTAATCTCATATTTTAAACATGAACTAAAGTAATCCTGTTCACTGTTCAGAATTATATTATTCTAAGTATTTACCAAAATGTACCAATAACACTAACACGTTTCTTTCCTTTGTGTAAATTTAATCCACTAAGTAGGAAAAACAGCAGGTTGTTACAATAAAATCACAATAATTTTATTGAAAATAATCAATTAACTGAGTTTGAGCTGCTGCAGGTTTTCATTTTGAATTGTTGTTAATTTTACAAGAGGAAAAGGTCAATAGAGAGTTTGAGATATTAGTCTTTTTACATTTCAACATTTCAAAAACAAAACCTTTTAAAGTTTGACCAAAGAAGTTTGGACATCAGCTCTGTCTGCTGTTTGTTCATGTAGATAAAGAACAGTATCATCAGCGTAAAGCTTTACTTTCACACTGACACCATTTGAAAAAAGAAGACACCATTAAACCTGGAGGTAAAAACACACTGAGATGTTTATTACAGCTTTGAGTTTATGTTTGCTTATTTTTGTTGTCAGTTTAAGTTGTTTGATCAAATTTATACAAGTAATTATTCTGTTATTTTCTGCTCAGTTAATATTGAGCTTCAAATCACCAAAATCAAATAACTTGTAGATTAAATTAAAAAAATCTGATCCTTATTTTATTTGTTGTGAATAATTTAAAGCAACATAAATAACAATGGCAATAAAAGAAAAACTCTCAAAATATTTTTAAGTTTATTGAAAAAGTTGCAAAACAGAAGAATTGAAAAAAGAAACCAACAAAAACAGATAAATGTGGCGCTCTGCACATGTACTGAAATACATGTTTAACATTAAGTGAAGCATAAACATTTTATGGTAATTTTTTTACACACATGACATTTTATACTAATGGGAACAAAGTGAATAACAGTCAAATATATACAGTATAATTTGGAATTTGAATATATTGTACCTGTTTGTATGTTCTTATTAAACTTAAATCAATATGTATGACAACGAAACCACAGCATGTTTGACTCTACATTTATACCTGCTGAATGAGTCTGAGACAGATGTGAGCTGCTGAGGTTTGGCGGTGAGAAACGGCGAGCAGGAAACAGTCAGTCAGCACATCAGCTGATGGACGGTGGCTTGTTAGTGAAGATGGTCAGCAGAGAGAGTCCACAGCAGTACACCAGACTCTTCAGGATCAGCAGAGAGTACAGGACTGACAGCAGCTTCACCCTGCACTCAAAGGACACTGACACACACACACACACACACACACACACACACACACACACACACACACACACACACACACACACACACACACACACACACACACACACACCTCTGTTATTCACAACTCTTTGTACAAAGTCCTCTTGGTACTTTATTCATACAGGAGTCATTTATCAGGTGTGTTCCTGCAGTTTTCTCTATTCAAAAATAAAAATTTTACATCAATTGAAAAACTTTCAAAAAGCCACTGATGGCCCAAACCATCCAGTTCTGCCTCTGTGTGTAAAAAAGAGGCTCTAGAACTGATCCTTGTGGTACACCTCAGATAGTATTAGTAGTTAGAGAAGAGTGATAACATTTGTTGACTAAGAAGGTTTGTTTAAAAGTAAAAACATGTTAATCTTACCGCCATACTGCTGAGGAAGAGCTGGAGGGTCTGTGAGCTCTGTCTCTGGAGGACCAGAGGTCAAAGCAGCAGGAGCCTCTGTTGGTTCAGTCTGAGGAGGACTGGAGGCTGATGTGGAAGGAGCTTCTGTTGGAGACACAGCGTCTCTGGTACGTTGCGCCGTTGAATCCACTCTTCCCCCCTCGTGTTGCACTAAGCAGATGTATTTATCAAGGTTGTCCTCTCTTTTATGAATCTTTAAGATGGAAGCGGTGCAGTTAGACTCTCTGAGCCTCGACATCTTGCTGTCAGCAGAGGACAGCTCCTTCAGAGAACCGTCTTCCTCCCGTCTTCTCCAGGAGATCTGGACCAGAGGAGGAAACATGTCTGAGGCCACACACAGCAGGGAGCTCTTCCCCTCCAGCTGGGCTCTGGATGCTGCCAGGTACACACTCACCACGGGCTTCACCACGGGCTTATCTGATACACACACACACATACACACACACACACACACACACACTCACAAAAATTAAAATCATTGAAACAGTTTTAAATACTACAAATACTATTTAATTACAACAAAGCTGAATCACAACTTTATTACTGTTTTCAATAAACTTTAAAATACTTTGTCCATAATATACACACATTTTTATTCTCAGAGAATTTCATGGTGATTTTAGTCCTTACATTATCTTCTACATTTTTAGGTTGTAGGTCTGAGCATTCAGCTCTTTTTAGAGAAGTGATTAATCATTATATCAGTAATTTATTTATTATTCTACATTACTGATACAAAATTAGAAAAACATCAGGGCTTCCGATAAATATAATATAATATAGTATAATGAGGATAAGATCATCCATCCTGTTTGAATATAATAATTTGTACAAACACTCAGACTCTTCATACCTCTGTACCATCCTCCATGTGTTTGACTGTAATCTCATTTTTTAGCTTCATTTACAGACAATGATAAATAATAACATTTCCTCATATATTTAAATATAAACGCTTCTATAGTTTATCCATAGATCTAGATTCAATCACATTTATTGTAAATATTAGTTGATAATATTGAGTATCTGTCTACTTGTACAAATATTCCCACACAAAGGTTTTTGGTGCCTCATATTGATATAATTGACATGAGGTTAATTTGACTGTCTTAACATTATAAATAAAGAAATGATGGTTCTGACTCACAGAGAGGACCAAATATAGAGGTGACACTGTCTCAACATTTCATATCAAACTCAGATTTATCAGAAATTCATCAATAACTTCAGATTTGTGGAGAGATTTTGAGGTTTTATAAATCAATTCAAAAAATAAAGATAAAGTTTTTGTTCTTACCTGTTACAATCAGTTTAGTCCCAGAGCCGAAGATGAGGTAGCCGTCGATGTAAAGTCCCACAGTGAGAAACAGTGGTACAAAAACCTGAGAGCAGCTGAGTGAGTCAGATGATGAACCAGGATCATGTTTCAGATCCAGGATCACTTTCTCTAAAGTCCACATCAACATGACTGTCTCTTCTTTGAGCCTTTTTCTGGACTCCAGCAGATCTGTCCATCTATGGACCATCAAGTTCTTCTTCTTCTTCTTCTTCTTCTTCTTCTTCTTCCTCTTCTTCTTTTTCTTCATATTTTCTTCTGAATGAACTCGATCCTCTTCTTTCTCATTATTCGCCTTGTTTGCTGTAGATGTACAAACATGGTGTTCACTTTGAGTCTGGTCCTGAAAGAAGAACACTTCCTAAACCGTTCCCTCTGAGATCTTCCCTGCTCAGAGTCCAAAAGTACAGGAACCCTGTCAGACACAAAGACCTGCATGGCCTCGTTATCCCGATGAGACCTCCTCTCCATTGGACTGTGTAAAGTATTCTCACCTCTTCTTTGGGGCAGCAGAGGAAGGCAGACCTTGGCAGGGCAAAGGTCAGTAATAAGGGTCGGTGTCTGTTGTGTGGTGATGGCTCCGCCTCACTCCCTGAAGAAAGCTCTGGTAGATACATTCTGCTGATAGAACCAGATCAACATCCACATGATCAAGTAGGTGGTGCCCCAGAAGACCTACCAGGTTACCCCTGATAGGTGCAGCAGTCCTGGGTCAGCCTTGGTTAGCACTAACTCAGCCTAGAGACTCAACCATGACCGCTCATTCTTCAGAAACTTCTGCAGACTCAGGAGAGTCTTTTAGGTTAGGCATCTCTGGTTCACACTCTGGGACCTTCTGTTCAGGAGGAACATGATCCCAGAGAACCAAAGAAGGTCTGGAGTCAGAAGGCCTGGAAAGAAGAGGACCAGGGACTCCTGGATTTGTCAGGTCCAGCCCTGCCCACTCCCCTGCCATACTGCTTCCAAAGAGGTCCTTAGCTGTGGTCGTGCAGACACAGCTGTAGCTACCCCTTCATTTCCCAAAAACATCAGTCCACATGTGCTCACCAGGCTGAGGTTCTCAAACTGGGGTGGCAGACCATTGTCCTCCAAACAGGGACCAACAGGCCTCACTTAGTCCGTGCTCATTCTTCAGTTCCAGTTTGTACAGGTCACCATGACTCCCCTCGAGGTCATGGTTGGATGTGAACTGTCGTTACAATAAAGGTCTCTCTGTACTGGACAGTCTACAATCCCAGTCAGACCTAATGGACTCTTCTGGACCATGACTCCTGGCTGTTGTGTTTGCCAGTTTCTTGGAGTCTGAGGAAGAACTCTTTCATTGAAACTCAAACTGGAAGTGCAGACAGATCTTTGCCTTTTTTGGACACTACTTCCTGTATACAAAGCTAGCGCTGGTGGCTAACAGCAGCTAACACTGGCAGAGCTCCCACAGGAAACATCGACGAACTTTCTATGAACTTCAGAGAAAGGACGCCTCTCTACTGTCATTGGTCCACACAGCTATGGTGGTGGGATGGACTGCAGCGATCTGCACATTCACACAGTCCTGATTGATTTATGGCCACTTTTAGACCATTTCCATCTAAAAGTGGCCTAAGTCATTAATTGATTTGAGTCATTGATTGATTTGTGTCATTGATTAGACTCCTGTTGGTCCAGTCTCACTGGTCAGCTGTTGAAGTAAACTCAGAAATCATTTCTATTCAGTCAGTGTTTCACTGAAGGCTTCATCTCCTTTTCTTTCAGACAGGCAACTGTCAGTTTCTTTCACTTTGTTCTTTACTTTGAGGAACAACAATAAACCTGCAAATACAGTTTTGATTAAAAATATATATATAATAACTTAAATGAAATCAAAGATCTATAATAACACCCTGACAGCAGTGAATACAGGAGTCTCTCAGTTCAGTGTGTCTGTGACTGTCTGTGGTTTTCTCTTCATCTCTTGGTTTTTGTTCAGCCTGCTCTCTTCATTTCTCACTGTGGGTCTCCCTTTTCCAACAGGAGCAGTAGTAGGTGGCTGAATGAGAGACCTTAACTGTCTGGATCTGCAAACCCCAGCTGTTCAGAATTTTTACAGCTGAGAAATCATCTTTCTGAGGATGATTGTAGCCTTTATCTAGTGCACCACTACTCCTGTGTATATCAAGAATCGTTCTGAATGTGTCTGAGTCTTTCTTTTGGTACCAGAATACAAAGCTACTAGAACATCGGTCAGTTTGATCACAGCTGAAGGAGACTTGTGCTCCTTCTCTCCTGGTCAGAGTTAAATCCTCCTGGATCAGATCTTCTGCTGTTGAAAGTAGAGCTGCAGACACGCAGGCAGACACGCAGGCAGACACACAGACACACAGACACACAGACACACAGACACACACACACACACACACACACACACACACACACACACACACACACACACACACACACACACACACACACACACAAGCACACATACACACACAGGTGAAGCAGGTGAGTGAGACGGTGTTTGGTAAAGGTCGAGTTTTCTGGCTCCTGATTGGCTGATTGATACACTCACCTGAACACAGACAGTACAGGGCAGCAGCTGGGAGGAGAAGCATTTTGTGTGTCGGTGTTTCCTCTGGTGATCCTGAGGAGAAGTGACGCTCTGAGATCAGATGAGGACACCTGCTTTCTAACAGGTCCTCTGACAGATCTCCCATCAACCCCTGCAGTGAACTGCTAAGACCGCAGCATGACAGGAAACCTCTGTAACAGCAGACGCTCTGACTGGTTGATGTGGGTAAAAACAGGAAGTGATAAAAACAATTGTGTACGGTTGAATTTTTATGAGAACTAAAGTCGTAATAAAACAAACATTGACTGAGCAGTCATGAGAAAGTTCGTTATTCTGAAAAAAGAGTAATAAGATTTGGATGAGGTTGGGCAGCAGTCAGGAAATAAAAGAAAACTTTGATCAGGTCAAAAAAATTAATAACTCCAAGAGTGTGACACGGTGTGAAATGATTAAAGTGTTTATAGTTTAAAAAACCATATTGAGGATAAATTTAATTCAAATAGTAAAAAGAGAACGTATCAGACCTGTGTGTATTGTTATTATAGTATTCCCAGTATTTCCAGTATAAATGGGAAGTTAGTGGTGTATCACTCATCATGAAAAAAAGTAATAATAAAAATAATAATAATAATAGCAATAATATAAAATATTAATAATAACAGTATTTTAAAAAAAGGCAATTATAATTAAAATAAAATAATCATATAAATAATAATAATGATAATAATTACAGTAATGAAAAAAAAAGTAAAAATAAAAACAATAATAATCATATTAATAATAATGATAATGATGATGACGATGATGATAATAATAAAATGAAAAAAATAATAACAATAATGAAAATAATAATAATATTTATTACAGTAAAACATAAAAAATCATAATGAAAAATTTTGATAAAAATAACAATTATCATCATCATCTTCCATATTGAGGATAAATTTAATTCAAATAGTAAAAAAAGAACCGAGCAGACCTGTGTGTAATGGTCAGCATTGATGGGAAGTTAGTGGTGTATCACTCATCATGAATAATAATAATAATAATGATAATAATAATAATAATAATAATAATAATAATAATAATAATAGCAATAATATAAAATATTAATAATTACAGTATTTTTAAAAAAAGCAATAATAATTAAAATAATAATAATAATATAAATAATAATAATGATAATAATAACAGTAATTTAAAAAAAGTAAAAATAAAAATGATAATAATAATCATATTAATAATAATGATAATGATGACGACAATGATGATGATAATAAAATGAAAAAATAATAACAATGATGAAAATAATAATAATTATTACAGTAAAACATAAAAAATAATAATGAAAAATTTTGATAAAAATATCAATTATCATCATCATCTTCATTATAATAATAATTTTGATAATAATAACAATCATAATAATAATAATGATTGTTATAATAATAATTATAATATTTAAATATTAATAATAACAATCATAAAAATAAAATAATCATATTAATAATAACAGTCATAATAATAATCATATTAATAATGATTAAGATGATGATAATGATAAAAAAACAAGAAATGATAATAACAACAACAATAATCATAATAATAATGATAGTTATAATAATAATTATAAAATTTAAATATTAATAACAATCATAAAAAATAAAAATAATCATATTAATAATAACAGTAATAATAATAATCATATTAATAATGATTAAGATAATGACAATGATAATGATAAAAATACAAGAAATAATAATAACAATTATGAAAATAATAATGATAATTATTAAAGTAATAACTAAAAAATCATGATGGAAATTTTTAAAAATAATAACATATTATTATTATAATATTATTAATTAAAATAACTGAAGAAGCACAAACAGGGTTTCTTTTTTCTTCACCATACAGCTGATTTCACCGTTTATCCTTTTGTCGGTGTTTTTGTTGTTGTTGTTTGTTTTTCGGTGATAAAGAGGCGTCTCTGTTAACGTCAGTCTGCTTCAGTTAAAAATTCCTCACATGAGCTTTAAAATAAAAGACAAACATCAGCTTTAGCTTACTCAACAGTTTATTAAAATTCATTTTGATAACCTGTATAAATGGAACAACTGTCTGTCTGTTAAAGCTTGTATGACATGTTTAATATTTTGTTTTTGTCAGGAACTGACTGTGGGAAAAGACTCAATTTTAGACCCGAGGTTCCAACAGGGAAAAGATTTAGGTTTATTGACAGTCCAAGTTCAGTACACATAAGGCAGAATAACAGGCAGAGGTGTCCAAAACTTTAGGGTCAAAAACTAACAAGGTCGATATCGTAGGCTGTGATAACTAAGAAAAAGTGCTGGAACGTGACAAAAAGTACAAGGACTAGGCGAGGAGACTGTGAGAGACACAAGGTTAAGTACAAGAGGTAATGAGGGTGATGGGAGACAGGTGTGGAGGAACAATCAGGAGGCAGGTGTGACAAGACGGGGGCGGGGCAGACAGGAACACACCTGAAACAGAGACAGGGGTTAGTGACTTCCAAATAAAACACACAGGAGACATCAGAACAAATGAACCAAATCAAGATAACTTGACCCTGATCGTGACAGTTATGGAGTATTTTTGTAGCTTGAACAATTCGATTGATTTTTACAATAAAGATTTGTTAAGATTTAAAATATTTTGTAGATCTGACATCGTTTGAGTTTTTTTATCCACTAGATGTTGTATTAATATGTTCCTCCGTCATGGCTGTTTTAAAAACACAGTTTTCTCAGAGTGGATTTCTCTTTGCTGGAGGAGTTTTTCAACCTAAAGGCAGAGACTGCCACCTTGTGGTCATTTGACAGAACTGCAAGGATGCAAAGATGGCCCTGATATTGGTCATCATGATGACGTTACCACAATAACAAAGATAAATGTTTTATCTTTAAAAAAAAAACAGATTTTCATATGAATATTCAGCACAAAGTGTTTCATTCACAAACAAACAGGCTAAAAATAAAAACAGGAATTATGAACGACCGCTATAATATGATATCAGAAACAAAAACGTCTGTTAGAAATACAACATTTAACACCACCTGCAGCTGAAACCACATTTAACCAAGATCTAAAACTAAATGATAACATGTTTTTCTGCATAATCTGCCATGATTTATGCAAGACGCACAAAAATACTGTATGTAATGCAGTTTTGTCATTTAGACACAATCATTTATATACAGTAGAAAGAGACTTATTAAAGTATGAACATCATTTGTCATGAATATTTATTAAACTAAATGTAATAACTATAAAACAATATAAATAGCATGCTTAAAAATGACTGATTAGTTTCACATCACTCTCCCAGATGAAGTTTCAAGTCTGTACCTCTTTGTACAAGCAGCCATTATATTGACGATGCTGCCCCCTGTTGGCTGCAGTGTCTCACTGCTTCAATCTGCATTACTCAAGTTATATCTGATCAACTTTGACTCATATTGGATCAAATTTTAAACCAGGGAGAGCCACACTTTGACTCAGTTAACCAAGTTTCATCATCCATGGTGTGTCCAGTTCATGTTGAAGGTCCTTTCAGTGGGTCAGGTTCATGCCATGACCATAGACTGTATATACTCCGTACAACTTGGTCCTGCCTTATGCTAGTATACGGATTTGAAGCCGAAAAGCTCTCAGTAATTCTGCGTTTTTTTCTCCACTTCTTGAAACCAACATTGCGCAGTACCATTGTACGCATTCGGCTGTAAGGTCGCTGTGATGATGCTCGGCTCAAACAGCGTATCCCCCAGGTGAGCTACACAATCTTCGTACGCCCATAGGTTGTATCAGGTGTCAATCATAGAAAACATGAACCCCCTAATATCTTTTACAAATGGAGCTGCACAGAAAAAAAGAAGACTTGAGCACAAACCAGTCTGACAGTAACTATATGTCAACATCACAACCAGGAAGGAGAAACATTTATATTATTTTTCATAAATTTCTAAATACGGGTTTCTGTGCAACGTCATCGCAGGTATGAGTGCGCAGCCAGAGGCAGAAAGCATGACATTTCTTAGGCTACGTTCACACTGCAGGTTATGATGCACAATCCGGATTCTTTGTTAAATCTGATCTTTTTGTGCGGTCGTTCACATTACAACATTGAATGTGGCATCTAATGTGAACGAAATACGTTTGTGAAGTGACCCGCATGTGCACAAAGCACAAATTGCTTTCCACGCATGTTTGTGTTGTCGAACAATGGTGACGTTTGTCGCATATTGATGATGTATAGGTCGGATGAACGCGACCTGAGCGTCCACACTGCAGTCACATCGGATACATATCTGATTTATATCCACGTACAAAAGAGGCCTGGGTCGGATTAGAAAAAATCAGAATTGCACTGTTCACACTTACATGAAAAAATCAGATATGTGTCACATATGGTTAAAAAATCGGAATTGACCTGCAGTGTGAACATAGCCTTATTTGTTTACTAGCCGAGTCAACGGAGAAAGAAAACGACAAGGAGCTGTTGTGCTGTAAACTACACAAATCGGCAAAACAAACAATCGGCCAACATTACGACCCTGCTCCTCATAACAGCAACATCTAAAACAACGTCACAACCTGGTAAATTGAGTGAAACTCATGGACATTTCAGCAAGTGTTTTTCAAGACAAAGCTATTTTTCAATGAAATGACATTTTGTTGCAGTTGTGTCAGGGAGAACTTACAAACAATTCGGCATCTTTATTGATATCAGTTCACTCCAAAGCAGTCTTTTGCCCCTTGGTTACGTGCGCACCAAGTATTGTTTGTACACAAGAAATCTGTCTATAAGGATGGCTGGCAGAGGTGGGATTTATGACCTATACTACAGCCTGTCACCAGAGGGTGCTGTTCTCGGGGTGGCTTCACCCAGTGAGGAGGCAGATGGCGTCCATTCTATATACGGCCTACAGTCATGGCCCTCAGGCTCAGTCCAGTCTTGTTGCACCTCGCTCAGGTCTAGTCCCTTAGATGGTGCTCGTCTTTTAATTTGGTCCAGTCAGTTGTAACGCTTAAAGCTGGTCCAGTTACATCTAAACTCCTCCAGGTGGGTCTAGTCTAGAGCAGAACAGACTTTTGAAGCAGATACTTCAGGTTTTGGTGTTCGGGCCATGCTCTGCTTCTCCTATCCTCTATTCACAAAACTTCTCAGGCAGGATTAGTTTGTGTTGTCCCCCTCTAATGCTGCTCTCTTTCTCTCTTTCTTGTTGAGAGATACTCTGTCTGTCCCCTTAAAGTGTTGGTTATCCAGACTTATGGGGACATTTGCCCCCATACCCACCAAATGGGGACCATGTCCTTTTACTGTCATGTTTCCAAGACCTTTGCCTACTTTCCCACGAAACATTTCATTTATTTTCTGTTTGCTGTCTTATCTGATCCTTGCAGGAGTGAAAATGTCCCTCACCATGCACAGCAGAAAGAGCTGTGTAGAACCTTAAGTAATGATGCTGTGTGATGGTTCAGCCACTAGAGGGCAGCAATGTTAAGGGTTTAATCTCAGAGCAGAACAAAAAGAGAGAAGCTCGGTCATAAACAGAGTATGATTCCAGGATGGCAGAGAACAACACGATGAGAAATGACCTTTATCGAATTTAATGTCCTGAGACTGTGCCGAGTACGAAGAAGTAAAAAAAGAGTGAATTCACTTTGTTAGTCTGGACATGTAGTCAGGCAGTGAGTCAAATTCAATCTAAATCAGTGCTGAAGAAAAGCAAACTCTGTTGACGCTTTAAAAACACACCATAATGACTATTTTATTCTCTTGTTTTAACCAAATAAAATCTGTGTAAATATGTTTCTATTTTAATATTCTCTGATAAAAATTTATGGTTTGTTTTTATGCTGTCATGTGCACAACCTGTGTCTGTTTCTATGAAGCACCCTAGGGCAAATCTTTTTCTTTTATAATGCAACTTTAACTTGAACACAGATATATAAAAAATGAAAAGAGCTTTATTTATAAACATTCATAAATTTACTCCTTAAATCCCAAAAAATAATTATAGTGGTTTCAAAATTCCTTACAAAGACAAACAGAAAGGTGTAGACTGTTAAAAACAACACTGATAATAACATGTCCTTTATACTGTGATATAGACTTCAACCTCTTTAAACACTTAACAGATTACAAAAATAATTTTGCTTTCTTAGTGATACACGTTTCCACATTTCTTAATCTCGTTTCTCTTTTTCTACCACCAACAATCTCTTTTTCTGAATATGAATTAATTACAAACTATCAAATCTATCATTAGCATTGATATGTCTGAAGGTATCTCCTCCCTTAAAACCTCAAACTGAGCTGAAACCACACCACAACTTCACCCAGCTGTCAATCATTTCACTGCAGGGGCTGATGGGAGATCTGTCGGAGGACCTGTTAGAAAGCAGGTGTCCTCGTCTGATCTCAGAGCGTCACTTCTCCTCAGGATCACCAGAGGAAACACCGACACACAAAATGCTTCTCCTCCCAGCTGCTGCCCTGTACTGTCTGTGTTCAGGTGAGTATTTCAATCAGCCAATCAGGAGCCAGCAAACTCGACCTTTACCAAACACCGTCTCACTCACCTGCTTCACCTGTGTGTGTGTGTGTGTGTGTGTGTGTGTGTGTGTGTGTGTGTGTGTGTGTGTGTGTGTGTGTGCAGCTCTGCTTTCAACAGCAGAAGATCTGATCCAGGAGGATTTAACTCTGACCAGGAGAGAAGGAGAACAAGTCTCCTTCAGCTGTGATCAAACTGACCGATGTTCTAGTGACTGGGTATTCTGGTACCAGAAGAAAGACTCAGACACATTCAGAGTGATTCTTGGTATAACCAGGAGTAGTGGTCGAATACGTAAAGGCTTCAATCATTCTCAGGAAGATGATTTCTCAGCTGTAGAAACTCAGAACAGCTGTCAGTTGCAGATCCAGACAGTTAAAGTCTCTCATTCAACCACCTACTACTGCTGCTGTTGGAAATGGGAGACCCACAGTGAGAAATGAAGAGAGCAGGCTGAACAAAAACTAAGAGATGAAGAGAAAACCACCGACAGAGTCACAGACACACTGAACTGAGAGACTCCTGTATTCACTGCTGTCAGGGTGTTATTATAGATCTTTGATTTCATTTAGTTATTATATATATATTTTTAATCAAAACTGTATTTGCAGGTTTATTGTTGTTCCTCAAAGTAAAGAACAAAGTGAAAGAAGCTGACAGTTACCTGTCTGAAAGAAAAGGAGATGAAGCCTTCAGTGAAACTGTCAGTACGTTTACATGTGTCACGACCAGGCTCTTCAGCCGCGACAAAAACAACGGAAGATGCACTAGTTAACGTAAACGCAATGAATTTATTAAGAAAACAGCACAACAGCAACTCAGGAGGTGAACACAAACAAGTCATGGGGTGTGAGGATCAGTAGATCAGCTGTGTAGGTGCGTGCATGCATGAGTGAATACGGGGTGTAATGTGTGGTAGGATGTTGGATGCGTAAAACAAAAGACAAAGCCATCCGCCCGGAGGGAAGGAGAGAGAGAACTGGTGGAGAAGGCGGGGTATTTATAGGTTGGGAGACACCGGGCCCAGGTGCTGCCAACCTCACTAACCGATCGGACCGCCCCCTGGTAACCTCCTGCTTGACAGAGGGAAAAGCATACATTAGACACCAGGGAACCGTCGCACCCACCCCCACAAGAACGGGGTCCTGAAGGGAATCCCGGGATTAAACAAACCTAAGCAAACAGACCAACATAAACACAATACCCCACAGTAACACCATATCAGTGCACCCGTATCCAGTCAACTTTTTTTTATTTTTTTATTTTTTTATTTAAAGTGCTAATCTAAAAAACAACCCAAACCCAACATACATTACATTTTTACAGGCACCGTGAGCACAGTGGAACACTACAAGTCCAGGTACCAGACTGTTTCGTTGGTCCAACATCCCTTAACCCAAACTCCCCACCCCAGCAACCGGTGCACCTAGGAAGCAATTTAAGAGATTGAGAGGAGGCAAGAGTAGAACCAAAAGGGAAACAGTTAGGCACAGTCGCCACGCGGGGGAGCCCGAGACAACGCGTCTGCCACCACGTTCTCGGCCCCCTTCACATAGCGAATGTCCAGAGAGTACGACTGCAGGAACAGCGACCACCTGACCAGCCGCTGGTTGGGACACTGCAAGGAGTTAAGAAAAGTTAGAGGGTTGTGGTCAGTGTACACGATGGTAGGGGCACCGCTGCCACCAACATAAACGTCAAAATGTTTTAAAGCCAAAATTAACGCAAGTGCTTCTTTTTCGATAACCGCGTAATTTAACTGACACGGGTTAAATTTCTTGGAAAAGAAACTAACAGGTTTATCGATTCCCAAATCATCCGTCTGCATGAGGACAGCTCCTGCTCCAGCGTGACTGGCATCTACATAGAGTTGAAACGGCTTGTCAAAACGCGGGGCAGACAGGACAGGAGCAGAGCAAAGCAGCTCTTTTACCTGTACGAACGCTTTATCGCAAGTCGGAGTCCAAATATATTTCGCCTTTCCTTTCAACAGATCAGTTAATGGTGCTACGACTGTTGAAAAATTTCTACAGAACCCCCTGTAGTAGCCGACGAGACCAAGAAAGCGCATAAGTTCTTTTTTCGTTGCCGGAACGGGGAACTGTTTCACCGCCTGAACTTTAGCATCTACGGGCCGCACCTGGCCCTGCCCAACCACACGGCCCAAGTATGTAACGGTTGGTCTGGCAAACTCACACTTTGCGAAGTTAACCGTGAGCCTTGCCTCCGCCAAACGAGTGAACAGTTCCCGGATACGCTCCAGATGTTCTTCCCACGTATCCGAATACACCACTACGTCGTCTAGATAAACCGCACAGCCCTGCATGTCCCCAATGACGCGGTTCATAAGACGCTGAAAGGTAGCAGGCGCATTTCTAAGGCCAAAGGGCATCACTGTATAGGAATACAGACCGGCTGGTGTCACAAAAGAGGCTATCTCACGCGCACGCGGCGTCAAGGGCACCTGCCAATATCCCTTTAACAGATCAAATTTACTGACGAACGCTGCTGAACCAACCTGATCTATACAATCGTCCATCCTGGGAAATGGAAAAGAGTCAGGCTTGGTAACGTTGTTAACTTTACGAAAATCTGAACAGAAACGGGGCGTGTTGTCAGACTTTGGAACGAGCAAGCAGGGAGATGACCAACTGGAAGAGCAGGGTTCCGCAATCCCATTCCCCAGCATGTAATCAACCTCTGCATCCAAATGTTTACGACGATCTGCATTTACTCGATAAAATCTTTGTTTGATGGGCGCAGCATCCCCCACATCTATGTCATGTTCAATTAAGTGAGTGCGACCGGGTGTATCACTGAAGAGGTCCGGAAAACCTCGGATCACCTGGATCAACTCTGCTCGGCGCGATTCTGTTAAATGTGGAAACAGGTTATCCAACCGGGCCATAGCCTCAGAATTTTTAAGCCGCCCATGTAACAGAGCCGAGTCAGGCATATTTAATTCGTCATCAGACTCCGAATGACTAGGATTAGAACACACCACTGGGGCCACCGCGCACACTGCATGGATCTGAACACTTGGCTGCGGGTCAACGGCAACTGTCTCCGAGGGGCGCGCGTAGTACGGCTTGAGCAAATTTACATGGCACATTTGAGTCGGTTTCCTACGACCCGGTGTTGAAATCACGTAGTTAAGCTCTGAAATTTGTTCCAACACTGTATGCTGCCCAGTAAATTTTGCCTGGAATGGTGACGTGACGATTGGAAGCAAAGCCAGCACTTGGTCCCGAGGACTAAAAACACGGCGCTCAGCCCCCCTGTCATATAGATGCTTCATCTTGCCCTGAGCTGACTCCAGCTTCTCCTTGGCCAATACCCCTGCAGTGTACAGCCTGTGCCTAAAGCCATTGACATAATCAATTAAATTCTTTGGAGGTTGTGACTCTACCCAGCCGCTAGACAGCGCAGCCAATGGACCTCTGACAGTGTGTGCGAAGACAAGCTCATTCGGGCTAAACTCTGTACTCTCCTGTGTCACCTCCCTTGCTGCAAGCATTAACCAGGGCAACCCGTCCTCCCAGTCTCTACCCAGCTCCGTGCAATACGCGCGCAAAAGGGACTTAAGAGTCTGGTGGAAGCGCTCCAACGCTCCCTGACTTTGAGCGTGATAGGCAGAGCTCTGGTTATGCCAGACTCGCAGCTGTTTCAGCACCTGCTGGAACATTTGAGAGGAGAAGTTAGACCCTCGATCTGACTGAATCACCTTTGGGATGCCAAACACAGATATAAACTGGGAGAGCGCCCACTTTTGTCACGACCAGGCTCTTCAGCCGCGACAAAAACAACGGAAGATGCACTAGTTAACGTAAACGCAATGAATTTATTAAGAAAACAGCACAACAGCAACTCAGGAGGTGAACACAAACAAGTCATGGGGTGTGAGGATCAGTAGATCAGCTGTGTAGGTGCGTGCATGCATGAGTGAATACGGGGTGTAATGTGTGTTAGGGTGTTGGATGCGTAAAACAAAAGACAAAGCCATCCGCCCGGAGGGAAGGAGAGAGAGAACTGGTGGAGAAGGCGGGGTATTTATAGGTTGGGAGACACCGGGCCCAGGTGCTGCCAACCTCACTAACCGATCGGACCGCCCCCTGGTAACCTCCTGCTTGACAGAGGGAAAAGCATACATTAGACACCAGGGAACCGTCACACATGACACTCGAGAAAACCAAATTATCGCCTTATTCCGATTAAGACCGCACAACTGAAGTGCATGTAAACACCTTAGTCCGACTATAATCAGAGTTTGAGAACTACGATTATAATCGGAGAACTCCGATTAAGACACCCAGATAATGCGATTGGAATTTGATTTTTTCTACTATGCAACCAGCATAGTCGGAGTATGATTGGACAATGCATGTGAGGCTGGGCCACGCCTCCGTAACCACGGAGTAAAAACACCAGAGAAGAAGCAGCGCTATCATTTAAAGAACTTTCGACTCAGAAGGAACTGAAACATGGCTGTGACACGAAAGAATGTCCACTTTTGGAACGACGAGGAGAGCGCCATTATGCTTTCCGTCCTGACAGAAATGGAGATTTTAAAGTATATGGACGGTCGCGAAACGAGGAATGGAGACATCTTTAAAAAATGTCTGAAAACTGTGCTGCTGAAAAGACCGACATCGCCTCCTAGTTTTGAGGAGAAGGACACATTCACGTCAACAATTTGATTTTCTCAGCTGCATGTATACGGGGACAAGGAGAGAAGTCCGAGTCGGCAAACAAAACGAATAATGAGCTTAGTCCAAATAAACTGTGCATGTAAACGTACTGAGTGACACAAATCAATCAATGACACAAATCAATCAGGACTGTGAATGTGCAGATTGCTGCAGTCCATCCCACCACCATAGCTGTGTGGACCAATGACAGTAGAGAGGCGCCTTTCTCTGATGTTCATAGAAAGTTTGTCGATGTTCCCTGTGGGAGCTCTGCCAGTGTAAGCTGCTGTTAGCCACCAGCGCTAGCTTTGTATACAGGAAGTAGTGTCCAAAAAAAGCAAAGATCCGTCTGCATTTCCAGTTTGAGTTTCAATGAAAGAGTTCTTTCTCAGACTCCAAGAAACTGGCAAACACAACAGCCAGGAGTCATGGTCCAGAAGAGTCCATTAGGTCTGGCTGGGATTGTAGACTGTCCAGTACAGAGACCTTTATTGTAACGACGGTTTACATTGAACCATGACCACGAGGGGAGTCATGGTGACCTGTACAAACTGGAAATGAAGAATGAGCACAGACTAAGTGAGGCCTGTTGGTCCCTGTTTGGAGGACAATGGTCTGCCACCCCAGTTTGAGAACCTCAGCCTGGTGAGCACATGTGGACTGGTGTTTTGGGGAAATGAAAGGGTAGCTACAGCTTGGTCTGCACGACCACTGATGAGGACCTCTTTGGAATCAGTCCGGCAGGGGAGTGGGCAAGGCTGGACCTGACAAATCCAGAAGTCCCTGGTCCTCTTCTCTCCAGGCTCTCTGACTCCAGACCTTCTCTGGTTCTCTGGGATCATGTTCCTCCTGAACAGAAGGTCCCAGAGTGTGAACCAGCGATGCCTAACCTAAAAGACTCTCCTGAGTCTGCAGAAGTTTCTGGAGAATGAGCGGTCATGGTTGAGTCTCTAGGCTGAGTTAGTGCTAACCAAGGCTGACCCGGGACTTCTGCACCTATCAGGGGTAACCTGGTAGGTCTTCTGATGGGGCACCACCTACTTGATCATGTGGATGTTGATCTGGTTCTATCAGCAGAATGTATCTACCAGAGCTTTCTTCAGGGAGTGAGGCGGAGCCATCACCACACAACAGACACCGACCCTTATTACTGACCTTTGCCCTGCCAAGGTCTGCCTTCCTCTGCTGCCCCAAAGAAGAGGTGAGAATACTTTACACAGTCCAATGGAGATGAGGTCTCATCGGGATAACGAGGCCATGCAGGTCTTTGTGTCTGACAGGGTTCCTGTACTTTTGGACTTGGGAAGATCTCAGAGGGAACGCTTTAGGAAGTGTTCTTCTTTCAGGACCAGACTCAAAGTGAACACCATGTTTGTACATCTACAGCAAACGAGGCGAATAATGAGAAAGAAGAGCATCGAGTTCATTCAGAAGGAAATATGGAGAAGAAGAAGAAGAACTTGATGGTCCATAGATCCACAGATCTGCTGGAGTCCAGAAAGAGGCTCAAAGAAGAGACAGTCATGTTGATGTGGACTTTAGAGAAAGTGATCCTGGATCTGAAACATGATCCTGGTTCATCATCTGACTCACTCAGCTGCTCTCAGGTTTTTGTACCACTGTTTCTCACTGTGGGAAGGAGGCTACTACCTCATTTTCGGCTCTGGGACTAAACTGATTGTAACAGGTAAGAACAAAAACTTTATCTTTATTGTTTGAACTGATTTATAAAACCTCAAAATCTCTCCACAAATCTGAAGTTATTGATGAATTTCTGATAAATCTGAGTTTGATATGAAATGTTGAGACACTGTCACCTCTATATTTGGTCCTCTCTGTGAGTCAGAACCATCATTTCTTTATTTATAATGTTAAGACAGTCAAAGTAACCTCATGTCAATTATATCAATATGAGGCACCAAAAACCTTTGTGTGGGAATATTTGTACAAGTAGACAGATACTCAATATTATCAACTAATATTTACAATAAATGTGATTTAATCTGGATCTATGGATAAACTATAGAAGCGTTTATATTTAAATATGTAAGGAAATGTTATTATATTTTATTGTCTGTAAATGAAGCTAAAAAATGAGATTACAGTCAAACACATGGAGGATGGTACAGAGGTATGAAGAGTCTGAGTGTTTGTACAAATTATTATATTCAAACAGGATTGATGATCTTATCCTCATTATAATATATTATATTATACTATATTATATTATATTTATCGGCAGCCCTGATGTTTTTCTAATTTTGTAACAATAATGTAGAATAATAAATAAATTACAGATATAATGATTCATCACTTCTCTAAAAAGAGCTGAATGCTCAGACTTACAACCTAAAAATGTAGAAGATAATGTAAGGACTAAAATCACCATTAAATTCGGAGGGAAGGGAAGGAGAGAGAGAACTGGTGGAGAAGGCGGGGTATTTATAGGTTGGGAGACACCGGGCCCAGGTGCTGCCAACCTCACTAACCGATCGGACCGCCCCCTGGTAACCTCCTGCTTGACAGAGGGAAAAGCATACATTAGACACCAGGGAACCGTCACACATGACACTCGAGAAAACCAAATTATCGCCTTATTCCGATTAAGACCGCACAACTGAAGTGCATGTAAACACCTTAGTCCGACTATAATCAGAGTTTGAGAACTACGATTATAATCGGAGAACTCCGATTAAGACACCCAGATAATGCGATTGGAATTTGATTTTTTCTACTATGCAACCAGCATAGTCGGAGTATGATTGGACAATGCATGTGAGGCTGGGCCACGCCTCCGTAACCACGGAGTAAAAACACCAGAGAAGAAGCAGCGCTATCATTTAAAGAACTTTCGACTCAGAAGGAACTGAAACATGGCTGTGACACGAAAGAATGTCCACTTTTGGAACGACGAGGAGAGCGCCATTATGCTTTCCGTCCTGACAGAAATGGAGATTTTAAAGTATATGGACGGTCGCGAAACGAGGAATGGAGACATCTTTAAAAAATGTCTGAAAACTGTGCTGCTGAAAAGACCGACATCGCCTCCTAGTTTTGAGGAGAAGGACACATTCACGTCAACAATTTGATTTTCTCAGCTGCATGTATACGGGGACAAGGAGAGAAGTCCGAGTCGGCAAACAAAACGAATAATGAGCTTAGTCCAAATAAACTGTGCATGTAAACGTACTGAGTGACACAAATCAATCAATGACACAAATCAATCAGGACTGTGAATGTGCAGATTGCTGCAGTCCATCCCACCACCATAGCTGTGTGGACCAATGACAGTAGAGAGGCGCCTTTCTCTGATGTTCATAGAAAGTTTGTCGATGTTCCCTGTGGGAGCTCTGCCAGTGTAAGCTGCTGTTAGCCACCAGCGCTAGCTTTGTATACAGGAAGTAGTGTCCAAAAAAAGCAAAGATCCGTCTGCATTTCCAGTTTGAGTTTCAATGAAAGAGTTCTTTCTCAGACTCCAAGAAACTGGCAAACACAACAGCCAGGAGTCATGGTCCAGAAGAGTCCATTAGGTCTGGCTGGGATTGTAGACTGTCCAGTACAGAGACCTTTATTGTAACGACGGTTTACATTGAACCATGACCACGAGGGGAGTCATGGTGACCTGTACAAACTGGAAATGAAGAATGAGCACAGACTAAGTGAGGCCTGTTGGTCCCTGTTTGGAGGACAATGGTCTGCCACCCCAGTTTGAGAACCTCAGCCTGGTGAGCACATGTGGACTGGTGTTTTGGGGAAATGAAAGGGTAGCTACAGCTTGGTCTGCACGACCACTGATGAGGACCTCTTTGGAATCAGTCCGGCAGGGGAGTGGGCAAGGCTGGACCTGACAAATCCAGAAGTCCCTGGTCCTCTTCTCTCCAGGCTCTCTGACTCCAGACCTTCTCTGGTTCTCTGGGATCATGTTCCTCCTGAACAGAAGGTCCCAGAGTGTGAACCAGCGATGCCTAACCTAAAAGACTCTCCTGAGTCTGCAGAAGTTTCTGGAGAATGAGCGGTCATGGTTGAGTCTCTAGGCTGAGTTAGTGCTAACCAAGGCTGACCCGGGACTTCTGCACCTATCAGGGGTAACCTGGTAGGTCTTCTGATGGGGCACCACCTACTTGATCATGTGGATGTTGATCTGGTTCTATCAGCAGAATGTATCTACCAGAGCTTTCTTCAGGGAGTGAGGCGGAGCCATCACCACACAACAGACACCGACCCTTATTACTGACCTTTGCCCTGCCAAGGTCTGCCTTCCTCTGCTGCCCCAAAGATGAGGTGAGAATACTTTACACAGTCCAATGGAGATGAGGTCTCATCGGGATAACGAGGCCATGCAGGTCTTTGTGTCTGACAGGGTTCCTGTACTTTTGGACTTGGGAAGATCTCAGAGGGAACGCTTTAGGAAGTGTTCTTCTTTCAGGACCAGACTCAAAGTGAACACCATGTTTGTACATCTACAGCAAACGAGGCGAATAATGAGAAAGAAGAGCATCGAGTTCATTCAGAAGGAAATATGGAGAAGAAGAAGAAGAACTTGATGGTCCATAGATCCACAGATCTGCTGGAGTCCAGAAAGAGGCTCAAAGAAGAGACAGTCATGTTGATGTGGACTTTAGAGAAAGTGATCCTGGATCTGAAACATGATCCCTGGTTCATCATCTGACTCACTCAGCTGCTCTCAGGTTTTTGTACCACTGTTTCTCACTGTGGGAAGGAGGCTACTACCTCATTTTCGGCTCTGGGACTAAACTGATTGTAACAGGTAAGAACAAAAACTTTATCTTTATTGTTTGAACTGATTTATAAAACCTCAAAATCTCTCCACAAATCTGAAGTTATTGATGAATTTCTGATAAATCTGAGTTTGATATGAAATGTTGAGACACTGTCACCTCTATATTTGGTCCTCTCTGTGAGTCAGAACCATCATTTCTTTATTTATAATGTTAAGACAGTCAAAGTAACCTCATGTCAATTATATCAATATGAGGCACCAAAAACCTTTGTGTGGGAATATTTGTACAAGTAGACAGATACTCAATATTATCAACTAATATTTACAATAAATGTGATTTAATCTGGATCTATGGATAAACTATAGAAGCGTTTATATTTAAATATGTAAGGAAATGTTATTATATTTTATTGTCTGTAAATGAAGCTAAAAAATGAGATTACAGTCAAACACATGGAGGATGGTACAGAGGTATGAAGAGTCTGAGTGTTTGTACAAATTATTATATTCAAACAGGATTGATGATCTTATCCTCATTATAATATATTATATTATACTATATTATATTATATTTATCGGCAGCCCTGATGTTTTTCTAATTTTGTAACAATAATGTAGAATAATAAATAAATTACAGATATAATGATTCATCACTTCTCTAAAAAGAGCTGAATGCTCAGACTTACAACCTAAAAATGTAGAAGATAATGTAAGGACTAAAATCACCATTAAATTCGGAGGGAAGGGAAGGAGAGAGAGAACTGGTGGAGAAGGCGGGGTATTTATAGGTTGGGAGACACCGGGCCCAGGTGCTGCCAACCTCACTAACCGATCGGACCGCCCCCTGGTAACCTCCTGCTTGACAGAGGGAAAAGCATACATTAGACACCAGGGAACCGTCACACATGACACTCGAGAAAACCAAATTATCGCCTTATTCCGATTAAGACCGCACAACTGAAGTGCATGTAAACACCTTAGTCCGACTATAATCAGAGTTTGAGAACTACGATTATAATCGGAGAACTCCGATTAAGACACCCAGATAATGCGATTGGAATTTGATTTTTTCTACTATGCAACCAGCATAGTCGGAGTATGATTGGACAATGCATGTGAGGCTGGGCCACGCCTCCGTAACCACGGAGTAAAAACACCAGAGAAGAAGCAGCGCTATCATTTAAAGAACTTTCGACTCAGAAGGAACTGAAACATGGCTGTGACACGAAAGAATGTCCACTTTTGGAACGACGAGGAGAGCGCCATTATGCTTTCCGTCCTGACAGAAATGGAGATTTTAAAGTATATGGACGGTCGCGAAACGAGGAATGGAGACATCTTTAAAAAATGTCTGAAAACTGTGCTGCTGAAAAGACCGACATCGCCTCCTAGTTTTGAGGAGAAGGACACATTCACGTCAACAATTTGATTTTCTCAGCTGCATGTATACGGGGACAAGGAGAGAAGTCCGAGTCGGCAAACAAAACGAATAATGAGCTTAGTCCAAATAAACTGTGCATGTAAACGTACTGAGTGACACAAATCAATCAATGACACAAATCAATCAGGACTGTGAATGTGCAGATTGCTGCAGTCCATCCCACCACCATAGCTGTGTGGACCAATGACAGTAGAGAGGCGCCTTTCTCTGATGTTCATAGAAAGTTTGTCGATGTTCCCTGTGGGAGCTCTGCCAGTGTAAGCTGCTGTTAGCCACCAGCGCTAGCTTTGTATACAGGAAGTAGTGTCCAAAAAAAGCAAAGATCCGTCTGCATTTCCAGTTTGAGTTTCAATGAAAGAGTTCTTTCTCAGACTCCAAGAAACTGGCAAACACAACAGCCAGGAGTCATGGTCCAGAAGAGTCCATTAGGTCTGGCTGGGATTGTAGACTGTCCAGTACAGAGACCTTTATTGTAACGACGGTTTACATTGAACCATGACCACGAGGGGAGTCATGGTGACCTGTACAAACTGGAAATGAAGAATGAGCACAGACTAAGTGAGGCCTGTTGGTCCCTGTTTGGAGGACAATGGTCTGCCACCCCAGTTTGAGAACCTCAGCCTGGTGAGCACATGTGGACTGGTGTTTTGGGGAAATGAAAGGGTAGCTACAGCTTGGTCTGCACGACCACTGATGAGGACCTCTTTGGAATCAGTCCGGCAGGGGAGTGGGCAAGGCTGGACCTGACAAATCCAGAAGTCCCTGGTCCTCTTCTCTCCAGGCTCTCTGACTCCAGACCTTCTCTGGTTCTCTGGGATCATGTTCCTCCTGAACAGAAGGTCCCAGAGTGTGAACCAGCGATGCCTAACCTAAAAGACTCTCCTGAGTCTGCAGAAGTTTCTGGAGAATGAGCGGTCATGGTTGAGTCTCTAGGCTGAGTTAGTGCTAACCAAGGCTGACCCGGGACTTCTGCACCTATCAGGGGTAACCTGGTAGGTCTTCTGATGGGGCACCACCTACTTGATCATGTGGATGTTGATCTGGTTCTATCAGCAGAATGTATCTACCAGAGCTTTCTTCAGGGAGTGAGGCGGAGCCATCACCACACAACAGACACCGACCCTTATTACTGACCTTTGCCCTGCCAAGGTCTGCCTTCCTCTGCTGCCCCAAAGAAGAGGTGAGAATACTTTACACAGTCCAATGGAGATGAGGTCTCATCGGGATAACGAGGCCATGCAGGTCTTTGTGTCTGACAGGGTTCCTGTACTTTTGGACTTGGGAAGATCTCAGAGGGAACGCTTTAGGAAGTGTTCTTCTTTCAGGACCAGACTCAAAGTGAACACCATGTTTGTACATCTACAGCAAACGAGGCGAATAATGAGAAAGAAGAGCATCGAGTTCATTCAGAAGGAAATATGGAGAAGAAGAAGAAGAACTTGATGGTCCATAGATCCACAGATCTGCTGGAGTCCAGAAAGAGGCTCAAAGAAGAGACAGTCATGTTGATGTGGACTTTAGAGAAAGTGATCCTGGATCTGAAACATGATCCTGGTTCATCATCTGACTCACTCAGCTGCTCTCAGGTTTTTGTACCACTGTTTCTCACTGTGGGAAGGAGGCTACTACCTCATTTTCGGCTCTGGGACTAAACTGATTGTAACAGGTAAGAACAAAAACTTTATCTTTATTGTTTGAACTGATTTATAAAACCTCAAAATCTCTCCACAAATCTGAAGTTATTGATGAATTTCTGATAAATCTGAGTTTGATATGAAATGTTGAGACACTGTCACCTCTATATTTGGTCCTCTCTGTGAGTCAGAACCATCATTTCTTTATTTATAATGTTAAGACAGTCAAAGTAACCTCATGTCAATTATATCAATATGAGGCACCAAAAACCTTTGTGTGGGAATATTTGTACAAGTAGACAGATACTCAATATTATCAACTAATATTTACAATAAATGTGATTTAATCTGGATCTATGGATAAACTATAGAAGCGTTTATATTTAAATATGTAAGGAAATGTTATTATATTTTATTGTCTGTAAATGAAGCTAAAAAATGAGATTACAGTCAAACACATGGAGGATGGTACAGAGGTATGAAGAGTCTGAGTGTTTGTACAAATTATTATATTCAAACAGGATTGATGATCTTATCCTCATTATAATATATTATATTATACTATATTATATTATATTTATCGGCAGCCCTGATGTTTTTCTAATTTTGTAACAATAATGTAGAATAATAAATAAATTACAGATATAATGATTCATCACTTCTCTAAAAAGAGCTGAATGCTCAGACTTACAACCTAAAAATGTAGAAGATAATGTAAGGACTAAAATCACCATTAAATTCTCTGAGAATAAAAATGTGTGTATATTATGGACAAAGTACTTTAAAGTTTATTGAAAACAGTAATAAAGTTGTGATTCAGCTTTGTTGTAAATAAATAGTATTTGTAGTTTAAAACTGTTTCAATGATTTTAATTTTTGTGAGTTATAGAAAGTCAGAAAATGTTGTTCAAGACTTTAGAGTGTGTGTGTGTGTGTGTGTGTGTGTGTGTGTGTGTGTGTGTGTGTGTGTGTGTGTGTGTGTGTGTGTGTGTGTGTGTGTGTCAGATAAGCCCGTGGTGAAGCCCGTGGTGAGTGTGTACCCGGCAGCATCCAGAGCCCAGCTGGAGGGGAAGAGCTCCCTGCTGTGTGTGGCCTCAGACATGTTTCCTCCTCTGGTCCAGATCTCCTGGAGAAGACGGGAGGAAGACGGTTCTCTGAAGGAGATGTCCTCTGATGAAGGAGAGCAGCTGGAGCTCAGAGAGTCTGGACGCACCGTCTCCATCCTGATGATCCCTCAGAGGGAGAACAGAACAGACAGATACCTCTGCACGGTGCTGCACCAGGGGAGCAGCGTGGACGCTCACACTGAACAAGGTCCAGAAAGCTGGGTGTCTAATTCAGCTTGATTAGATTGGAGATGGTGGAGCAGAGGACTGACCTTTCTTTTTCTCTTTGTCTCTAACAGAAGTTCCTGCAGCTCCTGAAACCTCCTGTCCTCTAGAGAGAGAGCCGACTGAGCCGTCAGCCCTGCAAGAGACCGACTGTAAGAATCAAGACAACTTTCTGAACCCTCAGAGGGAAGTTCAGGCACTGCTTTAAAACAGGAGAGAGAATAAGGGGAAAAACAGGGAATATAAACACACACAGGAAATATTTCAAATCAAATCAGTTCTACGTGCAAAGCAATTTCACAACACAAGATATATACAGAGAAAGGAAACAGGAGCAGACAGTTTGTACTCTTGATTTAACGCACAGTCAAAGACAGATGACAAATATTTACATCCAACAAGTTTCTACAAAACACAGTGACAAATAATCTGAAAATATGAAGTTAATGTTCATGATATTTCAATCCACAATATGACACTATCACTTTAAAGCTCCTATGAGGGTTTTTTACTGGTTAGGAAACCGTTTGAAACTAATGCTGCTGCCTCTTTAGGACCTTATAACAGTGTGTGTGTGTGTGTGTGTGTGTGTGTGTGTGTGTGTGTGTGTCAGTGTCCTTTGAGTGCAGGGTGAAGCTGCTGTCAGTCCTGTACTCTCTGCTGATCCTGAAGAGTCTGGTGTACTGCTGCGGACTCTCTCTGCTGACCATCTTCACTAACAAGCCACCGTCCATCAGCTGATGTGCTGACTGACTGTTTCCTGCTCGCCGTTTCTCACCGCCAAACCTCAGCAGCTCACCGCTTTCTTCAAGATTTGCTAACAAGCTACAAATCTGGAGCTTAGAACATGTTCATATAAGTTCCTGCAGTTTTAATGACGTCAACGTAGAAAGAAAATAAAAGTAAAAATCATATGGCGTAAAATAGATTTAGTTTTATTTCTGCTTGATTAACTGTAATTTGATAGGACTGAAAAATGTAAGCTTTCTTAAAGTTATTTTTTCTTTTGTTTTCCAGTTTTTATTTTCCTTGAATTATTCAAAACATGGTCAGATTTGTCCAACATTTTTACTGTGTAAATTTTTCAAATAAACTCTCAAAATTCCAGTGTTATTTTGTTTTTGTGAATCTAGTTTTGGATTTAAAGCAAATAATACAGAAACACATGATCGTTTCTATTGACTGTGTTTGTTTTCAGAAACAAGTGATAAAACTCTGACTGTCAACAAGTTTATGACCGAGAACAAAAACTGAAAAAAACGAAAAAAACAAAATCGGAGTTTTTATTAAACCTGAAATATGAAGAAAAAAATCAGGCGGTACAAAAAAATTGAAATCATATTGTGTTTTCAAAATTAAATTAAAAAATTAGAGAGAAAATGTTGATTTTCATTTTTAGTTTTTTTTTTATTTCATATTCTAAGAGCCGTGAAAATTTAATACCACACCAACACACTGACTGTCCTCTGTCCTCTATGGCTCTTCATGTATTTTAATTTTTTTTTTTTAGCATTGTTTGGTGTTTTCAGTTTTTATTAAATAATACTTTTACAGGCTACATGTAGTACACTACATCATAAAACTGCTAAAACAGATAAAATCTCATAAAAAGTCCAAATACAATAAAAATATATTGATACTGATGCTATACGGATGCTGAATTTAAATCTTAAACTCACATTACATTTAAAGTAGCTCCCAGTTTACTTCACCTATGTGTGATGAAAACTTTAATTTACATGTATGAATATAAATAAACATTTTCAAACCACGTCTAAGTCAGATAAAAAAGAGCAAACATCAACTTAAAGCTGAACTTAACATGCCCCTGTGTGTTTGTACCATCAGGTTTAATGCTGTCTGCTGTTTCTAATGGTCTGAGTGTGAAAGTAAAGCTCTACGCTGATGATACTGTTCCCTATTTATATAATTAAAAAACAGAGCTGATGATGAATTCTGATTAAACATTTAAAGATTTCATCAGCATTTTAAAAGGTCACCCATGAAGCTAAATATCTTCAACTCATTGTTCCTCTTCTTCCTCATGATCATGAAACAGACAGCAGAGAGAGTTGATTTTAAGCTAAAACTGATTAAAAAAACAAGAATTACACAGAGGTTTTATTTGAGTCTGACTCCAGTTTAAAGGTTTTTCTGAAATTTTACACAGACTGACATCTGAAGTGATTAAATATGAACCTTTGGATATTAAAATATAAAAAATATAATTTTCCAAAAGTATAATACTATAACCCTAACAGATAATGAATCAGATACAATAATGATAATTATAAAAACAATAACAATAATTCTGTCAGTGATTTTGTTAATGATGTAAAATATGCCTTCAGATGAAACTACATCAGTATCATCCATAAAATTCTGGTCACCATGCTGAAAAATAAAATGAAGAAAAATATGATCATAACCAAGAGTGACTATTAAAATCTCCACATGAGAGATACAGAAGAAAAATCTTCCAGTCTTTTCTAAAACAATGAAATTTGTTTTTATGAATAATAAAAACAGAATATTTGATTGGATTATCATAATGCTTTTGGCTTCAGTTTGTTTTTGTATTAAAAATTGGGTTTGATTTAATCTAAACTGTGTAAATTTTTAAGTAGGCCTAAATTTGACTAAATCTGTTTAAGAGATTATTTATTTTTTTACAGTTTGTGTTTCTATTAGGATTAACAGGCTCGTTTTTACGAATTGATATTTTTTACTCTTTTTTTTCTTGCCTTTTTTTGAGTTCAACTGACTTTTCACTCTAAACTGTTTCTAAATGTTTTTGTTTTTTGTCTTTATTTCTTCTGAAAATAAATTCTGAAAACTGAAGTAAATTTTATGCTCAAAATCTACTCTTATTGTATTTACAATTCAAATTAAATGTAATTTTTCAATAAGTTGAAAAGAAGAACAACATTTCCAATAAAGAAAAACAATCTGTGTTTCTGTCTTTATATTTTATCATGAGGATGAATTGTCAGCAGAAAAAAGTCCCAAAAATTTTATCTTATTCTATTATAAAATCCAAATTCTCACCCACATTTATTCAGATGTTGTTCTTCCATTGCACTTACCCTCCAACAGTTACTTTGTTTTTATTTTATTCTGATTGAGTCCCTCAGAATAAGACCAGAGTCAGAGTGCAACTGTTTAATTTTCTACTTTTTAAAAATTTACTGCTGTGTTCATGATTTTTGCACCAAGTCAGTTTCAGTACATATTATTCTCATCCTACAGTCAACCTGGCTCTGATCTTTAGGATTGTGTTGCTTATTTTAGATTAGTGGTCTTTGAGATGAGTTGTGTAGGTAGGAAAAGACAAAGAGGTGTTTAAAGTCGGAGAAGCCAGTCAGCGTGTGCAGCAGCAGCAGCAGCAGATATGCGTCCGTTGTAGGTGGTTATTAGGGCTGATAAAAACCTGTTTCTAGCAGATCAACACTTCCTTCCTGCAGCAGAGAGAGATGATCTGTGTGGCTTTCTGCTCTAACCGTTAGCTCAGCTTTTTCCCTTTAATAACACATGACAGTTACAACCATCCACCCTGCTCACAGCTTCATTCAGGATATTCAGTTTGATTTCAGTGCTCAGAATTCAGTCTGACCTTTGACCTTTGTTTGGGATTCAAGGAGAGAAACATTTCAAACTTTGAACTCAGAGCTGAGGAGCTCAAACCAAGTTAGAAAACATGCATCAGCTCTGGTTATTTATAATTGTTTGATGTTTCTGTTCGTGTAGATAAAGATCAGTATCATCAGCGTAGAGCTTTACTCTCACACTCGCACTATCAGAAAAAGTGACATATACTGAAGCTCCCTGTTTTACAAAAATGCATTAGTAATCCTAAAAAGGTTTAATGCATATGTAAACATACCCAACAATAAATGTAATTCTTATTTTCAACACTTATTAACTTGCAGTAAAGACAGTGTCCATACATTTACTCAACACGACTCTCACTTTTCTGTACTAGCTGTGCTTCTTAAAATAAAGCAGGTTGATGAATTAAACCATTAAATTAGGAGAATATATTTATTTGTTTTGATTTAGTTGAAAGTCTCCATTTGAGATATTTTAGTTTTATGATCATGAGGAAGAAGAGGAACAATGAGTTGAAGATATTTAGCTTCATGGGTGACCTTTTAAAATGCTGATGAAATCTATAAATGTGTAATCAAACAGAATTCATCATCAGCCCTGTTTTTTAATTATATATATATAGGGAACAGTATCATCAGCGTAGAGCTTTACTTTCACACTCAGACCACTAGAAACTGCAGAAAGCATTAAATCTGATGGTACAAACACACGGGGGCATGTTAAGTTCAGCTTCAAGTTGATGTTTGCTCTTTTTTATCTGACTAAGACGTGGTTTGAAAATGTTTATTTATATTCATACATGTAAATTAAAGTTTTCATCACACATAGGTGAAGTAAACTGGGAGCTACTTTAAATGTAATGTGACTTAAAGATTTAAATTCAGCATCCATATATTTTTATTGTACTTGGACTTTTTATGAGATTTTATCTGTTTTAGCAGTTTTATAATGTAGTATACATGTCGAACCAAAAGAGACTGTAAAAGTATTATTTCATAAAAACTGAAAACATCAAACAATCCTAAAAAAAAAAAAAAGAAATTAAAATACATGAAGAGCCATAGAGGACAGAGGACAGTCAGTGTGTTAGTGTGGTATTAAATTTTCACGGCTCTTAGAATATGAAATAAAAAAAAAACTAAAGATGAAAATCAACATTTTCTCTCTAATTTTTTTATTTAATTTTGAAAACACAATATGATTTCAATTTTTTTGTACCGCCTGATTTTTTTCTTCATATTTCAGGTTTAATAAAAACTCAGTTTTTTTTTTTGTTTTTTTTTCTTTTCAGTTTTTGTTCTCAGTCATAAACTTGTTGACAGTCAGAGTTTTATCACTTATTTCTGAAAACAAACACAGTCAATAGAAACGATCATGTGTTTCTGTATTATTTGCTTTAAATCCAAAACTAGATTCACAAAAACAAAATAACACTGGAATTTTGAGAGTTTATTTGAAAAATTTACACATTAAAAATGTTGGACAAATCTGACCATGTTTTGAATAATTCAAAGAAAATAAAAACTGGAAAACAAAAGAAAAAATAACTTTAAGAAAGCTTACATTTTTCAGTCCTATCAAATTACAGTTAATCAAGTAGAAATAAAACTAAATCTATTTGACGCCATATGATTTTTACTTTTATTCTCTTTCTAAGATGACGTCTTTCAAACTGCAGGAACTTATATGAACATGTTCTAAGCTCCAGATTTGTAGCTTGTTAGCAAATCTTGAAGAAAGCGGCGAGCTGCTGAGGTTTGGCAGTGAGAAACGGCGAGCAGGAAACAGTCAGTCAGCACATCAGCTGATGGACGGTGGCTTGTTAGTGAAGATGGTCAGCAGAGAGAGTCCGCAGCAGTACACCAGACTCTTCAGGATCAGCAGAGAGTACAGGACTAACAGCAGCTTCACCCTGCACTCAAAGGACACTGACACACACACACACACACACACACACACACACACACACACACACACACACACACACACACTGTTATAAGGTCCTAAAGAGGCAGCAGTATTAGTTTCAAACGGTTTCCTAACCAGTAAAAAACCCTCACAGGAGCTTTAAAGTGATAGTGTCATATTGTGGATTGAAATATCATGAACATTAACTTCATATTTTCAGATTATTTGTTACTGTGTTTTGTAGAAACTTATTGGATGTAAATATTTGTCATCTGTCTTTGACTGTGCGTTAAATCAAGAGTGCAAACTGTCTGCTCCTGTTTCCTTTCTCTGAATATATCTTGTGTTGTGAAATTGCTTTGCACGTAGAACTGATTTGATTTGAAATATTTCCTGTGTGTGTTTATATTCCCTGTTTTTCCCCTTATTCTCTCTCCTGTTTTAAAGCAGTGCCTGAACTTCCCTCTGAGGGTTCAGAAAGTTGTCCTGATTCTTACAGTCGGTCTCTTGCAGGGCTGACGGCTCAGTCGGCTCTCTCTCTAGAGGACAGGAGGTTTCAGGAGCTGCAGGAACTTCTGTTAGAGACAAAGAGTAAAAGAAAGGTCAGTCCTCTGCTCCACCATCTCCAATCTAATCAAGCTGAATTAGACACCCAGCTTTCTGGACCTTGTTCAGCGTGAGCGTCCACGCTGCCCCCCTCGTGCAGCACCGTGCAGAGGTATCTGTCTGTTCTGTTCTCCCTCTGAGGGATCATCAGGATGGAGACTGTGCGTCCAGACTCTCTGAGCTCCAGCTGCTCTCCTTCAGCAGAGGACAGCTCCTTCAGAGAACCGTCTTCCTCCCGTCTTCTCCAGGAGATCTGGACCAGAGGAGGAAACATGTCTGAGGCCACACACAGCAGGGAGCTCTTCCCCTCCAGCTGGGCTCTGGATGCTGCCGGGTACACACTCACCACGGGCTTCACCACGGGCTTCTCTGACACACACACACACACACACACACACACACACACACACACACACACACACACACACACACACACTGTAAAGTCTTGAACAACATTTTCTGACTTTCCATAACTCACAAAAATTAAAATCATTGAAACAGTTATAAAACTACAAATACTATTTAATTACAACAAAGCTGAATCACAACTTTATTACTGTTTTCAATAAACTTTAAAATACTTTGTCCATAATATACACACATTTTTATTCTCAGAGAATTTAATGGTGATTTTAGTCCTTACATTATCCTCTACATTTTTAGGTTGTAAGTCTGAGCATTCAGCTCTTTTTAGAGAAGTGATTAATCATTATATCAGTAATTTATTTATTATTCTACATTACTGTTAAAGAATTAGAAAAACATCAGAGCTGCCGATAAATAATATAATATAATATAATATAATATACTTAGGATAAGATCATTAATCCTGTTTGAATATAATAATTTGTACAAACACTCAGACTCTTCATACCTCTGTACCATCCTCCATGTGTTTGACTGTAATCTCATTTTTAAGCTTCATTTACAGACAATAATAAATAATATTTCCTTATATATTTAAATATAAACACTTCTATAGTTTATCCATAGATCTAGATTCAATCACATTTATTGTCAATATTAGTTGATAATATTGAGTATCTGTCTACTTGTACAAATATTCCCACACAAAGGTTTTTGGTGCCTCATATTGATATAATTGACATGAGCTTAATTTGACTGTCTTAACATTATAAATAAAGAAATGATGGTTCTGACTCACAGAGAGGACCAAATATAGAGGTGACACTGTCTCAACATTTCATATCAAACTCAGATTTATCAGAAATTCATCAATAACTTCAGATTTGTGGAGAGATTTTGAGGTTTTATAAATCAGTTCAAACAATAAAGATAAAGTTTTTGTTCTTACCTGTTACAATCAGTTTAGTCCCAGAGCCGAAGATGTAGTAGTCATTGTTGGGTCCCACAGTGAGAAACAGTGGTACAAAAACCTGAGAGCAGCTGAGTGAGTCAGATGATGAACCAGGATCATGTTTCAGATCCAGGATCACTTTCTCTAAAGTCCACATCAACATGACTGTCTCTTCTTTGAGCCTCTTTCTGGACTCCAGCAGATCGGTGGATCTATGGACCATCAAGTTCTTCTTCTTCTTCTCCATATTTCCTTCTGAATGAACTCGATCCTCTTCTTTCTCATTATTCGCCTCGTTTGCTGTAGATGTACAAACATGGTGTTCACTTTGAGTCTGGTCCTGAAAGAAGAACACTTCCTAAAGCTTCCCTGCTCAGAGTCCAAAAGTACAGGAACCCTGTCAGACACAAAGACCTGCATGGCCTCGTTATCCCGATGAGACCTCATCTCCATTGGACTGTGTAAAGTATTCTCACCTCTTCTTTGGGGCAGCAGAGGAAGGCAGACCTTGGCAGGGCAAAGGTCAGTAATAAGGGTTGGTGTCTGTTGTGTGGTGATGGCTCCGCCTCACTCCCTGAAGAAAGCTCTGGTAGATACATTCTGCTGATAGAACCAGATCAACATCCACATGATCAAGTAGGTGGTGCCCCATCAGAAGACCTACCAGGTTACCCCTGATAGGTGCAGCAGTCCTGGGTCAGCCTTGGTTAGCACTAACTCAGCCTAGAGACTCAACCATGACCGCTCATTCTCCAGAAACTTCTGAGGACCAGGGACTTCTGGATATGTCAGGTCCAGCCCTGCCCACTCCCCTGCCATACTGCTTCCAAAGAGGTCCTCAGCTGTGATCGTGCAGACCAAGCTGTAGCTACCCCTTCATTTTTACTGTCCCACAGTGATACAACAGATTGAGCCAGCACATAATTTTAACCCCTTCGGTGTTGCACACGCCAGTCTTCATTCATGGACTGAGTGTTTGAAGCGCTGATTCATCCACTAAACATCATCAGAATTGAACAAAACTTTACATGACACAAGATATAGCGCTTGTAGAGGCGGAAGAATAGTTCATGGTTATGAATACAGTTAACATGATTGAAATGTGTTAAAAAAGATAAATAAGTTGACAGTATAAAAATAGATGATTTAATAATACATAATTTCATTTATAAGTTCATATTGTGGTCAAAATGTTAAAAATATGCTAAATTTTTTCATGTGATTTGGTAAATTTTTTTTTATAACAGGGCTGCTTCCCCTTTAAGACTGCATGTGCGTTTGTTTTTGGTGGACACAGAGACGATGCAGTCAGTCAGTGCTTGGAGCTAGAGGAGCAAACGGTTTTCTTACCTGCTACTGCTACTGCTTAGTTACAACAAGTGTATTAGTATTATTCAGCTCCAGTCTTCATAATTTTGTGGATCCTTGGATGTAAGAAATAAACCAGAAGATTTTTTATATTTTTTCTTCACCACAAAAACGTTTCCAGAATGGATTTTGTTGACCTGTGTAGCTGGACTAGCGGCAGACACTGCCTGTGGAAGTAACTAAGTGCCAAGTTGAGTAATCCATTGCAAGTTACCAAGCACTAATTCAAACTTCTACATTAGTAAGAAAACCGGCTGGACATTGTGGGCCTGTGGAGAGGTTTGTGGAAAGTGGAGCACATTCAAGATTCAAAGATGGACCTGAAAGAATATCCTCAGTTAGCCTACTGAGGCAACAAGTGACTTGTGAGTAATAAGCTAACATCTTAGCTAGCAAGTGGAGAGACGCTATCTCACTGAGGCTCGCTTGCTGTTTGCATTGACTGTTGGTTAGCAAATGGGATCTGTGTAATTACTGGAACAACCAACTGCAAAGTAAGCATGGCAGGAACAGAAATAGAGGAGACAGTAGAACTAACTGAGGAAGAGGAAAATGAAAAAGTAAAGAGAGTTTTTAAACCAACACTTAAAGCATTGGAGCATAATCTGCAAACAAAAATAGCCTCAAGAAGAGCTATACCTGGCCAACTTACTGGGAAAAGGAACGAGTTGCATGCTTTAATGGATGATGATGCAAATGTGCAAACTATCGGAAAAGAAAAGTTTACCAACTATAATGGACTGATGAAAGAATTCAGTGAAATAAACAAGCATGTTAAAGACCTATTCTGCCAGACAGGATGTGAAGAGAACATGAAAGCAGACCAAAGGGACTGGTTTGAGCAGAGAAATAGTGAGCACACTAACTTCATACAAGAAGTGAATTCATGGATAGAGGCAGCTAAACAACGCCAAGAAGAAGCTAAAAAGGTTAGTGATGAGATTCGACCTGAAGACAGTGTGTCAGTCACATCCGAAAAATCTAAAAAATCCAAGTCTGTCAGTGCTGCTTCAGCTATATTGTCAGTTCGTTCTGAACGCTTAAAGATGGAGCTAGGAAGAGCTGCTCTGTTAGCCATGTCAGCTACATTGAGGAAAAAACAGGCTTTGGAAAAACATGAGCTTTCGCTACAGCTACAGCTAAAGGCAGAAAAAGAAGAGTTAGAGCTACAAGCCGGGCTTGCTATAGCTGATGCGCAATTGGCTGTGCTACAGAAATATGAAGGCTCAGAAGTGTCTGTCAGATCAAAAGGAAGCAAGGTGGATGCGCTAATGTCTGCTCCAGTGAACCAAGACGTCAATAGGAGTGTTGCAGCAGACAGTGGTGGTCAATATATCCACACAATAAGAGGAAACTCATATGATAGTGTGATACAAGCCCCTGTTTATGCAATGGACAATTCTGTGAGCGCAGATAAACTGGTTACTGTCATGCAACGCCAAAACGACATCACAGAAAGCCTAATAAAGCAACAGAAGCTCTCTACATTGCCACCTCAGAACATCCCAGTTTTCAAAGGTGATCCAATAGAATACTGCCTCTTCATGAGAGCGTTCGAACACAGCGTGGAGAGTAAGACAGAAAATAGCAAAGATCGTCTTTACTATTTAGAGCAACACACTACTGGACAGCCTAATGACTTAGTGCGCAGTTGCTTTCACATGCACCCAGAACAGGGCTATCCTGAAGCCAAGAGTCTTCTGAAAGAACGCTTTGGAGATAAATACAAGATATCCGTGGCTTATCTGGACAAGGTGTTAAACTGGCCTGTCATAAAAACAGAAGACAGCAAAGCACTTGAGTCATACGCCCTCTTTCTCACAAGTTGCAGCAACGCAATGTCTGACCTCGAGTACTTAGATGAGATGGAAAATGCTGCTAATATGCGCACCATTATCTCTAAGCTCATCACGGATCTTCATCCCAGGAGATGTAGTTTTGATCGTTGATGAGTCAGCACCTAGGGGATCATGGCTGCTGGGAAGGATCGTCAAGACTATGGAGGATGAGCATGGAATGGTCTGCAAGGTTTGAGTCAAGACGAAAACTAATGAACTTGAGAGACCAATAACTAAGCTCTGCTTACTTCAAGAAGCAGTACGAGAAGGACTGTTACTCACCTGATTGAGACTTTTAATTGCCTGAGTGTTACTCAGAAGAAAGACATTATAAAAAAAAAAAAAGAAGGGACATTGTTCATATAAGTTGTAATTGTTTCTACCCTAGAAAGCAATTAGGGGCCGGGTATGTAGAGGCGGAAGAATAGTTCATGGTTATGAATACAATTAACATGATTGAAATGTGTTAAAAAAGATAAATAAGTTGACAGTATAAAAATAGATGATTTAATAATACATAATTTCATTTATAAGTTCATATTGTGGTCAAAATGTTAAAAATATGCTAAAATTCATCTTTCATGTGATTTGGTAAATGTTTTTTTATAACAGCTCTGCTTCCCCTTTAAGACAGCATGTGCGTTTGTTTTTGGTGGACACAGAGACGATGCAGTCAGTCAATGCTTGGAGCTAGAGGAGCAAATGGTTTTCTTATCTGCTACTGCTACTGCTTAGTTACAACAAGTGTTTTAGTATTATTCAGCTCCAGTCTTCAGTTTTGTGGATCCTTGGATGTAAACCAGAAGATTTTTTACATTTTCTCTTCACCACAAAAACGTTTCCAGAATGGATTTTGTTGACCTGTGTAGCTGGGCTAGCGGCAGACACTGCCTGTGGAAGTAACTAAGTGCCAAGCTGAGTAATCCATTGCAAGTTACCAAGCACTAATTCAAACCTCTACAGCGCTGTTTCCAGACATTTTTAAAGATGTCTCCGTTCCTTGTTTTGCGCTCTTCTCGTCGTTCTAAAAGCGGACGTTCTTTCGTTGCTTCTGAGTTGAAAGTTCTTTAAATGATAGCGCCGCTTCTTCTTTGGTGTTTTAGTTACTGTTATAGAGTGCATTTGATACTGTTGAGATTGTTACATCTTTTTAGCTGTTGTTTAGATGTGCTGTTGAGGTGTTTTGGCTTGTTTTGCGACCGTCCATATACTTTAAAATGTCCATTTCTTTACATGCACTTCAGTTGTCCGGTCTTAATCGGAGTAAGGCGATAATTCGGTTTTCTCGAGTGTCATGTAATGTACTGACAGTTTCACTGAAGGCTTCATCTCCTTTTATTTCAGACAGGTAACTGTCAGCTTCTCTCACTTTGTTCTTTACTTTGTGGAACAACAATAAACCTGCAAATACAGTTTTGATTAAAAAAAAAAATATATATATATATAATAACTAAATGAAATGACTGTTATAGAGTGCAGTTGAGACTGATATCTGTTGAGCTGGTTTTGTCTTGTGTTAAGCTGTTGTTTAGGTGTGCTGTTGAGGTGTTTTGGCTTGTTATGATTGTGGTTTGTTATGGTGAGATTGGAGTTTCGTGAGTTACTGTTGTATTTAGTGCAGTTGATACTGTTTAGCTGGTTACGTTTTGTGTTTAGCTGTTGTTTAAGTGTCCTGTTGAGGATTTTTGGGCTAGTTGTTATGATCGAGGTTTGTTATGGTGAGATTGGAGTTTCGTGAGCTACTGTTATAGAGTGCATTTGATACTGTTGAGATGGTAACGTCTTCTTTTTAGCTGTTGTTTAGATGTGCTGTTGAGGTGTTTTGGCTTGTTTTGCGACCGTCCATATTCTTTAAAATGTCCATTTCTGACAGGACGGGAATAATTATGGCGCTCTTCTCGTTGTTCTAAAAGCGGACATTCTTTCGTTGCTTCTGAGTTGAAAGTTCTTTAAATGATAGCACCGCTTCTTCTTTGGTGTTTTTGTTACAGGGGCGTGGCGGATGCGCACATGCATTGTCTAATCATACTCCGACTACGCTGGTTACATGGTAGAAAATCGAATTCCAATCACATTATCTGGGTGTCTTAATCTGAGTTCTCCGACTATAATCGTAGTTCTCAAACTCCAATTATAGTCGGACTAAGGTGTTTACATGCACTTCAGTTGTCTGGTCTTAATCGGAATAAGGCGATAATTCGGTTTTCTCGAGTGTCATGTAAACGTACTGACAGTTTCACTGAAGGCTTCATCTCCTTTTCTTTCAGACAGGTAACTGTCAGCTTCTTTTACTTTGTTCTTTACTTTGTTGAACAACAATAAACCTGCAAATACAGTTTTGATTAAAAATATATATATAATAACTAAATGAAATCAAAGATCTATAATAACACCCTGACAGCAGTGAATACAGGAGTCTCTCAGTTCAGTGTGTCTGTGACTCTGTCTGTGGTTTTCTCTTCATCTCTTGGTTTTTGTTCAGCCTGCTCTCTTCATTTCTCACTGTGGGTCTCCCTTTTCCAACAGGAGCAGTAGTAGGTGGCTGAATGAGAGACTTTAACTGTCTGGATCTGCAAACCCCAGCTGTTCTGAATTTTCACAGCTGAGAAATCATCTTTCTCAGGATGATTGTAGCTTTTATCTAGTTCACCACTACTCCTGTCAATATCAAGAATCACTTTAAATGTGTCTGAGTCTTTCTTCTGGAACCAGAATACATATTTACTAGAACATCTGTCAGTTTCACAGCTGAAGGAGACTTGTTCTCCTTCTCTCCTGGTCAGAGTTAAATCCTCCTGGATCAGATCTTCTGCTGTTGAAAGCAGAGCTGCAGACACACACACACACACACACACACACACACAGGTAAAGCAGATGAGTGAGACGGTGTTTGGTAAAGGTCGAGTTTGCTGGCTCCTGATTGAAACACTCACCTGAACACAGACAGTACAGGGCAGCAGCTGGGAGGAGAAGCATTTTGTGTGTCGGTGTTTCCTCTGGTGATCCTGAGGAGAAGTGACGCTCTGAGATCAGATGAGGACACCTGCTTTCTCACAGGTCCTCTGACAGATCTCCCATCAGCCCCTGCAGTAAACTGATAAGACCACAGCATGACAGGAAACCTCTGTAACAGCAGACGCTCTGACTGGTTGATGTGGGTAAAAACAGGAAGTGATAAAAACAATCGTGTACGGTTGAATTTTTATGAGAACTAAAGTCGTGATAAAACGAACATTGACTGAGCAGTCGTGAGAAAGTTCGTTATTCTGAAAAAAAGAGTAATAAGATTTGGATGAGGTTGGGCAACAGTCAGGAAATGAAAGAAAACTTTGATCAGGTCAAAAAAATGAATAACTCCAAACCCAGAAGAGTGTGACACGGTGTGAAATGATAAAAGTGTTTATAGTTTGAAAACCATATTGAGGATAAATTTAATTCAAATAGTAAAAAGAGAACGTATCAGACCTGTGTGTAATGTTCAGCATTATTGGGAGTTAGTGGTGTGTCAGTCATCATTAATAATAAAAATAATAATTATAGTAATAATAATGATATAAAAATCTAAATAATAACAGTATTTTTTTTTTAAGTTATAATAATAATGATAATGATGATGACAATGATGATAACAATAATATGATAAAAAATAACAACAATAATGAAAATAATAATAATGATAATTATTACAGTAAAACATAATTTTGATAAAAATAACAATTATCATCATCATCTTCATTATAACAATAATATTAATAATAACAATAACAACAATAATAGTAATAATAATAATAATAATAGTTTTAATAATAATTATAGTGATAATAATAGTGATATTATTACCGTCATAAAAATAATAATAATCATATTAATAATAATAATGAAGACGACAATGATAATTATAATAAAAAGAAACAAAAATAATAACAATAATGAAAATGATAATGATAATTATTACAGTAATAAATAAAAAAGCATGATGAAAAATTTTAATAATAATAACTATCATCATCATCATCATTATAACAATAATAAAAATGTTATTAATAATAAAAACTGAGGAAGCAGAAACAGGGTTCTTTTTTCTTCACCATACAGCTGATTTCACCGTCCATCCTTCTGTCGGTGTTTTTGTTGTTGTTGTTTGTTTTTTGGTGATAAAGAGGCGTCTCTGTTAACGTCAGTCTGCTTCACTTTAAAATTCCTCACAGGAGCTTTAAAGTAAAGGACAAACATCAGCTTTAGCTTACTCAACAGTTTATTAAAATTCATTTTGATAACTTTTATAAATGGAACAACTGTCTGTCTGTTAAAGCTTGTATGACATGTTTAATATTTTGTTTTTGTCAGGAACTGACTGTGGGAAAAGACTCAATTTTAGACCTGAGGTTCCAACAGGGAAAAGATTTAGGTTTATTAACAGTCCAAGTTCAGTACACAATAAGGCAGAATAACAGGCAGAGGTGTCCAAAACTTTAGGGTCAAAAACTAACAAGGTCGATATCGTAGGCTGTGATAACGAAGAAAAAGTGCTGGAACGTGACAGAAGTACAAGGACTGTGAGAGACACAAGGTTAAGTACAAGAGGTAATGAGGGTGATGGGAGACAGGTGTGGACAAACAATCAGGAGGCAGGTGTGACAAGACGGGGGCGGGGCAGACAGGAACACACCTGAAACAGAGACAGGGGTTAGTGACTTCCAAATAAAACACACAGGAGACATCAGAACAAATGAACCAAATCAAGATAACTTGACCCTGATCATGACAGTTATGGAGTATTTTTGTAGATTGAACATTTCGATTGTTTTCACAATAAAGATTTGTTAAGATTTAAAATATAATGTAGATCTGACGTCGTTTGAGTTTTTTTTATCCACTAGATGTTGTATTAATATGTTCCTCCGTCATGGCTGTTTTATAAACACAGTTTTCTCAGAGTGGATTTCTCTTTGCTGGAGGAGATAAATGTTTTATCTTTAAAGAAAAAAACTGATTTTCATATGAATATTCAGCACAAAGTGTTTCATTCACAAACAAACAGGCTAAAAATAAAAACAGGAATTATGAACGAACGCTGTAATATGATATCATAAACAAAAACGTCTGTTAGAAATACAACATTTAACACCACCTGCAGCTGAAACCACATTTAACCAAGATCTAAAACTAAATGATAACGTGTTTTTCTACATAATCTGCCATGATTTATGCAAGATGCACAAAAATACTGTATGTAATGCAGTTTTGTCATTTAGACACAATAATTTATATACAGTAGAAAGAGACTTATTAAAGTATGAACATCATTTGTCATGAGTATTCATTAAACTAAATCTAATTACTATAAAACAATGTAAATAGCATGCTTAAAAATGACTGATTCGTTTCACATCACATCACACAAGTCGGTACCTCTTTGTACAAGCAGCCATTATATCGACGATGCTGCCCCCTGTTGGCTGCAGTGTCTCACTGCTTCAATCTGCATTACTCAAGTTATATCTGATCAACTTTGACTCATATTGGATCAAATTTTAAACCAGGGAGAGCCACACTTTGACTCAATTAACCAAGTTTCATCATCCATGGTGTGTCCAGTTCATGTTGAAGGTCCTTTCAGTGGGTCAGGTTCATGCCATGACCATAGACTGTATATACTCCAGACAACTTGGTCCTGTCTTATGCCAGTATCCGGATTTGAAGCCGAAAAGCTCTCGCGGTAATTCCGCGTTTTTTCTCCACTTCTTGAAACCAGCATTGCGCAGTAGCGTTGTACGCATTCAGCTGTAAGGTCGCTGTGATGACGCTCGGCTCAAACAGCGTATCCCCCAGGTGAGGTACACAATCTTTGTACGCCCATAGGCTGTATCAGGTGTCAATCATAGAAAACATGAACCCCCTAATAACTTTTACAAATGGAGCTGCACAGAAAAAAAGAGGACTTGAGCACAAACCAGTCTGACAGTAACTACATGTCAACATCACAACCAGGAAGGAGAAACATTTATATTCTTTGTCATAAATTTCTAAAGACAGGTTTCTTTGCAACGTCATCGCAGGTATGAGCGCGCAGCCAGAGGTAGAAAGCGGGACATTTCTTAGGCTACGTTCACACTGCAGGTTATGATGCACAATTCAGATATTTTGTTAAATCCGATCTTTTTGTGCGGTCGTTCACATATCCGATTTATATCCACGTACAAAAGAGGCCTGGGTCGGATTAGAAAAAATCAGAATTGCACTGTTCACACTTACATGAAAAAATCAGATATGTGTCAGATATGGTTAAAAAATCGGAATTGACCTGCAGTGTGAACATAGCCTTATTTGTTTACTAGCCGAGTCAACGGAGAAAAAAAACGACAAGGAGCTGTTGTGCTGTAAACTACACCAATCGGCAAAACAAAGAATCGGCCAACATTACGACCCTGCTCCTCATAATAGAAACATCTAAAACAACGTCACAACCTGGTAAATTGAGTGAAACTCATGGACATTTCAGCAAGTGTTTTTCAAGACAAAGCTATTTTTCAATGAAATGACATTTTGTTGCAATTGTGTCAGGGAGAACTTACAAACAATTCGGCATCTTTATTGAATTCAGTTCACTCCAAAGCAGTCTTTTGCCCCCTGGTTGTGTACGCACCAAGTATTGTTTGTACACAAGAAATCCGTCTATAAGGATGGCTGGCAGAGGTGGGATTTATGACCTATACTACAGCCCGTCACCAGAGGGTGCTGTTCTCGGGGTGGCTTCACCCAGCGAGGAGGCAGATGTCGTCCATTCTACATACGGCCTACAGTCATGGCCCTCAGGCTCAGTCCAGTCTTGTTGCACCTCGCTCAGGTCTAGTCCCTTAGGTGTTGCTCGTCTTTTTATTTGGTCCAGTCAGTTGTAACCATAGACTGTATATAAGATGGACGCCGTCTGTCTCCTCGCCGGGTGAAGCCACTCCGAGAACAGCACCCCCTAGAGCGTGGCTGCAGTACAAGTCATAAACCCCACTTCTGCCAGCAAAGTGTATGGAGCGGCGGACGGCCTTTAGAAATTAATTTCACAGAAAATACACTTTTCTCACCCCCGACTGCGATGTTGACATGTAGTTATTATTAGACTGGTTTGTGTTCAGGTCTTTTTTTAATAATAATAATAATAATAATAATACATTTTATTTGTAAAGCGCTTTTCAAAGACACAAAGACGCTGTACAGAGTAAGCAGTAAAAACATACATCAATAAGTAAGAAAATTTACGGCAATATAATAAAAACATGTAATCAGGTAAAATCAAATAACAATAAAACACACATAAATGAGTAATAAAATTTACGACAATGTCAATAAAAACATGTAGAATCAGGTAAAATCTAATGGGGGGGGGGGTTAGGAGGGATGAAAGGCAGTGCGGAAGAGGTGGGTTTTGAGAAGGGTTTTGAATCTGGTGAGGTCAGTGCAGTTTTTGAGTTCAAGTGGGAGTGAGTTCCAGAGGGTGGGGGCGGCGACTGAGAAGGCTCTGTCCCCCCAGGTTCGGTGCTTGGTCAGGGCAACTGTGAGGAGGTTGGCATTGGCGGAGCGGAGGGTGCGGGAGGGGATGTAGGGGTGGAGAAGATCCTGTAGGTAGGGGGGGGCGAGGTTGTGGAGTGCTTTGTGGGTGAGGAGGAGGATTTTGTATTGAATGCGGTGGGGTATGGGGAGCCAGTGAAGGTTTTGGAGGACGGGGGTGATGTGTTGATGGGAGCGTGTGTGGGTGAGGAGGCGGGCGGCTGAGTTCTGGATAAGCTGAAGTTTGTTGAGGAGAGTGGAGGTGGTGCCATAAAAGAGACTGTTGCAGTAATCTAGACGAGATGAAATGAATGCATGTATAAGGGTTTCAGCTGCAGGGTAGGAGAGGGAGGGGCGGAGGCGGGCAATGTTTTTGAGGTGGAAGTAGGCTGTTTTAGTGATTTGCTTAATGTGTTGGGTGAAGGAGAGGTTGCTGTCGAAGAGAATGCCAAGCAGTGGGAGGAGGGGGAGAGGATGGAGTTATTGATGGAGAGATGAAAGTTTGTGACTGTGGAGGTGAGGGAGTTTGGGCCAATGATGATGAGATCTGTTTTGTCATAATTGAGTTTAAGAAGATTGCTGTCCATCCAGTGTTTGATGTCAGAGAGGCAGTTTGAGAGGGAGCGTTGGGTCTGGGGGGTGATGGAGTTGGAAGAGATATATAATTGAATGTCATCAGCATAGCAGTGGAAGTGGAGGTTGTGTTGATGGAGGATGTGGCCAAGAGGGAGGAGGTAGATGATGAAGAGGAGGGGACCAAGCACCGAACCCTGGGGGACACCTTGGGACACGGGGGCGGTTGTGGAGGAGCAGTTGTTAATATGGATGAAGTGATTCCGGTCTGTGAGGTAAGAGTGGATCCAGTTAAGAGCGGTGTCTGTGATATTGAGGAGGGAGTGTAGGCGGGACAGAAGGATGGCATGGTCGATGGTGTCGAAAGCAGCGGAGAGGTCGAGGAGGATGAGGATGGAGAGTTGGCCAGAGTCAGCAGAGATGAGGAGGTCATTTGTCACTTTTATGAGGGCAGTTTCGGTGCTGTGGTGGGTGCGGAATCCTGATTGGAACTGTTCGTATAGGTTGTTATTGTTGAGGTGGGTTTTGATTTGTGATGCGATGACACGTTCGAGGATTTTTGACAGGAAAGGGAGGTTTGAGATGGGCCGGAAGTTACTAATGTCATCGGGGTTGAGTCCAGGTTTTTTGAGGATGGGGGTGACAGCAGCCAGTTTAAGTGACGGGGGAACAGTGGCGGAGTTGAGGGAGGAGTTGATGATCTGTGTTATGACTGGGGAGATGACGGGGAGGCAGTGCTTGATGAGGCAGTGCTTTCTCTCTGCAGCTCCATTTTAAAAAGTTATAAGGAGTTATAAAAACAGGAAATTGCGTCATTCTCTACACTTTGCACTTGCTGCTTGTGCGTCGCTCTTTTTTGTCCATCGTCAAGACCGATCAGGTTTGCCAGCGGAGAAGAGGATTACATTTTTCCATCGTTTTTCTCTTTTATTGCATTGGAAAAATGAGTTGTTCTGCAGTAAACTGTGTTAACCGACATGTGAAATCAGGAACTTTGCAGTTGTTTCGGTAAGTTATGTTTTTTTTATGAAGTCATCAGCTTGCTAGCTACATAACATTAAACGGTCTGGTTTAATTTAGCTAATGGGGTTTACTTACAGATACCAAGCGGTAAGTTCTGTGCCGCTAATAAGCGTTTTTATTAGAAGTTAAACAATGAGGAAACCCCTTAAAATCCGCCTTCTTTTTATAACAATATTATGACTACGTGACTTTGAATTTGAATTAAAAACCGTACCGATCACACAGATTCATACTAGCAACCAAATACTACCACAGAGTATCAGGGCATGAAATGAAAACTCGAGGCATGAAGTCATAATGTTAAAGGAATTAATTCGCATTTAAGTCATACCCCTAATATTGCATCACTTTATGAGAACAAGGCCATGTAAATGAATATAATGAGAGTCATGATGTTATGAGTCGAAGTTTTGGTAATGGATCAACCAGTTTTACTCGGGTATGTTACAACGAGAGCAGCCTGCGCTAAAATCAGGTATGGTTTAATTAAAATGCATCTTTCGGATGCACCGTCCTAGCTTTCTGGCAGAGGATTGACCGCCGGTTCAGTCTCCTCCGTACAGCGGCAGTAGTATTACAGCTTCTGGTGACATAACGATATTTGTCTAAGATAAAGCTCTGAAACTGTCTTTAATGGGACAAAACGTCGATAAAACGAGACCCTATAAGTGTATAGAAGGACATGCTCAAAAGATTACTTATACAAGTTGCATAACTGTTATTTATTTTATGTTATCAAATAACATACATAAGTCATAAGTATACTTCTGTGTAATGACAATTATCATTTACAGCAGCATGGTAGATCATGTCTTATTTAAGTTTTCAAGATAGATAGATAGATAGATAGATAGCCCTGTTACCTATGAGATTGAGATAAAACTATGAGTAATGTAATTAGTTATGGAAAGACAGCTGCATATGACATACTTCATCAATCACAATGACATTAAAATTTTTGTTACATGCAAAGAAATCCCTCAATTTTGATAGGATGTTCATAAGACATATCACTCACAAGATGAAATGATTTAGATTATTTATACAGTTTGAATATTCATTCACTTGAGGTATTTTTTGTGATTGTCTTTGAATTGAGTTTTGGCTTCAGCCTGTTATGCAACAAAGCAAGAATTAAACTGAACGCAAAACATTAACTTTGTGTTGTTTACAAACTTGACAAATGGCAGTAAGCAATGTTATTGTATTTTTGTAAAGTTTCCCTTTAGGTAACAAAGCAAGGCTGAAGCAGTGGCTGGTGAACACAAGACGGCAGGACTGGAAACCAACAGGATCATCACGTCTTTGCAATGCTCATTTTGAAGAGCATGCCTTTACTGTGGACTCAAAGGTTAAATTATTTCTTTTTTAATGGACAGCAATTTTTATTAAGTTCACATTTGCAACAATTTATTGTTAAATTGACTAACACTTTGAATCATAAAATGGCGGTTATTTAAACATTCCCAACAGCTGAACACTACAACTATCGTGGTTACATTTTAAATTACTGCTGTTTTTATGTTTTCTAAAATTAGGTATTTGCATGTAGTTGTAGTGTCTGCTACCATCTACTGGTCATTATTAGTTAGTGTCATCAGTCATTTTCAGTTTAAGTTGGCGCAGCCTGGAGTAAAAAAAACAGGAATCATGTTGCAAAAAAATTTGAGTGATACCACATGAACAACTTCTTATGCTTAGACCAAATGTGCCCTGTTAGATAAAGGTAACAGCACTAGCCAAGTAGTAGTCTCTAAGAATGCTAACTAAATGAAACCTTTTAAATAATTGGACAAGTATATCAAAACCTCTAAAGTTTTCATGCTGAGCTACCACCTGGTTTGAGACATAAGTGTCTTAATGAATTTAAGTACTGGTATTCACAATTTAATTGATGAATTTCTTTGTGTTTTTCAGACTTCATCACCAACCACTGATGATATGGTGGATTCATCTGCTGCAGCCTGTTTCCTTTCCACCCAATGCAACTCCCAAAGTACTAGATTATATCTTTTTAAGTTCCTGGTAAAATAACAAACATACAGGTTTTCTGCAAAGGAGTTAAGTATTTATAAATCACAAATACTAAAATGCTAGTGTCCTCTCACAAGTGTCCATGTCATGCTATCTGATTTACATTAATTACATGCTGTTCACTACACATATTGTCAGTTTGTTTTTTCAGTTCTACCACACTTTGTCCACTTCATGGTGAGGACTCGCACACAGAAAGATGGAAAAGACAATTGTCTTGAAAAGTTGGATCCCTTTTATTGCTAGGAATAAAATGGATCCAACTTTTTTTGAGACATTTGTCTTTCCCATCTTTCTGTGTGTGAGTCCTTTACAGCCTTTTTGAATTGTCTTATCTGACCATTGCACCAGAAGCAAGAATACTAGGACTGATGTTAGGCTCTTTTCTTGTTAATCACTTGATGATGAGTACATAAGAAATGCATTGACTTTGTTGTGGTATGTTTTTTTCTTTTGATAGCTTTACATGAAAAATAAAATTTTGAGACAAATACTCTGGAATAATAAAGCATATACTGTGTTTTTTCATCTGTGCTGTAAATCAGAAAACTTTATCATGGTACAACAAATCACAGAAAAGCATGTGAAGTTTCAACATTAATTTAATTTTTTTAACAATCAAAAACATCCCCAGCTACATTCGTCGTGGGGAAAACGCCTTGAGGAAGACCATCGGGTGGAATGGCTGGGGTACGGCAGAAAGTTTGTAGGACAGAGAGAGAGAGAGAAGGAGGAAGAAGAGCTGTGACAGAATTGAACAGTGTGATGGTTACCTTTGTAAAACAAACTTCACAAAATTGTGCTCGAGTAAACAATTAAACAAAATGTGCAAATCAATCACAAATAAAGCAGATAAATCCTGACCATTTTTTGCTGCCTATTGTAGGTGAAATCCCAAATCTAGCACCACCCTACTAGATTTGTTCTTTCAAACACAAGGCAATATTATTTAAAAAAATGTCATTACTCTAAGTGGTGAAATGAACTCCATCGTTTAAAAAAAGGCCAGGATCTCTGTGCTTTATTTGAGGATGATGCACAATGCTTCCGCCAACAGATGAAACAAAAGTAGCCATCACACTGTTCACATAGCGCCTGGCTTTGTCCATTTTTCTTGGGGCTGTATCTCCATCGGCTCCTCTGAGTGATGGCAGAGAAGATGATCCTCACGGTGGGGAACTGCCGATGGAGATCCTGGAGGTCCTGCTGTTTGATTTCTGTAAATGTATTGAACAATAAAAGAAAAAAAAAAGTCATTTTCCTAAAAAAAAAAAATATTTATAACATTACCTAATAAAAGTCTGACTAAAATCATATCCAACTAAATCAGCATCCATCTCAATGAATTTTTATCCTTACTTCTGGTCACAGTGGCTGATGTTGTGCTCATCTTTGAAGCTTCTTTTCTCTTTGTCTAAAAAAAGGAGAACAACATAAATATTTGCTGTTCATTCAGAATTTTGTTCATTTTTAATCACAGTACAATAGCATATATCTTAACAACTGATAAACTAAAAATATCACGTATTTTGCTGTTTAATTTACCAAGGCTAGTGTTAAATTGCAATGCTTCTTTAGCTTACATTTACACCGTTTCTTTCAACAAAGAGAGATGACTTACTTCCAATCAAGTAATAGATGATATCTTTATTCGTATTAGTTATGATGGTATTTTATGTTCTTAAAAGTGAGTACGCTCACAAATTTCACATTATATCAGGAGAAGTGGAACTTACTTATTCTTGGTCGCGACGAGCGGGGAAGCTATTAGCGATACCGATGTAAGGCTGGAAGGACATCCGGGGGGGGGGCACTTTTTGAGCGAAACGTCATCGCGCCGAGTCTCCCGTCCAGCCAACAACGTCTGCGTACAACGCTACTGCGCAGCTCTGGTTGCAAGGAACCCGGAATTACCGAGAGCTTTTTGGCTTCAAATCCATATACAGGCGGATGGCGGAACCACGGCGTCCATCTTATATACAGTCTATGGTTGTAACGCTTTAAGCTGGTCCAGTTACGTCTAAACTCCTCCAAGTGGGTCTGGTCTAGAGCAGAACAGACTTTTGAAGCAGATACTTTAGGTTTTGGTGTTTGGGCCATGCTCTGCTTCTCCTATCCTCTATTCACAGAACTTCTCAGGCAGGATTAGTTTGTGTTGTCCCCCTCTAATGCTGCTCTCTTTCTCTCTTTCATGTTGAGAGATACTCTGTCTGTCCCCTTAAAGTGTTGGTTATCCAGACTTATGGGGACATTTGCCCCCATATCCACCAAATGGGGACCATGTCCTTTTACTGTCATGTTTCCAAGACCTTTGCCTACTTTCCCACGAAACATTTCATTTATTTTCTGTTTGCTGTCTTATCTGATCCTTGCAGGAGTGAAAATGTCCCTCACAGTGCACAGCAGAAAGAGCTGTGTAAAACCTTAAGTAATGATGCTGTGTGATGGTTCAGCCACTAGAGGGCAGCAGTGTTAAGGGTTTAATCTCAGAGCAGAACAAAAAGAGAGAAGCTCGGTCATAAACAGAGTACGATTCCAGGATGGTAGAGAACAACACGATGAGAAATGACCTTTATCGAATTTAATGTCCTGAGACTGTGCCGAGTATGAAGAAGTAAAAAAAGAGTGAATTCACTTTGTTAGTCTGGACATGTAGTCAGGCAGTGAGGCAAATTCAATCTAAATCAGAGCTGAAGAAAAGCAAACCCTGTTGACACTTTAAAAACACACCATAATAACTATTTTATTCTCTTGTTTTAACCAAATAAAACCTGTGTAAATATGTTTCTATTTTAATATTGTCTGATAAAAATTTATTGTTTGTTTTTATGCTGGCATGTGCACAACCTGTGTCTGTTTCTATGAAGCACCCTAGGGCGAATCTTTTTCTTTTGTAATGCAACTTTAACTTGAACACAGATATATGAAAAATAAAAAGAGATATATTTATAAGCATTCATAAATTAACTCCTTAAATCCCCAAAAATAATTTTAGTGGTTTCAAAATTCCTTACAAAGACAAACAGAAAGGTATAGACTGTTAAAAACAACACTGATAATAACACGTCCTTTATACTATGATATAGACTTCAACCTCTTTAAACACTTAACAGATTACAAAAATAATTTTGCTTTCTTAGTGATACACGTTTCCACATTTCTTAATCTCGTTTCTCTTTTTCTACCACCAACATTCTCTTTTCTGAATATGAATTAAATACAAACTATCAAATATATCATTAGCATTGACATGTCTGAAGGTATCTCCTCCCTTAAAACCTCAAACTGAGCTGAAACCACACCACAACTTCACCCAGCTGTAGCAATCAAGACAACCCTGGGTGTGAAACTCACACATTCCTCACAGGAAAGTTTCCTTATCTGGTCCCAGGACACAGGATATAAATCTTTCCAGACTTGTGTGCACTTTCAGGTTACCTAAGTGACCCAACCGGAGGTTGACTAAACCTCTGACTCTTCACGATTGGTCAATTCGGAGAACAGAGACAGAGTTTTTATTACCTTTCAAACTGACTCCACTGCTGACCATCTAAATAAACATTAACGTCTCAACCCAGATCACCCATTTGAGATTTAGCGTCTTAAAGTGTGTGAACATACGGACCCCAGGATAAGGGGGGACACTGACCTCCAGACCTCGGTCGTAAAACCCTGCTCGACCATACACTGATAAAGACTACATTCCTTTGGTGAAAGAATACAAATGACTGATCATGACATCTTATGCATTCAGCAATGTACTAATCTGTCTAATCATGAAATTTGTGTTAAAATGAGACGTTTCTCATTTTTCTATGTGCTCCAGAAGCCAATTTATGACTCTGACAGAATAAATCCTTTATTCTTTGGTTTCTTTAGACCAACAGCTTTTCAGACTGTTTCATGAACTTTTAAGAGTTAAATTTATTGACTATGAATCATAACTTTACTCTAAGTAACAGAAATGGTTTAGAAATGTTTGGTTTATATTTTAGTTGTTTATTTAGTATTTTTAACCATTAGGTGGTTATAATGTCATTGAATAATCTGAATGTGATTTAGAATCCATTATTAATCAAGAAGTTCATTCACATGTATTTACTCTTTTGTTGTTCACAGTTTCTATGTGTTACTATCTGTTTCATTTCAGAATAATTTAGCATGTTCAATGTGATACTTAAAACATAATGAGAATGTTTGTTGTGATCCTACACTTCATTCATATGTGTTTAGTATCAAATTATTTATCATGAAACCAAGCATTCAATGATATTAATCATAGTGAGTATCAGATCTGACTCTTTTACCAGACAAAAGAATAAGTTAGATCAAATAATCAGAGATCCGAGGTCTCCTCTGCTCGGAAACCACACGACCCCTCCTATTTCTCCTCACACACACACACACCAGAGACACTCCCAGTGTGACAAGATAAACCTGTGGAGTGGGGTTGCTCACTCTCTAGTCTCTCCTTCCCTCTTCTCTTGTTGCCCTTATACACTCCTCGTTTTCTCTTAGCCCTTACTACTTAGTCTTACTTTTTCTTAGTCTTCTAAGTTTTACGACACGTGTTGATTCACGTTGATTTTCTTTAACATCGTCTTAGTTCAAGTTTTGAAACTTCAACTTTTTGTGCACATAGCAATTCAAGATTAAGCCTTTGATTGATTTTTCTTTAAATTCGCGAAGCCATTTTTGAAAGTTTTCTCTGCTCGAGTCTCGTTTTTCTGAGTTATCTGCGTGATTTTAAAGTCACCTCCTGGCCCATCCTTCGGCTGACTTCAGTCGTCTTCTGAGCTGAACTGCTCGAACCGCCAGTAGCCCCGGACCTTCGGAACCTGCTCCACCTTCTCCAAGGACCAGTCTCACTTAAGTATGCAAACCTCCAGAGCTCCAAAGAGGGCTGGTGCTGTCTCATGCGTTCATAACTCAGATATCCACTTATTCTGGTAATCTTAGATTCCTCTAAATCCACATCCGAGTTTATCTTGACACCAAAGTTAGTGTAGGTTAATATGTTAGCGCATATTCACTCACTATCATTAACTTTAGTGCTCCTAGCCTGACTCAGAATCTTTATTTATTCACCTATTATTATTTATCTTCATTATCTTATCATCATTTATTGCATGTATGTTGTACCATCATTTATCCTGTAATAAACAGATCATTATTTTTCTAAGTTCCTGTCTGTTAGTGTCCTTCCAGAAGTGGAGTCCCTGAAATGAGAATTTCGGCTTAAGATATGAGACTGATTAATTAATGATTGACTTGATGTTTGATTTCTGAATCAAACTTTTGTTTTCTTTATTTTCCCACCATTAAGGGTGGGTGGTGCCCCTTTCAACGAGTGCATAAATGTCATAATTTGAGATTATTAATCTCCAGACATTTATTATAAATTCAAATCGATACAGTATTATTTTGGTGCGACCGTGTGAGGCTCATTTCAAATCGCTACACAGCTGTCAATCATTTCACTGCAGGGGCTGATGGGAGATCTGTCAGAGGACCTGTTAGAAAGCAGGTGTCCTCGTCTGATCTCAGAGCGTCACTTCTCCTCAGGATCACCAGAGGAAACACCGACACACAAAATAGGAGGTCAGTGTTTCAGTCAGCCAATCAGGAGCCAGCAAACTCGACCTCTACCAAACACCGTCTCACTCACCTGCTTCACCTGTGTGTGTGTGTGTGTGTGTGTGTGTGTGTGTGTGTGTGTGTGTGTGTGTGTGTGCAGCTCTGCTTTCAACAGCAGAAGATCTGATCCAGGAGGATTTAACTCTGACCAGGAATGAAGGAGAACAAGTCTCCTTCAGCTGTGATCAAACTGACCGATGTGATGATAGCTTGGTATTCTGGTTCCAGAAGAAAGACTCGGACACATTCAGAGGGATTCTTTTTATAGTCATGAATGATGGTGAAATATATAAAGGCTTCAATCATTCTCAGGAAGATGATTTCTCAGCTGTAGAAACTCAGAACAGCTGTGAGTTGCAGATCCAAACAGTTCATCAAAACTTTAGGTGTAATATATTTTTGAGTTGGCATAACTTAAAATTTTGAGTTTAATGAAAGCCAAATACTACTGATTGCATGTGAGAAAATTAGTTCATGTAACTTAAAATAGTGAGTTGAATAGGTAAGAATTTTAATACAGATTATGAGTACAAATAACTTTTCTTGTTATTGTATTCAACTCAAATAATCTATTCTATTCCCTTTGGTATTTGCATTGATTTTACTTAATTACTTAATTGATGCACTCATTACTTAAAACATTTAAGTGAAATCACTTGACTCAAAAATTTTGAGTAGAATCAATTTATCCGGGTTTGCAGTGTAGTAGGATGACCTTGCAATGATGTGGCCATTGTGCAATGTTTATTCATTTGTTTGTTTCTTTTCATTCTGTTGATCTATTTCTCAGAAAAGGTTTCGAAAGCCAGCAAAGAGCCAAAAAGTTTTGTTTCCGCTTCAAAGCAAGCCTTGCCTCTGAACATATTTCATAATGTGTGAAATGTGGATTATAGAAGAAAATGAATATTAAGCACGTGTGACTCCTGTCCCCTCCAGACGTTGGATGGCATCCTCTCTGCGCAGCACGTACAGTCTGAAGGCATAGGCCGTGTTGGGTATCAGGTTCTCCAGCAGGACATTTGTTACGTCACCCCCAGCATGTACCTGCAGAGAGAGAAAGAGAGAAAGAAGAGGAATAGATGGATAGAGAGAGAGAGAGAGAAAAGCTCGACATCTGGAGACATTAAGCAGCTCAAGCAGGAGCTTGTTCTTAAAAAATTAATGTGGAAATACTGAGTGCAAAAGCAAGATGTGTGTGAGTTTGTTCTCGTCTACCATTGAGTCTCTATGGTTCGTAGGGTTTAAACCCAGAGTGTCTTTTTGTCCTTGTGTTGCTGACATTTTGGGGACGACTAACATGCAGTCAAACTAAAAAATCAATAGCCTGATCAGTTTTAAGTAATTTCAGTGTAAATTTGTCTCGGTACAACCAAAACAAACAGCAGCAAGTCACAGTTTCTGAGACAAGGACAGAGTTTCTAGACTGGTTAGGAGTAAAGTATCATCTGCAAGCAGGTAGTGCTCAAATTTACAGTAATTAGATGTTTTTTTTAAGAAGTTGTACAAGAGTAAACTGTCGGTATATTTTCTTATGTAGTTTCTTTGTGAACCTGGCTAATGAAGGTCACTTCTGTCAATTAACCATTAAGTTAGTTAAGTGGTTAGTTTGTTTTGTGAGACATTTAGCCAGACAGGCTGTTAGTAACTTTTGTCATCTTGCTAGTTCAAAACTTTGTCAGTTCGTAAATTTATTAAGTCCTGCATAAATTTTTAAATCAGTCAGTAGATTAGTTGGCTAGTTAGTCAGTCAGCCAGTGAGTTAGTTTATTTTAGGATATCCGATATCAATATCCTATAACTAATAGGATATTGATAGCGGATATCGGTCTGATATCTGCCAAAAAAAAAAAAAAATATCGGATTATATCTGCCTGCATCTAAAATCTCTAATGTAAGTACTCCAATACAAGCAGTCCATTCCAGACCCACTCCAGCACTTCTATCTAGCAGTGCCCAGATCCAGCATGAAGAGCCCATGTGAGCACAACAGTGTGTACTAAGGTACCAACCAAGTGGAAAGGAGTAGGTGTGATGTTAGTGGTTTGGCAGTATTTTTCGTTGAAGTCCAAAAAAAAGGTTGCAGAAGAGTGCAAAACTTGTCATGCACAAGTTTGTGCCAATATGGGATCAATTTTGAAAGCTCAAATATCAGTATTGTACCTGAAGTAAAAAAGTTTTATCTGGACACCCCTAGTTAGTTAATTTGTTTGTTGGTTACACACCGGGGCCGACAGGAATATAGAACGCGAAATCATGAAATATTCGGAGGCAAATTTTGACGCATCTGATTATACACATAAAGCCCGATGTGATTTTGCGACTTTCCCGGGGGAAAAAGACGCATCCCGGGAAAGACTTTTCCAGGGGAAAAATCCTGCCTCCTTCGCCTCTGATTGGCTAGAAAAGCTGGAAACGTCACCACACGCTCAAGCCAAACGGTCAGCATTTATAGCCAATCGGAGGCGAAGGAGGGCGGGCCCTTCCCTTACCATACTACAGTGTCCCGGCTGGAAGTGAGAAGACAAGTGTGGAGTCTACTTCAACTTCAAGTGATGGCTAATTGGTACTCCTTTTGCTTTCTCAAAAGAAAAAGAAACGTAGCACATGGGTGCATCCAATATTACAAAAAAGAAGAGAACTTGGTGAGTTTCACTGCTTAGTTCAGGAGCTGAAACTGTACCACGGTCGCTAGTTGTTTTCAGTTCTGATTAGACACTAATGTTGAGATGGCTTTCTGTCATGATAGCATGTACTGAGTCGGGGCCACTACCAGATAAGCACATTAAACTATGGTAACAACCGTTAGCTTACGTTAGCACAGATGAAAGTTAAAACAAAGACGTTTAGCAAACTGTTAAAGCACACAAACCATCGTCATATCAGAAATCCGATGCCATGACTCCCCACAAGTTGTCCTTCAGGTTGTTATCTTTGTAATATTTGTGTCTTTTATCAAAAAGCACTCTGTTCTCAGACACGTAAATAATCAGCCGGTCGGCCAAGTTGGATATAACGGTGAATCAGACGTCGCAACAACACACAATCTGATTAGTCAGAAGTGGAAACACAGTACACGAAACTTTAGAAAAATCGACCGTGAACTGAAAAAATAAATGCTGCAATTTCGCAGGATGGGGAAACGTCGCTGTTGTAAACGCTTGTATTGACAGGATACGGGTTCGAAAAAAAATATTGACGTCCGAAATAATCCCACGACAAAAACGGTCCCAGTGTTTAAGGACCTTCAGACAGACTGTTGGTCACTTCTGTCACCTTCCTTGTTTGTTAGTGAGTTGGTCAAATCGTGAGTTCATTGGTTTATAAACTCATATAAGAGGTTATGAGGTAAAGAGTTAATTAGTTGGTTATTCACTTATTTAGTTGTATAACTGTAAACACAAGGCTTGCTTTAAAGGTATGAGTGAACATGACGTAAATTTATTATTTTAAGTATATGCTTAAATTTGAAAGAAATAAGCAATCAGCACCAGATTACTTCTTACAAGGCAAATTATCTCAGCTTTGTCTCCAAGAAACTATCATCAGCTTAATCAACTGGTAAAAACAGCCTCTTCTTGGTTTGTTTGTTGTTTACCGGCGGAGACATAGCAAGATTTCTAAATTATTGATAAATATGTAAGTAGATGTGTGCAGGACTCTCAAAATGCTATACTGATCGAAAACACATTCACACAGGTCATATTTAAAGACCCAGTTACTTACCTCGCCCACCGGCTGGGGCTCTGAAGAGTTGATGGGTTTGTACAGCAGTATGTAACCTGTGGCACCGTTAGCCTCCTCCCAGCTCACCCTCATGGTGGTCGAAGTCTCATCATAAACAGTCATGTTTGTTGCAGCTGACAGCAGCATTGAGGGGACAAATACACACTGTCAGGTTGTGTGTCCAAACGCGTGCCAAACGTGCTCATCAGATCAGATATAGATCAGAATATATCTATATAGATCTAAACGTATGTGCTGACTCAGAATATTAGTTGTTGTTGATTATTTTTTGCACTGAAATATGCCTGAAACTGTGGAAACCTGCCGGTGAGGCATTGGTTGCATACGCCGCCGGTCTATCAAAATACCACTAGACCAGCTGCGTTCCGCCTGTGCTGAAAGCTGACCAGGTTTGAACGACACCTCCTCCTGCTGTGCCACCAAGCCCAGCTTGGCAGACCTCAGTTCGCCTTAGTTTACGAAAATACCAAACTGGCTGTACGCCAGGCTCCCCCAGACGAAAATACCACTGCGCGGGGTCCGCCATCCTCTGCCGCATCACCGGCGGGCACGGAAATAGAGCCCATGGTGGTTTGTTCTTCCTACTCTGAAGCTTCTGAGGAAGACTGCAGATTGTTTCTGATCAAAGTAAAACCAAAGAATCTCTTTGGAATAGTTACACATTTACATGTAGGGAAGTGATCAAATTAGCAAGAGCAGAAAACAGTACCCCCAAAAACTCTGGTTAAGTAACTGCATATAAATGTGGTGACACAAAAAGAAGCCTAAATCTTCAATCTTCATCTTCTCAGTCTTAATAATCACAATCTCAATATCAACCAAATATTTGTGATTGTGGTTTTTGCCATAATTGAGCAGTCTTATTAAATTTCCAGGAATCTTGCATCCACATAAGCACCAATAGGTGTGATCTGGAAAGGAAGGGCACACCACTATTGTGGGGATGCAGGAAATGTCTGCACCTTAAAACCTGGTCTTACATCTTAAGTCAGTGGCTCGGTGCTTACCTGATACTTAAGGGTGCACAAAGACCATAAGATGGACAGTAATACTCTCACTTATGATAAAATATGGAGATTTTTACCTCCGCCAAGGAGGTTATGTTTTCGGTAGCGTTGGTTTGTTTGTTGGTTTGTTTTTATCTTTTTGAGTTTGTTTGTCTATAAGCAACTTTACGGAGAAAGTAACAGACGGATTGACCTGAAATTTTCACCAGAGGTGCGTCTCAGCCCCAGGAGGATCCCATTTAATTTTGGTGGTGATCTGGACAAAATTCTGGATACTGTGACCCAGAACACACAAAAATAAGGGTTACATGGAATTTTCAATGCTTAAAGATAATAAATGGGTGGCACAGTGGTGAAGATAGGCAGCACTGTGGTGTTGTGGTTAGCACTGTCACCTCACTACCAGAAGGTTGCGGGTTCGAATCCCGGTCAGGGCATTTCTTGTTTAAGAGGGGACATGAGCTGCTTGGCGGAGGTCTGCGCTCTCCGAGTGCTTTTCTAGTTATAGATATTTTTGTCTGCTGCTTTCCATATGGGGCTCATCTCGGGATGCCAGATGACAAGGACACCATCATTACAATTTCCTCACACACCTGCTTCAACTCAACCCCAGACAGCTGAAAACTACAACCTGAGAGGTCACTCCAGCTCTCCATCACCTCATGCATGCTCTTGAATACATGTAGAAACTAGAAATGCACTCGCAGAGCGCAGACCTCCGCCAAACAGCTCATGTCACCTCTTAAACAAGAAATGGCCTGACCCGGATTCGAACTCAGGACCTTCTGGTTGTGAGGCAACAGTGCCACTACACCACAATGCTGCCTATCTCCACCACTGTGCCGCCCATTTGTTATCTTTCAGCATAGAAAATTCCAACGACACCCTTATTTTTGTGTGTTCTGGGTCACAGTATCCAGAATTTTGTCCGGATCACCACCAATTTAATGGGATCCTCGTGGGGCTGAGACGCACCTCTGGTGAAAATTTCAGGTCAATCCGTCTGTAACTTTCTCCGTAAAGTTGCTAACAGACAAACAAACTCACAAACAAACAAACAAACAAACAAACAAACAAACAAACAAACAAACAAACCAACAAACAAACCAATGCTAACGAAAACATAACCTCCTTGGCGGAGGTAATAAACACACTCTCTCAAGCACAACTAAGCTTGTTTTTGTTGGTTTTTTCACAATCCCCAACATTACATTTAGTGCCACTGACCATGTCACCTTCATTAAGCAGCGATGCAAAATACACATGTGATCCAGCTGCAAGAATCAGTCATACTATGAACAAGGACGAGCTTCATCAATCCTCTGTGTATGGATCAAGCGCCAATTCACTTGCAAAACGTGGTTTGATGCCCAAACTGACTTAACACTGTGTATTTTGGACCATTTGGGTCTAAGCATGTATATCAGACTGCAGTGTGCTTCAAGAGGAATCATGATTTTACTCAGTGTTAGCATAGAAAAAGCCACAGTCATCTAGCGGCTGCTGATGTCATCTAAGTATACGACAATAGTGCAGCAGATTCGTGAAACGATTGTTCTTGAGGGTACAAGCACCAAAATTGGCACACAAGTGCTTCAGAATCTATTCTCTCAGAAAAGTATGCTATCCACTTGAAAATATCAAATGGCCGCCATTTTTCAAGATGGCTGCCATTCAAACTGGTTTTAAACAGTTTTTGAACTATATTTTGATTGAATAATCCTATTTTGATGGCATTTACATCAAAATATGTGTTTTTGAGTATGAGAAATCTAATTTTGTATTTTGAAAATCAAGATGATTGAATATTAACATGATACAATCGAAATTAAATGCAAAACACTGGCTTATGGTGAAGTTTCTGATGGATATGTCTAGGAACATGACCACTCAATGTAGAAACATGTGGTAGGACACATTTAAAAATGGCCACAAAATAATCAGAATGATTGAGCATTTTCCTAAAAGATGCATTAAAAACATTAGTTTCACTTTCAGCTTTTGGACCTGTAAGCTACTTGTAGGGGAGGCCACGTAGAGGCTGTCTTTTTCTCCCCCAATGTTATTATATATTTTTTTGTTGTTGTTGTTGTTTTTCTTTTTTTTAATTCTTTTTTTTTTGAGAAAACGCAAAAAATGTGTCAAAGCAGAGGCTGCATGTTTTACGATTCAGAACTTGAATCAATATAACATAAACGATAATGTATACAAATAAAAAAAAAAAACATTGCTAGTTTCTCTCTCTTAGTCCTTTCTTTTTTAGTTCTCACATTCACAGGCACACAACTGTGTACACTTCAGGCCGAATCGATAGCATTTGCATCGTCCTCTGCAATCAGTCTTGGAGCCACATTTTGTTAACTGTTTACAAGTCTGAACAATGGGTGGAAGGGTTGTCCAGAGAACTTGCAAGACCTCATCATCTTTTGCAAGCCCCAATTGGCAGGGCTTTGCGCTTGTCGGTGGAATGGCATCATAAGACCTTTGCTTCCGAGCAAACAAGTCCAGTCTTGCCTCATCAACCTTGTCTGTAATGCTGTGCTTGTCATACATGATGATGACAAACTTCTCAAGGATGTTGAGGTCTGCATCTTCAATGATAGGTGGGTATTGACTGAGCCTTTTGAAAATAGGGCTCACTTCAGGGAAAACCTCCCATGCTTGCCATGCAGTTTTCTTGCCTTTGTCATGAATTGGTAACCACCTAATGGACTGACCCTGGCCAAATTCTAACCAAAGCATCTCTAAGCCTGCATCCTTTAGGGCCTCAAAAAACATTGACTGCAACAACAAGAATGTCTGTGTCGCATGCCTTAATCAACACAGACTTCTTCTATTGTTGGCTGCATCAAGAGCCTGGGTGAAGATCCTGGAGTCAGCTTCTTCATGGTTGCAAGACTTACACCTTTAAGGCTGATGGGTTTATTTGAAAGAGCCTGCTCTCCTTTGGTTACAACTATGACATTGTCAGGACACAGGGTCACAATCTTGTCAGCTAGGAACTCGAAGAGCTCGGTTTTGTTGTTGTTGTCTCTCAGAGAGCTTTTCCAGTTGGTTGGTAGTTTGGTTTTGTCTGCCACTCTACGTCAACCTCCCTTACCTCTGTTTGACCTTGTTTCAGCCTTCAGGCTTGAAGCCCGCGCTGGCACATCCTGTCGATTCAGGTGCAGCTACCTAACTACAAAATACAACTAACTAAACTAATAGTTGAGATATATACAGGGGCTTATTAGGTAGCATTTGGGACACTAAAGTATACGACAGTGAGTACACCACTAGCCATAGTACACTACAGGCTGACACTGAACCCCATGCTGAGTTTCACAGCAGTGATGTCACCAGTGTGCCCTGGTTGTGCTTTGACATCACTCTTAAAAAATAAATACAAACCAATAGAGTTTGACCACAGCATTTTCATTAATGACTTAATTATCTGTGAACAGACTGCCTCCGGAAATGCTAATTTTGAGATGTAATCGCCCCCATCTTGAAAACCGGCGGCCATATTGGAATTTAATTGACATCATTGAGTTCTTCTTGTCAGAAAACATTCATTTTGATATTTGGATCATTAACACATTTGTGTTCATTCAAGTTCTACTTCGAAACCCTCAAATTTTGCATTTAGCAAGGCAGCCATCTTGAAAACTGGCGGCCATCTTGGATTTTCAGCTGGATAGCGTACTTTTCTGAGAGAGTAGGTTCCGAAGCACTTGAGTGCCAAATTTGGTGCTCGTACCATCAAGTGAACGATTCATATAGAAAATTGACTTAAGCTGGCGGGCTACAACAAAGGACTCAGTTACAACTAATTCAAAAATCAGCTGCACAAATAAAACAACCATTAAAAGGACAAACCAGTAAAAAAGCAGTCAGCAAATTTTTAAGACTACAGCCTTGGTATAAAAGTGTTACAACTTTTGTTTTTATGGCTGACAAAGGTTCCAGTTTCACCCATTGCACACACTAGTATTAGCTCACAGCACTGCATCATGGGGCATTGTTTGAATGAAGCATTTTTTTGGCTAATACCAAATGTTAAATATACTTTATTCTAAAGGACATAGCATCAGATTTGCACCATGAATAAACAGTAAGTGAACAAGTTACATCACTGTGTGTGTAACAGGAAAGTTAGCAAAGTAAAACATGGATTTCTACAGAAAAAAAAGAGGAAAATAAAGAAAACAGACTTACAGGTGGTCTCTCTGCCTGTCAAAGGCTCGCTGCTCATCCCATCAACCACTGAGTAAATACTGACCACATACACGGTCAAAGGAGTCAGGCCCTCCAGAACTGTAGAGTTCTCCCCGCCATCAACCAGCAACTGGAAAGAGTGATGACAGATTAATAATTAAAAACAGGGGACAATACTAACACTTGAATAGATCTGAAGCCTTATTTATTGTGCACTGATTGAAACACTGACTCTGAAGGGGTCCAAGAACCCAAACCTTGCCCTCATTGGATGCAATCTGATTCAGAAAGCCACAGGGGTTATTTGGCTGATAGCAAAACAAACTGTCAGTGAAAAAGAAAAATACGTATTTGAAGTGCCGATAAATATTGTCAGACAGAGAAAAAAAATTGAGCTGTATTGATGAAACACTAGAATTTTAAGCTTGGATAAAATGTCAGTGAAAGATAACAATGACAGTGAAAAACTCCTTGCCACCGAAAATGGGAAAATTGAAAGATTCTTTACAGCACTGCCTTGTACCAATCTCATCAACAATTTCTTTAAATTGAAGTGAAAGGAGAAAGAAAATTTACAGAGTTAAAAAAAATCTTACAGATAAAAACAAACTCATCATATGATTCCTGCTTTTGATTTAACCTCAACCCTTTACTGCGTGTCACCCCCGCCCCCCACATTTCCTGTCTTTCTGTAGTTGTTGACAGCCTGGGCAGTAAAAGTCCCTTTTTACAACATCAGATAACTAAAAAACCCAATTTGAGAAATTTGAGGAATGCTCATCAAACACCTATTTGGAACATCCCACAGGTGAGCAGGCTAATGGAGAACAGGTGGGTGCCATGATTGGGTATAAAAGCAACTTCCCCAAAAATTCTCAGTCATTCACAGGCAAGGATGGGGCGAGGTTCACCACTTTGTGAACAACTGCATGAGCAAATAGTCGAACAGTTTAAGAACAACGTTTGTCAAAGTACAATTGCAAGGAATTTAGGGATTTCAACATCTACAGTCCATAATATCATCAAAAGGTTCAGAGAATCTGGAGAAATCACTAAACATAAGCGGCACAGCAGAAAACCAACATCAATCCCTCAGGCAGCACTGTATCAAGAACCAACATCAATGTGTAAAGGATATCACCACATGGGCTCAGGAACACTTCAGAAAACCACTGTCAGTAAATACAGTTCGTCGCTACATCAGTAAGTACAAGTTAAAACTCTACTATGCAAAGTGAAAGCCATTTATCAACAACATCCAGAAACACTGCCGGCTTCTCTGGGCCCAAGCTCATCTAAGATGGACTGATGCAAAGTGGAAAAGTGTTCTGTGGTCTGAGTCCACATTTCAAATTGTTTTTGGAAATAGTGGATGTCGTTTCCTCCGGGCCAAAGAGGAAAAGAACCATCTGGACTGTTATCGACGCAAAGTTCAAAAGCCAGCATCTGTGATGGTATGGGGGTGCATTAGTGCCCAAGGCATGGGTAACTTACACATCTGTGAAGGCAGCATTAATGCTGAAAGGTACATACAGGTTTTGGAGCAACATATGCTGCCATCCAAGCAACGTCTTTTTCATGGACGCCCCTGTTTATTTCAGCAAGACAATGCCAACCCACATTCTGTTCTGTCAGCCATCTCATTACCGTCTATGGTTCTAGCCCATGTTTACACAAACGAAGAACCTCAGTGATTACTAAATATTTCATTTCCACATCTAAAAATGTACCTTTCGGGTAAATGAACAGAGATATAATCAGCAAATACAGACGAGAAGGAGAGAAAAGTTTCTTTTTTTTTTTTCTTCTCACATCTTAATCTGGTTTAAATCAGTTAGTTTTAGTCCATTGTTCCAAGTATAAATGACAAAAAGACTCGGTAATTGCTCTAATTCTAAGAAATCTGTTCAAGAAGTTGTCCCAGAGTGTTTCCCAGAACAGAACAAAATGCCTACCATCTGTTAGCGCTGGATAACATCCTGAATATCCCATAGCGTCTTGTTTTCTTCTTATTTCCTCTTGGCTCCCATGAGACTTGGCTTTAGCTCTGACAGAAAGCTATGTTGTTTGTTTCAATCTGTGAACTGAACTAATCAGATGAGGTTTACTTCTCTGTGCAGATTCAGATAATGGCAGGTTGTCACTCACACAGAAACATAACAGTTTACACTTTAATCGTCCTGGTCTGAAATCAAGAATAGTTTCCGCTGGATCCAGTTAGTTTCACGTTATAGACCTTACACTGGGTCGAGACGTCTCCCCATATGGTCTCACGCTCCTCTTTCATCTGTTTACATTGGACTACAGAGCTCGTAGACAACACAACAACATGAGACTGCTGATATTTACGACCTGTGCAATATGGGAGTGAATCCTAAATTACCCAGAGGATCAGGACTGAGGCTGCGGCTGGAAGCACATATCTTTGAATCTGGAATATCTATGAGGGAGGAATAAATAGACTTAAAAAGGAGAAAGAAGGTGTCTGGATAACTTGGAGTAAACTTAGAACCTCCATTTCAGACAACTTGGGTAGTTTAACATGTTTTGACCTCTAAAAAATGAAAATATTACATGTCAAAGGTGGGACAGATTTACATCTTTGAGTCATGTGTCCTGAGACTGGTCCTCCTGTCCCAAAGCCACCCTCTAGTCCCAAACTCAATTTATCAGTCTGATCTGTTTTCCTCACTCTTGTCCTTCATATCTTAGGAACTCAAACTTTCAGGTGAAAACTGTTTGCTTTGTTTGTCTGCTTTAAAACAAATAGACTGTCACAATAAGGGTAACAGGTTAAATCCTGTAACGGGAAATTTTACACTCTTTACAATCAATAAAAAATATGTGTCTATATACAGTGGATATAAAAAGTCTACACACCCCTGTTCAACTGCCAGGTTTTCGTGATGTAAGAAAATGACAGCAAGATCAATATTTTCACAACTTTTTCCACCTTTAATGTGACCTATAACCTGTACAATGCAATTGAAAAACAAACTGAAACCTTTAAGGGGAAAAATATAAAATAGAAAAGTGAAAATAACCTGGTTGTATAAATATGCACACCCTTAAACTAATACTTTGTTGCAGCCCCTTTGGCTTTTATTACAGCACTCAGTCTTTTTGGGTAGGAGTCTGTCAGTGTGGCACATCTTGATGTGGTGATATTTGCCCACTCTTCTTTGCAAAACTGCTCCAAATCTGACAGATTGTGAGGGCATCTCTTGTGCACAGCCCTCTTCAGATCACCTCACAAATATTTTATGGGATTCAGGTCTGGACTCTGGCTGGTCCATTCCAAAGTCTCAATCTTATTCCGGTGAAGCCGTTCTTTTGTTGATTTAGATGTGTGCTTTGGGTCATTGTCGTGCTGAAAGATGAAGTTCCTCTTCACCTTCAGCTTTCTAGCAGAAGGCTGAAGGTTTTGTGTCAACACTGACTGGTATTTGGAACTGTTCATAATTCCCTCCACCCTGACTAAGGCACCAGTTCCAGCTGAAGAAAAACAGCCCCAAAGCATGATGCTGCCACGACCATGCTTCACTGTGGGTATGGTGTTCTTTTGGTGATGAGCAGTGTTGATTTTGCACCAGATATACCTTTTGCAATGATGCACAAAAAGTTCAACTTTAGTTTCATCAGACCATAACACATTTTCCCACATGCGTTTGGGAGATTTCAGATGTCTTTTTGCAAAATTAAGCCGGGCTTTGATGTTTTTCTTTGTAAGATAAGGCTTCCGTCTTGCCACCCTACCCCATAGCCCAGACATATGAAGACAGCAGGAGATTGTTGTCTCATGTACTACACAGCCAGTACTTGCCAGAAATTCCTGCAGCTCCTTCAGTGTTGCTGTCTGCCTCTTGGTAGCCTCCCTGACCAGTTTTCTTCTTGTCTTATCATCAATTTTGGACGGACGTCCTGTTCTTGGTAATGTCACCGTTGTGCCATATTTTCTCCACTTGATGATGACGGTCTTTACTGTGTTCCATGGTATATTTAATTCCTTGGAAATTCTTTTGTAGCCTCACCTGACTGATATCTTTGAATAATGAGATCCCTCTGATGCTTTGGAAGCTCTCTGTGGACCATGGCTTGTGCTGGAAGATGTGTCTACAAAAATGTCAGGAAAAGCTACTAGAACAGCTGAACTTAATTTGGGGTTGATCAGAGGCCCTTTAATTGGTGACAGGTGTGTGCTGACTCCAATTTAACCTGAGTTTGAATGTTATTGGTTAAATCTGAACACAGCCACATCCCCAGTTATTAAAGGGTGTGCACACTTATGCAACCACATGATCTCAGTTGTTTATTTTTACTTCACCTCCCTGAAAGATTTCTGTTTGTTTTTCAATTGTTTTTGTACAGGTTAAAGGGCCACATTAAAGGTGGAAGAAGTTGTGAAATGATTTATCTTGATTTAATTTTTTATATGACAAAAACCTGGCAGTTGAACAGGGGTGTTTTATATCCACTGTAGATACTGGTATCTGTTTCGGCCAAAAAGCTTTTTTAAAAAAATCATCATATCAATTTTTGGCAAAAATCAAATGCTGTACATCCCTAGTCTTCACTTTTTTGTAGTTGTGGTGCACCTAACTTTGGAGCGCTGGGGCCACAAAGTAAAAAAGCTTTTTTGAGAAGAGGTGGGACATCAACACTACCAGCCAAAGTGCTTCTGGGCAGACACCACGTTACTGCCAGTATATTACTCTTCTGGCTCTCAAGAAAGGCGGTCGCATTTCTCTCCTCTCCCTTATCCCCCTGCTCCCTGCTTTACCTCTTCGTCTCGTCCCGTTTTGTCTGAAACTCTCAGAGCTTCTCACTGCCTGATCTCCGAAACCAACCATGGAATTGATCAACTGGTCCCTTAACGAAATTGACAAGATTGTCTCTACGAGACATGGAGGTTTGGGGAAACCTGCCTGCCCCGACGGAACGTTTGCCGCTGGCTACGTGATGGACGGCTGGGGGAAGTGGCGTGTCGCGTGCCTGTTGGTCCTTTCCGCGGAGGATGTGGAAGATGTCTACCTTTTCGGAGCCATGATAACAGGTCTGTTGCTGTTTGGCTTTTGCTTCGCCCTGATTTATCTACAAAACAAGGAGATGCTGGTGGCGGTCAAGAGCCCCCAAAGGCTGCCCGGCATGATTTTTGAGGTGGGCAAAGCTGTTAGAACTCTGTCTGGGGAGGTCTCCAATCTTGAACATCAAGTCATGATTGGGGATTGCAAGGGAGATGTCATTTTGGAGAGGCTTTCGACTTTGCAGAAGAAATGGATCGATATAGAGACCAGGATGGACAATCAGAGTAGCTGAAGTCTATTGGAATGTGGCTACTCGCCCTAACCCAAACATTCTAATCTACTATTCGGCTCCCTCGGTATCGGCCTTGGCCAAGGTCGATGCTGTCACAACTCATCCAGGAGATCTCAGCAATTCTATTGCTCCGAACTTTCCTCCCCAACCCCCTCCTTCACGGACACCTGCGGATTGTTGACTTCGTCTGGAACTCAATCAAGGTCACCAAGATTTTGGCGATGGATAGAGTGACCTCCTGGGCCTACGCACACAAGCATCCATGAACCCTGACTGGCTGCGCCTATGGCAGCGGCTATGGGCTTCCCACCATCACTGATGACCCATTCCGACCCCCCACCCCCCCAACAACCATAGCATGTCTATGAATCTCTGTGTATGTGGTGTCAGTAATGTGCTCATGTTGCTGAAGGTTTTTTTAATGAGAGCAGTCTCTTTTTTTTTACCTCCTCCTCTCCGTCCCTCTTGTGTGTACTTTCCGCATCTGTAATGTAATTTCGTTGTGCACAAGTGCAATGACAATAAAGACCATACCATACCATACCATACCATAAGATGTCAGAGCCAGTTGAATGGGCAGAGACATGTCGTCCATTTTTTTAATAAAAAGTCAGTGGTTCAGATTGTGAGTTCTGCTGCTGATGGCTCAAACAGAGGATGAGTTGGGTTAATAGAGGCTGGAGCTCACCTCCTGAGTAAGTCCTCCGGTCACATCCACATATGTGACTCGATACTTATCAACATGGCCGCTGGGTGCTGTCCAGGTGGCGCGGAAGGAGCGATGGGTCACCTCTGAGGTCACTAGGTTGGTTGGTGCCTTCACTTCTTCTCCTCCTGGAAAGAAAAAAACACGAGCGAGAATGAAATCTGACATGTTCAGTATTTCACACCCTGAACCCTGCCGCCACAAATCTGCCCTTGTCATGTTTTTCTCCTGTGTGCTGTTGATCAGTTTTGTATTTCCTCTTAAAGCTGATTTACAGGCAAAACAATTCCAAAGTCAAAGTTTCCATCAGATGCCCCGACCTGTGCTAAAACCTCCCTGATGGTCAGAAATTATACAGATTTTCAGGCTGGAGCCAGTCAAATTTATTGGGTTACATTTTTTTTGCAAGAGCAGAATTGATTTGTTAAAATTTGACTTCTTTGCTTTTAGATTAAGGATTGCAAAGGCATAATTTGTATTTTCTCCTTGTCAATCATTTAAAGCGTTATCTTTCAAAAAGCAGCTGTTCAGAGGAAGTGTCATTTCACTGATGTCCTTACTTGAACTTAAGGTTTTCTCATCTTCATGGGAGAGCAACTTTCAGGCCCTCAAGCACCTGTAAAAACCAACTGAGAGGCTGCAGTAAAGTTTTTAAATATATGCTTGTCAGTCTCAAATTCTTGGAAAGGTTTAAGAAATTCCAGAACAGCTAGACTTCAGTTTTAATCTGACCTCCAACACGATGGCTACAGAAGAGATGTCAATCTGACTCAGCTGTATTCAAAGAAAAAGATGGAATTACAGCTGAATGAAGCAGCAACAGAGATCAATTTGGAAAAGAAATATGAAACAATTTATCCAAACTAGGGCCCGACAGATATGGATTTTTTTAGGGCCGATGCCGATACCTTTTAAAAATCTGATACCGATTAATTGGCTGATTTTTAAAAATTTTTATGAAGTTATAAAAAATCTCTCTATATATACTGTAGATATGTACATTATACTATATACTGTAGGCTACTGCTCTTCACGCCATCGGGAAGTCAACTGGGACAAGAAAAGCTTTTTATCCAATAAGTTATAATTTCTGTTCTTCTCAGTCAGATGTAAATTTGTGATGATCGGACATGAGCTTCCCCTCTTACCTGGACCTTTGATGCTGTTACACAGGTTGTCAGTGAGGCCATCAACAATGTCCAGCAGGTAGTTGAAGTCCTTGATGTTGTACATGTGAATTTCATCGGGGTCTGTGGCGATAGCCCTCAACTCACTCTCATCAGCATTCTGCACACCTGAGAGCAAAAAATACCATCAGTAAAGAAATCTATACCGTTGATATCTAGTTAGTAAGGATCTACCTTTCAAATCACACTTTTCAAGGCTTGAATGATTTACAATATACATGCATTTATCAAATCCTGTATATTTTGGACAAAAGTAAATTCATTACATTGTTTACCCTTTCCAAAAGCCCAACATCAATCACGGATGGCTTAACTTATTTTCAAGCCTTTCACTTTTGAAATTCAGTATCATGTTCCTTCATTATTAGAATAATGTGACAGTTTTCATGTCATTGGGTTTTAACAAAAAAAGACCTGGACTGCTGGTTTGACGATAAAACAAGCAAAGTCGCTCACCAATGGTATACAGCTCAATGCCAGCGTCCCTTAGGCTCTGAGACGGCAAGATGACGTCATCCTGGGACTTTCCGTCAGTGAGCAGGACACCAATTTTGCGGGCGTCTTCTCTCAGTCCTACTTCTGGTTTGAAGTTGTTCTGCAGGATGTACCTCAGGGCCAAACCTGGATGAGAGGAGGTCAGTTTGTAACAGCATTCAGACTGCAAATCCTTCCAGTTTTTTTATTTATTCATTTATTTATTTTGTATAACTCTAACTTAAACCTGACTTATCAGAGGCTACAAACAAACACCAAACATGACTCACTTTTATTGCGCTATTGCATTTTATTTAAAAACACATATCATTTCAACTGCGCATCAAACAAAGTGCTCTACAATCACCCGTCATGGTGTTGCCTCCTTTGTATGGCAGATTAGTGATAGCGGCCAGCAGGGACGCCATGGTCGGGTGGGCATTCAGGTGCCACTCAGTCTTGGGGTCTCCACTGTACTGAGTCAGACCTGAGGAAAGCACACAATAAGAGTCAAAAAAAAAAATAATAGTAATCCTGTATTTACTGTGTTTCATGGGTGTTTGTGTTAGAAAGGAGTCTTAGCCTTCATCTACTGTACATTGAGCACAGAGTAAGAGAGTATGAGTCTCTCGTGTGTCACAATTGGATGAAATGTTAAAAAAAAAACGTTTTCAATGAAAATAGCTACTTTTTTCTCTACATTTGCACCCTTATTTTTTGTAAAACATGTAAAACAATAGTTTACTTTCTCATCAGCTATTTTCAGACAAAGTTATGTGTAAATGTAGTCAAATACTTAACCTGCTAGAGTCACTTTAAATACACATTTCTATTGATATATCCATTCACACAGCAGCACAAAGACTGCACAGGTTTTTCTCATATCCAACTGTGTAGTTTGAGCAGTAAAGTACCTATCTGGACTCTGTCAGGGCCGATGTCGAACACACTGACCATGCGAATTAGGAAGCTGCGGACGGTCTTGAAGTTGAGACGGCCGATACTCCAGGAGCCATCGACCAGCAGCACGATGTCGGCCTTAGCTGAAGTCTTACACTGAGTGTCTGCAGGAAGAGAACAAGGAGGTAAGGAGAGAGACACACCACTGAACGCCATTCTGAGTATCTGTGAAGTTTTATATGAGTAATATGAGACAAATGTTTGTGGAGAAGGGTGGAAAAAGTAAGAAGAAATGTAGTGGATACATCAGAGAAGAAAGGAGAAGAAAGAGTACATCAAAAAAATCTCACAATCATAACTGAAGATGTTTTTACAGCGGAATGTTTTACACAGTATTACAGAGGTGGGGGAAAGTCCTTATGTTCAAGTCCAAGTCGAGTCTCAAGTCTTTGCTCTCAAGTCCGAGGCAAGTCCAAGTCCTTTGCTCTCAAGTCTCGAGTTAAGTCCAAGTCAACACAGACAAGTCTCGAGTCAAGTCCATGTCCTGAACTTTTTGTTTCGAGTCCTTACCAAGTCCTTACTGTTTCTTTCAAGACAAAAACAAGTCATATCAAAGCCATAAACCATTTTTTATACGTAAAGATTTACATAAATCATGAGCATTTTTCACTATTTGCATTTATTATTAAACAAGGGTTCTTGTTTGTGTTAAGTTACATAGTGCAGCTTTAACCAAACTATTTTACATGTCATACAAAAAATAATCAGGTAAACTTCAATAATTGGAAACTTAGACAATGTGCACAAAAATTAGGAAGACCCAAATACAATTAAACATTAAACTGATACTCTAATTCACTGTTCCAAAACAAAACAAAAGAGAGACACAAGGCAACACGTGGAAACAGGCGGGCAATACTAGCGAGTGATTTATGTTCAGTCCTCCCGATGTTGTCGTTATGAGGGAGGCTAGAGTTTGAGACAGTGTTGCCAAGTTTCCTGAGAGAAATAAGGAAACAGACCTCCAGAAACAAGCCAAAAACAAGCGAATTTTTTTGGCAACACAACACGGTGTTACCAACGGCCGTAATTCCTGACTATTAGTTGATGCAACACTTTTTAAACGGTTTGGGCTTGCTGTAAGGTATTAAGTGACTTGAAAAGACTTGACTTGACTTTTAAAGTCACTGGGCTCAAGTCAAGTCTCAAGTCTTTAGCAATAAAGTCCCAAGCAAGTCCAAGTCATTTCTTGATTTCATCAAGCAAGTCAAAAACGAGACTTAAGTCCAAGTCGAGTCTCAAGTCCAGTTGTCAAGCCCCCACCTCTGGTATTATGTAACACAAATAATTCACACTCCTAACACATTGTGTAACAGCTGTCATTTCTGGATGAAATGCAGTCTCTTCAGGGCCTTTTTTCTCTCTGTGTCTTCCAGCACTGTGAGTCGTTTGGTTTTAATGTCCAGCAGAGAGTTAGCCCGGTGGTCTTCTTCAAGGCAGCAGGTCTGCCTCTGCGATATACACGGCCCGCTATCCCACAAAGTTACTGCACATTCCTACTCATGGGTACCTGTAGGGACGAAAATCTACTCTTCCTATTTTCTAGGACAACACAAACGGGCCAGTGCCGAGTGTGATAAAAATCTGTGTACCTGTGTGTATGCAATTGAAAACATGTTAAGAGACAATAAGTTGTATTTTCTGTTCTTTTGTAGCAGACCGCAGAGACACAGACACTTGATTTGGATGCCTGGCTGCAGTCTGTTTGAATTTTTCCCCGTCGGTAAACAGTATGCTCATTTCCCTCCAACATTCATTAGTAAAAACAGATGTTAGAAACACGGGCAGCTTTAAAAGGCATCTAATACTCTGCAGACGACTGCTGGAGCTGGTGTCTCTGAGCACGAGTCTCATCAAATAAATATCTGGCTCTGACTTTGTGACTGTGGGGGTGAGATCACCAGTGTGCTGCGTAACCCAACGACAGTTTTGATTGATGTTTGTTTTTCTAGAATCACATTAGTGAAAAGTTAAGTGTATCTTGAATAATGTTACATATTTTCTCTCATATAGAATACATTATTGTGGGCATTGGTCATATCACACTGTATTGTTGGGGAGCGTTTCCTTTGGTACCATACTATGGCTGTCTCTCAATTCAGAGACTGCATACAACTGAGCGCGCTCAAGCACGCTTAGCTGAGCGCACTGCTGTTCTGTGGACTTGAGTACCCTGGGTGAGATGGTCTGGCTTTTGTGAATTGGGACTTCCTGGTTGAGTCGTCAAATGTCCCCGCCCTCAGGCTTGCGTCACTGACTAGAAGAAAAGCCGTGGGGCGCAGCAGTTATTTTTTAATTGTGTGACCTTGCACAGACACAAAACTATAGATACATACAAGCACAGATCATTCCCACAAAATTCATCCAATGACTGCATGTTTTGTATGAAGGAAATATTTTTGTCAACGTCAACAAAAACAACACTGCCTCAATCCAACTCAGGATGTTGAATTTACTAAAAACCAAAGTCACACAAAGCGGATTATGAAATTCCCAAGTGCAGATTATACAATGAAGATTACAGCCTCACATGGAAAGCAGCTAATGATTGATATTGATCCATCATTTTCTTTTCTTCTTTTCCACAAGACAGATTTTTTTGGGCAGTTTTCTTTGTCTTTAAAGTTAGACAGACATAAATTTATGACTCATTTAAGGCACCAAATTGTTGGATTGTTTAAGTCGTTTTTTGGCAAAGGGCCAAAATAAGTCGATTTTTCATATAAAAGAACTTAATTTTCTTTATAGTTGTTGTATTTTCATCAATTTGAGGCCAGATTTTTTCGGTTCTTCACAAGTCTAAGCTATTTTTTCTCTTAACTAGCTACACCCACAGTTTTCACCACGTCACAGCTGCTTCTGGTTGGAAGAAAAACGTCCTATCAACAAATTCAAATCAGATATTTGAAGCTGAGACTGTTTTTCTTCTCTACAGGACATCTTGCAAATACCTGAAAGAAACTGGAATTATTTGGATGAAAAAAAGGTCAAACAGAGGCTGAAAAGGCAAATCAGTTAAAACAAAACAACTCACAGACACACTGACTCTCTCTGTAAGATGTTTTATTTGAGGCTAAATATTTAAGCTTCATATTAGAGGCAGAGAGAACGCAGAGGTAAGAGGAGAAAGAGACAGATATGAGGGATCACAGGCAGGAGGAAGAGGAAGAGGAGGAGCAGCTTTACCTTGACTCTGGGCCTGAGAGGAGAACAGCAGCAGTGCCAGGAGGGCAGCCGCAGCCAGAGACAGCCTGCTCTTCATCTTCAGCTTCCTCTTGCTCAACAGCACACTAATGAAGCTGCGGAGGACACCAAAGAGGCAGTTAGAATCGAGATAAGCAGCAGCAGCCCAACAGCAGCCTCACAGGACCTTGAGCAACTCTATCAGAAATATCAGAGCTCAATCAAAGCAAATATTTAAAAACTGCATCAGTTATTCTATTCTACTGCTCACTTTTATCATTTTAATTAATAACCAGAATCAGTCATTCATTTAAAGGCACAAAACGAAGCTTTCAGGACAGGGATTTTACACAAAGTCATATTTCTACAAAATGTGCGCACATCAAATCTCTCAACTCAGCCAAAAACCATGACAGAGCAGACACTATGAGAAAAGGTAAATCAATAAATCCATAATTTCAACGCCTATCAACAACCTTTAAATCATAATACCACGAAAAACCTGTTTGTAAAAAGGCGCACACAGCCAAATCTGCATGCACACTTTATGCATAAAATTCCGGTCTATATTCTTCTTAAAACGTCCGAAATTCAGCCGATGTGAACTGCAAACCGTCCGCTTTAGAATTTTAAATCTCTGCAGATGACGTACCACCAGTATATAGGAGATCAAATATTTCCAGTCCACATTTAACGAGGTTAAAATCCTGGTGCCGTGCGCAATTACGCACAGAACTCCAAAGAGGTAGTCCGCAGGTATCTGGATATATTCCGGTGCACATTGGATGGAATATAACAAACATAACAAATGTTTGCAGTATGGACACGTGGTTTTAAGAAATGCAATAAAAAAATGCAGTTTATGTCATATTAATGCCTGGAACACCGTTAATGTACAGCAAAAACCCAAAAATTCACGCAGGACTGACCTAAAGAGGAGACGAATGAATTTCTTTGGTGTGGTTCCAGTTTGAAAAATAAAAACCAGGTTTAATTCTCTCTGTTGGCTTCCAACCTGTGAAAAGGGAGACTGAGGTGGTCCGGTGTTGGAGACGGAGAGCTCCGAAGGTTTTTGGTTCCCAGACGCGTCTGCGAGCCTCTTTCCAAGTGGGAAGAGTCTCCACACAATCTGCTACCTAACAAGGGGGGCTGCTCCCAGCACTGCCTGCCCCGCCGCGAGCTCTTATGACACCCAGAGCCCAAAAAATGACGTGTAACCTCTCTGAGCGCACACGGTTAAAAAAACAACAACAATCTATTCCCAAGAGTTATGGAGACTGACGTCCGCGCATGGCGGCCATTTTGTTTCAGGCCGTTCGCCCACTCATAACATTCCAGTCCACGGTGCCGCATGTAGAATTTAAATAACCATAGATTACATAATTTTAAACTGATTTTTGAAGGGTTTGGTTTGTAACAAACCCCAGAGTTTAAGTTATGTGCATGCACACTCAAGAATAATTTTAACCATGGTTTTTCATAAATAAACATTAAGCCGATAGGTAGAACAATAGCTATAGGCCTATACACACAAGGCGGTTATATTAAATCATTTATGTATAAAACATTTAATCATTCCATATATGTTATATTAGTAATACTTCTATCATAGGTATAACTATAATAACATATAACAATAACATATATGTCATGTATGTGTGCTATACTGGAGGTCACCAGTAAATGATTACTGTTACACTGTTAACAAGAACCTGAAGGGATTCAATAAAACTTTATTCAGTCTGCCACACTCTGCCTCACGGTCTGATACATAATAATATATGTATTTATTTTCAATATAAATTTCTGCCTAATGTTTCCATTTTAGATGTTTTTAACAAACCAAACAGTTTGGAAATCATGTGCAACTTCAGTTATGTTGAATCGAAAGAGCATTTTTGCCTCTCCAACTGATGTAAAATTGCTGGGTCAACTAATACGTACTTGATCTCACTCACAGCGAGTCTGTTAGCCAAGTTAGACAGCTGATAAACACAAGCACATCCACAAAGACTGTCACTGAGACAAAATAAATAAGTAGATAAGAAAATAAGCTGTCATACAAGAATTTTAAATCTCGATTGTGGTCTCAGCCTTGACAAAGCAACTCAGAGTTAACCCTAGCGCGCAAATAGCCGTGAAACAACTGTGCTGCATGATGAAGTCTTTTCTTTTCTCAAAGAAAATTTGACATTTTAATATGTCTAATCATCCCGACTCATAGCCACATTATGGTCTGTAATAAACAAAACCATTTGTAAATCTGTCAAGATTTCAGCGAGTTAAGAGGATTTTTGATCATGCAGATTACTCAACTTCAGTCAGCTACTACAGAGTAAGACTGCACGATGGTGGAAAAAACTAACACTGCAATTTTTTCAACCCGGCGATATATATTGTGAAAATAAAAAATAGAGGCATTTTCACCAGATGACCTGAATAGCACTTAATGTTGGGCTGCACTGCTAAAATCTTGAGGACAGTTAACCTGCACTGATCCTACCTCTTTTTGTGAATGTTAGTAGAATAGCTTCTGTCCGTCTTAGAGATGTTTTTAGCTTTTATTGTTCTGGGACATTATCGTGGAAACAGATGAAAGGCACTGCAGACACAGAACAGGTGTTTTTGTTACTTCATCCTTCATGTAACCGAAATAATTACAGATAAGTGATGTTGCTTTTCTTTTTGTCAACAAGTATTCATCTTCGGCGGTTTTCTTTTGTTCGTTTCTCATTTTGCAATCATTGATGTTGTGCCGAGAAACACATGCCCACGGAGGATTCCATGCACCTCGCAGAAATGCGCACCACTTATAATAGAGTGCTCCATGGAAATGTATGGTGAGTTTATTTGTCTCCTACATCGCAGGTTCTGCAATGTGACTATCGCACACACGTACATCGCGATGACGATGCTCAAACGATATATTGTGCATGTTATATGTTCCTGAATACTCAAGAATAATTTTCTTTCATAAATAAACAATAAGCAGATAGGTAAAGTAATAGCTTTAGATGGTAGTTACATTAAATCATTTATATATAAACATTTAATCATTCAGTTTATCTGATATTAGTAATATTTCTATTAAAATGATAACTATAATAACACATAACATCAACATATATGTATTCATTTTCAGTCTAAATATCTTTCTCATGTTGCCTTTCTGTATATCTGTTCTGTAAGATATCTATATATAAATATGTGTGGGTTTTTTTTCTTTCACTTTAGTAACTCCTTTTCAGATTTCTGGATCAAAGTGCCCCCTATAAGAGACTACCACCTGTTGCTTAGAAAACTATATCTAGCATATTGTTGATGTCATGCAGAAATCTCCAATCTTCATATTTTAACTTTTTTTTGTTAGATGTGTGGATTTGTCGGGATCCCAGCAGCAGTTGTAGACATTTCTGACGTCTGACACGGACCTGACATGCGCAGCGTAAGTCAGGTCCGCCGCACCGACAAGGCGTTCCCAAGCACAATTTGGTATTTTGGTGAGCGGTGCAGCCCGGCGTAAGTATCCTCCCTCCCTGACTCAGCTCCTCCCAGCAGCATAAGTCGTAGGGAGGGAGGAGAGTGGGCGTGGAGTGGGTTTAACACAGCCGAGACCTGTTTTCACCAATCACATAAGCTCCTCTCCTCGCCTTTAAATCCACCACTGGCGGAGCATATTACAATTTTCATGCAGTAGTCAAAGAGATCAAGGGTTCTATTTTCGTGCCTCGTCAGAGACTTGGCGCAGGCCCGGTGTAAGTCAGGTCCGCCACGCCGACAAGGCCTTCCCAAGCACACTCCTCGCCTTTAAATCCGCCACCGGCGAGGCATATTACTATTTTCGTGTTGGTTTTCGTAGTTAAAGAGATCAAGAGATGTCTGAAGACAGCAATGCCACACAATGGCGACAGAAGGCAGCCCCTCAACAAGTGTCGCTGTAAGCGCTGCAGAGGGCGTCCTCCTCACTCTCTCATATAAGCGCAGATGGATTTGGTGTGTGTAATGTTGGACCCACTGGTAAGACAAACACCCTTTTCCACAAATATAGACACTCACATAAAGTTGCATATATTCAAACCTCACGTGACAAAGGTGGGTTGTGCGCACAGATCACAACATAAATTCCAATAATGGCATTAAAATCGGAACCATCTGTACGTAAAGGACACATCGCGTTCCGTGGCCAGGCACTTTCTTTCATAGATGTTGGCAAATAAAATAAATTTGGCCCACAAAACTGAATATTATAATATTCGTATGTAGGCCTAACTCTGGATTGAATATTTACAGAATCTTAATGATGTGAGGAAATCAGATAAACAGGTAATTCTGAGTGAAAGGTTCTTTTTTTAATTTAATTTTATTTTCTTTTATTATTCCAATTTTTGAAGTAAATGACTCATCTGATCACCTAAATTAATCATCCGGTCAGCCGTGCCACCGCTGCAGCACCTGGACGGAGACAGGACACAGAGACATAACACCGGTCTACCAAAATACCACTAGACCAGCTGCGCTCCGCCTGCGCTGAAAGCTGATCAGGTTTGAATCGGCGAGCTTTCAGCGCACTTTACACACCAGTGGCCAGCACGAAAATGTCACTGCGCCAGCTGGTTCTCTCGACACCTCCCCCTGCTGCGCCACCACGCCCATCTTGGCGGACCTCAGTGCGCCTAAAAAATAAAAAATAAGAAAATAACAAACTGGCTGTACGCCGGGCTCCGCCAGACAAAAATACCACTGCGCGGGGTCCGCCACCCTCTGCAGTGTCCTCGGCGGACACGAAAATAGAGCCCACAATGTTAAATATTTACTATGCTATGATGAGAGTCGCACTTGATTATGGGTGTGTAGCTTACATGTCTGCAGCAGACACACAATTAAAGAAGCTGGATGTAGAGCAGGCCCAGGCTCTTCGGATCTGCAGTGGAGCTTTTAAAACATCCCCGGTATCAGCGCTGCAAGTAGAAACTGGAGAAATGCCTCTACGCATCAGAAGAATTAAACTAATGTTGGCGTATTGGGTAAATTTGCAAGGGCAGAGCAGGGTGCACCCAACAAAAACAGTGCTGCAAGAGTGCTGGGAACATAATAGAACAAATATTACACGCTTTGGATGGATGGGAAATGCTATGGCACAGAAAGCGGGGTTATCCCAACTGCTAGTTGGTCCAGCAGTACCATCCTCAGCACTAGCCCCCCTGGAAATTCGAAATGTCTCTGTAGACACCGGTTTGCAGCAAAAGCTAAGAAACACATCAAAATTAATACCACAGTGGATAATAGTACAGGAACACTTGGAACAGTATCAGCACAAGGTAGTCATTTACACAGATGGATCCAAAGAACCAGAGAATGGACACACGAGTGCTGCTTTTTACATCCCATAGTTTGGCATAGCAGTCAAAAGAGACTCTGAAATCCCATTTCAGTATTCTGAATTAACTGCAATACTTTTAGCCATACAGTGGATGCAAGAAAATAAATAAATAAAAAAATTTCATTATTGCCTCAGACAGTCTTTCCGCACTGGAAAGCATAAGACCAGGGAAGTAGCTATGCAGACAGGACATTGTCTATGACATATTAAAACTCCGTCTTTGCCAACATGTAGAAGAACAAGTTATCTCTTTCCTTTTGGTCCCCGCTCATGTAGGAGTCAAAGGGAATGAAAAAGTTGACTTGTTGGCAAAAACTGCAATGAAATAACAGGAAATAAACACAGCAGTAACACTTTCCAAAACAAAAGTAAAATCTATTTCAAAGAATCACACTTTAAAAATATGGCAGGAATATTGGAATATAGCTGACACAGGAAGACATCCGTACAATATCCAAAAACATGTTGGCAGAAAAGCTACGCAGGGCAGAAACACAAAGGAGGAGACAGTATTTACCCGTCTGAGAATTGGGCATACAAGACTCAATCAGAGCCTGTATTTGATTAAAAAAAAAACACTCAACAGGACTTTGTGATCACTGTAAGACAGCGGAAACAGTAAAACATGTACTAACCGATTGTGTTAAACGCACACAAAGCAGGCAACAGGTTAGTCACCAACTTGAGAAAGAAAATCTGGATCTCACTATAGAAAATCTGTTAGGGTCAGCATCTGACAAAGTATTCAAGGCATTAATGAAGTATTTGAGGGAGACTGGCTTATTGTACAGTTTAAATTTGGAGCCTAGTGAGTATATATATGTGCCGCCTGCCTTTCAGCTCAGATTACTCGCAAATGATAATTTTGTACATTTTTACTGTACATTTTTGCACGATGAAAATGTGAAAATGATCATTTGAATATTCCATAATTCATCACCGTCTTCTGTGCTGGTATGAATTGCACATGAAACTGGTGCTGTCCAAGGTCCTGAATAGAAGCTAGAGAATGATGGAGCTTATTTCATTAGTTGCAGGAAGTCTTGAAATATACATTATTGCCTCTGCCAAGGAGGTTATGTTTTCGGTAGCGTTGGTTTGTTTGTTTGTTTGTTTGTTTGTTTGTTTGTTTGTCTTGACCAACTTTACGGAGAAAGTTACAGACGGATTGACCTGAAATTTTCACCTGAGGTGCGTCTCAGCCTCAGGAGGATCCCATTACATTTCGGTGGTGATCCAGATCGCTTTCTGGAATTTTTTGAAGGATTCTTTATCATTGTGAGATAGGGCAAATTTTGGAATTTTTGCATTTAACTCTATAAAAATGGCCAGAGTCTTAAGTAAAAAAATACACAAAAGGATCTCAATGAGTTTTATGAGGTGTCAAAGGTTGATCCTGATCCAGACAAAATTCTGGATACTGTGATCCAGAACACACAAAAATAAGGGTGTCGTTGGAATTTTCAATGCTGAAAGATAACCAATGGGTGGCACAGTGGTGTAGATGGGCGGCACAGTGGTGTAGTGGTTAGCACTGTTGCCTCACAGCAAGAAGGTCCTGGGTTCGAATCTGGGTCAGGGCATTTCTTGTTTTAGGAACAGTGAACATACGAGTTTTAACACAAATAAAAGTTAATAAAAGACACGTAACAGTAAAAGTTTTGGTGTGAATCACAATATAAGGGGGGACATGAGCTGCTTGGCGGAGGTCTGCGCTCTCCGAGTGCTTTTCTAGTTGCTATGTGACATTAGAAAATTTATGTGAAAGCCCGTGAAATAAATAAAGCAATGGTTAAAAGTATGAGGGCACTTCTGTCAGAAACTCAAACAGTTGAGAAAAGATGGCTTAAAGATTTGTCCAGAGGCCTGTACTACGAAGCTGGATTTGGTCTTAGCGAGATAACTTCTGGATAACTTCTGGGTTTTCTGTACTACGAAGGTGGATCTCTTTTTATCCGGGTCCGTTGCCCCGGTAACTTACGCGGAACGCCAAACCTGCTCCGGAGCAGGTTATGTTTCAGGATAAGAGCTCAGCAGGTATAAAAGACCGCCCACTGACCAATCGGATCTCTTGGAAAATGGCTTGCCCACTTTTGCCGGATCCCGGGGACATCGTTGCACGGAGAGTGAGAGGAGCGCTCCGCCGAGAGCGTTATATTCATGATCGTTCAAACCCCTTTGATTTACCCGATGACGTTCTCTCTCAATATTCAGGTAGCATGAAGTCTAAGCAATGCACTAATATTTGCCAAGCTCCAGGTTCCAATTTCATGAGGCATTTCAGTCATCATTCAGAATTTATTGAAGCAGATTAGAAAACTCCTCTTAACCCCAAATGTGTCTGCAGATGACATGTGACCATCAGATGATGGAGAAAAAAAAGGCAGTGTGAGGAAATCACTGTTTATGCGTTGAAATATGTACAAATAAAATCTTCCAATAAACTTACAAACTACTTTAAAGGATGTTTTTAGATTTATTTTTATTTGCTCCCACGTACTCTTTTCCCCACTGCTGTTGTATCTGAAATAATGAGGTCAATGATGGAGGTGATCACACATGCTGCATGACAACATATAAGGGGGGCATGAATTTATGAACGCACAAATGTAATTTACACAAACGGTGATTTTAGCGGCTGTGTCTGTCTCACTGTTTAAATAAAGCTCTGTTCTTCAGCTGTGAAAAATGACGTGCAGCCTTCTCCATTGTGGAGATTGGTCCGGTGGCACTGACCCGACCCCCTTTACGTGTGCGCGCACAGATCTGAACTGGATTCAGTTATCGAGTTGATATCCTGCTTCGTAGTACAGCTGATCGGGATCGCGGAGATCCGGTGAAGTTGAGCGAGTTGTCGCAGAGTTATCCTGGATTTGTTAATCCAGCTTCGTAGTACAGGCCTCAGGAGGTTCTGCATATAAAAACAAAGGTTAATAAATTCAAAAATATCTTGAAATATAATTATTAAATTTTTTTTACAGTATATGCAAGGTATTTTGACTGTATTCTCATTGACAAAGAAAACTAAGTTCAGGTAAAAATGAATTCCTCTGAGAACAAACTGTGCAAACCCTTTTTACACATACAGTCAAGCCCAAAATTATTCATACCCCTGGCAAATTTTGACTTAAAGTTACTTTTATTCAACCAGCAAGTTTTTTATTAACTGGAAATGACACACCCAACTGCAGAGAGCTGTTTTTCACCTGTTGAGTTGATTAGAACAGCTGTTCCCAATCAATCAGGGTAATTAGGACTCTTTAGAACACCTTGGACTATTTGGAATGGTATAGAACTTTGGATTCTCCCATAGACTGTGACAGTTTGCTAAGGGTATGAATAATTTTGGACATGCCACTTTTCGTTCAAATGTAAATAAAAGCTTTGAAATATTTCTTTCCACAATGATGCCGCTTGTATATCATCTTATTATCTTCTGGGAGATGCCTGTGTCATTTCCTTTTCTCCTTATATTTGCCTATATATTATATATTTATATATTTATATATTATATTATATTTAACTCCTGAGAACTTGGCCTTTTAATCATGTTTTTACTGAACCATCTATGCCCCCCTGTTTTTAATGTGTTCCTGTGTCTTGTTTTATTGTTCATGTTAATTGTCTGGCTCTTTTTATTTTGTTTTTAATTTTACTGTACAGCACTTTGGTCAGCGCTTTGTTGTTTTTAAATGTGCTATATAAATAAATCTGGATGTTTTGGATTGCATTTCCAATTCATAAAAAACTTGCTGGTTGAATAAAAGTAACTTTAAGTCAAAATTTGCCAGGGGTATGAATAATTTTGGGCTTGACTGTACTTCAACCTATGGAGATATTGTTGATGCACGTAAATATGGGTACCAGTGAGCTTTTAAAATTTTATTTGCTCAAACTTAAATAGTTTTCACTGTAACTGTTATAAAGACACAAATTCTACCTCAGCTATTTTAATGTTTTTGTGCTCAAAGATCTTTCAGAAAAGTGTGAATTATAGTGATCCGCAGTAATTCTACCAGCACACTGGAGGTTATGTGAAAGGGGCGCCATCTGCTGGGCCCCTGCTCTCATTAGGGTGTTTAGAGGTGATAGAGGAGATTATAAGGAAAGAAACAGAACACGGTAAAATAAGATGGCTTCACAATGAGAGTGCTTATCAACGATGCATGATTGTGAGAACTCCCAACCTAATGTCAAACACCAAAGTGTGTATTTATCAGAAAATGTTTAAAGCTAAATACTACAAATTTAGCTTATTTTTGGTGTAGCCTACAACCTTTATGCATTCAACCAAGTTTTCTTGGTATTTTAGCCAAGGCTGAAACTTGGCGAGTCACGTATTGCACTGCAACGTTGTAAGGGAAAATGGCGCTCATGTTTACGTCCTGGGAAAGGGACCGTTTGGTGTGCAGTGCAGTACCCGGTGTGTCCGGGTGGTTGCGGTAGTGAGTCTCTAAGCCGTATGTGCTGCCAATAAACACAAAGCGTGTGACGAAGAAGTCAGGCGCAGGATGTTGCGTTCCAGCTGAGTGTCTGCAGATTGCTGAACATGAATAAATCTATGAACAGTCCGTGGAAATCACCCGTGTAGCTTTTGTCACAGCTTAAATGACAAACAGCCCACTTGTCCCTCCTATTCACGGACACCACTGACACCAGGCTGGCCTTCGCTCGGGTAAGAAAGCTTTGACACAGTCGTTAATTAGGCTGAGATGTTTACAGTTGAGCGGCGCTAACGCTTTAACCAGCTTATGTTAGCATGCTAGGCTAACAGCAGCGACCACAAACACATCCAAATCTCATCCAAAGCTCACCCGATATTGGATATAGGAAAATATAGGAAATATGAAGCTAAAAGCTGTCCTATTAAAGATTTTGGTTGAAGAGTAAATGTGCTATTATGTTGTTGATGTTGTTAGGTTCAGGTCTGAGAGATTAACACGGCGTTACAGCGGCTCCTGGAGCTGAGACGGTTTATATTTATTTAATAATAATACACAACAGGGGGACTGAACTAATAAACATTAAATCTTCAACTCTATGATGATGTGCTACCTTTAAGAGATATGATGTTTAAGGTGGCAAGAAACATGACTTTGACTCGTTTGACTGTAATGTAGCAGCTTGTTTGTATTTCTTATCCTACTGTTTTTTTAAAGCAGTCCTTTGACCTTTCAGCCAGTGTTTTCTGTGAGAGTGTTGTTCTTAATAACCTTCTACTAAGCACCAATTACAAAAGCTTCTAGAGTATGAAAGGATGATATCTGTAGTGCACAAAACTCACACCTAATCCAGTTCAGTTTACAATCTCTCAGTTTATTGACCTGAATGGTCCAAGTAGAAGTCCTTTTCAAGATACTGAAGCTTGATCTATCTATCTATTTATTAGGGCCCGACTGATGTGTATTTTTTGGGGCCGATACCGATTATTAGAGGAGGAAAAAAATCTGATTACCGATTAATCGGACGATTTTAAAATTTATAAGTTATGAGTTATGAAAAAAATACATATATACAGTATATATATCTACAGTAGGCATGTGCCGATATGAATTTTTTTTTTTTTTAATTTTACACGATATTGGTGGCTCAAAATATCACGATTCACAATATTATCACAATATTAGCGCATTGCTTTAAACGTTATTAAAAATGGCAAAAAAACAGGGAAATCACTTCTCTGTGCACAGCATGACACACACAAACAATATGAGCAAGAGGCAGCTAACGCGCCGTTGGGAGCATTAGCTTTTTGAAGCTAAAGATAGCAGTAAGGTCACTAATGTAAAATGAAAACTGGTTGCAGTCATGTTGTTTTTACCTTGATTTTGGCAAACGATGCTGGATGGTGTTCACGGAGGTTGGCACGTAGGTTTGAAGTGTTAGACAACGGCGCTGCAACTTCCTTACGGTATAACCTGCAGATTGGTGTCAGGTTTACCTGCTCCTTCTGTTTTATGAAGCCGTAAAACGTCCATACTGCTGACGAAACCTTTTTAATAGGCGGACACAGATGAGGTGTTACGTCATTCTCAGTCTCCGACTGTTCTTTGTCCGGCTGCATCGTTACGTTGGTTAGAAATTGGAACATGTGCGTCAACTTTATTTTTCTTCTTCAAACTGTTTCCGGTTAACAGAGTGGACACGCTCCAACAACGCATTGTGGGTGGCCACGCATTTTGTTTTAAAATTTCTTCATTTTCTCTTTTAATGTTCCCGTTTTTGTTAGGCTGGCATGATTAATGTACTTAATTCGAGAGTTTGTTTCGGGATTTGGGACTACTTTTGTGGTGGTTTGTTTGTACATTTTGTTACTGAGGCTTTGACACCGTGGGTAAAACTACAAGTGGGTTAGGTTGGTAATTACTCGGCTTTGCTCGTCGTCGCTGAGTGATGCGGCCACTCGTCTTTAAATTATTATTGTGGAACAATTATTACAAGACCTTACGATTTCATCATCACGGCCGTTTAATAACGCATATCGTGATTAAATCATATATCGGCACATCCCTAATCTACAATATACTATATACTGTAGGCTACTGCTCTTCACGCCGACAGGAAGACCGACTGATCAAACTTGGACCAGAAAAGTGTTTTCAACCTCCCTCCCCCATGCCGATCGGTGCCTCCGCGTCTGAACTCACCTTACACATTTCCGGTCCGGTCTCATCTGGAGACATGCAGCTGCCTCAGTAACAGAAGTAGCTTGATCATGTAATGTGTACTGTTGTTTATTCTACCGTTACTGGCATGGCTAACAGTGTAGCAAGGCAAATTTTTTTTTAGAACCCGTATCCTGTCAATACAAGCGTTCACATCGGCGACGTTTTCCCGTCCTACGATATTGCGGCATTTTTTTTCAGATCATGGTCGATGTTTCTAAAGTTTCGCACATTGTGTGTCCACTTCTGACCAATCAGAATGCGTGTTGTTGCGAGGTCTAATTCACCGATATATTCAACATGGCTGACCGGCTGATTGTTTACGTGTCGGACAAGACACAAATATTACAAAGATAATGACCTGAAGGACAACTTGTGGAGAGTCATAGCGTCGGATCTCTCATATCACGACGGTTTGTGTGCTTTAACAGTTTGCTAAACTTCTTTGTTTTAACTTTCATCTGTGTTAACGTAATCTAACGGTTGTTACCATAGTTTCATGTACTTATCTTATCGCCTCTGATTGGCTCTAAGTGCTGACCGTTTGGCTTGAGCGGGTGATGACGTTTCCAGCTTTTCTAGCCAATCAGAGGTGAAAGAGGCGGGACTTTCCCCTGGAACAGTCTTCCCCGGGATGCATCTTTTTCCCCCTGGAAAGTGGCAATATTGCATCGGGCTTGATGTGTATAGTCAGGTGCATCAAAATTCGCCTCCAAATATTTTTTAATTTCGAGTTCTATATTCGCGTCGGCCCCGGTGTGTAAGGACCTTAACTCTAACTTAAACTGGCATATTACATGTTGCTTCATGTTGTTAACTCGGCGTGACCGAGACCAGCACAGCGGGAAACATCGTGAAGTGGGTTGAACTGAAACTTGTTGATTTACTGTGTATTTCACAAACTGGTTTATTTACCGTTGAGGCGGACCACTCTCCTCTGTGCGTCCCTGAGCTGCCTGCTTCAGATCCGTCACTCTGCTGTGCTGTGAGGTAGTTTAGTGGATGACGATTGTCATGAGGTTGCTGCGCCATCTACAGGATAAGTCGAGGAACTTTTCAAATGGTGGAACATTTTCGAAGTGAAACTGAATCTTATTCTCTGCATTATATTTCAGAAAATCGCAGATAAATCGGCCACTTTTATTCTGCTTAAGTCCGACTTAATCAAACTGTACTTTCACAGCAGTAGAATATTTTGTCTTACATTCTTACATTCCTGATGATAGAATATTATCAAACCTTTATTAATCTAGACTCTTTATAGGGCAACACAATATATGGGAAAAGTGGTGTTTTCTTTCTTTGATGTTTACTACGGAGTGAAAAATAGCAACAACAACAAAAAAAAAACCTAACCACATTCATGTTGGGGTACAGCCATATCAAATTCAAGATCAACAATCATTTTCTGTATTTGCTTTATGTGACTTTAAGACAACATAGTAAGACTTGTCGTTTTTACCACACTTAGTTCAGCCCTTCATGTGCAAATCTGACGCTGGACCTGCAGGGTTTGGGAGAAAGGATTTGTGACAGCATTATTCAGTATAGTATTATTATTATTATATTTTTTATAATCACTGAATTTAAAAAAGAAAAGTTCTTATCATATCTTTTGGAATGAATGTGGAAAATAAACAATAAAAAAAGTACATATACACTGAAATAACTCACTGCTCTTATTGTCTATCAGCTGTTCTTCATGTTTTACACACAAGCTGTCCCCATATCCAGGGTACAGCCTAAAATAGGGCTGGGCGATAAACAGCAAATTTACCGATACCAAAATTTATGACAATAACTGACGTCATTTTGCCCATGTCAAGAAACATTTGAAGCTTTTGAAGTTTCTGTCCTACGTCAGAAACGTGACTCCACCCCATCCAGTCCGTAACAAAGAGGTAAAGACAGGTGAGGAGATGGAGGATGGTTCAAAAGTTGTTGAAGTGGTAGCTGAAATTGACAAAGTTAATGTGGGAGGGGGTGAGCAGCTTGTGGAGTAGTTATCATCCATTTATCATTATCAAGGTGAACTGCTCAATGTATCGTGATATTGATTTGAGGCCATATCCCCCAGCCCTAGCCTAAAGCTTTGTTGTCATTTCTAAATTGTCAAGCAAAGGCTTGACTTTGACCTCGATCCTTTAATTTCTGTTCTACACTCTGACCCACTTTACCAGAATGTCTGTGAAAAACCCTCTTTGTACTATTAGTTACAGAAGAGCCTTTGTTAAATAGTCTAAGAAGAGAACGCAGCTCTGTAGTGAAGCAGCTCAGACATTCACAACACTTAGAAATGAAACTTCAAATGTTGCCTCAGTGACATTAGTCTGTTTAGGGCAGTGGTTCTCAAGTCCAGTCCTCGAGGCCCACTGTCCTGCATGTTTTGGATGTTTCCCTGCTTCAACACAACTGATTCAAATGATCAGCTCGTTATCAAGCTCTGTAATGGCTTAATAACGAGCTGATCATTTGAATCAGGACATGCAGGACAGTGGGCCTTGAGGACTGGACTTGAGAACCACTGGTTTAGGGTAAAGTGAGGAGAAATGGGAATATGAAGCAGTGTCTAGAGGTGAGGGTCTAGATCAGGGGTGTGATCATGTGCCTCCACCAGGCTCCACCAGGTGATTTCACTGATTACCTTACCTCCAAGCAGAGAGCAGGGACTAATCAGTGAAATCACCTGGTGGAGTTTTGGGTTGGAAAGAAAACCTGCAGCCTCTCGGCCCTCCATGGCACATGATTGCACACCCCTGGTCTAGATTGAAATGCTCCCTCACCCAACCCTCTCAGTGGTGGCGCTATAATGGCTCGAAGGCCACAAGCTTTAACTGCCAGTTAAACACAAAAAAGAAATAGAAAGTGTACAGGTATCTCAAGCCGCAAAACAATAATGGTCCTGTGAGATTTTAGACTGGGATAAACTGCAGAGGCTCATTTAAGCTGACAGACTTCTGTGAGGAACTTAGAAAAAAAAACAGGAGTGGAGTTCAAACTTTGCTTAAAGTCAGGTGTGGTGTTAGTCTACATCATCTTTGCACGGAGAGGGAAGCATGCACCACTCATTAAAAAGTTCCCAGTGAATACTGAGTAGGATCTTATCTAGGGCTAGGGGATATGGCCTCAAATCAATATCACGATATATTGAGCAGTTCACCTTGATAACCATAAATGGATGATAACTACTCCACAAGCTGCTCACCCCCTCCCACATTAACTTTGTCTACTTCAGCCACTACAACTTTTGAACCGTCCTCCATCTCCTCATCTGTCTTTGCCTATTTGTTACGGACTGGATGGGGTGCATCTTAAAGGGACATGAGAGCATAGTCTACCTACACACATCCAAAAACAACGTTTATTTATTTATTTTTTTGACGCCCAATATATTGACATGGGCAAAATGACGTTGGTTTTTGTCGTAAATGTCAGCAAATTTTCTGTTTATCACCCAGCCCTCATCACGATGTAATCGCAAACGCAATTAATCGTTCAGCCCTATTCTCAGTTCAATACAAGAGTTTTAGGTTCACCTGTGCAACCGATCAAATCAAATACTGTGGCGCCCTGAGCCCTGTTACTGCATGTTGACGGATAATGACCCAGTTCTTTGTTTTTCAGCTTCATCTGACCTCCTGAAGTGTCTCCCTTCTCCCACTCATCATGGGGGACTACTACCAGGTGTTAGGTGTACGAAGAGACGTGTCTGCGGATGAAATCAAAAAAGCGTAAGTTGTTAATATTTTATAACTTTACAGAGATCATGCAGGGTGAGTTTAGGAGTCCATACATCGAGTAACGAGTTAAGCAAAAATATAAAAGACAGTCTTCATATCAGTCTCACTTGAAGAATTCCTGGTTAACTGGGATGGAAGCAGCTTCTGGAGTTTCATCTGACCTCCTCAAGTGACATGACACCAGGTAGACTGTCACAGAGACACAGACTCTGCCCTACACCATAGATTGTGTCAGAAAGGGTCAATCTCATCTCCATTTGAATTCATCATCGTTATCATGTTTCTCCTATCAGTGTTTAATTATAATCTAGTTTTTTTTCAGCATAATTCAGAGCAAAAGCCTTTGCTTGATTACATCTATATATCTAATGTTGATGTTCGATTTTTGTCTTTTACTACTTGCTTGTATATTTCATCATATTTTACTTCCAACGTTTATTTATGCATCACTAAACCAAGTAAATACAGAGAAAAGCCTGGGAAATGTAGTTTGTCTTTCTTCTCTCCTCACGCAGGTACAGAAAGCTAGCCCTGAGGTGGCATCCTGATAAAAACCCTGAAAACAAGGAGGAGGCTGAGAGGAAATTCAAGGAGCTGTCAGAAGCCTATGAAGTCCTGTCAGATGGTTTGTATCACCGATCTCTGAGAATCCGCAGAAATACCAAACCACAGTGAAATGTTGCACAGATGGATATGTAGATACTGTATCAGTAGAGGAGGTCCAATTGAACACCTGAGGGAAGAAAACTTTGTAAGATAGTACAAAACCCAATTCCATTGAAGTTGGGAAATTGAGATAAAGGTAAATAAAAGCAGAATACAATGATTTGCAAATCCTTTTCAACCTATATTCAATTGAATACACAACAAAGACAAGATATTAAATGTTCAAACTCATAAGCAAATAATCATTAACTCAGAATTTGATGGCTGCAACACGTGACAAAGAAGTTTGGAAAAGTGGCAAAAAATACTGAGAAATTTGAAGAATGCTCATCAAACACCTATTCGGAACATCCCAAATCGCCTCATACTTCTCGGCCACCTTAAGAAAGGGCCTCAACAGTGGAAATATCAGTGATTTTATATAAATATATGTACATGCAGGGTTAGGTCCTCTTGTTGTCACCTGAAGACACATGTTTACTTTCCTTTACTCTTTGTTCATCAGCTAACAAGAGGAGCATATATGATCACTACGGTAAAGAGGGACTGACAGGGAACAGTGGAGGAAGAGGTGAGTACTCCATGCATTTTTTTCTTTCTTTTTTTTGATTGTTAAAGTTAAAAGTAAATCATCAGAAGTTCAGGCTGTCCACAGGAGCGAACCAACAGACCAGGAGTGAACAGGTTGCGGTGAAGAGTGCACCTTGTTTTGAACACTCTTCAGATCCGTCTTTGTTAACGTGTCGTTACAGGAGGACATTTCCACAACGGAGACCATTTCCATGAACCGTTCACATTCCGTAACCCAGAAGACGTCTTCCGAGAGTTCTTCGGTGGACGAGACCCCTTTGCAGATTTCTTCGGTAGGTTGTAAAAGTTCTTGCTGCTTGAAGAATCTTTAACCACGGTGCAGAGTTGACAGGACTGGCCTGAAGCCTCATCTTTCTTGTCTTCAGTTCAGGTTTTTTCATGTACTCTCATGCACTAAGGATTTGTCGTCATCTGCCCGGTTTTCTCAGGTACAGATCCATTTAGTGATGATCCTTTTTTCAGCGGTGCACGGCGGCAACAAAATAGGTCCAGTCGCAACCGGACGGGTGGTTCTTTTTACGGGGGCTTCGTAGGTTTCCCTCCCTTCGGTGCTGGCTTCTCTCCTTTTGACCCTGGTGAGCCATGCTTTTGAGAAAACACTTAAATGAACTCTTTTGCATTTGATTGTGCACAGAGCCAAAGCTGGCGTGATCTGAAAAGTCTCATTGTTTTTCCTGCAAACACCCTTTAATCCTCTCAGTTTGTTCTGCGGCATGTCTGGCAGAGCTGCTCAGTAAATGGTCTGATTTCAGAATTGTTGACTTAATTCACGCGGCTCTGAAAAATCAACCACAGCTGAAATATCACACAGTATCAAACAGCTCCCCCTTGTTGAAATGAGACTCTTTCTGTGCTGCTCTTTCAGGCTTCGGTTCCTTTGGCTCCATGAGCACCATGGGTCACATGGGTCACATGACAACTATGGGCAGCCTCGGAGGTGGAGGATTCACCTCTTTTTCCTCCACCTCATTTGGGGGAGGAAGTGGAGGGGGAGGGATGGGCAACTTCCGCTCTGTGTCAACTTCCACCAAGATCATCAACGGCAGGAAGATCACTACCAAAAGGTAACCAACAGCACAGACTGAGGAGGTTTCTGTTGTAGACCATGAAGACTGTTTGAAAGAGAAAACATCCCAGCACAGAAACAAACAATGCAACAATGAAAACAACTCACTCATCCAGTGAGCACTTCGGTTGAGATCTCCATTCCCTCTTTGCTTTACATGCAGATAAACAGATTTTCAGTGATTAACAGCTGAAGGAGAAAGTGTCACAAAGCAGGGATGTGCAGGTGGATCAAAGATGTTATAAAGACTATATTTGATCGTGAATCAAAGAAAGTTGATAGACCTAAAGATATTGAGGTGTAACTTGAACTCCACCCCTGGGACTCCTGGACGGAGCAAACAATATCTAATTAGGGAATCAGGAAATATTTATTATTATTATTATTATGATTAAAGGTTTTTCAACTTAAAAACACTAGGCGGGCTCAAAACCTCATGAAATTTGACAGGCGGGTCGGGCCAGGCTCAAATTCCCGTATATTCAGGTGTGCCCTCCAACACACCTGATTCAAATGATCAGCTCGTTATCAAGCTCTGTAATAGCTTGCATGTTTTGGATGTTTCCCTGCTCCATCACACCTGATTCAAATGATCAGCTCGTTATCAAGCTCTGTAAGAGCTTGATAACGAGCTGATCATTTGAATTCATCCAGGGAATCAGGGAAACATCCAAAACATGTAGGACAGTGGGCCTCGAGGACTGGACTTGAGAACCACTGTGTTAAGGTCAAAGGGCGTGGCCATAGCATCCTTTCAAACTCTGACAGTAAATGACCTATGACACTCAAAGGCAGTCACAAGTACCAGCCATCATAGAGGTTAGGGCTGCTGTGGAGGTCAGTGCACTGGGGAGGTGGTTTACAGAGGTAGCAGCCCGACACTGCTGGTGTTATCTTTATTATCACAGAGGGGCAATTTGCTTCACAGCGAGCTCACAATTCTCACAAAAGTTCGGACACATGGAAAAACAAAGGCATACGGAATACTGGCACTGGCATCAGAGTAAATAAACATCATATACAAATTTTACTTAGAACTGCTTAAAAGGCTCATGGCAATCAGGATAAAAGAATTTTAAAATCTGTTTGTTTTACACGGTGAAAGAACTTATCTGTGTTTAGAAGGAAGCAGCATGAACTCCTTAAAGAGTGACAATTTCCATGAACAAATGAACATGGAGATGAATAAATATCAATGCCACAGCTGAAACTATCACACAGTATCAAACAGGTTCTCCCTCCTTGTTGAAATGAGACTTTCTGTGCTGCTTTGTGATGGCTGAGAGTTCAAACTTTGGCTCCATGAGCACTAATGGGTCACATGGGTCAACATTAACCACATGGACTGCTCGCGTCCTCCTCACCGGGACTGTCGCTGAATTCCAGCTCAGTCTCGCTCAGCAGTACTGGCACCGGCGGCACAACAACACGCCGGGAAATTGTTTCTTTGATTGTCTGCTGACGATGTGAAGGTCATGGATCTCCACTGGATCCACAGACGGTAGCACCACGCCAACAGGAGCCGATGTGCCAAGACTTTTTGCTCTTGGCTAATGACTCACAGAGAAAAATCACTCCACAACTAGGCTAATTGGCACACTTGATGGCACACTTATAATTGGCGAGTACTTGTTTTTTGTTATTGTAACATGGTTTTAATGTATTTGTCGGCTTTTCTGCGTTTAGAACTACCCCAAACCTAGTTGCATGTTGGGGAGGAGCGCCCTCTGGTGAAAAACAAAAAAAAAAAAAAAGAAAAATCCGTCGATATCTGTCAATGGCACTCAGGGCAAAAAAAAATCTCTCCAAATCCGTCATTGGCACTGAATGAGTTAACATAAAGCACACTGCAATATAAAGGAGGTGATTTATTTTCAGTCATAAGAGCATCCCATCTATTGACCAATTTTATGACTTGTTTTGTTGTTATTAATTAAAGCCATGAAAGACTTGACTTGGACTTGCAGAAGGTCCTTATGTGAAAGTCTTTTTTCCATTAAGGTCCTTACACACCTGGGGCGACACAAATGTATGATGCGGAATTACGAAATAGTCAAAATAATCAAATACAAAATAATCAGCTGTCTGTCATGATAGCATGTACTGAGTCGGGGCCAGTACCAGATAAGCACATTAAACATAATCCATAAACGTAAGGTAACAACCAACACCTAATGGTGCTGTGACAGCAACGTGATTGAGGGAAAATACATATGGTATGTTGTACCTGAACAGGTTAGCTTACGAGCTAAAGTTACTTAGCACAGATGAAAGTTAAAACAAAGAAGTTTAGCAAACTGTTAAAGCACACAAACCATTGTCATATGAGAAATCCGACACTATGACTCTCCACAAGTTGTCCTTCAGGTCGTTATCTTTGTAACATTTGTGTCTTTTATCAAAAAGCACTCTGTTCTCCGACACGTAAACAATTAGCTGGTTGGCCATGTTGGATATACTGGTGAATCAGACGTCGCAATAACACGCAATCTGATTGGTCAGAAATGGACACACAGTATAAGAAACTTTAGAAAAATCGACCGTGATCCAAAAAAATAAATGCCGCAATATCGCAGGACGGGAAAACGTTGCTGATGTGAACGCTCGAAAAAAATACCGACGTCTGAAATAATCACACGAAAAAAAACGGTCCCGGTGTGAAAGGAGCTTAAGTCTCAGAAGACACAGTTCTGTTCAAACAGAAGGTTTATGTACGTGCCCCAGATGGCCCTGGAGAGTGGTCATGATGATCTGATCTCAGGGCGTTGATGAAGATGGTATATATGAGGCAGAGGTCTAACATCTGACTGAATTTGATGTTCAGGGTTCATCAGACCACTGAGAAGCGATAGCAAGTATTTAGCCTTTCCCCAGCTGTGTCAGCAATCCCTGTGGATCAGGATGTCTGTTCAGTAGACGTCCTGAAACATGAATCCAAACATCATTCAAAAAGAAGATCCCTCGGGCAGAAAGTGTCTGAGTGGCTTAGAGAAGCCGCTGCTGCATTGAATGAAAGCATAAATCAACTGGGTGTGTATTTCTTCTTTTCCTACCAGAATCATTGAGAATGGTCAGGAGCGGGTGGAGGTGGAGGAAGATGGGCAGCTGCGGTCATTAACCATTAACGGTAAGGAGCAGCTGCTGCGACTGAAACACAAGTGAGGACGGAAACATCCTCATCTGGAGAAGTGTTACCTCAGCACAAACACACCAACAAACTTGAGCTGGAAACAGAAGGAAAAAAGCAACACAATGTAATAATAGTACTCTCCTGTTGTTTGGATGTAAATACTTAGATTGTGTTCATTTCCCCTCATGTGTTGTCTCCACCCTTTCTTTGATTCAAAGGAGAATTTGGATGCAGACATTCCTATGCATTCATTAATGTATTTTTGAGTTGAGCTTTCCTTAAATTTTGGCTCAGGTTGGTGTTCTTGTTTTTTAAATGTTTGGGACCACAGTATTGTTCTGATGTGTATGAATTCCCTACCCCCTTGCGGTACTTTCTGTATGCTCTCTACTTCTCTGTGTCAGAAGTTATGGCATGACTTTGCTTTTTCATCTGTACATGAAAAAATGAGTAGGATTTACTGAAGCCCTCCCTCCTCTCTGTTGGCTGCTTGTCTAACTTCCTCTTAGCCATGATTCTTTTGTATTGAAAACAAAAAAAAAACTACAACTGTAGGATGAGTTATGCAATTTTATATGTTTTAAGTTCAATGTGTTTACTGTTTATTTAATAATGCATGTACACCTGTAGATGTTGAGTCTTAATGTTACAGCTGCATCATGATGCACAAATAATGGAGGGCATTCTATAAATGATATATGAATATGGAAGGAATTTTGTGTACTTTGTAAACCAATAAATATGAACTTTCATCCTGATTCAAGGATTCTGACATTCTGGCTGGTGTCAGACTGCTTTGTTATTGTGCTGCTATGGATCATTTCATGTTCCCGTTAGACTGTACAGTGGAAGTAGACTGAACCACAACAACATCATCTGCTGGTTGGTTTGTGTACGGTTCAGAGCCAGCCAACTCCAGAAAAGTCAATATTGCAAACAAACAGTAGGGTTACACTGAAACCGTTTTTAAAAGTTGCAGCAGTCAGAGGTTTTGGCAATTGCCTCCATCTACTTTGAGTGTTTCTCATACAGGCAAACAGGATCTGGACATGGACGATAAAACACTGAAAAAAATATGTCATGTTATATTAAATAATTTCAGAATCAAGTTCCGTGGTATGAAATTGCAAAGAATTGCAGGATCAATATCAAAGTTTCTGGAGAAAGAGACAAGGCCGATGCTGGATAACTGTGATGTCGTTTAAGTCACTGCATAGGCTCAAAATCATTTCCCAAATCCACTGTCTGTGAACACATTCCATTACTGCTTCCATACAAGCAGGTTGAAACTGAACAACTGAACATGCAGAAATCATACATTAACATTAGGCTGTATTGGCTGAGCGAGATCGTGTTGGTTCGTTCCACTTCAGTGGAGCAACATAAACTGTGATTCATAAAATAGCTCTATTGATTGTAAGTACTAAAAAAAAATATCTACTCATGCCATCCGGTCGATTTTTAGTAACCAGTGTTTCGGTGTCGAACTATTTCCTCTCTGCGGCATAGTGATACTTGCAACTGAATATGCAGAGGGGTGAAGCGATTTTTGTCACATGGACCAATAGGAGCCGAGTCTCGTTGCCATAGTATCAGAAATACACAAACATGGCGACGAGCGCATCTAGCAGCGAGACAAGCGATGACAAGCAGACACAGTCCACGTGACAAAAATCGCTTCACCCCTCTGCATATTCGATTGCCTGTGTGCAAGTATCACCACGCCGCAGAAAGGAAATAGTTCGACACTGAAACACTGATTACAAAAAATCGACAGGATGGCATGAGTAGATTTTTTTTTTAGTACTTACCATCAATAGAGCCGTTTTGTTAATCACAGTTTATGTTGCCCCACTGAAGTGGAACGAGATTCACTTTCTAGGCACTTTTTCCTCTGTCCCAATACAGCCTACATGGCCTAGAAACACCAACAATCTCTCTGGACATGGGTCCATTTAAGGTGAAGGAGCTGAAGAAGAGAAGGATCCTCTTCGTGAGATGAAAAATAATTGTGTCCTCCGCTCTGAATGAGAGAAACCAGCTTGCTTGTTATCAGCCCACAGTTCTAAGCCAGGTATGGAGATCATCAGAGTCCATGTCATGGGTATCTTCCACATCTGTGAAGGCTCCATTAATGCTGAACAATATCTCCAGGTTTAGGAGCAACATCTGCTGACATCCAGGAAAAGACTTTTCTTAGATAAGACCTTCATATTTCAGCGAGGCAATGACAAACCACATTCTGACAACAGGGATTACAACAGCATGGCTCTGTAGTAGAAGAGTCCTGCTGAGAAAGTGGTCTGATTGCAGTCCTGACTTATGTCCTCCTGGTTCCTCAAGTATAAACAAAGTTTTGTAAATGAAGAGATGATACAGCACAATGACAAACACACCCCCATCCCAACTGTTTTCAGATGTGTTGCAGCACACAATTTAAAATGATTGTTTTCACGCACTATTTTTTTTTTCCCAGTTTTGATATCTTATGTCTGGGTGCGATTTTCAATCTTACAGTTTTAAATGATTTGCAAACCATCAGAGTCCGGTTTTATTGATATCAAACACAACATCCCAACTTTCTTTAGGATCTTTAGTCTAGCAGCTAAAGTTTTTGTTTCATTGCTCCCTTCCTCATTAAGTTTATTCCTCAAACAGTTAAACAGGATCTGTTTCAAGTATACCTCATTGGGCCCTAATGTTAAAAACATGTAAGCTTTGCGTTTTGGTGATTTTGGGGACAGAGAACTGTTCTGACTTGAAGAAAAACAGTTTTACCGTGGCAGAATTAACCCTCACCACAGGCTGCAGTCCAGTTTTTTTCTGCCACAGATTTCACACCAGTTAATGACAGATCATGATCCTCCAACATTCTCCCGAGCCCTGCCTTTCCTGACAATGCTCACACCAAACAAAGCTATGACACAAGCGCAATAACCCCCTCCCACTGAGCCAGTTTTGGATAGCAGTCATGCAGACTCCAAAACATTGTTTGTCCCTGGAGTCATGTTGTTTAAACTCATTGTTTGAAGCAGATTTTGATCAGTGTGGGAGTTTTGAGAAGTGTTCGAACAAGTGAGGAGAAAAACTGCTGACACAGCAGCCTCCTTAGAGTCTTTTTGAAATGAACTTTAATAAAATACCAGTCTGACATAAATATAAGACGTAAAGGTATCTATCAGATAACTTTGTTTTACACTGTCATCCAATAGTAGCTGGGATGCTCTCGCACATGTGCTGCAGGCTCTGCTGAGAGGACTTTAGACTGGAGGGTCAGAGTTATCAGCCAGACAAACGACAATGTGATTGTTCCGCTGTTTGGCTCAGTGAGATTTCATCTACTTAGGCTGATAGTACGGTGGCCCTGAGGTGCAAAACACAACAGCAAATCAGAAAACACAACACAAAAAGAGAAAACACAACCACAAATCAGAAAACACAACCACAAATTAAAAAACACATCCACAAATCAGAAAACACAACATAAAGAGAGAAAACACAACTGTTCATATCGATGTGTTTTCTGATTCGCCGGTGTTTTCTCTTTTTTGTTTTGTGTTTTCTCCTTTTGTGTTGCATTCTGATTTGTCATCTTTTCTCTTTTGTGATGTGTTTTCTCTTTTTGTAATGTTTTCTGATTTGTCATGTGTTTTCTCTTTATTTTTTTCTGATTTGCTGTTATGTTTTCTCTTTTTGTGTCGTGTTTTCTCTTTTTGTGTTGTTTTCTGATTTGCCATTGTGTATTTTTTGTGTGTATTGTTTTCTGATTTTTCATTGTGTTTTCTCCTTTATGTTGTGTTTTCTCTCTTTTGTGATTGTGTTTTCTCTTTTTGTATTGTTTTCTGATTTGTTGTGTGTTTTCTGTTGTGTTATGTTTTTGTGTTGTGTTTTTTTCTGATTTGCCGTTGTGTGTTTTTCTTTTTTGTCCTGTTTTCTGATTTGCCATTGTGTGTTTGTCTTTCTGTGTTGTTTTCTGGTTTGCCGTTGTGTGTTTGTCTTTTTGTGTTGTTTTCTGATTTGCTGTTGTGTTTTCTCTTTTTGTGTTGAGTTTTCTCTTTTGTGATGTGTTTTCTCTTTTTGTATTGTTTTCTGATTTGTCTTGTGTTTTCTGTTTTTGTGTTGTTTTCTCTTTTGCAGTTGCGTTTTCTGTTTTTGTGTTGTGTTTTTTGATTTGCTGTTTTGTTTCGCACCTTAGGGCCACCGTATGATAATGACCAGTAAAACAAACACAGGGAAGGAGGGAGGGAGGGTATACAATGGAATACTGCCAGTGCCAGTTAAAGGTTTTGTCATCAGGGGTCCTGAAGTATCAGAACATGTTTTTCATGTTTTTCTGTTTTCAGATTCTTTTTTTGCACATTTCATTTGGGGAGACCCCGTGTTTTAACAAACTGTGGTAGCCTGCAGCTTCAGAGGACTGAGGTGCTGAATGGAGGTTTATATTCTGTGCAAAGTGGGTTCCCTTCAGTCCTTATTTGGCTCATTTTTCTCTTACATTAATTTTCTGTTGCCCTCATCATAGTTGCTCACCTGCTGGACTGAAGGATGGTGTATGGTGAGGTCCAATCCTTGGTCTGCTTCTTTTCTTCATGATAATCCCCCCTCTTGATTTCTATTTAAAGAGCTGATCGTACCTTATATTTCATGATAAACATTTACATTTGACAGGATACGATATCCAAGGGTCTGCAAGACTAAGAAAACGTTAAAAGTGAACTTGTTTTCGTAAGCATGGTCCCCTTAAATCAGTATAACACAAAGACGTCTGAACAAACTGGTGAAAAAGGCTGGCTCTGTGGTTGGACTCATGCTGGATTTAGTGGAGGATGTGGTGGAGAGATCTACACTGAAGAAGGTGGAGTCTATTCTAAAGAACATGGATCACCCACTTCACAACACCTTGATGGACCAAAGGGCCAATGGTGGTGGACGGCTCCTCTCTCTTCACTGCAGGACAGAAAGATTCAGAAGATCTTTTGTACCAACAGCCATCAGACTTTATAACTCTTTTATAAATAGTAGATAACTTTTAGAGACATGACAAGTGAGACGTCAGATAATTGAATTTCCCTTCGGGGATCAATAAAGTTCTTCTTATTCTTACTCTTATAGTCTCTGTATATTTGATCTGTATACCGGTCCTGTCAGATCAATGACTTTCACAACCTCCTCCAGACACATCACATGACCCCAGCCCATCTGCAATGATCTGCGTGCCAGTAAACACGTCTGAGTATGTAGATAAGTATGTCTAATTTATGCATTGAAACAAAGAGCAAACTAAATGCCTGCCAATGTGAAAAGGGTTTTTTTTTTTTTTTTTTAAATCAAAATTAGTCTGAAACAAGACAATGTAATGCTTGTGCAAATAATTGGAAAAAAATGGCTTAAAGTATCCTGACACTAGATTTGAACAGTATTTACACCCGTCATGTCAGTGTGACTTAAATTAAAAGTGAAATAGTAATTAAATCGCATGACATTTTTGCAGCGTACGTCTTCTATGTAAGCTGGCTATCTTGCAGTTGATGGAAAGCCCTTGTATTTTATTTTTTTATTTTTTACTCAGAAGGTGAACTGTTGATATGTTATATGCAGTGAAGTAGGCTTACAGCTATTTTTATAGAAAGCACCATAGACTGTATATAGAATGGACAGAGTCTGCCTCCTTGCTGGGTGAAGCCACTCTGAGAACAGCACCCTCTGTTGACGAGCTGCAGTATAGGTCATAAATCCCGCCTCCACCAGCAAAGCTTATGGAGCTGTGGACAAACTAGAAATTTATTACAGAGAACATAAATTTTTCTCCCTCCGGTTGTGATGTTGACATGTATTTACTGTAAAGGTCCTTACACACCGGGGCCGACGTGAATATAGAACGCGAAATTATGAAATATTCTGAGGCGAGTTTTGACGCACCTGACTATACACATCTAGCCTGATGCGATTTTGCGGCTTTCTGGGGCGAAAAAGATGCGCCCCTGGTGGAAGCAGGGAGACTGACACAACAGCAGACTGACTGTTTTTCAGTTCTGATTAGACTCTAGTGTTGAGATGTCTGTCTGTCATGATAGCATGTACTGAGTCGGGGCCAGTACCTTAAAGCACATTAAACTATAATCCATAAACGTAAGGTAACAACCGAGACCTAATGGTGCTGTGACAGCAACGCAATTGAGACAGTGAAAATACATATGGTATGTTGTATCTGAACAGGTTAGCTTACGAGCTAAAGTTGCTTAGCACAGATGAAAGTTAAAACAAAGACGTTTAGCAAACTGTTAAATGACTCTCCACAAGTTGTCCTTCAGGTCGTTATCTTTGTAATGTTTGTGTCTTTTATCAAAAAACACTCTGTTCTCCGACACGTAAACAATCAGCCTGTCGGCCATGTTGGATATACTGTTCATCGGCGTTCAAGGATTGCGACTCTCGGTGACTCTCCCGCCGAATGTGTACAATGCTATTGCGCAAGTGGTGGTTTCAGGATATGAAGAAAAATCCCGGAAATACCAAGAGTTGAAAACACTTTTCTGGTCAGAGTTTGATCAGACGGTCTTCCTGTCGGCATGAAGAGCAGTAGCCTACAGTATATCTACAGTATATAGTATATTGTAGATATCTACAGTACATATATTTTTTTAACTTTAAATTTAAAAAATCATCCGATTAATCTGTAATCAGATTTTTTTCCCCCCTAATAATTAGTATCGGCATTGGCCCCAAAAAATCCATATCGGTCGGGTCCTAGTATTTAAGTTCCACCCCAGATGACAACCTGTCAGTTTGCAGAGGACTGCAGGACACGCCCACATGGCACGCCCGTTAAGTTTCAGTCAGATGGATTACTTGGTGGGGGGATGAGAAAAAGGCGTGTCTTGCACTCAAGCATGAGAGGCTGCAGCTTCTCTTCAGAAATGTGATGTCAGTGCGGAAGTGCAGTCAACCTGCATTCTTTCCGTTAATCAGCAGTGGGAGACATCACACACCGGTCTACCCACCCATACTGTTTCATAAAACAGTGGGTCTAACGGTATTTTACTCTCCTATAGTGAAATGAGAGGAAATTAAATAAAATGAGCAGATGCAATGTGTTCAGGAGTTAGTTAGAGAGGAGTTAAGGAATTGAGATTTTGTGTTTGTAAAGTTCATTTATGACATCCGGTCTCTGTGTATTCAAGATATGTGCAAGTATCTGTTGGGTAAGCATAACTTAATAAATCAAAGGTCAATCGCTTTCTTCTTCTTTAATGTGTGTAGAAGAAACTGAGAAGCTGAAACTGGCAGCTCTGCGCACTGAGTGGGAGTTCAGGTGGAAACAAGCTGCTGATCTGGAGCTGTCCTTGGTGCTGAACGCTTCAATCCAATTACCTCTCTCTCTCTCTCTCTCTCTCTCTCTCTCTCTCTCTCTCTCTCTCTCTCTCTCTCTCTCTCCTTTCTCTCCTTTCTCTCCGGGCCGATAGCTCTCCGGGCCGGCCGGTTCAGTCGTCTCCCTGTTTCTGCTCTCTCGCTGTGTGTTTCCTGATGGCGCCCGGCGCTGCACGCACCCCTAACCGGACATTTCATCGCGTGCCCTGACATATTTTTCCGCCAAAATGCGGATCCCTACTTTCCTGCTTGCTCTCTGGAGGCTTCGTGAATCGGCGGCTGGAGGGGAGGTAAAGCGGCTGAGATAACTCATTGGGTGCTATGGTGGATCCATCTGGACGGGACAGAGTTCTGCTTTTCTGAAAGCACTTTCCACAGAGGTGGGTCATACTTAGGACGGTTTTACTTGACATTTCGTTCATTTCATTGAAACCTGTATTTGACCAGTAGTTGTCACTTCAATAAAAGTGAATGGAGCCGGTTTTAAAAGTTGATAAAGTTGGTTCAGATTTATGTTCTGTTCACTTTCTGACTAGTTTGGACCTTTTAGACCTGATACAGGCCATGATGCGTAATCAGGAGTTAAGCCTCAGTCTCTTAATCTTCTTGACAACTAATTGGACGCACTCACTTTGGACTCTTATTCTGAATTGTTTATCCAGAATTCATCTTGTGTCTGCAGTTGATCTAAGGTGGTGAAACTACATGAAAAGTCTAAGTTGAATATTGCAGATATTTTTTTTTCATGATTTTAGATTTTAGGGTTAATCTTACAGAATTGTTTTCAGGTGGTTGTATTGAGTTGGGAATAAACAGTAAAGTGAGTGTTGATGGTATCACAAGACTTTGATGAAGTTCATTCTAAGGAGGAAGAGATGGTTAAACCTGTTTTTAGTAGTGACGTCGCAGCTTGATCCCTGACATAGCCATGTGTCCTATGAGTGTCCCAGGAGAAGATAGACAGACTATAATTAACTAAGGCAGACTTGAGCCAGGGGAGACGAAGCCTAATGCCACTACTGGGATTTGTGGGACTCCATTACACAATCAGATAAAGGTCTCACAGTCAGAGCACTTCGAATGGAAACATAAGCCTTTATAGCCCGACACAAGGAAGGTTCCATTCATTCCCTGACGATGGATTAAAATAAGTTTTCATTACATAAGAAAGCCCTTCGAAAGATCCACACTTTTAATCATTCATTGAATTAATCAGAGACCTCTTCTGTTCAAAGTTCTGGGCTTTTTTTTATAGAGGGTATTCTGCAGATAAACAAACTCAGTTACGTTAAATCCACAAAGTGAAGGAGGCATGCTGTAAATAATCACATATGATGATGATGATGGTGATGATGATGATGATGATGATGATGATGATGATGATGATGATAAGACTCCACTGTGACTGACTGTTGTGAACATGACTACATGAGCTGCATTAAAATCAGGAGAGAAATAAAGCGATCAGCTCACATGGGCTGATGTTAGCTAGGACGTCTTCGTGTGTTACATCCCAGACTGAAATGTTGACACATTTGCTGGATATTCAAATGTCTGAGTGATACAAGTCCACAGTCCTGTGCTGTGATTGGATTTAACCTGTCTAGTGCCACTAGCCTCCAAGGTTTGGTTTTGCGTGGAGTCCTTGAGTGTAACCATAGGACCAAACTGGGCCTTACAGATCAGTCATGTCTGTTCAGTCAGTCTCAGTTAACTCACAACTAAGCAGGGATATCCATATAATGCCACCATCTACTCTCTGTGGACCACCTACTGCTGGCAGATAACAGGCATTTTAGATTTTCAAGTCCAGATCAAAAGCACAGTCTGAAAGCTCCTGTAAGGAGTTTTACACTTTATGAAACAGATTCAAGTTGAACACAAGGCCTCTTTATGGTCCACAAAGCAAAAAAAGGAAAATAATGAGATGAACCTTCTCAGTATAGTAGTTTCAAAGCGTAGAACTTATGTGAACCCATGTGGGCAGGTGACGGACCAGACAGCTGACAGCATTGTGATGAAAAACACTGGTTTTACCTTCTCACTGCAGAATATATGTTTAGCGATTGACTGACGAAATGCTCATGAATTTTGCAACTCTGTTCGTCGTCCACACAAACGTTTTCGTCTAGTCCCGCCTTGTCAACGTAAACGCACATTCGTCTCGTCACATTTTAGTCATCTAAGACTAATGTTTAGCTTGTCAACGTCACGTCTTCGTCGTAGAAAAAAAGGGGCGTTGACAAATACAACCAGTGTTGTTTTCGTTGACGATGACATTGACGAAATATTTTTGTCGATGTCATCGTCAACGAAAACAGCACTGCTCACAGCAAGTGTTCATCATGGGTGTTGCTCTTGATTGAAAGGATGCACAGTAGGCGTTTTGTCAGAAAACACAACTCACAGATGTAGAGAAGACAAAAAGAGCTCACTCTGTCCACAGGGGGCACCAAAATCAAACTAAAATTTCCAGGTGGGCGCTTTAAGGTGGATCTGGTTGTAATTTCTGCTCATGTAGAAGAGCTTCTGAAAAAGAAAAAGACATTTTCTTTCCTGCAGAAATGATGCTTATTTCTTTGGAACATTTAATCCAAGTGTATGTTTTTTTTTTTCTACTAAACATAGAAGCACAGACTTCTGGGATGAATGCCCGGAGAGTGCAGGTCAGAGGATTAATACTGCTGCCAGTGATCATACTATCATCTCCAATGCTGACAGTATAGCACAACTTGTGCTCACTGAAGAGGTTCAACAGGTCATTGAGGAGACTTGGAAAAATTAAATCTTCTCTGCTTAATGTAAGTTCTCTTGTTTTTCAGCCATGGATCTAACTAGGAGTTCAGTGGCCTGAACACAACCAGTTGAGCTTGGTGGGTCAGGGCAACCTTCCCCTCTGGCCGTCACCTTCACCTCACTGGGCCTCACAGGCTCCAGGGACTCACACACACCACGACAAGCTGTGCTGGAGTTGACCCAGTCCGCAGTGAGTGGGCAGCACAAACAAAGCGACCATGGCCGACAGAGCGAGTTACAGCACCCCCAAAGCCAACCCCCGTCCTGCAGCAGCCCCCCTGCTTCCCCCTGAGCCTATAGACATCATACGCATCAAAGCCCGCTCCCGCAGGGTCCGGCTCAATGTGGGAGGTCTAACACATGAAGTCCTGTGGAGAACATTGGACCGGCTACCCAGGACCCGCCTGGGACGCCTAAGAGACTGCAACACTCATGAGTCGCTGCTGGAGCTCTGCGATGACTACAGCCTCACGGAGAACGAGTACTTCTTTGACAGACACCCAGTGGCCTTCTCCTCCATTCTCAACTTCTATAGGACTGGGAAGCTGCACATGATGGAGGAGATGTGTGCCCTGTCTTTTGGTCAGGAGCTGGACTACTGGGGAATTGATGAGATATACTTGGAGTCGTGCTGCCAGGCCCGGTACCACCAAAAAAAGGAGCAGATGAACGAGGAGCTGAGGAGGGAGGCGGAAGTGCTGAGGGAAAAGGATGGGGAGGAGGAGGAGCACGGTTGCTGTCCCGAACAGAGACAGAAGCTCTGGGATCTGCTGGAGAAACCCAGCTCCTCAGTGGCTGCAAAGGTAACCACACACACATGTTGGACAGAGTTCACTCTAAAACACACTTTTGTTTTATGAATCATTGGTATGAGAATAGAGGAGTGAGTGGCCCAGAGCCAGGGAGAAAGGGTTTTCAGTTTGATGTAGCCAAGAGGAACTCACCTGTGTGTGTGCGCTTATGTGGTTTTTGTGTGCAAATGGAGAGCAGCCAGAGATTTTGACACACCAAAACTCAAACAAAAGATACCTTAACCATCACCTTTTCTAAGATCTTTCAGTTGATCTGAAATCTCTTTGAATGGAAACAGAAAACAGAAATAAACAAGACACAAAACAAAAACCTATTAGCCAACTAATAAGTCCAAATCACAAGATAAGGTTTTCAATTCTCACAGCCAGCATCAACGACATGATTCATTTTTCATCCTGAATAATGCGGTAAAGCTCAAGAGTTCAAGTATTTAATAAAACACACTTTGGTGTTTTGTTCAAGGTTTTTGCAGATTGTAAAATTGTTTCGTGTGTTGTGATAATTTATGCATTTAGTGAAAATGTTTTTTGAGGTCATGAAATGTTTTTGGAGTTGACCTTCTGGGCCACCGTACAGAACTAAGGTTATAAGGATTACTGTGAAAAAAGTTCATTTTTGATCAGAGTCGTTGTTATAACAAACGGGATTTGGAAGCACATTAAACAGTGATGAGATTTGACCATTATAAGCACAAACATGGCATTGAGACGATAATCAGACCTAATGTTAAATTAAATAAGATCAATTAAATCTACTATATTAGATTACTATACAATATTAATAATAATAATTATAATTATTATAAATTTTTGTATTATTATTATGACAAAATGAAGAAATTCAGGACATATTACTGTGAGTGTAAAAATTTTGAGTAAAACTAGTGATTTTTTTTTGTGTGTGTGGAAAAACTTGATTCTGATTAGTGTTATGGTCACTTTATGCATCAGCTCAAAAAGAGAACAGAAAACACTCATGTTTGAGCTTTTTCAGTAGCTCAGTTTGAATTGGGCTTCTAAGTTAGATAAAAAGAAGAAACGTTGTTGGCCATGAAATCTGAGGGATGATAGTTTTAGTTTCAAAAAGGTTGTGTTTATTTTCATTCAGTAGGGTGGAGGAGATGTCATGTAAATAGTATACTTTCCCCTTATTTTATCACAGTAATGCGTGAGTTATGAGCAAACACTTAATGATAACAGTCTTGATGTTTAGTTTTCTGTATCACCAGTTCATCTGAGGAGGTAGTACTCCAAAGAAATCAGAGAGTCCGAGACACCTAGAATACTCAGGTGTGTTTCCTTCTGCCACCACCATGATTATCCTCCTCATGCAGATCCTCACAGAGACATCAGAGGCCATTAGAGAGCCATCAGGTCCATAATCCTCCTTCACCTGCAAAGTACAGAGATACCATACTGAAGGGGGAGGAGAAGGAGGAGGAGGAGGCCGGGGGGGGATTACTGCTGCATGTTCCCCCCCTTGTTCTGGCGTGTTAACACAGCATTAGTCTGTCCTTGGTAGTGGAAGGTTAGTGAGATTTAATGTGAAAACGGCTGATATGTCCAAAAAGTTGAAAAGCAGTGAGAATAAGGACTCCTCTTTGTTGGTTTGTAGGAAAGTTAATTTAGACTCTGAGAAATTAACAAAATAATCGATGACGGAAACTCCACCCTGTTGATTTTTCACAGAGCACACTGAGAACAAGCAGCTTCTGTTAAAGGAATAATCAGTATAAAAAAAAACTGTGAACAGTGGAGCTTTTTATAGAAACTTGGTGTGAAAGAGAAAACTCCTCAGAGATCAGGGAGTAGGCTACAACCAAGAGAGATGTTATGAAGAAGCCTGAGAGACTATCAGTACTATCTGGATTTCTCTGCTACAGTTTGTTAAAGAGGTATGATGCGGAAACATCCGATGCATGATCTCAGAGACACTTGATCTGTTTGGATGAGCTCTCACTGCACCACAGCATGTTACTGCAGGAGTCTGGAGACGTCAGGACATACTGGCTACTGTGTGTTGCTGAACATGTTATCCTCTCACAGCCTTTAAAAAGGGGGGGACATTGTTCTTATTGTCCGTCCAAAGCTCAGAGCTCTTTTTGATTTCTTTTATGAAACACTGGAGTCCACCTGATCCAGCGGCTTAAAGCATTTGGCAAAACAACGGCATAATGTTTGCAGCTTTAACAGGTGCAGGTTTGCAGTCAGAAAAGCCCTGTGTTAGTGTCTGTGTCCTCACACATCACTTTAGCCCCTAAGCTGAAGTACACACGGTTAGCTTAGGAAACATTTCTAAAGATTTTTCAGTGAGCTTACTGTGCTTCTTTTGTGTTTATCTGCAGCGGAGCAAAAAGACAGCCTCAGAAACACAATCCAAGTCGAGTCCATTAGCAGCAGATGTGACAGCAGGGGAGATTTGTCTGTTACAGCTAAATACGCTCTTTGAGTCAATCCTTCTTCACTTGATTTATAAAGACAACACTCATTTATCAGCTTCCTTGTAAATGTGCCAAGTATCTCATTCCTCTAACTGCAGCCCTTTCTCCAGATGTTTCTGTCTATGAGGTGATAATGAGAATAAGAGAGAAAAGAAAGAAAAGGAAAAATACTGTGAGTCTGCCAGTGAAAGGACATGCATAAGAAACCGAAAAACAATACAGATAAGAGAGGTTCATAATGAGAAGTGCAGTTTGTAACACACACTAGCTTTTTCTACTCTGAGTCATCAAACTAAGAAGTGAAGAGGAGATTAGAGGAGATAAATAGCACTTAATCAGTTTGAGCTGAGGATATCGAGCCCCTTTTTTCCAGAGAATGACATTCATAGTGGATATTTGTGTAGATATTGATATATTCAGATCAGCTGCTGGAGATGAGCTGCTTTTGTGTTTCAGGTGAAGTGGTGTCATTTGGGGGTCAGAGTGGTCAATGTGTGAACTGCGCTGGATATCTAAAACGTGTTTCCTCTGTTAAATTCAGTGAATGGCCTCATAATTTAGAGCAGTGGTTCTCAAGTCCAGTCCTGGAGGCCCACTGTCCTGCTTGTTTTGGATGTTTCCCTGCTCCAACACACCTGATTCAAATGATCAGCTCGTTATCAAGCTCTGTAATGGCTTACTAACGAGCTGATCATTTGAATCAGGTGTGATTTAGAGGCATGAGGCTTCCAGCAGTGTTTGACCTGCTGTCTTGACTCGATGGCTCCATTTAAATAACAGAAAATGAGAACTGAGAAGAGATCAGAGAGCGAAAGGACACGTACACAAAGGCAAATGGTTAAGGAAGACAAGAGAGTGCGGGCCGATACTGTTAATTGATTCGCTGTTTCCAGCTGGTCGACTGCAATGTCAGCAGCGTGAGGAGAAAGCTGTGGGTGTATGAGCCAGAGTCCCACAAGACCTGACCATTTACAGAGCTCTCGTCTTAACTACACACAAGTCTTTTTCAGTTCCTGCCAAAGAACTGACCATTTACCGGAAATTGTTTTCAAGGATAAAGGTGAAGACAAAACAGACTTGGAGGAAATGGAATATGATATTTATAAGTTTGTTCAAATTAGTGCATAATCACCTGAACACAAAAAAGTATTTTTTCTTTGTTAACTTAGAGCGAGCTTTTTATTGACCCTGGAGCTTGTCCTCTTGAAGAGAGGCCGCCATCGTTCAGTACCATGTTTCTTCAGCTGCACAGAACAGACAAATTAGCAACATATGCACATTTGTATTTCATGAGTGACCACACATACTGTACTGCACTGGTTTGCAGAAAAATATGATATTGGATTAGGAATGGGCGAGTATATGATCGTGATCGATGATCGTGATAAATTTCAGTTCGATCACGGTGATCACTTGTGAGCATATTTACTAGATCAAACATAGCGGAAATGTGCGTCACAACAGCCAATCAGAGTCGAGCTTTTCCTGCTCACCTCTGTAAGTTACCGGAAAAATAAACAGGAGAAATAAACAGAATGACCAAACATGGAGCTTAACGCAGAGCCGAGGGCAGCAAAGTAGATGTCAGCCATGACTTTGAGTCATCCTCCGAAGATGTTATTGTTTAAGTTATTCAACGTCGGTTGTGTGACGGTGGTTCTAGTATCTCTAAAGTGACATTGAGCATTTAAGCCAATGTGCAAGGTATGTCGGCGATCAGCGCCCACCAAAACCGGCAACACAATAGATCTGTTTAATCATTTGAAGAAGTACTTCCCTAGTGATTATGCGGAAAGCATGAAAATGCAAGCGGAGTCTGTACAGCCTGTTACTGCCGACGGCACAAGTAGAATTAGCAGTTTTGCCATAACCAGCATTTCACCAGACTAAAGCAGCAGTCAATCGTATCATCTATGTTTACATCATCTAATGTTGACGTTTTAAGGCGTCTTCATTATCTCTAAGGGGACAATTTGTTTATTTTGGGTCTTGCATACCTGCAAAAACACTCAGGACTGTAAACTAATTCACTGTATTATTTAGTTTTTATCTACATTTATTGTACTGTTAAGTTAAAATATTTTAAAAATATTTTTAATAAATATATTTTCCTAAGTTTATCTTATTCAATTTGCTTTGTTATCTCCTTTGTATGTTAATAATCTGTAGTTTTTAGTACAGATGCTTTAAAACTGGCAGTTTAAAAAAATATGACAAAATATATCGTGATCATTTTTTTTTGCCAAATCGCCCAGGCCTATGTTAGATACAAAAATATTCCCATTTTTACACACTGTATCTATAACTCATGAGAGCAAAGGTCAAGTCCAAAGAAATGGAAACAATAAGTGACACCAAGTGCAAACTTGAAATGTTCCCTTGCTCGCCCTTCCTTTATGTGAGGTGATGATATCAAGTTTTCAGCACGGAAACATCCATCACTTCAAATCCCTTTGCACACCACTCTTTTTCTTTCACTTTGTGTAGTCACTCGCAAAAAAGAAAATGCATGTGTTACAAGTTTGTCTTCTCTGTGCCTCCGTAGAAAAATAATGGTGAAAAATGGTGGCTTCTGCCCCAGTGTAGATCTAACAGGCTCATTCTGAGTTAACAAAACGATTTTTATATTCAGGTGATTTTACACTAATATGAACAGCATCATCAATGTGATATTTCATCACTACAAAGCCTATTCTGCTAAATGCTGCTTCACACTACGAATTTTTCCAAATTTGTCTGACATTCATCATTTCAAAGAGTGCTGCCAAACAATGCTGCTAGAATGAGCTGCTGCCATTAAAACTATGACAAACAACACAAGCACATCATTATTTTTTTGTTTGCTGCTGATTTATTGTCCAACATATTGACCAAATATTGTATATCATGAACACACAGTTTAGAGCTCTCACAGTTTGATCTAGGCTCCTTTCCTGACAGGGAGACAGAGAGCAGACAGTCCTGGATTAACAAAGAAGTTTGGAGCTAAACTAACCCTCTGTTGTATAAATTGATCTCCATAATAGCAGATACAGGCCTTTAGATTTCATAACCAGTGCTTGACAGTCTAACAGCAGTTTCATAAGCTTGTTAAGCCAGTGTTGTCAGTGCTTAAGTAATGAGTAGAGTTTTAGGTGTCAGGATAAGATGTGTGGTGTGGTTGTTACCTTATCCACCAGGAGATGTTTATTCCAAATACTTTTTAAAATGATTGTTATTCAGATCTTTTCAAGCATTAAACCTTCAGGCTGTATCATCCAGACTTACAGAGCCTGACAAACATCCTGTGACTGTTCAGTTGTTCCAGTATGAAGTGTTGGAGAAGGGAGACATGGCTGCAGTCTCCACACATTATTTATTCATAAGGCCAATAATTACAGTCCAGGATCTGACATGATGAAGTGCAGGTAACAGACAGTTCACTCCTCTATAAATAGTGTTGGCCTTCAGAGTTTCATGTGACCATGTTGGAAGCGTAGTCAGCAGGAGGGAAGCTGCTTAGGCCTCTCTGCTTTGAGACCAGCCGTGTGCCTCTCTGCATCAGCAGTGATGCAGCTCGGCTCTCCACCAATAGGAGTGTCTCTTCATGGTGACATGTACACCTGGGAGGTGGGGATTTAAAAAGAAGCAATACCTGTCTATAAAAAAACAAAAACTAACCAAGTGGGCAAATCTAAATAGCAGACTAAAGTTTGATGGTGTGAGTTTTACAGGACTCGCTTTATCTGTTTCAACTCTTTAGTTTAGACTCTGCTCTTGGTTTTTGGTGGCCCTCCTGGCCCTGTCCCTTTTGTGAACATTTTGCCATCCGGCTTCAAAATGAAACTGAACATCTTAAAAAGCTGAAGGGTGTAAATCCTCTCGTCCTCTGAACAGTTTTTATAAAATTGTGATGAAACTCTGAGTTCATTTGGGTGTAACAGTACATAACAAGTAATGACAGAGTGTCTGTAGAAAAAGTCACCTGTTCATGACAAACATACACACCCCCACACACTCCCACACACACACACACAGGGTATGACTAAGAGTGTGGCTTAATCTTCTTTGCAGCTTTTAGCAGGACTGCTGCTGCTGCAAATAGACTGACTGTTAGCAGGCTGGATAGTCTGTCCTGTCCAGTGTGTGACCTGCAGGATGAGACAGGACGGGGGCAATAAGGATACAAAGCACTGACTGCTTGATTTAATGACACTATGAAGAATAACTGAGTCAATGGCTGCACCTGCCCACAAGGTGGCCAGGAGCATTTGAATTACTGTGATTAGTGTGTGTATATATAAGGCTTAAATCATTGAAACACATGTCCAAAGAAGAGGAGGAACAAGCCACCCAGGCTTACACTGTTAGTTTTTTGGTTTACAACACTGTGTTAAAAGGGCAATAACTGATTTTTGACTGAGCCTCTAACCCCAGTCATGGAGGGGAAAAATCTCTAATATGGAATCTCACAAAACTGTGCTGCTCCTTAACTCCCTGTTATGATTGAAGTAATGTGTCTGTATTTCTCCAAAGCAATGATCTACTAATCTGTTGTTGATCTAGAAAGGCTGAATCTGTGAAAAATATCTCTAACTTTACAAAAGAGTTAAAGCTATGGTCTACGATCTGAAAACCAGTTTGGCTCTTGAGACAGATTGAAAAAACGCAGCCTGCCCCACCTTCACTCACCCTTCCCCTCCGTGTTCCAAGATCCCGCCCCCTCCAGCTCGTGTCATGTTGCCTCCTAATAACACGCCCCCTCCAATCGAGCAAGAAGCCGGCTGACAGAAAATATCAGCATCTTACATACCGATCAGCATCTGATGCAGATAAAATTGTTGAGGCTGCTGGGGCCAGTGGTCTCTGGAATCCGACCTTCATTGGAGTTGAAGTGAAATGAGATTTCTCATAGCTGAAAGTAACAAACACGACAGTCATCCCCCTTGTAACACACAGTGGTTGCCATTTCAATTGGAGCGGCGCGATCAAAACCATATATTAGTGGGGCGAAGCGGGTCTGGCGTTGCCACTGCTAGACGGTCAGAGCAGAGCCGATTGTGGGCGTGTCTTCACCAGCTCAGTTTACAATGCTAAAGATACATGGCTAACTTGTGCTAGAATCTATTGACAGAGCCTACCCGTTCCGACCAACAACGTTCAGTCATTAGTCAGTATAGGCACAGACTAACCAGTTATTCAGCAGACATCTCCCACTATAGTAAACAAAGAAATTATCTGTTTAACAGAAATTCGGCTGTCTCAGCGTCAGTTTTTAGTCCCAAATCCTTCTGCAGCTTTTTCCACCGGTCGTACATTTCTCCAATGTAGACTCTCCGTTGGCACCTGTATCGCTCATATTTCTTCCTTACTTCAGCCTTTTCCTTGAAACTTTTACGTTTCCTTCTCTTCGATGAGGAGGGTAACAGAAGCGGCCTCCTGGTTTCTGTGTTTGTCTTCTCTGGCTCCATTACGCTTCAGTAGCTGTACAGCTCGCTAATCACATGTACGTGAGGGGGGTAGTGGGAAGGAGGCGGGACCATGGGCGGGACGGTGCGGAGCAGGGGAGACAGGGGATTGAATGGACTCACTGACCACTGGATCGGTCGATTATTATGCCTTTCTGCCGCAGATATACTGAATGGATTTTTTCGTTCTTTTTGATCTTTATATTGCGCAGATCGGACCATAGGACCATAACGGCCTTATAAACGGTGTTATTAAAAAGTACCAAGCTTCCAAATGGTAGAGCATAGCTGTAAGACTAGTAGGCAGCAATACAGTTAGATTTAGGGAGTGAGCCGGATGAAATGCTGTCACAACTCTCACAGGAGTTTCTCAGGATAAACCCACTGACAGTGGTTTTGTCCCTTCATCTCCATTATGAGACCTCATGATTGTCCGCTTTATCACAGACAGCTCAAGACCTTTATTTGTTGACAAATGATGAACAAACATCCGAATCAGAGGCTTTATATTGACCTTATATCACATATCACACACTGATGGATGATTAACATTGAAAATGAACTGGATTACACAGATTTTAAACATTATTAGGTTAATAACCTGCTCGTAGTCTCTGTTAATTAGCAACCATAAGCAGGGGGTATGTTGAGTGTGAACTTCAGATAGAGTCATGATGAGTCAGTTACTTACACATCCATTAATCATATTCAGTCATGCATTTGTTAAAAAGACAAAAGTTTAAAGCCTTCTCTCAAAGTGAAACGGACTTTTGATTCAAGGACAACTATTTGCTTTCTATCTGTGTGTGCAGATGCTGCAGACCTGCGGCACACGCACGCTGTCTCTCTGTCTGATGAAGCACTGGGCCATGACAGACAGAGCACTTTTACTCCTCCCTCCACTCAGAGCTGCATTCTCTCTTCAAATGTTGAGCAGAAATGCAGAAAACTCTGTGATAGTAAATGTCTCAGTTTGGTTGGCTGGTTGTTTCTGTCCTTCTGTCCGCCTTTTTTATTATGTAACAGTGAGCTCTGATGGAGTATTTTTTATTGGACAAGACCGTTTCAGACAAGCTAGTATGATATTATGTCTCATATAGATTGAGACACTCTGATAAAGGGACACATTTTACACCTAAAACATGCTTTCAGGAAAAGCCTGAGTCATAATTATAAATTTCTTGCTGGATGTATCTTTACTTTCTGTTGCTCACCATGAACCAACAGTGAAGTCAGTGTGACTTTATTAGGTTATTATCCTTAATTAGGGCCCCAGCCGAGAGCGCAGCTCTGCGGCGAAGTCCTATTGTAATCCAAGGGGTTCTCCATTATTATTATTATTATTATTATTATTATTATTATTATTATTATTATTATATTTTTCAGCCTCCGAAAACGCAAATTTGACCCCCTGAACGACCATGAAAACTCACGAAAATTGGCAGTCAGTTCGGGCCCTGCGAAAAATCGCAATGTTTTAAAGTGACCCAAAGAAAGCGTTTAAAATGGCTCGCTAGCGCCCCCTACAGAGCGCCATGAACTTCAACTTTGTCCGATCTGCACGGAATTTTACAGGCACGTGTATCTTAACGAGATCTTTGATTTTGCGCAATCGACTGTCACGCCAAACGTATCTTGTTCACATTTCCTTCTCGAGATATTTGTTTATTCCATGATTGTACCTTTGCCCTGCCATTTTCATTTAACATAATAATATTTTATTATTATTAATTATTCACAATTTTTTAACAAAGCTAACAATAGATTTTTGTAATGAATTCTAAAAGGGGTTTAGGTGCTACTCTAGTTAGTTAACTGTCGTTGTTAATGATAAAGCACTGTAAAGATAAAAATTGTTCTATTAAAGGAAAATAGCACCATTTTCATCTTTACAGTGCTTTATCATTAACAACAATGAAAGTTAACCAACTAGAGTAGCACCTCCTTATGAAATAGCTTCATGTGCGGTCAGATAATTAAGGTAATACTAAGAAGTAGAGAATAAAACTCATTTAAAATCTTGGTGCAGAAATATTCGTTTTTGAATCCAGCTGGAAATGCATGTGGTCCATACCTACAAATGCATAAGGGAACTGTGAATTAAGGTTTCTTGACTGATAATAAAGACAAGCTCATTCAATAGTTAGGATTAATTCATGTGGGGCAACAGGAATCAGTGATATGTCCTCCATTAATTCATTAATTAGAAAATCACCAACCATGCAGACTGACTCCCCAACTGAGAATAAAATTGGTATCCTTACAGTAAAGTGTGACCAAACCATAGACTGTATATACTGTGGACAACTTGGGTTCCGCCTCCCATCATTATACACATTTGAAGTCGAATTGCTCTCTATGTTTCTAGGATTTTCTCCACTTCCTGGAACCATTACTTGCGCAGTAGCATTGTACGCATTCGGCAGGAGAGTTGCCGAGAGTCACTGTGATGACGCTCAGCTCAAACAGCATATCCCCTGGGCAAGCTACATAATCTTCATACGCCCATAGGCTGTATCAAGTGTCAATCATAGAAAACATGAACCCCCTAATAGCTTTTAAAAATAGAGCTGCAGTCTTACAGTAACAACATGTCAACATCGCAGACAGGGAGGAGAAAAAAATTTATTCTGAGTAATAAATTCCAAAAGTTTGTTCACAGCTTCATAGGGATTGCTGGAGGAGGCGGGGTTTATGACTTATACTGCAGCCCGTCACCAGAGGGTGCTGTTCTCACAGTGGCTTTCCCCAGCGAGGAGGCAGACAGCGTCCATTCTAGATACAGTCTATGAACCAATCACAGTTAAAGCAAATGGTAATTGTTTGGACAATTACAGGCACTGAGCTGCAGCCTCTCAGGGCCAGAGCTGGTTTGAACAGTCAGTAGTTACACCTGATGAAGCCCTCATAGCTGCTGAAGCTCCACTCTTAAGTTGTTTTGATTTATCCAGAATAAAAACCAATATGTCTAGCTCATAATGTTGCCTTGTTTATACCCTCATGTCACACAATGCTGTTCATTCCTGTAAGTAGGCCTGACTTTGATTTGATTTAATAAAATTGATTTAAAAAAAGACAAAAAAAAACCCATTTTTTAGTTGAGTGGCCTCATGTCACTTGACTAAAATCCATGCAGAAATATCCATGAGTCACATGTTTGTTTGTTTGTTTGTTTGTTTTTCAGTGTTTAAAAGCTTTAGACTTTTCTTCAGAGGCAGGGATGGGTTCAGAGAGGCACCCACAGGTGGCACTCTTTGAAACCAGATTGGCCACCCCAGTTGACAGCCCAAAATTCTGAACTCGGACTGGCCATTGTTCTTGTCTCATGCAGAACTGATCAATATGGCAGTAGCTTTCTTTGTATTAGGACATTTTCTTCTGCTGGTGCCTCTTTCTTTGACTGATAATCCAGCAGACAGAATCCAGCTGTCAGGGTTTATCTGTTGCCTAATAACTAATGAGTTTCTTCTTGTAACACAAGGACTTTATTGTCTTACAAGTCTATCTTTCTGACCTAATAACTTTATTTTCATGATATTTGGCTTAAGTATGACTCCATTCTTGTCGTGTTTTTTTTTTTTTACTTAACTGTGTTTCTGCATTAGTGTTGGAATAAGTCTTTGCTGTGTCCTTAGCTCTCTGTCATTGTATCACACCTTAGACCTTGGCCTGTTTGTCCTCTCTTTCTGGTATCATGACCTCCAACAGTAAAAACAAGATGGCAGCTCTCACTGCCAGATCACACCACAACTGATCCTGAAGGGGTCAGACGGGGATCGAATGCATACTCTTGTCTCCTGTTTGGATGGAAACTGGTTTGGTTTTTTATGCCTTATAGCATTTGTATTTTGATGTTTAAATTTCTTCAACTTTCAACTCAGACAAAAGTGAAAAAAGAGAAGCAAGTCTAAAGGTCCTTACACACCGGGACCATTTTTTTTCGTGCAATTATATCGGATGCTAATATTTTTTTCAAACCCATATCCTGTCAATACAAGCGTTCACATCAGCGATGTTTTCCCGTCCTGCGATATTGCGGCATTTATGGTCGATTTCGCATACTGTGTGTCCACTTCTGACCAATCTGATTTTGTGTTTTTGCAATGTCAGATTCACTGGTATGTCCAACACGCAAGAAACATATTTGCTTCAGTATATATGCTTTGTAGACAGACAGCTCTCAGTGACTGCAGCTTTCCAGTATCCAGAAATTTAGTTTTTGTGGGAATTACTCATCACCGGAGCAGAAGAGTTTTCAGTCTTTAATAACAAACTTGCAGTTCTTTTGTCAGCTCATGTCTCCATGTCACACCACCCAGCGTGTGTGAGTGTACCACAGCTTACAAGCTGTCAGGCTGTCTTTTGTTCTTTTGTTCAACTGCATTTGCCGTCAGAAGTGGAGACATGAGTGAAATGTCACACAGCTGATTAATGTCAGACAGAATGAGGCAGCATGATTTAAACAGCACCAGTCCACATACAAGACTCAATTAGACAGAACAAATCAGGGTGACAGTTTACACAAATGTGGGGAAAAAAACGGCCACCAAGCAAGATTAAACCAAATAATACTTCAAACACAGCTACATCGCAGGTGTTTAAGTTTGAAGTTGCCTCAAGTCAAACATGGAATATAAAAATAATCAGTAGACAACATAAGAGTTACTGTATCTTAGTGAAGTTTGTTGGAGGCTATCAGTGCTTTCTGTGCTCTAGTTCCCACTGATGTAGTGATTTTTCTTCCCACTTAAACTTCCATCCTTCCACATAGAGGGTTACAGTGAAAGGGCTCTTTTTAAGATGGGGAATTTTCACACAGCTTTCTGGACAGGTAGAATTTCTGACATGGATTTTGTTGTGCTAAAATCAACCATGACCAAATTAAACATGAGAAAACAGAGAGTTAATTATAGCATGCTATTAAATAGTCTGAACACAGTTTTTTCTGTTATAAATAGGATCATGCATGATAATATCTGCTAAAATTTAAGTGATTTAAACCAGTGGTTCTCAAGTCCAGTCCTCGAGGCCCACTGTCTGCATGTTTTGGATGTTTCCCTGCTCCAACACACCTGATTCAAATGATCAGCTCGTTAGTAAGCCATTACAGAGCTTGATAACGAGCTGATCATTTGAATCAGGTGTGTTGGAGCAGGGAAACATCCACATAGAATAAACAGCATGATTTTCACCTGGTCCTGCTGTGGGTGGGCTGCACATCAGCTGTGATTTTAAGACATTTGCAACACAGCTGAATTATTCTAACTTTCTGGCCGTTTGAGGTGTGGCTGTATCATCCTCATTTGAATTTTTCACAGTTTGTACTAGAGACAATGTGACCTTTTCAAAATAACTAAAGTCACAAAGCACTCAGATAACAAGGGAATTTGTTTTTTTCGTATTTGCACATGATAATAAAATTAGTATAACGTGCAGTTATCCAGACAGCGAGAGGTTGCTAAGTTTTATGTTAAACTGTGTGTGTGTGTGTGTGTGTGTGTGTGTGTGTGTGTGTGTGTGTGTGTGTGTGTGTGTGTGTGTGTGTGTGTGTGTGTGTGTGTGTGTGTGTGTGTTTGTGTGTGGTATTTGTCCTGAAAAGCTGTCAATTGTTGTTAATCAGCTATGAATATAACATGTGAATTCCACAGTGTCACAGTAACCGTGTAGCTGTGAAGAGGGAAAATAAAAAACTCTAAACCAGCAGGAGAACAGATTAAGTGTGAAGTAGATGTCCCCGTGTTTCCTCTGCCTGTAAGGCTTTGGGAGAATAATATCTCCCCTGTGTCCACTCAGAGGACTTCTCTGTGGAGTTAATGACCGTCGTTCTGACTCTGTCCTTCTGTTACAAGCTTCGATTTAATCTTTTTTTTTTTTTCCTGATGGTGTGTGTGTGTGTGCGTTCTGACGTGCTTAAAGACCAGATAATTAAAATCTGTGATATATACTCTGAGCTCAGAGACATTCCCAGTTAGTCTTCAGTTTGCTGCAGCAAAGAAAATATCATGTGTTTGAAAAGAAAAGCGACACCCCAGATTAGTCAGTGATCCGAACTACTTTAGAAACTGTGACAGAGCTCGGAGGTTACATAAAAATCATGAACTGATCTTGCCTCATCCAGTGAGAAGAGAAAGAACCATACAGGCTTATGTCATTCCATGATGGTACTAACACCTCTAAAAACTAATGAACTATCATTCATCAACATCAGCTAAATACTCTTTAACCAGTCGAGAGGTCTTTTAAATGCACAAAAAAAACCAAAAAAAAAACAGTGGATCTGATTCAATGTAAACCAACCCACAGCTCTGATAGAGTCAAAAGACTTTTTATGACCGTTCTGGGTTGGAGCTGGAGAGCAGGTGGGGACAAACAACAGAAGAACAGCGCTTCTATTCTGTGAGATGAGACTATAATCATGAGTTTTATCATGAATTCCATCATGAATATTAAAAGAAAAATACAAAATGAATAATTTTTAACAAATAATACACCCTACTTCCTTGATGAAGTTTATGTTCTTGCAGAGCTGAGCACAAATACTCTAATCCTGAGTTATTACTTTTACTTTGAAGGTAATTAAAAAACAGTCAGAGAAACCTTGAACTCCTGTCTTAGCTGTCTTTTACATCATCAGTTTCATGTTACCTATTAGCACAGCACTGTGGCAGCAGACAATATTAATGTTAGTGTCATTCAGCTCTGTTTATGACGGATACTATAAAGAGCTCTTAGGGAGCCAAAAAAGCTGGTTCTTGCTTAGCCAAAAGAGTCCCACTGAAATCCCATCACTGGTAGGATTTACTCTGAGGTTCTCTACCAGAGAGACAAGGAGGATCCAGCATTACTCACAGATGGTAGGATGGATTGCTGACAACTTGAGACAGCCTGAGTGGATCTGAAGTCGTCTGTGGTTCTGTAAGATTATAATGCATTTGGATTAAATCTTTTACTAGACTTGGACTTAGAGGCCTCTTTTCAACAGGTTTTAACATTACTGATCACTTCCAGTGTTTTTGGAAAGAGTTGGGGCTTCCAGTGCTATTGAAGGTCTTGGTCTCTGGATTAACAGTCAACTGTGAAGTTAAGAAGTTCATTCCCTACAAGGACAGGTTCCTGCATTTTATCCACTGGATGGGAAGCTATGAGTGCATTTTTTCATGGCTTTTCCACCGAGGGGTGACCGAACACGGCATTGTATAGTACTCATAGTGTTTCAAAGGCTACACACATGGCACTTCTTTTGTGTCTTTTCAGACATGAGAGCACCGGGACAACCCCTCCTCTTGCCCCCCTTTAAGTAAACAACTGTAAAGGTCCTTACACACCAGGAACAACACAAATATACAAAATATTCTGGGGTGAATTTTGACGCGCCTGACTATACACATCAAGTGCAAAGTTTGTCACTGAATATTTATTCAACATAAGCAATCACTTGGCAACAGCATCAAGGTATTGATCTAGAGCAAAACCAGAATCAGTGGTCAGGAGCAATCATCCTTCAATGTCTGGGTCAAGAAAGTGGAACAGAGAGAGATCAAGACAGAGTAGGTTCAGATGGACAGGCAGACAGCAAGAGAGGCTGTTGACGCCAAAAAAGATACTGACAGAAGCTGTAAAATGATCATCATGGCATAATAATAATAATAATAATAATGATAATCATAATAATAAGTATAACCAGAACTTACAGCACTCTCTGATCGTTGAAGATCTCTGCAAAGGTAGAGAAGTTTGTGAGCATTTCTTCTCAAAATACTCTCAAGGTCTTTGTGGATAAGTGTGTGTGTCTGCGTGTGTGTGTGATGCCTGTGAAAAAAAAAAAAAAAACTATCTGTCTCCTGCATCTGTTGTGGGAGCAAAGGATTATGGACAGGGAGCTGGCTCTGGGTCTGATTTGGGGATTAGTTATCGGATGTTAAAAAGCCAGTGTGGTGTTTATTGTTCAAATGGTACGCAAAGTTCCCACTCGGTTTTCCATGACTTTAGAAGTGAGTCCTCTGTTGATAGTAAGACCACGAGTCTTCTTACTGTGAATGCAGACCATGAAACAGCAGCTGGAAACGTGGTTGATGAAGGCAGCAGCTCCAAAGATAAACTGAGCTGACCTCTGCAGAAACACCAGATCTCTTCTTTGCTGTTCCAGAAATACCTCACATATCGATTAGGGCTCAGGACTCCCTGAGCAGCTCTTTCTTTCATTCCATTATGTGTTTTCTGCTGATTTCTGTCTCCCTCTCCCCCCTCGGTCTGATATCCTCCCCCACCTTCTCTTTATGTTTTACAACAGGACTACAATATACTGTATTGGTAATACAAAGCGGGAGCAGCAGAGGTGAAAATGATAGTAAACAGAGCCAGTCCAAACAGACTGTGAGGTGCTGCTGTGTTTATAGTGACTTCAGCCATGATTTGCTGACTGCAGGTTAGAAGCCTCTAGTTGGGCATTCAGACCATCACTTTCTTGACCCTTTGGAGCCAGAAATGACAAACTTTTGACATGAGGCTGGATTCACGTTGCTAAGCCTCTTTGCTGATCAGGTCAGTTCAGTGTTTGAAATGGTTCGAATCAGAGGTTCCCAAATTCTCTCATGTCAAGAACCACCGTATAGCTTTAACCTCTGGACAGAAACTCCTCCCCTACATGAAGATGGTAAATATCAAAGATATAAACAATCAACTTCTTCTTAGATAGTATTTGATATTTTAATTCTATCGATTCAGTTCATCCAGAGTCTTTTTGGTCAACAATATTTTACAATTTTTCAGAGAAATATGTCAGCGTGTCCCGTCCTTTCAGACTTGCTGGAGTAAAGCCATACTTTATGTCTGCTGGCTCATACATATGGGTATTCACTGCAGGTGTCTGTTTTGTGGCTTCAATCTGGTGTTACTATTCCTAGTTTTCAGCTATTAAAACATTTTCCAATGTCTCAGTTGAACTCCAGGCAGCTGACTGATAAGAGTAGGAATAAGAATAACTTTATTAATGGCCGAAGGGAAATTCAATTGTCTGTTGTCTCACATAATATGTCTCTAAAAGTTATCTATTATTTACACAAGAGTTATAAAGTCTGATGGCTGTTGGTACAAAAGATCTTCTGAATCTTTCTGTCCTGCAGCGAAGAGAGAGGAGCCGTCCACCACCATTGGCCCTTTGGTCCATCAAGATGTTGTAAAGTGGGTGATCCATGTTCTTAAGATCCATGTCCTGAGTGGCTTGGCTGTTGTATGCTTTTTTATCTCAGAATGATCAGCATGGAATAAGAGAACTTAAAGTATCCCTTTGTTTAGATGAGAGTGGCCCCAATTGTGTTTTGAAAAATAAAATCTGTGTTCATATGACAAAGTGGCAAAGATCTGTGTGTAAAGGTCCTTACCATAGACTGTATATACTATGGACAACCTGGTTCTGCCTACCTCCTGTATACGGATTTGAAGCCAAAAAGCTCTCAGTATTTCCAGGATTTTTCTTCATTTCCTGAAACCAGCGCTGTGCAGTAGCGTTGTGCGCACTCTGATGCGCCTGACTATACACATCAAGCCTGATGCAATTTTTACAGGGGGAAAAAAGACACATCCCGGATGGAAGCGAGTAGACTGACACAACACGAGACTGACTGTTTTTCAGTTCTGATTAGACACTAGTGTTGAGATGACTGTCTGTCATGATAGCATGTACTGAGTCGGGGCCAGTACCAGATACTGGCCAGTGCCCAAATTTCCCAATCAAATTACAATCTGATTGGTCAGAAGTGGACACACAGAATGCGAAACTTTTGGAAAAATCGACCATTATCTGAAAAAATGCCGCAATATCGCAGGACGGGAAATCGTCGCTGATGCAACGAACGCTTGTATTGGCAGGATACGGGTTCAAAAAAAAATATCTGACATCCGAAATAATCGCACGATAAAAACGGTCCCGGTGTGAAAGGACCTTTAGACAGAAAGCGCTGCAGTATGCATGCACTTTGCTGGAGAATCATTAATATACCCAGGAGAGTTAGCAATAACATAGCTCAGTGGTCCACCATTATTGTCCTTCTCCTCCTGTTTGCACACAGCTGTTTGACTGAAATCGTATTACATCTGTGAAGAAGGCTGAGGCATCTGTAGCAATTTCTTAAAGAGGTGTTTTGAGCTGAACTCAAGAGCAGACCGGAGACAAAAGAAGTGTTGAAAGGTTTATTGTTAGTAATGGTGAAGGGAGGAAGGTAATCCACGTTTGGAGGTGCGAGGAAGCTCTGAGGTTAGAGTGAGTAACTGAGGAGGCAGGTGAGTGATAGGTGCGAGATTGGTGGCAGAGGTTGCGGCTCGGCGTGTCGGGCTTGTGGAGGCAGTGGAGAAGTAAAGAGGGGAGCTGGGTAAGAAACAGGTAAGCACAAATATTAGCAATTCTACAAACTTTTAGACACTCCTGGTCGTCGGTCTTGATCTGACGCTGAGGAGCCTCTCTGCAGCGCTTAGGTGTAAAGAGTGATTAGTGTTCAGGCGCAGGTGCGTACATGCCGGAGGAGCAGAGAAAAGGGGGAAATCTCCCCACAACACAAAATGAAATAATGGATGCAAATCACCACAGCATCACTGTTTTCAGAGGATGGTTTCCACAGCGACAAAGGCTTGCACGTTCATGACTCTACTCTGAAAACAAGTTTCATAAACTTTGTGTTTCCAGAAACTCATACCGCCATTTCTGTATAAAGGAGCATCCAAACACAACATTTATCACTGTGTGCTAGATACATGTCAGTGTGAACAGCTTCTTAAAAGTGCACAGACGTCTAATAATAAACACTGCTTATTTAATGTTATAGTCAAAAATATCACTTATGACCCCAATTTTGAGAAACAGTGATCTCTGTAGAAGTGAGTCTAGGCAGAGATCATCTCTTTCAGCTGAGTCAAGCCCATTTTTTTGTCAGTGAAGGTATCTTGAATGTGTAGCCTTCATTAATGCTTCCCTGATGTACAGATTCTAAATCAGCTTGTGTTTTCCTAGTACTGCTTTAATTCTGCCTCGGGCGCCAAGGTCACAGCATTTGGCAGCCATTAAGCCATTAAGACGCTGCGGGGTGGACACACTTTGATAGACCTGCCCTCTATTTCCCTTTGTGCTTCTTCTCTCTGGCTTTCAGTCCAAGTTCTTTTCCATCCATCTCTCTTTCACTCTCACTTTTCTTTAGGATGCGTGTCTTTGCAGATTTTTTTTATCTAATGTGGAGAACGGCATCACTCGGCCTGAATAAGGACTGTGGGCAGCCGATACAGTGTAATGCTGTAATGCTCTGTGTCCTCTGACATGACTCTGAAAAGCCAGACTTTCCATCCTCCAGAAACCGCTTAGACAATCCTCCTATCTTATAATTCCCAGGAAACTCTCTTCTGACTCACAGTAACTGTTGTTAATGCAAAATAAAAAAATGATAGATAGATAGATAGATAGATAGATAGATAGATAGATAGATAGATAGATAGATAGATAGATAGATAGATAGATAGATAGATAGATAGATAGATAGATAGATAGATCATTACTGTCTGCTAAATCAGCGATTTGTAAATACTTATCCCATCAGAATAAAAAAAACTTGTTGATTCAATTACCTTTTCAACACAGTTATAATTAAATCCATTATTGCATAAAAAATATGCAGAACATAGATTTGAATTTTATTATTTACATTGGCCACAGTTTTGTCTATAGTCTCGTAAAATAGACATTAAAATATAACATGAGATACTTCTGATTAATGCCTCTTGTGGAAATTAACCTGATTCAAATGTTACCATGAGTGATTTTTCAATTTTGATTTATTTCACTATTTCACTCATAAACTGCACTCTGTCTGCAGAATTAAAACACAGAGGTAAAGGGAATAACTATCAATATGAATATGTGTATTATATTATCTGTAACACTTATTATAAACACCAAATCAGACTCTAAAAAGTAGGAGAGGCTTCCTTAAGGCGCCCAAAACTTAAACTTGTACACCAGCAGTGCCTTAGTGTGTTCATTATTACCTCACCAACTACAGAAGAACACACACAAGACAACGCAGTCGTCCCATTCCTAAAAAAAAAAATGTGCCGTAGGATTCAGTTCAGTAAAACACATATGAAAAAGGTTTCTGCACATCAAACTGGAACATGATTTCTTTTGTTCTGACGATTCTTCCTAAAGGAGGAAGGAAAGAATGAGTAAACACTTCTAACCTCCCTCTATCCTTTCTATAGATAGCAACTCAATCCTATTACAATTATCCTGAAATGTCCTGGCGAGGGCTGCAAAGGGAAGACTCAGACCTCACATGCTTTAGCAAACCTCACTCGGCTTGACATCGGAGTTGGTCATCTTTTTTTTCCAGAGTTTTCAAGGAGTGTCCATTTAGTGAGCAGACGTATAAAAAGTAGGAGAATAAGGCTTCAAACCAGCAGCTTTCATACAGGTTCAGACTTGCTTAAAGAATCCTCTTTTCAAATTTCTAGCTGACTAAATTCAAGGTGACAACTTAAGATTGATTTGTGTCCACTTATTAAAAAAAAAACTGGTAATGCCAAATGTTTACTTATTTTGTCCGGTTTAGTTGTTTAGTCAGCATCTCCTTCTCATAAACGGCTGAACAGGAATGTGAATCCAGTGTCTCTCCATATGACACCCTGAAGACTCTTTCCGTTAATGCTTTCTTTAATATCAGCTTTGACTCATGTTCTTAATTCTAACTGAATTCCTTTTCTAAAATAGAAAACTGAGTTATAACAAACCTTATACAAAAGTTGAGTTAAACTTGACAATAAACTTTATTTATTTATAAAATTGTTTTTGCATTCAGAAAGCCCTCCACAGTTTGTGAAAACATGTCAGAAAAGCTCCCTAAATGCTGGGGATGCAACACCAAGGAAAGCCATATAGTGACTTAATGTGATTTTGATGTGCCTCAAAGGAGCTTATTACAGAAACGACTTCAGAACCCTCCTTAGAAAAAAACTGCTTGGTTCTTGGTTTCAGGTTGTAGGTGTCCTTGAGCTGTTAGCAACTACCTCGTTAACTTTTTATTTTTAACTAAAGCTAGTATTTTTCTGCAGGTGAGGTGTGCCAAATTTCAAACACAGGAATGTAAGAAGGTGTGATCCTTAACCCTGCCCTGTGTCTGTTGACACTGGGTTAACACGCTGCCATGTGACTAAAAAGCTCTACCAGGATGTGAAATATTAACAAAAATATTATATCTAGTGTAAAAGTTTGTAAATGTCTTTGTATTACCATCCCACTCTGGCTGTTATTATATCAATAAAAACAACTTATTTCAGAAATAAACAGGTTTCATCTGTTGAATAAAACTGAATATTTAAAGAGAAGACCAAATAAAAACTCTGGAATCACCAGAGCAAGTACTGAGATCTAAAACGAGGACAGTATGAGGACAGCCTTTAGAAGTTTGTTTAGTTTTTGTTCTGACAGTCCCTTTGCAGGTCATTTGTGGATGACCACTGACTTGGGTAGCTTTTCATTGTCTTCTTTCTGTGTGCAGTGGTTGATTCTCAGATCATTAAATAAGAGATATCTTTTGTAATTTTTTTTTGAGCTGCTTCCCTCCAAGTTGGTGTCTTTTGAGCAACATCTGTCTTCTCAAAGCCAAACTACCACCATAGAAATGAGGATGATCCACATCTGGCAATAAAATCCAACAACATTAATTCTGAGGCTGGCAATGTATTTGTAGTGGGTTTTTTTTTACCTCAGCCATGCATGATGCGATACCACATATAAATCTCACAGGCCTGTCTTCCCATTGTTTGACAATCGTTTGAAGAATGACATGCTGCATATTGTCTTTTGCCCACTGTTAAAATTAGATAAAATCTTGTACAACCTCAGATTTTCCTTCTTTGATTTGTTCGGTACAAAAACAAATCAGCATAAAGCACCATTTGCTATGTCCTCTGATACATGTTCTCAATGACTCAAAATCTGGTCTTTGTCTTGCAGATCCTGGCTATGATCTCCATTCTGTTCATCATCATTTCCACCATCTCGTTGTCCCTCAACACTTTGCCAGAGCTCCAGGTTGTAGATGAATTTGGACAGTTCAACGATAACCCTAACTTAGCCCATGTGGAAGCTGTCTGCATTGCCTGGTTCACCATGGAGTACCTACTGCGTCTGCTCTCAGCACCCAACAAGTGGAATTTCATCAAGGCACCTCTGAACATCATTGATTTACTGGCTATCCTGCCTTATTATGTGACACTCTGCCTAACAGAGTCTAACAAGAGTGTGCTGCAGTTTCAGAATGTCCGCAGGGTGGTCCAGATCTTCCGCATTATGAGAATCCTGAGAATCCTGAAGCTTGCCAGGCATTCAACTGGACTCCAGTCGCTTGGTTTCACTTTGCGCAGAAGCTATAACGAGTTAGGTCTGCTGATCCTCTTCCTTGCCATGGGCATTATGATCTTCTCCAGCTTGGTGTTCTTTGCTGAAAAAGATGAGGATGCCACCAAATTCACCAGCATTCCTGCCTCCTTTTGGTGGGCTACCATAACCATGACTACTGTCGGTTATGGAGACATCTACCCACAAACCCTGCTGGGCAAGATTGTAGGAGGACTCTGCTGCATAGCAGGTGTGTTGGTCATCGCCCTTCCCATCCCAATCATCGTTAACAACTTCTCTGAATTCTACCGAGAGCAGAAGAGGCAAGAAAAAGCCATCAAGAGAAGGGAAGCACTTGAGAGAGCTAAACGTAGTGGAAGCATTATTTCTATCAACCTCAAGGATGCTTTTGCACGTAGTATGGAACTCACAGATGTGTTGGTGGAAAAGAGAGAGGACAGTAAGTGTCCAGTGGACAACCACCTGTCACCCAGCCGTTGGAGCTACCACAAACGTTACTCCAATGCAGAGGTTGGTAGTCCAGGAAGGTCCCAACATGCACATTACCAGGAAGTAGCTCAGCGGGGCTCCCCTGAACGAGTCAAACTCACGTCTAACAAAGCCCCTTCTCAACACCCCAACACAAAGCGACAGGACGACACTCACAGTGAGCAGCAGGATAAATTACTGGAGGAGAAGATGGAGATGAAAGTGCTGACGTCCAGCCAGGCCCGGAGGATTTCACCAGATATCAGCCTTGCCAGAAAGTTCTCCAAAGCAGAAGAAGATTATTCAGTAGAAAGAGGAGAAAGAAGTTCAAAGCTACCCAGCACAGAAGTGGGTCAAACTGGAGGTAGACATCAGCATATTCCCCCTCCATTAGATCTGAGCCAGATCAGCAACATGGAGGTGAACCGAGGTCCTGACGCCATCCAGCCAATGAGCATCATTAAAGAGGGCTTGTATGAGTTTGTTTCTGGCTCCAGAGAGGGTGGAGCTGGAGATGTGGCTTTGGTGCCCCAGAGAGTGGATAACTTTGGGGTGAACTATGACAGCGTTTGCAGCACCTTACGAGATTATAAAAGCCCCCAGAAAACAAGGGCCCTAAAGGTTGACTTAATTGAATCTCATGATGATGTGCTTATGGCTGTGATGACACCTGTGATGACCCAAGCCCCCACTGGCCTAACCATGATCACTCCATTACTTCCTGACGACTTGATTCCCAGGTTTCCCTCATCTTCTGGCACTACAGCGCAGGACGTTAAGCCTCCACTGGCAGTCCTGCAATCTCCGTCTGTGCCACACAGATCTGTCAGTCCAAGCAACTCTCAGAGGGAAGGTGAGGGCTCAGCCGGCAGGAGCTTAGAGGGTGAAGGGCAGCACACAAGCTTAAGCCACCAAGGGAGGAATCACATGGAAAGGTCTGCCGTCGGCCCAGGCAGCAGTGTTAGCCCACTGTCAGCTAAAGCTAGCCCGCTTAACTGCTTCCAGGAGCTCGTAACAACAGAGAGAGGGGTGGAAGGTGAAGGGAGAGAGGTAACAGAACAGAGAGAAGAGAGAAGAGAAAACCACATTGTGATGGATGGGAGCCTGACACCACCCTGTGAAACAAGCATGTAAACCCAGCAGTCCAGAAACATTCGCAGGGATGCCTGATGGGCGGTTCAAGTACAGGTTCACAGCACAGATGATAGCAACTACCCAGATCACACCTATGACCTGGTGTGGAAAAGGACACCTATCCAAACAGGATGGCTGTGCAGATTTTCTGGAGAGAAGTGCTTACTGTAAAACACAAGACTTTTGTACTCTCATCTATGTCTGATAAGCGGCACTGGCTACAAACAGGCAGATCTGCAAAGTTTATGACTGGACAAAAAGGGAAGTCAGAAACAGTTGTCAGCTTTGCGGGGCACTTTGCAAAGACACTGCCTCATGTCAGTGTTATTGACTTATTTTTTGATGACAAGAACAGTCAATGATCAATCAGCGCTGAAGAGCAACAGATTGATTACTGAACAGCATTTGGGGCTCAGATGTGAGCATAAATAAAGCCTTGTGTGAATGAGAATATTTAATAATGCCCTGAAGAGTTTTTGTGTACAGCTCATCAGGTAGAACAGTTTCCTGTTACTTGCTACGGTATATGACCCAAAGTCAATGGCCTACCTAAATAATTACTGAGTGGTATTTTAGCTGATAACATACACATGAATAATATTCATATAAACACATTGCCAGGAAATCTTCAGAGAAAACTTTTCACAATCCAGGATGATTTGTAAAGACTAGTCAGGCTTTCATAGTAAAATGTAAGCCTGTTTAACTGCAGGCCATGCAAATTGTCACCATGACAATAAAACACACTGAAACTGAAACTGGACTTGACTGAAGAAGTGGAAATAATTAGTCATTTTTCTTTGGAGAATTAGGACAAGGGATAAGAAAAGGTGGTTTGGAGAATCTGTTTGCACTTTGACAAAAAAGTTAAAATAAGAATAAAGTCAAAAATTTAAAAGGAGTTGAAATTCAGTTTTAGGAAGTCGACTGCTGTCTTGTCCTCCTTAACTAACATAGCTGCCAGAAAGAGTCTAGTCCAAAAAGGTTCTCACTGGTATTTTTTTTTTGTTCAACTCTGTGATGAGCAACAGAAGATATGGCAGAAGTTGATCATGTCAATTTTCAGTATTATTGCAGATTTTTTTTCTGCGTCTACTTTCTTCTCAACAATTGAATTTCAACTTTTTCCACAAAGTTTTGATTTTATTGTCAAGATTTTAACTTTCTTCTCAAGTGTATAATAATAAAAATCTACTCCACCAATATATTTTTTTCATCCCCGGCCCCAACACTCTTTGGCATACCTCACTACCTATAAGGCTGATGGAAAAGATTCAGTTTGGCAGATGTGAGCTGGATGCTTCCTTCCTGAGTGCATAGTGCCTACTGCAAACTTTAGAGAGGGTGTAATAATAGTCTGAGGCAGACTGCAGGGTTTAACACTCCACTGAAACACTTCAGTTCAAGTGGAAAGTCTTTTATTTGTCAGAGACCTTTTAGCTACTTAAGCACATCCCATTTTGAAGAAATTCTAGATTGAACCTTTGCTGGCCCACCTGTGAACAAAGTGGGGTCCACGCAGATAAGATAAGATCAGGTTGGTATGGAGGAACTCAAATGGTTTACACAGAGCCCTGACTTCTAACCAACTAGACCTTTCTTTAGATACTGGTATCAGCCTGTGTTATGGCTTGTTTGTCTGAGTGTTAAACCGTCACACAAACTACAACATTTAGTGGAGAATTTTTCCTGAGGCTGCAAAGCTGGGTCCACTTCCATCTCAAGGGTCATGGTTTAACATGAGATGTCCAACACACTCATGTAGGGGTACTGGTCAAGTGTCCACTGACTTTGGCTGATATAATGTAGGTAGGCCTTTTTATTACCAAAGAACACCAAAGAACAAACAAAGAAAAGGCAGAAGGAAATCATATTTTTTACAGCTGTCCAACATTCAAAATTTTGAAGGACTTGAAAAACATTGATAATTTTTATTCTGTGCTACGGGTGTTACTGAGTCATTATTCCTTCAGTCTAGCCAAGACATTATTTTCATGGAAATGGGATCAAACACGTGATACCTGTGATTTTGTTTTGAAACCATTAGCAGTGTATGAACCTATAGGATATGTGAATCTGCTAAATCAGGAACACTGATACGTAACTCAGTGCTTCATCATTGTACATTTTGTTGTATGGATTTATGTTTGTTTGTTGTTTTTATTTATGTTTGCTTTTTCTATAAAACCTGGAATGAAAGCAGGGCCTTGAAAGTGAAAGGAAAACAGAATGGGGATACAAATACACTCAGTGCTAGGTGACCGTTTGAATGCATGTTTGTCGTAAAAGTTCCCAAAAGCACGAGGACACAGAAATAGAACTTTATAAATGAATGGTGAAACAAGCAGATGGACATGTGGACAGCAGGGAGTAAAGTGCACAAGGCCAGTGATCAAGTTTAGTGATCAGCTCACATGCTCTCTCTCCGTCTACACATAACGAGACTTCATGGTTCATTTATAACAGCATGTTTAGGCAGCAAATTCAAAAATATCAAACAAGCATGTGAAGATGATAAGCAACCCCCAGACACACCACCTGATCTGGTCTCTGTGAGACTATTTTACGACTCAAGAATGATTCCAGTTAAAAACTCGCTATCTTTACTGTTATTTTAATCATTTAACATTTACATTGTTGAAACAAGTGAATTGCTGAGACACTGGGGGAATGTGGCATCAATAACAATGAGCAAACAGGACCGCTGGGGGACAAAACAAAAGTTGTCTATTGGTCAGACAAAGTGGAAACCAACCATCAGGTAAGAAAAATCAATTTGGATGAAATAACAAAGGGAATCTGAATAACTGGGGTAAGCACAGAGGTTAAAAACTTTCTTTTGTGCTCCTTCAGTCCTTCTGGTTTGCTCATTTAGATCAGGAGTGAACACCTTTAGACAAAAAATGGTCTCCCCAGCATCTTGAACCTCAACGCACAACTTTCTCTTGCCAAAAAAAAAGACACAGGCAAAAGTTCTGTGTTTGCTTTTAACTTTTCTTCCAAATTGACTGGTTTCAATAATGTGGATTTTTCCAATAATGCTCAGTGATCGATTGTGTTTGATGCCGCACACTCAGAAGCATCTCAGGAGTTCACTTGGTGATTGTATCATCATAGTCATAGTCAGCAGAAAAAAATGCAAAAACTACTAAAATAAGACCACCTGATAACAAACAAGTCAAATGTTTTCTGAGGGAGGAGGTGCAGGTCCACCCCTTTTGGCCCTCAGTCCTGAAAAAGCTTCGCCTTTCTTGCTTATTGATGGCGGTTGCCCCTGAGTTCATGTGACTGCGAGTGCTCTCCAACCATTTACTGATGTGATGAGTGGAGACAGAGAAACAGAGGGAGCGTGTCTGTGTGATGTATTTAATGCGGTGCTGCTGGTTTTGTACAGGTAGTTTAATAGCGCTCTCTACAGGTGTTTAAAGGCACTGCAATGAAAGGACCTGATGCCTCTTTAGCACCCTGTGTATCCTCATAGTCCAGAAATGTTTTCTTAGAACAGCTGTGCAATAATGAATGGATCAATGATATATGCTGACACATTTATACACGTATTTATTGGTGCACAATCGATTTTTCTGACACACACATGACAGGGTGTGTAGTTAGGGAACATAAGTGAAACAGGATTTATGACTGTGTTCCTCTGTCGACTTCATATGGCATATTTCTTTTGTCGGTTACAATAAGTTTCTTGCGTTTTTCTAAGAGGAACTTGGAGCAGTGTTGTTGTTAACATCTCAGTTTATTTAAAAATGGGTGCCTTTTCATAAATAGAAAATTTATGAGAAGGTAAAAAAAAACCTGTACCCTCAATATGGCCAGATATTTTTGTTGTTGTTGTTTTGATTTTGTTTTCATTCTTGTTTTCTTTGGTAGGTATGTTGGCTATTTTAATATACAAATCCACAGGTTCTCAGGTTTTGAAATTCTTAACAGACAAACTTTGATTTCAGTCTTCTAGAGTACATGCAAAGTTCTGACCTCACCGTGCCACAATATCCTTTTTTAGCAGACGAATCTTTTTTGGGAGAAAGAAGTGGCTTGAGTTACGTTAAGCGGTGAGCTCACCTTGATTTACTATGGTGCTGTAGCAGAATACTGTTTATTTCAACCATGACACTGTACTGAACGTACAGTGACAATCATGGTTGATGGCTAAAACGCAGAAAGTATGTTAAGATCACAGCAAGGGCACAGCCAGTGTTGATCATCGACTGTACAGTAACTTTAAAGACTCAGTGAGAGAGAGACTCGGCTGTTTATTAGTCTTGTAAGGGCTGGAATATCTCAATTTTCAAATGTGCACCCACTGCTTCTGGGAGGCGGCATTTACAGCACATCAATCAGGGTTGTTCATCGGGTAAAAGTGTTCACTGCTATCATTATAGAAACCCTTTCTTGTTTGAATGAACTCACTTATTGACTGGCTTAGGGGGGCAACATTGCAAGAGGAAAAAGTAGAGACAGAAATTTTCAGACAACAGAAATCATTGTATAGTGACACAAACGCTGAACTCATTCATTTTTAGGTGGTCGTACCCCCAGTAAATCCTGCTTTTTTTTGTTATATATGAAATAGTGAGCATTATGTTACACCACAGACTTGAAACGAATGCCCAAAAACCATAAACCTCTAAGAAATGTTTGCTGAGGTAATAAATATGCAACATGCAAGCTGATCTTTCCTTGTAAGCAGTTAAGTCACCCCCTGCTGGCTGCTGGAAAGAATGCAGTCTGAGGCACTTTCTGCATTGGCTGTAGTTACAGGGTGACATTTACTTCTCAAAACAGGGTTTCACTTGCAGGGTTAGTCTACAGTCATCTACATGCTTTAGATAATGACAAAATTTGTGATACATATTAAACACAAACATTTTAAGTAATCTAAATTAACTCTTAAAGCAATTTAGAAAAAGAAACACGATACCAAAGGCATGCATTACTCTGACGAGAAAGATTTGTGTGGGATAATATATTTACATCCATATTTTTCATTTCTGTCTACACGTTGAAGGCTCTTCATAGAATCAGTACCACTGTGCTGGATTTGTTTGTTGAGGTGTGGCTCTTTTTATACAGAGATTCATTTTTTACTGCTGCAGATCAGGGACTGTATGGACACTGCTTTGTCTCCTCACACAGTAGTCTGAAAAATGTTGCAATCTCCATTTACATTTAAAACCTTTAGACTGGACTTTTAGACATTACACAATCACACAAACCAAACTCTTAAAACTTGCGTCTTCATCTCTCCTGCCTGCTCTTCTTTTCTTGTTTCTGTCATGCTTCACTCATCCTCATGTTATTTTAGCCTTTGTGATGATTAGTCAGTTTCATTATTTGTAAGTCAAGAAATTGATTGTGAATGATTCAGTAACCAACATGCAAGTCAAATAAATGTGTTCATGTGACCTCCTGTTGTTGTTTTTCTTTGTTCATTCTGTTGCTCCGTCTGCAAGTGTATTTGCGGCTTAAGGAAACCAATGTGGGCCCTAGAAGCTGCAAACACACTGCTTGTTGTTAGCTTGATAGTTATGGTTTGGACTTGTACAAAGTCTTTTCCAAAAATCTTTAAAAAGTAAGATTACACTGAAGCTTTGGTGATCTGGTCCTGGTCAAGAGCCAAAACAAACTACAAAAATATGCATCGTATATGTAGCACCTCAGGTGTATATCTACACTGTGTTCCAAATTATTATGCAAATTGTATTTAAGTGTCATAAAGGTTCATTTTTTTGATTTTCAATTAAACTCATGGATGGTATTGTGTCTCAGGGCTCTTTGGATCACTGAAATCAATCTCAGACACCTGTGATAATTAGTTTGCCAGGTGAGCTCAATTAAAGAAAAAACTACTAAAGAAGGAGGTTCTACATTATTGAGCAGACCAACTTTTTCAAGCAATATGGGAAAGAGAAAGGATCTCTGCTGCTGAAAAGCATGAAATAGTTGAATGACAAAGAATGAAAACGTAAGTGTTATCATCGTACTGTAAAGAGATTTATGGCTGATTCAGAGCACACACGAGTGCGTTCAGATAAAGGCACAATGAGGAAGTTTTCTGCCAGACAAATACATAGGATTAAAGAGAACAGCTGCTAACACGCCAATACAAAGCAGCAGACAGATATTTGACGCTGCTGATGTCTCTGGAGTCCCCGGAACATCAAGGTGTAGGATTCTCTAGAGCAGAGGTTCTCAAGTCCAGTCCTCGAGGCCCACTGTCCTGCATGTTTTGGATGTTTCCCTGCTCCAACACACCTGATTCAAATGATCAGCTCGTTATCAAGCTCTGTAATGGCTTAATAACGAGCTGATCATTTGAATCAGGTGTGTTGGAGCAGGAAAATATCCAAAACATGCATGACAGTGGGCCTCCAGGACTGGACTTGAGAACCACTGGATTAGTGGATGGTTGGCGGATGGCCATTATGTCCCAACAAGGCTGCAACATCAGCAAGGAGGTGGTGGAGTCATGTTTTGGGCCATGAAGAGAGAGGTGGTCGGCCCCTTTAGGCTCCCTGAAGGTGTGACAATGACCTTGGCGAAGTTTATAGAGCTATTGACAGACCACTTTGTCCCATGGTACAAAAAGAAGAACCGTGCTTCTCGTAATTAAATCATCTTCATGCATGACAATGAATCATATCATGCTGAAAGGGATACCTCTGCATCATTGAATGCTATGGGCATAAAAGGAGACAAACTCATGTTGTGGCTGACCTCAACCCTATTAAGAACCTTTGGAGCATCCTCAAGCAAAAGATCTATGAGGGTGGGAGGCAGTTCACATCCAAACAGCAGCTCTGGGAGGCTATTCTGACATCCTGCAAACAAATCCAAGCATCCTGCTATCAAGTAAGGGGTCCTATGTTAAAATGTAACTTGACCTGTTAAGATGTTTTTGATTAAAATAGCTTTTGATTTTAGTAAATATGAACTCCTTACGCTGCAAATTCAACAAATGACCATTTTCAGTTCTTTACAACCGATAAAATGTTTTAAAACTCTGTTGTGCATAATAATTTGGGACAGTGTATTTTAAGTTTTTTTATTTTTGAATAAAATACTGTTATCATTGGGAGGTTTGTTCAGCAACATTTAAATTAAACTCTAATGGTTAATGACTTGAAAATTATGCTGACTGTCATTTGCACTGGCTATTTAGAAAACCTGAGAAAAATACAATTTGCGTAATAATTTGGAACGCGGTATAAAATAAAATAAAACAAACAAAACAGAAAATTCTCTCAAATAAATCCCAAAAGGACATCATCCTCAGCTAGTTCTTGTTAATCCACAACTTCAGTTTCAGTTCGTGTATGGAAACTAAGTGAATGCGAGTGAGTGAAATCCTGAAACTTCTTCTGTTTTGAGTCCTACTACCAAGATAGTATACCTAACGTGTTAGAGTTCTTATCTGGTGTCCTTGAATTAAATTGAGTAGGTTTGATGTCCTAAAGCTGGCACACCAAGTCCACACCCCGCCCCCACAGTCTCTCTGGGCCAGGGCTCACCATCACCGAAATCTTCTAATTCTGTCGCCTCGCAACAGAACCACACACCAGAAACAACCACTTACAGGGACTCAACAGGATAACAAGTCAAATGGTACATTTCGTACATGAAATTTCATGTACTCACTTTTTTTCCTTCCAGTGTTTCAGATCATGTAAAATCAATAGCTGATGATATCCTAAACATACTACAGTCTACCTTTTGTACCAAGAAAATCAAACTTTCACAATGAGTATTGTTTTTATTTTCTGAACAGTTTCACACAATTTTCTGACATATTTCAACTCTAAATCACGAACTTGTATGTTAAATATAGATTTAACATAAAACTGTTTGTATGGCCACTATGACTAAAGTTGTTGTAGCTCATGAAATTCACATTTGCATTTGAAAAAACAAATCAGTCCCATTACAAGTTATTGCTAAACTTGTTATCTTCTGTAGATTTCACAGAAACAACTGGGATGTTACATCTTTAAAATTCACAAAACTGACATAGCTTATAAATAGAAATAGGTTTCATAACAGATGGCTAAGGCTATGTTTTCACTGCAGGTGAATTCTGATGTTTTAACCATATGGGACACATATCTGATTTTTTCATGAAAGTGTGAACAGTGCAATTCAGATTTTTTCAAATCCGACCCAGGCCTTTTTTGTATGTGGATATAAATCGGACATTTATCCGATGTGACTGCAGTGTGGACGCTCAGGTCACATTCATCCGACCTATACGTCATCAATATGCAACAAATGTCACCATTTTTTGACAACACAAACAGGCGTCCACACTGCAGTCACATCGGAAAGCAATTTGTCCTTTGTACACATGCTGGTCACTTTATGGATGCATTCCGTTCACATTAGATGACGCATTCGTTGTTGTAATGTTGACAACTGCACAAAAAGATCGGATTTAACAAAAATCCCATATTGTGCATCAAAACCTGCAGTGTGAACATAGCCTTAGAGATGAGTTTAAGAAAGTGACAAACAACACAACAACACTAGCTAGTGATTAGCACTCAGCTGTTAATATTAGGCTATGTTCACACTGCAGGTCAATTCCGATTTTTTAACCATATGTGACACATATCAGATTTTTTCATGTAAGTGTGAACAGTGCAATTCTGATTTTTTCAAATCCGACCCAGGCCTTTTTTGTATGTGGATATAAATCAGATATGTATCTAATATGACTGCAGTGTGAACCCTAAGGTCGCGTTCATCCGACCTATACGTCATCAATATGCGACAAACGTCACCATTATTCGACAACACAAACAGGCACCGAAAGCAATGGCGGATGAGGGAACGGAGAAGAGCCAGTTGTGCGCATGTGGGTCAATTCACGGACACATTAGATGCCGCATTCGTTGTGAACGACCACACAAAAAGATCGGATTGAACAAAAAGTCCGAATTGTGCATCACAACCTGCAGTGTGAACGTAGCCATAGTGATATTTTTTAACAACATAAAACAAAAACAGAATGTTACAGAATGATTATTCTTTAACTGCAATACTTGAAAATAATTTAAAAAACAGAATTTTTATTTATGTTATATTGATTTTTAGGCTGCGTAGGCTACAGCTATTTGACAAAGGCCTGTTAAAAACTAGTGCTAGGCCTATTTATTAGGTTGATATTCTAATTAAAAAGATTAATCTTTCAATCTAGCAACTATTTTTTTCTCTTTTCCAACATATCTATGTGTGTATATATACATGTATATATATATATATATATATATATATATATATATTAATATATAACTCAAATATTTCTTCTCGTATAGACAGTGTAGATGTGATACAGGTCCGCTCAGGCACACGCCTATGACGTCACCGACACTGCCTCCATGTTTTCTGGAGCTTAAGAGGATTGTGTGTGTGTATGTTCTGTGTTGTGTGTTACCATTTTGTAATGACAGTCAAGTCCACGGACCTGGTGGAGAGAGACATCACTGCTGTAAAGCGGACCACTGGGCGGACGTTATTGAAGAGACCGTGCAGCTCGACGTGTATGAATTCCGCGTGCTGAGGGAGGAGCCGATCCGGAATTTTTCGCTGATCTCCTGCTAACAAGAGGTAGGACACTCCTTTTCTCTATGGTTACGTGTGTGTGTGTGTGTGTGTGTGTGTGTGTGTGTGTGTGTGTGTGTGTGTGTGTGTGTGTGTGTGTGTGTGTGTGTGTGTGTGTGTGTGTGTGTGTGTGTGTGCTGTGTGTGCTGTGAGAGGCGATGTCCAGCTCCACCGATATACTGAGGTCGAGTCCATTTTATGGTTTCTCACGTGTTCTGTGCATTAACTCTGTGCAGAGACATCCTTTTTGATTGTATTTGTGAGAGTCAGAGAGGTGACTGTTTGGGTCACATCGGCTGCAGTGTTCAACCAATAAACCCTTGCACTGGTATAAAAAAAAATCCCTGGTGGCAGGGCTCTGCAGATGGCAGTGATAGTTGGTTGACAACCTGATAAAGTTCAGACTTAGAAATATCAGTGACCAGAAAATAAATTATTATAAATTAGTGCACCATAATATTTTCCCTAGAATGAACTGTAAGCATGAGCTCATGACCTAGTAAACATAAACGGGAGAATATTGATAAGGTCATTTTTATAATTGCTTAACATTCACTTTCACCTAAAGGTCCTCAGAGAGTTGAGGTGCATGGTCATGCTGGAATCTCATTAGTATCATGCCAACTGTTTTAAATATATAAGCCCTGTCATAACTTCTAACTATTTCATATACTTCATTGTAAATATTTCTGAGAAACACGTTTCTTATCTACAAAACCCAATTCCATTGAAGTTGGGAAATTGTGATAGACGTAATCATTAACTTTAGAATTTGATGGCAGCAACAAATGACAAAGAAGTTGGGAAAGGTGGCAAAAAAATACTGAGAAATCTGAGCAATGCTCATCAAACACCTATTTGGAACATCTCACAGGTGAGCAGGCTGATTGGGAACAGGTTGGTGTCATGATTGGGTATAAAAGCAGCTTCCCCAAAAAATCTCAGTCATTCACAAGGATGGGGCGAGGTTCACCACTTTGTGAACAACTGTTTGAGCAAATAATCGTACAATTTAAGAACAACGGTTCTCAAAGTACAATTCCAAGGAATTTAGGGATTTCAACATCTACGGTCCATAATATCAAAAGGTTCAGAGAATCTGGAGAAATCACTGCACATAAGCGGCACGGCCAGAAACCAACATTAAATGCCTGTGACCTTTGATCCCTCAGGCGACACTGTATCAAAAACTGACATCAATGTGTAAAGGATATCACCACATGGGCTTAGGAACACTTCAGAAAACCACTGTCAGTAAATACAGTTCATCACTACATCTGTAAGTACAAGTTAAAACTCTACTATGCAAAGCGAAAGCCATTTATCAACAACATCCAGAAACGCCGCCAGTTTCTCTGGGCCCGAGCTCATCTAAGATGGACTGATGCAAAGTGGAAAAGTGTTCTGTGGTCTGACGAGTCCACATTTCAAATTGTTTTTGGAAATAGTGGACGTCGTGTCCTCCGGGCCAAAGAGGAAAAGAACCATCCGGACTGTTATCGACACAAAGTTCAAAAGCCAGCATCTGTGATGGTATAGGGGTGCATTAGTGCCCAAGGCATGGGTAACTTATACATCTGTGAAGGCAACATTAATGCTGAAAGGTACATACAGGTTTTGGAGCAACATATGCTGCCATCCAAGCAACGTCTTTTTCATGGACGCCCCTGTTTATTTCAGCAAGACAATGCCAAGCCACATTCTGCACGTGTTACAACAGTGTGGCTTTGTAGTAAAAGAGTGCGGGTACTCGACTGGCCTGCCTGCAGTCCAGACCTGTCTCCCATTGAAAATGTGTGGTGCATTGTAAAGCGTAAAATATGACAACGGAAACCCCGGACTGTTGAACAACTGAAGCTGTACATCAAGAAAGAATGGGAAAGAATTCCACCTTCAAAGCTTCAACAATTAGTCTGCTCAGTTCCCAAACGTTTATTGAGTGTTGTTAAAAGGAAAGGTGATGTAACACAGTGGTAAACATGCCCCTGTCCAAAATACTTTGGCACATGTTGCAGCCATGAAATTTTAAAGTTAGTTATTATTTGCAAAAAAAAATAAACTTTATGAGTTTGAACATTAAATATCTTGTCTTTGTAGTGTATTCAATTGAATATAGGTTGAAAAGGATTTGCAAATCATTTCATTCTGTTTTTATTTACGTTTATCACAATTTCCGAACTTCAGTAGAATTGGGTTTTGTATGTTTGTGGGGTCCAACATTTATTTTGTTTTGGTGCCGTCACCTTTCTTCTAACTTAGGATGCAGGATATTATCAGCATTGTATTGGTATCAGTTGATTGCTTATGATGTTAATAATAGAAACAGCAGATATGGATATTTCTGTCAGTATAATGATTGCTAATATAATAATAACACAACAAAGTACTGAATGTGTGCACTGTCAACTTATGTTTGCCACCATGTATGTCCGGAATAGAGTCCTATAGGCCATTGGTTCTCAAGTCCAGTCCTCGAGGCCCACTGTCCTGCATGTTTTGGATGTTTCCCTGCTCCAACACACCTGATTCAAATGATCAGCTCGTTATCAAGCTCTGTAATGGCTTAATAACGAGCTGATCATTTGAATCAGGTGTGTTAGAGCAGGGAAACATATAAAACATGCAGGACAGTGGGCCTCGAGGACTGGACTTGAGAACCACTGCTGTAGGCGACTTAGTGGAAGTATTTTAAAGTGTTGTAAAGAAGACAGCAGACACTGACTGGACATCCTCAGATGAGATAATACTGTAGAGAAGCTTGTATTCATCCCATGATGGGGAAATTTACTGACTTTCAGCAGCAAAGGGTTAGCATAGCAAACATAGAAGAATAAGTGATTAAGTACATTCATCATCCACACAGTGCACAAATAATTATAAAAAAGTTAACTGAGACCTATACAGAAAATGAGAGAAAAAAATGTCAGCCAAAACAACAACAACAAAAAACGAAAAAACAGTTCTACACAGCGAACAAAAACAATTTATTTGAAGAAGGACAAAAATCCATCAATATTTTCAGCATTTTTTATGTCTGTTTTTAAACCAAACAGACTGACACAATATGACAGACTGGTTATTCTATAACAAGGGAGACTTGGTGTTCTTTTACTTCAAAAAAAAAAAAAAGAAAAAAAAAGGTATTTATATTTGTATCAGCGTGAGTTTGATTATCTGGGCCTCTTGAACATTCTCAAAAATATGTGTGTGTGTGTGTGTGTGTGTGTGCATTTGTAGAATGCCATCGCTGTCAGAGGACCTGCAGGAGGTGCGGAGTCGGGCGGAGGTCTGCCTGTACTCTGGTGGGAGGGTGGTGGAGGTGCGAGCCGGGGTGATGGCTATGGCCAACCTGTCTTTACCACCGTGCTCCAAATACCGCCACATTACTGCTGAGACCATGGTGACAGAGAACAGCTTTGGCAGTAATAGGAAGGAGGTGAGAGAGCAAGTGCTTATATGACTCCCTCTAAAATGATATTTGATACAGAGATGAATGTGTGATGATGACATTGGATTTTTTTTAACAAAGGGAGCAGGAAGAGTAAGTCAAACACATAAATGATAGGTCTTTACAGTTTAATCCAGGCGTCTCTGTCCTGACAGCGTTGAAGACAGCTAAATAGCTGATGATGATGATGCTGCTTTTTTATTAGTGACAGATCCTTTTGAGAATGATCATTGCTGGAATCACATCTGCCATCATCACCTGGTTTGGCAGCCTTTCCCTGGCAGGCTTAAAAAAAGATAGGCTGCATTGTTGAGGTCATAGGCTGTAGATTGGGTGACTTGCCTCAGTTTTTCCTGGAAAGAGTAAAATCCAAAGCTAAAGATGTCATTCAGTGTCTAGAGCATCCTTTGTAGACTGAGATTGAGCTCCTACCTTCTAACAAGAGATAAAGACTCCCAAAGAACTTTTTTATAACACCACCTATCACACAGCTAAATCTAGAAAAGTGATCCAGTATGAATTATTCTGCTGCACTCAGATACCTTACCCTGAAAATAAAATACATGTCAAGATAAAAATGAATTTAATGTCTTCATGTCAGATTGAATTTGTCGTCGTTAACTTTGGCCCATATTTTCTGCCGTCCCTTTTTGTTCAGACCCTTGCATCTCTCCAGCAATTGTCCACTGCTCTGAACATCCTGGAAAAGTACGGCTGCAATTTGACAAATCCCAACAGGCCGAAGTACTGGAGGACGGTAAAACACAACAACCCAGTGTTCAGGGCCACCGTAGATGCCATACAGGTAACTCTGACTCCACAGATTGCACTTGAGTTTTATAACTTTTCTTTGAATTAGGGCCCGACCGATATCAATTTTCTGGGGCCGATGCCGATTATGGGGGGGGGGGGGGTTCCGATTACCCATTAATCGGCCAATTTTTAAATTTTTTTTATATATACTGTAGATATCTACAGTATACTACAAAGTGTAGATATACTGTAGGCTACTGCTCATCACGCCGACAGGAAGACTGACTGATCAAACTCGGACCAGAAAAGCGTTTTCAACTACACCACCCACCCACCCCCCACCCACTCACGTTACACATTTCCGGTCCGGGCTCATCTGGAGACATGCAGCTGCTTCAGTAAGAGAAGTAGCTCGATCACATAATGTGTACTGTTGTTTATTCTACCGTTACTGGCACAGCTAACAGTGTAGCAAGGCTAATAGCAGGTGGCTAACTCTAACTTTAGCTTGCATATTACATGGTGCTTCACCGTTAACTCGGTGTGACTGAGACCAGCACAGCGAGGAACATCGTGAAGTGGGTTTAACTGAAACTTGTTGACTTATTGTGTATTTCACAAACTGGTTTATTTACCGTTGAGGTGGACCACTCTCCTCCGTGCGTCCCTGAGCTGCCTGCTTCAGATCCGTCACTCTGCTGTGCTGTGAGGTAGTTAATGGATGAAAATTGTCATGAGGTCGCTGTGCCATCTACAGGATAAGTTGGGAGCTTTTCAAATGGCGGAACATTTTCGAAGTGAAACCTAATCTTATTCTTCGCATTTTATTCGTGAAAATATTGGCAAAAATCGGCTAGTTCTGTCTGTTTACTGATTAGTCTCAAACGGGCTAAAATTGGCCGATTTAATCGGCTTACTGATAAATCGGTCTGGCCCTACTTTGTTCCTACTTCCTTTGTCCTTACTTCCTGAAATAAAAGAAATCAACAAAATATAAATGCTAGAAATTATGACTTGACCCCATCAGATATCGGCATGATCTTCATGTTTCAAACTTTAATAATAATAACTAAAAACCTTAAAACAGTCACAGTCTAGTCCTGAGACTGTTGCATCTCTATTCTCTCTTCTCTTATTTTAAACATACCTGTGCTGCTGCAGTTCTGTCCCCTTTACTTTAAATCCTGAGGTATCACTATTGACTTTCAAGGATATTACAGCATGTATCATACCCTTTTTTGCTATTTTTGCACAGGGAGGACGAGCAGTGCTTTGTCTCTATGGTTACTCCAATCAGCAAGCAGACGGCCTCAGCTTCCCTGATGATGTCACAGACCCGGATGTGGGCAAAGTTGCTGCCGTAACGCTGGAAGTGATGAGCCTGAGGATGGAACTAGAAATGCTTATCAAGGTGAGTGTGTGTCTGTGCGTGTACATGCGCGTGTTTGTGTGTGTTGTGATTACTGCAGGTTATTTGCCCACTATTTTCCTTTTTTTGTTGGAGAAACAAGTTTTCAGCAGAAACTTTCAGCAATAGTATGAGAATTCTTACAACAAACCGTAATTCCAGAGGAATTTGGATGTTGTGTGAAACATGAATAAACACAGAATACCATGATTTGTAAATCCTTTCCCATATTTGATTGAAAACACCGGGAAGACAAGATATTTAATGTCCAAACTGATGAACTTGATTTTTTATTGTTGTTGTTTTAATAGATATTCACTCATTTTGAATTTGATGCTGCAGCACATTCCTAAAACGTCAGTTCAGGGTCAACAAAAGTCTGGGAAAACTGAGGTCTACTCCAAAAACACCTGTTTGGATCCTTTCACAGGCGAACAGGTTCACTGGAAACAGTTGAGGGTCATAATTGGGTACAAAAGGAGCATCCCTGAAAGGCTCAGTCCTTCACAAGCAATGGTGGAGCCAGGTTCACCAACAACCGCGTGAGCAAATAGTCAAACAGTTTGGGAATGTTTCTCAACATACAATTGCACAGATGTAACTAACTGTGACATCTTTGAAGGCTTCATTTATGCTGAAAGGTACATACAGGTTTAGGAGCAACATCTGCTGCCAACAACGCCCGGTCTTTTTCAGGGACGTTCCTGATTATTTATTGCAAGACAATGCCGAGACATATACCAAATTTTTGTAATGACATCCAGGGAAATCAAGGGAGTAGGGGGATGCTAAGCCAAATTCTTCAGGCCTTCTATTTCATGGCCTTCAACTTCATAGCAGCGCACCGCACACCCCTCGTAAAAACTGTTGTTCAGGACTGCGGGCAACATGCTTACTCACGCTTCCTACCTACTCGCCTACTAGTCTACACACAACATTTTTGTTCTCATTCATGAAAGGCTTAAATCAAGGACATTTCCGGGGACAGTTTTAGCTGGGGACAGGTCATACAATTCGGCGACTGTCCCCAGAATTCAGGAACGTCTGGTCACCTCATCCATCAAGCAAGACTAAGAAAGACAGTAAGTGTCCTCAGTTCACCAAGGCTTACTGAGAGTTGTTAAAGGAAAAGTGATGTAACACAGCCGTAAACATGACCCTGAACCAGCATTTTGGGAACATGCTGCAGCATTAAATTCAACATGAATGAATACAATAAAGTTTATCAGTTTGAAAATAAATTTACTTGTCTTTTTACTGTCTTCATTTAAAAATATATGTGGAAATGGATTTTTATTTACATTCTACCCGACGCCCCAACTTTACTGGAGTTGGGTTTTGTAGCTGTGCATCATTTGGGCACAAGCACAATTCTTACTATGTTAGATTTAAATTTGCTGTTGGACTTAAAATACTTTTTAAAAAGTGTGTACAAATTATCTGTGGACTAATGGGGTAGGATTAGGAAGGTGACTTAAAAGGCATCTTTTCAGGGTGGTAGAGGCTGTGAACAGTAAATCTATTTTTCTATAGTAAATTTAGGTATGGTTGTTTCTTTAAGTAACATATGAACTCACTTTTATGTAAAGGAGAGCCAAATCCGAATATGAAGCACTTCTTAAAATGTTAGTCACTGAGACCTAGAGCTCTCTCTGTGAGCAAAAGTACAAAACAACAGCAAGAAAAAACTGTCCTTTACTGGGCAGAAATCATTAGCATAACCAGGAGGGTAGCTATCTTCTAAGAAATAAGTAAAGAACAATTTAGTACTCGTGATAAATAACAAACCTTTCCACACTGTGTTGGATTGAATCAGTGTGAAGTCTGTTTGGGTTTATTTATGTTGTTGCAGGTGGTTGGTTTGACCACACAGCCAGTTTAAATTTTTGCCAGTTAGCAGCAGACAGTGTTTATGCACTGCAATAAAAGATGTCGCCTTTTATAGAGGCTGACTTTCTGGCAGAAGCAGCAGAAGCCCTGGATCCTAGGTTTTCTTTTATTTTATTTTTTACGTGTTTTTTGGGCGATTTTGCCTTTTATTCATAGGATAGGGTGAAATGTGGGGAGATAGAGATAGAGAGAGAGAGAGAGGGGGGAGGACATGCAGCACATGGCCAGACTACATAATTTCTGCAGAACTGTTCAGCTCACCTACTGAATATGAAGTGCTGACAGTAATCTGTGGTTTGTTTTGATCCCAGGAGGCCCATCCACACCCTGAATTCTATGAGAGAATCATACCGACACTGAGACATAAGGTACGGTCCACCATCCACACCACAGTCATATCTGTGAGCTCTTCAGTTTCATACAAAAATATAAAAGCAACACTTTTGTTTTTGCTCCCATTTTTCATGAGCTGAACTTAAAGATCTAACACTTTTCCTTTGTCCACAAAAGACCTATTTCTCTCAAATATTGTTGACAAATTTGTCTAAATCTATGTTAGTGACACTTCTCCTTTGCTGAGATAATCCATCCACCTCACAGGTGTGGCATATCAAGATGCTGATTTGACAGTTTGCCCTAGACGGCCACAATAAAAGGACACTGTAAAAGTTGTAGTTCTATCACGCAGCACAATGCGACGGATGTCACAAGTTTTGAGGGAGCACGTTTTTTGTCCTCCAGAGCTGTTGCCCTTGAATTGAATGTTCATTTCTCCTCCATAAGCTGTCTCCAAAGGCATTTCAGAGAATTTGGCAGTCCATCTAACCGGCCTCACAACCGCATACCACATGTAACCACACCAGTTCAGCACCTCCACATCCAGCATCTTCACCTCCAAGATCGTCCAAGACCACCTGGACAGCTGCTGCAACAATTGGTTTGCATGACCAAACAATTTCTGTCAGAAACTGTCTCAGGGAAGCTCATCTGCATGCTCGTCGTCCTCATTGGGGTCTTGACCTGACTGCAGTTTGTCGTCATAACCAACTTGAGTGGGCAAAGGCTCACATTCGATGGCGATTCGATTTTCTCTTAACAGATGAATCTCGGTTTTCACTGTACAGGGCAGATGGCAGACAGCGTGTCTAGCGTCGTGTGGGTGTGCGGTTTGCTAATGTCAATGTTGTGAATCGAGTGGCCCATGGTGGCAGAGGGGTTATGCTCTGAGCAGGCATAGGTTATGGACTACGAACACAGTTGCATTTTATTGATGGCATTTTGAATGCACAGAGATACCGTGACGAGATCCTGGGGCCCATTGTTGTGCCATTTATCTGTGACCATCACCTAATGTTGCAGCATGATAATGCACGGCCCCATGTTGCAAGGATCTGTACACAACTCCTTGAGGCTGAAAACATCCCAGTTCTTGCATGGCCAGCATGTTTGGGATGCTCTGGATCGGTGTATGTGACAGCGTATTCCAGGGCCCGACCGATATGGATTTTTTGGGGCTGATGCCAATACCGATTATTAGGGGGAAAAAAATCTAAGTACAGATTAATCGGCCGATTTTTAAAAAAGTTTTATGAAATTATAAAAAATATATATATATATATATACTGTAGGTCACTGCTCTCAAGGCTAATAGCTAATAACTCTAACTTTAGCTTGCATATTACATGGTGCTTCACCATTAACTCGATGTGACCGAGACCAGCACAGTGGGGAACATCGTGAAGTGGGTTGGAGTGAAACTTGTTGACTTATTGTGTATTTCACAAACTGGTTTATTTACCGTTGAGGTGGACCACTCTCCTCCGTGCGTCCCTGAGCTGCCTGCTTCAGATCCGTCACTCTGCTGTGCTGTGAGGTAGTTAGTGGATGAAGATTGTCATGAGGTTGCTGCGCCATCTACAGGATAAGTCGGGGAACTTTTCAAATGGCGGAACCTTTTCGAAGTGAAACAGGATCTTACTCTCTGCATTTGATTTCTGAAAATATCGGCAAAAATTGGTGAATTTTGGCCGATTGCCGAATAGTCTCAAACGGGCTGAAATCGGTCAGGCCTTAGCGTGTTCGTTCCTGCCGATATCCAGCAACTCCGCACAGCAATTGAAGAGAAGTGGAACAACATTCCACAGGGCACAATCAACAACGTGATCAACTCTATGTGAAGGAGATGTGTTGCACTGCGTGAAGCAAATGGTGGTCACACCAGACTTTTCGTGTACATAGAAAAAATCTTAGATCTCAGAGTTCAGCTCATGAAAAATGGGAGCAAAAACAAAAGTGTTGCTTTGATATTTTTCACTGTATTTAACTTAAAGAGTGCACCATCAAACTCTTAGATGAAGTCAATAATTATTAAATCACAAAGAGGAAGAACTCAGATGTGCTTCAACTTGGAGCTATTTATTTGCTATCCTCCCACAGGTGTGAACAGAGAACATAGAATATCACATTTCTAACATGCCAAAGGTTCTTTGAATTTCGTATCAGATGCTCCTCTAAAACTTTGTTGGATTTAATTATTTCTTCTTTTCAAACTCTACATGAAAAGATCTCTCTGAAAGCAATGTCAGTGTAAGTGGTTCATAGAGAAATTCTGAGTGCTTTTTTCAAGCAAAAAATGTGTTAAAAAATTTACTTTGGTGAAAATCAGTACTTTGGAGGTTGAGTTAAACAATCCCAGGGACTAACTTTAACTTTCAAACTTTATTTGAAATCATCAAAGTGCAAGTAGAACTGTAATAGATCATCCCTCTGTCACTTTGTTACTTTGGCTTAAATCCTACAGAGTCCTACAAGGTCCTTACACACCGAGGCCGACACAAATATAGAACGCAAAATTCTGAAATATTTGACTATACGCATCAAGCTCGACGTGACTGTGTGACTTTCCGGGGAGAAAAAAGACGCGTCCCGGGTGGAAGCGAGAAGACTGCTACAACAGCAGACTGACTGTTTTTCAGTTCTGATTAGACACTAGTGTTGAGATGTCTGTCTGTCATGATAGCATGTACTGAGTCAGGGCCAGTACCAGATAAGCACATTAAACTATAATCCATAAACGTAAGGTAACAACCGAGACCTAATGGTGCTGTGACAGCAACGTGATTGAGTTTGAGACAGTGAAAATACATATGGTATGTTGTATCTGAACAGGTTAGCTTACAAGCTAAAGATACTTAGCACAGATAAAAGTTAAAACAAAGACGTTTAGCAAACTGTTAAAGCACACAAACCATCGTCATTTGAGAAATCCAATGCTATGACTCTCCACAAGTTGTCCTTCAGGTTGTTATCTCTGTAATATTTTTTTATCCCATTTTTTTCATGTTGGATATACCGGTGAATTAGACGTCACAACAACACGGAATCAGATTGGTCAGAAGTGGAAACACAGTATGCAAAACTTCGAGCATGATCCGAAAAAAGGACGGGAAAACGTCTCTGACGTGTACGCTTGTATTGACAGGATACGGGTTAGAAAAAAAATATTGACATCCGGAGTAATAGCACGTAAAAAACGGTGAAAGGACCTTAAAACTGGCTAAATGAGTCACCACAGTGTCAGACATTTTATGTACACTAAAGCTTGACTTTGCTAAAAAGTAAGCTGAATGTTGTTAGCTAATATTCAACAGTGAAAGTAATGTTATAAACCACATGACTGTCGACTTAACTTTGGATTACAATCATGCTTCTCGAAAGGATTGAAATTAGTTTGCATAGTCCACTGTTTGGACTATCACTACGGTAGCTATCACCCCATCCCTACCTCAGCTCATTTAGCAAAACTTTTAGATAAGCACTCACTCTTAAAACGAACCGATAATGATAAAGGTTACTTCATCCTTGATTTTTTATCCTGTTACTATGGATGAAGTTCCACCCATCAAACCGTTTCTTATTTTGAATTTTTTCACATGAGTAAAGTAACCTAAGGTAGCGCTGCTCTCTCCTCTCTCTTTTAAGGATGTGGGTCTTAACACTGATGCTGTGGTCTACCAGTCCTCCCCCTCCTCATGCCATTCAAAAGGTCAGACCAAGTCTTTGGCCTTCCCCCTCCAACACCACTCCTCCAGGAAGAGCAGCCACGGACGCTCCCTGTCTTCCAACCATCAGAGTCCCAAGTCCATCCAAGTCTTTTCCACCTCTTCAAACAAACACCCAGGTGAGAAGAGAAGCTGCTGTCTACAGCTCTCAACGCACGCTGATATATCCTGATATGGTGTGGAGGGCAGGGTGATACAGAGCAAAACAACGAGGAAGAGCCAGACCTTAAAACAGTCAGTAAAGAGCCCTGAAACATCCGTTGGTTTTAAAGACAGTCACTAAAGGGCCCTAAAAAAACTCTTTGTGAGTCTGTGAAGAGCTAAAATGACAAATATCTGACATAGGTGTTAAGCACAAAATATTGAGCACAACTGTCGTAAAACAGTCATACAGTTGAATTTTGCAGATCAATAGAATAGAAATTTTTCATGATCAGTTATTTCTCCTATTTTTATTCATATTAGTTATTCTCCTCCCTAGTTCATGAAAGGTAAAGTCATTGAGAGGAGTTTGTCCAAAAGCAGAAAATATTTATTTTTGCCCTGGTCTGGCTACTGTCATGTACGTTTAACAATAATGTGCACTCAGATAAGAAAGTGCAGCATCAGTTATATTTTTCACAGAAACTTTAAAACTTGTGATTAGATAATTGACAGAGTTCCTGAGAAGTGGTCATGTACCATAGACTGTATATAAAATGGATGCCGTCTGCCTCCTTGCTGGGTGAAGCCACTCAGAGAACAGCACCCTCTGTTGACAGGCTGCAGTATAGGTCATAAATCCCGCCTCCTCCAGCAATCCCTATGAAGCTGTGGACAAACTCTAGAAATTTATTACACAGAACATACATTTTTCTCCCTGCTTGCAGTGTTGACATGTGACAGCGTCATCACAGCGTCATCACAGCGACTCTCAGCGACTCTCCCGCCGAATGCATACAATGCTACTTTGCAAGTGGTGGAGTGCGTACAACGCTACTGCGTAATGTTGGTTTCAAGAAGTGGAGAAAAAACGTGGAATTACAGAGCTTTTTGGCTTCAAATCCGTATACTGGTGGAAGGCGGAACCAGGTTGTCCATAGTATATAAAGTCTATGTCATGTACAAGCTCATCTGACCTTTGCAAAGACCTACCTAGAAAAAGATGAAAGCTTCTAGTCATCTGTTCTGTGGTCAGATGAAACCAAAATTCAGCTTTTTGGGCACAGGGATGTGGCTTTTATCTGGGGAAAGAACAGTGAGGCCTACAAGCCAAAGAGCACAGTCCCTACTGTGAAATATGTAACTGAAAAAATTAAGAAATTTCTTGTATATGACAGAGGTATGAATTATTTTGGGCTTAAGTATAAGTTGAATGCAGAGCTCTTAATTAGACAATGAGTATAAATGCAAATGATCATTAATTTCATGTTGACAGATTTTACCCGTAAACTGGGTTTTATGGGTCAAAGCAGGGTCCAAAACAATGTGCAGAATGTTCTTCATGTAAAGGTATTGTTTAAATTTGAGCGACCGGGCAGACTGGTGAGGAGGGCCGGCTCTGTTGTGAGGTGTGTTCACATGTGTGCAGAGAGAGTGGGGGGTATTCGTGTAGCTCTTTTAGTATGACTTCCAGTTTTAAAAGCTATTCCTTATTAATTTCGTCCTTCATATTTAAAAGAAACCAGTGTGTGTCATTATCTAAAACTTGTACAGAGATAAGGTTTCTGTTCCACTGATCGTCTGCAGGAAATCCCTGTGGTTACACTGACCGTACACGCAGACAGACTCATTTTAGTGCTATCAGCCCTGACTCTGCAGTCCGACCTCAAGCATGGTGGCAGTTTGGTGCTTAAACAAAATTATTCTTTATTCTTTTCTTTCCATGAAGTAGACTTGACAAACATGCTCAGGGAATATTGGATCAAAAAACCAAACTCCCCCAGGTGCCCCCTCTTCACCCCCAACTCTCTCTCAGTTTAGTTTGTTTTGTCTCTGACAGCCACATTTGCAATAATGTAGATGATACTCTTTGGTGATTGAAGAGTTGAGGAACAGATGTCAATTACTGTCCTGCTATTCTTGTTTTAAAACACCAACATTTAAAGATCAGAGCATGTTGGTTTCTCAAAGGCCATTCTCAGCCCTTTCATGTTTTTGAAAATATTGTGACCTTGTTTGACTCCACGTGCTCTTTCTGTGTTCCAGAGAACTGCACGATCTGTGAAATTTTCCGGATATCCACCCACTGCCTCACCTGCCTTCAGGGCCTCTGCTCCGAGTGCGACAGACTGTACCACTCCTACCCTGAGAGGGCCAACCACCGTCGAATGGCTGTCACATCATCATCATCATCTTCCCAAAATAGGAGCAGTCAAAGGTCAGGATGAGCAGATTCATCTACAAAACCCAATTCCATTTAAGTTTGGAAATTGTGATAAACGTAAATAAAAACAGAATACAATGATTTGCAAATCCTTTTCAACCTATATTCAATTAAATACACTACAAAAACAAGATATTTAATTTTCAAACTCATAAACTTTATTTTTTTTGCAAATAATAATTAACTCAGAATTTCATGGCTGCAACTCGTGCCAAAGTAGTTGGGACAGGGGCATGTTTACCACTGTGTTACATCACCTTTCCTTTTAACAACACTCAATAAACGTTTGTGAACTGAGGAGACTAATTGTTGAAGCTTTGAAGGTGGAATTCTTTCCCATTCTCTCTTGATGTACAGCTTCAGTTGTTCAACAGTCCGGGGTCTCCGTTGTCGTATTTTACACTTTATAATGCACCACACATTTTCAATGGGAGACAGGTCTGGACTGCAGGCAGGCCAGTCGAGTACCCGCACTCTTTTACTACGAAGCCACACTGTTGTAACACGTGCAGAATGTGGCTTGGCATTGTCTTGCTGAAATAAGCAGGGGCTTCCATGAAAAAGACGTTGCTTGGATGGCAGCATATGTTGCTCCAAAACCTGTATGTACCTTTCAGCATTAATGTTGCCTTGGGCACTAATGCACCCCCATACCATCACAGATGCTGGCTTTTGAACTTTGCGTCGATTACAGTCCGGATGGTTCTTTTCCTCTTTGGCCCGGAGGACACGACGTCCACTGTTTCCAAAAACAATTTGAAATGTGGACTCGTCAGACCACAGAACACTTTTCCACTTTGCATCAGTCCATCTTAGATGAGCTCGGGTCCAGAGAAGCCAGCGGCGTTTCTTGATGTTGTTGATAAATGGCTTTTGCTTTTCATAGTAGAGTTTTAACTTGTACTTACAGATGTAGCGACGAACTGTATTTACTGACAGTGGTTTTACGCGTGCGCCCCCCTAATAATCGGTATTGGCATCTGGCCCAAAAAATCCATATCGGTCGGGCCCTAATAGCATCAAAGCTTATACCTAGTATCTTAAAGATAGGAACCCCACAGGCCCTTGATGGCTGTTCAGTGGCACGGCCAAAGGTTGGAATTTGATGGAAAATGCTGGGAAACAGATGAACTGATGAAAGCAGTGTGTGTTATCAGTGCTGTTAAAAGTAAAACTGTTAAGCTAAGTTTCTGTGAGTTTACCATCTCACAAGTTTCTTTAACATCTCTTTGAACTATGTTCATATAACAGCCTGTCTCTCCTCTCTTGCCGTAGTTCCTCCACCTGGCGCTGCCCTCACTGTACCAAAGTTAACTCTGTGCAGGACGTGCTGTGTGAAGAGTGTGAGCTCCCCCGCATGGAATCCGTCTCTTCTAAAGTGGATGAATTTCAGCCCGCCACCATCACTGGTCTGTATTTTTTTTTTACCTAATAGCACCTAATGGCAGCATTTTTCGTTGGTGTTAGAGAAGAAGTTATTGTTTAGGTCTATATTATGCTCCAAGTACAGTAGATTATGGTCATTGTATTGAAATGTTCTCAGTTCCAGTTCTTCATGATAAGCGTTCCATTGAACTACATCCCTGTTGTCTCCAGCTGTAATGAATGAGTTTGTCAGACTGTGTCATGGTGGTGTGTTGTGTGTGAGTCATCATACCTTACAGTCCAGATTGTGATGATCATTTGAACTTGTCCAGTTCCACAGCTTGACTACAGCTTTGGCTGACTCTGGCGTCCTGTTCAGTTTAATGAATATTTTACAGTTTGATGTCCTTGTGTGTTGAATTTTTCCCTGTTTTTTCATGAGGCAAGCTTTTCTGGTGATATCGGCCATGATATACTCATGATGATGTGAACAGGAAGACCCAACCTTACATGTTGGTGCACACACCATAACAGCGCTATGGAGTTAAGGGGATATTTTCAGTCAGGATCACTTTAGTCAAAATTAATTATTTATTACAAGCAAACATTTTCACATTTGCGGAATGGCTCTGTTCTAAGGGTTCCCTGTCCTTCCATGCGCTTGCATGGAATGCTACGGCTATAAGAGTGAAGCGCTCCTCCGCTCCTTTTCATGTGCATACATAAAAGCCAAGGCAGAGAAAGCAGCAGCAAATAAATACGATTAAGATAAATGAATAAAAATCTCCCTACAGAACAGAGCAAGCATCAGTGACAATACATATGACACTGGTTAGATCAGACACAACATAAACAGGGTGGAGGTGGGTTGCAGAGTGGTTGCATTAGGCAGAGTAGGCAGGAGAAGCAGTTTAAATAGGGCGCCATTCTGATATTAGCCAATAGGATGTAAAGAGGGTGATCACCTGAGCTGTCAGCTGACTAAGGACTGGCTTAAGATCAAGTGACTGTAGCCTTTAGCTTGACTCCGTGACCTGCCTGAACTACTGCTATGCCTCATTTTAAAACAACTGCTTTGAAGATGTCAATGTTAGGTGTCATTTTTTAAATCATGTAACTCATAAAACTGCAGTTTCCTAAAGAACAAACAAAACTAGGAGAAAGTTGTGAACATGGATCAACATTTCATTCAGTTAGAGGTACCTTGTGTGGAAATAAGAATATATAGCCAAATCCAGCAATCAAATTCTAGATTAAAATTCTCCCTTGCTCACCCCTACCATCTTTAAAAGGATGGCTGTCTGTGAGGACAAGAAGCTCCTCTGATATATGACAAGAGTGATCCCCTTTGGTGAAGTTTTTACCATCAGAAACCATTTTTATTGACACTCTGCAACTGTCTACTTCTTCTTCTGCGTCCTCCAGCTGGTGCTTTATGAAATATCATTGGCTAAATACTGAAATAAATGTTACTAGTTTTTACGCTTGTGCTTCAGCAGGATGGAAAGGGACCCAATCCCAGTGTAGTTATAAAAAGCCCATTTGAAGTGGTCAGAATCAAAATGCACTTGTTCAAACAGACTTTTGAATATTTTATTTGGTTTTTTACAAATTCTTTTATAGAAAATTCTGCTAAATAATACACAAGACTACACACTGCACCATCAAGAAAAGATGACAGTGATTGTGATTATCAAAAGGAATAGTCGTACTTTTATGAAGTTTGCAAAGTTGAGGTGATGAGCATGACAAAAAGAGAGAAAGAGATCTCTGAGGATTATCCAGCTCAGAAGATGTGATCCAGAGACATTAAAGAGAGGCTTCAAATGAGAGACAAGCAACTATTTATCCATGCAATAACTCTCATTCAAAAATCAGACACAAAAAAAAAAAAAAATCGCAGACATCTCTGTATCTGTGATAAGCATCAGCAGAGTTAATCTCAAACATCAGTGTACATCGGTTTATTTCCACTTTGGGAATCTGTTCCTCTCAGAGTGGCAGTGTAAGAGCTGTACCATGGTGAACGCAGCCAGCAGCGTCCTCTGTGAGGTGTGTGAAAGACCTCGCCTGGCCACCAAACCTCCAGTGACCCCATCTCACCCTCCCATTCTCCCACCAAGACCACCAGCACCGGTTCTGGGCATGCCTGGTGACCCTGACAGCCAGGTCAGTTCCTTTTTGCCACTCCAGCAGATCTAATCTACAGAAGTTTGGGCTGGACTCCGCTCTGTTTTTTCACTTAAAACTCTGTTTCTTTAAGGTTTAGTGTTTGTGTGTGTGTGTTTTTTATGCATTTATTCATCCAATAATACAAAGTTACATATCATTTACCCGTAACCTATCTCAGTCACATTAAAGAGGAATCAAAACAGTCTGGAGAGATTTTAGTTTCAGCAGATTATTTTATGATTCTCTATCTGTCTGAGAAACGTGGGCAGCAGGAACATCTGACTTTAGGCCAACCTGGCATTGGTATGACTTAAGCAAATTTATGTGATGATCATATGAACACACTGATAGTATCTTCAGTTTCTTATGGTTAATTTCTCCCTCTTTCTCTCTCTCTCTCTCTCTCTCTCTCTCTCTCTCTCTCTCTCTCTCTCTCTCTCTCTCTCTCTCTCTCTCGCTATCTGTCTGATCAGTGGGTGTGTCAGTTTTGTACTTATCTCAACTACTCGCCTGCAACAGTGTGCGAGATGTGTGACCTGTCTCATCCAGAGCCTGCACCCCTGCCTGTAAAGCTCCGCCCTCCATCTCCTGTTCGACGTGTCCCTGCACTGTCTATTAAGCCCAAACAGCCCGCCTCTGAGGATCTTGACTCCTTGAGGCAACGGCTGATGAAGGAGGAGGGACTGAAGTTGATTCGTCTGATAAGAGTAAGTCATTGTGATGACGTTCATCTCCTTCAACTACAGTGGATATAAAAAGTCTACACACGCCTGTTCAACTGCCAGGTTTTTGTCATGTAGAAAAATTAAATCAAGATAAATAATTTCACAACTTCTTCCACCTTTAATGTGACCTATAACCTGTACAACACAATTGAAAAACAAACAGAAATCTTTCAGGGAGGTGAAGTAAAAATAAACTGAGATCATGTGGTTGCATAAGTGTGCACACCCTTTAATAACTGGGGATGTGGCTGTGTTCAGATTTAACCAATAACATTCAAACTCAGGTTAAATTGGAGTCAGCACACACCTGTCACCAATTAAAGTGCCTCTGATCAACCCCAAATTAAGTTCAGCTGTTCTAGTTGCTTTTCCTGACATTTTTGTAGACACATCAAAGATATCAGTCAAGTGAGGCTACAAAAGAATTTTCAAGGAATTAAATACACCATGGAACACCGTAAAGACCGTCATCATCAAGTGGAGAAAAAATGGCACAGCGGTAACATTACCAAGAACAGGACGTCCGTCCAAAATTGATGATAAGACAAGAAGAAAACTGGTCAGGGAGGCTACCAAGAGGCCGACAGCAACACTGAAGGAGCTGCAGGAATTTCTGGCAAGTACTGGCTGTGTAGTACATGAGACAACAATCTCCTGCTGTCTTCATATGTCTGGGCTCTGGGGTAGGGTGGCAAGATCCAAACCTTATCTGACAAAGAAAAACATCAAAGCCCGGCTTGATTTTGCAAAAAGACATCTGAAATCTCCCAAACGCATGTGGGAAAATGTGTTATGGTCTGATGAAACCAAAGTTGAATTTTTTGGGCATCATTGCAAAAGGTATATTTGGCGCAAAATCAACACTGCTCATCATCAAAAGAACACCATACCCACAGTGAAGCATGGTGGTGGCAGCATCATACTTTGGGGCTGTTTTTCTTCAGCTGGAACTGGTGCCTTAGTCAGGGTGGAGGGAATTATGAACAGTTCCAAATACCAGTCAGTGTTGGCACAAAACCTTCAGCCTTCTGCTAGAAAGCTGAAGATGAAGAGGAACTTCATCTTTCAGCACGACAATGACCCAAAGCACACATCTAAATCAACAAAAGAATGGCTTCACCGGAATAAGATTGAGACTTTGGAATGGCCCAGCCAGAGTCCAGACCTGAATCCCATCGAACATTTGTGGGGTGATCTGAAGAGGGCTGTGCACAGGAGATGCCCTCACAATCTGTCAGATTTGGAGTGATTTTTGAAAAGAAGAGTGGGCAAATATTTCCACATCAAGATGTGCCACGCTGGTACACTCCTACCCAAAAAGACTGAGTGCTGTAATAAAAGCCAAAGGTGCTGCAACAAAGTATTAGTTTAAGGGTGTGTATATTTATGCAATCAGGTTATTTTAACTTTTCTATTTTATATTTCTCCCCTTAAAGATTTCAGTTTGTTGTTCAATTGCATTGTACAGGTTAAAGGTCACATTAAAGGTGGAAAAAGTTGTGAAAATATTTGTCTTGCTGTCATTTTCTTACATCACAAAAACCTGCCAGTTGAACAGGGGTGTGTAAACTTTTTATATCCACCGTATCTCTGGGGCTCTGTATTCCAAGGTTTCTATCCTTCATGCCTGTTTCAGGATGGGGAGAAGAAAGGAGTGAGTCCTGAGGAGGTCTACACAAGCATGAGGGTAGCAAAGGACAGCAGCCTTCCACCCTGCAAATGGTTAAAGGCGGAACTTCCTGTGCTGTTGGATCAGATCAGGACTTTGGTGGCAACATCTTCCCTTAAATGTGATGATAACCTAACAGAGAGCAATGTAAGTATGCTTATCTCAGAGTTTCAAGGACTGCTTCATCCTGACAAATCCCAACCCTGACAATAACAGACAGATTACGGCAAGAGCTTTAACTTCTCAACTTTTAAACATGAATTTTTATTATCTTTTAAAAAATTGTCTCCATTTTATATACAGACATTACAAAGCTACATTGACATAGGTTTTATCAAACCTGAAAAAATAAAATTTTAGCCACTTTTTGACCCTAAAATCTAGCAGTTGAATCCCAGATACACCTTTTTATTTTAGCCTAGCCACAGTAGTGGCCCCTTCTTTGCTGATTTGAAGGTGTTACCCAGCTGAGGCAGATGGTCAGGTGTTAGATATTCAGAGGTTTATCACTGGAGATATGCTGATGTAGAGAAATAACTGATTTCTTAAACAGGGATCAACCAAGCTGTGTGGGCCTGTAGATTCTTTCCTGAGTGCTTTGGTGCTACAATGGTGTTTTTTTTTTGTTTTTTTATCACACAAGTGATCAACTAAATAAGAAATCCTGCTGTCAAACAATGGAAATATCACAAGGCGTGAATACCATAGATCAGTGGTTCTCAAGTCCAGTCCTGAAGGCCCCCTGTCCTGCATGTTTTGGATGTTTTCCTGCTCCAACACACCTGATTCAAATGATCAGCTTGTTATCAAGCTCTGTAATGGCTTACTAACGAGCTGATCATTTGAATCAGGTGTGTTGGAGCAGGGAAACATCCAAAACATGCAGGACAGTGGGCCTCGAGGACTAGACTTCAGAACCACTGTACTAACCCATTACTAATTAGTGTAATTAGTGTTGAGATGCTAGTTCAGAGCCATTTATTTGTATCACACGACTCTTTAAGTGTTTTGTTGTCCCTGATACAGTTTTTTTATAATAATAAATAATAATAATAATTCATTTTATTTGTACAGCGCTTTTAAAAACACTCAAAGACGCTTTACATAGTACGTAAAATTCAAGATAATAAGACAAAGACATGAAAACAGTAAGATGGACAAAACAGTTAAATATTAAAAGCAATTTTAAATAAGTGGGTTTTTAAAAGGGATTTAAAAGTAGTGGAGTCAGGGCAGTGTCTGATGGAGGGAGGTAGGGAGTTCCAAAGGGTAGGGGCAGCTGAGGAGAATGCCCGATCCCCCCAAGTTCGGTGCTTGGGCCGTGACAGTGGGGTGAGAAGATGGGCAGAGGAGGAACGGAGGTTACGGGGGGGTACATGAGGCTGGAGTAGGTCGGTGAGATAGGAAGGGGCTTGATGATGAAGGGCTTTGTGGGTGAGAAGGAGGATCTTGAACATGATGCGTTGCTTGATGGGGAGCCAGTGTAGACGGAGGAGGATGGGGGTGATGTGATCTCGTGAACGGGTGTGGGTAAGGAGGCGGGCGGCAGAATTCTGGACTATCTGTAATTTGTTGAGGAGTTTAGAGGGTAGACCGTACAGGAGGCTGTTGCAGTAATCTAACCTTGAGGTGATGAAGGCGTGGACCAGGGTTTCTGCTGCGGGGAGGGAGAGAGATGGGCGAATACGGGCAATGTTTTTGAGGTGAAAAAAGGCTGATTTAGTGACCTGTTTGATGTGTTGTTCAAAAGTGAGGTGGGTATCAAAGATGAGTCCAAGGTTGCGGATGGAGGAGGAAGGAGACAGGGGTGAGTTATCAGCTGTGATGGAGAAGGGGGGGATGGATTGGGTGATGGATTTGGGGCCAATGATTATCATGTCGGATTTGTCACAGTTCAGTAGAAGGTAGTTATTGGTCATCCAGGTCTTTATTTCGGAGAGGCAGGTTGAGAGGGTGGAGAGGGTGGATGGGGTGATGGATTCAGTGGAAATGTAAAGTTGGACATCGTCAGCGTAACAGTGAAATTGGAGGCCGTGACGACGGATGATATGTCCAAGAGGGAGGATGTAAATAATGAACAGGAGGGGGCCAAGCACCGAACCTTGGGGGACACCTTGGGTCAGGGGAGCAGTGGTGGAGGAGTTGCTGTTTATGTTAATGAATTGTTGGCGGTTTGTGAGGTATGACTTGAACCAGGAGAGGGCAGTGCCAGTTATGTAGATTGAGTCATGAAGACGGGAAAGGAGGATGGAGTGGTGGATGGTGTCAAAAGCAGCGGTGAGGTCCAGGAGAATCAGGATGCTAATGTGGCCGGAGTCAGCGCTGAGGAGGAGGTCATTGCAAATCTTGAGGAGGGCTGTTTCTGTACTATGTTTGGGACGGAAACCGGATTGGAAGACTTCAAAGAGGCTGTTGGAGTTGAGGTGGGTCTGAAGTTGAGAGGCGACGGCACGTTCTAATATTTTAGAAAGCAGGGGAAGGTTGGAAATTGGGCGGAAGTTAGAAATTATGTCAGGGTCGAGTCCGGGTTTTTTGAGGGTTGGGGTGATAGCAGCCAGTTTGAGGGAGTCGGGGACTGATCCGGTGTGGAGGGAGGAGTTGACTATGGAGAGGATTAGTGGAGAAAGGACTGGAAGGCAGGTCTTAACGAGTGCGGAGGGCATGGGGTCCAGGGTGCAGGTGGGAGTCTTCATGCTAGTTATTAACTGGGAGAGTTGGGCATGAGAGATGGGGGAAAACTGGGATAGGGGCTGAGCAGAGGTGTGGGGGGAGCACAAGGGGGGGGACTTGGGGTGGGGTGTGGGGGCGGAAGTTGCGGACTGGAGGCTGTTGTAGATGTTGTCTATTTTGGACTGGAAGAACTGAAGGAAAGTCTGGCATTTGTCTGGTGTGAAGGTTGAAGAGCTGTTGTCATGTGGTGCCAGAAGTGAGTTGATGGTGGAGAACAGGGTCCTGGGGTTGCTGGAGCCAGAGTGAATGATGTTGGAGTAGTATGCTGAGCGGGCGGAGTTGAGGGTGGCTTTGTACTGATGGAGGTGATCTCTATAGAGCTGGAGGTGAATTGTGAGTCCGGTTTTCCTGTAGAGTCTTTCAAGTTGGCGTTTTTTTTGTTTCAGCTGGTGGAGTGCTGGGGTGTACCAAGGAGCAGAGCGGGCGAATGTGACGGATTTGCTTTTTACAGGGGCAAGTAGGTTCAGACAGGAGGAGAGAGTCTGGTTGTAGTAGGTGACAAGATCAGAGGGGTTATCGGACGCTTGTGGGGGTGATGTGGTGAGGTTGAGAGAGAGAGCGGCGGTGAGGGCAGATGGGCTGATTGATTTGAGGTTCCGGAAGTTGATGGTTCGTTTGAGTCTGGTGGGTGGGTCGGGGAGGGTTATAACTGTTTTGATAAGTAAGTGATCAGAGATATGGAGATCGTGGCAGGAGGGGGGGGATGTTTCCAGGCCGGTTGAACAGATAAGGTCCAGGGTGTGGCCATGGTTATGGGTGGGGAAATGGCAGTGTTGGGTGAAGCTGAAGCATTGTAGGATGTCCAGAAATTCACGGGCTAGACTGCAACTGGGGTTGTCAATGTGGATGTTGAAGTCACCGAGGAGGAGAACGGATGGGGAGAGGGCACAGAGCTGTGTGAGGAGGTCAGAAAGGTCAGTCAGAAAATCTGGGCTTGGTTTAGGTGGGCGGTAGATAATAGCAATAATGAGAGGGGGGGAACCAGGGAGTTTGAGAGCAACATGTTCAAAGGAGGAGACGGTTGGCATGGAAAGTGAAATGATTTTGAGATCCTTATTGTGAATTGTTGCAATGCCGCCACCTCTGCCTTCTAGGCGGGGTTTATCAATATAGGTGTAGCCTGTGGGGGTGGCCTGATTGAGGGAAAAGTAGTCCAGGGGTTTGTGCCATGTTTCTGTTAAAAAGAGAAAATCCAGTTTATTGTCCATGATGAAGTCTTGCAGGATGAGGCCTTTACTGGTGAGTGATCGGGTATTAAACAGGGCCAGGTTCAGGTGATGTGGGTGGGGCAGTTTCACTGATGATTCCTGTGAGGACCGGGGTAGTGTGCGAAGGTTGGCATGATGGCTACTCCTTAGAGCAGGGTGGTGGAGGGGCCTGTGGCTGATGATGGTGGGGATTTTAAAACTTGTTATTTCCTGTTGCAGTGGCTTGAGTGGTGGGTAGGGGGAGCCAGAGGGACGGGTAGGTCGGTGTGCAGGGAGCAGTTCCAGGGGGGTACGCTGGGGGTCGCTGTGATTGGTAACGGTGTCAGAGGAGGAGCATGAGGAAGAGGTGGATGTAAACACTAGTCAGTCGATCTGCGCGCTTGTGTGGACACTGTACTGGATGTTGGAAACTAAGATGGATCTGCCAGACCTGTTCAGGTGGATGCCATCACTGTTAAAATAATCAGGCCGGTTCCAGAAACTGTTAAAATTGTCAATAAAATGAACATTTTGGGCGTTGCAAAGCATGTTGGTCCAGCTGTTTAGGCTAAGGAGTCTGCTAAAACGCTCGCAGTTCTGCGTCATCGTCGGGAGCGGCCCACTAATAAAAACCGACTTGCCACAGTCTTTTAGGGAGTTAAGAAGCCTTTTAAAGTCACATTTTGTCTGTTCAGACTGCCGACGCGCTGTGTCGTTACAGCCGATGTGCACAATAATGCGGCGAATGGAGGAGGGAAGAGAGCGGAGGAGAGAGGGGATCTTATTAGCGATATCGGCAGCTGTGGCACCGGGGAAGGATAGTGTGGTGACATTAAAGAAACGAATACCTCTGGTGATGGAGTCTCCGATGATGACTGTCGTGGGGGCGAAGAGAGGGGCAATCGGCGGTGCAGTGCCGCTTCCAGGAGATGTGGAGGTGGCACAACGTAGACGCGGCTCCAGCTCGCGCTGCGGGATGCTGTCATTTTGGGACGCAGCTCTGGGGACGGATCCGTTGCTCGTAATTTAATGTCCGAAAGTCAAAGGTCAGCTAGTCTCGAGAAATTGACTCTTTTATATGTCAAACTACAATGATTTCTAGTGGTAACAGAATGAATCCTTGTCTGACTCTGGTCCCAAAATTTGAGAAATCTCTTCAAATACACTGCTGTGAATTTGATTTGGGGTCCATCCAGCTTTGATACTTTGTACCTGAAGTCTTTGTACAAAACTGTACTAGGGATGGGAATTGATAAGATTTTATCAATATCAATGCCATTATCAATTCTGCTTATTGATTCAATTCTTAAACAATTCCCTTATTAAGGCCTTTCTTTGATTAAAAAAGTAACCTATAGGTTTTCACCATTAATTCAAAATTTTGAGTCTCTGATAACAGAAAAAGATGTATATTCCACCTTCAGTGAGAGTCTAAAACAATCAAACAAAATAATCAACAAAAATGATATGTGTACAGCATTTCTGGCATGCATTGTGCTTATGTTAACACAGGACATATAATAGTGTGAGCATATTCTGAATCGCCAAAAAGAGGACACTACTACGCACGGCAGACTTGTGTGTGCAATTTTGAGGTGTTTTTTTTTTGCACTGCACTGTTTAATAATCAATGGATACACATTCCGGACATTTGAAGGATTTTATTCACTCCCCCGGACAGCCCCCCAAAAGAGGACATGTCAGGGTAAAAGAGGACGTATGGTCACCCTGTCGTACGTATCGTCAGTGCCGTGCTGAGACGGGGCAGCAGCGGCTGACGACCGGTGTTCAATAGGTGTTGTGTCATAGAATGCACCCCTGACAGGAGCGCGGTTGAAAGTACATAACAAGGCGAAATAATCCAAGTTTTCCTTACCATTGGGTGGATTCAAAAGTGTGTGCCTTTAATGATTTCATTCAGGCTATTCAGATAAGCTGAAAACAATCGCCCTCTGATTCGGAATATTTGCTGTCCCGAAAATATAATGTTCTCTACCTTGACAGCCAACTGTATAGTTTATACACCCAAATACATCTCTATATGTGCATTTTTGGGACGCATAAAAACAGAACGAAAGTTTGCTGCTCCATTTGACATGTTGTCATGATCCAATACTTGTTTTTTTTAAATATGAGATCATATTTCTTCCACTTTCTATGGCACATTCTATGGCACAACAACAGCGGAAAGCATTGAATACATGTGACTTCTTAAATCTGATGCAGTGCCCCATTGACAAATGTTGAAGCATGTTGCTGGTGTTCCCACCTTTGCATGTTATCACTGTTATCACAAACGTTGCACTGTTGTCATCTTTCTTAGTAAAATTAAGCTAAGCTTTAGCTCATTTCTGCTGACTTTTCGTATCGTCCGCCATGTTTTTTCTTCTGTCCTTGTGCCCGTTCGCGTAGACTGGCACTCGCGAGGCCGTTTTTCAAGGCACCTGGAAGAAAGGAATCGTTAAGATAAAATGTAAATGATGTCGATGGATTGAACCATGTGGAACCGGTTCTCAACAAGAACCGGTTCTCGATTCCCATCCCTAAGCTGCACAAGTCGTGCTTCACTTGAACTGTTTGTGTTTTTCTCTGCTGTGTCTTAGCTGATTGTCCTCTCACACAGAGAACATCATGTGACGCTCTCGCTGAGACTGACGCGAAAGAAACCGAGAGTACAGGAACAGAGAGCGGGGTCCAGTTGTCCAGAGCAGAGGCCAAGCAGGCCTGGCTGGCAGCAGGGGGCAGCACAGAGAAAGCTGCCAGACAAGCTCTAAGAGACAGACTTGCGAAGGTGATTCAGGGTTATGCAGAGTTATTTTCCCTCGGCGTTTCCTCCTTCTACAGACAATATTGTTGTTTTCTCCCCTCTACCCTCTCAGGTGAAGGACCTCTGTGCCCTGGGCTTCAGTGATGAGGCTCTCTGTCATGAGGTTTTGAGGCAGAGTGGTGGTGAAGTGAGAGGAGCCCTGGTCCTGCTGCAGCGACCCCTGCTGGAACCCTTTCACAAGCGCATTTGGAGTGACAAGCCTGAGCAACCTGTAGATATCCATCACCCTGACAAACAGGTGAGAGCAGACCTGCAGACAGTCACTGTAAACTTCTGATGCAAGTGAAACAAAAACTTGCTAAACTTTCATCTCAGAAAAATGTTGTTTTGCAAATACTCCTACAAAAGCATGTAAGGCTTTATGGCTGTGTGTTTGTACTGGGGTTTACAGACAGCAATGCTTCTGAGGAGGAGACAAAGTTTGCTGAGCTCTACCCTGAGTCCTTAAAAGCAGGATTCTTTTTAAGTTGGACTGAGTTTTTTAAAACATGATGCCACAATGAACTCTGTGACATTCACTGTGAAACTGTTTCTCTTTTACCCGGGAGTGTACAGAACCCCTCCTAAATCAAAATACTTCAAGCTCCTGTGAGGAGTTTTTGGATGGTTATCAATTTGACTGAAATTTGTATCAGTGCCCTTTAATGAGCTACAAAATCACATTAGGTCATCAGAATACAGGTTGGTTATATCTATTAAGTTAATCTTAATGTCTGAAACCCTCAGCAGGGGTTTGTGTGAACAGGGCAAAAAAGCAAAGAAAAAAAACGGTACAGCTTTGTGCACAGGACGGGCCAAAATTAACACCAATCAGTCCTTACAGGAGCTTTAAGCTCAAACCATGACCCTTTCCCAGACCATACCAAGCGGTATGGTACCTTATATTATCTACAATGTGATGTAAGAAAACTTACCTGTTGCAGTTTTGTTAAATGAAGGCACCAGAAAGACTTGTTTATGTTACAGAGTAAATCATCGTTTGCAACAAAATAATCATTTACTGGCATCCTGAATTAATGCCAGAATAAAAACTATCTCAACTAAGTAGATTTGTGTTGCTGCTCATAAATTTAAACATCAAACTGTCCATAGAGTTTGGGAATGTTTGGTTGTGTGTATTTTTAGGTTGATTTTAGGTAGGTTCATGCTTTGACAGTCAGCAGGATTTAACATGGGTATGGGCTGACTCTTGCTCTTGCTCATACTGGCATTGTTCTGTATCTGCTGCTTGGCCTTACACTCACCCAAAACGATTGATTTTAATTTGTATTCCCTCATTTTCTGCATCCTCAAAAATTGGTGGGTGCTTTAAAGATGAACCTTGTTGAGCAAAAGTACCCCATGGTCACTGTTAAAGGTGGGGTAGGCAGGAATCCGTTAAAGAAGCATCTTTTTTGTGTCCCACATTTCCTGTCTTTTTTTCCAGCGCATTTGTCGGAGGTTGCTAGCTGTGTACGATCTTCCTAGTTGGGGTCGTTGTGAGCTGGCGCTGTCTCTGCTTCTGGAGCACAGTGCCCCCTATTCGCTGGAGGACGTAGTGATGGCTGTGCGAGAGTCTCATGACAGGGAGTTTATCAAGAGAGTCCTGGCTAAGGAGTGTCCCATCTGTCTCTCTGTCTTTCCTCACAGCAAGGTAGGGCACTGGCAGTCCTTTAGCCTTTGCAGAGTTGCAGCAAACTCTTTCTCCAGTCAGGTCCTCCCTGCTCACTCTGTTTTTTTTTCGGTCAGATGCAGTCCCTGACGTCCTGCCAGTGTTCAGTGTGTTGTGGGTGCTTCCGGCAGCACTTCACCATTGCTGTAAGAGACAAACACATCAGGGACATGGTGTGTCCAGTCTGCTGGGAACCGGACATCAACGACCCTGAACACCTCAACAGCTACTTCTCAACACTAGATATCCAGGTGAGAAAAACAACTGGGACTCCAGCGGTGTAATAAGAGCCTAATCTCTGTCCTATTCGTTGTAGTGTGTGCTTTTCCTTTACTGTAAGAGATAAACACACTATTAGTCTGCTGCCAGAGAGTGTACTCTTGAGCGAGCGTCACGATTTTGTGTTTGGTTGAATCTGCATTATTGATACCTAGATACTGATAACTGATTTTTGATGGATAACCTCAGTCAGGCTATTTAATGAGAAATACATGTTCACTTGATATAAAAGGGGATTACCAGGAACAAAGAGTCCCTCTGAAGGAAAGATGGGAAGAGGTTCACCACTCTGTGAGAGACTGAGTGAGCTCATAGTTCAACAGTTACAGAATAATGTTCCTGAGTGTCAACTGTGAAAGAGTGAGTGGATTTCATCATCTGCAGTACATAATATCATTGAAAGATTCTGAGAATCTGGAGAAATCTCTGTATAAAAGGGACAAGGACCAAAACAAAGAATAGATGGTCCTGACCTTCAGGCAGCACTGCATTAAAAACAGACAGGACTCTGGAGTAGAAATTACTGCATTAATTCAAAATCACTTAAAAACCACAAATGCAGGTTAATTGTGGATCATGCAAAGAGGAAACCAGATACACTACAGGCCAAAAGTTTGGAAGCATGATCAGATTTGTACAAAAAAAGATCATAGTTTCATTACAACAATTGCAACACAATAAACATGACTATTGTGTAAAGAGTAACTTATCAGAAGACACTTTGACTATAACAACAGCTTGGCATATACCAGGCATTTGTCCACAAGTTTTTTAAGGTATGTTCCAGGGATTGCATTCCAAGCTTTCTTAAGTTCATTAAAAAGATATAGCTGATTCGTGGGACACGTTTTTCTGACTGATAGATCCAATTCATCCCACACAAGCTCTATTGCAGAAAGGTCTGGAGACTGAGGGGGCCAAACCATCTTTTGAGGAACACCTTCTTCTTTTGTCTAGGTAACCCTGACAGAGCTTGGCAGAGTGCTTAGGGTCATTGTCTTACTGCAAAACAAACTTATGAGCCACAAGTCTGAGTCCAGATGGAACAGCATGGTGCTGGAGGATGGAGTGGTACTGTTCCTTTACTTCAAACAAATCTCCTACTCCATCACCTGCAAAACATCCCCATACCATGGAACTACCACCTCCATGCTCAATTGTGGGTGTAACACATGGTGCTTTCAGACGTTCACCAGTTTGTCTGCAGACATAGACTCTGCGCTTTGAACCAAACAGTGCAAACTTGTTTCTAGTCATCATAAGTCCAATTTTTGTGAGCTTTTGCCCACTCATATCTCTTTTTCTTGTTCTGTGGATGAAGTAGTGTTTTTTTGCAGATACACAACCCTTCAGACCAGCCTTTCTCAAACGTCTTTTCACAGTTGTAAGAGATATGGGTTTCGACCTTGTCATGTTGATTTCCTCCCTTATTTGTTGTGCTGTCTTTGCCGATCTCTCTTACTGCTGACAATGCTATGTTTATCCTCTGCTTTTGTAGTAACTCTCTTTCGTCCAGGTCTTTTTCTATCATCATAACTTCCAGGTTCCTCCAGTCTCTTCAGAGCATAGTGGACTCCTTTGTTAAACACCTTTAGGCGTTTTGCAGTTTCTCTTTCTGTGTATCTTTCTTTCCTCAATGTACAAATCTGCACTTTTGTTTCTTTACTCAGTTGCTTCTTTCTAGCCATTTCTGCAGTAGTTTGATGCAGTTGAGATTTATCAGGATTTTTGTATGCAGACTCTCAAAAGCCAAAAAGTTGAAGTGAATAATCCAACTGTGATTTGTTTTTTTGCTTTTGCACTGAAGTTGTGACACAAAATATTACAGCTATGCAGTTGCAAGACAAAACAATGTCAAACCACAGTCTGTACATATTACAACAACATGGTTCAAGGTGAGGTAAGGTGCAAAGCTGATTTGCCTGCAGCCACCATTGTACTTTTCAAACATGTCTCCTGGATTTCCAAACATTTACAGTGAACACTGAGTTAGACACCCCCTCGAGAGATGAATGTTGCTGACAGGTGGCCTCTCTGGTTATATCAGCTTTATTAACATTATTTTTACGCTGGGATATCCCTTTAGTGTAAAGCCAGTTTTGGGGATTGTTTGTGTCTGTTTAGATAGAGCTTACTGATTATATGGGGCAATGTTTAAGCTGATCAGAATAATGCCGTCATTGATATTAGTTTTATAGCATACAAAAAATATAAATTAGATTCATCTCAAATAATTTAAAAGTCTGGAAGTCGCACTGGGTAGTCCCTGGGTCAAAGTCATTTGAAGAGGAGTGGTCTCCCCTTTGTAAGATTATCTTTTGGACCAAACTGTTTACTGTAGATAGAACAGCTGTAGAGAAAAAGGAAATGTTTGAAGTAAAGAGGAGATGGAGCAGAGGGCTGAGGGTCTGTGTGAAACCCAGGACCGCTGTGATGAGTACAGTTTGAACATGAGGTAGGCTCTGAGCTTCATGACTGTTTATGGAGAGTATCGCACAGCAAGGAGACACATTTTACTACAGCTCTGTCTGTTCTGACAGGTGAAATAAAGACACTGAACAGATTAACAAGTCAGCAGCATGTTTTCAAACACCCCCACTTAGTTTCCCAGCATGGATTAAAGTAATAAAAATGTATCTTTCATCAAATTTCATCCGCCTGCCTGAAGTCTCACTGACAACACTTTGCCCATTTTTCCAGACCTTACAAAGCTTAGGCACAGCTTTTCACTTAGAGCCAGGAAACTGCTTGTATCAGCATCTTTTCTACCTCTGATCGACTATGAAGATGTGCTGTATATGGGTGATTCACTGAAATGTCTTCAGTCCTTGAACACTGTTAATCACAGTGCCCTGAGGTTTATCATTGGTGATGGTCGTCTCACGCATCATTGTGAACTGCATGTTAACACCCGCTGGCCTTCTTTAAGTGTACACAGGAATACCCACTGGCTGACCCTAATTTACAAGGCTCTTCTTGGCTTAGTTCCATCTTATTCAGGTACTCTTAATCAGAGAACCAAAAACCTCTATGCCCTCCACTCCTGTGTAGGCATGTGCCGATATGAATAATTTGATATCACAATATTGGTGGCCCAAAATATCACGATTCACGATATTATCACGATATTAGCGCATTGCTTTTAACGTTATTAAAAATGGCAAAAAACTGCAAAATCACTTCTCTGTGCACAGCATGACACGCACAAACAATATGAGCAAGAGGCAGATAACGTGATGTTGGGAGCATTAGCTTTTTGGAGCTAAAGTTAGCAGAAACGTCACTAACGTTGTCATTAATAAGCAGTAGAATAGACCAAACTTGTTGCGGTCATGTTGTTTTTACCTTTATTTGGGTGAACGATGCTGGATGGTGTTCACGGAGGTTTGAAGTGTTGGACAACTGCGCTGCAACTTCCTTATGGCATAACCTGCAGATTGGTGTCAGGTTTACCTGCTCTGTCTGTTTTGTGAAGCCGTAAAACGTCCATACTGCTGACGAAACCTTTTAATAGGAGGATACAGCCGAGGCGTTTCGTCATTCTCAGTCTCCGACTGTTCTTGGTCCGGTGTTATGCCGTAGAATGCACCCCTGAAGGGAGCACGGTTGAAAGTACATAACAAGGCGAAATAATCCAAGTTTTCCTTACCATTGGGTGGATTCAAAAGCGTGTGCCTTTAATGATTTCATTCAGAATATTCAGATAAGCCGAAAACAATAACCCTCTGATTCGGAATATTTGCTGTCCCGAAAATATAATGTTCTCTACCTTGACAGCTAACTGTAGAGTTTATACACCCAAGTACAGCTCTATATGTGCATTTTTGAGCCACATAAAAACAGAATGAAAGTTTGCTGCTCCATCTGACATGTTGTCATGATCCGATACTTTTCAGATCATATCTCCTCCACTTCAAGAAGCTAATGAGCAGATGGGATGCATTGTGGACACGCTCCAACAGTGCTTTGGGTGGCTGCAATGCATTGTGGGTGGCCACGCATTTTGTTGTAAAATTTCTTCATTTTCTCTTTTAATGTTTCCGTTTTTGTTATTCTGGAATTAATGTACTTAATTGGAGAGTTTGTTTTGGATTTGGGACTACTTTTGTGGTGGTTTGTTTGTACATTTTGTTACAGAGGCTTTGACACCCACCGTGGGTAAGACTACAAGAGGGTTAGGTTGGAAAGTACTCGGCTTTGCTCACCACTGTTGAGTGACGCCGCTACTAGTCTTTAAATTATAATTGTGGAATGATTATTACAGTACCTTACGATTTCATAATCGCGGCTGTTTAATACCGCATATCGCAATTAAATCGTGTATCGGCACATCTCTACTCCTGTGACGTTCTCCATCTCTTGGTCAGAACTGAACTGGGGAAGAGAACATTCAATTTTGCTGCCCCCGCTGTGTGGAACTCCCTGCAGACTGAGCTGAAACTCAGAGTTCATGTCACTCAAGGCCTTTCGCTCCATGCTAATAGACAGACAGCGTGAGACCACCGTGCTTGTGCTTCTAAATTGATATTTATGTTAAAAGCTTTGTTGCAAGATACTTTGCAATCACAAAAATGTGTATTTAAACTTACTGTATTGTCATTTTTCAATCATGTTTTGTGCTGTTGACTTCTTGTCCAGGTCATCCTTATGAAAAAGATCTTGATCTCACTGGGTTTTTTTCTATGTTGTACTCTTGTACTTCAGCTGCGAGAGTGTCTGGAGTCAGAAGTCTACGAGCTGTTCCATAAGAAGCTGACTGAGCAGGCCCTGATCAAGGACCCAAAGTTCCTTTGGTGCTGTCATGTAAGTTCAAGATAAGACAAGATTAAAGAGTAAGATCAAATAAGTTAAGATGAGACTTAATTTTTCCCTCACTGGAGCAATGTTGGGGTTAACGGCAGTCAAGATCAGCATAGCAGACAAAGAAGAATAAGTAAACACACAATGCGTACATTATTGGAAAAATTTAATAAAAAAAAGTGAGTTCAAGACAAAAAAGAACACAATAGTATAAAAGTTCAGCTCCGCACAGTGAACAAGAAAATGTTGAATATGTTTTTAAACTTGAGCAAGTTTCTTGATAATTCGTCAGTGACAATAAATAAATGGCTTGTGTGAATTCCACACAGGGGATTATTGTCTGTTAGTTTTTTAAACCTGGACAACTGGGTGCAGGTCTGGTTAAACAGTCTGACTGCAGCAGGAAGGAAGGTATTTCTCTTTTAAACATCGCGGATGAAGAAGCCTGTCACTAAAGGAGCTGCCCATTGCTGTTTCAGTGTTCTGCAGGGGGTTGGAAACATTGATCCTCCTGTCCCCCACCACATCTACAGGGTTCAGAGGGCAGCCCAGGACAGAGTTAGCCTACCTCACTAGTTTGTTCAGTCTGTTCTTGTCTGCAGCTGTGATGCCCACAATAGTGGACACCTCAAGCTAGTGAAGCGCTGAGGACTGTTTGAAATCAACAGACTGGACTGTGCTGCTGGAAACTAGTGTTGTTCCCCGTTTTTTTAATAGTGGTAATTAGAGGAGAGTAACCCCGAATTTCCACCACATTTGGAACAGCTCCGATCAGGAACGGCTGATTTCTTGCTTTTCTTTATTTTCTTTCGATTTTCTTTCTTGTTTGTCTCCGCCCGTTGCATGGTGTGAAATACGATTCTGCCTGAAACACGGTGTGTTTTATTTTGAAAAGAGGTCGGACGTTTTATTTGTGTCTGTGCCCGACTTCCTTTCCAGCAGGGGTTAATCTGTGCTGTATTTTTCCGGCCTGCTCCGGCGTTCGGAAAAAATAGAACTCTTGCGATCAGCTGCAGAGTCCGGCGATCTGAAGCGGAACGGAAAGAAGCCTGTTCTGGAAATTGACACATTAAGTTCAATGGTTACGATCAGCTGCAATCAGCGGATACAGCCTTTTCGTAACCATTCCGGATGTGGTGGAAATTGGGGGTAAGACTCACCAGCTGTAGCAAGGTACAACTTTTTGCGATGATGTTCAGTTTGGCAGCAGCGCCCCCTCAAACACAAGTAGGGCTTTTTGCAAGTGCCTGCAAATAGTTGCCTCCAAAGCAAACCATTGACAGTGTTGATGTTATTTCTCATCTAGTCTTTAGGAGAGACCTTATGGAAGAATATATCAAAACGTCATGTGTGTAGGTCAAAGGGCATTGCCATGGCGCCCTTTTCACTTAAACGTTGTTACACCATAAATGAGTCACAATACTCAAAGGCAGTCACAAGCACCAGCCATCACAAATGTCCTGGCTGTCATGGAAAGCATTGCATGGGGGATGACAGGCAGTGTCAATGGGCAGTGGTCTGCTGGGGAGGCAGTCCACAGAAGTGTAAGCGTGACACGGCTGTGCTTTCCAAATAAATTGCATTGGATTGAAATGGTAAAGAAGAAAGATCTTATTGAAAACTGTGAATTTTATAATTATCTTCATATTTAGGGATTTCAGCATACAAACACAGACACATTGACTAAAGAAGGAGAGAATGGAGGAGATTGTACGGGACTTCATCTCCCAAAACAAGTTGTCATTTGATTAATCACCTAATGTAGAGAATAATGAATAATGTCTCTGTTTTCAGATGAAGGAATGCTTACAGGGGTTTTAACAGTGTTGGGCGGGGATGTTGTCGGGAAAATGATCATTTTGAGGCTCCTTCAAAAACAGGTGTTTCACTCACGCAGGAACCAGTGGACCAGAGGGCAGACACATACAAGGACATTTATTTTCCATGATGTGATGATAGGATTTGATAACTATCATAAATTATTTGCAGCCAGTGTGATTTATGTCAGCTTATGTCATTCTCTGTCCTCTCCTTTCCCCAGTGTTCTTATGGGTTTATTTATGATGGAGACCAGCTGAAAGTCACCTGTTTTCAGTGCCGAAACAGTTTCTGTGCACAGTGTAAAAAACCTGTAAGTATTATCAGTCTTTATTTTGTACCCTCTTTGCTTGGTTTTCTCTCAAATCCTGTTTCAATTGCCCTTTTGCAACCTTCTGATGACCCATGAGTCACCAGAGAGCCAAACAAATGTTCTTTTGTTTTACATAAATGAATAAAAATGGTGCCAAACACACACATGCATTCCCCTGCATGCAGGTAAAGGTGAAATTGCTTTATGTCCAAATCTGATTTGAATTTGGCCGTGCATAAAGTCACGTGTGTCAGACAACTTATTAACTTCATAATACAGTGATTGTCACAACCCAGCTCATCAAGGAAAAAGGGAACATAACAACATAAAGGTCCTTTCATACTAGGACCGTTTTTGTCGTGCGATTATTTCTGACGTCAATATTTTTTAAACCCGTATTCTGTCTATACAAGCGTTCACATCAGCGACGTTTTCCTGCGATATTGCAGCATTTATTATTTCGGATCACGGTCGATTTTTCTAAAGTTTTGCATACTGTGTGTCCACTTCTGACCAATCCAACATATATATCCAACATATCTGACCGGCTGATTGTTTACGTGTCGGAGAACAGAGTGCTTTTTGATAAAAGACACAAACATTACAAAGATAACACCTAAAGGGCATCTTGTGGAGAGTCATAGCGTCGGATCTCTCATATGACGATGTTTTGTGTGCTTAAACAGTTTGCTAAACGCCTTTGTTGTAACATTCATCTGTGCTAACATAAGCTAACGGTTGTTACCGTAGTTTCATGTGCTTATCTTATTGCCTCTGATTGGCTTTAAGTGCTGACCATTTGGCTTGAGCATGTGGTGACGTTTCCAATTTTTCTAGCCAATCAGAGGCGAAGAAGGCGGAACTTTCCCCGGGAAAGTCTTCCCAGGATGCATTCACCCCCATAGTCAGGCGCGTCAAAATTCGCCTCCGAATATTTCTTAATTTCGCATTCTACATTCGCGTTGGCCCTGGTGTATAAGGACCTTAAAACCTAAATGTAGTGGTATTAAGTGTTATTTATTACAAAGAAGTGAGATTGGAACATAGAAAAGAGCGAGGCGTGGAGAATGGTGGGAGAGTGCTGCTCAAATCAACAAATAAGGAAAACCACAAGAACCTCTAACCTCGAGTCCACACAGAGACACTGCTCATTCTAAAACAGAAATAAAACCTTGCAAACTCTAACCACACAAAAAGTAAAGACAAAGAGCACCCCTAATCTCATGAGCATAACAAAGAATAATCCTTCGAGCAAATGCGCAAGAGTCTCAAATCTATACCTGACCCAATTTAGACCGAGTGCCTCAGCGATACAACACAATCTTGACATGAGTGGAGACACGGCTACACAATGAGAATTAAATAAAAGCAAAGGAATGAAAAATCTCTCAGGTCCCAACTAGCGAAGGCGGTCCAGCTTCTTAATACCGCGCACTTCTCCTTGATTGGCCAGAACTTCTGCTCCGCACCAATCAGCTGTGTGCTCTCGAGGCTGGTCACGTAGGGGATGCACCAATCACTCCGTTACACTCACATATTTATGCCATACACTCGTAATAGATTAAGAACCACATGGGGGGATGTGGCTGCGGCTGTAATGGTTATCTTTTCTTCTAATTTGAACTTGGATGCTTTCAGAGAGTGGAGGTGTCTTGATATGTTTTTTTATTTGTATAAATATTTATATATACAGTATATACTAACATATACTCTTTTCCTTGACCCGATTCAACATATTTGTGGCATTGGTTTCCTAAGGGGGAGGAAAGGGGAGGTAGTTACCATGGAAACACACTGGGCATGTTTCTGTGTTTTCTCTACAGTGGGAGTCTCAACACGCAGGCCTGTCCTGTGAACAGTACCAGTCATGGAAGAGAGAGAATGATCCAGAGTATCAGAGACAGGGCCTGGCTGGATACCTTAGAGACAATGGCATCAGTAAGCAGAAACACACACACACACACACTTACTCTAAAATGATACAATGCAGTTGGTGCTGTAGGCCGTACTTTGACCCAGCATGAGCTGCAGGTGAGGAGAAAAGCCACAACAGGCCGAGACTAAGTGTAAGTTTTATTTATGAAATGGATGTTACATATTTCTCACTGCTGACTGGGTCGCTTTGTCGTAAAAATTGGAGGAGATAATGCCTGATCATCCTCCCAAACTTAATAAACCATGTGTTCTCAAACAGGAGTCTGGATCACAGGTCACATCTTAACTTGCAGGGCTACTGATGAAGCTGCTGTATTTAAAGAGTTGGGTATGACAATGTATTGAAGCTGCAGGTTCACCACATTGCAGCCTCAAAGTTACGGTCTACGATCTGAAAACCAGTTTGGCTCTTGAGACAGATTTGAAAAACACAGCCTGCCCTCCCTTCACTCACCCCTCCCCTCTGTGTTCCAAGATCCAAGAAGCCCCCCGCCCAGCTCGTGTCGCCTCCTAACAATATGCCCCCTCCGATGGAGCAAGAAGCCGGTTGGCAGAAAATATCAGCAGCAAAGCTAGCTTTGAAAACAACACAGGATGTCTGATGCAGATAAAATTGTTGAGGCTGCTGAGGCCGGTGGTCTCTGGAATCCGACCTTCATTGGAGTTGAAGTGAAATGAGATTTCTCATAGCCGAAAGTAACAAACATGACAGTCATCCCCCTTGTAACACACAGTGGTAGCTATTTCAATTGAAGCGGCGCGATCCAAACCATATATTAGCGGGGCGGAGTGGGTCTTGCGTTGCCACTGCTAGCCTGTCAGAGCAGAGCCGATTGTGGGCGAGGCTTTACCTTTCTCGGCGTGTCTTCACCAGCTCAGTTTACGATGCTAAAGATGCGTGGCTAACTTATGCTAAAATCTATTGACAGAGCCTACCCATTCTGACCAAACAACGTTCAGTCATTAGCCAGTATAGGCACAGACTAACCAGAGTTATTCAGCAGATATCTCCTACTGTAGTAAACAAAGTAATTATCTGTTCAGCAGAAATTCGGCTGTCTCAGCATCAGTTTTCAGTCCCAAATCCTTCTGCAGCTTTTTTCACCGGTCGTACGTTTCTCCAATGTAGACTCTCCGTTAGCACCTGTATGGCTCATAATTGTTCCTTGAAACTTTTACGTTTCCTTTCCTTCGATGTGGAGGGAAACAGAAGCGGCCTCCTGGTTTCTGTGTTTGTCTTCTCCGGCTCCATTACACTTCAGTAGCTGTGCAGCTAGCTAATCATATGTACGTGAGGGGGGTAGTGGGGAAGAGGCGGGATGGTGCGGAGCAGGGGAGACAGGGGATTGGACGGACTCACGGACCACTCCGACCCCGGTGGTTCAGATTGGTCGATTATTATGCCTTTTTGCGGTGGATATACTGAATGGATTTTTTTTCGTTCTTTTTTGATCTTTATATTGCGTAGATCAGACCATAGGACCATAATGGCCTTATAAACTGTGTTATTAATAAGTACCAAGCTTCCAAATGGGAGACCATAGCTTTAACAAAGGGCAGATCTTATCAGGTAGGACAGGCTGTGCTTCATTAAAATACAGACAGTATTTTCTTTCCCTCTGATCCTCTCCTGGCACATGTTAAACCCACAGTGACCTTTGATTTTTCTAATAGGACACCCCCTCCTTGATCTGATCACACATTAATTCAAAGAATATACAATCTATTCAAACAGAACAATAAATTAGAATCACTTACCTCATTTTCTTACTGCCGCTGCCTCCCTCCTCTCTCTGCTGTCTCCTCTCCTCCTGTCAACATCCACGTCCTCCATCTCCCCCTCCAGCCTGCCCCAACTGTCGCTTTCAGTATGCACTGTCTAAAGGAGGCTGCATGCATTTCTGCTGCTCACAGTGTCGATACCAGTTCTGCAGCGGCTGCAACAACCCTTTTCACACTGTAAGTCTGACACACACTGTTGTTGTTTGTATGGTGCGTTATCCATGAATGTAGTGAAGAGGAAGGTAACCGTATGAACTGAGCGTTGGAAATACACACACAAGAGAGTAAATTCACTGTTTTTTTTAAATAATATGATTGTGTACTGTTCTGTGTTTTGAATCGCTGACTCATAGCAGTATTTGATTCAACTGATTCTGAGTCTTTGTGCAGAGGTTTGTCCTTTGTTTTTTTATTCTTCAAAGTGGTGCGATGGTCAGGTAGATGGCCCTGAAAATCAACTTATTATTTTAAAATTCCAACCAGATATTGTTTAGCTATGTCTTTTTATAGCTGTAAACACACAAATATTCTGTGAAACAAATGCTGCATAATACCAAGAGCAGAGATTTCTCAAAACAGGTGTTTTTACATTTTTTATGTTTTTGTCCTCTGAACTGTGTCTGTTTTTTCCATTTAATCCATTTGCATCAGCCAAAATGTTTTTTCCTTTCATCAAGTATTTTTGGTATTTTGTGGCATATTTTCATTATATTTGTGATTTCTTTCTTGAATGATTCATCATACAAAATGAAACAGATCTTTTGTATAAAGTCTTTGTGTTACGGTCAGGTTGTGGGTGCACCCTGAAGTGAATTAAGATTCCTCATCTCCTGTGTCTCTGTTAGACCTGTGCTGTGGAGGAGTGCAGTGTTTCTGGATTACATGCTCATCATCCCAGAGACTGCCTCTTCTATCTGAGAGACTGGGAACCTTCTAGACTACAGGCTTTACTGCAGGTACACATGCATATGGACTAAAGGCTGAAAGAGGTGTTTGTTGCAGGGGGGATTTCAGCGATGATAGTCTCTGAAATGAAAACTTTGGTGCTGCTGGAGCCCAAAATATGACAACCAGACAGAAAAACTAAAATACTACTTTTATAAAAACGTATTTGAAATATTTTCAACCAACTAAATTCTACAAGACAGCCAACATTTAACATTTCATAAATACAAAAATATCCTCCTGAGGTTACATAAACAGAGTACTGATACTTAGTTCAGGAACAAACTGGTGCCTCTTGCCAACATCTTTCCACCAAGGTACTCAGGAAAAACGAAATCGCTCAGCAATTATATTTGCAGCGAAAAAATGCGATAACTCCTAAGCCTGGAAAAAGCGGCATCCGCATAAATGTGCAAAGACGCCGACTTCGGCGCAAACTTACATGGATTTTAAACCGCAGCAATATTTCAAAAAGCCCTTTTCCTGAGGGACAAGAGCCCCTCAGAGAGCGCCCCCGTTTAACTCTGTTAGCTAACATTAATGAATGTTAGCTAAAGTGACATTAGCCCCCACAAACATTGTCATGTCATGTTTACTCACCTGGAAAATTCTGCAGACTTTCTCCACCGTCAAGTCATCTTCTCAGAGACTCACCCGTCTCCCAGCAAGAAAAAGAACGTGCGACATCGACATCGCTTGTACAGTTTGAGAACGAATGAGGCTGCAAGAGCGGCAAGCCAGTAATATCACTGGGGGGGGAGTAGGACGCCGTAGTGCAGTTTCCGAAGCAGATCAAAGAAGTAGCAGCAGCAGAAGGAGGAGGTCTTTCAAGGCAAAGCAGGCTAAACGAAAGGAATTACGGTCGTATTTCATTTCCCGACTTGTGTAAAAATAAACCCATAGTAGGAAATCAGATAAAGGCTCGTTTTCCACTTTTTGATTATCGATCTCCAAATGAAAAACAGGAGACAGCTCTTTCCCGTTTTTCGTTTACCTTCACCCAAATAATAATCGGTGATCGGATGGTTTCCTGTTTTTCGCTTACCCATATTAAAACGGAAAACTGATGGCCGCACATGGACCAGCAGCATTATTATTTCATGGTCACTCAGCTAATCCTCAGGAATTTACATCAGTAAAGTATCACCAACCATCTGGACCCAGCTCTGAAACTCTGAATAAACTACCCTAACAAGGTAGACTTTTTTCAGTATGTACCGTCCACAAAACAAAAATTGAAGATGATTTTTTTTCAGCTATTTCTTCCTAAAATAGTACTTTGCATTTGCTTGTGTGTGTGTGTGTGTGTGTGTGTGTGTGTGTGTGTGTGTGTGTGTGTGTGTGTGTGTGTGTGTGTGCGCGCGTGTGTGTGTGCGCGCGCGCAATTTCCTACCTATCCAAGAGGGGAACTTGGCGTCATAACACTTCCACTAAGACGACACTGCAAGGCCAACAGGGGACATTTTTTAGGTCCCCTCTTGCTCATGCTTTAAATCATGCTTAAATCATGTGTGACATACTCTGGTGAAGTTTTTTTAAATTTTTGCCAAGTGGGGACCTGAAGGTGTGTGAGTGTTTAAGTCCATGCAAGACTATCCCCCTGAAGGCTGGGGCCGGAATTACAACAACCCTTAAACACACATCATTTTACACACACACCCTGGAGGTGTGAATGTTTTGCACTGAAGGCAGCCTTTCAGACTGTTGAGGGGCTGTTTGACAGGTTACTGGGTCCAGAGCATGTCTCTTAAAAATGCATTGGTTTTCTATTAATTTTTCAATAGAATTCAAGGATCACTCTACACTTCTAAGAATGCAATTTTTTTTTACCATGCAAATTACAGAAAACAGGTACTTTTACTATTTGAAATGACAAAGGTTCCCTCTTGGCTGGTAAATAGTGGCAGGAGTTCCCACTTAGATAGTACCCAGCGACTTCACATTCCACCATGGATGAAAAGAAAAAATAAGGAAAACTAATAAGTAAAATGACAATCTTAAATATATAATTGTTGGTCAAATGTGATTTTTTTTTAATGCACATTACAAAAACAGGTCCTTTTACTCTTTGGAATGACAAAGGTTCCCTGTTGGCTGGTAAATAGTGACAGGAGTTCCCTCTTAGATGGCATAGAGGGACATTCACACTCCACCATGGATGAAGAGAAAAAAATAAGCAAAACTGACAAGTAAAATAACATTACTTTATAATTGTTGGTTGAATTTCTTTCTCTTGTTATTTTCTCTCTCAGAGTAATGGAGTGGCCTTCAACACTGAACCCTCTCCTGGGACACAGACAGGTAGACATGGACTTTGTACACACTGATCCTCATAAGAATGACAATTTGTAAATGACTAGGATCGAAATTAAAGATGCTCGCCAGCAAAGCTCGTCTTTCTTCGCCGTGCTATGATTGATCTCTAAGGAGCTTTTTCTTAATCCATCAATACTTAAACATTTACTCAGTTCATGTCTGGTGTTTTATAATCAAAAAGTGCAATAACTTCAGCTCCAGTCCTTGGTGTAAGTCACGATCTTACTCGGGTCATATTCACGGGTTCTATTATTCACGGGTCAGGTGCAAGACAAGGTTATTTTGAGTGCTGACATTCCAACAGGCTGAACTCAGATGGTGACCATGATAACTACATGTTCAGTCTCACTGTAGTATCAGGTCATTTTGAGTGTTGGCCTTTCAGGGCCCTGCAGGGTGCAGCTTTACAAAGCAGCTTGTATCAATGATCCTTGTATGTGAGATATTGTTTAAGATGAGGCAAGAACACTTGTTTAAAGGCTTTTAACGCTCAACTACAATCCTATTTCTGCTTTACTCTCAGTGAGTAAGTAGTTAAAAATCCTTCAGTTTTGTTTTTGGAGGTCTTTGAATTTTTCATCCCTCTCTTTTTCAGGTCTGTGTGGAGTGATAGAGCAGAAGGATGAGGGAGGGCAGCAGCCAGACTCAGCCTGTGGAGCCCACACCCAGCCAGGACATGCTGGACTCTGCGAGTATGATGTCTTGTTTGTTTTGAAGTTTTGGGTGTGCAGAAATACAGACTCAAAATAACATACAGGGCTCTATTTTTATGCTTCGCTGGCGGCGTGGCGCAGGCAGGGCGTAAGTTAGGTCAGCTGCGCCGGCAAGGCGTGCCCTAGCACATTTTGGTATTTTGGTGAGCGGTGCAGCCCATTGTAAGTATCCCCCCTCCCTAACTCAGCTCCTCCCTGAGGAGAGAGGGCACTGGACTCACCTTTGAATCCACCACTGGCGAGGCGTATTACAATTTTCGTGCAGTAGTCAAAGAGATCAAGAGATGGCTGAAGACAGCAATGCCACACGATGGCAAGGGGAGGGACTCACTCACTCACTCAAGGCAGCCCCTCAACAAGTGTTGCTGTAAGCACTGCAGGGGCGTCCTACACACTATCTCAAATACGCACAGAGGGATTTGGTGTGTATAAGCTTGGACCCACTGGTAAGACAATCCACCTGCGCTGAAAGCTGACCAGGTTTGAATCGGCGAGCTTTCGGCGCACTTTCTACGCTGACAGAGAGCACGAAAATGTCACTGCACCAGTTGATTCTGTGGACACCTCCCCCCACCACGCCACCACACCCAGCCTGGCGGACCTCATTGCGCCTCAATCTACAAAAATAGATCAGACAAAAATACCACTGTGCGGGGTCCGCCACCCAGGCGCCACCAGCGGGCACGAAAGTAGAGCCCACAGTGTGTGAAAAAAAGCTACTGAGCTGCAGGCTGTGAGAAATACGTAGTTTTGACTCCTGCTGGCAGAATTGACCTTGTATAAAAGAGTCACCGGAATGGAGAAGGAAAGAATAATTTGTTTTAATCTAAAAGTGACAGTGGAGCTCTTAACTCATCTTCAGAAACCATAATGCCTCATGCACAAGAATCAAATTCTGGTCAGATTCTTCATAATTGATGACATAAATCTCCTCTCCACACTCAGCCGAGAGCTTCTAAACACAAACAGATTCAATAAAAGATACCATACAGCACATAATGGGTCTACTTATGATGACTGAAATACACCTGGATGCTGTAAAGGCTCAGTGAGATCTGTTTATTAGTTGAAACATAACCTGCAAATATGATTGACAGTTGATTAGTGATGCAAAAATGAAATACTTAAGAACATCAGTTTATCATATCTGGTAATTACACTTATGACCTTGTGCTGCTTAATTATGACACCATAGATGGAACCAGGAGAGATGACGACCTATAGAGGAGAGGGGGTGGTGGATCAGCATGTGGGGCAGCTCTCAGTTCTTTTAAACAGCTTCTGGTCCCAGGTGGAGCCTCAGCTTTAGAGGATACTGATTCCTCTTTTCCCCGATACACAGCATTTATGCAACAGCCCTGTAATGACAGCTCTGCCATCATCACGTCTTTGTTCTCACGCTTCAAACCCCACCACGACGTGATGTTGGGATTCTACTGTATGAGTTTGTGTTGCATCACAACTTTGCAAGAGTGAGGGAGGAATGATGTGTAAATACACAGCAAAAGCTCCACATTTACACACACACATGCACATACACATGGCACTTTTAGGTCCTGCAGGCTCTGACACACCCTCTGTTACTACCACTGATGGAGGCAGTAGGCCAGTCCCTTTGCAAATTGTGAGAGGGTTGAGATTTGAAGAAAACTGCAGAGATCTATATGGACGACAGAGCTTCATTATAAGTTTGACGAACCAGAATTTTAACTGAATATATATCAAAATACTTCACTTGTTGGCGAGAATGAAATTGGTTTACAAAATTTTTTTAGACATAAAGAACAATTCAAGAGCATACAGTACATTCAAATTAAACCCAATTCTGGGACCAAGTGTTATTCAAAGCAAATTTAGCCAGAAGTCCAAGGACTTAAAGGGATATTAAGGCGTTAAGTTAAGTTAGGGTCAAACCCACCAGGTTAGACACCCCCTTGAGAGATGAATGTTGTCGACTGCTTGCGTCTCTAGTTATACAAACTTGAGTAACGATTGCACGATAGCACCGAGTGCAGCGGATCATTTCCTTGATGTGATAATCATCATAAGAATCATTCTAAACAGCAGTTGCGGTAGTTCTTCTGCCTTAGCATCTCGGTCTGATTGCATTTCCATTAATTAATAATCATAAATGTTCTTCCTTGAGCTGCGAAACTCCGCTGCACTCTGTGATAGACTTGTCAGGGCTCCCCCACAATTAAGCGGCTACTGGAGGAGAGTGGGTGAGTTGTGTTTGGTCTCTTTATTAAAGAAATTAGGCGAAGCTAAAAAGATGTTTGATGGATAGTACTATGGCTGGGACACTATATGTACTGTTGATGAAGTTAGGTGCTGTTCTGAGCATTATTTGTGGCTATAGAGTGGCTTTTTGGAGTTTTGCGCATGGATCCATAGACCGCTGTGTATTGCTATCTGCTGTCATTACTCAAGTTGGTATAACTAGAGAAGCAACCAGTCAGCAACATCCATCTCTAGAGGGGGTGTCTAACTGAGTGTTACAGTGTGTTTGGCCATAACTCAAACCTACATCAGAATATCCCTTTAAGTTGCTGAGTTGAGAGCAAGTATCCCTCCTCTCACTCTTAAAGTCAGCAGGTTTAAGAACATCCAGGAGGAACACAGACTGTGTGAATTATGTAGATGAGGAGAATGAAATGCGTTATCTTATATTAACTTTTACATGACGAGTGAAGAAATATTGGTTAAAAGTCCCTATATGTTTTTTGCGCACTTATGATGAGAGGTTGGGATGTCTTTTTACTTCTACTACTCCAAGTTCATTTCTTTTCTCTCCAAAGCCTGGAAGAAACTTTAGAAACATCAGATCTTTGTAGGACAATTATTATAACTTGTATAACACGGGTCTGCTCTGGTCTTTGGTTCTCAGGTATAAATAATGGTGGGTTGTAAACCAGGTGGGCTGGATGTATTGTATATGCATGACACAATAATAAATAATAAATATCAAACCAGTCAAAGTCAGTGTTTACCATATGGCAGAGTGTTTAAACATTCAAGGTTTTGACGTTTTTCTTTTTGTCATTCCCTCAGGAGAATAAAGTTAAGACACTATATTACATGAATATAGTCAAATGAAAATCCACAAATGTTATGAGATTATAGTCATATGAAAATAAAGTCACAGTAATCCTCTTGTAATATTTTGAGAATAAAGTCCTCTTGTTGAGAAGATAAAGTTGACGGCGAGAAGCCAACAGTCTGTACCAAAAGGAGGAATGAGGAGCGTCTAGTTAAATTGTCTGGAGTGTTTTGTCTCCTCAGCTCCACATTGTTATAAGTATCAGGACTCTGAAAAGACTGAGCAGAAATCTGAGGCCTGTGGTGTCCCCGTTCAAAACAGCATTATGAGGATAATCATTCACTAAATTAATGACCTGTTTCTTGTAACATAATGACTCTTGTAACAAAATATAATGACTTTATTCTCCTAATATAATTAGTTTACTTTGACTTTATCCTCAAAAGAAAATGACTTTAAGGTTAAAAAAAACAGTTTAATTTAATGTGGCCCTCTGTTGTACTATTAAACCTTTTTGCTGAGTGTAAGAAGTGTTCATATTTCACAGATCATCCTACTCTCACAGCGTATCCTGCTTGAATGATGGTTTGAGCCGGAGAGTCTCGCCGCAGCTGGTCATATATTCAGCTGTCGTTCTACACTCTGTTTCTGGTCAGGTTATACTTGTTTGAGTCCAATTATAAGAACATACTCGGGTTAGATCGGGATCGCTTGAGGGGACTTACCCAGTTAAGACAACCTTTGGAGACTGTTAAATTTAGTGAAGCCACAAAACCAGAAAAAGATCCCGGGTATGTTTAATTGCTTTTGCAGTAAACATGATGATGACAAACATTAAAAATCACTATCAACCAAACAAAAGGAAATCCCATCAAAAGCCCAACTCTTTTCCTGTATGGAGGGAAAGCAGACTGACTTGCAGTATCGAAGTACAAAACCCAATTCCATTAAACTTCGATAAACATTGATGTCGGTTTTTGATACAGTGCCGCCTGAGGGATCGAAGTTCACGGGCATTCAATGTTGGTTTCCGGCCGTGCCGCTTACATGCAGTGATTTCTCCAGATTCTCTGAACCTTTTGATGATATTATGGACTGTAGATGTTGAAATCCCTAAATTCCTTGCAATTGTACTTTGACAAACGTTGTTCTTAAACTGTTCGACTATTTGCTCACGCAGTTGTTCACAAAGTGGTGAACCTCGCCCCATCCTTGATTGTGAATGACTGAGAATTTTTTGGGAAGCTGCTTTTACACCTAATCATGGCACTCACCTGTTCCCAATGAGCCTGCTCACCTGTGGGATGTTCCAAATAGGTGTTTGATGAGCATTCCTCAAATTTCTCAGTATTTTGTGCCACTTTTCCCAACTTCTTTGTCACGTGTTGCTGCCACGAAATTCTGAGTTAATTATTATTAGCAAAATAAATAAAGTTTATGAGTTTGAACATTAAATATCTTGTCTTTGTAGTGTATTATTTATGTTTATCACAATTTTCCAACTTCAATGGAATTGGGTTTTGTATTTTCATTTCATTTACCAGTATGTTATTTACACTTAATTCAAAGTGAAACACAGTTAAATTACATGCAGCCAAATGGCTCATATAAATCCAGTGTATGAAAATACAGCACCAACTTTATCAGTTAAACTTCTTTGTCACTATGATTTGCTCAGTGTTGATTCTAACGTGATGTTCTTTACAGGAAACATTACCGGGAGTACCTGGTCAGTCTGATTAACAGCCACTCCATTGACCCTGCGCCTCTGTACAGCTCCAATGAGCTGCTGCTGGCCTGCAAGAGATACAAGGTGGATGACAGCCGCAGGGATGGAGAGGACAGCTTCACCTATTACAGCAGACTGCTGGAGGTAAGTCTGTATGTGCAGGAATGTTTTTTTTTGTTTGTTTGTTTTTTTTAATTTTAAATAAAAGTGAGCTAATGAAACAGGCGTCACTTCAGGCTTTAACACCTTCAAGACTGTGAATTTAAACTTACAACCATATTCCGTGATAATCCCCAAACTTTGATCAGTCCTAATAATTTCATGTCAAGTATTTTTCATCACATTAAAACTCCATTATGTCGAATTTAAAACAGCTTTAGAGTCTACATTAACAATGTGAAGCAAATCTTACAAGGCTCTTGATTTATAAATAAAAAAAGTAATGAAGTGACCTCTGTAATCTTGACTTTTATAGTCATTATTCAGACGGTTTCTGCAGTGTGGTCTAACAGCACACCTTAGAAGTAGGAGACTGCTGGAAAGTGCTTGTTTGGTAAAATGTCGAATTCATTTTATTTTTCTGTAAGGCAACACAGTTGAATGAAAGCAAGGAAGCAGGAGGGATATATATTTCAATTAAATGCAGAACAAAATCACCAGCTCTATTAACTTTGAGTGTTGTTGAAACTGAGAAAACCGATGAGTTATTTATCTGGGACCATGAAACTAACCAAAAAATCCCTTACCTGAAACCACAGACACAGTGAAAAGTAAAACTAGAGAAAGATTTGCACTTATACAAACAGAACAATCCCAAGATGGGTTTCCATAGCGAGTTTTATTCACATCCTCATAATGTGCAATCTACACTCTCCCAAATAGTACTCTGCCAGCTTTTAGTTCGCTGACATCAGTCTGAACAGCTCATCTGTATGCTCAGCTTGTAGATGGTAGCTTAAATAGTAATAATAATAACTTTATTCATAATGCACCTTTAAAAAAACAAAAGTTAACAAGGTGCTTTACGGACAAAGCAGAATAAATTATAATGATCAAAGCAGAGGAGAAATAAGTCATTGATCAGAAAGTCACAAATAAAGGGCAAAAAGAAAAAAACCTAAAATAGCCACAAAAAGATTTCAAGAAGAGGGCAAAGAAAAAAGAACAAAGAACAAAAGGAAAGAAAAAGGTAGATGACATCACATAAGAAGTACCAATGATTAAAAAGATGAAGAGCTGCAAGATACAAATAAACCAACCAATAAATAAACATAAGTAAATCAATGAAATTTATGTGATCAAGGACAGTAAAGGACGGGGTCACATGAGGGCTTGCAAACAAATGGTTGAAACTAAAGCATCAATACATGAAAGTTTGAAGTTTGAAGTTGACAAGTGTTCAAAGAGTAAGTTTACATTAAAACCAGTCTGTAAAAGCGAATTTTTCTGAAGTTATTTAAAAGATGTTACTGAAAAAAAAGCTGAATTTTCCTTTAACCAAACTCTATTTAATGTAGTTTCAGGATCTGATCAGTCCCATTCTTACCAGACAAAATCAATAAAAGTGGTGTGTATTTCAAAGCCTGTTTGTCCCCTGTATGAGTTGATATTTCTGAGGTTATTTTTTAAATCTGCACGTTTCTTTGTATATGCTGACATTTACATCCCTCTGTGCTCTCTCTGCAGAAACTAATGGATGAAGTTGCACTTGGTGACAAGGTGCCACGCAAGAAATAGTGGATGCTTGATTCCTGTTTTCTGTCCTTGTTAATATCCCAATCTGTCCATCTGTAAACTTCTTACTCATTTACACAAAACAAATGAGACCTAACCTTGAAGCTCCTGTGAGAAATTTCAGCTGCTGAAACAGACTTTCATTTTTTTAACCCCAAACATTCACTGTGAGGCTTCTTAGATAATTAAAAAAACAAGAACAGTTATGTTTCTTTGACAGAAAACATTGCAAAAGCACATTCCGGACAAGGTCACCAAACTGGCTAAAGGTCCTTTCACAGTGGGAGCGTTTTTTTTGTGCGATTATTTTGGACGTCAGTATTTTCCCATTCTGCGATATTGCGGCATTTATTTTTTCGTATCACAGTCGATTTTTCAAAAGTTTCTCATTCTGTGTGTCTACTTCTGACCAATCAGATTGTGTGTTGTTGCGACGTCTGTTTCACCGGTATATCCAACATGGCCGACCGGCTGATTGTTTACGTGTCGGAGAACAGAGTGCTTTTTGATAAAAAACACAAACATTACAAAGATAACAACCTGAAGGAAAACTTGTTGAGAGTCATAGTGTCGGATTTCTCATATGACGATGGTTTGTGTGCATTAACAGTTTGCTGAACGTCTTTGTTTTAACTTTCATCTGTGCTAAGTAACTTTAGCTCGTAAGCTAACCTGTTCAGATACAACATACCATATGTATTTTCACTGTCTCAAACTCAGTCGCGTTGCTGTCACAGCACCATTAGGTCTCGGTTGTTACCTTACGTTTATGGATTATAGTTTAATGTGTTTATCTGGTACTGGCCCTGACTCAGTACATGCTATCATGACAGACAGACATCTCAACACTAGTGTCTAATATTTCGTATATTTGCGTCAGTCCCAGTGTGTAAGGACCTTAATCTTGCTGCTTTGCCTTCAGAGGTCAAAAACAGTATGTCAACACAAGCTTAACGGTCTTCAGGAGACCTTAAAGTTCTGTAAACGTTTAGCTCTGCTCCCATGATGGTACAAACTACAGCAGAGTTTTCCCTCATGCACTGCCTGAGTGCAACATTGGTTTTATTCCATCCATAAATAGGTCTGTAACCCAGATCAGAGGGGGTTTCTGTTGTTAATGCTTGTCCATCTCAAAGTCAGGCCAAATGAACAGCTAAACAAGCACAGTGGTAACATGGTCAGCAAACAACTTGGTAGTTTTGGTGCTGTGGGTAGGTTATGATCTCCATAAAGCTTGTCAGTAGATGACATGGCACCCCACATCATCACAGACTACAGGACTTTAGGCACCTTGGATTCTGGGCCTCTCTGATCTTTCTCCAGACCCTGGGACATTGATTTCCAAATGAGATCTAAAAACAGGACTTTGGACCACAGAGCAAGAGTCCAGTTGTTTGTCTTCTTAGTGACCTTGGCCCATATTCCTAAACATTCTGTGAATTCTCTCAGAGGGCTCCGAACTTAACCTAAAAATTCCTAGCAAGGAGTTTTCGCTTAGGAGTGATTCCAAAACATTCTCAGAGAACTCTGAGCAAGGAATGGACAGAAACTCCTGTCTTGGTGAGGAGGTGTGGTTGACCCTGTTGCTCGGCTGTGATTGGTTGATCCTAAAAGCTAGATAAAAAATATTCTTTTGGTGACAATCAGCAAAGGATGTTTTTTTTTTTTTTTTTCAGGTAAACATGTTCACACCACTTTCATTCCTCAAAACAAGAATTGATTAAGTTGCATTAGTTATGAATAAAGCTTTTGATTCTAACAGTAAAGTGGCGAACATTCGGAAGGCGTGCGCTAAACATGTTGAAATGCAGCTCTGTTAGCGAGATCTTAAACCTAAGTTGAGTATTGTGTTGAGTTGGTAGTGACATATTTTAGAAAAAAAATGAGGTCATAGTCTGGAAACAGAACTTTCTTTTCCATGAATGCTTCTACTTCCTTACTTCTTCATGTTGCATTTGAGTCCTGCCTTCTCAGTCACATGCACACATGCAACATCAACATCACAGGTATGTTTCATGTTCCGTACGAAATGAGTGGAGAGCCTGCAGGAGAGATGTTTAGCAGATATCTGTGAAACATGTTCCCTCAGTATGAAACGATCCTCCTGATACTGGATACAAAGGTGTCTGTGTGCTTTTTTAATTCTTGTAACTGTAAATGCCTTTAACCTCTGGACTGCAGTGGACAGACCATAAAGTAATCAATCAGAGGTTAGACTTCATGCGTGTGTGTCATGAACGTTTGGCCATGTAGCATGTACATTGTGATTCCAAAAGGCAGCAGATGAACCGGTCACTGTAATTTCTCTCCATTATCCTCAGATCTTGAATTATATCATCAAACTATAAACTCTCTGACTGTATTTTGTATTTCATGTGTGAAATGAATGAACACTGAACATGTTAACACCATATCCAGATGTTGTTGCAGCATTCATTTGCTTACAGAGTGTTTAATAATAACTGCAGGTTAATCAACAAAGATTGACAACATTGACTAATATTCAGTGGTTGAAGAAAAGGTATCTTGTATGTAACACTGTGGTGGAGGTGAACAGGTATCAGACAGTAACTCCCTGATGATGTAACAGTGCCGGGGGCTTAAATAACTGTGTTGTTTGAAGGAAATGTTCATTTTAATACAGTATTAAGATCCTGGGGAGAAGTGTACATGTTTTGCATGTTGTGCTCTGCACTTTGTCTAAATAAATATGATGCTTCTTACAGACTGTCAGAGGTTTGTTTTCAGTTTGGACACCATAAATCACCATAAAATAACTCATGGCTCTGTGTGTAATTATCATGTTATATCAAAGAAATATTTGTGTTGTTTTGGAAAACTGTAAATAAAGCAGGCAATAGGGTTATGTGCATAATAGCAAACAATGGTAAGATCAAGTAAGAGTCTTAAATCATACTGTGGAGATCTCTTAGCTATAAACTGAGAGATACAACAACGTAAGTGCTACATGAATTTAGCTCTGAATTAAACTGGATTTATTGCTGACATAATTCAGTGTAATACGTCATCCCCACTCTCACCCAGTCTCTTTCAAGCAAAGTAAAGAACAAATAAAGGCAAAAAGCCTAAAAAAAACAATCTGTTAAATGTCCATGAGCATAAAGTTATAAAGTAATGACGTGAGCAGCTCAGTCTCTTACTGGTTTTAACAAACATCACCCCCAATCTCAGTGTCACTACACATGGCTTCCTATTACTTTTAGATTAGATTTAAGATTTACAGATGGATTTTGAAACTTGTATGGGTTTTAACAGACAAATAAATTAAAAATCGAATCATTTAATAGCTTTAGATTAACAGAACACATAATTCCTATTTTACTTAGCACTTCGGTAGTCCCTTTGATTGCCAAATCAGAGGGGTTTTTTTTTTCTTCTTCTTTACAATCACTACTGAGCCCCACTCCGGGAGCCCGTTAGGGCCAGTGGCCCACCCACCACCCTTGACAGCTTCCCTACCACCACCCTCCCCATGAAGATTTCGTATCGCTGCTGAGACCCAGGATGATATCCCCTGGTCCCTGTCCCCCGGCTCTCAGTGTCTGTGGATTTGCACTGCCCCGGTATGGAGCCAGTCTGTCACAGTGCAGGGCAAACCTCCTTCCTTTTGATGGCATCTGAACTCTGTCGACCACCTCCCCTAGCCTCTCCAGGACCCTGCAGGGCCCGATCGAGTTGCTGTCCAGTATTGGGCATCTGCCCTTCTTCCTCTGTGGGTTATAAACCCACACCAACTCTCCCACCGTGAAGTGTCTCCCTCTGGCAAACACATTGTAGTTTCTCTTCTGTCTTGCCCCAGCACTGATGAGTTCATGGCAACCTCATCCCAGAGTGGCCGTTAATGTGATTCCACCCATGTGCGCACTGACCTGATGTCTGCACCCTCCCCCTGCCTGTGTGCCCACTCCTCTTCTCCCACAGCTACAGCGCCCTGTCTTACCTGCTCTCCATCTAGGTCCACTGCTGCACATCTGACTGCAGAGAGCAGCTCCACCTCTGCACAGGCCTCCTTCTTCTTGCAGTAACTGCAGCCTTCAGGGTGACAAGGGCGGCGGGACAGGGCATCTGCCTTTCCATGCTGTGTCCTTGGCCTTTGGAGTATGGTGAAGTCGTAGGACTGCAGCTCCTCAATCCAGCATGCCAGCTGGCCCTCAGGCTCTTTAAATGACATCAGTCACTGTTGTGCAGAGTGGTCACTTCTCACCGTTAGGTTAAGGCCCCCCAGTTAGTACTTGAATTGCCTTATGGCTCTGATGACTGCAAGCAGCTCTCGCCTGGTGACACAGAGCGCCTTTCTGCTTTTTTGAATGTCCTGCTATGAAAAGTCACCACTCTCTCACCATCCAATGCCACCTGGGACAGCACAGTACCTGAACCAGCACTACTGGCATCTCTATCAAGGATGAAGGGTAGGATGGGGTTAAGTGGAGACAGGACAGGTGCCCCCACCAGGGGTCCGTTTCACGTAGGTGGTTCAACAAACTCTGAGTTAAATCCTTAACTCTGAGTTGATCTACTCAGAGATAGGAAACTCAGAGTTTCCGGTTTCACAACACCTGATTTGAGTCAGTTTTAGCAACTCCGAGTAGTTTGACCTGGAGTTAAGCACGTGCACGCCAGACATAAACAGCCAGCATCTGTGGAGCCCAGATTCATTGATCAACCAATGGGAACAGGGAGAAGGAGGGGGCAGCAGCAAGCCAACGGCGAATTACAGCACGTTTTTAAAAGAAAGTGCAATACAGCAGCAGCTGCAAAGGAGAGAGAGAGGGCTTGGGAGGAAATCGCTGCTCGGGTCAATGCGTAACTTTAAATCTAGTCCTGTGCAATCACAATGACAGACTGTTGCAAGGGAAACTGCTTGCATGGAGCAAATTAATTTATTTTATGTAGGTGCAATCCAACGGGTGAAAAACGCACTTCGCAGCAGCTGAAAATTAAATATAAAAACATTGTGCAAACAGGTGAGACATCGGCATTTTCTCATTTTGATCATGTTTTACATTGTCAAGTCAGTATTAAGTGGCAGTTTGATCCCTTAAAAATGCTCTTTTCACACTCAAAACTGAATTTTACTCTCTTATTATGTTCCGTTAAATGATTAGGAATATTATACTAACACGGACTTTCACTCAGCAAACAGAAAGAGGGCAGATGCCAGAAAAACGGGTGGTGGGCCAGCAGCCCCACCTTTAACGGAGGCAGAGTAGCTGCCCCCCCTCGCGGACGGTCCGATCGCGAATCCCCCCCCCCCCCCCCCCCACACCGTTCGACGATCGCGGCCGGTCCAAAAAGGTGGGGCTGCTGGCCCACCACCCGTTTTTCTGGCATCTGCCTTCTTTCTGTTTGCTGAGTGAAAGTCTGTGTTAGTTTAATATTCCTAATCATTTAACGGAACATAAGAGATTAAAATTCATTTTTGAGTGTGAAAAGAGCATTTTTAAGGGATCAAACTGCCACTTAATACTTACTTCACAATGTAAAACATGATCAAAATGAGAAAATGCCGATGTCTCACCTGAAACTCTGGGTTTACTGAGTTAAACCTGCTCCCGAGCAGGTTAGGTTCACGGAGTCTGTTACTATGGTAACTGACCGCGAGGTTGAGTTACCTCTCTTTGTGAAACAGGTTAGAGTTACCCCTCTCTCCCTGGTTTAACTGACCCTCCTTTGTGAAACGGGAAACTCAGAGTTTCCCTGATTTCAGGGTTAACAGACTCCGAGTTTCCATTAAACCTGCTACGTGAAACGGACCCCAGGGCTCTTTGTAGGGCGGTGAATGCTGACTGGCACCCTTCGGTCCATATGAACTCTACCCCCTTATGCAGAAGGTAGAACAAGGGGGAAGTCACACAGGAAAACCCCTAACGAACCTCCTGTAGTAAGAGGCGAGGCCCAGGAAGCTCTATAGGTCAGAGGCAGAGCAGGGGGCTGGCCACTCCTTCACCGCCTTTACCTTTTCATTCACAGTGCCAACTCCACAGTTTCCAAGTCTGTGGCCCAGAAATGTGAGCTTACGCCTCATGAAGCAGCATTTCTGTGGATGCAGTCTCAGTCCAGCTGCTGGAACGCATTCCAGAACACGTCTTGGTGCCACTAGTGCCTCATTGAGAGATCCCTCATGGACGAAGATGTCGTCCAGATATACAACACACTCTTTCTGAGGAGTGTTAGTCAGCACCTTGTCCACCAGTCTCTCCAAAGTTGCCGGGGCATTGCAGAGGCTGAATGGGAGGATCTTAAACTGTCACAGGCCCCCACTGGTAACAAAGGCCTTCTTTTGTTGGGCTACTGGGCCTAGGGGGACCTGCCAGTGTCTGCTGTGCAAGTCCAGGGTAGAGAACAAGGTGGACCCAGCAACAATGTCCAAGGTCTCATCTATGCTGGGGAGTGGATATGGGTCTTTCTTGGTCACTTTGTTGAGAGGCCTGAAGTCTACACAGAACCACCACTCATCCTTCTGCTTTTTTGGGGCCATAACAACAGATGAGACACAAGGGCTGTCAGGAGGCTCGATGAATCCTGCTTGCCGTGTGTGCCTCAGTGCTTTGTCAGCAGCTGCCTGTCTGGTGAGGGGTAATCATCTGGGTCTCATCCAAGTGGGCTGTGCATTGCTGGTGTCAATGTTGTGCTGAATGAGATCAGTGCAGCCTACAACATCCTCCAACAGCAAAAGACAGTCTTTGAACTCAAACAACAGCTGCCCTAGCAGTCCCTGTTCCCTGGAAGAAAGACCGTCACAGTTCTTTTCCCAGACTTCCTTTACTGCCACACACCTCCTCTCCTGGGCAGTGGATTGGGGCAGGCAGGTTACTGAAAGCCAGCAGGGGGCTCTAGGCAGGGTGCTAGAGTGTGGCTATTGACATGAGGTGCTGCTGGTCCATGGTGGGTGGACTCGTGCCATGGGGAATCCACTTAGGACAGCGCACTTATCTACCTCCCACCCCTAAGGTCACAACTGTTTCACCCACCATAAGCACCCGCTCACCTGTGACCATCTGGGGCTTTAACAAAGTAGGGGAGATAGGGGTCAGGCTGTCCAACTCTTCAGGTTTCACCAGTGTTGCTGATGAGCCCATGTCCACCGGTGCAAAGCAGGCAACCCTCCCAATGGTCAGTGGGCCATACCAACAGTCCCCCACCCAGGTCCTGCCGAGCACCACAACTCTCTCCAGCTTACCATCCACTGTATCCCCTGGCAAAGGCTGATCAGCCAGTTGCATACTTATGTCCAGCTGCTGGGGGGATGTGGCATTTGGGGTCCTTGTCAGCCCAGCTATGCTGACCCCACCCCGTGTCCCTGCTCTGCAGTACTTTTTGGGCAGTTACAATCATGTGACCAGGTTGGCCGCACCCCCAGCACAGTCTCTGACAAGGTCTCTGCGGTAGTCCCTCCCTCACCGTAGCAGCACACACCAACTGGGACAGTTCAGCTACCTGGGTTGGCTCAGCAGGTTTAGCAACACTCGCAGCCCTCACCTTCAGCTGCGTCTCCTCCTTAGTCTTTAAAGTGGCAGCACATAAAATTTCCCTTTTAGTGGCCAACTCCACAGCTTCTTGGAGGGACGCGGGGTGGACCAGCAAGGTCTGTACGCACAGGTCATCTGTCAGCAGGGCCTGTAGAAACTGGTCTCAGGCTAACTCGCCCTGAATGGCAGGGGGCATATGAGCATAAGCGGGGTGTACCAGCTCTTTGATGTCATCTGCCAGCCATTTTAATGGCTCCCCTGGTTGGTGGTGGCAGCTACGAAGTTCAGAGCAGAGCAGAGTGGCAGCAGAGCATTGTCCATATTGCCTCTTTAACGCACCAACTGGAGCCTCATAATCATGTCCGTCATCAGGATCTAATAGTAGCAGGCTCGTCAGTGCATCACCAGTAAGGCACATAACTAATTGTAAGGCTTTATCTCCAGCTGACCACTTCAAGGAATGAGCCAAAATTTCAAACTTTACATAAAAGGCTCCCCAGTCTGCTTTCCCATCATACCTGGGGGTTTTAATGATTGGTGGGGGATTGATCTGCAGGCTGCAGCATGTTTGGGCGCATCTGTGCTCCGCGCCATCCCCATGCTCAGCTCCACCATTATCAACAAGTTGAGGTGTGCTCAACCCAGCCTCTGAGGCTAAAATCTTAGCCATGTCTCTCATACTCCCTCTGTGCTTCGCCGTCAACCAAGTTGCAGCCGCACCATTATAGTCCATGTCTCCCCCTTTCTCCTCTTTCTTCAGCACAGGTAAGATGTTCCTCACCAGTGTTCACAGCAGCGTGAAGGTAGCCAAAGTTAACCGCGAGCTAGCACACAGCAAAGTCAGAGATGTCTGCGAAAAGTATATCACTTCTAACACCAGTTGTAGTGCCCCTTATAGATGCCACAGACATTTTCCTCTTTGCATGAACTTTATCAAAAACAACTGAACACAAGATACTGCCAACAACCTCCATCTTCCTTAATTTTGCAGCAACAATAACAGCAAACCACACGCGCAAACACGTTAATCTGCTATTCTCAGAGTAGTGCCTTCACTGACATTATGGAGAACTCGGTAACTGTCTCAACTTGAAAAAACATTAACATTAAATCAAGTGTATTACAGTGCATTGTGTGATATCTGAAATGACTTTTGCTAGAACAAGTTCCATACTAAACATGGTTCGGTAATATAATAATCTGAAAAAAAGGACACAAATGTGTAAAAAAATCTGTGATATTGCTTTAATGTATGCACAGCTACATGAAATTTGGAACCCAGATCAGGAGAGGCATCCTCTTGAGGGCTCCAATGCGTGCCTTGTTTCGTTAGACTGTGACTAGAAGGCAATATGAAATGTCTCCAAAAAAAAAACATCTGTGATATTCCTATAGATATGCACAGCTACATAAAATTTGGTACACAGATCAAGAGGGGCTACCTCTAAAGGACTACAATGTCAAAATGGAGATCCAAGCAAAAATGGCTCCATAGCGCCCCCCACAAAATTTTAAAGCATAAGCCACACTCCTGTGTGTGACCCAAATTTATGGAATCAAGGACACTAATGCTTTACCACAAGATAAATAAAAAGAGTTCCAAAGTCAAAGTGGAAATCCAACTAAAAATTGCTTCATAGCACCCCCTACATTATTATAAAATGTAAGCCTTGCTCCTGTGTGTGACCCAAACCTATCAAATGAATTACACTTATGTGGGACCCTGAGAGGAAGAAAGTGGGCTCCAATGTCCAGATGGAGATCAAACCTAAAATGGCTCCATAGTGCCCCCTACAAAATTATAAAAAGTAAGTCACACTTCTGTGTGTGACCCAAATTTATGGAATCAAGGACATTTTATGTTTGACCACAAGACAAACAAAAAGAGCTCCAAAGTCAAAGTGGAGATCCATCTAAAAATTGCTCCATAGTGCCTCCTACATTATTTCATAATGCAAGCCCCACTTCTCTGTGTGATCTTAACCTTTGGAATGAAGGACACTTATGTTGGACCCCAATATGGAGAAAAAGGGCTCCAATGTCAAAATGGAGATCCAACTAAAAATGGCTCCAAAGCACCCCCTAGAAAATTTTAAAATTAATGACACTTTTGTGGGGCCCTAAGATGAAGAAAGTGAGCTCCAATGTGAAGATGGAGATCCAACCTAAAAATGGCTCCATAGTGCTACAAAATTTCAAAACGTAAACCACACTTCTGTGTGTGACCCAAATTTATGGACCAATGACACTTACGTTTGACCACAAGATGGACAAAAGGGGCTCCAAAGTCAAAGTGGAGACCCAACTAAATATTGCTCCAAAGTGCCCCCCACAAAATTTCAAAATGTAGGCCCCGCTCCTTTGTGTGTCCAATACCTTTGAATCAAGGACACCTATGTTTGACCCCAAGACAAACAAAAAGGGGAGCCAGTCCACAGAGGTGGCAGTGCGAGACAGCTTAGGCCAGTTGGTGCCCTGCGAGGCGCTAGTTTATTATTTTAATCATAAACTCTAATCTTTTTTCAGCTTTTCACCCTCTAGACAGGCTTAAAAACTCCTGAAATTTGGCAGGTGGGTAGGGCCCGGCTCAAATGCGCATATTTTGCCGTGCACCAATATATAAGATATATACAAGTATATAATAAACACAAATGCAATCATACCGTCACAAAACTTTGTTCTACCTGTTGCACAGTATAATCAGATGGATTACACATTTGTGTAAAGAAAACAATTTGCAGCCTGTGTTTTTTAAATACAGGAAAACACAACATGACACTTTAATGTTACTTTATATTTATGACAGACTGATTCAAAGCCAATTTTTATCAGTAACGTTACCAGTAACATAACATTAGACAGGCAGGGAAACCCCATGCTATTCAAAAAGTCATGTTGTTAACATTAGCACTCTAGCTAGCCAATGACTTTAGCCTAGCTAAATGGCTCGGAGCGCAGCAATACACAGCACTTGTATCATACAACAACGAAGCAACAAAAATTGTCATTTCAAGCTACATAAATTAGAAGTTTAAACAAACTTTTGGGTTTGTTATGTTAGTACTAGCCTGGAGGGGCTCTGGATGCAGGCTCTATTGGAGTGGCCTTATTCAGCACAGCCTGCAGGTGTGCAGGTTGGAGCAGTTTCATCCTGCGCAGACTGCAGGTATGACGGTGAGGGCGGTGGTGCTGGTAACAGAGGTTTTCTCAGGTTGTTGAACACGGTACATTGCATGGAATGAATGTCATTTGCATGAAATGAGGTGTTTTATCATAGTCGATAGGGTACCACCAGTGCAAGTGATGACTGCACTGCACTTCATGAACTTTGCACAGTTTTGTTTGAATTTTTCAAAGTACATGAATTTAACTCCTCACATTGACATCTACTTGATTTAAGACAATGCCTATCCACAAACATTTGTCACAGATGATTATCAACTCTTAAAACACAACATGACTTTGTTAAAAATGATCTTTTTAGGCAGACAGTGGACATTGTAGTTATTTCACTGAAAATTATGCTCAAACAATTGCACAAAGAGGTTTTAAAGTGAATTTGTTGATGATGGGACTTGGCAGAGGTTACCTGTTTCCTGACAGAAGTTGTGGTACCAGTAATGCAACTTCTGTGTCTCTGCATAGTTTATGTTTTGGGCTGATCAAACCTGCCTAAGACTGATGTACACTGATAAAATTTGAATAACTGGCTCAACAGATACTGCGGCTGGTTACAAAGTTAAAACAACTTAAAGCATTTTTTTCCCAGAGTTATTATGTTATGATAAACTATGACAGAGCATTAGATTGGAGTTATCATTTGTTCATAAATGAAAGGGGAATCTTTTCATAACATGGATTTATTTTTTCATATTGCCCGCATCACAACATGTTAAGCACAAAAGTTCTTTAATACCTCACCTCTTTTTTTTTTTTTGTACTACTGAACTTCAGACGTGTTGTTTTTCTACTTAACTAACTTAACTAGCTACGATAGCTACGATAGCACCTACTTAACCCTGAAGTTCACCTTATAAAAGGCAGACAGTCATTACAGTTTTTTACAATTGTCCAAACAGAAATTTTAGTACCTCTGAAACATTTTTCAAAACTCTTTGCACAGTTTCAGCCTATGTGTCCTATACAATAAAAAAAAATCTTGTTTGTTTTACACAAACTGCATACAGTCGAGACATTTCCAAAATGTTTTAGCTTCTCTTACAAACAAGCTCTATCAAAGCCAAAACAATTGACCTTAACCCACAAACTTACAAATGCTTTTACACAGTGTGTCAGAACAGATAACCGTGTGTTCTAAATGTAACCAACAAGTTAAAGTGAGAAGCTGTTCACTTTATAGATTCAAAGACAATGAAGTATCTCTTGCTTTTTACTTATTGTCATTGAAAAGCAGCTGATGTGAATTAGTCAACTAATTGAAGTCACAGATAAGTACAATCACAGCTAATACATAAAAAGTTTGGTGTGGTGTGTCAGTTTGGGTCTGAGGAAACAAGACAATAGAGAATGGCAGAACGAAGAAGAGTTGGTCAAGGGAGAGGAATTGGTTGAGGTCAAGGGAGAGGGACTCCTGAAGGGAGAGAGAGAAACAAGAGAAGAAACAAGAGGAGTGAGAATGCATGGCGGGGTCAACAAAGGGCCAGGACTCGGACCCTGATAAAATTAGGGCAACTATAGTTGACCATGTCAACTAAGGTCATGGCCTATCATACAGAGAAGCTGGAGAAAGAGTTCAGCCTAATCTCAGCATCTATTATCTGGACTTTCCAAAAAACCAACCGGTAAGATACATCCTAAAGGTATCTCCAATTGATCCATTTACAGTATTGAATTTTACAGTAACATGTATTGTACTGTGTGACTGTGTGCCTCTGATCCCCATTAAGTTACGTTGTTCCTCCTCTCTGTAAGGATCCAATGTCCGCCTCACTCTGGGGGCAATGGAAGGTTCCTAACTGATCAGCAGGAGCTGGCCATCGTGGCCATGGTGGTAGACAACAATGAAATCAAACTCAAGGCAATTCAGGCGAGAGTTCTGGAAGACAACAAAGTCTTTGGAACCATCAACGCAATCAGCCTAACATCCATTTCTCAGATTCTGTGGAAACATTTAATCCGTATGACACAGCTGTACACTGTTCTGTTCAAAAGAACAGTGAGCGGATAAAAGAACGCCGTCAACAGTAGGGTTGGGATTCGTTAGGATTTGAACAATTATGAATCCTTACCGATTCGTTCTTACCGGTCTGAATCCTCTTAATGAATCCTCTCATAGAATCCTACATTATGTTCATTATACTTCCTTTACTAAAACCAGTTTATAAGAAACACAAATACAGTCATACCATCGCAAAACCTTTGTTCTACCTGTGGCACAGTATAATCAGATGGAATACACATTTGTGTAAAGAAAACAATTTGCAGCCTGTGTTTTTTAAATACAGGAAAACACAACATGACACTTTAATGTTACTTTATATTTATGACAGACTGATTTAAAGCCAATTTTTATCAATAATGTTACCAGTAACATAACATTAGATAGGCAGGGAAACCCCATGCTTTTCAAAAAGTCATGTTGTTAACATTAGTGCTCTAGCTAGCCATTGACTTTAGCCTAGCTAAATGGCTAGGAGCGCAGCAATACACAGCACTTGTATCATACAACAATGGGGCAACAATATTGTCATTTCAAGCTACATAAATTAGAAGTTTAAACAAACTTTTGGGTTTGTTATGTTAGTACTAGCCTGGAGGGGCTCTGGATGCAGGCTCTATTGGAGTGGCCTTATTCAGCACAGCCTGCAGGTGTGCAGGTTGGAGCAGTTTCATCCTGCACCGCCTGGGGGTGTGACGGTGAGGGCGGTGGCACTGGTAACGGAGGTTTTCTCAGGTTGTTGAACACGGTGCATTGCATGAAATGAATGTCTTGTTTTAGGAGGTGTACAATCACAGCTTATACATGAAAAGTTTGGTTTGGTGTGTCAGTTTGGGTCTGAAGAAACAAGACTACAGAGAATGGTAGAACGAAGAAGAGTTGACCAAGGGAGACGAGTTGGTAAAGGACAAGAAACAAGAGGAGTGAGAATGCGTGGCAGTGTTCAACAAAGGGCCAGGACTCGGACCCTGATAAAATTAGGGCAACTATAGTTGACGACGTCATCAATCATGGCCTATCATACAGAGAAGCTGGAGAAAGAGTTCAGCCTAATCTCAGCGCCACCCATGATGGTAGGCAATTTAGGCGAGAGTCCTGGAAGACAACAAAGTCTTTGGAACCATCAACGTGGGGCAATGTGGCATTCTAATGGTCATGTGAAGTGGCAGCATGGTCAGATGCCTATTCCAGGATGCAGTGTCTATTCCTTGCCCCTTACGCTTCCTTCCTCAACCCAGTTGAGGAGTTCTACGACCATCAGCCACATGCCCAGGTGGCCCTCCTGGGAGCCATGAATGCCGCCTGTCAGGAGATCACACCTGAGCACTGTCAGGGATGGATCAGACATGCAAAGAGATTATTCCCCAGGTGCCTTGAAAGGAAAGACATTTTGTGTGCTGTTATTGAGGCCATGTGGCCCAATGTAGAGGACCGGGCAGATTAGGATCTTTTTTTCCTTACAATAGTATTTTTATTTTTTAATGCTACATATTTCTTCTGCACATTTTTCAATTGGTATCCACATAGATTTTTTTTCTTGCAGAGCACATAAATAAAGCTTTTGTAACAATTCCACTATAGTTGTTACTGTCTTTTTCCACAAATTCATTTTCACTGAATGTTTGCTGTGAAGAAACAATTTATGCCTCAAACTGTAATACATGCAAAAAAAAAACCCAAAAACCTGACAAACCTGTAAGAGGTTCATAAATTCATGTCCGTACTTGAAGCCTACATTGGCATTTTTGGACCAGATAATAAGTTTTAAAAGACTTACTGAAGCAACTTGACAGAATAAGTTACTTGATATCAATCCAGCTAAGAAGTAATTAATACAAAAACTGATGTTTGTGTTTAGTTTTGAGTCTGTGTTTTCCCCCTGTGTGATCTTCTCAGGCAGCCTGTTTGCCTGTTTCTCCAGATAACTTCCACCTCTTTTAGTCTTAACAACTAAATCAACAAGAGCTGGTTAGAGCAGAGCCTTATGAGGCTTTTTTTTTGACTGACAGGCTGTACCGAGGGCAAAACTCCTACCTGGAGGCATAGGCTGTGTCTCAATTCAGGGTATGCATACAGCTGTGTGCGCTCTGCTCTTGGGTACTTGAGTACCCTGGGTGAGGTGGATCGACTTTTGTGAATTGGGACGGTCTACCGTTCGGAGGACTTCCTGGTTGAGTTGCCAAATGTCCCCACCCTCAGGCTTGTGTCACGACTGACTTGAAGAAAAGCCATGTTGTTTTTTAATTGTGCGACCTTGTATACGTACAATATACAAAACAAAAGATACAGACACAAAACAATACATACATACATACACAAGCACACAGGGGTTACTATATACAACAAACAACAAAGTGACAACCAAAAAGAGGAAAGGAGTTTACAGATTACTCCACAAAATTCATCCAATGATGAAGACTTGGAGATCAAAGTCATTAATTTATGAGAATAAAGTCATAAAATTACCTGTTATTTACGAGGAGAGTCGTTAAAATCAGGGCCATGAAGCATTTGAAGGAACTGTCCTTCAGTATAGGTTTCACAAACGAGGAGATACTTCATCCTTTGGAACATCAGCAATACATTGTCAGGAGTATAAGGAATTTTAAAAAATATATACGAGAAATGCATCTTTTCCATGGAAAAAAAACTGGTGGACTTAAGGAAATCGCTGCTTTTGTGGAGGCAGATATATGCAGAGGATTTATCCCCCAACGCAGCCGTAAATATCCGTGAATGACACTGGGCTTAAGTTAATGATAATTATCCGTATGCCATATGTTGGTGTTTCTGCAGGTGTAGGTTACCGCCGGTGTCAGAGATGTGGTGCTCGTCAGAGCTTGACTCCCTCTGGATCACAAATGTTGCTTTTCAGTTGGATTGTTTCTTTAGAAACCACAAAAACTCTCTGAATGACCCGTTGATGTATCCACAGATAACCCTGCAGATGACCAGTTCCAGCAATTCCCCCTCCACAAAAGCAGCTTTATGACTTTATTTACTTTATGACTTTATTCTCCTAAATTTACAACTTTAATCTCTAAGTCTTTAAAATCCTTAAAGTGGCCCTAATACTCTGTTGTAGATTTAGCAGCTTTCTCATTTCTAATGTTTTTGATAGGTGGTAACAGAGCGGATCAGTCCTTTTCTAAAGACCATAGTGTTTGGTTGCAGCTGCAGATTTTAGTCAGCTCAGAGATCATGCGCTCATGGAGCCTGAGCTGACTGTCTTGTGTTTTTGGATTTCCTTTATTCTCTTTGAAGACACAGTGCGTCTCCAAGCGAGTTCTACGTCTCACCTGAAATGCACAGCTGTGCAGCGGCACACAAAGAATCTTGGGTATTCCAAGGCCACAAGGCCTGCATAAATGCACGCTTGAAAAAGAGGTATGGGGCAGGGTGGTTTAGGGACCACATTGTAAGCGTGCTCAGAATTGAGAGCCAAATGGAACGCCCTGAGCCCTGCATGATGATGTCACGCACCTTTAAATCTGCACTTCAACGGTGCATACCCTGAAATGATAGTCATAGTGCATGTTGCCTGCCCTAGTCTCAGCCTGCCGTTGACTGTTAGAGGAATACATCAAATACTGGATCTAATCCACCAATATGTTCAGGTAATTATCTTTAAAAAAGAGGGTTTTTTTTGTGGTAGTGAGTTTACATTAACCGTCAAAAATAATTATTTAAGGAGTTTTATTATTTATTTATTCACAGTCACTTCAGTCATTGATTTATTTGAGCAGAGCAGCTGGATTCAAGTCACACTGGAGCTCAGTCACATAACTGTATTTATACCTGTCTTAATCAAAGTTCCGTACCGCAGTTATTGCGTTGCTTATAAAATGAGTTTTAATTATTTTACTTCATTATTTTGAGTTTTTGGGATATTTTAACAGAATGATGAGTGGATGCTTTATGATTTTCTCTTTTGAAAGAAAATAATCATGAGCCTCAAGTAAGGTTAAATCCTTTTCATTTCATTTTGCAATCACAGTTTAAGATAAAGAAAATGATTGTGAATTCTGACCAACCAGTTGCTTGTCCAGCTGCTGATTTTAAGTTACTACAACTTTAAACTCTAATTAGGAGTAAGTACATTTGGTCAACCACTCTTATGCTGATTTCTGAACAAAAAAATCTCATCATAAAACCTTTACTATTTTTTTTATCAAGATCCAAGGAAAAAAAAGTATCTTTAAATTTAACTCACCTCAAAACAAAGGACTAAACAAAGGACCAGCAAGCTAGCTAGCTATTAGCTATATCTATTAAAATTGTTCTCATGTCCATTACAGTTGACGTTCATAAATGTGCAGGGTTTTTTTTTCCCAACAAAAAGTTGAAAAGAATTCCGATAAACAAGAAAAAATATGATTCCCATTGGTATAAAATCAATATCATAGCAAAATTTGATCTACCTTTTCTTTTTTGCTCGAAACTGCATTTTGCTGCAGTCGCAATTTTGTAATTTTATTTATATATTAATCTTTGATGAAATCTGTCTGCTTGTGCTTCATGACAGGTTTGAGGTTTAATTATTTTGAGAAAGTCATTTTCTGCACCGCAAATCTACACTCATTCAAACTTGCGTACACGATGTGAGACCTGCTGTGAGATTTGATCGTATCGTACACTCACATCCAAATTGATAAATGCCAATTCTTGCTTGGAAATGGTTGTACGGACAGTTTTCTGCTGTACGTTTCATTTAATAAACGAGGGCCACTGTGTGCACATCTTAATTATGACCATAAACCCTAAGCACTTTGATAATAATCTTTGAAATATCAAATTTGACTGAGATAAGTCTGTAAAAAGAAACTTTACCCTTTTTTTGTGACAACAGGTTTTCAAAGAGAAGAGTCAACAGAACAAAGATTTTCCTGCTTCTGGGAGTTCTCATCATTGTTTATCTCTACATTAACTCTTATGACCACAAAGTCCACCATGTTAATGTCAGAATGGATAGCAGACCAATATCACCTCTCACTCTAAGTAGCCCCTCTCTGTTCTCTTCGCAAACCTGTACACGAAACACGTCTGCTTCCAGCATTCAAAACTTCGGCTCACTTCCTGGTCATATCCAAGACTTCCTGTACTATCAACACTGTCGACATTTTCCCTTGCTCTTGGACCTTCCAAACAAATGTGGAGGAGCTGATCGATCCTCTGAAGTCTTCCTTCTGTTGGTCATCAAAAGTTCACCAGAAAAACATGATCGCAGAGAAATGCTCCGTAAGACCTGGGCCAAAGAGAGGATACAGAGTGGTGGGTGGATCAGACGGCTCTTCATCACAGGAACAACAGGCTCTGGTTTTAGGAAAAAAAGACTGAACAAAGTTCTTGAGCTGGAGCACAGTCAGTACAAAGACATACTTCAGTGGGACTTTGCCGACACATTCTTCAACCTCACATTGAAGCAGGTAATCTTCCTGGAGTGGTTTGAAAGAAACTGTCCAAAAGCCTTTTTCCTGTTTAATGGTGATGATGATGTTTTTGTGAACACAAACAATGTGGTCAAGTATTTCCAAAGTCTTGAGGACAATGATGGAAACAAGCACCTTTTTACTGGCCATCTGATCCAGTATGTTGGGCCTATTAGAGATTCAGGGAGCAAGTATTATGTCCCAGTTCAGGTGCAGAAGTCAGACCAGTATCCTCCCTACTGTGGTGGTGGGGGCTTCATACTGTCTGGTTACACTGCTTCAGTCATATACAACATGTCCAAGTCCATCCCTCTTCTTCCCATTGATGATGTTTACATGGGAATGTGTCTGGCCAAAGCAGGACTTAGTCCTAGTTCGCACACGGGTGTAAGGACTGCAGGAATGCACATTCCCTTCAGTGGTGATGATCATGACCCTTGCTTCTATAATGAAATTCTTCTTGTTCACAGATTTTTGGGAGCTGATTTGTTTCTTATGTGGCACAGAATAAATGACCCCAATCTGAAATGCTTTGACGATGCTTTTAACTGAGTGCCAGGAGAAGGCGGAGCTTGGTGGTGTCAAATACATCCATCCAAAAAAGGGGGAAACTCCAGCACCCTGTCCAACTGGCATAAAACACATTTATTAGCAATGTTTCGGTCCTTGACCTCTATCAACAAACCTTATTTTTCCTTTTTTTTTTCTTACAAATCATCAAATGTTATACCCTAAATTAATCCACAAAGCTTTTCCTGCATAGTTTATGAAATGCTGTTGCACTAGAATTACCTATGTTGAGAGATGGGGATGTCAAAGTAAACATCGGTACCAAACTGCTTTAGTCAACACTTTCAGTTTGGTGCTGTTGCATAGGAACATGGTTCGGCTCAAACCCAAGGTACCCACACTAACCTAAAAGTCTACCACACACAATATGCTGGGCCCCTCCTATATGGTACTGAAATGCTGGTGTCAGCGTGGGAACTTTACAAACAAATTGCCTCAAACATACAGAGAATTTCTTTTCTCTTTTTTTATACCTAAGACCAGTTTTGAGGTGTGATTTTAAACGACAGACACCTGTGACCATCATTGTGTGTGTGTCCAACACTGAGGAGTGGGTAGGACCAGACAAACAAGACACAGTCAATAGCCGAGCGTAAATTGTGTCATCCCTTCCAAAAAAAAAATACAAAGCAAGTCTCATGGAAAACTAAACTGTATGAAAGGCACAACTCAGGGGGGACACCGTGAAGAACTTTAAATAAGAACTGCAAATCTCTTAAATCTCTTGACAGCTTTAAAAACAAACTGGAAGAAAAAGCTTTAATGCATTTTAACTCTGTAAACATAGATTTAATATCACAGCTTATAACCTGTAGAACATATTCCTGGTGTAAGTGTTACTCTGTGTTGGGTCTTAAGTGGATGTCCTGTTTAAATGCTCTTTTATTACTTATGTGATGTTTTTAGAGTGACCTCCATGGTGCCTGAACTTGTTCTCATTTGTTTAGTGTTTTCCATGTTTTGTATCTAAGGTGTCTTTCTCAGATTTTTGTGCCCTTGTTTTTAACTGTTTTGTTCATTATTTTTTCTGTGTTTGTTGTTAAATTTGTCGTACTCTCTCTTACTGAAATGAACTGATAATTGCTATATTGCAATTTGTAATGCCTGTAAATGCTGTAAGAGGGTAGATACGCTGATTAATTGGCCTTTGTAACTCCCCCTCTAAAAATATTCACATTGTGTGATAAAGTCCACCGTAAAAATACATTAGAGGTTGTTTTTTTAATTTTGAAATGAACACTTCTTTGATAAGGATAAGAATGAGGGTAACTGCTTTGTCCACAGACATCACCACAAAGTTTCTTTTAGGCTCTTTCTATAAGCAAGGTAAATGATAGGTGTTGGCAGAACTCTGCTAATGAAATACTGAATGTGCATACACAAATTTGTATTAATTGAAAGAAAATAATTAAATATTGAGTAACTTACTCTCCACCTTTGCAGCTGATAAAAATCAGGAATGCCTCTGAATCTATTAAACAAGAAATTGTGATTATTCATACGAGTCTCAGCCTCGTGAACAAACTTGAGGGGTTGAAGCGGGACTGTGTAGTTTGGCGCTGAAGCTGGCAGAAGGGGGCACTAGAAGAGAAGGAGGAGAGCTCAGGGTTGATCCACTACAGAAATTACTAAAAATTATACAATGACTCACAAGACAAGAGTTTAGACGATCTGACAGTTTGCTGTTAACCAGAGAGAGAATGTTAGGCTGCAGCTGTGCCTGATGAGAGCCTCAGACTGGAGAAACCACACCTCTAGCCTTTAAAACCACGAGGACAAAAAAAGAAATAAAAAGGCCTGTCAGCTCTGGTATGCAGTACCACTTCTCCTAAACATCAGTGCGTATAATAGGGGAGTATCTGCACTTGTTTATTCTACCTAAAGCATCAGATGTAATCAAATCTTTTCTTGGAAGAGGGGTAGAAGGTACTTCTAAATTCTCTTGTACACGACTGTAAAAAGGGTTAAACCATGACACTGAGAAAAATTTGGTTAACCCATGTTTATGCTCTGTTATTCCCCTCTGGAGCAAAAGTGAGGAAGTCTGCATTTCAGTGTTACTTTGTTTGTAGAAGGGTTGTATTGAGCATTATTATTTGCAGAGCCCTTGCACTTCAAATGCAGGATGCCCACAGATTGTGCATCTAAAATGGGACTATTATCATATACCTCAGTGATGCCATCTCTAAAGAGACGTGTTTAAGGAGAATCATAAATCTGTCTGTAACAGTAGATTGCCCACTGAGCATTAGACGTCTATTTTTTTTTTTTTTTTTAGACCTAATTCCAATCGTCCACTCTAGATTCTGTATATTTTTAGACAGAATTTATTCCGTCTAAAATATACATAATAATAATAATAATAATAATAATAATAATAATAATAATAATAATAATAATAATAATAATAATAATAATAATAATTATTATTATTATTATTATTATTATTATTATTATCATCATTATCATCATTATTATTATCATTATTCGATAACTATTTATTTCAAAAAGCAACTGTGAGTTGAACTGATCTCCAAGCACTTAACCAAAATAATTATGATAGCTGTCAAGCAATATATGGTGTAGTATAGATACTGCCCAGATTTAGACTTGATCTAAACTTGGTCTTACTTTAGATGTCTAAAAAACTTTCATTTTTAGATCTGTGGTAGCCTGATGATTTTAGACCAGTCATCTAGGCTACATTTAGACGTCTATTAGACCTCTTTTAGACCGAAAAATGCTCAGAGGGAGTGTGTGTTGATGGCACCTGTTGTATTATGAAATAAGTTCTGGGATCTGAATCTGAAAAAAAAAATTTTAAACAGCAATATTTAGATAAGTCCTATTTCAAGGCACAGAGCAAACCATGTCAAGAGATAACAGACAGAAAAAAACAACAACTGGAAAAATACAAAAAATAAATAAAGGTTTTTCAAAGATTTCATTCAGTGTTTTTTCCTTTGTTTGTTTCTTTGAGAATTTAGGGATTTAATGGTTAAACCATTGATACTCAAAGCATCACACTTTTCTGTCATTTTGTTTTTAAGGAGGGGCCACTAAAATCGAACCACTCAAGGCAGCGAAGCTCATGATCAAAGAAGGGTAGATGTAAAGCTTTGTGGGTTTACCACCATGTTTTGTATCATGCTTATTATGCTTATTTCTCTCTAAACCCAGCTCAGTTTCAGCAGATGGCTGTCTAATCTGAGTCTGGTTCTGCTTGAGGTTTCTACCTGTTAAAGAAAGTTCTTCCTCTCCATTGTAACTTGATAAATACTGTGAAGTGTTTTACTCATGTGACAGAAGATGGGATGGGAGTGGGTCTGATCTTGCATGATAGGACTCAATCTGATCCCATCTTTGCATTGGGTCTTTTTTTGGTAACCAGTTCTCCCCTCAGCTCCTCCTCTCCCCTCCCTCTCTGCTCCAGCAAGCCCCGCCCACAAACAGGCTGCTCACTTGTACTGTGCCAATTAAATTCAGATATAATGCAGATAAATACTTCAGATAATTACAAATGGGGCCCAGTCAACGTGAAAGTAAAAAGCATTGGTGCTACTGTAGATGCCAACAGACTACCGGCAAACACAATGTTTGCAGGACTTCTACAAGTAGGACAAAGTGACATAGTCCAGGACCTGAGGTAAACAGTTCAACGACGCTACAACACGCAGCAGGTCCCGTTTGACAAGAAACACTTCTGTTACAGACACTTGGCTTACTTTGTTAAAGCGGTTTACCTGTCCAGCAGAAAGATTACAGGGTCCGTCAGATCCCGAAGCATCCCCCAAATGCTGCATTTATGTTGACCTGGCTTTTTAGCTCTTGTCCGGGTGGTCTACCTCCTTTTTAAGTGCCCATTTTTCCGCCAGAGTCTCTGGTATTTACTTCGTTTTCTTCCTTGTGTTGGTAGTCGTGGCCAAAGGAGAATTCAGACAATATTCCGTTCTTTCTGCTTGGTGTTTACTGTCTGATATTGTAGCGCGCTAACTTTGTTTGGGCTCATGAACATTATTCGAGGACGTGGAGCGTGCCCCAAAACATGTGGGAGCAGCGTCTGCCTCACAACCAATCCAATCCAGGTTTATTTATAAAGCACATTTAAAAACAACAAAACGCTGACCAAAGTGCTGTACAGTAAAACTAAAAACAATAAAAAACAGACAATTGACATGAACAATAAAACAAAGGCACAGGAACACATAAAAAACAGGGGGACATAGATGGTTCAGTAAAAACATGATGAAAAGGCCAAGTTCTCAGGAGTTAAAAGCCAGGGAGTAAAAGTGCGTTTTCAAATTTGATTTAAAAACAGACAGTGAGGGGGACAGTCGGACATGAAGAGGAAGAGCATTCAAGAGCTTTGGCGCAGCAATGGAAAAAGCCTGGTCACCCCTGAACTTTAATCTTGACCTAGGGACAGTCAGAAGGCGCTGTTCAGAGGATCTGAGAGTCCGAGATGAAATATAGTGTTTTAAAATGTCAGAGAGATAAGAAGGAGCAAGTCTGTTTAAAGATTTTTAAGTTAATAAAATTTTAAAATCAATCCTAAAATGCGCAGGAAGCCAGTGAAGAGAGGCTAAAATTGGGGAAATGTGGTCATATGTACAGCGACCAGATAAAACACGAGCTGCAGCATTTTGAACAAGTTGTAAACGATTATGAGAGGTTTGGCTGGCACCAAAATAAAGTGCATTGCAATAATCAAGACGAGTTGTGATAAAAGCATGCATAACCTTCTCAAAATCACTAAAAGATAAAAAAGGCTTGACCTTGTTTAAAAGACGAAGATGCTTTTACAACTGCATTTATCTGCAGATCCATTTTAAAATCTCTGTCCATTATAACTCCCAGGTTTTTTAAAGTCTTTAAGGAAGGGCTCAAAGGCAGACAGATCTGCTCTGGGGCAGTTGCCATGTGGTCCAAAGACAACAATTTCAGTCTTACTCTCATTTAATTTTACAAAATTGAGAGCCATCCAGGTTTTTATGTCCCTAAGACAGTCCAAAAGTGGGCCCAAGGCATTGGAAGCTCCTAATTCCAGGGGTAAATACAGCTGCATATCGTCAGCATAGAAAGTAAAAGAAATGTTATATTTTTTAAATATAGATCCCAGGGGGAGCATATATAAGGAGAAAAGGACTGGGCCATGTATAGAGCCTTGGGGCACTCCACATGGAAGAAGAGCTGAGGAGGCGGTGGCATCACCAAGGCTGACAGAGAGGCTCCTGTCAGCCAGGTATGACCTAAACCACTCCAGGACAATACCTTTAATCCCCATCCTATGTTCAAGGCGAGAAATTACAGTGTTGTGATCCACAGTGTCAAAAGCTGCAGAAAGATCTAAAAGCATAAGAACAGCTGAATCCCCAGAATCAGTGAGCAATAAAATATCATTAAAAACCTTTAAAAGCGCTGTTTCAGTGCTGTGCTGTGCAGTTGACTAAAAACAACTTCCTCCAGGATCCAGGATCAATCAGCACTAAGGAGCAGCGTCAGCCTCACAACCAATCAGGTCGGCGAGGTGGAGAACGGCTTTGTTTACAGTCAGAAAGAGCGGGCCGCTCAAAAAATTTAAAATATTGACAACATAGACACAACAAAACACAGCAATATTGTGATATTCCCAAACGTCATCAATAACTAATAGCTATTGACTGATATTAAAATCTTTTATAGAAAAGATTTCTGCCTACTCCACTGTTTACCCTGAAATATTTCATGATAAAGTTATGCTGTTTTTATTTAACAAACTCATTAAAGATACTCTTCATAGGGATGACAATGCAATGAACAGAAGAGCAAAAGCAAAAACAAGAAAAAAAAAAAAGGAGAAACACTGTTATGCTAGTGTCGTCTGTACAGTTTGGGAGGTTTGTAGTTGGATTGACAATTTTAGGTCGTGTTCACACCTAAAGGTCCGTTTCCTGATTCAAATCCAAGGCAAGACGATACATTTGTTTTAATTGTTTAACTGGTCCAGTTTGCGTTCTCAAAGGACAAACTCAATCGCTCCAGAAAACGGACCCGGAAGTCACGTGACCGTGAATATCGTTCGGTTATTGGTCATTAGTTTATGCAGGAATACAAACCCCGCTCTGCTGTCTTCGCCTGTCATGGAGCATCGTAGGCTGATTTTGCTTTTGCTACTCATCTAGAGCACGTATCAAAAGTTGCTAGTCGATCGCGTGTATGAACGGCTCATTACCAGCTAGCGCGAACTGAGGCATTAGTTAATACATTGCGGAGTAGAAGTGCTGCAAACAACAGTCGTATAAAGACATGATGGTGTCAGGCAATGACGTGTGTGGTGCGTTTCCTGTGATTGGTGTGGACAACGTTCACACCAGAAATGAAATGCTCCAGAGTTTAACTTGATAGCGGTCCGAGACCACCTCTTCAGGCGGACCAGAGTTCGTTTATTTCGTCCGCACCAGAGTTCGAGGTCAGGGTTCACACCGACCCAAACGAACCGCACCAAGGGGGTAAACGCTCCAGGGTTCAGTTCAACCGGACTAAACGAGGGTGGTGTGAACGCGCCCTTAGTGGCCACTTCAAGAACTACACCTTTTTTTGTCACCTTTTCTTTGGCTTCTCTTTGCAACCCCAAGTTCATCTCTTGGGTGTCACTTGCGGTTTAACTGGAGTGCTCTGTCAGTCTCCTCCTGTCTCTTTGTTTAAGGCCTGACACAGTGCTTTCTGAGGCGAACAGAGTTCAGGTTGTTTGGAGTTGGGGATGGCATCTCCAACACACCTGATTCAAATGATCAGCTCGTTATTAAGCCATTACAGAGATTGATAACGAGCTGATCATTTGAATCAGGTGTGTTGCAGCAGGGAACATCCAAAACATGCAGGACAGAGGGGGGCTCGAGGACTGGACTTGAGAGCCACTGGTCTAATATGATGGACCTTTGTGAAAAAGTGGAAGAAGTTCATGCAGCAGCTCCTGAGAAACAGCAGGATCTGTCCATGGTGCTGACAGTAGTCTCTGGCATGCAGGATTCAATGGTCTTTTCTTTAAGCTCATGAAGGACTGCATGCTGACTCACTGACTGGAGGTTTGCCCCAAATGAAAGATTTACTGACTCGAATATAGTTTAATTTGAGCTGTAAGGGAGTTGAAACGGTCTGAACAGAGCAAAGAGAGAAAGAGAGAGAGAGAGAGAGAGAGAGAGAGCGAGAGAGAGAGAGAGAGAGAGGATGATGTCATTGGTTTTTAGTCGCTGCCATGAAAGAAGCAGATGGCTGCAGCCTTAACATTCTTCCTCCGCTGCTGAATTCATCTCCTTTCTTGACATCTGCCTCAGCATCAGGACTGATCCGGGGCGAAGAGTAGCAAACCGCGGATGCAGAATTGGTTCCGGTGGATTTCCTGCGGGCAGCCTGTCAGCTGGATGTGAACGGATCATCGAACGAAGGAGAAGACGTGATATGGACCGAAATAGCAGAGCATGCACGGGGCTACGTCCAGTCCTCCTTTTTGTCTTTATTCTGTATTATGAGGAGGCGACTGAGTAGAGGAGCTAGTCCTGCCCAGAAGGGAGGAGGAGGAGTAGAAGAGACGCGTAGAAGGGTGTCGACTGAGAGAGGCAGGGGCAGAGGTAGAGGAGAAGAGGAGGGGGGGACGGAGCAAATATAAAAGAGTAATATTACAAGCTTCTTACAATGGCTGCTAAATCGGACGGGGTCCTGAAGATAAAGAAGAGCGATGTGGCCTTTACCCCGCTGCAGAACTCGGAGCACTCCGACTCGGTGCAGGGGCTCCACCCGGGCAGCCAGCCTGACTCTGCAGGCGCCGGAGACGGGGACTTCGTCAACGGGGAGTCGCGGTGCTGCGGCGGCGGAGGCTCCAACACGACGTGCCTTCAGCTGGGCCGGGAGCAGCAGAAATACACGGTGTGGGACTGCCTATGGATCGTAGCCGCAGTGGCCGTGTATTTGGCCGATGTGGGCACCGACGTATGGCTGTCGGTGGACTACTACCTCCGCCGCGACTACTGGTGGTTCGGCCTGACCCTTTTCTTCGTTGTGCTCGGCTCCTTCTCGGTCCAGCTCTTTAGTTTCAGATGGTTCGTCCATGATTTCAGCACCGAGGATGGCACGGAGTCCGCCGCCGATTGCTCCCACATGGATGGCAATAAGCTGCTGAGCGGTTCTGCTTCTCACGGCGACGTTACCGCTCAGCATCACCCCGCCACGCCGCAAAGACAGGCGTCGACCGCCAGCAAGAACACCACGACCAACAGCACCGCAAGCACCGCGGCGGGCAGCAGGAGCAGGAAACGATCGGCCTACTACTCCTTCTGCGTCTGGTTCAGCCAGTCTGTCATCCATATCCTCCAGCTGGGCCAGATATGGAGGTAGGAAGGAGGCCTTGGTTTGGGTTACAGTGAAGGGGAGTGCAGTGTGTCAGGAATAAATGAATGGATGAACGAATGAATGAGCAGCGGGCTCTGACAGTAGTTGGCACTCTGGCACCATGGTGTCCCCTGGATGATCTACAGCATGGCTACCAGCTGCCATCTTTAACATACTCCTCTGCAGGGCCAGCACACAGGCTGCTGTGACAGGCTTTAGGTCATTCCTCCTCCATGCTCATATGAACAGCTCACTGAAGATGACACTAATACAGAATAATAATTTACCTCCTGTCCAACACACAATGTTGAAAGTGGACAATTTATTTTCCTTTCTTAACTTCAAGTTTTGATACCAATGAAAAGAGTGTCCTTTAACTGAAGAGAAAAAGGCTTCAGCAGTCAATTAACATTTGATTTAAGCTGAAGTTTGACTTGCTAATGTTGGAGGAGTAAATGACCCCACAGATTTACAGAATGTAGCTTATTAAGTTGTGTTTTTCGCCTCTGATCAACAGTAAAATCATCCTGACTTTATAATGTTCAGTCAAACTTTTCAGTCTCATCACATGCCAACAGCCTCCCAGTCTGTCATCGCCTTCATTCACTCCTCAAGCCAACTGGATTAATAGAGCAGACATATCCATTTAGGAAGTCTTCTGCATAAGTTCTGACAGAAGCAATTTACAGTTTTAAGGTCCTTACACACCGGGACCGTTTTTGTCGTGCGATTATTTCAGACGTCAATATTTTTTTTCAAACCCGTATCCTGTCAATATAAGCGTTCACATCAGCGATATTTTCCCGTCCTACGCATACTGTCTGTCCACTTCAGACCAATCAGATTGCGTGTCGTTGCAACGTCAGATTCACTGGTATATCCAACATATCCGACAGGCTGATTGTGTACGTGTCGGAAACAGAGTGCAGTTTGATAAAAGACACAAATATTACAAAGATAACGACCTGAAGGACAACTTGTGGAGAGTCATAGCAACGGATCTCTCATATGACGATGGTTTGTGTGCTTTAACAGTTTGCTAAATGTCTTTTTTTAAACTTTCATCTGTGCTAACATAAGCTAACAGTTGTTAGAATAGTTTCATGTGCTTATCTGGTACTGGCCCCGACTCAGTACATGCTATCGTGACAGAGAGCCATCTCAACACTAGTGACTAATCAGAACTGAAAACAATCAGCGAACGTGGTACAGTTTCAGCTCCTGAACCAAGCAGTGAAACTCACCAAGTTCTCTTCTTTTTTGTAATATTGGATGCACCCATGTGCTACGTTTCTTTTTCTTAGTACCAATTTGCCATCACTTGAAGATAAAGTAGACTCCATTTTTGTCCTCTTGCGTCTACTGGGACGCTGGTTGTTAAGGGAAGGTCCTGCCCTTTTTCGCCTCTGATTGCCTGTAAGTGCTGACCGTTTGGCTTGAGCGTGTGATGACGTTTCCAGCTTTTCTAGCCAATCAGAGGCGAAGGAGGCGGGACTTCCCCGGGATGCGTCTTTTCCCCCCCGGAAAGTAGCAAAATCGCATTGGGCTTGATGTTTATAGTCAGGCTCGACAAAATTCGCCTCAGAGTATTTCGTGATTTCGCGTTCTATATTCGTGTCAGCCCCGGTGTGTAAGGACCTTTAACGTCTCTTTTCAAGCCTTCATCCTCACAGCATTAACACTCAGCTTATGTTCATATAATATGAACCAGTGTCAAAGACTGTTTGACCTAGCAGTCATTAACCCTCATCATCACTACAGCCAACCTCTATCTTCATGCTCACTCTCTCCCTCTGCTTTACTAACACACATCTACTCTTCCTGATCAAGTCTGTGGCACAGCTCTCCCTCCTCCATCTCAGGCTGCATTATGGGTTTTTGCACATGCTGACAGTGCAGTGATCCTCACTTGGTAGATTTTGCAGCATGTCAAACTTCTTTGCACTCCCAAACTTTGTTACAAATCAACCCGTGATGTTGATGACAACTTTTAAAAACCTGGCTGTTTTGGTTGGAGGGTAGGGTGAAGACGACAGACAGCACAGGAACCAGTTAATACTGAAAGTTTGTTGATCCAGGGAAGACCAAAATGTGATTCAAATAGAAGTTAAATTAATTTTTCAGTCCTTTTAGAAGGTATCAGCAATAAGTTTGTGTTCCTCAGAAATTCAGCTTGTTATTTGATGCAAACTAATGAAAGAAACGGATTTGGTGTAATTCTTTGAATGCAGATTTAGCACATTACAGTCAGTCACAGTGAATTGATAGTTTGTTGTTGATAACTCATAAACATTCATAATATAACCTGCAGTAATTCAAGCATGGATTAATAATGGTTCATGCATTTTTTCAGTGACTTAAGGTTTGTTTTTGAATGCCCTTTAGTGTCGGCTGCTGTGTAAATCAAATGGCATGCAGCATGCACTTTGTAGAGAAAAAAAACTGAAGCTTGTGAAACTATTGACTGTTGTGGTTGTGTAGAAAAAAATTCAGGTATTCAGGGTGAATCACTTTTATGATTTTTTAATTTAATTCTATTTAATTTCAAAAGTTATTTTTGAAAACATGAAAACTACCTGGATGAAGCGATCCAATTAGATATATTTCAATGAAAACAGAAAGCCATATGCTCAAGGTGCAGACATGTTAGCACTGCACACAGTACAAACCAACAGATAACCACTGTTTAGAGACTGGAGAAAGTGACTGATTTATCCACTGATAATGTGTTCTGCCTGCTGGACTGTCATGAGTCTCCAGCACTGATTTTATTTTAAATTTTTAGCTCCAACACCAACAAATAATAGACATTTTCTCTCCTGTGTAACCAATGTTACAACACTCAAGCCTCAGGATATTTGGTTTGAGTTTCTGAACAAGGCCTTCTGAAGCATCTTCTGATGCAGTCATGAATATGAGTGTGTGTAAAGAACATTTCCAAACTTGGAAACAGAGCACTCTGAACACAGGTCTTACTCCATGTTTGTGACACACAGACTCTGGTCTGTAAACAGATCTCACTGACTGACAGAAAATGGTTTTGTGATTTTTGTTTGGTGAATAAAAGAAAACCTTCTTTGGAAGAGCTGGTAGGATCAGGAGGACTCAGTCCAGAGAGCCAATGAGACGGTAACAGGAGTTTAGACACTTGCTCATGTACAGAGGGCCTCATCCTTCAGACAAGTTGTTAGTCCCAAACAAACCAATTCTCAGCCTGAAGCTGACTTCATGACCAATTTATGCACTCAGTATAATAACTCAGGTTCTTTATGCTCTGCCTCTCTTTTTACAGTTTCATAAAACCTTTAGTCACCTAAAAAAAAAAACCAACCCACAGCGGAAACATTTTCACTGTCACTGACATGTCTTTGCGTAAGAATAAGCTGTACTGGGCACATTCACCTCTAATGTCAAGACTGTCCCTCAGCTTTATCTTATCTCAGGTAATACAGATGTCAAAATCCTAACGAAATAGACCAAAACCATCGCTAGGAAGAAACTAAAGACATACTGTTTATGTGTGTATGCCTGTCCAAACAAAATTCATGTCACTCCAACATCAATCATGTCGAGCCATTGACTTATATCCAAAATAGAAAGTAAATAATATATAAGTTTAGTCCTAGGCTTGTTTTTAATCACAGAGATAAAAGGCACATATTTCCTCTGGATGTCACAATCTACTCTTCCAAAATGTGATCCAAATACAAGGGATAGTTGTTTAAAATTTGAAATAATGTGAAAATAGATCTAGAGATCTTTGAGCTCAAGAGACAAAGACAGTATTTGTCATGAAACAGGTATGAGACAGCCACCTTGGGTATATTCAATTTAATGCTGACGTTCAAATAAGGGAACGACAAAGCTGAAACCACACAAACCAGCATTTTCACATAGACATGGATAGAAAACCATGGTACATGAAGTGGTTAGTGCTAGCGGGAGCCTAATTAGACCAACTCTTACGAGTTACAGCCAATATGTGAGTTTCTACGCTGCATTTCTCAATGACAAATCCACAACTACAGCACAGAAGTAAGATGACATTGATTATACACACTATTGAGACTCCAGGAGGACTCTTCTACTACAGAGAGAGGCTGTTATATGTGCAGAATGCAGTTTGGTGTGGTCTTAGTGAAATGTGGAGGTCGCCCTGAAAAAGTCATGGGGTTTTAAGCATCCCCATATTGAGCTGATAACAAGTCAGTGGTTCTTTTTTCTCCACGGTTGAAGATATGGTGTCCATGACCTCCAAAATAATGTCAGATTTGGATTTGATTAGACCACAGGACAGTTCTCACCTTGTCCTATTCCATAGTAAATGTGCTCAGAGTCTGTGGTGTTTCTGGATCATGTTTCTATCTGGTCTGTTCTTTGCACGGTTCAGTTTTAGCCTCTTTGTGTGGACACAGTGTTGAACTGTGACATCTTTTTTTAATACAGTGCAAACTTAAGGCTTGTACATCCCCACCACTCAGTACTGGTTATTGGTCTTGTCCCCTTTGTACAGAGATGTCTCGAGGTTCTCTAGAGAGTTTACAGGTATCACATGCTGTCGGTGATGAAATCCAATCACTCTTTGCCATGTTAAGGATCATTATTCTGAGCTATTTGTTGATGCAGTGTCATAGAGGAATGCGTGTCCTCACATCTTTACTGAGAGACTCAGGCTCTCTGAAGAGCACTTTTTAATGCTAGTCATGTTACTGACCTGTTGCATATTTATATGTTATAATATTGGGAGATGTTCCTCCAGGTGTTTCATTTTAGCATTCACAGCTCCTTCAGATTTCTGCTGTCCCTCTTCCATTTTTAAAAAAAAGCTTGGCTTGGAGTCGAATATGATGGTTGTCCATAACACAATAGAGTATTTCAATTTCTGTAAATACAGAGTCAAAATTGTTTCCAATTAAACTCTGTTTTTATTACTATTTTATACTACATAACAACCGTTTGGGAATGGGGTTGTGTTCTTACTTACTTAGACTTTGTTCCTCCCGTTCCTATTGGAACATTGAGCGACGAGTCCCCTCCATTTGCTCCAGTCCCTTCTTGCTCCATGCCAGCTGACTCCCATCTCATTCAGGTCTTCTTTGGCTGTTTGTCTCCATGTCTTCTTTGGCCTCCCTCTCCTTCTCTTTCCCCCCTCTGGCATCCAGTCTATTGCCACACTTGCCGCTCTCTCTCTTGGCAGTCGGAGTACATGTCCGGTCATTCTCTTTCTCCTGTCAGAGACGATGTCAGACAAGGGTGTTACACCTGCCCTTCTCATCACCTCTTCATTGGTGATGTGGTCTCTCCGTGACATCTTTAGGATGGATCTGAGGCACCGTCGATGGAAGACATCCAACTTGTTGGTGATGCTGGCTGTCTTCGTCCACGTCTCACAGGGGTTGTATAAAAGACAGATTATTGAGTGATTGTTAACCACGACACAGACTGTTGCATGAATAAGATAAGATGTACCTTTATTAGTCCCAGAGGGGGGAATTCCAGTATTACAGCAGCATAGATCCAAATAAAAAGAGAAATTAAAGGATAAAAAAAACTTAACAAAAGATAAGTACATGAGTCTTATGTACTTGTGAACAGAATATACATATAATATGATTTATTGCACACTGAGGTTTCTGTTGTGGAGTCTGACAACAGCAGGAAGGAATAACCGGCAATACCTCTCCATCACACACTTTGGGTGGAGCATCCTGTCCCGTACGGACCTCCTCAGTGCAGTAAGTGTGTGTTGGAGGGAGTCTCTGTCCAGCATGGAAGACAGCTTGGCTATGATCCTTCTCTCCCCATCCTTCTCCACAAGTTCCAGAGGGCATCCCAGGACAGAGCTGGTCTTCTTTTTAAGTTTGTCCAGCCTCTTCGTATCAGTTGCTGTGATGCTGCTCCCCCACTCCATAGAAAACGGCAGAGGCCAACACAGAGTCATAGAAGGTCTTCGTTGGTGTTATGAGTCCTGTCCAGTTTATTGTTCAGATCAACACCCAGGTACATACCCAGGAATGTCTTTGCATGTGTCCGTAATACGACAACTACTAGATCAGGTCTACATTTTATGATGGATCCATGAGGGAAAACCATGAACTACTTGTTTGTGGAAATTATCTGGATGACTATACCCGCTCACTTAACTGACACTGGTTTGGGGAAGAAAGGCAGCATTGTTTTGGCGTTGTACTTGTTTTGATGTCCTTGCTTGGAGGCTGAACATGAGAGTGTCTGAGGTTTCACTAGATGTGATTGAGGCAGTCAGAACTGGGACACCTTCCTTTCAAGAATGAATGGAGTCCAAGTGGCAGGTTAACAAGTCTGATTTGTACTCAGAGACTTACACAGACTCTCACAACTGACAAACACACATACACAGAGATGTCATTTCCATATATGAGGATACACAGGCTGCTGTAATTTCTTCAGCCAAGATTTGATTTTGAAATTCTTTATGGACAGTGTCGGTTAATTTCATGGCCCATTAGCTCGCTGCGGGATGACCACCATGTGTTTGTGATATCCCGAAGAGGAGGAGGGAGAAGATGGAAATGAGTTAAAGACACTGACACACACATTCACTGACACATACACACTCACTAACGCTAAACTGGGCCACAGACAGACTGAAAAGTAATAACAAATTCACTTCATTAAAGAAGCTGTTGCCGCAGGTCTGCCTTTATAGTGTAATTCATGGTGGAGGAGTGAAGCCAAGTAAAGGAACACAAAATCATGAAACTTCTGCAACAAAGACAGTGTAATTAAAAGACTACTTAGATCACGCTCCAACATTAGGGTCAGTGGATAAAGTGGCATCGAGCAGTGGGGTATTTGTGGATTTGTCATGGTTAATTGCAGAAAAACTCATCTGTTTCACCTGCCATCAGCCTTCTAAGCGATATTTATTTATGATATGTATTTGGTGCCTTTTTTAATCAATTTACTGTCTTATTCTGTTCTATTGTCTGTGTGGTTGTGGTGTTTTTGTGGATGATAATGATATCCTTGATCCTAAAGGTCCTTTCACACCAAGACTGTTTTAGTTGTGCGATTATTTCGGACATCAATATTTTTTTTCGAACCCGTATCCTGTCAATACAAGCGTTCACATTAGTGACGTTTTCCCGTCCTGCGATATTGCAGCACTTATTTTTTCGGATCACGGTCGATTTTTCTAAAGTTTCACATACTGCGTGTCCACTTCAGATTGTGTGTTGTTGCGATGTCTGCTTCACCGGTATATCCAACATGGCTGACCGGCTGATTGTTTATGTGTCGGAGAACAGAGTGCTTTTTGATAAAAAACACAAATATTACAAAGATAACGACCTGAAGGACAACTTGTGGAGAGTCATAGCGACGGATCTCTGATATGACGATGGTTTGTGTGCTTTAACAGTTTGCTAAACGTCTTTGTTTTAACTTTCATCTGTGCTAAGTAACTTTAGCTCGTAAGCTAACCTGTTCAGATACAACATACCATATGTATTTTCACTGTCTCAAACTCAATCGCGTTGCTGTCACTGCACCATTAGGTCTGTGTTGTTACCTTACATTTATGGATTATAGTTTAATGTGTTTATCTGGTACTGGCCCTGACTCAGTACATGCTGATATGACAGACAGACATCTCAACACTAGTGTTTAATCAGAACTGAAAAACAGTCAGTCTGGTGTTGGTTCAGTCTTCTCGCTTCCACCTGGGATGCGTCTTTTTACCCCCCGGAAAGTCACAAAATCACATTGGGCTTGATGCGTATAGTCAGGCACGTCAAAATTCTACTCTGAATGTTTCGTAGTTTCGCATTCTATATTCGTGTCGGCCGCAGTGTGTAAGGACCTTTAAGGTTTGAATGGTGGTGAACCTCTATAGACAGTATAAAAACCAGCATCATGTCGGTGCTAAAATAGGGCTTATGTCCTGGCCTGGGGTATCCCTGAATATTACACAGTGTATAACCCCCTACTCTTCCCACTCTTAAGAAAACCAGCAATACAGGCCAAATTGCAGTAAAACGTCAATTTAATCATCTTCAGAGATCAGCAAAGGCCAAAACAACAAACTAAAGTTCTCCTAAAAACCCTAAACTTACCTATCAAAAAAAAAAATCTTAAACAAATGACAGAATTTATTCTTTATCTGCACTCTACACGCAGCTGTTGAGTCAAAAAGATTAGAAATACACACACATACAAATGGGGAAATATCAAACAAAAGCCAAACTTAAAAAAATAACTTACTTACCCCCTTTCAGAGTAGGCCTTTGTTATTCTACTTGATTTAGCCAATGTAGACTTTACAGTCAATATGAACATGTCTGTTTTCTCCACATGAGTGAGGTGAATATTCAGCTCTTCAAGGTAATGATCAATTCAGACAGTGTTCACACTCTCGGGAGTTTGCTCTGCTTGTATTATTAGTTTAATTTTACAATGCTTTTGGCAACATTTAAGCACCTATTGATTAATTACATCCCTCACCACTACAGGATAGAGTTATTAAATGTGCAAAACTTCAGATCTAACCTTCTTTCTTTTTCTGCAACAATGCATGAGTGAATGTGAGCTGGAGCTGGTTGTCAGACACAGTAACTGAATGCTGAAAACCGTAACAGTAAATCCTTAGTCTTGCTGATTTACATAATGATGTATTCCCTTTGTCATGTCCAGGGAAGCCATTGGTTTGTTTAAGTCTCCCAGTCTTTATCTGTAGAAGTCTTCATCTGCTTTCTTATCAGATTCAGGAAGGCTCATTTCCAGTACCTTAATAAAGTCGCTTGAGGCAGAGAATAGGTCCTGTATATTTGTGTGACACGCTGCCGCTGTTCCAAAGAAAAAAACGCTTCTACAATGGCTAAGGATTTACACACGCACATAGGATGTTGTATGTGTACACTTTGTGACGCGTATTAAAGCAAACAAAGAACAAAAAGCGCAGTCAACAAAAATTACAGCGACCTAGACTCACCTCTCAACCCCGAGTGCAGGTAAAGCAGCCCCTTATATAACCCGCCAGCTTTCAAACCACAGTGCCCATGTGACCCGAAACCCAGTGAAACCAACAACAACCAGACAAAAGTAACTGAACACTGAATAACCAATCAGCAAAGCAACATTATGGCTCCTACAGGTAGTTCTCTCTCCTTAAGCATGAAAGTCTCTTTTGAAGGAAACAGAGCTTGATTTGGACAAAGATGTATATATTTTGTTATAGTACTACCCGCAGTGAAGAATGCTGGATGCCATCGCAAACCATTGAAAAAAATCATAATGTTTGAACTGGGAAGTGTTTCCAAACTTGTCTTATGGTCACATTATAACCAGAGTCTTTCTATGAACCTCTTAAACCAACCCAGTATTTATCAGAAATTCATGATTCTTAAGACCAACATAAATGCTGCAAAAGTTTTGATTATTTTTTGTTCCAAGGGTACTTGAACTTATCATAAAACTGATGAAAGCTACGGTCTACGATCTGAAAACCAGTTTGGCTGTTGAGACAGATTTGAAAACCGCAGCCTGCCCCCCCTTCACTCACCCCTCCCCTCCGTGTTCCAAGATCCCGCCCCCCCCCCATCTCCTGCCGCCTCCTCACAACACGCCCCCTCCAGTGGAGCAAGAAGCCGGTCGGCAGAAAATATCAGCAGCAAAGCTAGCTTCGAAAGCAACTCAGAATGTATCTGATGCAGATAAAATTGTCGAAGCTGGTGGGGCCGGTGGTCTCTGGAATCCCACCTTCATTGAAGTTGAAGCGAAATGAGATTCTCATAGCTGAAAGTAACAAACACTACAGTCATCCCCCTTGTAACACACAGTGGTAGCTATTTCAATTGGACCGGTGCTAGCCTGTCAGAGCAGAGCTGATTGTGGGCGAGGCTTTACCTTTCTCGGCGTGTCTTCACCAGCTCAGTTTACAATGCTAAAGATGCGCGGCTAACTTATGCTAAAGCCTACCCGTTCCGACCAACAACGTTCAGTCATTAGCCAGTATCGACACAGACTAACCAGAGTTATTCAGCAGACATCTCCCACTGTAGTAAACAAAGTAATTATCTGTTCAACAGAAATTCGGCTGTCTCAGCGTCAGTTTTCAGTCCCAAATCCCTCTGCAGCTATTTCCACCGGTCGTACGTTTCTCCAGTGTAGACTCTCCGTTGGCACCTGTATCGCTCATATTTCTTCCTTACTTCAGCCTTTTCCTCGAAACTTTTACGTTTCCTTCCCTTCAATGTGGAGGGTAACAGAAGCGGCCTCCTGGTTTGGCTCCATTACGCTTCAGCAGCTGTGCAGCTCGCTAATCACATGTACTGAGGGGGGTAGTGGGGAGGAGGCGGGACCATGGGCGGGATGGTGCGGAGCAGGGGAGACAGGGGATTGGATGGACTCATGGACCACTCCCCAATTGGTCGATTATTATGCTTTTTTGCAGCGGATATACTGAATGGATTTTTTTCGTTCTTTTTGATCTTTATTTGCGTAGATCGGACCATAGGACCATAACGGCCTTATAAACTGTGTTATTAAAAAGTACCAAGCTTCCAAATGGTAGACCATAGCTTTAATTTAAGGGATAGTTCCTTTTTTAGAGGGGTTGTGTGTGGTACAGTATGTATCAACAGTAACAGTGTTAGGTACTGGGAGCTTGGAGAGAGAAGCTCATTTAGGCTCCTATTGTCAGACATGGCACATGCTTGCAGTGCACTGAATAAGCCTCCTGCTTTAAATACCTGCACTGGCAGTGCAACCCCACTTTTGAACCTGAACTAATCATAAGTATCTTTAATCATGTTTTCACTGTGTGATGAAAGTTAAGCGTGTCATGCCTCAGCTGGTGTAAATGTTCTGTTTCCTGTTCTATTCCCCAGGTATTTCCACACAATCTACCTGGGCATTAGAAGTCGACAGAGTGCTGAGACAAAGCGCTGGCGGTACCACTGGAGGATGGTCTATGAGTTTGCAGATGTGAGCATGCTGCATCTACTGGCCACCTTCCTGGAGAGCGCTCCACAACTGGTGCTGCAGCTGTGCATCATTATACAGACACACAAGCTCCAGGCTGTGCAAGGTAGCACATTTTCATTCTGTTATTGTCTGTCTGTCTGTTTTCAAAATACAGTCAAATTAATCTAAAAATTGTTTTGGAAAAAAGCCTTTCTATTTGTTAACAGATTGCATTTAAGACTGCTTTGGCTGCAGCTTGAAAGGCTGTGTCCTTTAATTCTGTTTTTGCCCTTGCAGCACTCACAACTTTAACTTCACAGCGCCTTTCACCAAGGTTTTGCTAGCTTACCAAAGATGTCCCACCGTTCTTCTGCCTTCCTCTGCAGTTACCATTTAGCATTTTTTTTAAATGCTCTGAGTATTTAGAACTAGCTTTCATTTCATAGCATTAAAAATAAATAATAAAAATATTTTATAGAAACTGTGCTTGTCTTTGCACTAAAATGGCTGAAGTGCTTTTAGTTTGAATGCTACTGAAGGAACAGTGGGCACATCTCTGAAGTGTTTTCTTTCATGCTGACCCACTGTGTCACTTTCTTCATGTCTGTTGTAGGCATGACTGCAGCAGCCTCCCTCGTCTCCCTGGCCTGGGCCCTGGCCTCCTATCAGAAAGCCCTGCGAGAGTCTCGAGATGACAAGAAGCCCATCAGCTACCTAGCTGTCATCATTCAGTTCTGCTGGCACTTCTTCACTATCGCCGCAAGGGTTATCACCTTTGCTCTGTTTGCTTCTGTGTTCCAACTGTACTTTGGCATCTTCATTGTCCTCCACTGGTGCATCATGACCTTCTGGATTGTTCATTGTGAGACAGACTTCTGCATTAGCAAATGGGAGGAGATTGTATTTGATATGGTGGTGGGAATAATCTACATCTTTTCGTGGTTTAATGTCAAAGAGGGACGGACAAGGTAAGGGCACTTCAGTGCATCTGTTGTGATATAGACCTGAAGTTAACAGCTGCGTTAGTGGCTGTTTTTGTTCAAATTTACTCTGTAACTTTGTGCATTTGTCACCATCCCCACGGCCGTAGTGTTGTACAGAAAAGAAAACAGATTATCTGCAGGTCCCTGACATGCTCTTCTTCACACAGAGAGAGTTTTACTATAAAATAAAGTGCCACACAACTTCACGGCCATACCACTGCTGTGCTGCCTCATGGTACTACTCTGAATACAGTGCCAGACATTGTTTGGACTGGTGGTATTGTTCATCAGGAATATCATTTCTTGGAGTTAATGGCTTCAATGAAAGGACTCAGTCAGACATTCTGCCAGGATTGTAAAGAATATTGAAAGCCCAACTTTAAATCCTCATTTGAGGCTTCTCCGCAAATTTAACTTTAACATCTAATGAATAAACTGAAACAGGCTGTTTAAAGGTCCTTACACATTGGGAACGATGCAAATTTACAACATGAAATTACGAAATATTCTGAGGCGAATTTTGACACGCCTGACTACACACATCGAGCGCGATGGGATTTTGTGACTTTCCAGGGGGAAAAAAGATGCATCCCGGGTGGAAGCAAGAAGACTGACACAACAGCAGACTGACTGTTTTTCAGTTCTGATTAGACACTAGTGTTGAGATGGCTGTCTGTCATGGTAGCATGTACTGAGTCGGGGCCAGTACCAGATAAGCTCATTAAACTATAATCCATAAACATAAGGTAACAACCGAGACCTAATGGTGCTATGACAGCAACGCGATTGAGTTTGAGACAGTGAAAATACATATGGTATGTTGTATCTGAACAGGTTAGCTTATGAGCTAAAGTTACTTAGCACAGATGAAAGTTAAAACGAAGACGTTTAGCAAACTGTTAAAGCACACAAACCATCGTCAAATGAGAAATCTGACGCTATGACTATCTACAAGTTGTCCTTCAGGTCGTTATCTTTGTAATGTTTGTGTCTTTTATCAAAAAACACTCTGTTCTCCGACATGTAAACAATCAGCCGGTCGGCCATGTTGGATATACCAATGAATCAGACGTCGCAACAACACGCAATCTGATTGGTCAGAAGTGGACACACAGTATGCGAAACTTTAGAAAATTCGACGTGATACGATGCCGCAATATCACAGGACAGGAAAACGTTGCAGATGTGAATGCTTGTATTGACAGGACACGGGTTCGAAAAAAAATATTGACGTCTGAAATAATCTACAAAAAAACGCTCCTGGTGTGTAAGGACCTTTAGTGTCAAGTCTGAATATTTCATTGTATTGATGATTTTAAAGGGATGGACTTACTGACCAGTGTGAATTCTTCAAAGCCCACTGTCACAATACGATCAATGCACTTTCACCAACATTACATCACCCTTCTAATAGTGTAGAAAAAGGGTTCCATTCTTCAGTAGCTGATTTGGATTAAGGGAGCCAGACTTCCTTCTCTGACCTTGTCTTATGTCCTTGTTTAGGTATCGACTCTTCATCTATTACCTGGTGATCCTGGTGGAGAACGCTGCTCTCAGTGCTCTGTGGTATCTCTACAGGTCTCCTCTAACTACTGACTCCTTTGCGGTACCAGCACTCTGTGTCATCTTTAGTAGTTTCCTCACCGGCGTGGTGTTCATGCTGATGTACTATGCTTTTTTTCATCCCAATGGGCCACGCTTTGGACGGTCTTTGAGCGGGCAGGGTCTGGACCTGGACCCCACTGCCCAGTTCTCCACGCTACCATCTGAAGGTGCCACCAACTCACTGCGCTCCAACCGAGGTGCTACCACAACACTAGAACGTGACATGGGCAAGTACTCAGAGCGGGACGGCTGTATGCCCGTGTTTCAGGTCCGACCCACAGTGCCATCAACACCATCATCCCGTGCTCCACGCCTTGAGGAGACTGTCATTAAGATCGACCTTTGTAGGAACCGCTATCCAGCCTGGGAACGCCATGTCCTTGATCGCAGTATACGAAAGGCAATATTGGCCATAGACTGCTCCCTGACTCCTCCACGGCTGCAGTACAAAGATGACACTCTGGTACAGGAGAGGTTGGAATATGAGACCACGTTATAGTCCCACTTTGCTCATCAGGAGCTAAGTCAACTGAGGATTATCTCAATACCTGATAAACGGCAGCAGGGACCGTGGCAATAGGTATTTATTACTACCAACGATCTCACTTGTCATCACACAGTCCCTTACTTTTTCTGTTCATCAGCATCAGCATCCTGTTGGTAGTACTCAGATGTGGCCTAAGTGCAGTTGTGGTGTGTTTTCAGGTTCTTGTTAGGGTTGTTGCTGTTACTCTTACTTTGAATCATCAGGGAAACCCTGCCTGGTATGAACTAAATGTAGATCAATGAGAGTGCTTCACACTCGGCTTGGACAATACACAAATGCACTGTTTGGTTGATGGTGGAAATATAAAAGTACACATATCTCCATGTCCACCTCAAGGAATTTACCATCAGATATTCCACTTAAACCTACATGACACAAAAAAAAAACAACCTTAATAGAGTTTAGAAAAGAAAAGGTACCTCAGTCAGTACGAATAGAAACTATTGACTTTCACAGCTCGCCTCCTCGTTGGGGAGTGTGTTAACCGTCTGTTCTTGCATCCATACCAATATGAAACCACTCAGCTGTCTCTTTTACTGAGTCCTGACCAGAAGAAAAGCAAACATGCTGGTGTTCAGATATCAGAAAGTTCCAGTTGTTATCAACCATCGTCTTTTTATGCACCGTCATTTCGTTTGCAGATGGAAAAAAACCACAGCTGACAACGAGCGTGATCTCAGCACGTTGTTATGCTGTGACATTAGTATGGAATCTTGCCATTTTTAATTTGTTTGCTGTATTTTAGGAAGAGGTGTTAGTGCCAAAAGGTTCCAGAAAAGTGTCCTCCAGCCTCTGAGGAGTTGAAAATCCTTGGGCATTCTAGTAGTCCAAAAACTTCTCAGACCATGGTGTTTAATTCCTCACAGATATTCCTGGTCTGAACTCCAGAGGGTCAGACAGAAAGTGGACTACATGTAGACAGTGGTCACAATAGCAACTTCACTCAGTCATGTGGCCTGTTTGGAAAAGTCATCCAAAAGTGGCTGAAGCAGAGGATAGCGAGTATGAAACAAGGGTTGAAAGCGGAACAGACACCAGCTCCCAGCCTCTCTCCCAGAAGAAAAATCAGCCAAACTCTCATAATGCCAAGGCAAAATCTTTCTGGCAGCTCAACTGAACAATTTGTAGTCAGCCACATAAACCTGGCTGTCCAACAATACTGATCCTTGCATGTGGGGGAGCATGAGGAATGGAGGGCAGAGGAGACAAGCACACTGTAGGCAGAGAGTATGACACAGGACATGGAGATGTGTTGGAGATGGAGAGGTAGAAAAATTGTTGGCAAGCAGCCATCTCAGCCAAACTAAACCAACCACCAGGATGTACAGTACCCTGATGTAAATGCAGCATTTTTTTTTTTACTTTTGGGATGATCTGGAGGGTTCTGAAGTCGCTGTACTGCTGTGTGTCTGTGGTTCAGTCTGTATGTGTTGGCAGTAGGTGATGCGTATGAGGTGAGTATACGTGTGTGTGTGTGTGTGTGTGTGTGTGTGTGTGTGTGTGTGTGTGTGTGTGTGTGTGTGTGTGTGTGTGTCCATCCTTTATGATAAATTTGTTTAGTGAAGTTCAGCTTGGGTTCTTTCACCTTCAGAGCAAAATGTTCCTTTTTTTCACCAGCTAATCCACAGTTTTAATATTATCACACCAAAGAATACTTAACAAGTTCACAGAGTGCTGGTGGTTTCGGTTGACTTTAACAAGAAGATTTAACCAAGTGTTATCAACATCAGTGCCACAACAAAGTATAATTCAGGGCTGTTATAAAATACATAAAATTTCTGATCAGAGTTCACCTTTTGACCACAAACATTTGTGATTAGAGACAGTACAGCAGGGTATCAAATGAAGTCCTACACACGGGTGGCTCAAACGAAAGCAGACAAAAAAGTTGTAACTGATTCTTTTCGTCTTATCTTAACTACAGTAACTGCTGGTTGGTGTGAAGAAAATAAATCATGATTACATAAAATATACTGTGAACATCTGTGAACATGCCTTTTGCTGGCATCACATTTAAAACAAGTGTATGTTTATCATGAAGGAACAGATATCTTTAAGTTTCAACATTTGATCAGTTGTCTTTGCTCCGTTAATCAATTAGATATAGGATTCTGAAGGATTTCCAGACCATGTAATTTTGTTTTTAATCCGCATTTTACACAGCCTCCCAGTCTTTTAAAGGGAATTGGGGTTGTATTGTTCATATCATGTCTTGTGGAGTGTACCTTTGTTTCAGAAACTAACAGTAAACCCCTTTTTAGACTAAAAAGAGAAAAAGATCCTGACAAAGGGCTCTATTTTCATGCCCGTTAGCAGAGCAGCGCAGGGTGGCGCACCGTACGCAGTGGTATTTTAGTCCAGCGCAGACCTGTGCACAGCCAGTTAGGTATTTTGGTGGACTGAGGCGCACTGAGATGTGCCAAGCTGGGTGTGGTGGCGCATTAGGGGGAGGTGTCGACAGAATTAGCTGGTGCAGTGACATTTTCATGCCCGCCGGCAGCGTAGTAAGTGCGCTGGAAGCTCGCCGATTCAAACCTGGTCAGCTTTCAGTGCAGGTCGAGCGCAGCTGGTCAGGTGGTATTTTGGTAGACGGACGCAGGAGTGTGCACACGTCACCAGTGCCTCAACGGCAGGTTTCCACAGTGTCAGGCACATTTCAATGCAATAAATAACAACAACCAATAATCAGTGCAACTATCTGAGTCAGCACATAGACTTATATCTATATTCTGATGTATAGGCTATCTTATCTGATGATCATTTGGACACTCAACCTGACTGAATTAAAACAGCTGAAACCGCATTAAATTGAATATCCAGTAAATAGTCACACATGATGGAATTAACAAGATATTTAATTTATCCCCCACTTCCTTCCTCTGTTCCTCTTCCTCCTCTTTCTCTCTCCCTGTCCTCACTTTTCATCCTGATGCTGCTGCAAGGCTGACCAGATGATTTATTTTAGTGATCAGATGAGTTATTTACTTCAAAGATTTGAACAGAACAATAAAAGAGACTTTTATTCATAATTTCCTGTATATCTAATGCTCTTACATCCTTTAAATTCTGTGAATATTCAGTCTGGAGTTAGGCCTACATAAGAATATTATAATATTCAGTTGCATAAGCCACATTCATTTAACACGCCAACATAAGTGAAAGAAAGAGCCAGGCCACGGAGCGCGATGCTTCGTGTATGCACAGGTGGTTCTGATTTTAATGCCATTATTGGACTTTGTTTTTGTGAAGTGTGCACAACCCTTCTTTGTCATGTGGGGTTTAACTATATGCAACTTTATGTGAGTGTCTTTATTTGTGGAAAAGGATGTTTGTCTTACCAGTGGGTCCAACGTTACACACACCAAATCCCTCTGTGCTTATTTAAGAGAGTGTGGAGGACGCCCTCCACAACGCTTGGAGCAACACTTATTGAGGGGCTGCGTCCTGTCACCATCTTGTGGTGTTGCTGTCTTCAGCCATCTCTTAGACTACTTCACGAAATTTGCAATACGCCTTGCCAGTGCCAGATTTAAAGGTGAGGAGAGGAGCTGATTTGTTCTGTGAAAACAGGACTTGGCTGTGTTAAACCCGCTCCACTTCTTCTCCCCTCCCCCTTTCCTACTTGCACCGCTGGGTGGAGCTAAGTAGGCGGGGGGGGGGGGGGGCTGCACCGCTCACCAAAATACTGAAGTGTGCTTGGGCCTTGCCTCATCGGCATTGCGGACCTGACTTATGCCACGCCTGCACCATGCTGCCGGCAAGGCACGAAAATAGTGCCCATATACTTATTTGAGGAGAGTGGTCTGTGGTAGGGTGTCTGCTTGACTGAAGCCATGCAAGTGCTGTAAAAAGGAGTCTTTAATAATCTCACTAACTTTTATTAACTGTCTTCATGAGGACACTAATCCTTGTGTGTTACCTTACCAAAAGGGACACAAAAGTTTACCAGCTTATTACTGTGTTGGAGGCAGGAGAGGGATTTGTGAGAAATACTGGAGAGGAGGGAGTTACAGTAATCTAACCTGGAGAAGATGAATGCAAGGATGAACTTTTCTAAATCAGCAGGGAGAAAAACAGATTTGATTTTAGAGATGGACGTGATCTGAATGAAACATGACTGGACTGTTTTGGGTCATATTGGATCACCAGGTCTCAGCAGTGGGTTTATCTGTGGAGCAGTGGAAAGACAGATTATGGCCCTGAATAACTAACAACTGGAAGCATGTAAATAGAGAATTGAAGTGGGCCTAAAACAGAACCCTGCGGTACACCATGGGTATTACAACTGGTGACGGAGGAGTGGTTGCCTAAGGTGAAGGTTCTGTCTAAAAGATAAAAACAAAGCCAATTAAGTGCAGTACCCTTGACACCAACCCAAGTCTTGAGACGTTACATTAAGATGGCATGACCCGCAGTGTCAAATGCTGCACTTATATTTCCTGTCAGCAGCTAAAAACAGTCAACTGTTACCTGGAGGAGGGCTGTACTAGTACTTTGCAAAGCTCTAAAACCTGACAGAAATTTCTTCAAAAGATGTTGTCATTAAATCTAAAATCTGTGTTAAAACTACTTTCTCTAAAACTTTGGATAAGAACGGTAGATTAGAAATTGGCCTAAAATTACTAAAAACAGAGGGGATAAGATTAGGTTTCTAGAGATTGGACCACAGCATGTTTGAAAGCAGAGAGAAAATGTTAAAAGTGAGCTATTTGTAATTGATAAAATACTGGGCCTAACTGTATCTAATACTTTGAGAAATTTTATTGGGAATGGTGTCAAGGATACACGTTGTTGGGTTCATATGTGATGGCCTTGAAGGCAGCAGTATTGGGTTAATCTGTTATAATATGAGTCCAATCATCAACAGAGCTGTCACTCCAGGAAATCAAACACTGTTTCCTTAACATTCATAAAGCTGGAGTGACTAAGATACTCCATCAGATCAACACCCAGCAGCTTGGTCTGGTTTACCATAATCTGAATAAAGCACTGGTTATAAAACAAAACCATCTACTGGGACCTAGCTGCACCAGGAGAGTCTGATCCAAAATGTTTTGCAAAGGGCATTTTTTCCAGAGGACCAGGTGAAGGTCCTGGTGAAGGATTCAGTGGAAAGGAGGCACAAAGACCGGAGAGGGAAAGGGAGAAGGTAGAGGGAACAAGAATTAGGGGATGGCGGGTCAGAGATGAAGGGATGAGGTGGATTCAGCTGGAAGACAGAAGGGAAGAAGAAAAGTTATTTATGTCCAGAGGGGTAGATGGAGGGTGACATTTATATCTATATGATAGCACAAAAACTGTCCAATGCCAGAGGAGACGTTTGTTTTCGTAAATCGTCTCTGTGATGAGTCAAATAGGCTCTGCTGAGAGTTTTGGTGACAGGCTGCAAAGGAAGATACTTTGGCAAAAGCTGTGGTTTAGACACATGGAGTCCTTAAAACATGTAGATGTGTTACAGGGACATACTGGACCTGAGTGGGGTTTTATGAAGGGTTTAATTCTGATGATGAAGACCTGGATGGTAAATGATAGCAGTCTGTAATGACAGTAATCACAAGAAGAAAAAGGTCCTCTGAAATGAAGCAGGGAAAGTCCAGGTGAGATCAGAAGGCTGTGAGAGAAACATTGAAGCGAGTTATGCTACGTTCCAGTTACCCTCAAAAGTTGGATGTCGGAGCTGGGAATGGCGTTACACCCAGGTCAACGACGCTCCAGTTAACAAGTCGGAAAACCAAGATGGACGCCTACAGTTAGCTGTTGTCAGTCGTTGTCAGCTGTTGTTAGTTGTTGTTAGCTATACCAGCTGTTAACAACACACAAGACAGTATTTACTCTACAAACAACATAGCACCATGTTCACGGTTAGACGTTGGCCAGTACAACATATAACACTTATTTAATTTCACAAAAACAAAACAGAAGTGGTAATAAATAAAACATGATGCATTACGCTGCCATCTTGGATTATGATGTTGTCGTCAAGTCAGGGTTGGTGAGAATCGTCCGATTTTCCGAGTCGGAAATCTCACTCCAGGGGGGCATTCCAGATTAATTTTTGACTTGGCGCTCGGAAATCCCGACTTCTGGGTACAACTGGAACACAGCATTAGTCCTGTCGGAGGGGGAGTGATGGTGCTCTGAGAGGAGCACAGCGCCTGTCCAAGTGGTGACCAGGTGTTAGCGCTGGTGGCTCGGTTAGAGATTGTGGCAGAAAATGGTGAGACAGGAATTGTAGGAGTGAGGCTCACATGATAAAGAGATCATGAATGGGAATGAAATGCATTAACTCCTTGAGTTCAATTTGTCTATTGCTGTATTCACACATGCTCTAAACTCCTGGAATAATCCATCAATTTCAAGAGAAAGCTGCAAATGTGTGAACATGAATGGCTGAATTTTTTAAGTTAGTCTACCTGCACTATTTAGTGGAGGCCCAGAGTCAAAATTCAGCTGAAGGTAGGCTGAGCTGTGGTCAGGAAAATCCAGTGTGAGTGTGTAGGAGCACAGTGTGTTACATGCATGTCGTAAAGCTGCTCTATCCTCCTCTCATGTTCTTAACTGCTCATTATTGCTGAGATGTTGTGAGGACGCACAGCCACAAGTAACAGTAGTATAGAAACTGTCTTCTTTCGTGAAGTGCCCTCCCTCATAGATCCCTTTTCGGAGGCTGAGGATGATTTCTGATCATTTATAAAATGAACTTTTTCTATTGTTTATCACGGCTAAGCTATGCTTTAACACATTTTATGGAAATGATACATAATAAAGGTGTGACTTCCTTTTCCTTTAAAGACCTAAATGTTTAAACACAAAAAGCTCCTGGTGTCCTGCACCTGTTGTGTTGTAACGTGATCTCTTGATTGATGATAAGTGGAGGAAAGAGCACATAAGAAAGGCCATAGCAGGGAGTTGTCAACTCTGTATGAAGCACAACCAGACCAACCCTAGCCACAATGAGCTCTTCCTATCTTAGCCAGATTTATCTACATTGTTGGACTACAGCGAAAATGAGACAGATTTCTTTTATTAAGAGTGCTTGAGGAGCACAGAGGCTTCGTATTCAGCACAATGTCTAAAGAAGGACTCATTCAGACACTCCTGAAGACTGGCACTTTTCCACACTGCAAACAGCTGAGCTGAGGTCCACACTGAGTTCTATCTTACCTCTCTATAACAATTAAGGCCACTGGTAGGTTTATCTTCAAGCAGTACTGTTGTAAAAATGGCACAAATGCACCCTCGGCATCACACCTTTTTCAAACAATAAGACGACAAGTCCCCTGGTGCTTTGGTCAGCCAGTGGCTGAAATGAGAGGAATCCTGATAGATGAGCAGTAGTGGTCTGAAAGAATAAAAAAGGTTGAAAAGCACATAATGTCTTGTAGCTAAATCTGTGTAAATGCAGCATTATGTTCATTCAAAGGGAAGTCGAAGCATTTTACATATGTTTATTTGCAGTATCTTCAAAATCCGGTGTAGCCTTAGTTTAATAATCGCTATCTCATAAATACTGATATGGTCTATAGACTGATATATACAGAAAATTAAACTACCTCAGTTGTTTCACAGAAAAATCACTCTTGAGCCTCTCAGCACCACATCATCCTTCTTTGATATTAGCATGATTTCCAACTACAACAACAAGCCCAACAAGAAAACAGTCATTTCCTGAATAAAAAATGTCATTCAGTATGTTTAAATGCACTTATAAAAAACAATTTACTGCCTTAGTCTGTCTGAAACTGGACTTTTAAAAATCATGTGAACATGTTAGTCTGACTGAAATCACACTGAAAACAAACTTCTCCTAGTTTCACTAACAAACCTGAATAATGTGGTTGTAGAATGATTTTCTCTTTCATTTATACTCTTCAATCAAACTCAAAGTAGCCTAAGCGTTCTGAGCATGTTCACGCTCCGAGCTTTTAGCTGGAGGTTTAACAGCAATGGATGTTTTGCAGAGGAAGCCAGGAACCTCGACAGATGAAGAAAGGACGTGAAAAAGGCTAAACTTTCCTAACAAACAGCACAGAGCTGTAACTATGGCTTCCTGTTTGCTCTGTCTCCACCTACTATAGCAGAAGTGGATATGCTTCTGCCAGTTATTTGATTCCTGCTCGGTACATGTAAACTGGGACAAAGACAGGAGTCCTGTAAAATCACCTAATCAAGCTTTAATTGTAGCTCAACTTTACCCTGCATGTAAACATACTGAATGTTGCGCTTTGGAGCAAACAGTCAATCATACTGACACAGAATAACCTGATTTAATAGGTTTTTTTCATTTTCGTTTTGCTTCATTTTCATGAAACCTAGGTCTTAAATAGGGAATTAATTCAAACCATCATACAGAGTTTTGTACGATTACAACCACCCTTTGGTGAGATATTAAGTTACTGATGCATATGGTGCCAAATTCAGGAAATGTATCAAAAATAGGATATAAAATTTAATCTGACTCCCTCCTTACTTTTACTCTAAAGCTGCTTTCTTTCTTTTCTGCTTTTGTTTGCCTTAAAGAGAATATATTTTTACTTATGTCTTTATTTCAGGCTCATAACTCACTGAATTTCCCCTCTGGGATTAATAAAGTTCTTCTTATCCTATCTTATCTTCTTATCTTAGAACCCGGGATATTGTTTAAGGTTACAAGGAAGTGAAGCTTGGCGTTTGCTTGTGTGTGTGTGAGATTTAAGTGTAGTACAGAGTGTCAGCGTCAACGTCAGGTACTGTGTCTCTACCAGGACTGATGGAAAGCTTTGAGCTTGACTGCTTGCAGTTTGAGCCTGACATAATTTGGTGGTGTAAGGCATGTCCAGGATCACAGTGCCCCCCGATTTTTGGTCATTTTCCTCAGTAACCATAACAAAAAATTTTCACTCTCACTGCCTGAGTCTGTCAACACTCTTCCTCATTGTGTGATATCATCAGTGAGCCACCAACACAGTGAACTGTCAAGAAGAGGATCATAGTATAAGACATAAGCTGCACAAACTATGTGAACTAGCACAGTTTGGTTTTGTCCAAACCACTTGACTTTTTGGGAAGTACAATGATGTGAAATTAAAATCCACTGAAAAGTTACCAATTATGGTGGAGGCTCTGAATACTTGTGTTTTGTGCAGGTCAGAAAAGGCCTTAGATCCAGACATACCTGAAGAACTGTGAAGGGATTCAGCCTTTTTGTTTGATGTGGAATTTTATCCCTGCTAAATCAAATTCACATGTTGTTTTGACAAGGACAGCATCCAGAGGGGTTAATAAAAGGCTACCTGGGCGACACAGTGGCCCTGAAGGTCAACAACACAAACTTGTGACAAGCGCACACTGACACTGGTTTCAAGTTTCCTCATTTGAATTCTTTGATGAATCATGAAACATAAAATAATAATGATAAAAAAAACTCATACTTAACACTTTCTCAGTTTAATAAATTATTTATGTTTAATGCAACTTTGGTCTTTTCTTTTTTCATATATTTCAGATTTCTTAAATGTTTTTTATTTCACTCAAATATTTGTGATTTTGGAATTTTCATGACAGATTCTGGCATTTTGTGTATATTTTATTTATTTCTATGAAATATTTTTAGCATTTTCTGAACTTTGGATTTTCATGAAATATTATTGTTGGTGAAATATTTTTGAGTTTAAATATATTTTTACCTTTTGTGAATTTTTAATGAATTTTTTTTGCATTTTGTGAAAGTTGGTATGCATTGAAAAATGTTAGCGTCTACTGAATGGTTGATCATAATTTGCAGTTGACCTTTAAGGCCACCATCAGACAGATTTCCCATGAGCCCCAGTTGAGACAGAGAGAACCAGAAGAAAAACCCTCTATGGAGGCTGACCGAGAAGCATCACACGTCCTCATTATCTGACCACGTCTGCAGCCAAAACCTCACCAAATCTTCTCAACCACTACAAATAGGTTTTTAAGAAATGTCAAATGGTTATATTAATCATTCTAATCAAAGCGTATGGATTTGTTGTGTTTGTTAGACTGGTATGAGGACCTGTCAGTGATGTTTCCACAAAGTCACCACAGCCTGCACATCCCTGTGGCTCTGAGAGTGTCAGGCAGTCTGTTTTTTTCACCAGCTGATCAGATCTCTGCTGAGGTCAGGACACATACCAGCCAATCACAACAGCAAAGTCAACCTTACACGGTTAGCGGGCGCTGTCCAGCCGAGAAAACAGACTGTATTAGATGGGATCCACACCACAGCAACAGTTCCCGAGGAAGTCATTCAGCCTTAGTACAAGCACAGTAACAAGCAGGCGAAGGGGGACAGGAGCCCAGGGGCACTTGTAAAATCCTTCTGTACAGATGTCTGTTTAGAGAGTTGGTTGAACCTGAAGTACCACAGATAGTGAACTGATCAAGCTTATCTGTAAATAAATGTATGCAAAGTGTACACTTTAAAAAAGAACATTCCTCTATCATGAGTTTTGACTGTGAAGGGTGTCTTTAGAGGTTTAATGCCACACTGATGGCTGTAACTATGACAATATATTACAGAGGAAAAAAACGATAAATGTGGTGTATGTGGTGTATTTCAAAAAAGATACATATGTTAAAGAAAAAAATCTTGGTTCTCTCAGTGAGTTGCATTGTGTGATGAAAGTCTGAAGTGCTAAAATGCGTTTAATGGGGAGAAAGTACATTTTATTGTAAAAAGAAAAATCAAATGTGATAAACGTGATTAAAATGACTTTTTTGTATATATGGGATTTTTGTAAATTTTTATTTGAATCTAATGCAACACAAACTACCAAAATTCATTTAATAAAGTTCACTGTGGTCATTTTTCTGGCCTGAAGTTTCTTCATTTTTGTTTTTCTCAGTCCCATCAGGTTTTAGCAACAGTCTGGGGGAAAAAGCACCATCAATTTATTTCTCTATGTTGGGTGGGTGATTTTTGTCTTTTAATGATAGGACAGGGTGAAATGTGGGCAGATAGGGAGAGAGAGTGGGGAGGACATGCAGCACATGATCGGGGCCGGACTCGAACCTGTGACTGCTTCGGGGACTGTGGTCCCCAATACATGGAGCGCACCAACCCGCTCGGCCATCTGCACGCCACAGCACCACCAAATTTAACAAAGCCTTACTCTGAGCTACTTATGTGGAGGAGTGAATGTGTACAGCCACCAGGGGGCAGGAGTACACAGCTGTACTCCTGACATTACCACAATAGAAGTGAAGAAGAGGGAGGTGCGCATAGACAAAATAAAGAGTAGACGCCTTATCGACTGCTGGGGCAGGTGCAATACGACCGCCATCTTGGTCTGGTCCTCCTGCCCATAGACATAATAGCCCTGCATCCTTTGTGAGATTTTCACCCCCGCTATAGATATACCACAGCCTGGCCATAGAGAGTGGCCGCCACAGGCAGACCTGGCTGCCCAGAGAGGTGAGGTTGTGTTAGCTCTGTCCGAACACACAGCTTGAGACAGAGCAGCACTTCCTGTTATACTGTGACACATACACACACATCAGGACACACACATACACTAAACTCACACACACAAGCCAACTTCACCCAACTCACAGACCAGGAAAGGTTTAGAATTCTCTTAGGACCGCTGCTTTAGAAGCAGCAAAAATCTCTTTGTCTCTCTCTCTCTACATACATACATATACAGTGGATATAAAAAGTCTAAACACCCCTGTTCAACTGCCAGGTTTTCGTGATGTAAGAAACTGACAGCAAGATAAATATACACACCCTTAAACTAATACTTTGTTGCAGCACCTTTGGCTTTTATTACAGCACTCAGTCTTTTTAGGTAGGAGTCTATCAGTGTGGCACATCTTGATGTGGAAATATTTGCCCACTCTTCTTTGCAAAACCGCTCCAAATCTGACAGATTGCGAGGGCATCTTCTGTGCACAGCCCTCTTCAGATCACCCCACAAATGTTCGATGGGATTCAGGTCTGGACTCTTGTTGGGTAATTCCAAAGTCTCAATCTTATTCCGGTGAAGCCGTTCTTTTGTTGATTTAGATGTGTGCTTTGGGTCATTGTCGTGCTGAAAGATGAAGTTCCCCTTCATCTTCAGCTTTCTAACAGAAGGCCGAAGGTTTTGTGCCAACAGTGACTGGTATTTGGAACTGTTCATAATTCCCTCCACCCTGACTAAGGCACCAGTTCCAGCTGAAGAAAAACAGCCCCAAAGCATGATGCTGCCACCACCATGCTTCACTGTGGGTATGGTGTTCTTTTGGTGATGAGCAGTGTTGATTTTGCACCAAATATACCTTTTGCAATGATGCCCAAAAAGTTCAACTTTGGTTTCATCAGACCATAACACATTTTCCCACATGCGTTTGGGAGATTTCAGATGTCTTTTTGTAAAATTAAGCCGGGCTTTGATGTTTTTCTTTGTAAGATAAGGCTTCCGTCTTACCACCCTACCCCACAGCCCAGACATATGAAGACAGCAGGAGATTGTTGTCACATGTTCTACACAGCCAGTACTTGCCAGAAATTGGTAGCCTCCCTGACCAGTTTTCTTGTCTTATCATCAGTTTTGGATGAACGTCCTGTTCTTGGTAATGTCACTGTTGTGCCATATTTTCTCCATATTTTTTTTAGGGTTGAAAACATTTGCAAGAGTCACAACTTCAGTGCAAAAGCAAAAAAAACTAATCACAGTTGGAGCCATCACGTTTTGGATTTATAAATAATGGAAATTTCCGCCCGCTGCGAGCTGTCCTACTAGCTCAACCAAGCTCCAAAATCCCTTGCATTTTTAAACAGGTGTATAGGAATCTAAAATAGCCACTTGACAACCACTTATTTAGTACAATTAGGTGATTAGAATTTGATGAGTTCATAATTTAATTATTGTTAGGATTTTACTATAATTATTATTATTATTATCATTTAATTATCAAATTTGATTATTATTATTATTATTATTATTATTTTTTTTTTTTTATTACTATTATCCTGGCACATCATATCCCAGTACAAGCAACAGAGACAACACAGGAAAATGATCCTCATAAAACATTTTTATCAAAATAGATTTATTTACAGGACAAAGTAAATCTTAATATTTAAAAGTGCAACATTTATATTATATTCAACACCGTTAAAAAATATGCAGTAAATCATCTGAAAAACAACAACATAAATATGGAAAAGGCAGCCAGTGGACAGCAGTACAGCACCCAGTTAGACATCACTCAAAAACACACTTGTTGGTCTTATAAAGGATTCTTGAAAAAGTGAATGTATAAATCAGAGTTGGCAGTGATACTTTGATGACTACGAGTGCAAAACGAATTAAATTACAATGATTACTTACTCATACTGATTAAAACACAGATACTAACAGACTGAACTTCAAAACCTCTATTTATACATGGTGAATGATTAGTTTACAACACCAATAATAAAGTATATGAACATTACAGTAACAGGATACTGAGTTTTCAAACAGACACCGAGGGTTTAATAAGCAGTCATTAAAATGTGTGTCAGGGCCAAGGACTCTGTTTTGGTCTGTTGATGATTTCAGTCACGCGGTGTCCTGCAAGCTTTGACACAGTGACAGTCTGTGGGCTGGTCTTCTATTCAACACATGAGGATCAGAATATTAAATCCTCAACTACGCCTGATGTGCTGTGTTTGATTACTTCTCAATAATGTTGGTAATAATGCTAACTTGCTTCTTTGGAGGATATGAGAAACCCAAGTTAAAGGGGGCGCTCCGTTAATTTTATACTTGGAGATCAATTTGGTTCATTTTCTGAGAGAAAACTGAATCAAAAAACAATCAGAAACCAGAGTTATACTCGAAGAAAACTGGATAAAAACTCTATCAGAAGAGCTTGACTCCTGAAAAAGGACAGAAAAAAATGACTCCAGGAATTTCTCTCTATCCCAAATGAAGGCTTTGGACAGGCTTTGCTCTCCTATTTTTTATGTGTAGCTCAGAAACAGAAAGCAATCTCAGCTTTAATTTTTTGTCTTGTCATTAGTTGATAACCTGAAATCAGTTCTTCTTCTTTACTGTCAGCAGTCACAGGTGGCAGCCACAGCACCTCCACGGCTGCAGGTTGGACTTATTCCCTTATTGGGCCTAAAAATTATGGTATCATATCATTATACTGACCGGTGATTTAAAACTTAAGCTTGTATGACAGCATTAAGACTTATCATGAATGAATTATTTCTTAGAAAACAGTAAAAGTCCAGAGAGTCCAGGTTGAAAGATAGCAGACATACCTGTACATCCTACACATGGGACTTTAGAAGACCTACAGTATGTATGAACCTTATAATTCTTTTTACCTGCCAACCAATAAAAGAGATATGTAGCTTAAAGTTATCCTAAAGAGTTTTGGCAAGGCAGCTGTTGGAAGAATGGCTCCTGAAAACTAGAAAACCAGAAAGTAGGTCACACTGGAGTCACCAGATCTTACCCTGCGTGTAAGTGGTGTTAGACACGTCCAAAAAGCAGTTACTGAGGTGAAAAATGCTCCAAGAATTTTATGCCTTTCTGACATACTTGATTTTCTATTTTTCATCAATATGGCAGGAGACAATGTTTAGTTACTGTTGAGAAACTAACACTTAAATTAATCCACACAATATGTATCAACTTTTTTGTTCAAAAATAACTTTCAATAGCTTAGTACCCTTTGTCGTTGACTGAGGCTCCTGAGAAAAGTGATTTTTTTTAAAGTTTAATCTGTGCCCATATTCCTAAAGATTCTGTGAATCCTCTCAGAGGGCTCCTGACTCAACCTAAAAACTCCTAGCAAGGAGTCTTTGCTTAGGAGTAATACCAGAACATTCTCAGAGAACTCTGATCAAGGAATGGACAGAAACTCCTATCTTGGTGAGGAGGTGTGGTTGATCACATTCCCAAAACATATGCACAAATGTACCACCGGCCCTCTTGCATCTAGGGCATTTTGAAGAAATATGCTTTGAGATTTTATGCATTTTCATTGGGGTTAAATACAGTTTGTGAATAAATTTGAATTAGCCTCTTTGATTTTATTACTAATAAATGGAAAGTGTATTTTTTCACGTGTTTTTCCAAGCGTTTTCCTCAAAAATTATCCCCAGTTCCTTCCCCCATATCTTCTCTAAAGTTTGAAAAGATGACAGACCTCCTTGTGATGTAATATTATAAAATTCACTAATCTTTCCTTTAATTGTATCTGAGGACATGACCGTATCCTCAATTCATTCCTTCACACAATCAGTTCTGAAAATTGCATTCGATCTGATACCTAGCTTGTATCTTTTAAATGACACACTGGAAGTTCAGTTGGACCGAAAAAGAAATGCAGGATACTAATTATAATCACATATTTCATGAAGAAATGTATACTTTTACGTTGGAAAGATAATTTCCTGCCAACTTTCAAGCTCTTTATAGATCAGATGTCAGCGTTTTTACAACTAGAAAAATTAACCCTGCAAAACACAATAGTGCTCATATCTTTCAAGATTTTTGGACTCCATTGTTTTCAGAATTGGAGAATTTCTTTAAGAGGGACTGTTGACTATTTGTGGTGTAGTAGGTATGCGTTTGTATGAGCATGTATATGGATATGTTCACATGTGTGACCTATATATATGCACATTTGGATAGAGTTCATGGATGTTATTGTTGCTGCCTTTTTCCTTTTGTATTTATTTGTCTGTTTGTTTGCCTACTTTTCTTGTTTTGTTTCTTTGTAATATGCATGTCGGATTATGTGCTCTTTATTTGTTGGCAAATAGATATACTTATTTATTCTATTTTATTTATTTATTTATTTTTTATTTTTCTTTCTGTTCTGTGTCCCTGGGGATTGATGGGGAGAGTTGGAAATTATGCATTTAAAAGAAAAAAAAAAGCAGACAATTTTCATTTTAGGTTGTTACATCAATTTGAAATTTAAAAAAAATTGTTTAAAAAAAAAAGCTGTGATTGGTTGATCCCAAAAGCCAAATAAAAAATATACTTTTGGTGACAATGGGCAAAGGATGGACCCTCACATCGATGAACTCAATCATAATATTTCACATAAAAGAAAATATCTGTTAAATGAATAGTAGACTATACTTTAAATTTATCTGACAAAATGTTTGAAAACCTAAACCCACTTGCACAGTATTCACATAGTGATAGTTATCTTTATTTTCTTATTAATTGCCATGCTGGTAATTTCTGCACTTTCAACATTTCAACTCAATTTGGTATTAACAAGGGTAAAATGGCTCATCTTTCATCAATGTCTGTGATTGCTGACGGTCCCATAATAAGCAGTGTTGGTTGGCTTTCATTTGGGATGGTATCGCATTGTGGCGTTGGGTTGGAGAAGTAAGTGCATCTCTAATGAGATCAACCACAAACATGATTCCTGGACGTTCCAATCTGTAGCTTTTCAATACTTCACTGTCAGCCAGTGTTTGGAGAATATCTCTCCTGCCGCTTCTGTCCGCCATTTTGTCCTCTGCTTAGGGAACTCCTAAGCTGCTTCAAAGTCCTCTTCCCTGCTCTTAACAGATCTCACCTTAGGAGCGCTCTTAAGAGCTAGGATTCTTGAGGAATAGCTTTTATCTTTACTTGGATCTACTCTTCAATTTTAGAGGAAATTCTAAGAAAACATCATGGTTCTAAGAATTTTCTTAGAATTTGGCCAGTAGGAGCAACTCTTTGCACCAAGAATCTTTAGGAATACGGCCCCTGGTATGTAACCCATTATTACAAGTCAGGCATACAGTATGTTAGTAAAGCAATATTTTTGGATCTGTGTGCTTTCAAATTAGATTAACAGTCAGTTGAACTTTAACAACACTTTCCAAACTAAGGACACATCAACCCACTAAAGTCAAAAGAAACCTGGACGCTGGGACCCTCTGAGGAGCACATGAATGCAGCTTGAGAAGGCTCTTACACTCACTTACACAAGTGTAAAGGTAAAATAATGCATCTGTTACATGTTTGTAGTAACCACTGAACTAGCACTACATATACAGATTACTGTAAAGCACAGCCCCTACAAACTGTGAAGTCTTTGGTATTACTTACAACTTCTTTTAAATCAGTTAGTAAACAAATCAGAAAAGATGAACTCTTTTTTGTTTCAGCAGCATCTTTTCAGATAGAGTATCTGAGGCTGTGGGACTCACCTTCAAGTTTCATCCTCCCTAAGATCAGAAGCCCTCTGATGACTGCCAGATTTCTTTTAGGTGTTTGGTCAACTCTGACAGTTTTTTTTTTTTTTTTACACATGTACATGTTTGTTCTGATGGATAAGTTAAAGTCTTGACTACACCAAGCCACCGGATCAATGTTAGGTAACCTATAGCCAGCTGATACAAAATGTTATGAGTTCACATCAGAATTAAGATGAAGACTCCGTAACACAATACAGATGAACCCCTGCAATGGAACAAATGGGACAGATCAGCAGTAAAATATCCACTTATGGAGGAAATGGTCGAAATGGTGGACCCTTGAGATGCTGACAAGGTCTTGACATTTCTCTGATCTCAATCCAATCAAACATTAGTGAAGTGTGCTGGACAACCAGTCTAACCCTAATGTCTTGGTGTCAGGCACTACAGCACACCTTCAGAGGTCCACTCAAGTTGATGTCACTGACGGTCTTGGCTGTTTCAGGCTAACCCCGACAAGAGGGGGCCTCTGTACTCACATGTTGAAGTTTCTCTGTCACTGTCAGAAACACTAAGGGCTCTATTTTCGTGCTTCGTCGGTGCGGCGTAAGTCAGGTCTGCCGCACTGATAAGGCATGTCCAAGCACATTTTGGTATTTTGGTGAGCAACACAGCTCGGCGTAAGTATCCCCCCTCCTTAACTCAGCTCCTCTCAGGGGCGTTAGTAGTAAAAAAGGAGGAGAGAAGGTGTGGAGTGGGTTTACCACAGCTAAGACCTGTTTTCGCCAATCATATCAGCTCCTCTCCTCACCTTTAAATCCGCCACCGGCGAGGCGTTTTACAATTTTCGTAAAGTAGTCAAAGAGATCAAGAGATGGCTGAAGACAACAATGCCACATGATGGCAACAGAAGGCAGCCCCTCAACAAGTGTTGCTGTAAGCGCTGCAGAGGGCGTCCTTCACACTGTCTCATATGCTGCACTCCGCCTGCACTAAAAGCTGTCCAGGTTTGAATTGGCAAGCTTTCAGCGTACTTTATACGCCGCCGGCAGGTACGAAAATGTCACTGCACCAGCTGATTCTGTCGACACCTCCCCCTACTGCGCCACCACACCCATCTTGGCAGACCTCAGTCCACGAAAATACCAAACTGGCTGTGCGCCGGGCTCCGCCAGACGAAAATACCACTGCACGGGGTCCACCACCCTCCGCCGCATTGCCGGCGGCCACAAAAATAGAGCCCTAAAATTTAAAGAGTCTGAAGTCCTAGAGCTGTAGACTAGCTAACTCAGCTGAACTTAGTAGAGATGCACTGCTAGTGAATGTCAGAGCAGGTACCAATGTTTCTTGCATCATTTTTCTGTGTCTGATTTTCCAGTTTTGATGTATTTTTAGAATTGCTCATCCCATCTTTAAATGTCTCTGGAAACCTTCTACAAACTGTTACTCATCTCGTCATCCATGTCATAATCACACACTGGAGCTTGTCCAGCATGGACTTCTTCTGCTCAATAATAATCTCTCTGTACAGGCAGTACAATGCGATAGGTATCTAATTTTACATCCATGGGATAAAGATACAGGTAGGATGCTACAGGACACTAACAAACATCAGCTACTGACACATTATCTGTCTATGTGCTGATGTCTGTTAACAGGGCTTGTATCTGCTGACACCGATGTTCAGCTGATACACTGGTGCATCCCAGTGTTGTTTTTGGCAGGCATTTTAGATTTAGTTTTAGTCTTAGTCATTTTGACGAAATGCTTCCTCGTTTTAGTCCCATTTTAGTCATTTCTATCCTTGATAGTGTTCGTCTAGTTTTAGTCCGACGAAAGCTCAAAAGGTTTTAGTCTAGTTTTAGTCGACGAAAAGGTGCCTTTTGAGGTTCGTGGTGTTCTTTCCCGACAGTTTGAAGCCGCAGCATGAGGAAGCTGTGGCTCCACAACTGTCGCCTGTCTCGTCTCCCCGTACAAGACATTGTGTTTTATTGTCACTTGGACTGTATCTGAAGTAGGACCATAAAGCATCCCTTTTTTTTCGGCCACCGGGCACCGCTGCTGTGCCTGCCGCCACGGTGTGTGTGTGTGTGTGTGTGCGCGCCTCGTCCACCTACCGCTCTGTGTATGTGTATGAGTGTGTGCGCGCAGCTGTGCGCGAGCGAGGCTTTTGGTGCGTGTGTGATGGGGGCGTGACTGTTCGGACAAAAAAAAGCGTGTTTTGAAACTTTGTTCGTCCACCTAATAACAATTTAGTCTCGTCTCGTTCTCGTCTGACGAAAATGAAAACAACTTTCGTCACATTTTAGTCTTTACAGAGCTTTGGTGACGTTCGTCTTAGTCTCATTTTCGTCAAGGAAAAAAGGGGTCTGACGTCGTCATTCAAGTTTTCGTCCTGCCTGACGAAAACAACACTGGTGCATCCCTAAAGTTTAGTGAAAGGACCTGAAAGTTTTCCATTTGACTGTGAGGGTTTCTCTACCAAGGGCTTGTCTGAAAAGGTCAAAACCCCCATGACCTACATGCAAAACAGCTTTGTGTAGTGCTGAGTTGGTCAGCACCTTTAACTGTACTTTATGAGGTGAACTAAAATCATTTTATGGGGTTATGTTTTTACATATCTAAAAAAAAAAACAAAAAAAACGATGTAGTAATTTGATGGTAATTAGAGAAAGTTTGTCTCCATGACTTTGTATCCACAAACACATGGTGAAAAGAACATGTTTTATTACTTGATCTTAGAAATATTTTTTAGAATTACTGATGGCACAGAAAATTCCCCCAAACACATTGGACCTAATTTCTGGGGATTCAAGTGAAGGTAAAAGGGTGTAAAGATGAGGTGACATTCAAACATCTGAAGCCTGGAGACAGAAGTGAGAAAAACAATCCCGTGATCTAGTTTCAGTCTGACCTTTTTTTCCCCCTGTGTTTTAAGACTTTTCATTATCTTTTGAAATTGTAAAAAATTTAAAGGAGAAAGATGATTTAAGAGAGGATGTAATTATGTCTGGTTCACTTTCCAGTTCTGTTGTTAAAAATTATGGAAAAAGATTGCAGTTGAAAACATGTTTCTGGCTGAGTGTTTATTGTTGTAATTCTCCTTTCAGTCTGCAGAGGTCCCTGTGGTTTTTTTGTCCTCTAAAATAAACAGTCCTGAAAGATTTTGAAGTTTTCTTCTAGGAGAATTCGTATTACTCCACATACGCATAACAAATATTGCTATTGTATCAGGTTCTTTATGAATACTAAATTCAATCTGAAGTATAGGTGTATGGATGAATTTGTATTTCATGGAAAAATTGTGGGTTTCACAAATACTTCCAAAAAACTGGTCTGGAAGTTTTTATATCTCACCCACACTTAAAACATTTTCTCCCAAAAGAGTTCAGTCAGACCTGGAAAGTAAATCACAGAATTTCTTTCTCACTCACCTGGTAAATATTTCTAAAATGCTGGTTTATCAACTTCAGTAATGACGTGTACTTCTTTGCACCCACAAAAATCAGTGCCTTTTAACCAGAAGTAAAACCAACCAATCAGCCTGCGCTTGGGTCCTACATCTATACTGTAATCAACTCTGACAGTAACTTTGATACAAAAGAAATAAGAGACTGTGCACAAGAAGAAAAATTATTCATCATTTAAACTTTTGAGGTATGATTTTTGTCTAGTCCATTAACTCAAATTCAGGAATTCTAGCTTTAAAGGGACAGTTCAGTGTTTCTAAAGTGGAGCTGACCATCATCCGCTGGAGCTAATCCACTTACTCCTGACAAGTACCTCATAAAACCCCACTGCCCCCCAAAAACTGAACAATCCTTTTAAACAGATCAATTCTGGTAATGAGCAGATAATAAAAACAAAACAAAAAAAAAGATTTAAATTAATTCTATAACAAAATTCCGCAAGATGCAATACAAAGACTGAGCATGCATAAGAACCTCAGCAGCTGCACTTACAGGTGTTGTGAAAAACTTCAAACATGTCAGGCCACCAGACCTGTGCACACTGAGGCCATCTCACCATCATGTGGTTTTGGTCACACTCTGGACAGTTTGTCTGTGTTGTTGTTCTGCTGAGGTTACTGGCCTTTGTTCTTGGAGTGAAATCTTTCCAACAAGGCTCTTAAGATGTTCCCTGGGATCCGCTGGTGCTGATCTATCAGAGACTGGAGTGCCTGCTGCACCTGCAGTTTGAAAAAAATAACACATTTAACAGCCCTGCTGGTGAATGCCCGGTGTGTTTGAAAACAGTTCCTGGTCACAAACATCCTGCGGGATACCATTCAAACTTCATCAGAGAGCGTGGTGATCCACAAAGATGACTCAGAGTTAACAACTTCTGAGGCAGGTGGAGGTAACAGTTCCACAACACAAACAATGACTTCTTCTTCCTCCTTTGTCACTTGTCATAGCTCATAGCTGGCCGGGAAATGAGCGCAGATGAGCATTTTTAATTTTACGTATTTGCAGGGGAAAAATCACGTAAACGAATGCAAGATTTTAATTGAAGTGAAACGCGATTGTTTATCTCATGAGAAGTGACGAGACAGCACGAAGGTGAAGAGAAATCAGTCACGACCAAATACCTGAGGCAAAGGAGGACACAATGGTCAATGTATGTGATTATCCAGGTTGCGGAAAGATGCAAAAGAAGTAGAACTCGGATTCATTTCACAGATTGCAGCTTAGATGTGGCAAGACTATAGTAAACTGGTGGCTTCTTGTATTGAACATAGATGTGAACACGCCGATTGAGACAGTAAGGCTGAAGAACAACCACGTCTGTAGTGCACATACAAGATACACAAGAACTCTGATTGCATCTATTGTAATAATCATAAACTTTCTTCCTTGAGCTGCGGACCTCCCCTGCACTCGTGATCGAGTCATCAGGGCTCCCCCACAAACAAGCAACTGCTGGAAGAGAGTGGGTGAGTTGTGTTTGGTCTCTTTGCTAAAGAAATCAGGCAAAGCTCAAAAGATGTTTGATGGCTGGTACTACGTCTGGGAACCTATATGTACTGTTGATGAAGTTAGGTGCTGTTCTGAGCATTATTTGTAACTATAGAGTGGCTTTTTGGTTGAGGTTTGTGCGTGGAGACGTAGAACGCTGTGTAGTGCTATTGTGCGGTCGTTACTAAAGTTGGTATAACTGGAGAAGCATTACTCAGTGTTACGGTGTGTTTGACCATGGCTTAAACTTACGCCGGAATATCTTTTTAAGAAAAGAGACAAGATAAACATTTATTTATTTCACAGTTGGGACATTTGTTGTGCTAACAGCGGCAAAGGATTAGCGTAACAGACAGGGAAGAATAGGTACACTCTCATAATAACTTAAGCACACTTACTTTCTCTGCCAGCTCTGCAGCGTTTATGTTGGGGTCATACGGGATGGGGTCACCAAGGAAGGTACGAAATTTCACAGGAAACCCTCCATAAACAGGAGCTATGGGTAGACGAAATCTCTCATACACCCAGCGATAAAATCCTGGTTTAAAAAAAGGAGACATGGAGAGATATAAGAGGGGATTTGGGTAAGGACAAATACCAAGGTAAGCAGCAGATTTCTATTACCATGTGTCGGGTCAGCCCAGCAGACTGTATGGGTTTATTTTTCAGAGCATATATTCTATCTAACAGCCAGCAGGGAGAAAGATCCCTGAGCTGTTAAAAGAGCAGCCCTGCAGAAAATGCACAGCTGCCCTTAACACGAACATTAACATTTTTAATTGTAGCATCACAAGTTTTAATAAAACCTTAATTCCACAAGAGAAGAGATGCTGTGGTAAACACCGAAAAACATGTCTTTATTGGTTTATAGATCATTTGACCTCCATATGTAATTTAAAAAGTGCGAAGACAATATATAAAATGTTGAACTAAAATCTTTTATTCTATGAATAAATATGCAAATTTTAAGAACTTTAGTGACAGACTAATGCATTTTGGCTTGTAGCCTTCATCAGGGCCACGATCCATGATCAGCTACAAGCTGAAACGTGTCGGTCTTCATGAGCTGCTGGAGTATTGACCCTTTAAGACCATTTTTCTTTCTCCATGCACTTTAAAAGTTGGTGAAGTTGTACCAGGGCGCTCCACTCTAGTTCTCCTGTCCCAACTTTTTGAAATGTCACAGCTGCCACCAGACTTAAGATGAAATTAAATTTTTTTCAAATTTTCGACATGAGACATGTTGTATTTGCACTTTTCCAAAATCAAATCCAGGTTTTCTGACAATCAAAGTCAGTTTTTATTAGGGCCCAACCGATATGGATTTTTTGGGGCCGATGTCGATACCGATTATTGGGGGGGGGGGGGGGGGATCAGATTACCGATTAATCGTCTGATTTTTTAAAATTTTTGTGAAGTTATAAAATATATATACACATATACATACATCTATATACATATACTGCAGATATCTACAGGCTACTGCTCTTCACGCCGACAGGAAGACCGACCAGGCTAAAATTGGCCGATTTAATGGGCTCGCCGATAAATTGGTCGGGCCCTAGTTTTTATCAACATTTTTTAACAGTGTTTCAACTCTTTTAGTTTTTGGGCTCTACTCTAATATGTTTATTTTGTATATACGGAGTATAATGATACAGCAGAGTTTACTATAGAATTAGACAAGCAAAAAGCCTTTAAACAGACTTCAGATCTTTACAACAAATGTGGTTGATTTTGGGTTTCTATGTGACTATGACACCGCAATCATTGAATCACTTCAATTCAGTTTACACTCAGCACACAACCTCAAGATTCATTTTGCTGTTTTGTTTAGTCAAACAACTTTCTGCGTCTTGTTCTGTTACACGTAGCACGAACACCGCCATGACAATATTAAAGACATCAGAGTACAGAACTTTTCCTTCATCACTTTTCCTTCATCCTGTCTGTTCATGATGAACAGACAGGTATTTGTACTCATTCACTGTCAAAGAAGTACTAAAAACCAGTGATGCTTATTAGTTTAGGAAAGACATTCCCAATGTGTCGCTACATTCACAAACAACAACACAAAACAGCAGGTATTGAAGACACAGTGCAGCCCTCTTTGTGTACAGTTGTGTCATGTGTGTCCCCAACTCTTTCCAACACTTACTGAGTGTCCCCAGAGATCTGAAGCCTTCACGCACATTCTGAGTAAACATTGGAATTACTGGCTGAAAAAAGGACAGAATAAGAGAGAGAAAGAAAGAGAGAGAGAGAGTTAGGGAGGCTTCAATTATAAGTGATTACTAGAAAGCACATTATATCATTTAACATACCAATAACTGAGGCACACACCAGAGAACTTCAAACCATGTCTAATTTTGAAGGAGTCTTGATTTAGCTGGTCTGAGTTCTTTCGGAAGCTGGAAGATCAACAGTAAATTGATAGCTCAGCATTAAGTGTCTGAGAGAAGAGTTAGTTCAGGCAGGCCACCAAGGCAAGCTCATTTCACAGTGCATCAGCTGATCTTGAATCAGCTGACAGCTCTTACCTTTTGTAACAGGGGCAGTGATAGTGGACCAGTAATAAAGAAGTCAGGGTATTCTCTGCACTGGCAGGGATCGTGTACTGGCACAAGTGAGTCAAACTGAGTTGTTCATACTCACATTTTTTCTTCTTTAATCTTTTTTTTTTCATGCTATTTTAATGAAGTTATTAATTTTATGCTATTATATTGATACAGAATTCATAAACATGACCTGCTTTTAAAGGTGTTCTTCAGGTTAAGAAGCAACATCAAAACAAATATGGCATATTTAAAATGTAAAAAGATGTTGAATATACCATTTCTGTGGTAAGTCATACAAACAATAAAATTTTATTTTGTAAAGAACTGAAGCACAAGATGGGAAACATTGGCCAAGAGTGTAACTTCACTATATTTTTAAGTGTACTTTTTTACATTGGAGTGTAATATCTTATCAAATAACGATTACAGTGTAAACGTTAAGTATGCATTCAAGACTAACTCGTTAACGAAAACAAACAAAACAAAAAACACTGAGGCAGTCACAGTGGAGATCAACAATAATAACGCACCACTTGGGAGTCAATGGCAACCTGGGCAAAGCCTTTCCGTTTGCCCCAGAGAAGAGGATAGGTCTCATCGCTGAAGAGAGCCTCCCGCACTCCTCCTGGAGAAATCCCCAACAGGTGACCATTCTTGAGGGCCTTCACACATTCCTCCTGAGGACCATGAAACACACTGAACACCTCCAACAGTAACTTGAAACCTGGAGTGAAGGGACAGTGAGGAGGGTGAAGATGGAACAAAGGAAAGGGCAGGTCAGGCAGGTGAAACACTGGAACAAAGCTGACATTAAAAGGAACAACGCAGATACTAATTCACACACCCAGCTGTGTTTAGTGGATTAAAAAAGTCATAACATTCATTTTTAAAGCTCCTGTGAGGAACTTTTTGTTGACGTCATCTTTGGCGGCCCCTGTGGACTAAGTGGTCTTTGTTCATCTTGTCCTCTACATGCTTGAATAAAGGTCCTTTTACACCGGGACCGTTTTTTTCCATGCGATTATTTCGTCAATTTTTTTTTCCGAACCCGTATCCTGTCAATACAAGCGTTCACATCAGCGACGTTTTCCCGTCCTGCGATATTGCAGCATTTTTTTTTTCGGATCACGGTCGATTTTTCATAAAGTTTCGCATACTGTGTGTCCACTTCATACCAATCAGATTGTGTGTTGTTACGACATCTGATTCACCGGTATATCCAACATGGCCGACAAGCTGATTGTTTACGTGTCAGAGAACAGAGTGCTTTTTGATAAATATCACACTTCATATAATAACACACTATTAGGGTAAAGGAAATTTGAGGACATAGATTAGTGATACCCAGCTCTTACTTATCCCCCCACCCCACCCCAACTGTGTTGTATATGTACCTCTGATTGGTCAAACTCCCTTGACAGTGGTAGCCCATCCTTAACAGCAAAGCTAATGCCAAAGACGACACACCAAATCAAATATTAGTTAGCAGGAAAAAAGCACATCTTACTTTTGACACTGAAGCAGAATAATCAGTTCACACTGACTCGGGGGTTGTATCTCATCCTGTCAGGATTCTAGTTTACATACAGTAACTACGCCTTCACCACTCATTATAGCTCACAAACACTGCTGTAGCATATGTTGCTGATCACTTGTAAAGAGGCAGCACACTCTTTCAACAGGACTACCCTGTCCTCTTGGTGACAAAATTCAGCCATCAACTGTCACCTTCTATGATCCTTTCTCACTGCCTTATCACGAACCAATAAGAGCTTTATCTTAGGACCTTGCTTAGCCACAAATATTTTCTATACCCACATCTACTGGAAGCAGGAAAAAAAAGGCTTAACCGTCTCTAAATTTAGCCACAGCAGCTTTCACAGGAGATTTAGAGAAACAAGATCAGCTCCAACAATTGCTGAACCTCCAATTCAGAGTAAGCTTTGCATTTGCCTTTCCAAGCGGCCACATCGGCACTGCTTAATGAAATGGTCTGGAGGAACATTATTTTAGCTTGAAGCCATCTGTCCTCATTGATTTTCATTTACTGTTCCAGGGTCGCCTACACTGGCAAACTCCCCTCCCACTTCTCAAAAACCATGTAGCGCCAGTCCAGGGAGATTGTGGTGTTGGCACATTCTGTCTGATGGAATTCTGTGCTCTGCCAATGCTGATGCCATTGTAAATGCACAGACCCAGCACTCTAAGGGGGACCAAGGCCTGGAGAAAATGCACATACACAACACTGAGTAAATGGACTTCATGATAAAGCTGCACACACTGAGTATAACAGTGCTGAATTTACAAGTTTTCTGGTGAGTTCTCTAAGTTTTGTGCTAAGCTCTGTCCTGGGCTGTCCTCTGGACCCTATAGAGGAGTTTGGGGTCAGGAGGGTGATAGTTAAGCTATCATCTCTCACGGACTGTTCCCCCAACCCCCTACAGAGCACTGTAACAGCACTGGGCAGCTCCTTCAGTGACAGGCTCTTCATACACGGTGTGTGACAGAGAGATACCACAAGTCCTCCCTTCCTGCTGCAGTCAGACTGTTAAACCAGGCCTGCTCTCAGTAGTCCAGGTTTTCTTAGCACAACTAACGGACAACAACTGTATTAAATGTGAAAAGGAAAAGTGTATGTTTTTTTATTGTATTTGGCAATGTACAGTAATACAGAAATTCTACAAATTCAAATACCCTTAGTCCCACAGTTGTTTTTTTGGGTCTACAACCAGATAATTTGAATATTAAGAAACAGAAAAAATCTTTGTAGAAATAAGTGTGTGAATAATTAAGAGAGTAACAGCCGTCTCATAGTAAAATACCAGAAGTCCAAGCGAGTTATCTACAACCCTCCCTTTAGAGATAATTACATATATGTTAAGGCGTCGACAACATAATTTTCACCAGATGTTGCTATGTAATGCTATTGCTATGTAATAAGAACAGACTTGTCATATGTGATGGAAGAGCTTGGAGACATGTAAACAATAGTACTTTGCAGTATCTTAGATTTTCTTTGTATCTCTTTAAAGCAGTGGTTCTCAAGTCCAGTCCTCGAGGCCCACTGTCCTGAATGTTTTGGATGTTTCCCTGCTCCAACACACCTGATTCAAATGATCAGCTCGTTATAATGGCTTGATAACGAGCTGATCATTTGAATCAGGTGTGTTGGAGCAGGGAAACATCCAAAACATGCAGGACAGTGGGCCTCGAGGACTGGACTTTAGAGCCACTGCTTTAAAAGAATGTTGGTAAAAAATAAGAAATAAAATTTTAAAAAGGTACTTTGTCTGAAATGGTCTGTAATTCTTTTTCTTTCAACTAAGGAATTTAGGAATGGTTATACCAGTCAGTTATTTATAAAATAGTCCTGAAAATATGAAAAACTGAGATAATTTTGTGATCATGATTCTGCCATAAAAAAAATATAAATTGTGTTATAACTTTTTTGCCATACTAACCAGGTCTAATTTGAACCTGCTCAGGGACTCTGTATCGACCTGGGGTCCACTGTGGCTCAGTGGTAGAGGCAGTTATTTCTCAATCGGAGAGTCGTGGGGTTGGTAACAGCTCCCACTATCCCTCTGCTAAAGACTCCTTGTGTAAGACCTTTTAACCCAAAAGCCTCTGGTAGCTGTGTTTGCAACTTTACAACTCCACCTGTGCCAGCAGTGTATGAATGTGGTGTGAATGGGACGTGAAACCTTGGTTGGTTTTTGCCTGCCCTACTTTTTTTTACAGGCATTTTAAGTGGTCTGACTGAAAGGATACGTTGTTCAGCTTTTTCCCCAATATAACAGTCATTAATGTTTTGGAAATATTTACAGTGACACTCTTGAGTCTAGACAAATAGACATGACTTCTTTTGGACCACATTAAAAGAAGTGCCAAAATGCTCTTACTCTAACCAAAGTTAGAGAGCTGTTATTCAGTAATGAGAAGCTTAAAGCAGTAAAGTATGAACAATATCAATCACAAGATGAATATGCAACCAAGTTGCAATATTCAAACAAATGAGACAAATTTATCCCCTATCTCCCAGTCCCCTGACAATGCCCTACTTTTCACATCTTTGAAGTCTGAAGAATATGGCTCACAGCAGGAAAACAAAAACCTTTTTAATTGGAAACTCGCACAGAAGATTAGGAGAACACAGGATGATCACTTCAGGGCTGCTGGATACAGAGGGTGGGTGAGTTTTCTCAGTACTGATCCTTAGTCAAGATTTTAGTCATAGTTCCTCAAGTACTCAGTTTGCTGACTCACCTCTGTTAGATCTGGACTCTTTATTTCTCCTCCTCATTGGGACTTCTTTCACAGTTAACTTTAAAAATTAAGTTTGATGAAGTTACGGATGGTCTGATCACTTTTTGAACACAAGGAAGAACTTGACAAACATCTTATCTCTGTGCTTTGGAGGCTGAATGTTTTCTTTGTAGTCAGCGAAAAGGGGGTGAGACTGCAATAGTCCCATTAAGGGCTTTAGATGTACATGAAAAATAAATCACATCTTGCTAATTTCTTAGCTGATTTTCATGTGTTTTACATTATTTTCAACGCCAAAACATATGCTATAAATACAGAACATTAGTTTTTTTTTTATTCAAATGATTTCTGATTCTGCTGTAATTTGCGTTGTTTTGTAGCTCTGTGCAATGTGTTGTGGCCTTTTGCATTCGCACCGTAGCTGTTTGCATTTGTGTTCTTTTTCTTTTGCAAAGGGTTTTAAATATGCAAATCGCCTAACACTTCCCGGCCACTGTACAATAATGGTGATTTATTGTTGCATTTCAGAGATTCACTGCAATGAAAGATATATCACCCAAACCCTAACCTATAAGAAACATGGCACATATCCTGGACTGTAAACTGTGGTCCGTTTGGTCTTAACTTTGCCTGAGATTAATGAACAGAAACATGAAAACAAAAGAAAAACAAAAGGTCGTCTGTGGACAAAATGAACCCTGCATTCTCATTTGTTTAGATTTGATATGTTTTCGGTTTAGTTTGCATGAGTGTGACAGTACCTGGGATCTTGAAGAGAAAGTGGTCAGCTATGGAGTGGCAGGTCCGTCCCTTTTGGATGATCACATTAGCCAGGAAGTAATAGTAGTCTATAGGAATGGCTCCATGGTAGTACACGATCAGTGCTGGTCCTTTGTCTGGGATCTTCTCCATTCCATGAATCTCATAGCCTAGGGACGGGGACATACATGCTATTTTATAAATGTGTTTATTTTTTTTTCCTTTTGTCATCTTTTTCTCTTACATTCAAACAAACTTGTTTCAGAACTATATCCCTTTGAAAAATGTATACAGTTTATGTAACAAGGAACAAAAAACAATGTCTAAGAGCTTTTTTATGGTTATCTAGAAAAAAGTGCCATGTATTTTTATGTAAATTTTGTATACACCTTAAAATGTTATTTAAGAGGTTGGTGTGGACGAGGTGGAGATATGAGGCAAAAAAGAAAGCTACAAAGTACAGTAACCAGCACTAACCACCAGTATGCCACCTCTTCACTTCCCTCACGCTTAATTCTCTCTTAAAGTCACAGTCGAGTCTAAACCAACACTGCACCGAGTAAAGCGGACAGGTCATAAAACTACAGTATACAGCCCAACAGGTGATGTAAAGGCTCCAAAATACAGCTGTCTCTAACAGTCTTTGGGTCAGTACTAAGCTTTAAAATTATATGTAAAAGCAGTACAGCAAGTCTTTCCATTTCCTTTCCTGTAAGCATAAAGTTCGATATTAAAACTGACACCAAAAACATGCAGCTTCCACCAAGAATCCAACTTTTCCTTTTCTAAATTCAGTTTCAGTAAAGGCAGTTTTTTATAAGCCTTCTGAATACACCACATGTAAAAAAAATATAAAACTGTAAAGTCTCTAACCAATAAAGCCCACAGTGTGTTACCATGCCAGATAGCTCCATGTCCATCCCACAGAGTAGCCAGGGTCTTCCTGGCACCATCCCACAAGTTGTTGCTGTAAGCTTCCCTCAGCTGATTCTTCCTCTGTTAAAAAAAAACAGATAAGGTTTAACATGATACAAGGAAGGAAAAGCTTTTTTTTTCTATAACTCTTGTCAACTCTAAACTTTAGTTCTTGCACTCTTGTTGGATTCCTCAGACAACACAAAACCCATTTGCTCTCCATGTCATGATTACTCGTTCAACAGTTCAGACACTGATGGCAGAGGCTGCCACACTCAAAAAATGAATCATGGCATAGTTTATCTTTAATTTACATCTGTTTGATTTTATTCAAATGATTCATTTTTAAAATTTATTTATTGTGGTAAATGTAGCAAAGGGATTCCCGCACACAATCCTTTATTTGCAACGTTTCGGTACTAGACCTTCATGAGGCAAACATTTGTAAGTCCCCGGTATCTGGATGACTTTTTCTGTTGTTGTCATTCACTGTCATTGTAAGTGTGTTTAGTTCAAAATGCACAAAATGAACTTTGGATCATTGTTATTGGATGTATATTTTGATGATAGATGTGCCCTTTTTTACTAGATATGGAGATTTGTTAATTAAATATGTCTGTTTTTAACTTACAATGTAAACTTATCTCCTACAAAATATTTCAAAATACTAATTTATTTATAATCGATTCACTATGTTATGGATTTCTCTTCTGGACATGTAGGTATTACTTTAGAGCAGTGGTTCTTAAGTCCAGTCCTGGAGGCCCACTGTCCTGCATGTTTTGGATGTTTCCCTGCTCCAACACACCTGATTCAAATGATCAGCTCGTTATCAAGCTCTGTAGTGGCTTAATAACGAGCTGATCATTTGAATCAGGTGTGTTGGAGCAGGGAAACATCCAAAACATGCAGGACAGTGGGCCTCCAGGACTGGATTGAGAACCACTTATGATAGGTAAACATTACAGATCTGTCAGTTGTCGACAAAATCCTATCCAGTTTATTATCCTTTCAGACAGATTTACAGAGACAGACAGAGAAAAATCCCACTTTCTTCTCTAACTATTTATTTTTCTTTCTTTCTTACAGTCAAACACTATCCACACTTGGGGTTTTTTCTCTAGCATCAAAAACACAATGAAGCAACAATTGTATGAACCACAAAACAGTCAGTAATAAGTGGTTTGCTGGAAATTAACTGCAGTAGCCTGTGCTTAAGGGAAGCTCTGATAAAATGTTTACTCATTTGTAAAACATGATAGAGGAGTTTGGTGTTGCTCTAATAAAAAATCCACTGTCACTCAACTGATATGTGTCATTGTGGAACGCAGCCAATGTCTCCCTCGTTCAGAGAGACTGATGAAGACACAAGCAAAGGATACAGAAAATGACCAGGATGCCATGACCAGTAAACCTTAGTCTGGTTCCTGTTATCACTAAGTGTTTGTAAAATCTGATAAACAATGCGATATGTGGTTCAGTAATCTTGCAGTGCAGATGCTTTACCTTATATACATGGAGGAAGAGTATGGAGAGGTACAGTAGGATAACAATGAGGAAGGGCAGGATGAAGACGATGGCCAAAGGGGTGAAGACCCACAGAAGGTACTCCAAAAAACTCAGGTAGTCCTCTATCTGACCCAGGCCTGCCCAGTCCTCCAGCACATGAAACACACACACCTGTGGACCAAAGACAGGCAAATAACAAGATTCTGCAGTCTGATCTGGACAGAAATGTAAACAACTGTCTGGTGAATCGCCCAACATTGTTCGCTCAGATAATAAATCTGTGATTTAATGGTCCACACTAGGGACCGACCGATATGGATTTTTTGGGGCCGATACGCATTATAAGGGGGAAAAAACATCAGATTACCGATAAATCGGCCGATTTGAAACATTTTTTATGCAGTTATAAAAAAATATATAATACACTGTAGATCAGTGGCGATTGCTCTAAGACTGCAAGGGAAGCTCAGCTTCCCTTAAGATGTCACCCCCCCCAAAAAAAGAAAAAGTAGTGAAATACGTGCTACTGTGTGTACATTTCATTAACTAAATACGCGCTAGAAAGCCTTCATCTTTTGTTCAGAATCAGCTTCGTATCACACTGTGATAAGAGGCTGATAATCACAGGTAACCGGCATAACGTTCTCATTCATCCTCGCAGCGCCTCAGCGCTTCACACAGCCAGATGCTCAGCGTCTGCTGACTTCAATGTGGAAGCTCAAAGTAGGTTGTTCCAGCAGCGAAACTAGACGCTCATTGGATAAATGCTGGGCTTTGTCCCGCCCATCGGACGCTCAGTGTCTCTGGAGTTCTGTGACAAGAGGGCGGTCCCAACTTTCTTGAGGACGCTGAGCTTCTGCATCTATGATTGGATGAGCTGTCTGAGGCGAAATCCTTTTTTGATTGACAGCTAAACAAGCGAATCAGCGATCTTGAAGACTAAAACATCTACCAGAGCATTTTTCAAGTTATTCATTCCGTTGTTCTTAACTGCTCCGGAGACTTTAGCGATCCTCAGCAACTTTTGTCTTTGTTAAAAACAACTGCCGTTGTGTTTGGCGACTCTGTTCTGTTACAAACAAATAAACAAACACAATTATGATGTAGGCCAGAAAAATGAGCTTCCCCTCCTTGAAAGACCAGCAGCCGCCACTGCTGTAGATATCTACAGTGTAGGTTACTGCTCCTCACGCCGACAGGGAGACGGAATGATCATCTCAGTAATATTTCACATATTAATCATGGATCAAGCTTGTACCAGAAAAGCTTAATACTTCACTTAATACTGATTTTTTTAAGTGTAAAAAAAAATCTACCAATCCCTGAGGTAAACAGCACTGCAAAACTATAGAAGTTATCTTTATACTGACGAGGAAGGATCAGTCGACACATTTATTAAGTCAACAGATAGAGTGCATACCAAGAAGGACAGGGTGTCCTCTGCTCCGGTCAGACAGGACTGATTTCCACTGTGTGACATCTTGCCCTGCCGTCAGGCACAGAGGTGATGGTTCAACCAGCTGATGACGGGATCAGTCACACAGCTTCATGAGGAAGAATCACATCGATGAAGAGCATCTACTGCTACATCCATTCAAACTAAAGAGAAAAGACACATGTTCAGTTTGGAGAAAATCAAGATACAGTGGATATAAAAAGTCTACACACCCCTGTTTAACTGCCAGGTTTTTGTTATGTAAAAAACTAAATCAAGATAAATAATTTCACAACTTCTTCCACCTTTAATGTGACCTATAACCTGTACACCCTTTAATAACTGGGGATGTGGCTGTGTTCAGATTTAACCAATAACATTCAAACTCAGGTTAAATTGGAGTCAGCACACACCTGTCACCAATTAAAGTGCCTCTGATTAACCCCAAATTAAGTTCAGCTGTTCTAGTTGCTTTTCCTGACATTTTTGTAGACACATCTTCCAGCACAAGCCATGGTCCACAGAGAGCTTCCAAAGCATCAGAGGGATCTCATTATTCAAAGATATCAGTCAGGTGAGGCTACAAAAGAATTTCCAAGGAATTAGATATACCATGAAACACAGTAAAGACCGTCATCATCAAGTGGAGAAAATATGGCACAATGGTGACATTACCAAGAACAGGACGTCCGTCCAAAACTGATGATAAGACAAGAAGAAAACTGGTCAGGGAGGCTACCAAGAGGCCGACAGCAACACTGAAGGAGCTGCAGGAATTTCTGGCAAGTACTGGCTGTGTAGTACATGAGACAACAATCTCCCGCTGTCTTCATATGTCTGGGCTATGGGGTAGGGTGGCAAGACGGAAGCCTTATCTCACAAAGAAAAACATCAAAGGCTTACTTTTGCAAAAAGACATCTGAAATCTCCCAAACGCATGTGGGAAAATGTGTCATGGTCTGATGAAACCAAAGATGAACTTTTTGGGCATCATTGTAAAAGGTTTATTTGGCGCAAAATCAACACTGCTCATCACCAAAAGAACACCATACCCACAGTGAAGCATGGTGGTGGCAGCATCATGCTTTGGGGCTGTTTTTCTTCAGCTGGAACTGGTGCCTTAGTCAGGGTGGAGGGAATTATGAACAGTTCCAAATACCAGTCAGTGTTGGCACAAAACCTTCAGCCTTCTGCTAGAAAGCTGAAGATGAAGAGGAACTTCATCTTTCAGCACGACAACGACCCAAAGCACACATCTAAATCAACAAAAGAATGGCTTCATCAGAATAAGATTGAGACTTTGGAATGGCCCAGCCAGAGTCCAGACCTGAATCCCATTGAACATTTGTGGGGTGATCTGAAGAGGGCTGTGCACAGGAGATGCCCTCACAATCTGTCAGATTTGGAGCGGTTTTGCAAAGAAGAGTGGGCAAATATTTCCACATCAAGATGTGCCACGCTGATAGACTCCTACCCAAAAAGACTGAGTGCTGTAATAAAAGCCAAAGGTGCTGCAACAAAGTATTAGTTTAAGGGTGTGCATATTTATGCAGCCAGGCTATTTTAACTTTTGTAGTTTTTATTTTTCCCCTCAAAGGTTTCAGTTTGTTTTTCAATTGCATTGTTCAGGTTATAGGTCACATTAAAGGTGGAAAAAGTTGTGAAAATATTGATCTTGCTGTCATTTTCTTACATTACTAAAACCTAGCAGTTAAACAGGGGTGTGTAGACTTTTTATATCCACTGTTTGTTAAAGGTGTTTCAAATATTTCTGCCCCCTCAGTTGTTAATGGAGAGGGTGTTTGCCTTCAGCCAGCTCCAGCCAACCTGTTCATACTGAAGCACACACAGCAGTTCCCACTGTCTTCTCAACAGCAACTTTTCATGGAGCAGTTTAGTAAAACAATAACAACAACAACAGTAGTAACAATACGAATAATAATGGATGTAGAGAAAGTAGAATAACAGACTACTCCACTCTCAGCTCTGAGGCGTCTCAAATACAACACGAAAGCTCATTTATATCAGATTTTCTATGCTGGCTCCAGATCTCAGATCAGTTTAAAGAAACCCGAGCAGACCAGAATCAGAGGAGACTGCGGTCAACAGTCAACAACAATAATGATCTGAGGAACTTTGACATGTTTTATCTGACAGCTGCAGCAAGCTTCCAGACTGAACGTCAACATCCAAAGTCACCTTAGGCTCCTGGAGATGATCTGAGCGAGGACCACAGACACGGTCCCTCAGACGGTCACTCCGCAGACGCAGACTGACTGTAGACTCCCTACAGACTGACTGCAGACTTCCTACAGTTAATATTACACCATCATAACAGCTAAACTGTTAGCTACCAGCTGCCCCAGCCAACCCTCACTCCGGGAGTGTTTCTTTGATACACACTCTGGTGTTCAGATGATTACTGTCCCTGGAAACCGGAGGAGCCTCAACGGAGTTCCAGGAAATGTCAGTGTAAAAAAAAAATAATAATAATAATAAAATAAGGCAGATAAAACTTCTTATTTAAAAATAAAAATACACGAGGCAGCTGTCAGCCACTCAAGCAGTGTGACTTCATTTAATACATACAAATTATATCTTGTTATGTTGTTATATTGTTTGATTCAGTTTTAGATGACACTGCAGGGTTTTGTTTGTTTTTGTAGTTTTCTCTCCTTTTGACAATAAAGATGCAGCTAAAAATAGATAACATGAAAGATTTGTTTCATTGTCCGCCGAGAAGTAATTGTTAATTTGAAGTCGGACACAAAGGGCGTTGTGGGAATGAACTATGATCTACTATTATACCTCCATAAATATCTAAACCGTCCAGCAAGTGTTGTACGGAGGCCCCCGAGGGCCAACAAATGAAAAAAAAAGTTTAATTGATTAATTGATTAATTAATTATGATAATTACGACGGAGTATTAGGGAAACATTAAGAAAAGGAGACTTCGAGGTTAAAGTCGTTAAGTTACGAGAATAATGTCATTACTAACGGGAATAAAGTCGTAATAAAATCAGTATGATACTTATGATAATGTGGTGCTGGTGTGACAAAAGAGTAAGCTTCTCCTTGTTTGAGAAAGTTATATAAAAGTACATTTTCACGAAATGCTCCATGGTTCTCATTTCAACAATTGGTACCTTAACACCAGGTTAGAATATAAGGATTTTATTACGACTTTATTCTCGTAAGTTTTGATTTTATTACGACTCTATTCTCATGAGAAATCATTTTATTACAACGAAATTCACATGAGTAATAATTTTATTACAACTTTATTCCCATAAGTAATAATTTTTTTACGACTTAATTCACATAAGTAATGATTTTATAACGACTTAATTCACGTTAAGTAATGATTTTATTACGACTTTCTTCTCAGAAGTAATGATTTTATTACAACTTAATTCAGGTAATAATTTCATTACAACTTCATCCATGTAAGTGATGATTTTATCATGACCAAATTCTTATAAGTAATGATTTTATCACGACTTAATTCATGTAAGTGACGATTTTATTACGACTTTAGTCACAAAATTAATGATTTTATTACGACTTTATTTTTGGTAAGTAACGATTTTATCACGAATTTGTTCTTGTTAATGACTTTATTTATAATTTTACGACTTTATTTACAAAGTCCTAATTTTTGTTCCCCTTAATAATAAACTCATTCTCACAATCTTGTCAGCCTTTCGCACACAGTTACTTTTAGTTACTCATAACCCTTTTTTTAAATAAACACGGTATATCTTGGAGAAATATTGCTGATTCACTGAATGATTATTTTAAGATGTTTCTGTTAAAATGCTTGGTGACATTTTTATTTTGAAAGGATAAACCAGGAAGTCGCGACTTGACGCAGGAACCAGAACCAAGATCTGAATAGTAGATACGACATTTCACTATATGCTGCGTGCCTACGGCGAGGCTGGGCTAGTAGGGGCATTGTTCCCATCAAAGGCAATGCATGTGCAATGAAAATAAAACATACCGTGCTAATTTTTTAACCGATAATAATGCGGTTTACTTTGTTGTCAACGCCAAAACATGTGCTATAGACACAAGACATTTGATTTAAAAAAGTTCTGTATTGCTTTCCTTTGGCCTTGAAAATAAAGAAAACTCATGAATATAGGTTGAAAATAAGCAAGATATGATTTATTTTCCATGTACATGTCCTTTAATGAGAACGTTGACCCCTCTAAGATGGCTGCCACGTAGGCACGTCACTTAGCGGGCTGCTAAAGCGTGCTGGCGTATCTAGTTATATATATCTATACATCTGTGACCAGAAACGTGTAGCACTGTTGCCATGATAGCCTTCAGACACAGGTGAGCAGCAGAACTCGGTGTGTAGAGCCGAGGTTTGGTGCTGAGACAGGGATCTGGTGTTGATGATGTTGGAGAGGAGCAGGGTGACCATGGTCGCAGATATCTTCTTCAGCCGGAAACACCCAGCAGCCAAACAGGAGGAGATCATTCACTGTGCCTGCACCAGAGCCTACGTACAGTGAGTAGCTCTCTTGTTCACCTAACTTGACTGGTCCTGTTTAACTGATACCTCAGTGAAAAGTGCTTGGTAGGATAAACTGTTCCCTGTCTGCCTAACACATCCCAACCACTGAGAGGAGACATTACGAAGAGATGGACCATATCCAGTCAACCTGTCAGTTGTCATCATGGGAAGGCTGATTTGTAATATCTACAGGGCAGTTTTTTTCAAAGAGGTGCATTATCACGCCTCAAGTTAGTCATTTCTCTTGTGCCCCATTATAGCAAGTTGCAAAGGATGTTCAAGGATCCCTAAATAATCCCTTTATGGAGTCTCACCCATAGACTGTATATACTGTTCTATATACAAAGTCTGGCATCTGAGGTGGCTCTTTTAGGCTGAGTTCTGTTTCTCTGTGTTCTTTTCATCCATCAAGGGATCGAGAGCTGTATCGCTCTGATAACAGGTTACTCCACTCTGATCCAGCTGATGCTGCAGTTGGAGGTAAGTCATTCATCTCACATTGAGTGTGCTCAGGCTGTCCGAGGGGCTTTGGTGGGAAAATCAGAGGAATTCATCGCCTGTTTTGCTTCTAGAAGACTAAAAGGTTTGCAGGGTAGCAACCTGTAATGCGGTTTGCTGGCTCAACAGCTTATTAAATTTGAGGTTGTGTGTCTGCTTTTTTTTTAAATAGGGACACCTTTGGGAGCTGACAATGTTTTAATCAGTTACTGTGTTAAGACCTGTCATGGGAACAATAATTCAAACTGTTTTATGCTCTAAAGTCAACAATGCCAGAAGCATTAAAATGCATTAGGGCTCTTTCTGTACAAAAAGGACAAGGCTGTAAACGTAATACGAGATAGATGATCTTAGGCCCTCAGATGGCTGCAGGAAATCACTGCATGGGCTCCAAATAATGTTCAATAAAAGTTGTCAATGAGCAGTTTATCAGTGCAACCACAAAAGCAGGTTAAAACTGTACAATACACGGAGGAAAACCTACAAAAACATGATCCAGAAACACTGCTCTGGGCCCAGGTCCACTTAAGATGGACTGAGGTTGAGTGGAAAGATTGTCTTGAGGACTGAGAAGTCAAACTTTGACATTATTTTTGGAAATCATGGACACCTCATCTTCTGCTCTAATGTGAAGAGGGACCACTGGTTTGTTATCAGACCACAGTTTAAAGTCTGATGGTATGGGGATGCAGAAGCTCAGGACATCAGTCAGCAAAGTAACCATTTAGTCCATTTTGTAGATGTTCAGGATCAGTGCACAGCAAAAGAAACACCGTTTAGCTGGACAGTATTCTATGTTTTTGTTGTTGTTTTCTGGGAATGAACCTAATCCACCAGAAAGAGAGCACCTGGCTACAGAAAAAAAATCCTCTTAATGAGAAAAATCCTCAAATTGGACCGAACCAAGTGATGGACAGCCCCCCACTGGGCTGAGAAAGACAGATTTAGAGAGAAGATGGTTCTTGATGCACCAGGAGACAGCAGAGGGAATTTAAAAAGACACCGTGTTGTTGTTGTTTTTAGAAATACCCTTTCCTCCTCTTACAGAAACTGATGGTGAAGAGGAGGAAGAGGAGGAGGAGGAACAGGTGTTGGATGAAGAGGCTCTGTTGATGGCTAGCATGGGTCTGCCTCTGGCCTTCAGCAGCTCTTCCCACCAGAGGAGAGAGGTAGGTTTATTTCGACTAAGATGTCAAATCAAACTTAAATGTTTGAGCGGATCATGTGATTGAATGTTTCTGGTCATGTGACAGGGAAGAAGATCTAATAGAAAGCTTTCCACATACTGGGAAGAACCAGCTGATGAGGAGGCAGTGGAACAGGATCTACAGGCTGACACAGGTTAGGGTGAACTCATGTTAACTTTCTGCAGCGCTGTCTCAGGCTGAGCTGTTTAAAGTTTCTTATCAAAGGAGATGGCTGCTGTAATGTTATATCTGCTATAACTGAAGAAACCTCTGATAATACTCATTTACTGTCTTAAAATATGATAATCTAATAACCACAGCATAATAACTTCATGCATCGTCTAGACCAGTGGTTCTCAAGTCCAGTCCTTGAGGCCCACTGTCCTGCATGTTTTGGATGTTTCCCTGCTCCAACACACCTGATTCAAATGATCAGCTCGTTATCAAGCTCTGTAATGGCTTAATAACGAGCTGATCATTTGAATCAGGTGTGTTGGAGCAGGGAAACATCCAAAACATGCAGAACATGCTAATAACTTTCATGCATCGTCTACAGAAGTTTTTGTTGGTAGAAGAACTGTTAGTTCTTAGGTAGTGTAATCATTGCATGAGCCGTCGATTTCAGGAGCATTCTTTCTCTTAATTGTAGGAATTGATTTAGATTTAGGAAGGTTTGCTCTGGGCTGGCTTTAAGGTAATCCTGCTGTTTGACTTAACACTGCTGAGTATTATCCTCCACCTACTCTGCTATAGGCAGGTCTAACATCACAGGCTTCTACATTGATTTTCTGTTTTTATTGTACCCAGGTAATGGCTCCTACTGATAGAATTTCATGAATTGTGAAGTTATTTGGCCTGATCTGCTTTGTGCTCTTTGACTCAGTGGATAAGAGAGAGCTGGGTGATCCACCGGAAGACGGAACCAGTGGAATTCAAGATGCTGGCTGGGAAGCTTACTGGGGTAAGGAGAAAATGGAGTTTATTAAGATGTCAGGATCAAAACTGGACTCCAGAGCACTACAGGCCCATTTTAGTTTACACTTCTACAAACCTGCAGACGGTTTGATGTTTTTTTTTACCCCAAGAGATGACTCAGTCTGAGCTCAGATCTTGGTAAATGGTGAAATGATAAATAGACCTTGTGGTAAAAGCGCTTTATCTTGTCTTCTGACAACTCCAAGCTCTCACCCATTCACACCTCTTGTTTTCAAAAACCATTACATATTAAAATGTCCTTTTAAGTTTTAGGCTTTAAATTGTGGCTCAGAAAATGTTGACATCTCAAGCTCTAGTTCAGGTCCAGCAAGAACACCCATCCAATCTTGTCGTCATCAGCACATGGACTTCACCCAGTTGTTTGGGTAACTTGGTATAAGATAGCTTGAAAAAGGAGTCATAAAAACCTTGTCAACTGTGAAATATAGCTTTAAATCTGTGTTGATTTTTGTGTATCTCTTAAAGCTCAATGGGGTGAATCTCTTCTGTGGAACAACTGGCTCGAGAAAAATCCTAAGAATGATCACCTGTCTCAAGAAGATCCAGGATCAGGGACTGCTCCTTGGGATGACCCAGATACAAAAGAGGCCTGGGATAAGCATGCAGCAGAGATGTACTACTACTACTGGGAGCAGTACTCATACTGGGCAGCACAGGGCTGGACAGCTGAGCAGACAGTCTGCTGGTGGAACCCTGGAGAAGAAGCATCCCCTGGGCAGATAGACAGCAGCACAGAGACAGGCACACAGGAAAGAAGAAATGGACCAACTGAAGCTGAAGGCAAACAGGGACAAGAAGACAAAGACCTTGAGGATATAGACATTTTGAATTACATGGTTAAAGAAAGCTGCTCTCTAAAAGCAGTCAGGAGTGCTGTGACAGAGCAGACATACAGACAGCATGAGGGCGTGGATGACATCAGGACAACCTGTGGCTCTGATGACCCCTCTGATGGTGGGAGTCATCGTAAAAGACCTGCTTCCTCCTCACAGAGTAACACAGCTGAACAGAAAGGTAAGGACTTGAGTGTGCTTTGCAGCAACATTGCACAGGAGCAGTACAAACTGAAGGTAGGGTGTAAGATTAGGAGTCAGTCCTGCAGGTCCTCCAGCAGTCTAGACGTTTGGCAGCATAACTGGGAGCTGGTTCACTTCAAACTCAGTAAATGTGTCTGTAAGACAGTGTGATGTAAGAAAATGACAGCAAGATAAATATTTTCACAACTTTTTCCACCTTTAATGTGACCTATAACCTGTACAGTACAATTAAAAAATAAACTGAAACCTTTAAGGGGAAAAATAAAAAATAGAAAAGTTAAAATAACCTGGTTGCATAAATATGCACACCCTTAAACTAATACTTTGTTGCAGCACTTTTGACTTTTATTCCAGCACTCAGTCTTTTTGGGTAGGAGTCTATCAGCGTGACACATCTTGATGTGGAAACATTTGCCCACTCTTCTTTGCAAAACTGCTCCAAATCTGACAGATTGTGAGGGCATCTCCTGTGCACAGCCCTCTTCAGATCACCCCACAAGTGTTCGATGAGATTCAGGTCTGGACTCTGGCTGGGCCATTCCAAAGTCTCAATCTTATTCCGGTGAAGCCATTCTTTTGTTGATTTAGATGTGTGCTTTGGGTCATTGTCGTGCTGAAAGATGAAGTTCCTCTTCATCTTCAGCTTTCTAGCAGAAGGCTGAAGGTTTTGTGCCAACACTGACTGGTATTTGGAACTGTTCATAATTCCCTCCACCCTGACTAAGGCACCAGTTCCAGCTGAAGAAAAACAGCCCCAAAGCATGATGCTGCCACCACCATGCTTCACTGTGGGTATGGTGTTCTTTTGGTGATGAGCAGTGTTGATTTTGCACCAAATATACCTTTTGCAATGATGCCCAAAAAGTTCAACTTTGGTTTCATCAGACCATAACACATTTTCCCACATGCGTTTGGGAGATTTCTGATGTCTTTTTGCAAAAGTAAGCCTTTGATGTTTTTCTTTGTAAGATAAGACTTCCGTCTTGCCACCCTACCCCATAGCCCAGACATATGAAGACAGCAGGAGATTGTTGTCTCATGTTCTACACAGACAGTACTTGCCAGAAATTCCTGCAGCTCCTTCAGTGTTGCTGTCGGCCTCTTGGTAGCCTCCCTGACCAGTTTTCTTCTTGTCTTATCATCAATTTTGGACGGACGTCCTGTTCTTGTTAATGTCACTGTTGTGCCATATTTTCTCCACTTGATGATGACGGTCTTTACTGTGTTCCATGGTATATTTAATTCCTTGGAAATTCTTTTGTAGCCTCACCTGACTGATATCTTTGAATAATGAGATCCCTCTGATGCTTTGGAAGCTCTCTGCGGACCATGGCCTGTGCTGGAAGATGTGGCTACAAAAATGTCAGGAAAAGCAACTAGAACAGCTGAACTTAATTTGGGGTTAATCAGAGGCACTTTAATTGGTGACAGGTGTGTGCTGACTCCAATTTAACCTGAGTTTGAATGTTATTGGTTAAATCTTCCCAAAAGATTTCAGTTTGTTTTTCAATTGTGTTGTACAGGTTATAGGTCACATTAAAGGTGGAAAAAGTTGTGAAATTATTTATCCTGGTTTAATTTTTTTACATGACTAAAACCTGGCAGTTGAACAGGGGTGTGTAGACTTTTTACATCCACTGTTTGTTATATTTTGACTCAGATTCCCAAAAGGTTTCCCAAAGCTCCAGTAGAGGGAATGCCTCTGACAATAAGTCCTCATCAGAAGGAGGGGATGAGGATGAGGATGATGATGATGACAAACCCCCAGGACGAGGACAGGCCAAAGTCAAACGCAGGTGGGTATGCCTATGCTTGACAACACCTGAAAATACTGAGTTGTTTTCAATGTGGAAAGGTTACTTTCATCACTAGTGTTTATTCAATAAGCAAATTAAATTGTACAGAATCATTGGTGTGACAGCCTTGCCTTCAGCGGGACAAAACATATAAAACCATAACATGGTAATTTGGTTCAAAATCTCTGCGACATCTGAAATAAGAAATAGTTGTCTAAGTCTCTGCTTGAGCAAATTTGTGTAAGTCTGAAAAAGGGAATCAGAATGAACACTTGAGTCATTTAAGCATGTTGTCTTTTTGGCTGCAGTCATGAACTGGATCTGGAGGAAAGCCCACAGCTGACATCAGAGGAAGCTTGGAGTAAACTGGGACTTAAACACAACTCAAACCCTGTGTGAGTGTAAATCACTGGTGCTGCTGTAGGTTACTGTAAACTGTGCAGTCCAGCCAGTCTGCAGCTCGGTTATATCCACACGTCTCGTGGAAGTGCACAGATGTGTTGGATTGGATGTGAACAAGAGAACCAACCTGCCCTGTTTATCTGTGAACTGGCTGAGCAAAGGGTTGCAAGTTTAAGAAAAAAACATTTTTATTGAGATCTCATCTCTTCTAAGTTTAGTGCACTTGTTTTTGTTTTCAGGGAGGGAAATCACAACCAACTCCAAGAAAACAATCTCATGTTCCTGGCAGCATTGTGGCAAAATTTTGAGCAGAAGAGGACTAGGATGGCTCTAATTTGCACTCAAACCATTGTAGTTGAGTCTTTTGGTGACTTTGTTAACATGAAAGGAACAACAAAGACTTTATTTTGAAAAGGACAATATTTCATAAAGCTCCTTGCAAGGCTGATAAAAAAAGTGTAATTGATATTGTTGCTGTTACGCAGCAACTGCGATGAATATCCAACCTTAGGGATTGTGCATATGTTTTGCAATATAAGGAGCTGACCAGGAACAGGCATTAGACTGTAGACCGGATATAGTTCATGGACCTTGGCGGTAAAATTTTCCTCATATTGAGTGATAGTTCATTAATGTCAGAGTACATCACATTGACTGTTAAGTTTCCTCTGTGGCGTTACAGGGGTCAAAGTCTGCCTGACAGCACGAAAAGCATGCTCTCTGTCTGAATGAGGTCGATTTTCTGTCCCAGGTTTGACAGTGTGCTGAGATTTAAAGGCAAAGCTGATCAGAAGGGTCAGAAGAAGTGGCTCAACAAGAGGGCCGTCTCCAGTATCGGCAAACACACCAGATTCAACGAGACGGATGGAGGCAACATGCAGCCAAAGATCAGCTCCACCCTCTGCAAGGTAGGTACCACTGCTGAAGGCCCCTTACAGTGTAAACACTGCACTGATGCATCTCATATATCTCTGTTGACATTCAACCTTTGACAGTAGATTACTAGCTCTGTGAATCTGGTGTAAAAAGGATTAACGTAGACCTACAAACACAGACATTAGCCTTTAAAAGATTCCTAAATTGTTGCTCAAGTCAGACATACACTGACCCGATTTCTGAGTGCATGACAGCTGTGAAAGTTTCAGCCTGATCATCTCTTGCTGTGTGGAAATCAGGAAATTCCTGATGGAAACTGCATGGGTACCAAGGCGGAGCTTGAAAGGCACCGCACTTGGTCATGTGGACAACTGAAATACACTGCGGCTGTGCACTTGTAAGCAAAATAGTTTGGACTTTGAGTTTTGGGATTACTAAAAACAGAGGAGGAATAGAGAAGTGAGATGCAGTATGAGGAAAATTAAACAATCCGGTGAGCAGATAAAGCAGATTCTCTGCTGTAAGCGTACCTCCAGAGATCTTTTGGACTTAGCTAAGGCTATAAACCTTAAAGCATGTATAAAAGCCCAAAAGTCTGGGGGTGAAAATGCTTCTCTGGTCCGAGTTTGATCAGTCTGTCTCCCTGTCGGCATGAAGAGCAGTAGCCTACAGTATATCTACAGTATATGTGTATTTTTTATAACTTCATAATAAATTTTAAAAATCGTCTGATTAATCGGCAATCAAATTTTTTTTCCCTCCTAATAATCGGCATTGGCCCCAAAAAATCCATATCAGTCGGGCCCTAATTCAAACAAAGCATATATTGATGTTTTTTATTGAATAGGCTGCAGCAGTGCAATGACTGAAAAATCTGTGTTGATTTGAAAGGTCAAAAACTTTCTTAATGAGACCCAGAGAGAGGCAACGACGACCGCAGGAGTCAGCTCACAGAAACAGGAGGAGGACTCTACATCTCTGCAAGAAGAGGAGGAAGAAGGAGATAAGGAGAAAAGTGAAGGAAGAAATAAGCAAGTGGACAAGAGGGAGTGCACCCAACCTAGATCTTCCCTTCACTCTACGCCTTGGATTGTGGAAAGTGAGACCAAGGAGGAAGAGAGGGAGAAAGAGCAGCCTGGGAGACAACTGCCCTGTCTAGAAACACCTGACTTTCTTCTACCTGACATACATGAGGGCAGCAGTGGTAAGCAGAGCATCTGTCACATAGTCCTAATGACATTCAGTCCTTTAAGTTTGTTTCATTGTTGTTTAAGAATGAGATGATGTATGCGCCCGGAGCAGTGCCATGCTGAGGACTGTGTTTTTTTTTGTGTGTGTGTGTGTGTGTGTGTGTGTATAGAGTTAAGCTCAAAGGACAGAAGGAAGCCAAGAAAGAAGAAAAGTAAGCAGCAGGTGGTTCCAGCAGAGATGGCAGCTGAACCAGGTCTGGCAAAATACTGGGCTCAGCGTTACAGACTCTTCTCTCGCTTCGATGAAGGGATCAGGCTGGACCGAGGTCAGTCCACACTCCGTATTCATGCTTAAAAATAAACTTATATTCATTCAGAAACACTGAACATTCATTTGTTCCAAATTAAACAAATGTTCAATATACTGGCTGGTCCTAAGCCACATGAAAGAATTCGAAATGTGAAATAATAAACAGGAGAACTCAGGCTCCAGGTCATTGAATGAGTGCATCACAGATATCTCCAGTGTTTGAAGATTTTGTGAGTCTGAGGCAGATACACGAGGCACACAGGAGACCAAAATGAAGGCAGGGTGTCCCTCAGTTTGTCTTACTGTACCAACATTTTTCATGCGAACTTTTAGAGGTAGTGTTTGAAGCTGGCAGGTAATGTCGACTGATTTCCAGCAGAGACCTCCTCTCATGTGCATTGTTGTTGTTATCTTTTATAGTTTGGTCATGATTTATTTGCATGCAATGTATACTTGGAAGTATGGTTTTGTGCCAAGAGCACCCTGCCCACCTACACTCACACGTCAGGGTACGGATAAAGTCTTGGTTTTGTTCTTGACATAGCTGAGCTTTAGACAGAGGGTAATACATTTAAAAACAAACTTTAAAACTCTTTAAATGTGCTGAAATCTTGGACTCATTTGAACAGAAGAGAGACAGACATGAGTCAGGGTAACAGACTGAATCTATCGTCATTCAGTCTGCAGTGCTGGCAGTGTTTTAGGAGATCCATACTGAGAGGGTTAGTGAAATATTTTGAATACATTTGCACTTAATTGGGACTCAGGGACATTCGTTGATGCTTCTCTGTGGATTTGAAAGAACCTCACAGCTTCACTCCAGAAATAACAGAGATTTCTTTCAGCGAGCTGACGTTGCAGGATGGTCTCCCCAGCATCACTAATGTTGTTTTGTTTGCTTCAGAGGGCTGGTTTTCCGTGACCCCGGAGAAGATCGCTGAGCACATCGCCCTCAGGGTGCAGCACAGCTTTCCTGACTCTCAGCTGGTCATAGACGCCTTCTGTGGGGTGGGTGGCAACGCCATCCAGTTTGCGCTCACTGGAAAGAGAGGTAATTCTGGTTTTTGGATCCTTTCATGTGTCCATAAGTCTGATCAATTCATGGTGACTTTGTTGAGACCTGTTGTCTTGTTTGAGGAGATTTTTAAAAACTGTTTTTAGATCAGTTAATAGAAACCACTCCACCCTGCTTAAGCAAACTATGACTGTTATGGTGTATACTTAGTTACAAAATATATTTTATCATGTAAGGTCACCACAGAGACAGACAGTGTCTAAATGCCTTGCCTTGGGTTGCAGTTTCATGCTTTTATTTCCACATGGACAGCTGTAATGCTCATTACGTTGTTGTTAATCAGGTTTCCCTCACATGCTTACAGTTAGTCCAAAATGCTGCTGCTTGTCCTTTACAGGTAAACGAAAACATGATCATAACACTCCGATTCTGGCATCCCTCCATTGGCTTCCCGTTTATCTCAGAATTCATTTATGGATTTTGTTGTTTGTTTTTAAATCGTTAAATGGATCAGCACCACAGTACATCTCTGACCTCTTAAATGTTTATATCCCCGACATTCCTTGACGTCTGCTGGTCAGCTTGAACTCAATGGGCTCTATTTTTGTGCCTCGCCGGCGGTGTGGCGTAGGCATGGCATAAGTCAGGTCCGCTGCACCGACAAGGTGTGCCCAAGCACATTTTGGTATATTGGTGAGCGGCGCAGCCTGACTTAAGTATCCCCCCTCTCTAACTCAGCTCCTCAGCGGCGTAAGTCGTACAGAGGGAGGGGATAAGGCGTGGGGTGGGTTTAACACAGCTGAGACCTGTTTTCGCCAATCACATCAGCTCCTCTCCTTGCCTTTAAATCCGCCACTGATGAGGCGTATTAGAATTTTCGTGAAGTAGTCAAAGAGATCAAGAGATGTCTGAAGACAACAATGCCACACGATGGCGACAGAAGGCAGCCCCTCAACAAGTGACATACATGATTCAGGATGAAAACAACGTCTTTTCAATCAGAAGAGATAATAGTGATAAGTAATGATATAATGATTTTTAAGGTTTTTGCTACAAATCGTGACGTGTCTTCAACACACCATGGCTTCCCACACTTGAAAGGAAGAACTCAACCAGACCTCAGGATTTCACTCATTCCCTCATTCCCCAGCACGGCCACTGTTGCATGTAGCAGGCACACATCCGCACCGTCAGACAGGGCGTCTCAACACAAACTATTTACTATGCAGCAGGATTTGAAAGCGTTACATTCCTGTTTATATGTGTTTTCAGTTTTGGTAAAATATAGTTTACTCACTGTCTCTTTCTCCCGTCTTCCTCCATTTCCCCCTCAGTTCTGGCTGTTGATATTGATCCGGTGAGACTAGATTTGGCACGGCACAACGCAGAAGTTTATAATGTCGCCCACCAAATCGACTTCCTGCAAGGGGACTTCCTTCAACTGGCACCCCGTCTCCGTGGGGATGTGGTCTTCCTCTCACCACCATGGGGTGGACCGGACTACCTGACGGCTGAGGTCTTTGACATCAAGACCATGATGGAGCCTGATGGATATCCTTTCTTGTAGAAGCATTAGGAGGTGTTAGTTCTGTATAAGGAGAGCCAAACGGGGCTAAGTCTGTTAGCCAGTCACTCTTTATTAGATTTGCACCAGTTTACAACAAATTTAATCTCCAGACTTTAAGAAAAAGAGCAGGTGTAGACCATACTTGATCAGAATATTTAGAGTCCCCTTTCAAGGTCAGATGCAATCCCATCAGATTTGAGAGCTGATATTCTTCATTTTAAGCCACTTTGAGGAGAGCACTCTGTAGCATTTAGCAAGTTACAGTGGCAAAGAAACACAGGTAGAAACCTCAAGCAGAACCAGACTCATGTTAGTCATCTGCTGAGACTGAGCTGGGTCTAGAGAAGGGGGAGAGGGGGATAAAGGAAGAGAGGGAGACTGATACAGGAAGATGGAGAAAGAGAATATCTGTGCACCCTGAAAGCTTCTGTTGATATTAAACAAGTCTGTTTGTCTTTTGCTCCCAGTATTTTAACAGGAATTTATTTTCAGGTTTTACTGGTTACTTCCTTAACAACAGACACGTTTGAGATTTTCCGCCTGGCCAAACTGATATCAGACAGCATTGTGTACTTCCTGCCCCGTAACGCTGACATGGACCAGGTCTGTGTTTCCCTTGTCCTTTTGGGAGTCTGGGTGTGTGGTGAACAGGCTGAAACTGAGTACAGAAACCATTAGGATCATTTATACTGCATATCTGCCTGCATGTTGAGGGAATGTCACACAGTAACACACAGTCGTTTATTGTTTATTTGGGTCCCCATTAGGTTTTGTCAAGACAAAGCCAGTCTTCCTGGGGTCCGACACAAAAAACAAAAACATTACATAAACATTCATTCAATGATTATACAATCACTCATCTTTAAAATAATTAAATTGAGTTCCATCCTGTAATGGCTCAATAGATAAAAGTAGATTTAAGTAGCTCTGTTCTTGGTTTAGGTGGTTTAATGTATCCAGAGCTGGCTTGTCTAGTCATGTGGTTACGTATATTTAATGTATACTCAACTTGGTCATAGAAATGCTGTGGTGTCTTGTCTGTTAAAACATTATGGAAAAAAAGTGAGAGTAAGAGAATGTTATCTATTCTCAGCAGGAAGCCATGCGAGCTTTCTGTGCATTTCTGTAACGTGTGCGCTTAGAGCACTGGAGGACTCATCTCGCAGCAATATTTTGAGCTTTTTTCAGGTTTTTCTTTGAAGCAGATGACTAAATGGCAGGGCAGTACTCAAGGTGTGACAGGACTAAAGCCTGTGTCACTTCTGCTAGAGTATTTTGCTTTATGTACTTTGAAAATTTTCTAGTTATAACAATGCTCCTTCCCATTTTTTTGTCACCATATTATCTATGTGTTTAGTCCAATTTAGTTTAGCGTCTAATGCGATGCCAAGCAACTTACCCTCTCTTATCTGTTCCACTTGCTTTACGGCAAGTGCCAGGCTCAGTTGAGATTCACAGACTAGTATATGTCTGGATTGTAAAACCATTCTTTTTGTTTTGGCTACGATCAGCAGTAGTTAGTTCTTAGCAACCCAATCAGCTACTGCTTTAAGTTCAATATTTAATGTATTGTTTAGCTCTTTAAGAGTGGATACAGCACTGAACATAGTGGAATCATCTGCATAGATGGCAACTCCACCACCATACTTCTGAACAAGTTGTAGTCATTTATAGCAAACTGTAAATTATGAGTGCAAGTGTGACTCTGATCTGGCAAGTACATGAATGTTATTGGATTCAACTAGACTACACAGTTCATAAACCTTGTTCCTTAGACTGCACACAATTAAATAAGCTAGCATCAATCCGCTCCCAGGCAAATTAATAGCATGTGACAATGGCGTCATGAGTACACAGTTAAAAACATAACATCAGCATACTTTTTAAGGAGTTCACCTTTAAAAGGTTCACATGACTCTAGGTGACTTTGGGGTGCAACTATGCTTCAGAAAGGCAATTTCACCTCTTTCCCATGCCTCCCTTAACTTGGGGAGTTGCTCTTTTCCTTTCATTCTGACTGAATCAGTATAATCTTCATTGATGTAAATGTCAGTCCCTCTCAATTGAATCTTAGAAACTTCAATCCACTTTTAAACTTGGGTGTGTGTTTGAAGCATTATAAAATCAATTCAATTTATTGGTACATTTGGTACATGGTACATTATTACCTTCACCTCACATGGTATCATAACATCCAGCCTTCAGGTGTGGTCTGGGGTGTGTCCAGAGAGATGGCATGGGCCCTCTCCACAGCCTGATTGGCCTCTATAAAAACGTAGACTACCATTGGGTGTTTGGTTGTACTTTGAATTATGATCTTGGACAAACATGGTCTTTTTGAGTCCTCAGACTAAACTGTAAGATTTTGTAAGATTTTGTTGTCACTGTGTTACTTTATGAAGCTAAAAACTAAAACAGGAAATTCTGACCTGCTTGACACTTGAGTGTTCGTGGTGAAGTAAAATAATTAATGGAAACCGAAAGTGTAAATGAATAATATTCATTAGTGTGAAAACACGCACATTCCCAGTTGGACCAGCCCATTCAAGAAGGTCTGGTGGTGCCCGGGTGTTGTAAGCCTCCAGGAACTGTCCACCTCATCATGTCAAGCGAATGTGTGAATGTGGTTAAACTTTTACCTGGAGCAGTATTTCCTTTGACTGTAAATGTGAACGTGAAATAAAATAGCAAAAGAAGATTTGGTCTGAACCTCTTATCAGTTGGAATATTGGGGAAATGAAATGAATCATGGATCAGTAACCACAGCACGGCAATATGTATGTCCAATAATCCAGGGACACCTGTTTAATAGTTTACGATCTATCTGTCCATCTCTCCACAGATTGCCTCTCTGGCTGGACTAGGAGGAAGGGTGGAGGTGGAGCAGAACCTCCTCAACCACAAACTGAAGACTGTGACTGCTTACTTTGGCAGCTTGATCAACTCAGACACTGAGCCACTCTAAATGAACTTTCTCTACTGAATAAGGGTTTTTTTCACTTTCTACGACAGACTGCATCATCCAGATCATATCATTTACAGCTATTCAGCACAGTCCTATAATAATGATGACATTGTTATACATTTACTGTTTTCAGTTTTCAGTCATTTGTGATGCCAGTATATAGTTTAAAGTGATCTGATGATCACAGGCTATAGTTTTTAACCCCTATATGTTTTTTTAGTTACTGCAGGTGGTTTTATAATCCTCTCAGATTTACCACTGAGTGTTTTATGTTGTTTTAATGGCAAATAAACGTTTTCCAGGATGCTGTTTGTCATCATCATTGCTAATAAGGGTGCATTCACACCAGGACTGTTTAGTTAATCTTAAAAGGACCATGGTCCCCTTACTCCTTTGGTCCAGGTGGTATGAACACGCAAGCGAACCATGGTCTGCATCAAACAAACGGACCACGGTCCTCTTGAAAATGCCGGACTCTTTCCCTTTACAGCTGGTCAAAACACTGGACTGTCTGTAAAATTTGACGAATGGCAGAAGGTTTGTGTGGTGTGCAAAAGTCCCATGTGAACGCTGCCTGGACCAAATGCAAAATACAACAATGTCAACATTTGGTCCCTGATCCAGACCTTCTCAGCGGACTTTGGGTGAGAAAGGCCCATAAGTCTACATTAGCAATCTTACAGGTAATGTCAGGCCTGTTTGGGTTTGTAGACCATGGTAAAACTTGACTGCAGTCATGGGAAATCGTCTGCATTTGATGTAAATGGCACAGAGACAGTCGAAAAGTTACTCAGTATCTGAATCAGTCACTGAAACCCTGAACCTGTGGTGAGTGCATGGCATGTGACTTTTTACTTCAATAAGCTTTGAGCTCATTGAACAAACTGAAAACAAACATCCACGGAGAGATGTTATGATGATCTCAGCTAGGAACCAAAATTGCCTGTCGAGATCAACCCTGATCTCCCACTCCTGGTCAGGGGGGAAAGGTCTTGGTGCTGCTCTTGGCCGGGTGTATCTTCGTTCTCCACCTTTTGTGACTAAGTTAATTTGGTTCTCTGCTGGAAATGACTTTCTATTGTCCGGCCTACATCTCTCCAGCACCTTGGCTAGTTTTCTTAGGACCTAGTCATGGCGCCATCTGTAGCACTCCTGAGAGAGCACGATCTTACAGCATTGGTGGCATTGCAGATGTAACAGCAGTAAAGGGTGAACTGGTAGCGCCAGACCTTGAACTTCCCAGGGAATTGGGTTTGGTTTATTTTTGCCAATCTGTCCGTTAGCTGCTTCATGACAGTTTTCCCCATCTGTCTCTCAGACAGTTCAGTGGTATACTGCCTCCCCAGACTTTTGACGGGTTGTTCAGACAGGAGAGGAATTGTCTCTCCCCAGATGACAAAGGTAGTAGAGTCATCTCTGACTCCCCTTCTAAGAGACAGGCTACGTAACTTGGGGGCTTAATCTTCATTTTTGCCCAAGCCATCAACTCATCCATTCTTTTTAGCAACTGAGCTGTACATGTTGCTGTCTGAAGGAAGCTGGTGACGTTGTCCATGTAGTTCCTCAGCTGGGGTAGTCTCTGACCAGATGGTAGTTTGAGCCCTCCAACCATTTGTTTTTCCCCGATGGGAAATGTCCCAAAGGCTGCCACAAACAGGATTGGAGAAATGGCACACCCCATTTGTAGCTGCTGCCACCCAGTGGTGAAGTCTTGGAGGGTAAAGGAAATCTGCAGGTCATTGAAGTAAGACGCAATCAGGCTCTGTATGCAGGGGGGCATGTGGAAGAACTCTATGGTGGAGTTGATCAGCTGATGTGGGACTGAGCCATACACATTGGCAAGGTCAAGCCAGATGACAGGTCAGTCTTCTCTCGCTTGGCCTTCTGGATCTGATCCCAGATCATTTTAGAGTGCTCTCCAAACCCTGGGACTCCTTCTTTCTGGCAGTTAGTATCAATGTAGCAATTCTCTAGCAGATAGATGGTCATCCTTCGGGTCTCTTAATTTTTAGAGCATATACTCTCAAAGGTTTTTTCCTTCAAAAAGGGCAGATCTAGTTGTGTTATCAAACACAAAAATTCAAACACTTTACCTCTTTGTATTAAGGTATAATACATTATAAACCACAACCTTGATAAACCATAATGATCACTGCTTGTAACACTTCTGTTGTGAGTGCTCATAGGAGTTGCAATAAAGCCTTATTATAAATGTGCTTATGGTTCATTGTAAGAGTTGGGCTCATCTGAAGTGTTTCCAAAGATTTCTGTAATTGAATTGTCAGATTGTTACTCTGAGGAACTTGCTTCCTTACTACATTAATGGTACAGAGATATTATCTGAAATGATGCTCATCCTTAAAATATTCTCTGAACATTACATGAGCATGTTTCTTAAAAACCTCACTAGAACTCATCAGTTATGAAGATTTGGTAAATTGAGATCGATCGACAGTCTCAGTCCACTTGTTGGATTTGACCTGGTTTGATAGGCCTCTGGGTTAGATCAGTGAGTTTTCTACAGTCTTTATTTTGTAATTTATCTGTGATTTCAATGTAACATGTCTGTCTATTATCTTGATCCCATAATCAAAATGTTTGTTCTCCTCAAATAATCAACCCACTGGATCCAGCTGTGTCATATTTTACTGATCTTTCCAACAGGAAGCATCACAAAAAAAAGAAAAATTATTTAAGTAAGACAGCACAAAGAATAATGAATCACTTGTAAAAAGAACAAACAGATAGGCATTTTTTACATAGGACGAGGAAAAAACGTGATGCTACAGTGGCTCAGCATAAGAAATTTGTGTCATTCCGTGTTTAACAGCATGCCATTACACTGCGGTGCAGTCAAAGGAATATAAATGCAATACAATCAAATGTCAGAATGTTAGCCATAGCTCTGAATGTGGATAACAAACATTCATTTGCAGAAAATATCTACTTCATACAAATCAAAGACAAAGCATAGGTTTTCAAATGACAGATTTGAGAAGAGTCTTCAACAGAAAGGTCTTCCAGCCCATCTGAAGAGGTAGCCAAGAGTAAGTGAAGCCATCGCTAATCAGGAGGAGCTGCCCCGAGTCCTTAACATGGCCTGCCTGCTGTCTAATCCAAAACCAGATTCACCATAATGTAAAAATTCATCTTTATTATGGTGTACACTCAAAGAACTGCAGCTGGAGGGTTTGTAAATGGTGACATCACAGCCTGGCATTTTTCTCTCTGCTCGCCATCCTGCAGAATAATAATCTGCTCTACATTCATCACTCGCTCATTTCATTTCAACATGTGCATCCAGCACAAAGAAAGTCTGCTCACCTCCATCATTCAAAATATAAATTTAAACTATTGGAAACCGGAGAATGATTTTTTTTTACGTTTACCAGAAGCTTTTATCACAACCAAGAAACAAATCTGAGGAAGCTGATCTAGAATCAGTTTGTACCTCTGCTGTGTGTCAGCTTTCTGAATGCAGAGGACTGATGTTCAGGGACTTAAGGAGTACAACTTCATTCACTTAAGCACTTAAACAAAGTGTCCTCAGCTTTACTTAAACTTGACCTCCACTGGTCTCTGTACTGGATGCTCTAGTATTGAAGTGAATCTGAATCTTGAGTCTGTTTTAGTGATCCTCAGATTAAATTAATGTTTTGGTTTTTTTTGTTTTGTTTTTTATGTAGCATGTCTGACTTTTTGATCTATTGTTTCTGTTCAATTTTGCTAACAAAGACATTCTCTGCATCATTTCTGAAAGAAAGATATAGTGAGTGGAGCTTTTGACAGAAAGCAGTTCATCCTTCAAAAGTTGAACTAACCCTGGGACTCCTTTGGCATCAACAAAAGAAAAAAAAAAGGATTTAAATGAAAAAGTAAAAAAAAAACTATTCTCAGAAGTTAAGACATTATTAGCAAACAGATGCAAGTAAAAATAAAACGTGACATTTCTTCTGAAGAAGTTGAGTTTAGTCATGGCTGCATCTCCTTCACAGACAAGCAAGCAAGTTAAACATAACCCCCCCATACACACTTATACCCCCCCACCCACCCTTTTCCTGTCTTAAGGCTGAAATAAAACTTTGTCATAAACGTGAAATAAGGCAAATGACCGAACTCAAGGTGTCATTGTTTTTAAAGAGGAAATCTTAAGCATTGCTACAGGCATTGAGGATTATTGTGGTAATGGATTAATGATCATTACCAGTGACGATGCAATAATATACCAGCACATGAACACAAAGGTTTAAAGATATTCACTTTGGAATATTGATGCAAACAAAAATAGCTTTCATGAAAAAATATATATTACTGAAAAATAAATAAATAAATAAATTAAAAACTGTGAAATGACATTAAATAAAAACACATAGAAAAAAGTAAAAGCTAGTAATCACATTCGCTCACTCAAGGCCTTTAATTCCACGGCACCGCCCTTAACCCATCTGAAGGCTATCTTTGAACAAAAACAGTTGAAATAGACCCCGCCTCATATCTTCAGGCTCTGCCCAGCAGCACCGCCCCCTGTGCTTTAATATCCACGCTCCAGCACCACGGTGTCCATCAGATTCAAAGAATAAACCGCTCACTACATCTTTGAGGTTTCACAGGTGGTGTCCCCACTACTACACTCTAGGCTTAGAAAACTACATACATCCTAATGAGCCTCTGTTGTTGCGAGGGCTTCAAATGAACCACTCCTTCTTGCTCTCGTCTATCGTCTCAGTGAATGCAGGGTCATTGACGATGATTGCTGCGTCGGCACAGTCTGCTGACTCCGCCCCCTTTGCCTCATTGGTGTGGTAGGAGCCTTTATGACGGAAGAGATGACGGATCACAAACACCATGATCCCAAGGACAATGAAGATCACCATGGAGATGATGCCTGTAAACAAATCAAAATGATCAGCGACAGTATGATATCGGCCGACTCTGGAAAATGCTCCGTTCTAGTTCTCTTGGATCTGTCCTCAGCCTTCGACACTGTTGATCACCTTATCCTGCTGAGAAGACTGAGGGATCAAGTTGGTCTATCAGGGCTAGTCCTGAATTGGTTCTCCTCCTATTTATCTGGTTGTAGCTTAAGTGTTACAGCTAACCATATTAGGTCCGATTCAGTGGAATCTGTTGTGTGGTGTCCCTCAAGGTTCCGTTTTGGGTCCTGTGTTATTTTTGCTGTACCTGATCCCCTTGGGAAAGATCATCCGAAGGTTCAGTGATGTGTTATTCCACCTGTTTGCTGATGATAACCAGCTTTACTGCTCCTTTAAGCCTACGGAGCTGCAGAAGCTTAACTCCTTAGTCCAGTGCTTTGAGGAAATTAAAAAATGGCTTGGTGAAAACTCTTTGCAGCTAAATGCTGACAGAACGGAAACACTGGTTATTGCCCCTGATGATTTAATTCCGGGGATTAAACAGTTCTTTGGTGACTTAGGCCAGTCAGCTAAACCTAGCCTAAGAAACCTGGGTGTCATCTTTGACAAAGACACGCCCTTAGTGCAACACTGGAACCAGCTGACAAGAAACTACTTCTTTCAACTGAGGAAAATCTCTAAGCTTAAGAAAATGGTGTCACAAAATGACTTGGAGCTCATCATTCATGCCTTTGTGTCGCCACATTTAGACGACTGTAAGAGTTTGTTGTCTCGTCTTCAATTAGTGCAAAACTCAGCAGCAAGAATTCTAACCCGCGCTAATAGGAGGACTCACATATCCCCTATTCCTAAAGCACTACACTGGCTGCCTGGTCAGGCTCCATCTTATATTTGTCATCTGATCCAGCCTTACACCCCCTCTCGGGCTCTGAGGTCCGTGGATCAGAATCTGCTGATGGCTCTGCGCACTCGTTTCGGACCAGAGGAGACCGATCCTTCCAGGCTGTTGCCCCCAGGCTTTGGAATGATCTTCCTTTCTCTCTGCCCTTAATTGACTCTATTGACTCCTTTAAAAGCCAACTCAAAACTTATTTATTCGCTCAGGCATCTGTTTAACTGTTTTTGGGGCTGCTATGACTGTTTAATGTCGTTGTCTTGGCCTTTTAATTTGTATGTACATTTTTATTTTTGTCTATGTGAAGCACGTTGCGATACAAATAATGTATACTTGCTTATCAGTCATTTCTATGAACAGACTCTGAGGTTCAAGTATGAAGACACATCCATTCTTTTTAATATTCCTCTTTCCTAAGCACCTGTAGCTTTAAAAGTCCAGCTCCAGTTTGAAATCCTGCCCTGCTGCTTTAAATTCAATCTCTATGGATCCACTGTAAACAAATAATTAGATCAGAAAACGTATCAGTGAAGAGATTCAAAGGTTTTACCTCCAATTATTGCAGAGTTGCGGTCCACCTCATCACTCTTGGTTTTGTTCTCATTGAAGGGAAAAACAGCGCCTGCTTCAAACAGAGCAAATATTGAGCATCACTTGGATTTACCAGACACATTTGATTTGTGATCATTGTCCATCAGTGTTATCGTTCTGTCTCTACCTGCATCTAGGTGCCAGGGGTCACTAGCCGCGGCCATAGGGGAGATGGTCAGGGGTGAGGCTCCACAGTTGGAGGGCACCAGAATCCCGTGGGTGCTAACAGGGGCTGCCATGCTTGATCGCAGTGCAGCTTTTAATGGAGCCACACTGTTCAGCTTAACTCTCGACAGACAGCCCACGAAACCCGGTGTGTTGTAGCGCTCAATCAGGATGGGGTCAATTTGTCCTGTTTCTATAAGAAACACACAAGGATTTTTAACTCTGCATAAGATCAGTTAAAACAGAGACTGAAGATCCCAAAGTGTGTAATATTCTTTCATTCTTGTCTTTTTAAACATGTCAGGGCCTTAGAATTGAACATCCAAAGTCTTGATGATTCTTTCCTGAAGTTTAGGAGGCGGAAAATAAGCAGTAATGATGGAAATACCCCCCCCCCCCCCCCCCCCCCCCAAAAAAAAAAAAAAAAAAAAGCCAAACACCCTAACTTTCTGCACATCAGATAATTTACAACATGACCTAAATAATCTTAAAAGGGAACAGGCTGATATGATGGCCAAACAGAGCAGTAAATGCACATTAGCTGGATTATTACTATTAGGACGCTGTTGAGTTAGAGTTCAGAGGATGTGTCTCAATGTTAAAGTGGACATACAATAACCATGATGACATGATTTATCTTTTGTAGATCCCCGGAACTGAAGTGGCCTAAATCAGTGGTTCTCAAGTCCAGACCTCGAGGCCCACTGTCCTGCATGTTTTGGATGTTTCCCTGCTCCAACACACCTGATTCAAATGATCAGCTCGTTATCAAGCTCTGTAATGGCTTACTAACGAGCTGATCATTTGAATCAGGTGAGCAGGGAAACATCGGAAACATGCAGGACAGTGGGCCTCGAGGACTGGACTTTAGAACCACCGGCCAAAAAGACACTGGGTCTCACTCAGGGAACATGAGCAGAATAAATCTGTGTGCAAACTGCTAACAATATTTTAGCTCCAATCTATTGTAGATAGTATTAAAATCTGCACCTGGTTCTGGCTGTTTCGTCGTGTTTGTGTAATAAAGAAATCATACCAATATTTCTTGTTCTGATCTGAAATCACAATTTCAAATTCAAACTTTACTCTGTTATGTTGACAACAGGTAGATGACATCTAAAGATGTAGTTCAAACGTGACAAAACATCAAAGTATGACACATATAGCTCAATTAATCAGTAACTCTCAAGTTTGAGCTTCAAGTTAGGTTTAGTAAATGGGAATAAGTTATTTGATGGTCAATAATTATCATAAATATTCAATCTAAAAAAAAAAAAATTAAAGTGAGATGTGTGTTGTATAATGTTGTTTCTCTGTAGTCCGGAAGGATGCAGGACAGCGTCACCCTAGCAACAGTGCAGGTAGCAGCGGCGGTTAGGAGATTGGAGCAGCTCACTTTTCAGTAAAATTATAGCTCATTTATGTAGGTTCAATTGCAAGAATTGCAAAAGCTACAGGCAGATCACCATCTATGTGCGCAGAATTAAAGATGACTGTTTTTTTTGTGACTTATGGTTCTGCTGACCCTCCATATTCCATGGATGCTGGTTTATCATGAAGCCCTTTCAATTTACATTTGATGGATTCATGAACTAACACGTGCCCACGATCTAACCCCACAGTTCTCCCACAGTCATCAATACAGTATAAGTTTTTAGCAACAAGGACTCTTTACAAACCTATACAAACAACTCACTCACCATGTCTGCAGCTGCACACACACTCAATTTCCCCAGAATACTCACCAAAGACTTTTCCAAGAAATATACTTTTGATCAAGTTGAACTGGGTGTCAGAGGCTTCAGGGAGGCTATATGTGGAGACTGGATAGTGGTCAAGCTAAAGAATACAGACAGACAAAGAGAAAGCAAGAAGTCCAAATATTACTCCATTTTGGTTAGCTAGCACAGCTGCCCAGACATAACACAATTAACCTGATAAACTCAGACTGGTATGTTACTCCATCCGGGTCTACTAACTGCAGACAAAGGGCTCTATTTTCGTGCCTCGCCGGTGGCGTGGCACAGGCACGGCGTAGGTCAGGTCTGCTGCGCCAACAAGGCATGCCCAAGCACACTTTGGTATTTTGGTGAGCAGCGCAGCCCGGCACAAGTATCCCCCCTCCCTAACTCAGCTCCTCCCAGCAGCGTAAGTCATAGAGAGGGAGGAGAGAGGCGTGGAGTGGGTTTAACACAGCCGGACCTGTTTTCACCAATCACATCAGCGCCTCTCCTCACCTTTAAATCCGCTGCCGGCGAGGCGTATTACAATTTTCGTGAAGTAGTCGAAGAGATCAAGAGATTATAAGGAAGAAGGGGAATAAGGGGGGAGACCAATTAAATATCTTGTTGACTTCATCATGTGTATCTGTTTACTGGATATTTAATTTAATTTAGTTTCAGCTGTTAATTCAGTCAGGTTGAGTGTCCAAACGCATGCCAAATGCGCTCAACAGATAAGATGTAGATCAGAATATATTGATATAGATCTAAATGTATGTGCTGGCTCAGATAGTTGTACTGAATGGTGGTTGTTATTTATTATTTATTGCACTGAAATGTGCCGGACACTGTGGAAACTTGCCAGTGAGGCATGGGTGATGTATGCGCACTACACCGCCCGTCTACCAAAATACCACTAGACCAGTTGCGCTCCACCTGCAATGGAAGCTGACCAGGTTTGAATCAGCGAGCTTTCAGCGTACTTTCCACGCTAGCGGCAAGCACAAAAATATCACTGTGCCAGTCGATTCTGTTAACACCTCCCCCTACCACGCCACCACGCCCAGCTTGGCGCACCTCGGTACGCCTCAGTCTACAAAAATACCAAACTGGCTGTGAGTCGGGCTCAGACGAAAATACCACTGCGTGGGTTGAGCCACCGTCCACCGCGCCGCCCGTGGGCACGAAAATAGAGCCCAAAGAGTTATGTTTATGCTTACTTACATTCTCCAAACAAAGGTACTGCACTGACTGAGTGCAATTTTTACTTTCCAACCAGCCAGAAAACTTGACACTGAACATGTAAACAGAAGTGATGCACACATCTATACACTTGAACTGGCAGCCTTTTTACCAACCTCAACTCCAGAAGAGTTGGGTTCAGAGTAAAGTGTTTGTTACATCAGAGCTCGATAATTTGCAAACCATTAAAACCCTTTAATTAATTAAAAATAGAGCAAAAACATGTCAAACACTGAAAATATGAAAATCTACTCTCATTTAAATTTGATGCCAGAAACATGTTTTGAAAACATTGTGTTGCATACCACTTTTTTTTTTTTTTTTTTTTAAACTGTCTGTTAACCTTTGGGAACCCATGAGGGCTATGCAATCATTATACAGTGGATATGAAAAGTCTACACACCACTGTTCAACTGCCAGGTTTTTGTCACGTAAAAAAATTAAATCAAGATAAATATTTTCAAAACTTTTTCCACCTTTAGTGTGACCTATAACCTGTACAACACAATTGAAAAACAAACAGAAATCTTTCAGGGAGGTGAAGTAAAAATAAACAACTGAGATCATGTGATTGCATAAGTGTGCACACCCTTTAATAACTGGGAATGTGGCTGTGTTCAGATTTGACCAATAACATTCAAACTCAGGTTAAATTGGAGTCAGCACACACCTGTCACCAATTAAAGTGCCTCTGATTAACCCCAAATTAAGTTCAGCTGTTCTAGTTGCTTTTCCTGACATTTTTGTAGACACATCTTCCAGCACAAGCCATGGTCCACAGAGAGCTTCCAAAGCATCAGAGGGATCTCATTATTCAAAGATATCAGTCAGGTGAGGGCTACAAAAGAATTTCCAAGTCATTAAATATACCATGGAACACAATAAAGACCGTCATCATCAAGTGGAGAAAATATGGCGCAACAGTGACATTACCAAGAACAGGACGTCCGTCCAAAATTGATGATAAGACAAGAAGAAAACTGGTCAGGGAGGCTACCAAGAGGCCGACAGCAACACTGAAGGAGCTGCAGGAATTTCTGGCAAGTACTGGCTGTGTAGTACATGTGACAACAATCTCCTGCTGTCTTCATATGTCTGGGCTATGGGGTAGGGTGGCAAGACGGAAACCTTATCTTACAAAGAAAAACATCAAAGCCCGGCTTAATTTTGCAAAAAGACATCTGAAATCTCCCAAACGCATGTGGGAAAATGTGTTACGGTCTGATGAAACCAAAGTTGAACTTTTCGGGCAAAGGTTTCTGTTTGTTTTTCAATTGCATTGTACAGCTTATAGGTCACATTAAAAGGTGGAAAAAGTTGTGGAAATATTTATCTTGCTGTCATTTTCTTACATCATGAAAACCTGGCAGTTGAACAGGGGTGTGCAGACTTTTTATATCCACTGTACATGCAAAATGCAGTCTGGCGTTGTCTGGCTGCCTTCCGCATGATAATCCCTGGATGGTGCTCCTAAACCCGTAGATATAAACCTGGCCAGACCCCTCTCCCGTTTAGAGCAGGAAATATGGCGTCTGTGATTTCCAAAGTTATGTCAGATGTTGATTCAAGAGGACCTAAACCCTAAATACCCGGTCATGTCACTAACTTGTCTCAAGTTAACCTCATTAGCTTGGAAATGTTCCTCTGGGTGGTATCAGTCAGTTTTTTTCTGTCATATTGTTTGCTATTGCTATAACAGAATATAGCCTATTCTATTCATAACGAAATCAGTTTAAATATTTTATGTATTGTCTGTGAATTATTTTCAAGTAATTACAGGGTTAAACCTTCACAAACCTTCAAAATCAATGAACCTTTTTGGAAGTGGATTAGTACTTTTCCTTGTCAAACATTCCTTTGGGAGTTCTCTAATTATGATAGTAATCCCAGCTTCATTTATCCAGCATCTTAAGAAAAACATGTTAAAAGGTGATGAACAATACGAGAGAAATAACATGACAGCAAGAGGCAGGAAGTACCAACCTGGAGTTGTATTTCTCTTAAGTTTCTGGTTATGTTGACAGAATGTGGCTGTCCGTTGGCCATGTTCCTGTGATCAACATCTATGGTGTAAGGTTCTGTTAGCCCCCCAAGACTGTATCGGATCTGGAGGGTGCCTGAATAAACAACAAAGGATATCAGTTTCTCATGCTGTCTGGGATAACGGCTGGGAGTCAAATAAAAGCTGGTCCAGAATAAAGGTTGGATCACAATGGACCATGCAGGATGTTGACAAACTTACCATTATGTCTGAGCACCACAGCCATGTAGTCCTGAGTCCTTGAACTGATGTAGACCAGGATGCTGGGAGCACTGGAGGTGCTAAAGCTGAACACCAGCTCCTCCTGTGTCAGGTTCGACTCAAGGGGAACACCAACACCGGGTACAGCCTTCGGCTCCGGCAGAGAAGTTCCTGCCTCAGGCAAGAAGTCGTACCGTACCAGGGTTCCTGTCTCAAAGTAGCCACCAACATCTGACACACACACACACACACACACACACACACACACACACACACACACACACACACACACACACACACATTATTATCATTATTAGTAGTCGTATAATTATTATGAATTTAATATTAATAGTGTAGTAGCAGTATTATTATTATTAGTAGTGTTGTGCTTTGTTATTACCCGGACTCTCCTTCAGGTCAACAAGATGCAAGCAGAATGTTTAGAAACGTGGACGACTATATATACTTGAACAGTCTCAGACCCATCTTTGTTACACTTGTGTCATGATGAAGCTGTAACCCTGATCTGTAACCAGTAAAGCTTGTCAAAATGATAATTCGTGTGGACCTTCCATTCTTTAAAGTGTGAACATGGGCTGGGCATCCTTACACCAAGCATCTTTTCCCCAAAGGAGAGGGTGACCGAATGAGCATCAGCTCTAAGTACCTGCTGATGTGATCTAATCTGAAGTGCTTGTTGAAGGACATACCATCAGTGCAGAAGGGTCCATCGTAGGCAGTGAGGGAGCAGTCACAGGAATATCCATTGTATTGTTCCACACACTTCCCTCCATTTCTGCAGTGCATCCCATATTTGTTGCAGTGGCCCTGGCAACCTGGGTTCACCCCTGGAGTCACTCTGGCCCTCTCCTCCAGGTCAAAGGTCACACCGTTTAGCTTCAGAGCCCGCATGCAGCCTAGGAACCCCCTCTGACCACTGGAGGCGCCTGGCAGATATGACACATGGCATGAACAGTTCACATTAACACTTTGCATTTTTGATCATACTTCTTAAGAATGCTTTTCCGAATACTTCATTCTTCACATCATTTTTTAATCTTTGCAGGTCCTAAATGTAGGAATGGGAATTGATAAGATGTTATTGATATCGATGCCATTATCGATTCTGCTTATCGATTCAATTCTTTAACGATTCCCTTATCAATGCCTTTCTTTGATTAAAAAAAAAAGTAGACTATAGGTTTTCACCGTTAACTCAAAATTTGATTGAGTCTCTGATTCCAGACACAGATGTATTACTACACGAGGCAGACTTGTGTGTGCAGTTTTGAGGGTTTATTTTTTTCATTCTTTCTTTTTTTTGGTCGGGTCGAGAGTTTTTATGCTCCTCTAACTCAGTTAAAGGCTTATTCTGAATCTCCAAAGACAGCGCATGTGACCGTTGCGTCAGTGGCTTTGCTTAGAAGTGAGCGTAGGAGCAGAGCTGCAGAGAGCACTGATCCACTGCACTGTTTTATAATCAATGGATACAAGTTTCGGACATTTGAAGGATTTTATAAACTCCCCCCGGACAGCCCCCCAAAAGAGGACATGTCAGGGTAAGAGAGGACATATGGTCACCCTGACATATGTACCTTCAGTGCCATGCTGAGACAGGGCAGCAGCGGCTGACGACCGGTGTTCAATAGGTGTTGTGTCGCAGAATGCACCCCTGACGGGAGCGCGGTTGAAAGTACACAAGGCGAAATAATCCAAGTTCTACCTTGACAGCTAACTGTAGAGTTTATACACCCAAGTACATCTCTATATGTGCATTTTTGAGACACATAAAAACAGAATGAAAGTTTGCTGCTCCATTGACATGTTGTCATGATCCAATACTCGTGTTTTTTAAAATATAAGATCATATCTCCTCCACTTTAAGAAGCTAATGAGCAGATGGGATGCATTCTACGGCACAACACAACACCAGAGGGGAGCATCGAATACATGTGACTCCTTATATTTGCTGCTGTGCCTCGTTTTCAAATGTTGAAGCATGTTGCTGCTGTCCCCACCTTTGCATGTTATCACTGTTCGACAAATGTTGCACTGTTGTCATCTTTCTTAGTAAAATTTAGCCAAGCTTTAGCTCGTTTCTGCTGACTTTTCGTATTGTTCGCCATGGGTTTCCCTCTGTCCCTGTGCCCGTTCGCGTAGACTGGCACTCGCGAGACTGTTTTTCAAGGCGCCGGGAAGAAACGAATTGTTAAGATAAAATGTAAATGATGTCCATGGATTGAACCATTTGGAACCGGTTCTCGGCAAGAACCGGTTCTCGATTCCCATCCCTACCTAAATGTATTTTCTTCATGTAAAACCTCAAATCTCAAAATTTGTTGAAAATGTCTCAGAGCGGTTTATACAGTCAGTTGTAAACATTAGAGTGTCAGGTGTGTATGAGACTTACCAACATAAAGCTCACTGTAGAACTCCAGTTTTGTGTGTCCCTGAGGGGGCATGGGTCTGACCTCTCGGCTCTGTCCGTCAAGCTGCAGCACCGCCTCCTTGATGTTTTTTTCAGCCTCCACTCGATGCCACTGGTCATCATTGAGAGGAACTGGTGAGCGGACACTGAGCTCCACCCGCTCTCTGCCCACGTCAAACGAGAAGACAACTACTGATCCTCCTGGGGGCACAGAGATAAATCAAACCCAACATTATTTTGAGGTCTCAAAGTGAGCGTCAGCAAACAGTATATGACTCAACCATCTTGTGCAGAGTTCACACAGAGACAAACCTCTGAGTTCAATGTGGAGGAAATTTGAGGTTCCAAGGTTCGCCAGAAAGACTCCATGAGTAGAGGAGGTCTTAAAGTAGAAGGAAATGTCAGTGCTGGTTTCTCCTCTGAAGGAGGGGAAGTGCAGGTAGGAGGCAGGACTGCTGAAGGAGGCTGCGTTCCAGTAGTTTCCTTCAGAAAACAGCAGCAGGACATTGATGAAACACTCAAGATTCTTTGGTGATAGTGAGGCTGTCATACAATCTGCTTTTAGGTTTCTGTTTGTCCAATGCTAAAGAGAGATGGACACACTTACTGTCCCCATGACATTGCAGTGGCCCAACCGTTAGTTTGGCTTCAGATCCTGCTCTGCTTGTATCCCCAACGACAACCTGACTGACTGGCAAATGGTCTTTGTAAACCAGCAGGCCTGCATCTTCCCTCCTATGCAAAAACACACAGATAAGATTCATCACACTTGGTAAAACAGGGTTATATCACGGATGACATATGAAGCTGTTTTTACACAGCTACTTTACTGTTTACAGAGGAATACAACATAAACAGCTTATTACAGAGTAATTACAGAGTTTGATCCTTTTCATCCTCTCAGCACTTATTTCAAACGACTGTAAATCTTTACCACTGATCACTTGGAATGATCTATAACATTAAATTACGTAGCTACTGTAAGTATTTAGAAAGAAACAGCCTCTGACATCAATTGTCAGTCAACCACAAAGAGTTCAACGAAGGATTCAGGGGTCTGGGCTGTGGTCTACTCACCAGGAACGAAGGTCAGCGTCACAGTTGCAGAAGTATTCAGGGTTCGTACAGTTGTGTTCAATGCCACATGAACACTTCTGTATCCCTGGTCCTGAACCCCCCCAGTAAAAATGCCTCTCATTGGCTCTTCCTACCCACCAAGTCAACGGGGCACCATCTGCAGGTCAAACAAACAGAGGGAAGTCAGTGAACTCTAATCTCTCTTATGTGTTGAAAATGTTAAGCTGATTGTTCTGCAGAGAATTCTGAATAAAAATCTTGAATATATGTTGGCTATGAAGGAATATGTCATTAGAATGATCAAGAAAACATAGAAAAAAAAATCATATTAAAATGTTAAAATCATGGTGTTCATGGCTCTGTCCTCTTTTAAATTGTTTTGCTGCTGCCGCTCTGCCTGCCTTTAAGAGACATTACAGCATAAAACCAAGTTAGACACCCCCTCAAGAGATGAAAGTTTCCAACTGCTTGTTTCACTGGTCATACTAACTTTAGTAATGATCGCACGGTAGCAATACTCAGCAGTCTATGTCTCCACGTGCAAACCTCAACCCAAAAGCCACTCTATAGCCACAAATAACGCTACCTACCTTCATCAACAGCACATATAGGGTCCCAGCCATAGTACTAGCCATCAAACATCTTTTTAGCTTTGCCTGGTTCTTTAGCAAAGAGACCAAACACGACTCACCCACTCTCCTCCAGCAGCCGCTTGTTTGTGGGGGAGCCCTGACGAGGTGATCACAGAGTGCTCAGTTTCTCAGCTCAAGGAAGAACATTTATGATCATTACTTCATGGAAATGCAATCAGAGTTCCTATGTATCTTGTATGTAAGCTTATAACTGTTATTACCATGTGCTGGCGGGGAAATGAGCGCAGATGAGCATTCTTAACTTTATGTATTTGCAGGGGAAACCAACAATATTGTCTATCTCATGAAGAGTGAGGAGACAGCAGCAAGGTGAAGAAGGGAAGTTAAAATTATCATGATCATCATTTCCCCGCCAGCACTTGATGATATTAGTTATAAACTGACATACAAGATACACAAGAACTCTGATTGCATTTCCATGAAGTAATAATCATAAATTTCCTTCCTTCCCGCTGCATTCTGTGATCGACTTGTCAGGGCTCCGTCACAAACAAGCGGCTCCTGGAGGAGAAGGGGTGAGTTGTGTTCAGTCTCTTTGCTAAAGAAACCAGGCAAAGCTAAAGATGTTTGGTGGCTAGTACTATGGCTGGGACCCTATATGTACTGTTGATGAAGTTAGGTGCTGTTCTGAGCATTATTTGTGGCTATAGAGTGGCTTTTTGGTTGAGGTTCGAACGTGGAGCCATGGACCGCTGTGTATTGCTATCATGCGATCATTACTAAAGTTGGTATGACTAGAGAAACAAGCGGTCGGCAAAATTCATCTCTCAAGGGGGAGTCTAACTCGGTGTTGACAGTGTTTGACTTTAACTTAATTTTACGCCAGAATATCCCTTTAACTCTTCATGTACGCACATGAATTAGAAGGGGAAGTTACCTCCTCTCACCTAAGGGTTTGGCATTCCCCATAAGCATGTGGGAGGACAAAGCCATACCTCCAAATATAACTGCTGCATTAAAGCAGTTCACTTTTTAAGGAAAGTAGTTCTGACTGAACTTTGCGTCAACTGGATAAAAAATGCTTTTTAAAAAAGTGATATATTGATAGGTAATAGCCTGTTTTCAATATTGCACAAAAAGCAAATAAGAACCATCATAGCGCCCTAAAACTGGTTGTAAAGATCCTTACATTACTGACTGATATCGTACAGGTTATAGTCATAGACTGTATATAGCAGTGGTTCTCAAGTCCAGTCATCGAGGCCCACTGTCATGCATGTTTTGGATGTCTCCCTGCTCCAACACACCTGATTCAGATGATCAGCTCGTTATCAAGCTCTGTAATGGCTTACTAACGAGCTGATCATTTGAATCAGGTGTGTTGGAGCAGGGAGACATCCAAAACATGCATGACAGTGGGCCTCGAGGACTGGACTTGAGAACCACTGGTATATAACCCTCTGTTGACAGGCTGCAGTAAAGGTCATAAATCACGCCTCCGCCCACAAAGCTTATGGAGCTGTGGACAAACTTTAGAAATGTATTATACTGAACATAAATTTTTCTCCCCCCTGCTTGCAGTGTTGACATGTAGTTACAGTTAGACTGGTTTGTGCTCAAGTCCTCTTTTTTCTGTGAAGCTCCGTTTTTAAAAGTTATTAGAGGGTTCATGTTTTCTTTGATTGACACCTGATACAGCCTATTGGCGTTCAGGGATTGCGTAGCTCACCCGGGGATACGCTGTCTGAGCCGAGCGTCATCACAGTGACTCTCAGCGACTCTCCTACCGAATGCGCACAACGCTACTGCGCAGCGCTGGTTTCAGGAAATGAAGAAAAATCCCGGAAATACCGAGAGCTTTTTGGCTTCAAATCCGTATACAAGAGGGAGGCGGAACCAAGTTGTCCATAGTATATACAGTCTATGTTTAAAGTACAGGTGTGTGCTGAAGAAGATATTTACCTGGAGTGTTGAGGAGACGAGACGTTCGGCAGGCGTAAGCAACAAACTGTTCACAGTAGCCTGCACTTCTGGTGACTGACAAAACCTGGTCCCACAATGATGAGAGAGAGGGAGACAAAAGAGTTTTCTATTACAAACAACCAAGGTGTCAAAGTCAGCTTATCCATTTTAAAGAAGAGTAGAACTGAACAGTTATTTAGACTATGCTACCAAAACATAACAACTGGCAGATAAGTGACCAAATATGTGTTGATTTGAATATACTGTTGTTTGGTGAAATTTGCCTTTAAGTATAAAGCTATATTGTTGGTGCATAACTACCAGTATCAGAATTACTCCAAAACAAGTATTTACTAGTCTTTATTTTCTTTTTTAATTTCACATTTTCAGTAATAAATAATTTTCTCTGTATCAAAACCCCAATTCCAAAGAAGTAGTGATGCTGTGTCACACATAATAAAACCACTTTTTTAAGGTTTTCAAATCATTTAGACCTTATATTTAACTGAAAAAATGCAAAGACAAAAAAATACTGTTCGGTGAAAATAAGCGCTGATTTTTAATTTGATGAACATGTTCAAAAGAGGGGCAACAAGGTCCATGTTTTTGAATGCGAAGATGCTGGGATAGATTCCAGCCCCCTTGCAACCCCCAACAGGAAAAGCAGTAGAAAATGGATGAATGGGTGGATGTTTAAAAAAAAGCACAAGTAAGAAATGATAAGTGAACATGACTAGGTATAAAGGGACATTCTGGCTGAGTCTCAGAAGGAAAAATGGAAAGAGGTTGATTACTAAAAGTTTTCCTTTGAATAAAATTTCCAAGAATTTGGATTTCATTCACACTTCCAATAATCCGAAGAAATTAAGTCAAAAACTAGGAATGATAGGTTGCGATAGTTGGGCCTTCAGAATGGAAACAGAAATGACGTTGCAGCTTTGGCCACAACAGGGCACACTGTGTAGTGGATGTGAGTGTGTAGCTGTTGCGTACCTGTTCATCAGTCACATTGTAGGTGATCTGCAAAACTGCCTTCCTGTCTTGGACTGTACTGGTCACTGATGTCTGAGGGGACAGATTGTTCTTTAGTGTGGTCCAGACCTTCTCCTCTGTAGGACCAGGAAAAATGTTTGGTCAGTAGTTTCACTCACATCATACAATATGTTTGTAGATTTACAAAACCTCAGAAATTATAGACAGAAACTCAAACATCAAACCTTAATTAGTGTCAAGTCAAATATCAGACATATCTACATTTTTATTTCTGACATTTTTTATCTTAACCTCCAGGCAGTGTTGTTTTCATTGACGATGACGCTGACGAAAATATTTTGCCGAAAATATTTCGTCAACGTCAATGAAAACAACACTGCAGAATACATGTTTAGCATTTGACTGACGAAATGCTCATGAATTTTGCAACTCTGTTCGTCATCCACAACTAACATTTTCGTCTATTCTCATCTCGTCAATGTAAACGCACATTCGTCTCGTCACATTTTCGTCATCTAAGACTTATGTTTAGCTCGTCGACGTCACGTCTTTGTCGTGGAAAAAAAGGGGCGTCGATGACATATTTTCATCAAGAAAACAACCAGTGTTGTTTTCGTTGACGATGACGTTGACATCAGTGTCACCGTCAACGAAAACAACACTGCTTCCAAAATCTGAACTTTGACTACTTACATTTTCAAATCAGGCTCTATCTTTACTGCATTCAAGGGGTTATTGTGGTTCATTGTATGTTGCCTACCAAGCATCAGCTGCATAATCATTCTAACTGTTTGGCACAATAACACACAGACAAGAGGACTCCTTGCTGGTTTCATCAGAGCATGTCACAGAGGCAGATGGACACGAGTTAACCGTGAGTCACATTGGGACACATCAGCTGGAAACTCAGCAGCAGGGAAAAGGCATCCAGTAAGCGTGGCTTTACAGATGAAAGTGAAGAGCACACACTGCATGACATTGATGCAGATTCAGTGCAGCAGGGAAACAATGAGTGAAGTCTCAAAGGCTGAGATGAGGTTTAGCTTGTTTGCACAGAAAAGCTGTACGCTGTCCTTCACACAGGCACTTTGTACTTTTGCTCAGTAAGTGCATTTCCAGAGGCGCTTACAAACTGAAATTTAAAGGTGGGGTAGGTAGGAATCCGTTAAAGAAGCATCTTTTTTTTGTGGTGTTTATACAAAAAAGCTTTTAATATCAGTCAATAGCTATTAGTTATTGATGACATTTGGTATTATAACGATATCACTGTGTTTCGTTATGTCTGTGTAGTCAACTTTTTAACATTTTTGAGTGGGCTGCTCTTTCTGACTGTAAACAAAGCTGTTCTCCACCTCCCCGACCTGATTGGTTGTGAGGCAGACGCTGTTCCCCCGTGTCGTTCAGGAGCCCAAACAAAGTTAATGTGCTACAATATCGGACAGTAGAAACCAACCAGAAAGTACAGAAAATTGTCTGAATCCTCCTTTGGCCACAATTGCTAACACAAGCAAGAAAACTAAGTAAATATCGGAGACTCTGGTGAAATAACGGGCGCTTAAAACGGAGGTAGACCAAACAAGAGCTAAAAAGCTGGGTCAGCATCCGGAATCAAAAATGATAGGGGACGCTTCAGGATCTTATGGACCCTGTAATCTTTCTGCTTGACAGGTAAACCACTTTAACAAAGTCAGCCAAGTGTAACAGAAGTGTTTCTTGTCAGACAGGACCTGCTGCGTGTTGTAGCGCCACTAAACTGTTCACCTCGGGTCCTGGAGTGTCACTTTATCTTAGTTGTAGAAGTCCTGCAAACATTGTGTTTGCTGGTAGTCTATTACCATCTGCAGTAGCACCAGTGTTTTTTACTTTCACATAGACTGGGCTCCATTTGTAATTATCTTAAGTATTTATCTGCATTATATCTGAATTTAATTGAAATGATACGAGCGAGCAGGAGTGTCTGTTTGTGGGCGGAGCTTTCTGGAGCAGAGACAGAGGGGAGAGGAGGAGCTGAGGGGAAAACTGGTTAGGAGGGGTAGAGCTTACATTGAAGATTTCTCCTCAAAATTGACACTTCCTCAGATCCTGCCTACCTCACCTTTAAAGGATGGTCATTGCAGACCATCATGTCTCTGATCTCAGAGTCTCAGAGTCTCAGAGGGACTTACATTATTTATTGAAGTAGCAGGGCTGTTTTTTTTCAAAGAGGCAGGACCCCATGAAAAGATTTTAGGTAAAAGCTGATTGATGTTTCAGGCCACATTTGGCCATACACACATTTATGGTGCCTTTGTACCACAAACAGACTATGCAGGTAGTCTTTAGACCAGTGGTTCTCAAGTCCACCTGATTCAAATGATCAGCTCGTTATCAAGCTCTGTAATGGCTTAATAACGAGCTGATCATTTGAATCAGGTGTGTTGGAGCAGGGAAACATCCAAAACATGCAGGACAGTGGGCCTCCAGGACTGGACTTTAGAACCACTGCTTTAGGTAATATCTCACCTGTCATGTCGCAGTTGACTTTGAAGGGGGCGATAGGTCCACTGCCGTCTGGGTCGACCCAGTAGCTCCCTGAGTTCTTCCCCTGGTGCTTATATTCCTCACAGGACTGCTGATACATGGCTTTGGAAGAGACACAACAACCCTGTAAAGATCAGTCATCCCTGTGTGTGTGTGTGTGTGTGTGTGTGTGTGTGTGTGTGTGTGTGTGTACTTACAAGTATGGCAGGTGGCTCCAGTGTAGCCTGTGCCACTACAGTCACAACTGAATGAATCCCAAGTCTGTGTACAGCGACCGCTGTGCTCACAGTGGTTAGGTACACACCTGACACATAGATGAACAGAGAACATCATGAAGAGTGAGAAACAGACCCTTTTTTTGTCTCCAGGTGATTTTTTTAACTCTTTTAAAAACTGTGTACCTGTCAATGATAGCACACATATCCAAGCTGACGTTTTCAAAGGTTCCAATGAGGCCCTGCTCCACAGCCCTGAGGTCAGCCAGATGGTCGTCTATGTGGATCATCTGCATGCAGCCCTGAAAGGAGCGCTGCAGTGATCGGCTGTTAGTAGGTAGGAAGAAACCTGAAGAGAAACATGTAAAGTCAAAGCTGTGAAAACCCCGGAAGAAACTGTTACTGTGGACTCCTGGACACTCTGCAGTCTTCCCATCCTCTTCGTAGCTAAAGACATACAGGAAGTTCTCCTCTTTCCTGAACAATACACCTGCTTTTTCTATCATTGAGATCTATGCACAGTATCCAGGCCTTATCTTCAGCAGAGGATGAATCAGTTATTTTATTTTCTATTTTTATTTTCCAGCTCTGTAGACAAATTTGGCCATTTTGGATGAAAGCGTTTTGACAGCTTGTTCCTGAGCCTAAGAGGGTTTTGTTTTGTCAAACAATCCCACCACCATTGTCTGGACTGTGAGGGGGACTTTATCTTTCTGCTATAGACAGACCCCCTTTCCTTACCACGTCCCACTGTGGTAAGGAGACTTTACAAAATTGTTTTATTGCCACATCATCTGTGCTACATTACTTTATCTGCTTTTCTCTACTTCTGTGAAATATGTAAACAAAAAACTTACTCTTAACTAAGTATCTATCAGGCTTTCCAGCTGCAGAAAATCAAACTGTGACCTGGTTTTAATGCAGACAAACCTCAAATACTTCTAACATGACCACAGTCAACAAAGCTGGGGTCACAGTGGAGATGTTGACAATAATTCATGTATTAAATCAGTGGTTCTCCAGTCCAGTCCTGGAGGCCCACTGTCCTGCATGTTTTGGATGTTTCCCTGCTCCAACACACCTGATTCAAATGATCAGCTCGTTATTAAGCCATTACAGATCTTGATAACGAGCTGATCATTTGAATCAGGTGTGTTGGAGCAGGGAAACATCCAAAACATGCAGGACAGTGGGCCTCTAGGACTAGACTTGAGAACCACTGAATTAAGTAAATGATTGTTGAGCACATGTTAAAGCACCAAGTTTCTTAATTATTCGATATCAGGAAGTGTCTCAAATTACCCTCAATTACTAGGGCAAGTTTACAGTTTAAAGCAGGTTTCAGTACCAACTGGAGGTGCTGCACTCAGCCAGAAGGCTGCAGCTGTGGGCCAGGTGTCCACCATGGCTCTTTATTGAGAGGAGGACTACGCAACACCCACCGCTAATGACATGAACAGGGAAGTCAAGAACTTTTTGTAGCCCCCCATCTCTGAGTACAAAGCCCAAAGACTTTGCCGGTCTAGGAAATGTGTGTGCTGTGACTTTTGTAAGTTAAAGAGGACATGAAACACTGACCCAAGTTATCATTATTTTTAAGAATGCCTCTCGACTTCACAAATCATTGTATTCATGACTGTAATACATTTCTAGAAAACTGTGACAGAAGTTCCACTCTAGCAGTACCACTTCACGTGACGTAATCGGTTGTGTAGCCTGCGTATTGACAATTGAATGAGAGCAGATTAGGGTGGCTGAAATAGTGAATGAGAGCTAAAGACGAGTAAACACACTAGAGGAGGGGTATTTTGTTTTGCACCAGGCTGCTCCAACCAATTTTACAACGTAAGAAATAAAAAAACGTTGCATTTTCATCATTTGAAAATTATGAAATGGATGAAACGCGCTGACTGCGAGAAACAGGATGTGAATAATATCGATGGATTAGTAAACTGCTGGAGCTGGATGACTGATAATGCTGACTCCAGAGTAGTGCTGGACGATAATTCGATAACAATATATATCGATCGATAGACGTGTGGTGCGATAGAAAAAAAACGGGTCAATAAAAAGTTCGATAGAAAAACACAGTTTCCCTTTCTTTTTCATCATAGCCTATCATGTAGCTTTTACTACAGTCATTACTTCCTCCCAACCAATCACAAACGCAGACCCAGGTACGCTACAGCACCAAGCCCAGCCCCTCTCAAACCACAACAGACAGCACGTGTATTAGAAATAATGTTACAGCAAGGAGAAGCGGAGGAAATTGTCCCGAAAAAAGGTTTCAGTAGTTCACCAGCATGGCAGTGTTTTGGTTTTTACAAGTCTGACAAAAAGCGAACAGCGGTCGTTTGCAAAATTTGCAGAGAATTAGTAAAAACCAAGTCTGGTAACACAACCAACTTGTTCTACCATCTAAACCGATCGCACCCGCAGGAGTACGAGCTGTGTCGGCCGCGCCGCGGCTCCACGTCGTCGTCGGAGGAATCCTCTGGAACCGCTGCCAGCACCAGCACAAAGCAAGTGAAGCAGACCAAACTGGACTGTGTTTCTTGCCAAAACTACAACAAAGCGTCCAAGCGGCATAAGGACATCACCCATGCAGTAACATGCTTCATAGCGAGGGACATACTGCCAATAACTACCGTTGAAAAGCCTGGCTTCGACCAGCTTCTAGCCACTCTCGACCCGCGATTGAAGTGCCCGGCCGCAAGTATTTCTCAAACACAGCGCTTCAGGCATGAAAATGGGTCAGGGGTTGAAAAGCTGAGAACGGTGCGGAGGAAATACGTTCCGGTGTTGTGCTGTAGAATGCACCCCTGCATCCCGTCCACTCATTAGCTTCTTAAAGTGGAAGAAAATGAACTCATATTTTATAAAGACGCGAGTATTTGGATCACGGCTACTAGCAGGGGGTGCGTTCGGCAGGGGTGCATTCTACGACACAACACCGGCGTGGATAAGTCCTGCTTCTCGTGCTCAGTTTGCGTATTAAGTCAATCACATGATAATTAAAAAAAATAAATCTCCCGACCCCGGGAGAAATATTTCAGTGTTCAGACACCAGGCTGTGGGCAGTTTCTCACACAGTTAAAACTGGTAGTATGCTATTCCCACCTAAAGCTATTCTGTTTATTTATATATTTGTTTGTTTTGTTTATTTTCATCAAAAGACTATTTAAATATTTATTTATCAGATTTTCTGGTCACTTTAGTCTTTATGTTTGTCAGTATTTACTGAAGTCACTCAGGCCACTTAAGTTGATTTCTTTTTTTTTTTTTTAAGTTCTTTTTTAAAAAACTTTCAGTTGTGGTAAAAAAGAATAAAAAGGTGGTTGAATAAAGGTTTGAATTTGATTTCAGTGCTTGTGTGTTCTTTATTAAAAGTAGGTCATTAAGCAATAGCATAAAACATCCAGGGCTGCAATTAAAATATATGTTAAATAATTATAATAATTATATCGATAATTATCGATATCGATCAATATGATTTATTTTTTATCGATATGCTTTTTTTCTATATCGTCCAGGCCTACTCCAGAGTGAAGGTAAGAAATATTTCCTTAAGGTTTGATCAGTTATGTCTCTGCTTGGATGTGTGGTGGACAGAGTTTAGGACGTTATATATTTTCACGTACACTAATTACAATTTCACCGCTCTGTTTCTGCACAACCCGCGACGTCACAACTGTCATAAACTCAAGATGGCGCTGTGTGCATGTCGTAAATACACAGTTTTCCTATTAAACAGCTGATTTTTTACACAAATAAATATTTCAGACTCTCCTAATTAATTTTTTACCACGTGAGGATGCCAATGTGGTGTGTTTCATGTCCTCTTTAAACTGGTGATACAATCAGATTGTGAACAGCTGTCATCTACATAATATACAACAATGACAAAAGTCAACAACGGCTCAGAAAGATCGACTTCTCCAACTCTAAAACAGCACAAACTTACCGTTTAACTCTGGGTCGTAAAAAAAGAGATTCATTTACTGTGTAAAGGTTTTGAATCACTTCACTATTTCTCTCAGAACAAAGATGTTTATTTTAATTCCTGCTGGCATATTTCATACACAAATATAATTTTGATATAGACAGAATTTGTATATTTGCCAAATCACTTCCTCAGCATCTGCACTTATAATTGATTAATTCAATACGATGAGCAGATATTTTGATTTCATAACTGGATTAAAGTATTTACAAAGTGAATTTCTTTGGGTGGTAAACTGTGTTTTTCAGAAATCACCTCCAAAGTAGTAGGTTCCTCCAGTCTGGATCTGGATGGGGATGGCTGTTCTGACGGTGGACGCCTCATCGCCATCAACTGTCAGCATGGCGTAGTACTCTAACGCATTCAGATGGACACTGTGCCACTGGCCATCATTCAGCCCTGAACCTGCGACACAAAGTACATTTCAGTGAGTGACATTTGACACCGTGTTCAGACCAAAATCAAAATCCTATTAAACTTGTCTTAGCTTATTATTTCAAACTCATCAAGAGTCAGCTGTAATAGGCCCGACCACAACAGCAAGAACTGGGCCTGCAACATAAATGTCTGATATGTCAAATCTCATTGCTCTGCTCAGTATTAGGTAAATGTAAATTATATGATATGACATGGATATTAGCTATGGCTGTTGTCGCTTTGCTTTTCTGCAAACACAGTACCCGTTTGCAACATGTCGCCCCAATCCAAAATAAATTCAAACAAAAAATGAACAAAAAAAAGTGTTTAGAGTGAGTTCAAATACTTGAAACTCACTGCAGCTCCATTCTGCAAGAGCTGAACTCACCTGAGGAGATGTCAATGCGTGTGTTCCTTTGTGTTACATTAACATGGACAGTAACCTTCCCCTCCGTCAGTCCCACCTCCACCCAGCCGTAAGCCAGAGCTGTGAACATCAGAAGCCCATTTGGGTTCCAAGTCCTAAAAGACAGGCTGACTGACAGGGTGTCACTGTCGCTCTGACCCGGAAGCCGCAGGAAGGATGTGGAGTTGAAGAAGACCGAGAAAGAGTTGGACTCGGCGCACGAGAAAGTCAGGTTACGCTGTGAGTGGAGAAAAAGATATCAAAATGATGAACTCAGAATAAGTGAACATTTGGCAACACTTGAAAAAGTTTTAAGTTTTATCCTTCGATGGACTTTCCTTCAAGAGGTACATTAAGTGTTTGTGAAGTAAAAGAAATAATAAAACTCAATTGGAACATTATCTTTTCACACCATCACACACACACATATACACAGCCAGTGGAAGCTATCTTACAAAACTGGAGACGTCGACCTTCTTCCTGCGGACCAGGTTGGTGATATTGTCTCCGTTGTATGTGATTCCCTCCATACAGCCCTTAAAGTTCTCTCTACCTCCTGAGTTTGGCTTCACTGCTACCGGCACTCCTCCAAAACTAATCTGAGGAGAGACAGGAGACGAGACTGTTCGGACTCCATCACTTATGGCAGTGGTTCTCAAGTCCAGTCCTCGAGGCCCACTGTCCTGCATGTTTTGGATGTTTTCCCTGCTCCAACACACCTGATTCAAATGATCAGCTCATTATCAAGCTCTGTAAAGGCTTACTAACGAGCTGATCATTTCAATCAGGTGTGTTGGAGCAGGGAAACATCCAAAACATGCAGGACTGGACTTGAGAACCACTGACTTACGGTATCTCTGTTGTACATGCTGTCCGGACCTTTGCATCATCACAATTCAATTCAAGTTCATCTTGAATTTCTATGAATTACCAATGAAGTTTTCTGGCCTGGATAATAGCGGCACATTCATAATGATAAATATCAATAATAATTACTATGTTACAAGCCTCTAAAAAAATCCTGTTTACATGTTGTACTTCCATACATCACAGGATCATCCCATAGGACATCGATAGAACTGGTCCAAGAGCTCTAGAGCTTGGCAACATTGCAAAGATAACTACCATTTTCTGCAATTCTACATTTTTGGCAATTCTTTCAGTTTGTATGCTGTAATGTCAACATAATAATATAATGCTCCGGGTTTGAGGAGTATACTTCAGCATACAGCTTTAAATGCACTGACACTGTCGCTGATAGATTTTGAAAGCTGTGGGCCTTCAGGTTTGATTCTTTCAGTATTGATGGTTCAGGAGGTAAATATGTTATCAGGGGTTGAACTTCTCTTAAAAATCAAGTTTTTAATGTCTTAAAAACACAAAAAAATCTGAAAAATAAATTATTTTGTAAAATCATTTTCAAGTGGACAGTAGTTAAGGAGATGCCACCAGCTGAGCTTTTGTGGCTCTTTCTGTTTTCTGAAAGTATTCATACCACTTCACTTTTTCCACATTTTGTTATGTTACAGCCTTATTCCAAGATAGATTTAATTCCCTTTTTCCCTTAAAAATTCTACAAAAAATTTGCAAAATGTTCTAAAAAAAGTTTTTCATTTTGTCATTATGGGGTATTTTGTGCAGAATTTTTGAGGGAAAAAGGGAATTTAATCCATTTTAGAATAAGGTTGTAACATAACAAAATGTGGAAAAAGTGAAGTGGTATGAATATTTTCCGGATGCACTGTAAACCCTCCTCCCCCAAACACAAACTAATATTATCAATCAAATCAAAACTTTTCATTGGTGAATAGAAGAATACAGACTGATTTTACATCTGATGCTGGTGCATGGTTCAAAAATGTCAGGACGGGGTCAACACGAACAACACTGTGTAAACGTTTGGGAAATGAGGAGACCAGAGGCCTGTACCATGAAGCTGGATTAACACACCCAGGATAACTCTGCCAGTACTCGCTCAACTTCACCGGGTCCATAATCCCGATCAGCTGTACTACAAGGCAGGATATCAACTCGTGAACTGAATTCAGTTGTGGCCAGTTACTAACGCTTTTCTGGTCCTAGTTTGATTAGTCGGTTTTCCTGTCGACATGAAGAGCAGTAGCCTACAGTATATCTACAGTATATAGCGTATTGCAGATATATACATATTATACTTCATAAAAAAAAAATTTAAAACAGCTGGTTAATCAGTAATCCGGACGCCGCAGCATGTTGCATAAATTCAGCACAGATTAGCCCGTCCTGAAAAGGAAGTCGGGCACAGACACAAAATAAAACATCCGGCTTCTTTTCAAATTAAAACACTGGCGCCTTTTTGCTGCCATTCCGCATGCAGTGGAAATTTGGGGTTAGTATGAGTACGAGGAGCAAAAGCCTTAAGCAATCAACAGCATGACCCACAAAGTCCCTACCTCATGGTCCAGATCCAGGTGGTCAAACTCTCCATTGGTCCTGAATTGTTGAGTGTGATGGTCCAGGGTGAAGTTGACATTTCTGCGGTACCGCTCTATGACAACTGAGTGCCAGTGGTCATCATCCAGTAAGCTCCCACTGGTCACAGAGGTGTGACCCTGAATGGACCCATACTGGTTACTACCTGGCGAGTAGCCACAAAAACACATTTGTCATATTTAAGACAGAAACGTCTATGAATTTCTAAGTGGTCTGAGAACACTTTTTCAGGGATCCCACAGACTTGATGGAGGGCTACCTAGGTTGATGCTGAGCTGTAGTCTTGCTCTGTGCAGCTCCAGGGAGATGTAGTCTCCCTGCTGTCCCTCTCCATGGAGCAGGACTCCATCTCTTGCCATAGTCCTGAACTTCAGCGTGACAACATCCTTTACAATCTTCATCTTTCTGCTCCTGAAGCGGTAGGAGATGATGCCATGGCCATCAAAACTGATCACATCTGCCCCTGTTAAAACAAAATAAAGTCCTGTTTACTTCTAACAGAACAGGTGAAGGCCCGGGGACAGCTCAATCTGAAGGCTGAGCATCTTTATCAACCTCACAAACATTTTACCTAACCTTACTTCCTGTTAAATCACAACATCAAATCAGTCAATTTTTAAATTATTGAAATTAGTGCAGGTAAAGTTGAACCACTATGTAAACTAGTTTTTGGTAGGAAGGCAACGATCAGACTGCTGATTTCCCAAGTGAAGATTTTTATTCACAGTGAAGGCCAACGGTTCCATTAAAAACAACCAACTTTTCCCATGATCACAAAAATGAGTCTCCTAACCCTAACCTTAACCCTACAAAGGGGGAGCTCAAGATCTCTTTTGTCTCAAAGAAATGGGAAAAAAAACTCTTTCACCCACCTGTACCTCCAGCTAAATAAACTACATACTTAAATTCCCCAAAAATGCTAAATATAAACATAAGAAAAACAATTCACAAAAGAAAAAATCCCATAGTTGGTCTTCTCCCGTGATGTCAGCTCTGACAAGAAACAACTGCAGTAAGAAAGCCTGAAACCTAATAAAAGTAACTAAAACTAAAGACCATGTGTTTACTTTAAGAAAAAAATTTAAGTGACAAATGATAAATACAGAGACGATCTCACCCACGTTGTCACACTCTGCAAGATAAAGAGAGACTTCTGCTGTTTTAATGAAGAAAACACATTAATTGTCCCAGGGTGACTTAATTAATATCTTCTCCAGAGGAGTGTTTTCATTTGAAGTTTAATGCTTTACATATTATTTATGAGCTGATAGAACTGACTAATAATATTCACATGAGAATATAGAGGACACAATAAGATAACAGTCTAATTTGAGCTTGTGACATTATAAGTAAATTATACACCAAAACAGGATATGATTTCATGATGTAAATACAGCAATAGAAAGGATGAAAGTCATTTATTCACTTACAAGAAGTTTACATTTGGAGACATAAAACTTTATACATGTTTTCTCCGATGGTCAGACTGTCTCATCCTGAGCAGACATTCTGTCCTACTTATAACTGAATATCATTTTTTATCTATTTATTTTGTCTTTTTGTCCATTAAATTGTTTTTTTCAAAGTCTGCATTTTGGGTCTTGTTAAAGCCATGAAAAAGTAGATGTCTGGGAGTACGTATGAATTAAAATACATTAATTATGGCTTTTGTTTGTTTGTTTTCACCAACTTGTAGTCTTGAGCCAAAAAAGGATGCATTAAAAAGATACAAAATAGCTGAGACTATATCAATACTTAAAACGTAAAGTCCTTCCTCTGACCCTCTAAGCTCTTCATGCTCAGGCACCATTATATCTGTAAAAGCACGTAGTTCCTATTACTGTTCCAGAGTATTGTTGTCCCAACATGCAGGTCTGCTCATCATACCGAAAGTCTTTAAAAGTGGTTGCTGGAGCAATTATTGATGTTTAGATAAGTGACTCTAAAAGGCTGAGATGGCTTTGCTTACACAGCCTCACAACCTTAAGGTTGTGTAAGCAGGCTGCTCTGCAGAGTTTGAACTTGTCTAAGTTCACCAAAAGTTGACTTGATCCTAATGACCACCAGGAAAATTAAGTTGGTTTCCCAGAAACATTTATGTTCTGTTAAATTTCAGAACACTGAGACATGTCCTTGGACAACCCCACTGGGTGTACACTTACACTTGCAATACACATCTATCTGACTCACGCATACATACACATGCATACACATGAGATGCACATCTCTATTACACAATGTAACACACACCTATTGTGTTCACACACACACACACACACACACTCAGCAGCTTAAAAGTGAGTGAGAGGAGAGCTCAGGGCTTCCTCTGATGATTTGGGTGTTGACTCTGTGACATCTCTATTGACCTCGGCATCTGTACAATAAGACTGTTCCTCAGATCTCATCCTGTCTCCTATGCATTGATTTTGCTGCATACTATGCATATTTTCCACAATATGGTCCTCAGTAGAGCCTTCAGTTATCAGGCCCCTCTGCTCTGGAGTCATCTGCCAGTCTGCCAGGTGTAGGGAGCAGACACCCTCTACATTAGTCACTAAAAACAGTCTTTTTTGGGAGTCCCTAAACTCCCTAAGGTTGTCGGTTCTTCTGAAACAGAGCTACAGACATTTTGCCACTATCGACATGTCTGCTTTATGATCTACGAGGATCAGTCTCTCCTCTGTCCATCTCTCTTTTTCTCCATCGCCCTATATCAGTCTCTCCTCTGTCCATCTCTTGTTTTCTCCATCTCCCTATATCAGGATGGTAGTGGGTCTGATCTTACAAGATAGGGGTTGTAAGAACCAGACATGTAAAAACATTCTGAAGCATGTAAAAAAAATGTAATTAAACCACAAAATATTATAACTGACCAAATATGTAGTAAGTTGTCACACTTTAGCCAAAAACTTATGTTTTGGGCTCAGCATGTTGTTACATTTTAGATCAGTTATTACATTTTGGGTTCAGTTACATACTTTAATTACATTTCAGGTCTTTGTTACATTGCAGATCCTTGTTACATACCGGGCTCTAACAGGGCTTAGTCTGATCCCATCTTTACATCTCTATCATCCCATCCTTAAGCCAGTGGTTCTGAAGTCCAGTGGAGGCCCACTGTCCTGCTTGTTTTTTTATGTTTCCCTGCTCCAACACACCTGATTCAAATGATCAGCTCGTTATCAAGCTCTGTAATGGCTTAATAACGAGCTGATCATTTGAATCAGGTGTGTTGGAGCAGGGAAACATCTAAAACATGCAGGACAGTGGGCCTCCAGGACTGGACTTGAGAACCTCTGCTCTAAGCTAAAATGGTGGACTTTTATGCTAGGTTTTTGACCTCATGTTGTAGCTCAAAGATACCACAATTGATGTATAAAACAAATTTAAAATGATCTTTTTTTGGTCTGAACACAATTTTCATTCAACTTATGACAGACAAAATTCACTTTACAGAGTGAAAAACGTTTTCACTGTGCTTCTAACCTTCACATACTTCATGAATTGATGCCCATCTCCTAAATATTTGGTCACATGATCAATTTCTTTTACCATTTCCAAGCAACAGGGGGTGGCTCAACTTACCCTTTGGCTCAACTTACCCCACTCTCCCCTATGCTCTTGAGAAAACTGTTTTTGTGAATTAGCGCGACATAAATAAAGATTAATTGATTGATTGAGGGTGAAAATGATCCAAGTATAAAGTGTTAAGAAAACATAGTGTCTTAAATTTGCAGAGAGCTGCTAAGCAAGCCTCTTCCTGAAATATTAATATAGAAAATAATGGAAACATCTGAGAGGTTAAACAGGAAAGAAAACCTGAGTTCATTTTTCCTAAAATGTTTGATGTTTATGTTAGAATCTTTCATGTCTGCCCTGACTCCACTGAGGAGCAGCAGGCACTCCTCCTCAGGCTGCAGCAATCAACCACAGGTGTAGCCACTGTGGCCTGATTAGGAGTCTGTAGCTGCGTTTCCATTACCCATAGATTTGCGCAAAACCTAAATATCGCAATAGAAAACTGGTAATGGAAACACCTAAATTTCGAAAAACCTCTTCAAATATCGCTAAAAAGTTTTTACGCTCTCATGAGGTGGTTTTTCAGACGTGTCGATATAGAAGTATATCGCAAAAGTGTAATGGAAACACTATTCTCGCAATTCTCTGTCACCGGACGTGACGTAGCGGGTCGTGTGACCAGTTCATTTCAAGCAAAGATGGCACGGTATGTGTGGACGGGGGAGGAGACGGAGTTATTTCTGAAGTTTTGAATTGTATTTGTATTTTTCAGAAGTTTTGAATCTATAATTCGTCTGTGAATTCCTCATTAACGATCCTCTCCCAGAAATCCCTCATCCATGTCCGCTCCCATACATACGGGCTTTGCCTTTGAATTATCATCCGCTGCCTTCGTCTTCTGATGACAGCAGCGGCAACAGCAGTAATGGTCACAGAAATAGCTGCTCCAAAACGCAAAATGTTTTGTGTCTCGTCCATGTTGGCGTGCAAAAAGGCTTAAGGAATACGAGGTCGCACGGGCAGGAAGTTTACCTCGTTGCTAGGCAACGTCCATTCAAACACGGCGTGAGACGGCTCGCTTATGCACTGAACACCATTCAATGGAAACACCCGCAAATCGCAATTGTACTTTGTCGAAATTTGATAAACATCGCTTTTATTTTGCAAAAAAATGTAATGGAAAGGCAGCTTATAAGGACTCCTTTGTTGAGCCCATTGTTCAGTTTGTTCTGCTGCTGACATATTTCACCCTGGCTGTCAAGTGCGTCAAAGTAAGTGTTGTATAATGTATTTAATTTATAGACTGTTTTGAAGACAATTTAAATTCTTTCATTTGATCAGTTTTTTGTTAAGGGCATTGTTGAAATCTATCAGGTTCTGATTAATAAATTAAAATTAGTGAGCATTACTTTGTTGTCTAAAGATAACCAATTAATAAATTATGTTTATATTTTTACTTTTTTGTTACATACAGACAAACAACACTTGATGGCTTGTAAATAAATCCTTTCAATTGAAACCTTGTCTTATTTTCATTGATTCCCCAACTTCCATTGACGTTGATTGACTCCAGCCCTATCAACTACCTATCATTTAAAACAGTTTGATTAGAAAAGCAAACTCAAAGTCAACTGGACAAGTCCAAACATTCAGAAACTGAAAACTGTCTCGAAATAGATTTGGTAGGACTTCTCTCCGGGGTTTCTGGCAAAGTGTGAAGAAACCGTGTTTGTATCTAAACTGATTTATCCAACACAATTGAAGTATCAATATACTCACAATACGAGCAGCCGTAAAGCTCCAGACGAACTCCAATGCGTCCTTCTCGATTCCAGTCCACCGGGATGAAACGAATGAAGCGAGCCAGGACGGGGTGCTGCAGCTCAAACCGAACCACACCTTCACTGTTCACATTTCCCTCAAAGGTCTGAAACAGAAAAAATGTGGTTCTTCGGCAAAGTGGGACAAAGTCCAGCACATTTCTGTCTAGCTGTGACTGTGATGTCAAAGGTGGCTCTGATGCTATTTGAGGATCACATGAACTAAATCTGTATTTGAGTCCAAAAATATCATACTTTGAAGATTTGTTCACAGTAGCTCTGCATATCTACAGCTACATGTTCAAAATAATGATTTCCTTGGACAACATTTTAAACAATGGTAAAAAAAAAAAAAAAGTCAGTTTGATTAATGTAGTGTTACATCTGAATAACGTCAGAGTTTTTGTTATTATCTTGTAAATTTACCCATTGATAAACCTTTCATTCATACACAGTTACCAGAAGCCTTTGCTATATCTGAAAAGATTCTTTCCAATGGTTCTTATATTACAGTTCCTGCACAAACAGTATGATGAGGTGCCTCTGAAAAGAAAGCAGAACTCTTCCTTACCCAGATGTTTCCATCTTGTAAATAAGGCCTCCAGTTTTTCTGGGTGTCACTGTAAATCAGTCGATATTTGCTGGTCCAGTCAGAGCTACTGTAGCGACCCTGTGTAGCTATGGCGACAACCTGCTTTCTTGAACCCAGGTCCACCTGCAACCACTGTTGATGGTCATTTTCCGAAGGCGACCATCCTCCAGCACCTAGTTTATTAGCAGGTATCAGTGGGGTTGTCAGGTTGAAAGACGGGAGGAAGAAAAAAGGGAGAGGTTGGGGAAAATTGGATCTGGAGAATTTGGAACAAAAATTATCACGTTTTTTTTATTCAAGGAGATCTGCTGAACAAATGTGCAGAGAGTTTCACCACTGCTGACCCAATCAGTAGTTTCAGGTTCAAAACTTCATTCCACAGTCTTTAAAACTACAGTTCACCAAGTGTCCACCAGAGGCACCACAAAAAGGATGTATACAGAGTGGCACAAAAATATAACTTTGGCAGGTATAGGTCATCTCTCCATCCCTGAATTTCTTGATCTCATGCATTTTGAAGATATTTTGGTTAACAGGTTTGGCATCATTAAGGGCGTAGCTGAATTTCAGCTTTTAGTGAAGAGGTTAAAGTCCTGCCTTGGCTCTACCTCTTTCCCAGGAGCTGGGTTGACCAGAGATTTGGTTGAGTCACTATTTCCAATTTTGGTAACTGCCAGCCAGAAAAGTGAGGAAACACTATTTTCTGTTGCTGTTGGACCATAGCAAAGATACGCTTCTGCTAATCGTACAGTGTGCTTGTGCTTGTGTGTGCTTGCAGGGGGGTTTGGGAGTCATAGCAGGTAAACATATGTTTGCATTTTCTTAGACTCTATCATATTACCATCCCCACAAAAAGCAGATTAAATATTGTGAAATTTAGCTCATACTGGCCATACTGCAGCTCCATCATCCAGCTGTCTTTATTTCTATCTCATCACATTTTGACTGTTTTTGCTGCCTTCTGACTTCCAGGTACAAACGGAGTCACATCTAAAATACTGATCCTGAGGAAAGAGATGAAGCCAAAGCAACTGAAATACGTTTTTGTTTTGTTTTACTCATTTCATAGATTCACACCAACCGAAAGAGCCATGTAAATCTGTGAGCCAGGTTACATGAGGGAAGAATGAGTCTTAAAGAGGGAGAGGGGAGAACTAGACAACAGGACAAATCCCAAGATACCTGGTGGCCCAAGTGTGTAGACTGCAAACCCTTGACGACAAACCATAGACTGTATATAGAATGGACAGCATCTGCCTCCTCGCTGGGTGAAGCCACCGGGAAAACAGCACCCTCTGGTGATGGGCTGCAGAATAGGTCATAAATCTCGCCTCTTTATGGAGTTGTGGACAGACTTTAGAAATTTATTACACAGAATATAATTTTTTTTCTCCTCTGGTTGCAATGTTAACATGTAGTTATTGTAAGACTGGTTTGTGCTCAAGTCCTCTTTTTTCTGTGAAGCTCCGTTTTTAAAAGTTATTAGGGGGTTCATGTTTTCTGTGATTGACACTTGATACAGACTATTGGCGTACGAATACCGTGTAGTTCACCGGGGGGACACGCTGTTTGAGACAAGCGTCATCACAGCGACTCTTGGCGACTCTCCGAATGCGTACAATGCTACTGCACAATTTTGGTTTTAGGAAGTGGAGAGAATCCCAGAAATACCAAGAGCTTTTTGACTTGAAATCCGTATACTGGCGGAAGGCGGAACCAAGTTGTCCATAGTAAATACAGTCTATGCTAAAAACTGAATGGGCTCCTACAGTCAAGAGTGGGACTTAGCAACATTGACTTTAGGACCTTTTCCACATTTTTGGCTTTGAATGATGTCAAACTGAGATGCAAAAGTACCAGAGAAGTATCCAATACCATGTCCTCTAGTTACAGTTATTAAGAGTTCAAGAGGGAGCATCATAGCAGAAAGCTTACCTTGTTTTCGACTGAGTTTGGCATGACCAGCTTCATGTCCTCGAGCAAACACTGAAGAGGAGGTGAAGGAGCTGAAAGGAAGAGGAGTGGCCAAGCTGTCCTCACACTTTCCTAAACAAGATGGAAAACAGATTGAAAGCCCAGAAGATCATCGGTGATGAAATCACTCTGCGAAAGCCAACCAGCACTCCCCTGGCCAACCCAGCAGCAGATCAAACTTAAAAAAACACGTCTACTGAATGCAGACATGACCAACATACAGGGACTACCCCTTGCCTTTTCAAATAACTAACAGAGAGCCTGTCTTGGTCCTGTGATAATTTTCAACCATTAAAATAAGAACACTTTACGTAATCAGTTCAATTACTCGCCCCTTTTATAAACACTCCAAAGGCTGGATTGAGTGCTCCAGGTCTTAAATTCATGTATTTCAAAGGAAAAACAATCTTTCAGTCAGTAAATTGAGCAGCAAAAAGCCAATAGCAACAAATCAATAGTGTCATTAAAATTGTGTTAATATAGTGAAACATTATAATCAACTGACAAAAATCCCTCTCCAGGTAGGCCGAGTGGTTCTTCGTTTGCTGCTTTTTGGAAAGAATCAGAGGTTTTTTTTATGAGGGCCTCATTCACTGACATGATACAAACAATATTTAGCTCAATGTCACGACTCTCTTCCTGTTATGTTTCTGTCTCAGACTCCAGAGCCAGCACAGTATCCACCTCTGAAGCGTTAATTTTAAGACCGAGATGATACAGAATCAAACTGACAGCATGAAGGCTGTTTTGATCAGGTCCTGTTTTTGTGTGGACCCTGTGTCCGGCCTGTACTTTAGCAGTAAGGCTGAAGGTCCTTTCACACTGCGAGGATTTTTTTGGTAACCCGTATCCTGTCAACACAAGCGTTCACATTAACGTTTTCCCGTCCTGCGATATTGCGGCATTTACTTTTACGCTTCACAGTCGATTTTTTTAAAGTTTTGCATACTGTGTGTCCATTTCTGACCAATCAGATTGCGTGTTGTTGCGACATCAGATTCATCGGTATATCCAACATGGCCAACTGTCTGATTGTTTACGTGTCAGAGAACAGAGTGCTTTTTGATAAAGACACGAACATTACAAAGAGACAAAGCTTCCACCCGGGACGCATCTTTTTTCCTCCCGGAAAATCGCAAAATCGGGCTTGATGTGTATATCCGCCTCTGAATATTTCATAATTTCGTGTCGTATATTTGCATTGGTCCCGGTGTGTAAGGACCTTGAGTCCTTTAAAGTGCAAGACATTAAGTGTTTCATGCTTAAAGTTTCCTGTAAGTGTTTCCTTGGACAAAGGCTGATTCTTTGACAACCTTTAAAATTGGACTGTACAGTTATAAGAATTCCCAAATAATTGTGTTTATGAAGACGTGTAGATACGCAAGTGTCCTACAGTCTGTAGGACGGCAACACCTCTGCCTCTTTCTGAGCCAGGGAACACCCGATCACTGGACAAAATGGTCTCTAGAAATGTCTTAACATGTCAGATTAAAAAATCTAACAGCAAGTACAGATAGATCCAGTTTGTCTCAGTTTGACTACAAGTCTCAGTTTCCTGTCTACCTCCTTTTTGGACACACAGTCCAATGGGCTGGCCTTTGTTCTCCACACCCTCAAGGGACCTGATATGAGATGGAATTTTGAGTGGGGGTTGGGTCACAGCACTCTGTGTGTGTGTGTGTGTGTGTGTGTGTGTGTGTGTGTGTGTGTGTGTGTGTGTGTGTGTGTGTGTGTGTGTGTGTGTGTGTGTGACAGGTGCAGGGTATGGTAATGAGCTCCTTCATATGCATTACAAAACAAGCCAAGCATGTGTTACTCTGTTCAAAGGAACAATAAATCAAGAATCTGGAAAACAATCCAAACATTAAGGCAGCAGTTCATCTCTCTGAGAATCTCACATTTTCTCTTATGGTTTCTTCATCATTTGTGCAGCAGTATTAGGCATGTGCGTTTGTATTTGAAGTATATAGTAGACATGATCTGTAGCCTCTTACCTAGTGTCATAACACCCAACAGTGTTAACTGAACAATGATGATGTTTTTCAGTTTATACAGTAGCTCAAGAGACCTACATGAATAGCTTGAGTGATGAATTAATATAATTGCAAATCAAGGTCTATATCCAACAAGACATGCTGCTTGATGAGACTGGAGGTGAGAGTGACCTCTGACCTCAAATTACTCAAATATAAGCAGTTCATCCTGTATGAGTGGTGCTTGATTGGTGCTGAAGTGAATAATATGTCCTCGAAGCTTGACAGTGAAGCTGACATTGAAGTTTTAGGGTCTGGAGTGTTTTCCAGTTTGTTGTTTGGTCCTTGGTTGTACTTCCATGAAACTGAGGGTATAAGTTTTTTAAAGGGACACAGAGACCTTTGAAATATGACCACAAACTTTGGATAAGGTGTTTCTTAAACTTCAATATTTGTGCAAAACTTGTGTAAAACCCTCCAGGTTTCAGGGATTTCAGGGATTTTCAGAGTCGACACACAGACATTATGTTTACAGGCAATCAAAAGAGATTCAAACCCTTTTGAAATAATCTAAAAACTCTATCTCAATCATGGGGCAAATGTTTGTTGGGGTATGCCTAAGGCTGGGCGACAAAACAATATATATCAAAAAAATTATTTTCCTCAATATGGTCATAAAACATGATCAATATGCTTTTTGATAGCTGGCATTCTGCCATATTTTGGTAGACTATACAAATGGTCAATGAAAAGGGGAGTTGCTCCGAGTTCACTTCACGCTGAGCCAATCATGTGCTGAATTAGAACCAAGTAGCAAACAACTGCACAGGAGCAGGCTGCAGTTACACGCAACTATAGCACTTTAACACGTGAAGCCAACAGCACTGTCAGCGAGAATAAAAGAAAAAAAATGGTACTCGCGGCAGAAATGCAGATGAAGGCTCAACAAACAACACTGGCACGAAAACGTCAGTGGTGTGGAGGTACTTCTGTTTTTTGAGGTCGGACATGAAGCAGAGTGGTGTGCACTGCAAATTATGTCGAGAACATGTTCTCATAAAGTCAGGGAATACCTCAAATCTTTTTAACCACCTGAGGCAGTGCCACACGGCAGAGCACGTACATTGCAAAAGGTTACAAACCCCAAGGAGCCTATGGTGCCTGTGCAGCCTAAACAGCCGACCATTCAGTCTGCTTTCTCTAACGCAACGCCTTATGAGAAAAGGATCTCACAGATGCAGTAGCTTATTGTATTGCAAACACATGCTATCAATAAGCACTGTTAAATTTCATTTTTTATACCATGATATCGATATCGACTGATATGAAAAAATATATAGTGATAAACTTTTTCCCACGTCGCCCAGCCCTAGGTATGACCAACTATATTTAGCCTGTTAAGCAGAGGTTTATCCCCTGAAACTTATCTATGCTCTGATCTATTATTTCAGCTGAAGGGGAAAACAATCCATGCCTTTCATTGATGTTTTTCACTTATAAATCTCCTCTTTCGTTCATATCACCTGGCCATAAGTGGGCCTTGGCAGACAACATCAGGCAGCATTAGTGGGAACATGAGACTTTGAGTCCAGACTGCAGGATTTTTCTCCAGTTTCTACACACACTTACAAATTTAGATTTGAACTGAAGAACTGTGAGATCTACCTCAGGTCTACCAATTTAGCTTTGACCCAGACCTGGACAATTATTGCGAAAACCCTGTGCAAGAGTTTAGAAAGGAAAATTACACTATTTTGATTTTTTTATTTGGTCTGTTGTTTCTCGGGTTACTCTCAAAGTTTCTTTAAGAGCTGGTCTCGGTCATACTCATTTTACAAAGACTTGATGTAAAGATGGGACAAGACTGAGCCCCATCTTGTGTCATCAGACCCACTCTCATCCTACTTTACTCATGTGAAACACTTTGTAGACTCATGTTAGACAGTCATCAGGAAAATAAAAAACTAATGTTACTGATGTCAATTACTGTGTTTCAAAGTTCAAGTTTTAAAGACACAGAAAAGGATAAAAGTGAGCATGCACAACGAGCCAAGATAAGAAATAGCCTCTGTTTTTGGATGTGAAGGTCAAATCCAGTAAAACATCCTAAAAAGCACAGATAGACAATGTTTAAGTGCTGCAGAGGTTGTGGACTACATATGTGACATTTGTGAATGAGTTAGTAGTTTGAACAGGACTTTCAAGTGAACCATGAAAACAGGTTCACAGTTGCAAGCCATCTGTTTGCAAGCCGTTCTCATATGCAAATTGCCCGTGCTGCCCTCACGTGTCACCTGTATCATGTCCACATTTTTATTCTTGTTTTATCTAAATTTTTGTATGCATTATATTGTTATATATTATACTTATATTAGGGTGCATGCTTGTAAATAAAACCGCCATAGTGGATGAGTGACCTTTACTCGATTCCACACCCCTTTTCCAACGAAACATTGTAAAGACTGTTTCTGTGATGACAGCCAGTTTTCCTCGTTGGTCCCAGAGATAATCAATAAGACAGCTATGTGTCCAATTTTAAAATTTCTTAACCATAACTCTCAATTAGTCTCTCTTAATCAATCTTTACTTATGTTGTTAAAGGCAGTGTAAAGCTAAACCCAAAACTGATCCTTGTGGAACATCTTTGCTTTCTGTTATGAGACGATCAGCTTTCACATGATCCACATTAGCACATTTTTGATGACTTATTTCAAACCTTAGAAGTGGAGGACTGTTTTTATACTCCAGAGTTGATGTAATGTCGGTAATGAAACAGTCCTAAGTCCAGCACTGAAAGCCAATAGAAATGAGCCTATGGTACAGCTTTTCAGCTTCACATTGAGGTTTCTGTTGTGGCACAGGATACTGCCACTACCCTGATCTTTATGACATTATTAGTTGTAAATCTGAATCACTGAATTGGATCAATTCAGACAAATCTAACCAGCATGTGTTGTGTGGTTATTTTTTCCAACAGGAATTTTTCACTTCCAATAACCACACATTCACACACTTAATGTGTCTTACTTGTTGGTTAGCTCACACCACCCAGTATCAAAATAACTCTTCAGTGTTGACTGAACACAGAGATTTTACTCTCCCTTCAGATTCAGAAAAACTGCAACATAACAACAAATACTTGCACTGACATAATGAATGTATAAAGATGATATAAAGATTAAAGAACAGATAGTTAATCTCTTTAATCAGCAGATATATTTGATTCAGATGACAAATTCATAGTCAGGTACCGAATGACGTCAGTTACACTCAGGTTTAATACAGCAGGGATTATCTTTGTATTTTTCTGTTCCACTGCCAAAAACTACACTGCACCATTATGTACACACCTCAGCATGATCACGTTTCACTACAGCACAACTGAACATTACCAGAGCCCCTGTGTCCTTGTACTGCCATTCAAAGCACTGATCAGATCTTTCCTCTTCTCCAGCTTGATCCTTATATTTTGAAGTATGACATGGTTACTGATAAGCATCATCGGCTAGATTTAATAAAAGCAGACTGTCACAGACACACTATCTGTTTCAGCTTAAATGACTGTGTGTAGAGTCCTGTGAGAGGCTGCTGAGGACTGATTTGATTTGTGCTTTTGTTGATCCAGCCGACAGAATCTGAGCATCAAACTCTTCCAGACTAGTTGAGATTAACACAAGCATGACTCTTTCACCTCTTTTTTTATTGTTTCAATTAAATTCAGATATAATGCAGATAAATACTTAAGATAATTACAAATGGGGCTGAGTCAACTTGAAAGTAAACAGCATTGATGCTACTGTAGATGCCAACAGACTACCAGCAAACACAATGTTTGCAGGACTTCTACAACTAGGATAAACTGACAAACTCCAGGACCCGAGGTCAACAGTTTAGCAGCGCTACAACATGCAGCAGGTCCCGTTTAACAAGAAACACTTCAGTTACACTTGGCTTACTTTGTTTAAGCGGTTTACCTGTCCATCAGAAAGGTTCAGGGTCCGGAAGATCCCAAAGCGTCCCCCATCGTTTATGCTCATAGAGTCTATGTTTATGCTTCAATGATTAATGTTGACCCGGCTTTTTAGCTCTTGTCTGAGTGGTCTACCTCCGTTTTAATATCAGTCGATAGCTGTTAGTTATTGATGACATTTGGGAAGATCACGATACCACTGTGCTCTCTTATGTAAAATGTTTGAGCGTCCCACTCATCAGTGATGGGAATTGTGGAGTCACCAAGTATTTGTTCTGCTCTGTCACTGAACCAGCTGCTTCCAATGAGCAGCCAGGAAGGTGAGCTCATTAGTGAAGGCACCTGGTTCAGTAGCAGAACAAATACATAACATGGAGATGACTTGGTGACTCCACAATTTCCCATCTCTGCCACTCATCCTGACTGTAAACAAAGCTGTTCTTCACCTCCCCGACCTGATTGGTTGTGAGGCGGACGCTGCTCCCTCTCGTTGTGAGGCAAGCTCCATGTCCTCGAATAACGTGCACGAGCGCAAACAGAGTTAATGTGCTACAATATCGGACAGTAGAAACCAACCAGAAAGTATGGAAAATTGTCTGAATCCTCCTTTGGCAAGCAAGAAAACAAAGTAAATACTGGAGGCTCTGGCGGAAGAACAGGTGCTTAAAAGCTTTTTTGTATATACACTACAAAAAAAGATGCTTCTTTAACAGATACCTGCCTACCCCACCTTTACGCGCAATACCTTTGGGAAAAGGATTTGAAATTCTCAGAATGGACATTAAAAGTGCTTGTTTGCTGAATACACACATCCTGCTGTAGCATGGCACATTAATTCCACCATGAATGTTCAGAAGAGAACCGTCTGGTCTGTGACTGAGAGATGGAGAGAAGCGCTAAATTCCTTGAAACACAGAGTCATCTGTGAAACTGTTTTTGTTTTACATGGTGAAGGTACTATGTTGTGGTATTGCAAAGTCACAAAGGGGGTCCTAATGTGAAGATGATTGTAGCTTTTAGTAAGTGCAAAAGGAGGTAACAGCCTAGCTTTCATGTGTTTTGGGAGAGGCAACAAAGCGTATGGAGGGTATATGCTATTGCAGATGCTGGACTTCTGGCTCCTGTCTCAGCAAAACAGCAATGCTCACAATACAAAAGAGTTGGTAAAGCATGCAAACAAACTATTTACATTTCCTAACATGTGTTGAAACTTGTAAACAGTCATTTTAATGTGGTTCACTCCGTGTTTTATGTGTCATTGCATTTCTCGTGTAAGGACTGTTACCGTGTGGTATGTGTGTGAGGAAGATGAGTTGCTAGAGGGCTAAGCTGAAACTTAGCGCCCTTGGAAGCAGAAGGTAGGGGGAGACAGATGGTGTGTTCATTATAAAAAGAGTGGTTCATTTTATCAAAAACAATGAGAAACTGTCATTATTTTTATTTAAATAAGAGTTGCAACACGTAGCAGTTAAAAGAGTAAATTCGTGTAAAATTTATTGCTAAAAATGTACTTGTTTATGTTTAAAATGTGAACATGATTTCTGTGTATTATTTACTTATGGCATTTGTATTTCTGTTTATTTTTCATAGTTTTAACAGTGTCTGAAGGTGTCAAAATGCCAGTGGTCAAAAGAGGAGAGAATTAAAGTAACACCAGTCGAAGTAATTCCAAGTGGGCCGCTACAGACAGTCACTGCAAAACACTGGAAGTATCAGCAGAGCGCTACACAGCTTCTCAATACCTTAACTCCTCAAAGGTTTGCTCAATCTGAAAAATTCCAACGCTGACAGACAGCTGAGAAACTGTGCTGTTTGTCAATATGTGATGTATGGCATATATTACGGTAATCTTGAACGGCACCGCCAAAACTGCAACTTTGACAGGGCCGAGGGAGAAAAGGAGACTGGAAAAAGAGAGTAGTAAGACAAAGCAAGCAAAATAGTGGGAAATATAGTATTAAATATTATTAAATAGTAGTAAATATATAGTAATATGAAACGGCTGCTACAGTATGTAGAGGAGGAGGAGAGCTATTTAGAGGAGAGTGATTTGGAGGAGAGCTATTTGGAGGATGCTTCTTCTGAACTTGACGTGTGTTCAGAAGAAGCAAACTGTGCATCATTTGCACACCCAGAGTCCTAGACTCGAAAAAATGGCTGTTTCTGATTCTAAACATGTATAGGTGGTCTTTTCAAATGTGAAGTTAAGACTTCATGGGCAATTACAAAATTTGCTCTCATAAAATCTATGAAAGAACACGTTTGTTTTTGGGTTTTCTTCCTTCATACAGCTGACAATTGCATGTCATGTGGAATAATCATGAATCAGGTGCTGAAAAGTGAAGTACAAGCACTCTTAGAAAAAAGGGACCAAAGCTCTCAGACTTAGAGCATTTTCTGACCATTTAACAGCCATTATAACAAAAGTCTCCAAATCGCCTTTGTAGCCTTAGTAGGTGAAGAGTTTTAAAACTTGGTGTATGACAAGTTACGGACTGATAAAGGTATAGTTTTTGCTGGATGGTTTTCAGTTGTAATAACAGTTAGCATACACAATGAAAGTGAATAACAACAACAGTAACGCTACATGATAAAAACCTAAAGTGAAGGTAAAATTGATAAAACATAACCACATGAGTCACTGGCTGGCAGTGAAGCAAAAATAACTATTCAATACAAGAGATGAAACTGAGTTTGGAGCAGAGTTATACTGAAGATAACAAACTTCTGAACACAAGAGTTGAAAAGATTGGCCATCCCTGTTCTAGAGGACACAACTGCGTAGTTTGAGCGGCCTGACAAGGAGATGTAACCAATAGCAGGAGCTAATGTTACCTTGCTACATGTCACTGTGTACCAACACACAAAGTATAAAGAGAAATATCGAGACATAATATTTGTAACTAACCATTCAGAAACCTCCTGCTGCAGCCACAGAGTTGGAATTTCTCCAGGAGCCTCTCCTTCTGGGTCAGACTCTGGATCAAACTGGTTCGGTTGGACCACATTGCTTTGATGAGCCATACCTAGCACTCTGTGTATGTGCATGGTACCATAGTGCAAGCCACACCCTCCTCTTCCAGAGAGACAGGGAGGGGCGTGGCTTGTGCTGAAGGAGGCGTGAACAGGTGCAGGACACAGAAACAGCTTGTGCTCGGTACAACAAACCTTAAATTGACTGATCTGGGACCTCTGAAAGCTAGGTGAACCTGCTGAAAAAGAGTATAATATCGGACCTTTAATACCTACTCTGCTGATTTCAGCTCTTTTTTTCATTGTATGTACTTGAATGATCAAGTTTCGAGTTTATACCCTCTTCTTCAGAAACAAGATGTTTTATTTTAAAGCATTATCGATATCTGATATCCAGCAAATAGACTTAGCCAGTCCAGTACAAGATTTAAACAAAAAATACTTCTGTTTTTTTACAACTTTTGAGAGATGCAAGTATCATCATTAATCATTATCAGCAAAATCCCCCCAAACATTAAAATGTCATTTTTGTCAATAGGCTACCTCACACTAGGGATGTGCTGATATACAATTTAATCGCGATATGCAATATTAAACGTCCATGATGATGAAGAAATTTTACACCCACCCACAATGCATTGCGGCCACCCAAGGCACTCTTGGAGGTGTCCACTCTGTGAACCGGAAACAGTTTGAAAAAGAAAAAAAAAGTTGACGCACACGTTCCAACTTCCAACCAACGTAACGATGCAGCCGGACAAAGAACAGTCGGAGACTGAGAATGACGAAACGCCTCGGCTGTGTCCTCCTATTAAAAAGGTTTCGTCGGCAATATGGACGTTTTACGGCTTCACAAAACAGACGGAGCAGGTAAACCTGACACCAATCTGCAGGTTATACCGTAAGGAAGTTGCAGAGCCGTTGTCTAACACTTCAAACCTACGTGCCCACCTCCATGAACACCATCCAGCATCGTTTGGCAAAATCAAGGAAAAACCAACATGACCGCAAAAAGTTTGGTCTACTCTACTGCTTATTATTGACAACGGTAGTGACGTTTCTGCTGACTTTAGCTCCAAAAAGCTAATGCTCCCAACGTCGCGTTATCTGCCTCTTGCTTATATTGTTTGTGCGTGTCATGCTGTGCACAGAGATGTGATTTCGCAGTTTTTTGCCATTTTTAATAACGTTAAAAGCGATGCGCTAATATCGTGATAATATCGTGAATCGTGATATTTTGGGCCACCGATATGGTGATATCAAATTTTTCATATCGGCACATGCCTACCTCACACCACAAGTCCTTTGTGAAGGGGGTGCTAGAATAAAACATATATTTAATTTATAACCAGTAGATTTAAATTTCATGTTTACATTGAGAAATGCTTGGAAAAACAAACCCAAGATATTCATCCTGGATTGAAATCATAAATTTGCTTTTTAGTGATACCTCTTAATGTATCTCTGCCTACTTAAAGAATTCTAGCTCTGAAAAGGTCTCTTCTTTAAGCCTGTTTATGTGCTGTGATTAGTTTTTAAGGGTTGTGTGGTTTACACCCCAAATATGATATATGTTTTAACTAATATCCTGCAAATCTGCACAAAACTGAGCAGGATAGCAGCATCTGACTTTAACTCTGCTCCTGTTGTAAAACATGAGCAGCAGTCACAGAAAGCTCGTGATGTTGACCACGCTGAGTAAACGCGCACGCACACACACATGCACACACACACACACAAACACACGCATATACACACACACACACACACACACACACACTGGGGACACAAACTGTCCGATCAGGAGCCCTGCTGATAGAGCTGCTGGTTTGGTGGTGGTCTCATACTTAGTCCTGACTGTAGTCCACATCTACATCCATGGCTACCAAATTAGCCGAGGCTGCTTGTGTGTGTGTGTGTGTGTGTGTGTGTGTGTGTGTGTGTGTGTGTGTGTGTGTGTGTGTGTGTGTGTGTGTGTTTTTAGCCTACTTACGGGATACTGAGGATGCTGCGCTGGAGGTGCTAAGGATGCCACACAGGACAGGCAGCAATAGCAGCTCTCTCACATAAGACATGTTCAGAAAAAATCCACGCAGCCAAGGAAACAAAGGGGCACAATAACGCGGATCCAGGCGGCTTTCAATGCGGTGCTCCTTGTTCCGTTGTTCCGGAGATAAATAGACGAGAAGAGCCTTCCTTTATTAGCCAGTGAAAGCGCAGCGCAATGGCCGTCCGCCCGCTGAGCAGTGTCTTTCTCTCTCCTCTCGGTCCTCCGCTCACTTACGAACCCTCCGGCGGCCCTGCTGCGGGCTTTGACCAGCAACCTTCGGGATAAGCCTGAGAAAACTGCGCGGTATTGTAGCGGGACGGGCCTCGAGCCTCTGGCGCATGGTCAGACAAACAGACAGCAGCTGTTCAGCCGTTGAGCTACAGGAATAATCGATGCACCCCTCAATCTCAGCCGCATTTGGTACGGTCCAATATTTACAACAATGCAGGGTCCCCAAATTGAGGAGGGGACGAAGCGGAGCGAGGGGGGGTACAATTGGAAATGTGAATGTACACAGAACAGTGCAGTTCCATTAGTAGATATATAAAAGGTCTTATATTTATTACAGATTTTTTAATAACAGAAAAATAAGAAGGCCTATCCATAGTCTATTTAAGATTAATGAAATTAAAATTAACATGGTATGAGCATGGGCATGATTTAAAGATGAATGCATGACAGCTGTGTCCAGAAACAGGGGTGGAGCCAGACTGTTTTGACTGGGGTGGCCAAAGGCGGCTCTGTCTTTTGTGGGGGAAACCATACCTGGTAAATATCAAGGAATTGCATAGTTGTTGTTGGGAAAAGGGTGGTTTTCCTATCAACTTAAGGGTCACTTTTACGTCTAATTTACCAAACACAAAAAAGAAGGTCCTGACTGATATTAACTCTCTGACTCCAATTCCTTAATTACCTCTCACCCTTTTCCTGCGTGGTCGTTTATGGGAAACTAACTAACTATCACCCCCCTAAGTTCCATAACCTTTCTTTTGAAGAAGTTCAAACTGCAAAGCACCCTCTGTACACTTCCTTTTTCATATGTCTGAGCCAGAGGCGGATCTAGGATTCTAGGCAATTGGGGGCTTAGCCCTGAGGATTTAGTTTTTCCGTCTTTTTTTGCTGCCATGCACACAAAACTACATTTTTTTTTACTTCAGCTTACAACCAATTCAAAGCCGACAAAAGACACGGAGAAGAACACCTAAAAATTCAGACCCTTTAATGATGCAAATGTCCTACCACTAGCCTTGTTGAAGTCACTGTCTTATGTCATGAACATATGCCTCACATCCACTGAAAGAAAAAAAATAAAACAAAAAAAGTTACCCAAAGTCATGCAACACTCACAGAAATCGCTTATAGTGTGAGCCAAAGCACTCAACATGAAGAGGTTGTCCACACTGCTGGATGCTTCTCCTCCAAAGCTGCTCTCTGCTCTCATTGTTTACTTTACTCACGAAGCACCTGGCAAGATCCGAGCATGAATCCAAGCGCTTAAGGTTTATTAGCCTGTCAGAGGTAGACAGGTATGATGATTTGATTCGCCACTGAGCACAACTTCCTTAAAAAACAGCACACGAACATCTTTGTTCAGTACAAGACCCCTTACTTACACGGCTCACTTTGTCAGTGTAGTACTGTATGTCAATGTATGGGATGTTAAAAAAAATTGTAGTTTAGTTTTTTTTTTAAATGACATAAAATTGTATGTTTTAAAAGTTTCATAATAAAGTATGTAAAAAAAAAGTAGGGTAGTATGAAAACAATGTCATGGTATAGTATGATAAAAATGTCAAAGTTTAGCATCAGATAAGTGTCATAGTATAATATAAAAAAAGGTCAAAGTAAAGTATGACAAAAATTGTCTACTGTTATATGATAAAAAATGCCAAAGTAAAGAATGATAAAAATGTCATAGTATAGTATGATAAAAATGTCATTGTATAATGTGAGAAAATTTTGTGATAGTATATTACAATAAAAATGTCATAGAATTGTATGAGGAAAATGTCATTGTATAGTATGACAAAACAGTCATAGTATTGTATGTTAAAAAAATAATAGTATTGTTTGTTAAAAAATGTCATCAAAAAAATGCAAAACAAAATAAAAATATAGTGTGATAAAATGTAATAGTATAGTATGATAAAAAATGTCATAGTATAGCATATCAAAAATGTCACAGTATAGTATAAGAAAAAGTTATAGAATAGTATAATAGAAAAATGTCATAGTAAAGCATGTTTAAAAAAACAGCAAAGTATGTTAGAAATCATAGTAAAGTAAAATAAAACATTTTATAGTGTCATATCAGAAAAACCGTCATGGTAAATAATGTCATGGTAAAGTATGGCACAAAAATGGCTTAATTAAGTATGAAAAAAATATGAAAGTATAGTATAATAAAAATGTCATAGTATAGAATATTTATTTTATATATATATATATATATATATATATATATATATATATATATATACATACATATAATATAAAAGTTTACTGTGAAAAATGTAAAAAAAATGTTATAGTATTGTATGCTAAAAATGTCATCATATAACATTAGAAGAAGTATAGTTTGATTAAAATGTTAACGTACAGTATGATATGAAATATTAGTATTGTCAGTAGTAGTAGTATTGTTTGCTTGAAAAGAAAAGTCCTGGTACCATTTAAAATGATAAATGATGTCATAGTATAGTAAGATAAAAAATTTCATATTATTAATTGTAAAAAAAATCATAGTGCGATAAAAATGTCACAGTATAGTATCAAAAAAATTCATTGTATAGTATAAAAAAATGTCATAGCATAAGACAAATTTCAAAGTATAGTATAATAAAAAGGTCAAAGTATAGTATGATACAAAATATCAAAATTTAGTAGTAGTACTAGTACTACTAGTAGTAGTTTAGTAGTAGTCAAATATGTCATTGAATAGTATGTTAAAAAAGCATAGTATGTTAAAAAAAAGCATAGTATAGTATGATAAAAATGTCATTGTACAGAATGATAAAAAACGTTATAGTATAGTATAATAATAATATCAAGGTAGAGTATGATAAAAAAATCAATGTGTAGTACGTTAAAATATCAAAGTATCATATGTTTAAAAATGTCATAGTATAGTATGATAAAAAAAAGTCAGTATAATCTGATAAAAAAATGTTGAAGTTTTGTTTAATGAAATATGTCATAGTATAGTATTATAAAGATATGGTATAGTATGAAACACTTATCAAAGTAAAGAACATTTAAAAATTAATTGTATCGCGTAAAGAATAATGTCATAGTATAGCTGCAAAAAATGTCGTAGTTTATTGTAATAAAAAATGTCTTCATATAGTATGATAAAGATTTCTTAGTGAAGTGTGGGAAAAAGTCATAATATACTGGGATAAAAATGATACAGTGGAGTATGATAAAAAATGACATAGTATAGCATGATTAAAAATGTTAAAGTATAATATGAAAAAATGCCATAGTACAGTTTGAAATAAAATGTCAGTATAATTTGACAAAAAATATAATATAGTATGCTTAAAATCATAGTGTAGTATTAAAAATGTAAAAGTGTAGTATGAAATAAATTCATATTACAGAATGTTAAAAAATCGTAGTATAGTGTGAAAAGGTCACAGTATAGTATGATATGAAAATGTCCTAGTACTGTATAGTATGATAAAATGTCATATTATTGTATGTTAAAAATGTCCTAGTACTGTATAGTATGATAAAATGTCATATTATTGTATGTTAAAAATGTCCTAGTAATGTATGTTCAAAAACTCATAGTAAGGTATGTTCATTTTAAATTATGATATGATAAATCATATCAAAGTATGATAAAAATTTCATTGATTGGTATGATAGAAAAATGTTATAGTATAATGTGGTAAAAATATTATGGTGAAGTATGCTTCACCGTAATGGTTTAGTATTTCAAAATGTCAAACTAAGTATGATATGTATAGCAGGGTAGAGTTTCATCAAAAATCAAAGTAATGTATGTTAAAAAATCATAGTATAACAAAAAAAATTCATAGTATAGTATGATATAAAATGTCACGGTACAATATAGTATGGTTAAAAAATGTAAAAATATAGTATAATTAAAAAACAGTATAGTAGAATATGAAAAAATCTTAGTATACTGTGATAAAAATGTCATAGGATAGTGTCACAAAAAATGTCACAGAAAAGCATGATTAAAAAATGTCAGAGTACAGCATGATAAAAATTGTCATGAATAAGTATGATATTAATTTGTCATAGTATAGAATGATAAAAAATGTCACAGTATTTTATGATAAACATATCCATGCATAGTATGTTTAGAATTAGTATATATACACTATATATATATTTTTTTTTTTTAAAAACTCCTGGTATAGTGTGAGAAAAAATGTCATAGTGTAGTATGGTAGAAAAATGTTATGGTGTAGTATGATTAAAAAAAATTCAATAGTATAGTATGATAACTATTCCATTATATAGTATGTTAAAAAATCATAGTATAGTATATTAAAAATGTCATAGTGTAGTTTGTTAAAAAATGTTCCAGTGTAGAATTCTTAATAGGACTAGTTGTTAAATATCCCTAATATTCAGCACATCAATTGACAGTCATTGGAGATGTCCTCTAATCTTGAGTGGGGTGGGAATTGGCAATGATCACGTGGTGCCACCAGCACGCCACATCATCAGTTGTTCGCCCCGACTTCATTGGGTGTTTCGGCCACTTACAACAAGACACCCTCTGTCAGGGTTGGCCCACCACAGGATGATCAGCCCTGGGTGTGTGGTGTACGGTGGCACCATGCGGTCACTTGGCTGCCCATACTGCATCTTTACGTTTCAGCCATAGCCAGTGACTGCTCCGTTCTGCTGTTGTGGCAAGTTCTTTAATTGCCTTCCGTTGGGCCTGCCCTCTGATTCCCAATTCCTTCAGGAGCCTTCTGGCAGACCTGGCTACAAAGCCTCTGCAGCCGACCTCCACTGGCCACACCTTCACATTCCAGCCCC